CAAAGTAGGTTGGCAGCGCCTTGAAGAGCTCGTACGGAATGCCCGAGGGCCCCGGTGATCGCCCCGAATCCGTCTTCTTCAACGCCGCTTCAACCTCGAGAGGGGTGAAGGGCTCGTCAAGCGCCACTCTCGCTTGACGAGGCAGCCGACGACCGAACGTAGGGTCCGAGCGGTCGTCATCGTAGCATTTCGCTGCGCGAATAGGGTCGAGCAGGGACCGGCGTGCGTTCGTCGGGTCGCCACGAGCTGGGTCCGGCGTGAAGAGCGACTGCGCGTGCCGTGAAGCAATACCCAGCGCCTCCTGCATGTCAACGGTCTCGGTGCCATCCACATCCTCCAGCGAGACGATGCTCGTCTGGCGACTCCGGCGGTTGAGGCGCGTGCGAAAATGATCCTATTAAACATAATGCTATCCATTACCGATATCAGTCTATTCTAAGTCTTGCTTCTAATTTTAGAAAATTGCCTTATTTCTATAAGTTTTGTAGTAAAAAGGAGAAAAAAAATGTTAGGATTAAAAAGCCAAACACTAGAAAGAAAATGTCTGAATATGCAGGAAGTGTTACTGTAGATGTATTAAATGTACAATCAAGTAACGTAATGAACTCCTTAGTAAAATTCTTTAATTGTGGTAATGTATACAATAATGCAAGCTACACCTAATAATACTAAGTAGCCTGCAACATTAATGAATACAGCAATTAAAAATAATACAGAAATAACGGGATTTTTAGCTGTAAATAACCATAATACCTGACAAAATAGCCCCTAAAGCTAAGTTTTTAACAAGTTAAAAAAGTTTTTAACAAGTTAAAAAAGGGAAAGGCAGCGTTGAATAGAGCTCCATTTAGTGAAGCTACTAAGCAGTTGATTTCTATGAAATCGGCTAATGTGGGGTTGTATAGAGTTTCTTTGATTGACGGGTCCTTACTACCTAATAATGAGTTGTTCATTATCATTCGGACCTGATACGGCAATGATTGGCCTTCCTTTATTAGATTTTCTCCAACAATTTAGACCAAATTTGTCCTGTAACAGCTTACAAAGTCAATCTACTTCAATTTCGGTAAATCAGTATCATCCTTATTTAGGTTTGTATCCATTTATGAAATAATAATAATCAGATTGACCCAGTATAGGGTATTTAGCTCAGCCAATGTTAAACTTCGATGATTATCTTGCAGAACATTATTTTCAGTGAATATAAAATTCCTGAAAATTTGACTAAGGACGGTAAAGTAATGAGTTTAAGTGCGGTTGAGTTATGAGAGTTATCTAGTGTTGTTAAGTCTAGGCCGACAGGTAATACATAAATTTGAACATAAATTTTATCACCAGAAGATAGGACCATACTGACTCCTAATATATTAATAGTTGATAGCCATGTATCAATGGTGTTTAGCTATTACTAACTAATTTGGACTATACCTTATTCTTTTTAATAAAAGATGGAAACATGTAGTCTCTGAGGATTGAATTACTCTACAAGTAATCGTCTCCTGCGGATTTCCAATGAGCTTTCATGGAAGGATTCTAATATAATGCATCCCCAAATGCTAACTTACAATGATAATATTATTGAAGCACTCCCCCCCTTTTATTTTTTTGTCTTTTTTGTCTGTTTTTTGTCTGTTTTTTGTCTAGACAAAAAGGACAAAAAGGACAAAAAGGACAAAAAGGACAAAACGTGCTTTAGGTAATTTATGAAACCGTAAATTTCAATCAACCATGGGTTATGGTCTAATGGCATGACGGAGCTATTTGGATAATATAATTGATGGCTTTCCACGATTAAATAATATTAGTTTCTGATTACTACCTCCTTCATTAATTTTACTATTAGCTAGTTCATTAGTAGAACAAGGAGCTGGTACAGGTTGAACGGTGTACACTTAACATTGTAGGACTACCTATTGATACTTCAGCTCTAGGTTCGAATGCTTGATTAGCAGGATTTATCGAAGCAGATGGATCATTTTAAGTTCGAACTAGTCTTTCTACTAAATACCCACTGCCCCCTTTTTCTTTTCTAAAATCTAGTTAAAAACTTACAGGAATGTCCTTGCAATTCACCCGATGCTTCATTAATTATAGATAAATTAAAATGAGGACCTATTTATATTTTACCTAATTATTTATCATCATTTTATGTTGCTTTTTATCTCTATCTAATAGACAAATAACTAGTGAGAATCAACAAGCCCCTTGGGAAAGGGAGGGGATTCGAAAACAATGCTTACAAATATATAAATGCCAACAAGGTGCGTCAGCTACTATGCTGGGGTTAGTGGTCTAGCGGTTTACGATTCTCGCTTTGGGTTAGAAAATGCGAGAGGCCCCGGGTTCGAATCCCGGCTGACTCCCTGGACTTTTTGGTATTCAAGTCGCCAATCCTCTCGTACGGGTAAAGGGCTTTTGGCCCCACCCCCCCAGTTTTTTTTGCAACCCAAACGACCGGCATTCCGGGCTCCGGTTTTCCGTCGAGCTCTCTGCAAAATGCCAGGCCGATTTCACAGGTTTTGGGATCTTCTTTAGGAATTTCAAGTGCTTCGAGCTTTCATTCGAGTCGAGCTAGGTAGGTAGTCAAAAAAAGATGAAGAACGCCAAACTGGGGGTGAAACTTTCGTACACATAACTAGGGGAGGAAGGGGCACGTGCGTCGATAGGAGGGTGAGATGGAGGTGGAAGGAGCAGAACTTTCACAATGGCTAAGGACGAGCGCGCCGTGGAGGACAAAAAGAGGAATATCTCGATGGTGATATGGGGCGAGATCCCGCAATCGTCGACGGCGGCAAAGGTGGATACGGTCAAAAGTGAGGAAAAGCGTCGAGTTCTAAGGTGGTCCTCCCGCTCCACTTGACGATGACGTTTGTGAGTAACTGTCAAAACCAAGACCAGAAGTCAGTAGGTACAAAGACGACGTTGGTAGTGAGTATCGGTACTGACAGGAACAAGTTGTTGGTTGCGGCGATCGCGATCGTGCTCTCCCGTGGGTGCCAAGAAGCTGTATCACACCCAATAAAATCAGCATCAGCATCCATCATTCGTCCCAGACTTTCCTCGTCCCACAGCTAAAGTACTGACCATGCAGAATCTTCTTATTAAAGTCGATCGAATCGACGTCGATGATGGGCTTCTTGTTGGCCCCCTGCGCGCCTTTGGCGCCCGCACCTTGCTTGGCCTTGTTGCCCCCAATCTTCTTGGCCTTGAACGCCGACTTGTCGGCCTGCAAGACGATGTCGGTCGTCGCTTCCTTGTCGTAGATGTGGAAATGGTTGTTGTAAGAGCCGGAAAGGACGTGTCTGTTGATGCGGAGAGGGGTGGAGGCGCGAGGGTCGCAGAGCAAAATCAACTGGTCAGTACACCGATCCACGTTGATCAACCACAGAATCATGAACAACTCACTGCCCATCACCAGAGAATGTGCATTCGAACTTGTCAAAGATGCAATCGTTCTCGTACAAATCGCACAGCTTGGACCTCAGATGGTCATGCACGTTGATCGTTTGTACAGGTCGCGATTCCATGTTGATGTCCCAGATCCGGAGCGTCAGATAGTCACGCGAGAGAATGTAACGCCCGTCTTTGGAGAACTTGACGTCCGAGACGGACGAGATGATCTCGCTGAAGAAGGACTTGTTCGACGGATCCTCCTCCTCTTCGTACACTGGCGACACCGTGATCGATGACCAGAGTCAGCCCCACCTTCAATTCATCCATACCCTTCCCACGTATTACAGTCTCGACTCACGCTTCGCATGCTTATCACACAGGGCCTGTTCCCGCATGTCGGCGAGTTTGACCGTCCCTTTCGAACTCGAATAGCAAAACAGGTTGCATGAGATGGGGTGAAACTCGGCCGCGGTGATGACCTCGGTCAGCTCCTCCATGTTGACGGGTTTGATATCGAGGATGTCTGTCAATGCAAAAAAGCGCACCATGGATCAGCTCATCGAGCCAGCGATGTTCGACTCGGGCGGTCGACTCGCTCCGGTTCAGACCTTCCCAAGGCGACCTTGCACTCACTAAAGCTCTGATCACTAATGTTGAGGTTCCACAGGTTAACTCTCAGATCATCGGCACTCATGTAGGTCTCTCCATCCGAGTTGATCGAGATCGAGTTGATATGGTACGCATGCGCGTTCGCATAGACCTTCCTCGGCACGGCCGCGACAATCGTGTCGTGGTAGGTCATACGCGGCAATCGGAGGTACGGTGTCCCGTTCGAAGTGGTCGTTGCCCGCGTTGGCGAGGACGGCGTCAGCCCCGGGATCGCGATCGGTGGAGGCGGTGGTGGCGGCGACGAGGTGGAGCTCCCCCGCCAAGCGCGTTCGAGTTGGAGGCGATCGAGCCATTGTTCTCTGCGACGACTTTGAGCGATTTCTCAAACACCTTCCACAGTTTGATTGTCTTGTCTGTAAAGATCGTCGGGAAGCAGCACACGTCGTCAGCTCAGAGCTTTGAAGGATGGTGGACGTGATCTCGGCGGTCGCGGTGTGTGTGGTGGTGCCACCGGGAGGCGGGGTGCGACGCCCGCCCGCGCGCCGCGTCTGCCAATTGCACAAGCAGCGGCCTCGCTCGCTGAGCCTCCGGCTGGCCCAAACTGGCTGGGTTGGCTGGCGCACAGGCGCGGGAAGGGCGCGGGTGGGCAACGGGGCGCGAGTGTACCGGTCCGAGAAAACGATGCGAGCAAGATGCATGCGTCGCAGTACTCCAACGCCACATCACCCCGACCAGAAGAAAACGAGTCCCGAATCATGCGGAAGGAAAGGGGTAGTGGTTGCTTGCAACTTGCCATTGGTCGAGAGCAGGAAGTGGGCGGCATTCTGCCTCTTGCACCATCGGATCTTGTTGATCTTCTCCTCGATCTCGAGCGACTTGAGGTAGTCGAACTCGGGTTCGTGCGACTGGAACTCGGTGTAGAACTTGTACTCGCACCCCTTCTTGGTCTCGTTGCGTTCAAAGAGCACAACGCGGCCGCCCTTGTCCCCCGTTGCGAGATAGTCACCCGTGTGATCGAACTCGACCGTGGCTGTGATGGTTTGTGGGAATCGTTCGGGCGAGAAGCAAATTTGAAGTCAGTTCTCCGCAATGGCTTGTGAGCTACCCCTGGAGACGAGGGTGACCGGACGCAGGGCCTTTGGATCCGGACCGATGACGCTGACCGATACGGCCGTCTGCCTGCGCTGGCTACCTGCGACCCCTTCCCGTTGCCGGACTTACAAATGATATCAGCCTCGGTGATATCCTCAACTTCACCCTATTGCGAGAGAGATCCGGACCAAGTCAGTCGCATGGCTTGGAAGAAGAGCCCCTGGGCCCTAGAATCGGAAGGGGCCACCACCACGACCCAACTGACCTTGTCACCGAAGCACTGTGCGAATCTCCACCCCGCATCATCGGCGGATGTGACGGTCGGCGTCGACATGTTTGGTGTAGCCGTGGTCGGAAAAGGCCGATTCACAAGCTACGTTGGATGAAGGAGGCGGATCGCGGAGATGGGAAGGCTACGATGGCGCGACGATGAGGGGGCGAGGCCGGGTTGGCTGGGTGGGGAATGCGTCGAGGCGGGCGTGAGTGATGTGGGGAGAGACGACGACGACGACCACCGACGACAGCGAGAAACGCTCTGACGTTTTCGACAGAGAGAGGTGCGCGTGATGGACACGCACACACACACAGGAACACACACAGGAACGTGGATACAAGTAGTGTCTGTTGGGAGGGGAGGGGAGGGGTTGAGTCTGAGTGGTCGGTGCGCGGCGATAGGACAAGAGTATGTGTGCGAGGCGTGGGGCGAAGAAGCAAAGGGCTGCAACAAGCCATGTGCAGACCGTTCCAGGGCGCACGCTTCCTCGTGCACGGGCTCGTACGGGCGCACGTCAAACGCCCAGTCGAGCTGCGCGCGGTGGTGCGGTGGCCAAACACGCCCCTGCGCCTTCTCGTTCGGGGACGGGAACGATTCCTTCCAAGGATTCGGACACGCCAGAACGGTCGAGATGACTTGCTCCAGTCGGCGATCAACTCACTTGACATGTGAATTCCAACTTTAGATGAAGTCCCGTGAGTCGGGTGTCCTTCGGGAACTCGACGCGAAAGGAGAAGAGAGGATGACGCCGAGTTTTCGGATTATCGGCTTGGTCGGGATGATCCGAGGAGATGTCCCGAAGTCACTTGTCATCTAGGGGCTGCTCTTGTGTTTGGGCCTCCCAGATTATGACGAGTCGAGGATCAACAAGACGTGATTTCAGCCCGACCTCATCTCATGTGGGGAGCCACGTGAGTCAAGTCGAGGAAGAGATAGGGAGGGCCGCCCTTTACGGCCGAACTTCAAGTTGTCGACGCTCGAAATCGAGCCTTTGTAAGCATCGGGGATATCCGAACCGGTTCATACAGCACCAATCTCAATCGACGTCATAAGAATATCATGCTCCATTCCCCGCTCAAAATGAGCACAACACACGCGACCCCTCTTATCCTCACCACCCAAAAATCGCATCACTAACCTTGCCCAACACCCCCTTCCCGCCCGCGTTCCCCGTCCCAGCACCCACGACCCCCGTCGCATTTCTCTGTGCGATCCTCTGCTTATCCTCAAACAAATTCGCATACCCATCGCCTCCCTCTCCCTTGGAAGCAGGTGTCCCCGACGAAGCTGCTACTTGCGCGGCGGAGGAAAGAAAGGATTTCTTGGGCGTGGCTTTGAAAGCTTGTTGTGGGCCTCGGACGTTGACGGGTCGACTACTAGACGAACCAGCGCCGACGGCGTTGAGACCGTTGGCTTTCCCCATGGCTTGGAGGTTCGACCCTGCACCCGTTATGGTATTCGTCGACGTGGTCGTCAAGGCACCTTCCCTCTCGCCTTCTCCGACCCCATTCCCAAACGAGTTCGTCCCCGAAACCAAAGCAATCGCTTTCCTCAATTCGTCCTCATCCACCACCTTGACCCCGACCATCAACACCCTCCCCAAAACGACCCCATTCTTCCGACTCGCTCTCAACGCCGACGAAGGTTCGCTATAAATCAGCGTGAGCCAATTACCTCCTTCCTCCGAGGTCTTGTATGATTCGACGCTGCCGAATTGGGAAAAGTAGGACAACACGGTTTCGGTTGAGGTGGAAGGAAATCCAAAGATGTGGACGGGGTATCCGGGCGAGTTGGTAGTGTGCGAAGAAGGTGCGGGAGCGAGAGGGGTGTGGGTCGGAGAAAAGGGGGACGAGGAAGCGTTCGTCGCCGAAGTGAGGGAAGAAGGGAGGGTGTTATTGTCCGAGGTGAATTCGTTCAGCGACGAAATGGGAGGTGCGTCGTCGTCCATGGCGTTTTGGGACGAGAGATGGCTGTTGCGACCGTAGGGGAGTTGACGGGCGGTGAAACTCGATGGTGAACGGGCGGGATTCGAGCTGTGGGAGGCGTCTCGTCAACGACTTATGAGTGCTGAAAATTAAGAACCGGTCCACGCGGAACACTTACGCATCCCTCTGAGAAGAGATTCCGAATAAGGATTGACTCGCCCCGAACCGGGATCCAGGCGAGCCGGACAAGGACGACCTCCGATTGATGCTCGACTCGGAGGCGCTCGGCATGGGCGAATCCCATGCACTCGTGCCTACTCGCGAGTTATCTTGGTGGTTGAAGGAGGGGGAATCACCGCTCGAGTCGGACTGGACAGATGATCGAGTAAGGATCAGCAGCTGGGCGGTGAAAGAGCGAAGAGCGAAAAGACTGACTGGTCCCAGAGCGGCACCACCCGAAAGGTATCCAGGGAGGTAGTTCTTGCGAGGAGGTTGGGAGCCCAAGGGTGTACCCTGGTTCGATAAACCCCCCGTGGCGGGTGATGCGACATTGGTGTGGTGGTTGTAGCTCGATTGAGCGGGCTGGTTCCAGCTCGAGTAAGCCTGCGAGTTACCAAAGACTTGTCCTTGGCCTTGTTGTGCCTGCTGTCCGTGCTGCTGCTGTTGACCATGTTGTTGTCCCCGCACTTGTTGCTGATTGGGTTGTGTACTGTAGAAGGAGGAAGATGCGCCCCAGGATGGGTTCTGGTTGGTGGTCGAGGTCGAGGCCGGGTTGAACGACGTCCCACCGGGCGACGAGGTGTTGTTGGCGCCCGAGGTGGTGTTGCCGAACGCGCCGAACGAGTTGTTGCGGAAAGGCGACGAGTTTGACTGGGGTGCGAACATGGGGCTCGTTGTGGTGGCTGCGGTGTGGTCGCAGAGCAGATACGGAGGAGAGGGAAGGCCGTGTCGAGCGTTGTCGAGCGCGCTCGGCTCGAATCGGCTCGAATGCTCTCGTAGCGACGAGCGCGATGACCGGCGATGATGACCTGAATGCGCTTCTGGCTTCCTTCTCATCCTCAACGCATACCCGATTCCTCAACCACGGCCATGGCGTTCAACCCTTTGTCCGCGTTCGCACGTCAACTTACACCACTACGATCGCGCTGCCCATCTTGCTCCGGCGCCTTGCTTCGAGCCAGCACCTCTTCCTCCTCCTCGGCCGTCCTCCTCCGCCCACACTGGTCCGTCTCCACCTACGCCACCTCGAACGCCCCCAAGCGACCACTCCAAAAATCGACCCAAATCAAAGACGAGGACATACCTCTCCGCCAAATCATCCTCGTTGACCCCGAAACCAATGCGCTCCTCCCCCCCGCCCCACTGCGTACGATCCTCTCCCAACTCGATCGCACAAGATACAGCATCCTCCTCGTCGCTACAGATAAAGGGATTTGCAAGATCTTGGACAAGAAGAAGGAATACGACAAGAAGAAGGACAAGGCCCAAGCGATCAAGGATAAGAATGAACAAGCTCGGAACAACGCTTCACCGTCGTCTTCGGGCGGCGGTGGAGCCTCCGTTGCGACGGGGAGTCCACCCAAGGAAATTCAAATGACCTGGGGTGTCTCGACGCATGATTTGGAGCACAAGTTGAAAAAGGGCCGACAGTTCTTGGAGAAGGGGCATAGGGTTACGGTCATCATCAAGAACAAGGCGGGTGCGCCGCACGTCCCAAAGGAGGCTCAGGATACGGTCATTAGGAATGTCGAGGAACGGTTCGCAGAGGTCGGCAAGTTGAGTAGGGATCCGATTTACAGGGGGACGTGGGTCTATCTGGAGTTTACGAGGAAGTAACGCGCAGGACTACCTTTGGTTGAAATCGAGTCTCACAACCTCGGCCCGAGCTCCGTTATGACCGAAGCGAGCGTGTCGGAAGTCGGGAAAAGGCATGTCAAGGATTTCAGAACGGGAGGCAGTATATAATTTAAAAAGTCTGTGTGACCGTGCACGCCTCGTGGCTTTGCGAGACGTCGTGGATCTCAGGGGCTCAGTTCTTGGCGGTCACAGCATCGGCGAGAAGAATCGCCGAGCCGCCGACGGGTAATCTTCCTTCCTTACTAGTAGACGACGGCAGAAGTCTTGATTACTGGTCTGCAACCGTCAGATCGAGAACGTTGAAAATTCTTATCGTGCCCAGCTTAATCGTTTCCTCCCTGCGGGGATTGCAGATCTTTTTTGCGAAGCCAAAACTCGCCGGAAAACTCGTCGAGACTCGAGCGCAAGCATCGATGATCGCATTGAGAATCGAGAGCGCGAGAGATGCGAGAGCGCGTGCTAGCGCCTGCTAGCGCGTGCGCGCGGCTCGACACGGCTGGCGGCGCGATAAACAAGGCCCCTCTTTGACCTCCCTCCTCTTCGCGTGTAAAACGACTCGGCGCAATTTCCCCCCTCCTCTCCCTCAGCCCACCCTGCGTAGCGGTAAACAAATCGGCGTCGCGTCGCTTTGCTCGCCCTCCCACCTTTGTTGGACTGCGTCGACCGGGCCGATCACTTTGGAGTTGTCGGTTGATCGTCGTGGTGTGCACGTGATCGACTAATCCTAGTAGCCCACCCCCGCGAGCGATCACTCAACCCACCACCACCACCACCACTCCGACTCCACTCCGCGTCCTCGCGCCGCCCACCTCCGACCACCGCCTACCGCGCCAACCCTCGACGCCGTACACAACAACAACATGTCGAGACCTTCCACACCCTCGGGTCGGTCGAACCTGATGGAGAAGCTTTTCAACAAGATCCGTACTCCGACTTCGTCCTCGGGAGGCGCAGCGTCGTCGTCGTCGTCCACATCGGCGAACGGCAACCACGCCCAAGGCTCGATCGGCGCGTCATCCTCATCTCCCTTTTCACTCTCCACCGCTTCTCTCCTCCGACGCAACTCGTCTCGCTCTTCATTCCATTGCGGTGGTTCCTCAGCCATGGCGTCGACCTCGTCGCTCGCTTCGAATTCATCCTCGCTCGCGGCAGGCGCTCTCGGAGCTCTAGATTTCGAGGATGACAACGATGTACCCTTACCCGAATTCGAATCCGACGCTTACCTCTCCAATGCATCATGGAACGACAATGGCTCCTCCGTCAAGGCGTCCTCTCCGACGTTCCCATCCTCATCGCCGTCCACATCGCGAACAGCCGTCAACGCCGGAGCGGGGGCGATCAGTCAACCTCGTCCTTCGTTCTCGTCGTCAGGAGGTCGACCCTCGTTCGATCAACTCGACGGACCTTTGAACAACCCACCTCGGTCCTCGTCAAGCATGTCCCGTCACTCCCCGCCGTTACCCTTCTCCAACCCGCTCTTACGATCCAACACCAGCGCCAATAGCGGAGGGGGCAGCGGTTCCTCCTCAGGGATAGGTTCCGTCGGCGTCGATAGCTCAGGTGACGGGCTGAGGAAATCGACCTTTATCAGTCGGGCTGCGGCAAACGCGAGCGGTTCGACTTCAAGTAGTAATTTGAGGACGTTGGCGAGGAGTTGGACGAAGAGTAAGGAGAAGTTGACCGGTTCGGGGACTTTGTTGGCACGAACGAGAGCGGATTTGGTCAATGGTGCCGAGGGGGAGGATGGAGCTGCTCATGCAGAGGATGCGCGTAAAACAAACGAAATGGTGAGTGTTTCAGTGTTGAAGCGATTTACAAAATGAGATCTTGGAAATAACTCTCCGGTCTCTGACCTCCTTCAGGATTCGAGATCTTCTCCGACCCTCGCCTCCTCCTTGTCGCACAGCCGAGTAACTCTCGAACGCCGAACGTCGAACGACCGCATACTCTCCGCGTCCCAACCCGCCCTCTCCACCTTCGCCACCACCACTCCAGCCCTCCCCAGACCAGGTCTGACAGCCTCGACGAAAGCGACGGGAGAACGAACAGGCGGTCGAGGATGGCTCGAACGCAAGTCCTTGATGCAGAGTCAAACTGGGACGGGAGGTACGGAGGTGAAAAAGAGGAGGGCCCAGAGGGTCAATTTGCAGGAGTTGATGGCGAAGAAGGAGAGGGACGGCTTGGAAGGGCCAATTAGTGATGCCGGCGATCACGGGGAGAGTGGTCAGTCAACTTTCTCGATTCTCGTGATCCGGGACTGCCTGTGGCGCAGCATATTGATCACTTTCATGATCCCTTCGAGTTGTACAGCATCCGAATCGAATGCTTCGCCGCCGTTACGACCGCCCCTTTCGCCGCACAATCGATCCCGATCTGAAGTGACGCCTTCGTCGCCTCGCCTCGTGTCCAAGGACAGAGCAGCGGCTACCGTGACTATCGTCTCGTCATCTTCGACCTCATACGCCCGACCTGGTTCGTCTTTGTCGCAATACAATACCTCGTCCAGCACAGACACCTCTCCGCCGACACTCGGCAGCAGTACGCGATCACGCTCGACTGCGCAAACGACGGCGACAATGAACATAACCTCTTCGACCAACGCCGTCGCCGCACCCAAAGTCCCATCCGTTCCTACCGAAATGCCAGAAAGTAGCACGATGCTCCGCCAACGCTTCTTGGTCAGTCGAAGTTCGACCCCTTCCGAAACCTCTTCAGGTCCCTCCCCGAGTCCGCCACCCCCACCTTCAAAGCCCGCCCTCGAGAACAAGTATCGCCTTCCCTCGATGAGTCCACCTGAACGGGAAGCCGAAGGACGACCTGAATCGCCCTCGATGATGACCTACGCCGCTCGACGAGGTGCCTCGATTGATGGCGGTAACGCGTCAATGTCGAGGGAGGAAACGATCATGGCCCTCCCACCTCGTGCGGCATCAAGTATCGCCATGTATCGCGATGAGATGCCAGCCCAACCGATCCATCATGCGAACTATGCGAGCAGTTCTTTACCGAGTCGATCGACGGGTGGGGCTTTGCCATATGTCGATGATCGAGCGGCGGAGTACCAGGCTCAGAACTTCCCTGCTCGACCTGGGTCGGCGATGGAGCTGTACCATGACGAGAACGTCTATTCGTCATCACGCACAGCTACCACAGCTACCACCGCTGCACCGGTCGTCGCGCCTACGACAACGAATGGCAGGACTGTCTTAGGGGAGACGTATAGGGCTACGAACATCGGTCCTCCTTTGACGACGGCGAATGGGAGACAATACCCGCCTTCTTCCCAACCTTTTTCGACTAAGCCGACGGCGGTCCCTGCTCCGGTCGAGTATCAAGTACCTTTGAGAGATCGATCACCGGGGATGGCGGAGGCGACACCTGTTGCGTTGTACCATCAACAACAACAGCAGCAACAGCAGCAACAGCAGCAGCACTACGCCCAGCAACAACAACAACAACAACAAGCATATGACCCTCAAATGGAGCGCCAGCTTCTGGCACGGCAGTACCAACAAGCGCAACAACAACACCACATGACGCAACCGCTCAAACCGGCCAAGAAGAGCCCCCAATGCATCATCGTCAATAACAAACCCTACGCCCGCGCCGGTCTTTTAGGTCGAGGTGGCTCTTCCCGCGTCTACCGTGTCTTGGACGAGAAGAACCAACTCTTCGCGATCAAAAAAGTCGACATTTCGAAAAACGACGCCGAATCAAGGCAGAGTTTCGCGAATGAGATTTCGTTGTTGGAGAAGTTGAGGGGCAAGCCGCAGATCATTCAGTTGATCGATTCCGAGATTGGGGAGAACAAGAGGCATTTGTTGATGGTGATGGAACAGGGGGAAACGGATTTGAATAATCTGTTGAATGAACATTCGGGGAAGAAGATTAGTATGAACTTTATTCGGTATATCTGGGAAGGGGTGAGTTCTCTTGCTGTGAGGATGATGAGGGATCGAGTTTGGGTAGCTGACAAGGGCTGCTCTTCCCTCCTAAGATGCTCGAGGCCGTTCATGTGATCCACAACGAAAACGTCGTTCATACCGACCTCAAACCGGCCAACTTTGTCCTCGTCAAAGGCCGACTCAAGCTCATCGATTTCGGTATCTCCAAGACGATTGCGAATGATACGACCAACATAGGGAGGGATCAACAGATTGGGACGGCGAACTATATGCCTCCTGAGGCCTTGATTGATTCGGGAATGGGGAGGGATGGCAAGAGGTTGATGAAGGTGCGTGCGGGTATCCGTTTTCGTCATCATTCACGAAAGCTGTGGTACTGACCCATATTCGATTTTCTCCTCACAGCTCGGCCGAGCCGCCGACGTCTGGTCCCTAGGTTGCATCCTTCACCAAATGGTCTACGGCCGCACGCCCTTCGCGCACATCCGCGACATCGGTCAAAAGATCATGGCGATCCAGAACCCCAACTACAAGTTCGAATTCGCGCCTACCACAACGCCCGTCGATGAACGAGGGGTCGAGATCCCTGACTTGCAGACGGAGTTGATCGAGGAGGTATTGGAGACGTTGGAGTTGTGTCTCAAGTTTGATCCCAAGACGAGGGCAACGATCCCGGAGTTATTGGAGCATCCGTTTTTGAGAAAACGTAAGTTGGCTCTGTAGTTTGGACAATCTGAGGGTCGGGGACTGATCTTCCTATGGATTTGCAAACCTGCTCGAAGCGGCTCCACCGATCAGGGAGGAAGATCTGCATTGGCTCGTGCAGAGCGTGACCAAACTAGTGACGGGCAAGCAGCTCGACGAGACGGACATGCCCAAGGTTTCGGACGTGAGTCATAGCTCAAGGTATAGATAACCTGATGGAGGGCAATCGAGCTGACATCTTTCGCGGATTGGCGTAACAGAAATTGATGAGGGGTCTGATCGGACGCGCTCGAGGCCGGGTTTACGATCGATACAAGTGATCATTTCATCTTCAACTCCCTCGCAAAAACTTCGTCCATTTCGCTGTATCTTCTCTACGCCTGTGATGGATGACCGTGCTTGCCCTCCCTTCACGACCTTGTCACGACTTTCGACTTTCTTCCCTCTCCCATTTTTTTGTCACATTCTTTCTTTGTCCCCGTTGTTTACTTTGTTCTTTGTTAGCGTTTCTTTGGTTTTTCTTCTGGTTTCTTGACGCATTGTTCATAAGATGGGGATTTAGTTTGGGTGGAGTTGTCTTGGAATCTGATTGGGAGATGTGTGCTTTGGCTTTCAACGATTCCTGCTGCCGAGAGGATCACGTGGTGAGGTCTCGTCTTGACTCGGACTAATATGAAGCGAAAGCACGCGGGTCGACTTCCTTCTGTTGACTCGAACGCTGCAGGCGTCGGATCCATCGAGGACGGTTCCGTTGTTTTTACGACTCTTTTCTTCCTACTTCTCATATACCATTATACGAGAGGCTGTAACCATGGCCAGCGACGAAGTCCGCCCTTCAACAAGCTCAGACACCCCAGCTCCAAGTTCTCCTCCACCTTACCGTCCGCCTTCCTCGCATACTCTGCCCATCCTGCAATCCCTCATCCAATCCACTTCCTTCCGTATATGTTCCCTCACCCGCACCCTCTACCTCCCCATCCCCCACCCCTCGCTCACCCTGTCGCTCACCCTTCCCAACCCCCTCGACTTCGCGCCCCTCCACCGAACCCTGAACGACCCTTCCGTCGCCCTGCAACTCGAAGGACCTCCGTACCCTTACACAGAAGACCAAGCTCGGGGTTGGATCAAGAGTAACACGGAGAAGTATGAGAGAATAGTGGCGAGGTGGATTGATGCGGGTCGGATAGGTTGGGATGAGGAAGGTTGTCCGGTCGGTAATTTGAGATTAGGGGAGGGGGCGGGGGGCACGTGGGTCGGGGATCTAGGGGTCGTTAGAAAGGGTGGTGATGCAAACTTTAGGGAGGAGGATGGGAATGTGGAGCAGGATATAGTGTGGAGTTATGGATGTGAGTGTCTTTCAGAGCGGCGTCTCGAGGTTGGGGAAGGCTTCCACTCCAACTCTGGGTTTTGTTTGTATTGCGAACAGTCTTCCTCGCTCCGCAATATCACCGACAAGGCATCATGGCCGCAGCATTGAAATGCATTATCGAATCTTATTTGCTACCCGTCCTCAAGGCAAGACACATCCGATCCTGTGCATTCGAGGATAATTGGGGATCGCGCAGGACACAAGAAAAATGCGGGATGAGGAGGCTCCCGGACGAGGATCATGAAGTGGATGTCGCAGAGTCCAGAGGTGGGGGCAAGAAGGTGCATGTCCAGTTCGAGTATGTTCCACGGTAGGGTGTATAATCGATTGAGCAGCCCCTCCGCAATGAACGTAAACTTGGAGCAAGCTTGGGAAACAAAGTCGGGAGGTTGGCATTACATGTCCTCGGTCGAGTACGCATGAGCTTCGGCTGACCGCATCTTGCGTGAATTGATCTTTTGCATGTAAGTCGCTTCGAATCCGTTGCTCTGATGGTCATGCGCCGCTGATTAGCGACTAGCTTTTACGCGGTTAACGACATCGACGCAAGCTACTCACTCTGTCCACTCCATCCCACCGATAGCCGGGGGGATACCGAATCGATTCGGTGCGGGCATCGGTCCAGTGTACTTGGGGTATTTGGGCCCTGTTGATATGTCCTTCTTCTTTTTCTGTGCGGAGTTGGTTGGGAGGGAGATATGAGCTAACATTCGCCAGCCGATGATTTCGAACGACTCGCGACTCGACGCACCGTGAGAAAGTTCGCGGCAGGGTCGTTCCACCTCTCGCGATCCTTCATCTCCTCATTCATGTCCTCGTCATCAGCATACCTCGCCATAGGAAGGTTGGCCATCTTCTCCCTCTCCTTCTGGCGCTGTTCCTTCTCCCCCCTCTGAACGAGCCCTTTCCCCCATTCCATCTTTCTAATCTCCTTTTCCAACTCTTCCCTCTTTTGCTTGGCCTTTTCCGCTTTGGCCAACTTGAGATCAATCTTGCGACCCGACGAATCTCGATATACAGTGGCGGTATGATCATCGTCGCCTTGTACATCCTCGTCTAGCGTCTCCCCTCGTTCCCTCAATTCCCTCTTGCGAGCTTCGAGTTCGGCATCAGCCTGCTTCTTCTGCGCCGCGAGTTCGACATCCCTCCTAGCTTGTTCAGCTCGTAAAGAGGCTGCTGACTGTAGACCGCCTTTTGAGGGTGGTGGTGGTGGCGGTGCAGCGTCTTGTACGACCGAACCGACAACGACCGGTTCTTCGTCCACGGGTTCCGGGGAAGGTGTACGAACGTACGCGGGCTCGTCAAAGGCCGCTTCTCGGATCGTGGACCAGGAGGAGGCGGTGCTGGCTTTGGCTTTGAATTGACCTTTTTGTGGTTCGACGACTGGGAGCGTGCGATGCAGTGGAGGACGGACGGGGGTCAGCGCCTCGGTGCTCTTCAAGTCACGACCCCGGGGCACGACAGGACACGTGATCGCCAACTTGAGAACATCACACTCACCTGGCCTCCCATCATCTTCATCGTCGTCATTCTTCTTCCTCGCCCACTCCATCCCATCATCATCATCCACAATCAATCCTCCCCCTCTCCCTTGAGTCTGACCGTACGACGTCGATGCTTCTCCTCCGGACGATGCTATCGATTCAGATTCGACCTTGCGCTTCTTCTTCTTTCGCTTCTCCGATGGTGAACCTGAGCGTTCTAGAATGGCATCGGCTTTCGCTCCGGTCATGTACCTGGCTGCGAGGTACGCTTGGAGGTCGCTCATCGCTTCCAAGGTCGTCCTCGGCTGATGGGGTGGGGCGTGGGGCGTGTGGAAGGGGGGGGGGGGGTGGGGGTGCAACACAGAGAGACAAGTAAACTTGTTGCTGAACTCTGGACCGTACCTGCAGGTGTAGCGTCGTGTTCGAGCGTGACCAAGTGGGGGAAGGGAGACAGTAGACGGAGCCTCGGCGCCCATCCCTCAGGGGCAGGGGGAGTGAAATATCCTAACCAGAATATCGTTTAGCAAATAGAGCAGGTTCAATTTATTTTCTTTCGTTCATAAAGAAAAGATGGACAAAACTACTGTAGGGAGTCGGGACTTGAACCCATTCTTTTAGGCCACTTATTACACTATAGTATGGCCGAACGGCGCCCGAGTTCATAAGGCGCGCCGTTAGCGCGCGGGCGCGCGGGCGGCTGCGGGCGGTTATTTAGCGCGTGATCTCCTTTCCGGAGCGACCGAGCGCGAGTCTGAGGCTTTGTTCTCTTTGCTCTGACATACACAGCGTCCGAGGCCAGTCGAGGCCCTTGTGTGCTGGGTATCTACTCCGGCTCCTCTCGTTCGAGTGCCCTTCGTGGGTCGGCTATCGATTGACTCACTCGAGTGCTCCGCCGCCTGCGCGATTCTCGTCTTTTGCTCTCGGGACACCAAACACGACGCCCGTCGCCGACACGGAGCCGGACCCAGACTGGTCAGCGGCACGAACGCCCTTCGAGTCCACACCGCTTACCGCTTGCGACTTCTTGGACCAAGTTTTTTCCGTTTCGCCGCACAATCTTGTACGTGCTGTGCCTGGACCGCGACTCATACTTGTGTTGTCGTACCGACCGAGGCCCTCGCCCTCGTTCCGCAGAGGTACGCGTCGACTCGCGTGTCGTTCGCACTGCATCGTCGACTCGCGTGTCGTTCGCACTGCATCGTTGACTATCGGCGTCGACGATCGCCCATTCATTCCGCCGCTCGTAGCGCACCAACAGTAACAGCAGCAAGCGTGGACACCACTTTGAATACCAACTAGGCTACCGGCACAGTGAACAAGTCTACAGCAACACCGTCTGGCCGAGCTCCAGCCGCGCCGTCTCGCCGTCTCGCCAGCCTGGCCGATCGCCCGCCTGCCCACTCACAGCGCTCACCGGTCACCCCCACTTCCGAGCCAGTCAGGCGTGAAGCTCCCTCCCCGAAAGCGAGAGCGACGTCGGCGCCGAGGGCCATCGTCGACTTCGACACCCGCTCCCACTTTGAGGGATGATCTCGGGCATCCTCAGTTCGAGCCAAACCATATCCACACCAGCTCAATATTCCCCCCAGGACCCGACCAATGCGAATGCCGTCGCTGGGCCGTCCAAGGTGCACCAGCACCACTCGGTGAAGGCCGATCTTGAGCAGCTGCCGGGCTCGGACGCAATCGTGGACGCGATACTAACGTCAACGTCCAACAACACCAACACGACCTACTTGACAAGACGGCTCTCTCGGTCCAGGCCTCGTACATCGTTTCATGCAAGATCCTCGTCGTCCGAGATACAACCGCCACCTCCGATACGGTCGAGTCCATCCAAAGCCTGCCTCAACGATGACTCGGCACCATCAGGCTCGAGCTACCGCTTCCCTCTGGCCAAGATTTCAACCACGCTCGAGCATCTCCCCCCGCTTGATCAGACCGCCGCCTCCTCCCCTGCGGCATGTACGAGTGGCCTGTCTGACGTCGAACCTCTCATCGCCCATCTCGATGCAATAGCTCTGGAACGTGATCGATTGGGTCGACACCGGTTACGGACCGACTCGAGCGAACAGAGATCGACACCGCCTCCGACCTCGCCGAGAGAGATGCTCGATTTCGCCGATTTTGTCTCCGAGACGTTCCGGCTGCAAGACGCTTCTGCACAAGGAACGAACGCCGGAGCTGGTACTGCACCAATGGAGGATCACATCGATGGCGGGGTTGACTATCTCACACCTATGCAGAGAGGATCGTTCCAACTTGCCGAGGCCTTGACGCCGGTGCAGAACCATACGACGTATCAGTTCCCCCGCGTCGAGACCATGTCGTCCTTACCTATATTTCCGGATATGGTCCCTCGTACACCACGGACGTCGTCACTTCATGCGACGGATCTACAGCGATTGATCAGCAGTCAATCGTGCGATGGGAGGAGCATTGATCTGATCGACTTCGAATCGCCTTCGAGGAAATCGCTCGTTGTCACGATGGGGTCGACACCCTCTGCTGGGAGTGCCATCAGCACTGCGGCGGAACTTTCACCGCTACATACGGCACATCAGCTGTCCGACCATGGTCCCAACTCGGCTCCACCTACACCTTCGTCCGTCACGGGCTCGGTGACGAACAGCATCCCCTTTCCTGGCTCGGCAGCGTCTCGGACGATTCCACTTCCCCCTATCCGGGCCGAGTCGACTGATCCCCACCAAGGCCAAGTCGAAACTTCTTCAGATGAAGGGCATCCACCTCCCATGGCCAATCAATCGATGGATGATAATGAAGAGGCGCTCGATGACGAGGAAGACGAAGAGGACTTGACCGAGGACGAAGAGGACGAGGACCCCGACTCGCACCCACTGTACGTTCTATTGTCATCTTCGGCGATCCCCGTCCTGCGCTCAGCCTGGGATGCGGCGACTCTTATTCTCGTCCCCCCAAGACGAACCTTGCCCTCCCTCGAGGCACTGACACCACGGCGAGAAAGCGCGGCCCCTGCTTTCGAATTCGTGCGAGGTGGCAAAGGTGTCGCGGGCGAACAAGCGGGTCGGGACGTGGAGAAGGAACGTCAGATGTCGATCACCTACGTTGCGTTGCATGCATTCAAACCTTTGGAAAATGACGAGGATGCGGCACCTGGAACGACGAGTTGGAGGAGCGTGATCGCTTCGGAGGAAGGTCATTGTCGTGCGAGGTTGATACCGGGTCAGGGGACGGCTTTGATTGATTGGATCGAGATGCCGGGTCCGATCCAAGGCATCAAGTCGGCACAGTCAACTTCGTCCTTTGCCTCGTCCGGCTCTGACAATGGCTCCAAAATTGGATCGACTCAAGCACGCTCGCCTCAATCACCGACTGCTGCTGTCGTCTCTCTCGCTCGAAATTCCTTCTCCCTGATCACGCCCGTCAAATCACTTCGGATCATTGCCGAGACAACTATTTATCGACGCCCTCGTCAGATCATCGCAGCCACGAACCCTCCCCCTGCGCCATCGACACTGTCGGCTTCGACCAACTCGACCCTCGGTAAGTCTTCCGGCTCATCTTCTCTCCACAAATCAGGGTTCAGAACGCCCAAGTGGTTCAGAAGGAGCATCTCATCCGCCATCCCGACGCTGAAAACATGGCCCGAAAAGACCGATGCCGATTTGAACCCACCCTCTTTTGTGACACCGACTCTCGCGCCCGTTCGAGAAACCAGCAAATCTGGACCCATGTTGGAACGGGTGCGAGTTCTCGCCCTCGGGGGCGGGATCGTCATGCGACGAGGTTCGACTTCCGCGAGCACGACGTCGCAGCGAAGGACGTTGCACGGCACGTCCATTCCGTCCGACCCCGAACCCATCATCCGGACATCCGCATCATCCATTTCCCTCCGCCTTTTCGGGACGGACAGTCCCCTCGGTTCGAACAATCGCAGTCAATCGAGTTTGGCCCTATCAAGGCATCCGACGTTCGAGTTGGTTGGGGAGACGACCTCCTCGCAGGGTCATGGAGCTCCTAGTACGAGACGACGCGCGGGGTCGATGTCGAGTACTAGGAGTGCTAGGAGTGGGAGGAGCGCGTTCGGGATTGTCGCGATGGGGGCGAATGGGATGATGAGGGGAGAGTTTCTTGCGTAAGTGTGAGGAATTTGACCATTTGCTGTGGAGTCGGGGCGCAGGAGACTGACTAATTTGCACTTGAACTTGCAGCGACCTCGCTTTCTTGGCCAGTCCACCCCCTCAACTCGCAGGCTTGGGACCAGTCTTTGCGTCTACGTTGAAGTACATCAGAGCTCTGGTCCGAGAGTTTGAAGGTGGCGTCGCTTACATTAGAGGTCTTGAGCCTTATCTCATTCAAGTGAGTGAACCACCGACCTACTCAGTCGGAAACGTAAGAATTGACCCGAACCGCTGGTCTTTGCACAGCGCATACGCAAAGGCATCTTCGATCGCATCTGGCAACAGATCGTGCGGGATCTTGACGCGGATGAAGAACTGAGAACTTGGCTCGTATCGGAAGAACATGCGACCAACCTACGGCTTTTGATAGAGAAGTGAGACCTTGTCCTCGGTCCCGGATAGACCTCTTCCCAATGCTGATTATGATGCTTCTGTGAGACAGTGTCATCATCGGTCTCCTTTACCGCAAGCTCTACACTTCTTCAATCCTGCCTCATTTCTCACAAGAGGACGCCACGCTCAATAGCATCATCTCGACCTACCAAGAACGTCAAGTCCTGCCGACCGACTTTGGCGTCCACTTTGACTCGGCAGAACCACTTGCGAATGGGGCGCTCAAGACGGCCATTACGATCTTACAAGATCTCAAGGAGACTTCGGAGGTAGCGACGAAGGTTCCGGACGAGGTCGCACAGTTGTGGGTGCTTTCAGCCGCCACGTTGACTACTCGACGCCCTGGGCCAGCAAGTACGAGCGGTCGAGACGATCGATCGAAATCGCCTTCTCCTTCTCCCGCTTCTACAGCAGCCCCGACGATCCAGAAGCCCTTCTCGATCACGGACGCAGGCGCAGCTACCCGTCCTCTCCGAGGCGTTCGAACCCCCTTGGGCTGCGTGACCATCATCGCCGAGTCCCTACAAGCCATGGTGTACGCGATCGAGACGCTCCAAGGTGGCTCACGCCTAGCACCGGATGATTTGATCCCCCTTTTCTCTTGGGTCATTGTCAAAGCTGGGGTGGAGAATTTGGAGAGTTTGTTGTTCTTCGTCAAGACGTTTAGGTTGTCGGAGAATTTGCCTTCGCATCTTGAGTGAGTGTTGGTCCTTCGACTTAAGTTGGGACTTTCGCTTCGAAGCTGACTCTACGTTGGACCTTTTTCTTTGTCGCAGCTGGTCGTTCGTCAACTTCCAAGCGGCACTGGCGTTCCTTCTCAGCGACCCGTTGCACTGCCTGCCTGAACCGCCAGCGATGTCGACACCGACGCCGTTCTTTGGGATCAAGTCTGCCGACGCCTCTACGACCGCTCGAACCCGACGTCTGTCATTGCAGCAGTATCGACCGACCCATGCCGGCATATCACCACCTAGTTCACCCAAGTCAGCTCGTGGCACCGGAGCAGGGTGGTATTCTCCAGGAACGACAAGTGTGAACCGCGAGCAGTCGACCTCACCCACGGCATCGTTACCCTTTCCAAACTATGCGCGTGAACGCCGTCTCAGTTGGCAACAGGCTTCCAAGGCGCCGAAGAGGGTCAGCGTCACCCTCGATGCGGATCTGATGCTCCCTCCTCGATTCGAGAGGCTCACTTCAGCCGAGGAGATGCCTCCTCCAAGTTGGAAGCTTCCTCCATCGTCGAGGAATCGCCATCACGTCGACTCCGGCCGTAGCGTCACGCCTCAGAGCGAGACGAGCGAGGATGGGGACGCCTCGGCTGCGACGAGACATTTACGAGCGCTCTCGTTGGCGAGCCTGTCGTCTGAGGGAGGGACGCCTGATAGTCGACCCCGACTTGCGCTACCCTTGGAAGGGATGTCACGCGATCGGATACGAGTACCGTCTCTCTCGCGGTCATATTCAGCCCTGGCGATGATGACTCGACCACCGGCTGGTGGGGGTGGCGACATGTCGTTTGGTCTCAGTTCGACCGACATGCGACGTAGCGAAAGCGAGGGGTCACCCGTCGTACCCGACCGGTCTACATATGCCGACCGTTGGTCTTTGTGGGGTGCACTGCCGAGCTCCACAGTCACTTCAAATGCTCCTTCTTCACATCGAGCGGTCTCGCCTTTCACGAGTGAGAATACAAGCAGTCAAGGGCCGCCCTCGAGCTATGATGCGCATTCCCAGTCTTGGTGGAGTTGGGGTGGAGGTCTTTCCACCGGGGCGCTTTACCCGGCCTCGCAATTAGCCGCTCCGCTCTACCCCGTCGCGAATGATGCGAGCACCCACCTGCGTCGTCTCCGACGTTTCTCCGCCTCTACGGCCGAGATCCTCGCCGATCGACCCGCCCACCTCGTCGATCAAGTCGTCTCCCAATCCAACTCGTCCAGTTCGATCCGTCTCACCGCGATCTTGCAGAACAAGACGTCCGAAACGGATATGTTGCCTCTGGCCAGACCACGGCCTCGTTCGACGATGTCCGTTTCTTCTATTGGGTCGAACGCTTCATTCGTTCTCTCTTCGGAATCGGAGGAGACGTCTTCCGTCCCCGCGGCTGCATTGGCCTCCACTCTATCGCCGAGCATCGTCGCTCCTCCCCCACCTCGAAGGAAATCAACCCGATCTCGCACATGGAGGGAATTACCTACTTCGAATCTCGCTGGAGCTCCTTTGGCACCTCGTTTAGATTCGACGAGCATCGTCTCAATTCCTAGAACAGAGGTCGTCGCGTCGATCGAGGCGAACTTGGCCGCTCCAAATCCAGGTTTGAACGCTGCGCAATCGTCGAACGAGCCGAGGACTTCTTTCGATACGTCTCGATCGGTCTCGTTCGAATTGACGAGGAGTCCTGAAGGTTCACAACCTACCTCTCCTTGCCTGGATGATCCACCCACTACCACTACCACGGCCACCACTTCTACCCTCACCGTCCCACTTATGACCTAGGGGCATGGTTCTTCTTGTGAATTTGTTGTGCCTGTTTATTTCTCCTATTACGCGTGTCTTGATTTAATCGACTTTAGTCATTGTATGTTGTGTGTTCAAAATGTTGGTCATGTAAACATTACGTGTGCATGCGGTTTTACGAAACAAGCAAGAGAGAAACAAGGTCAGGTGGAAAAAGAGCCGAGCTTGGGAAAGGAGCTGGACAACAAGTGAAGTCTTGAAGCTCGGTAGGTAAGTAACGAGTTTGTACATTCGGATGAAGGAACGGATGAATGAGAAGATCGGGAAAAAGGATCCGGTGGGAATGAACGAGGCGTCAGATGTTGTTTGGCGCATATAGAGACGAAAATAAATTGCAGCGGACAAGAAGAGATTTTGTTCGGGGTAAATTGCAGCGCTCACGAAGGTCAGAGCTCGAAGAAGGTGAATTGTCTAGAGTCGCATGTCAGGAAGGTGAAAGAGACACTATTCTTCAACTGGTCAGATGAGGATCTTTGAGACTGATGAATACGTTCACAAGTGAGTTCTCATGCCGTAACCAAGAGAGCGATCGATTTTTCGCGCGTGATTCACACAGTCCGAAGGAAACCGAAAATTGGGGTGGGAGCGTGTTCGGTCCTGGCCGAAGAAAAGTCCCGAGCTCGTGGACTCGCTTTGCACGACGATCATCAGATTGAACTCTGTGGGTATCTGGAACGCCAACCCGTCTGTATCGTCTTGACAGGGATCGATCACTCTAGCCTCTTTACGAGCGATGTGGGGAGGCAAAGCGCGGATGATGCTCGTCGAAGCATTGGCAATCGAAATTTTATCGACCAAGAGCTTGATGAGCGAGATGTTACGACAGCTTGGCAGCCAAGGTAGTAGGAGGCTTTCCAAGGCATCACTCTGGATTGGGTGCAAATACAATCGACGCAAGGTGCTGGCTGTGCTCTCAAGGAGCCACCCAAGGTCGTCCGATGAGAGGATTCGTTTAGCAGTCTGGTTGAGGTCGTAGACTACGAGGTCTTCGAGGGAGGGTAGCTCCATACGAGGCAGCTTCAAGAGAGAAGCGGCGTTCACTTGGAGACGGAGGAGGCTAGGCAGTGTTATCGTTGCTGGATCCGCAGTGAACCTGCAGCCTCGAAGCGCGAGGAAGACGAGGTCTGCCCGGCGCCGGTGCGTAGTTCTCAGCTCGTGAAGGTCAAATATCCTCCTCGGCGAGCTTGATATCATGAAACTCTTACCAACTTACTCTGTAATTGCCCGAGTGGTGACAGCGGGACTCCAAGGAGAGTACTGAAAGCGAGCTCTTGAAGTGCAAACGAATGGAACTCGGCGATCTCGGAGAGCAGCGCCGCGAAGGAAGTCGTCTCAAAAATTGAGGGAATCCGACGTGGTTTGCGAGGGTGGAGCGTAATCTCGATACGTACGGGATGTGAAGCAAAAGACTGGCGTAAGACGTTCCATAGTGTCTGGGATTGAGGCATCAACGCAAGGAAACGGGAATAATTTGGTTGCCCCAAAGTGAGACGAATTCTGCGGAACGGCTTCCACCTCGCCTGTGCTGGTCGACGACAGCGACGGCAAACGAGTGACATGTTGCGCAGAGCAGCCGCACGAATCTCGGTTGAGGGTTCGTCGTCAAGGTAGCCGCAGATGTGTTCGAGCGTTTCATTGGGTAGATCGAGCAAGGAAGTTGGGGAGCGCTGGACCGAGCTGAGGATCAACTTTTCAGTAACGAGATAGACGAGCTGTTCGACTTCGACCAATTTGCCCTCAGCAATCGCTTCGCTCGAGTCCGAGGTGGTATTGCCGGTTTCAGGTGGAATGGGCAAAAACTCCGATGCCCAGGGCTCGTCGCCGATGTTGCCGTCGAGCCTGCGCCGTGAGAAATGATCGGGATACCGTGAGCCAGTAGTATGAGGCCGTGGCATCACGGACGAAACATACTCTTGGGCTTGTACCGACTGCATGGCTGATGTGAAGAAGTGTGGGAGCGGAAGATGAAGTAGTGGAGACGCGCTGCCTGCCTGAATCATGGATGCGTGCGTTTCCGGCTAATCGTCCAAAACTCGGGAGGTCACGTCATTGCCGGTTTCATGTTAAAAAGGGGTCGTGATGGTTCTAAGAGGCGGGTGGAGCGGTGGGGGACAGAAACCCCTTGAGCTATGCAAGGAGAGATCGATGCAACGATGCTGCCGGCAGTGCAGAGTTCCTCACATCACATACGATCTCTGATGGGAAGCACTGTTGTTGAAGGAGCATCCATGAAGGCGACAAATCACCTGGTTACCTGCAAAGAGACATGGGAGACCGTCTTCCATCGCAGCGCCAGACCCCCTGTGAGGCGCGAACGAATTGGCCTTCACTCGAACGAGCAGCTTGAACGGCTCTTCCACACGCAGACTATCCGTGTCATCCTCCGAGATTGGCGACACTTCCACCTCATGTCGATCAATGTGTGAAGGTAAAGCTTTGACGACCTCGTCTGCGCCACCCAGTTGAGGGTCAACGCTCCCGAGAAGCTCGATGAGCGAGATCTGACAGAGTTGAGACAGGAGCCAGAGCAAAAGGAGTTTCTCCGCGATCTCATTCAATTGATGCAAGTACCACCGTCACCGTGTCGGCGGCTTGCCGGCTTCGATGATCGTTGTCAAATAATAATAGAGGAACCCCGAATTGCTCAGGAAGCTCTTGCACCGTTCCTCCCTGTGGTTGAGGAAGACTGGTGTTCAAGTGAAGGTAGGTGGAGTGTAGGGATTCCTGCGAGGGACTGCGGACTAATGTCGGGGAAGGAACGCCGTCGTCCTCATCGAAAGTGCATGTTCGGAGACTTAGGAAAGTGAGGCCTATCACCGGGTAAGTTACGCTGTGCATTCATGCAAGTCCGTACCCAGTGTGCACGCCCGTCTTCACCTGAAACCCGGCACTTCTCCTACATACCTTGTTGAAGTTGCTCGAGATGGTGAAGACGCCGGACTCGGACTTCTCAGTGCAAGTCACGGTTCACGAAGAGTGTTTCCGCTCCACTTCACGACGGATGCCGAGTGGTTCTTGAAATCATCTGTGAAGTATGGCCCGTGCAGTGAAAGATCGTATTGCCCTACTTCTGCTTCTCGTGAAGGAATGGGGTGGGCTGGGGTTCTTGCAAGGATGTGTGAAGTATGTCCTGTGAAAGATTGTATTGCCCTACTTCTGCTTCTCGTGAAGGAATGGGGTGGGCTTTAGCTCGATGCGTCGTCGCCAAGTTCACCCGACCACTCTCGTCTTGCTGACGTGTCCACCTCATCCACCTTCGCCGCCACCTCGGAGATTTGGCGTTACGCTGAGGGGGTCTCTATGTCCGCCAATCGGCAGTGTAAGACGTCATGACGGGTATCTTTTGATGATAAACAGCTTTTTCACAGAACGAAAGTCTCACGCACATCAAGTGTGACTACCTGGTAGCAGTTCTCCTCTCCCGACCTCTACTCGAACCCGAAGTTGCAAGCTGCTGCATCGTCGTCCGCTGCCAGCAGCTTCATCTCGCGGCATGTCAGAGTCAGAACAGCTCAGATGAGGATGGGAATAATGGGCGGGAAGCGGGTGTGTGTGAATGTGTGGGAGTTCGGAAAGCTTTTAAGATGGTATGGGAAGAGCTTCAACATAATACTGCATCGTCAAGGCGACTCGTCCAAAACCCGAAGTGTCATCGGCAGCTAAAATCTATGTTTCAAACAAAGGTCCTAGTCACAAACGCTGTCTCATGCGAGGCCCCGACGATCGATCAATTCTATCGGAATGGATGCACAGATCCGATGCGAAACGGAAGCAGCTGCGCTTTGATCCTGAGTGATTCTCACCGTAGAAAGGGGTCCCCGGCGCCAGTTGATTGGCGATCACGAGTAGGGTGTCAAACTCAATCTCTTTGAATGTAAGACCATCCGTGTCGTCCTCCGATGGGCTCAAATTATGCACCTCCGCTGGATCGATATGGGCTGGTAATGCATTGATGAGATCGCTTTCATCCTGCGGATCCGTCCCATATTCGACGAAGAGCTTGATAAGCGAGATGTTGCGGCAGGTTGGGAGCCACCTTAGGACCACTTCTTCGAAGGCTTCACGCTCTATCGGGTGCAGATACAGTCGACGCAGCGTGTCGGCGATGTTTTTGAGCAAGTATTCGAACTTGCTGTTCTCCGCGAGTCCCTCCTTGTATTCACGGTGATCGAAGAAGACGAGATCCTCGAGTAAAGGCAAGTGGCATTCGGGTAGGTCCAACACGGCTTGCGCATTGATCTCGAGGCGACGTATGGTCGAAAGGGTCACCACTCCGTAATAAAACTTGCAACTCCGAAGGGCCAAGTAAGTGAGACCTGCGACGGCCCCTCCATGTTAGTATCAGCACATCAAGAGAGATGATGTTCCTTTTTCTTTATTCTAAGAGTCCCTCGCCCGTGCAACGCCTCGAGATCAAGGAGGGCTATCTGCACGCTCCGTTCTCCCCACAGCTGCTCGCCTCGATCGCCGACCGGTGCGGCTACACGCTGAAAGAAACCTGGAAGCTGACTCAGTTGTTGCAGATTGACTTCACTGAGGCGGCTTAGTACCAATTCTTTCAGCGTGTAGCTGCACCGGTCGGCGATCGAGGCGAGCAGCTGTGGGGAGAACGGAGCGTGCAGATAGCCCTCCTTGATCTCGAGGCGTTGCACGGGCGAGGGACTCGGATGGTTGCGAACGGCCTCCCACAGTGTCTGAGAAGTAGGTGTTAAACAGGCCGAGGAAGTCAAGCAGAGTCGAATCCTTCGGAATGGCCTCCACCTCGCTTGCGCCGGCCCACGACAGCGACGGCGGACGAGCGACAGGTGACGAAGCGAGAGGTGACGAGTCCACATGTCGCGATCTAGGAAGTAGCAGATGTACTCGATAAGTTCGTCGGGGAGATCGATCAAGGTGAGCGGGAGTTGACGCGCTTCTGAGGAAGAGGGTGGGCTCCCCGCCGTAGCTTTAGGTTCCGAGCGGCCGCCGTCGACGGCGGCCTGGGTCGTGGCACCGGTGCCAGTGCTGGTCGACTCCTCAACGCGGCCAGAGGACTCGGAGGTGGACTCGGGTCGCAATGAAGACGTGTCAGAAGGGAGGAGCGAGGCCGTTTCGTGGTGGCCAGATTCAGCCTGTGACCTTGAGCAGATGCAACCCATCGCGTCTTGATCTAAGCGAGCGAGGGGTGGGAGCGTGGGGAAAGCGAGGGAGACGCGTGACTAGGCCGCTGCCGGCTCTCCCGCGCGTGGGCCCAGGATAGGGGGCAACGAGATGTCCCTTTCCGACAGGAGAGCTTCTTCTTCTCGGTTCTTCCCCAACTCGCATCGGTGCTTTTTGAGACAGTTGTGAGAGATGTTGGTGCACGTCAAGGCAGATATTCTTGGAGACGGGGATGTCTGGAGCTCTAGCTATTAGAACTACTAGGCGCCGGGTGCCCAGCTCCGTTCAGCGACGAGCTACCTCGGTCACGTGACATTACACAACTTAAGCTTACAAGTTTACATCCAACCTTGCATACTAGATCAAAATTTGTTCTCCTGTATCGAATATTCCGAGAACTAAAAAACCAGGCCTGAGGCGCACTCCGATAATCGATCGGACAAAGGGGAGCTCCCTGGATCCCTGGATCGAGGAGTGGTTAGAGGTCAAGAGGTCCGAGCGCGACAAGCTGGAAAATAGCCTCGAAATACATGGCATTCAGCGATGACGTGTCACCTAGTCAAAATAAATTCTTGTCATGAACGCGCGAATGCGTAAAATCGAATGGCGCTGCCAAGTGTCCGATGCTATGAATTCCTGTGCCATGAGCGATCGAATCAAGTTCACCACGAACGCGTTCCGGCGGTCGCAGCGGGCATTGCGACGTTCAGTACGCTTGGTTCCCCCACCGCTCGGACACTGTTCCCAGTGCTTGGGTTGGGCGTTGGGATCGCTCAGCGACATTCTCGTTTCACGAACTGTTCTCTGACTCTTCTTTCGACGATCTTGTACGACCCCAACGCCTCTCCTTGGTCTCCAACTCTTGCTTGTGGACTGCTGTGCCATTCTCACGGAGTGCACCGCTTTCCGACATCGCGCGGAGCCAGAGGCGGCGACCACAATCGATCGAGCGCCACGCTGACGCGAACGAACGACCGAACGACTGACTTGACGACAGCACGCACGCACCCACGCACACGCCATATAGACGCATAGCTCTGTTTACCTGAAACGAATTTTACGACTTCACGAATAGCCACCCCACGCATTGGCAACTGAGCTCCACGTCTTCACCGATCCGCACCCACTTCTCGGCTTCGTCAACTCAGTCTCGGTCGCAGCTTGCCTTTGTCGGCTGCGAAAGCTCTCTTCGGTGAGCAGGGCTGCACCGGATCGCGATGCAGCAAGGCAGTTGCTAACAGCTATTTGTTCTGTTCTGTTGCTCGCGGATAGAACGTGGCACACCGTCATGCCGCAAGCTGAGGTCGTCATTGACCCGCTCGAGCTTGGCGACATCACCGACTATTCGGGCACTACCCCACTTGGACCCAACGAGTTGGTCCCGATCCTCCGCGCTCGCTTCCTCGAAGGGATACCGTACACCGCCATCTCACCCCGCGTGTTGGTAGCCGTCAACCCACACCAGCATATTCATGCCAACTCGGATGCGACATTGCTCGACTGGGCCGCCGAGTATGCCGACTGTGGATCTGAAGGGGTCAGGGGGCGACTCGGACCACACATTTGGGCTCTGAGTGGCAGGGCGTACTACCACATGCGACGGACAGGTCAGGATCAGGTCGTCATACTCAGGTCAGTGTCGTATAGCCTCTTCTCGTCTTGTCACCACGACCAGATACCCTCGCTCGCATGGACCCTCTCGGGGAGGGGTATGTGCTCGGCCCTGTCCGTCTGGAACATTTGCTGATGCTGTCCGACGCTTGCGTTCCTCTCGAAACAGTGGAGAGACCGGATCGGGCAAGACGGAGATGGCCCGACTCATGATCAAGTCATTCATCGACCTTTCGCTGCCACCGGTCGGAAAGAAAGGGTCGAAACTCGCTACATCGATCCCCTCGGCCTTTTTCATCCTCGATTCGTTCGGTCATGCCTCGGCAATCCACAACACCAACGCATCTCGATTTGGACGATATACAGAGTTGCAGTTCTCGGAAAAAGGTCGAGTCATTGGTCTCAAGGGTCTGGAGTACTACCTCGAAAAGTCTCGTGTCACCTCTCCCGTCGTTGGCGAGCGGAATTTTCACGCCTTCTACTATCTCCTTTCCGGTGCCCGGCCAGAGGAGCGAGCCCACCTCAAGCTCGACGAGGCGACCTCTTTCAAGTACCTATCACATAATCGCATTTCGACGTCGGGTTCATCGGCGGATGCCACTCGCTTCAACCAGCTCAAGGATGCCTTCAAGGCCGTCGGTTTCCCCAAAAAGGCCGTCGCTTCGGTCCTGCAGATCCTCGCGGCCATTCTTCACCTCGGCAACATTGAATTCCACCTCGACAAGAACCGGAATGCGGACTCTGCGGTTGTCAAGAACGTGCGCATGCTCGAGACGGCAGCCGAGTTCTTGGGTGTCGAAGCGTCCGAGCTCGAGTTTGCTCTGACAAACAAGGCGACGATGGTCAGTGGCGAGCGATGTGCCATCTTTCTCGACGCCGACGGAGCAGCCTCGAATCGAGATGATCTTGCACAATCGCTGTACTCGCTCTTGTTCAGCTGGATCAGTGAATTCCTCAACGAGAAGCTGTGCCGCGACGACTTTTCCACCTTCATCTCGCTCGTCGATCTCCCCGGACCTGTGCAGTCCTCATCGGCGGCTCACCGCGAAGGTGCCGGTCTCGATGCATTCACGTTCAACTTGGCTGCGGAGCGTATGTACAGCTTCACGATGGAGCAGCTTTTCGAAGGTCAAAAGGCGGAATATGTCGCAGAAGGCCTCGAACAGAGCTTGCCAGGCCTCAGGACAGCTTATCGCTCAAACTCAGAGACGACCCGACTGTTGACGACGCACCCGGGTGGACTGGTCCACATCATTGATGACCAGAGCCGAAGGCGGGGTAAGACAGAAGCGACGATGTTGAGCGCCATGTCAAAGCGCTGGGGAAAGCACGCTGGCTTCGAGGTCAAGGAGAGCAATGCTGCGGCGGGTCGAGCTGGCTCATTCACCGTCGCCCACTGGGATGGACCAGTCACATACTCGGCCGAGAATCTGCTCGGCGACAACTCGGCTGGCGTCTCTCCAAACTTTGTCACGCTCCTCGCTGGATCGCAACCCAAGATTGGTGTTCACGGGCGAACCACACCGAGCACTCGTGACCAGCTCTCGACAGGTGGCTCGACATTCTCCTTTGTTCGACAACTCTTCACGAGTGGTGCTCTCGAAACGGTCGCCCACCCTCGGAATGAGAACACGATCGTTGAGGTCACCCAGAAAGTCACTCCACGGCGTGCACCCTCGACCCGACGACCAAGAGGACGTGTCAATCCTTTCGCCGATCCCAGCGTCGAGGTCGATGAGGTCGATGCCGCTGCCGCCACAACAAAGACCGAGTTCAAGCCGAGCGCAGGCCGCTCGATCGTTCGCGACGTTAAAGATTCGCTGTCGCTCTTGCTGACCACCATCGCCTCGACCAAGTCATGGCACGTCTATTGCCTGCGGCCCAACGATGCCCAACTGCCGAACCAGGTTGATGCCCGTCTGCTCAAACACCAGGTTCGAGCGTTGGGACTGGCGGAACTTGCGCAAAGGTTACGAGGGGAATGGCTCGTCAACTTGGAGATCAAGGAATGGTGGGATCGCTACTCTGGGACGCCGGCACTCATGCAAGCGAAACAGGTGCTCGCTCCATTGATGTACCGTGACAAGGCAGTCAAGGCGCGCGAGATCTTGGGCTTTTCTCACAGCGACATGGCCATTGGCGAGACCAAGGTGTTCCTCAACGATGGTGCATTCCGGTACCTTGAGGACTTTACTCGGGCGACCGATCCGGAGGAACAGGCGCGCAATCGCGAGAAGCTTGATCGGGATGCCTCGCAAGTGCCCGTCGACACCTTTTCACCGTACCTCATGGCCGATGCTGCCCATCACGCCAGTATTGGTAATTTTGGGCCATACGATTCGGACGCTGCATTGCCGCTCGTGCATCCGGGTGGATTGGGTTACTACGCCGAATCGGATCTTGACTACGATCCCAAGGGTTACTTTGACGAAGGCGATGGGCGGGCAAGCGCGTGGGACGACGATCGCTCGATGGACCCCTCTTCGGGTTTCACGAACGGCAACGCCTTGTTTGAAGGCAAGAACGCTCTCGATACCGAGGAACGAGATGGAGAGCACCACGAGACGGTCGAAGAGGTTCGCACGAGCGCGAGCCGCAAGCGCTGGATTGCCTTGACTTGGATGTTCACCTGGTGGATCCCGTCGTTCTGCCTGTCGCGAGTCGGTGGGATGAAACGCCGCGATGTGCGCATGGCATGGCGCGAGAAGCTGTTGATCAACATGATCATCTGGTTCATTTGCGGCTGCGCCATCTTTGTCATCGTTGTGCTCGGCAACCTGATTTGTCCGAGGGAGTACGTGTTTTCGACGGGTGAGCTATCGTCGCAATCCTATTCGAACGATCCGGACAACATGCTCGTCGCAATCCGAGGCGAGGTCTTTGACTTGACGAGCTTCGCGCCTAAGCATCAACCTGGAACGAGCGTCATTCCGATCCGGTCGATTCAGAAGTACGGTGGGACGGATGCGACGAGCATCTTCCCCGTGCAGGTCAGTGCATTGTGCAACGGCGTCACGGGCACGGTTAGCCCCTGGGTCACGCTCAGCTCGACGAATCAGACGAGCAATACGGTGGCCCAGTATCACGACTTCCGTGCCTCGACAACCGACTCCAGGCCGGATTGGTATACCGAGAGTGAGTGATCTGTGGGTCAGTGGTAGGATCTTCAGCGGTCGAGAGCTAACCCCAGCGTGGACCCATTCTCTGCAGCCATGATTTACCTGCGATATAATTTCCGCAAGGGCTTTAAGGGGTACACGCCTAAGATGCTCAAGTCCCAGGCCAGCTCGGGCAATAACATTGCGGTCATCGACGGCATGGTCTACGACTTGACGACCTATGTCACCAATGGTGGCGGAGGCGTCTCGGTTCCAACGGGTCAAGTCGCACCGAACAATATCGATCGCGCGTTCATGTCTGGACAGGTCGTGGAGCTGTTTACGACCAACGCCGGCACCGACATCACCACGCTCATCAACCGACTCAACCTCGACGCCACGGTACTGGCTCGCCAAAAGATCTGCTTGCGCAACCTCTTCCTCGTTGGCAAAGTCGACAACCGTCAATCGGTGCAGTGCAAATTTTCAGAGTACATCCTCATCGCCCTTTCATGCTTCATGGTCGCCATTATCGGGTTCAAATTCCTCGCGGCCTTGCAGTTCGGTCGCGCGCGCAAGCCCGAGAACTATGACAAGTTTGTCATCTGTCAAGTACCATGCTACACCGAGGGCGAGGACTCGCTACGAGCGTGCATCGACTCGTTGACCAAGCTCAAGTACGACGACAAGCGCAAGCTGCTGTGCATCATCTGCGATGGCATGATCGTCGGCTCGGGCAACGATCGCTCCACGCCACAGATCGTGCTTGACATCCTCGGCGCTGACCCTTTGATCGATCCGGAACCCCTGAGTTTCAAGTCGATCGGAGAGGGAGCGAAACAACACAACATGGCCAAGGTCTATTCGGGCTTGTACGAAGCCTCCGGACATATCGTTCCTTACGTAGTCCTTGTCAAGGTCGGCAAACCAACCGAACGATCTCGTCCCGGTAATCGAGGCAAGCGTGATTCGCAGATGATGCTCATGCGGTTCTTGAATCGTGTTCATTTCGACGCGCCGATGGCGCCTGCAGAGCTTGAACTCTACCATCAGATCAAGAACGTCATTGGTGTGAACCCATCCTTTTACGAGGTACGTTACCCAGACTTTTCCCCAAAATCTGCGCCTCATACTGAGCAGGTTTATATTTCGAACGGCAGTATCTTCTCATGGTTGACGCCGACACGGTCGTTGAGCCTTACTCGCTCAATCATCTCGTGGGTGCATTCGTCGAGGACAAGAAGGTTATTGGGCTGTGTGGCGAGACCTCGCTGAGCAATGCCAAAGCTTCGTGGACAACGATGATGCAAGGTCGGCGGAACTCAATCTCACCGCCCATGCGCTAGGATTAAAGTTGCTGACGATAGCGATACTCTTGCAGTTTACGAATATTTCATCTCTCATCACATGGCCAAGGCGTTTGAGAGCTTGTTCGGCACCGTCACCTGCCTACCCGGATGGTGAGTTGAAGCTGTCGACGCATCTACGAATCGTCCTAATGCCCGAGTTGTCCGTCCAGTTTCTCGGTTTACCGCATCCGCTCCGTCGAACACAAGCCCTTGATCATCGCCGACAACGTTGTGACCGAGTACGGTGAAAACAAGGTCGAGACGTTGCACGTCAAGAACTTGCTCTCGCTAGGAGAAGATCGTTACCTGACGACGGTCATGCTCAAGAGCTTCCCGGCCTTCAAGATGAAGTTTTGCCGCGAAGCACACGCCCAAACGATCGCACCGGATGATTGGAAGGTGCTCATGTCGCAGCGTCGTCGTTGGATCAACTCGACCGTGCACAACTTGAGCGAACTGATGTTCATTGACAAGTTGTGCGGTTTCTGTTGCTTCTCGATGAGGTTCATCGTCTTTATCGATCTACTGTCGACCATCATCGCACCCGTCACCGTCGCCTATATCGTGTACCTCATCTACTCCGTCGCGGGTGAACACAAGGTCATACCGACGTTCGCCTTGATCATGCTAGCAGCCATCTACGGTTGTCAAGCTGTGATCTACATCCTTCATCGCAAATTCGAGCATATTGGTGAGTCAACGGTCTACTCTAGCAAGCGCATAGTCAATGCAGCTGATCGAGTAAGGAACCGCTTTCATAGTTTGGATGATCATCTACATCATCGCGATCCCGTTCTTCTCGTTCCTGTTGCCGATCGTCAGTTTCTGGCAGATGGACGATTTCTCTTGGGGTTCGACGCGCGAGATCGTAGGTGAGAAGGGCAAGCGACTCATTGTTCATGTGAGCTTTTTTTTTCTGGATTCCACTTTCGGATTGGCAGCTGATTTGTGACTGCGTGGGGATTTTAGGATGAGGGCGTGTTCGATCCCGCTTCGATCCCGCTCAAAACGTGGCAAGACTTTGAGAACGAATTGTGGGAGCAGGTGAGCTTAGCTTTCGGGCACCATTCTTGAAATCCATTCGGCTGACCAAGCACCTACCTCATTTTCCAGGGCTCCAACGAATCGATCGGCGAGATGATCGCCAAGCGCGAAGAAGCCGCCTACGATGGCGAAAACCGAGGTCAAAGCCAAGTTTACGGCCACAGTGGAGGTGGCGGAGGAGGAGAATACTACGAATCGAACCCCTTCCTCGGCTCCGGATCCCAGCTCGGTGGATCGCAAGCCCCTCCCGCCTTCTCAAGTCGCGGATCATTGTTGGACGCTATGACGGGGGCGTCGCCTTATGTCGGAGCGACGACGACGGGGATGGGAGCGAGGCAAATGAGTGGGTTCCCTTTGGACGCGATGTCGGAAGGTCCCGGCGGGTTCGCGGGGTCGACTAGGGGGGTTGGGTTGCCGTCTGATGAGAGGATTGTTGCTGATACGCAAGTTAGTGAGTTGGAAGAGCCCCTGGGAGTGGTGCTCGGCAGCTTTGCTTTGACACTGACCCCTGTTGTCTCTCGCCTCTGCGCAGTCCTCGCCTCGGCCGATCTCTCGACGTTGACCAAGAAGGGGGTCCGACAAGAATTGGAAAAGCTCTACGGTTGCGACCTCGGTGCTCGTAAAGCTTTGGTCAACCAGACCATCAGCGAGGGGCTCGGTCTTCTCTGAGCGGATCCAAACCCCTATCGTCCTAAATATCGCATCTCACCCCGTTTCTCTCTCAATTTGTTTGTAAATTATGCTCTGATCCTTTCTTTGACGCCATCAGATATTATTGACAGACACTTGCTTGCTCATGAATGTTTCGCTGGCTCTGTTTTTCGGCCTTCTGCCTGATGCTCTTCGTGTAGCTTGATCTCCAAGTTTGAAACTTTGCAAGTCATTTTTTTGTGGTACAGTCAGACCTGAGAAAATTTATATTTTCGGTGGACGGATTTTCCCATAAATTAAGACAGGTATAAGCTTGGAGAGTGCGGCTTCAGATCACTACATTATGACCTGAAACTCCGTTTTTGAGCTTCCTACATCAAATCAAGAATTTTCGTGCATCGTTTGAGTCGATACATTGACTTTTGAGGGGGAGGAAATTCAGAAGGCCCGAATTACTGAATTGTAGCCAATGTACGGCCTCTACTGAGGCATGATGACATCTAACAAGTTTTGAAAGCTCCAAGAAAAAACATCTTGACCTACTGACGCTGGAAATACGAAGTCATTGTCGTCTGAATCCTCGCGGCATCCTGCTCGGCAACAAGAGTCCTGCGAATCCTCCTAGCTTCGTCCTCAAAAGAAATCAAAGCCGTTGGACCTGAGTATCCATTCATAGCAAACCTAAGGAAAACATCAAGCGCTGAGATTGCCTCCTGCAGCGTCGTTCGCTCCGCCGGTCGGAGCTCTATCTCCCCTTCCTCCTCTCCTCCTTCTCCTGATCGGTCATTTCAGCCCCACCAGCAAGGTTCTCCTCCTCCACATCGACGAGAAAGTGGATACTCATCTTCTCGTTGCTCGTAACTATGCCCCTTTCGACCAGCTCATCGTTCGCCGTCTTCAGAGCGTTCATCGCGTTGATGATGCCGCGATCGCCATTGAGAGGCCCGCGACCGTTGGGAAGAGGTGTATGGTCGGTCGATCCTTTGTTCTTGCGATCAGACAAGATTTGAGCGTGGCGCCAGCAGTTGGCAATCGTCTCGGGGCGGATGTCGTTCCACGCCTCATGTCTCGCTATGATGCGAGTCTTATTCATCTTGACACCATTTCGACCGTTCCGAGCAAGGCCCGTAGACGGACGCATAGCGTAGAAGAGACCGGTTTCGTCCATGTTGAAGATATCACTTGGGTCGTACTTGTTCGTAAAATTGTCAACCGCCGCCTTTGCTCTCCTGTGCTCGCTTCTCGGCTGTTTCGGGGCATTTCGGACTCTTCCAGCAGGCGGCTCGTCAACAAGAACGCCGAAGGAGAGGCCAATTCCTGATCAATCGCTCATTTCCGGCTCTCTCTTATCTTATAATTTGACCTGTAAGCCCATAAATTATAAGGTATAAGATTGGACAGGTTCTGTCAGCCAAAAAAGTCGGGAGATTGAAAAGTCCATAAATTTTGACAGGTATAAGATTGGGCGATATAAATTTTCTCAGGTCTGACTGTAGTATGCCTTGATTTTGCCCGCGCCTGAGTTCATCACCAAAGTGTAGATGCTTGGAGTCCGTTAAGCTCGAGGGCCGACGGTGAATTGGGGCGCGCTTGATTGGCTGGTTGGTAGTAATGTCTTGAATTGGTTTATACATAGCACGCGTTCGCTCTGGTTGATATCGCAGAGCGCCCGATCGCGCGCGGCCCATCGCCCGCCCCGGGGCACTACCGGGGCTGCTGCACCACTGCCAGAGGACCCATGAAAGCCCGGCCTGAGGCGCGTAGGTAAAATCCGGCAAAATCCCCGATTTTGGACCTCTTTTGTCCACCATTTTTTGGATTTTTCGCCCAAAAAAGGTCCCAAAATGTCCAGTCCATCTACGCGCATTCAAAAATAGCTCTAGAATTGCTTCAAATGCTCCAAAACATCTTCAAGAATCGCGAAAACGCCGTCCGGACATTTTTCGCCCGGACCGAATCGGCGGAGCCCGCGCGCGTGTCAGCCGTTTTGGATCTGCTTCGCCGAGGGCTCCTCACCTGCACTTGCTGCCTGCCTTTTTGACTAGATTTGACGTGGCCTTGGTATACATGTAACGTACTACGAGAGGTAAGATCGATTGCAGTCACTCTGGGAAGCAGTAAGCTAGCTACCGTGAGATCCACGAACCCCGAGGATCATTGAGGGGGTAATTGCTCCTCAACGAGCAGTGAAGGCATCACCTCCGGAGCTCTAACAATGAGACGTTGATCTTCGATGTCGACACGCAGATAACTTCACCAGCTCTTGGCTACTGATAACAACCGAACGCATGCGCTCGGCGTGATCTATATGCCGCCAGATTCGACACCGAAAGGCAGCCGATAGTGATAGATTGGTGGCCTTGCCTACGTGTCGCAATGATTGCTCCACGATCCTTCAACTTGTCCCTCCAAGCATCGAGCGGCCTAGCAAGAGTATCACTTGTCTGTCGACCATGAAAGCTGTATCCGGGTGTCTGGTTTGTCAAGCTGGAGGCGAGAGGCTCAGACATCCTCACGTCCATGAGGGGTGCCATTCGCTCAAGAATATCGTCAAGGAGATCGAAGATACGTTTCATCGAAGCAAGTCGTGCCGAAAATGTAGGATATTGGCGATGATGGCACAGACGACGTCGACGCGACGCGGCGAGGAAGGCAAGAGAAGCGTGCATTCAAATGTTCGTTCAACCAGCCAAGAGGTTATAAGTGCAAAAATACATCAATTAGAGCCGTTGTTGTGAATTCGGTACAGATTCGCGCGCGCTCCCGCACGTTCTTGAGGGTCGGCAAACTTTGGCCTTCCAAGCCGAATGTGGCCGAAATGGGTCACGATTTGTCCACTGACACCTACGGGCCTAGCACCCCACCCACACCGGCGCACCCTGATTTGTCCACCCCTGACTACGCGCCTTGGCGATTTTGGCCCATCTGAGGCCCAAAATTTGTCCAGTCGGGCCCTACGCGCCTCAGGCCGGGCTTTCGGGGGTCCTACTGCCAGCCCCAAGCCCAGGATCCCCTACTGATCCCCTTGGCCAGCGCTCTGCTCCGCTCAGCGCTCACCGGTCACCCGCAACCGCAACCGCGACCGCATCCGCATCCGCATCCGCACCACCCCTCCCTCTCCCCTTCCGCTCCCCCTTTCTCAAACCCCAACTCCCCCAAGGATGAGTCTCGCCCTCCGAACAGCATCCCGTACCACGGTCGTACGACCGTCTCTCTCTTCCACCTCTTCGATCGTCCGTCGTAGTGGCTACGCGACGAGGGTGCAAAGCTCGGAAGCCGCCGGGGGGATCAAGATCGCGGCTTCGGACGTCGGGAGCCCTACGGCCGCGATCAGTGTTGTCGTCAAGGCCGGTTCGCGATACGAGACGGCGCCTGGGTTGGCTCATGTGTTGAGGAACTCGTTGTTCAAGGTGAGTGGGGGGGGCGAGTGGCGAGGCGGGAGCACCGACAGGAGAGAGGAGACACCGCATCGCCGGCGGACGAGCTGGCGAGCTTGTGCGCTACGCTCGTAGTCATCACAAGTATCGAAGGAGTACAACTGACCTGAACCTAATATACGAGTCCCTCAGGCGACCAACAAACGGAGTGCGATCCGATTGGTGCGCGAGACCGAGATGTTGGGCGGCGTGCTCTCGTCGTCGCTGTCCCGGGAACACCTTGTTTTGACTGCCGAGTTCATCAAGGGCAACGAGTGCGTGCACGTCGTTCATGTTTTGGAGTCGTGCTTGGTTGCTGACGTTCGACGCTTTTTTTCCCTGCTCCGCAACCTGCTCCGCCGCCTCACCTCGCACTCGCACTCGCACTCGCACCTCCTGCCGGCCTGCCCTACCACTCGTCATCACCTCCGCACCCACCACCACTACGTTCAACACTGGAACCTCATCATGATCCATCTTATTGCGACCATCCGTCACACAGGGCTTACTTTGCCGAGGTGCTCGGAGACGCGATCAGCCAGGCCAAGCTCTCGCCCCACGAATACAACGAGGAGGTCTTGACCCAGGTCGCGTCAGAGTACGAGCAGGCGATTCGTGACCCGACCACCTACGCCCTTGACCTCGCCCATGGTCTCGCCTTCCGCACCGGCCTCGGCAATTCGCTGTTTGCTTCGCCCCACACCGCCGTCGCCTACACCTCCGCCGTCAGCTACGCCAAGGCCGCTTTCGCCCCCTCCAATGTCGCCGTTCTCGGTTCCGGCATCGACACTGGTGCCTTGTCCAAGCTCGTTTTGCAACACTTCACTTCGTCCGCTTCGGCCGCCGGCTCGCTCTCGGCACCGGCGACAAAGTACTTTGGTGGCGAGGTGCGCGTCCCCTTGATCGGCCACGGCGCCGCGCTCGACACCTTCTTGCTCGCGTTCGAGGGTGGTGCTAGCAGCGACTTGAACTTTGTCGTGCTCCAAGCTTTGCTCGGTGGTGAGGCCTCGGTCAAATGGAGCCAGGGCTTGTCCCCCTTGGCCAAAGTCGCGTCGGGCACGACCTCGGCCAAGGCGGTGAACCTCGCCTACTCGGACGCCGGTCTGTTCGGCATCATCATCCACGGCGCCTCGGATGAGGTTTCGACCGTCGCGCAGAAAGCCGTTGCGGAATTGCACAAACTCGCCAAGGGCGTCGAGGGCGGAGCGGTCAAGCAAGCGATCGCGAAAGCCAAATTCAACGCCGCCGCGGCACTTGAATCCCGTGTTGGGTCGCTCGAAGTTCTGGGTGCACAATTGAACGCGGGTGGGAAGGTGCAGGATTTGGACGAGTTGTTTGCGGGCTTGGACAAGGTCTCGGCCGAGTCGGTTAGCAAGGCCGCGGCGAAGATGCTCAAGAGTAAACCCACAACGGTGGCCGTGGGGGACTCGCGTAAACTGCCTTGTGAGTTTTGAAGCGTATGCTTGGTGCGCGTCCTCGATGGGAATGAGGAGCTGACCTTTAGGTCGAATTTCGTCCTTTAGATGCCGATACCCTTGGCCTGTAAAGGGTTAGGAAGCAGAAGAAGAACGAAGTAGGAGGAAGAGAAAAGCGGGTTACGAAGTGAAACAAAAAGTTATGAACCGAGATCCAAGGTCTTTTTTGTCTGCTGCCGTTTCCCTTCCTTATTCTTTTCTTGGTAGAGATTGATATCGTTTTCCCTACGCGTGGCGTGTGTGTGATTGTTTTCTTGGCCTTTGATTTTGTTTGACGCGAGAGGGATATCCGATGTGAGCTCAGCTTGAAAGATGAGAGCGAGAGGTGATCGGCATGCTTACAGGCCACGGTTCTACAACTGAGCGATCGAATAATGAGATCGAGCAGAAAAAGACAGGAAACGGTATCATCATGATGTCACGCGTCGTGATGAGTGTGGCGATGACGGTAATTACTGAGTCCAAGTCCGTCTCGATCTGCCGAAACTTTGTCAAGAGAACCCGACCGACGCGCGCTGCAAAGTCGGGATGCTCCTTGTCATCTGCCCGGTCCAGGACAGAGCCCACGTCGCACAGGCACGACATCATCGACGATTACGGCTACTGGCAGTGGAGCGTGGATCGCGGGATCGCGGGATCGCGGGATCGCTGGATTTGGTGAACCTGTTCATCCGCTTCTGCAACGAGCCCGTCCCTACTATCGCTGGGTGTGACACGACCCACGACCGCCGCCACGCGCCTCCCCCCACCTTGTCACTCCGTGAGCGTAACGACGGACATCCCCAGTCCCATTCCCCGACCCCATCCGCCGTTGCTCCAGTGCCCATCGCTGTTGATCGACCATGTCCCGTCTCGCCCCACCCCAAGACAACCCGTCCCTGCGAACCCGTCGTCTCTCGTCCGTCTCGGAATTCCCCAACCCGCATCAACGCCAAGGCGCAGGACCGGGCCTGAACCCGTTCCCCGGTCGACCGTCCGGACGTCAACACGGCTCCAATCGTCCACCAGCCTCTTCCGCCTCGTCAAGTCTCGGTCCCGGACCGCGCGACCAACCCAACACAGGTGGTCCGCGCGCGCAATCGAACGTCGGTGCCAAACTATTGAAGAAGCGCCAGTCGGTCAGTTATCCGAACCATCATCATGGCCAGATTTATGCGGTCGGTGCAAGGGGAATCGGACCCGGGGAGGTCGTTCCTGCGTTGCCGACTTTACCGCAAGGGATGATGTTGCCTACTGGAGCGGGGCAGGCGGCGGTGGTCGGAAGTGGGGGGAGATCGGGTCCGAATCAGATGATGCCGAGTTCGTTGATCCCGGGAGGAGGTTTGGTAGGTGGGACAGCACCATCACATGATGGAACTCTCCCCGATCCTTCATCGAGAACACCCTCTCCTTCGAATTCGAAGACGCAGGCTCAGAGGAAAGGGACCGTCAATGAGGGGTTGGCCGTGGATTTCGAGACGGAACAGAGGTTGGCGATGACGGGCTTGGACATTGACTCGTTCGCTTCCGAGAGGTTCAAGCCCGAGGAATGTGAGTCGTCCTTTTTTCGTGCGGTCTACGAGTGTGTGTTCTTTTGTAGTGGGACTGGGTCGTCTGATCTTGAGGTGGCGTTTGATCCTATAGTTCTCAAGATGAACTTGGATGGCTCGAACGAGACGGACGAGACGGACGAGTTGAGAGCGCTCAAGGCCCAACTCGAAGGAGCGATGGAGATCACCGAAACCGAATTGCAAAAGAGTGTATTCAAGTCAGTCCTGGGGCACGCCTCCTTGATATCGAATCAAACGCAAGGTATTGACCTAGTTACCACCGACCAACAGGAATTATGCCGATTTCGTCGTCATCTCCAAGGAGATTGCGACGTTGGAGAATGAGATGCTCGAACTCAAGTCGGTGTTGGAGGAATGGAGGGCCGTGCCCGAGTCGCTGGAGGGAGGGTGGGGGGAGGATGATTTGCTTATGGGTGAGGAAGGCGACCTGTTTCTGCACTGGCGAATTGGTGCAAAAAAAGAAGCTGATCTGGGGCGTTGTTGCTTGCTCACAGGCTCCGGTTCGGCCAGCCGTCGCAACCAACGCAACTCGCTCGCCGACTTGGCAACCTTGTACAAATCCCAACTCGCCGCCTTATGGGAAGGCGTAGAAGGTTCCCAGAAACTCCTTCCCTACACCCCAGGACGACACATCATCACCGAAACGACCTCGTTCGTCGAACTCAATTCAGCGACGTACAAACCCAAACAGTCGGTGCATTTGTTCTTGTTGAACGATGCGATGTTGGTCAGTGTGAAAAAGAGGAGGGGCACGGGTGTAGGGGGTCCGACGAGGTTGGTTGCGGAGAGGTGCTTCAGCTTGAGTGAGATTGTGGTGGTGGATCTAAAGGATGGAGGCGGTGAGTTGGTTCTGTCTCGAATTGGAATGGGGAATGGCCATGAACGCATTCGCTGATCTCCTGGAAGTTGCTATCAGACCTAACGAACGCGGTAAAGATCAAACGCGGTAAAGAGACCGTCATCTTCCGAACAGACAAGACCGAGGATAAGAAGGTCCTGTTGATGGCGTTCAAAAAAGTCGCGGAGGAGTTGATGAACAAGAAGAGGAAGGAGATGCTCAGTGAGGCCGAAGCGAGGAAAGGGGATGTGAGTTGCTTGTTTGGGGTCGTCGAGATACTAGAATCAGAGAGCTGACCGTAAAGCAATGTCATAGTTTTCATCGACTCTTCGAGGCGGTGCTCGATCGGGCTACGACAGCGGTCTCACCTCGAACGGCTTCAGTCCCGCCCAAGCCCTCGGCCTCGGATCCGGCGATTCGACGGGTAAGGACCTCGCCTGGATCGGTGATTTCTCCGACGAAGTATCCGTCGCAATCGCCGCCCGAATGTTCGAAGAAGCGACCTCCTTCATCGAGAAAGGAAAGGGCGTCATCCCTCATCTTACAGGGGATCCGCATGCTTCAGCGGTGTTCCGAGCGAAATTGGATGCCCGGACGACGGAACTCGTCACCGCGCTTTTGAATGATCTTTCCGATTCGTCAATACGGAAATTAGGTGTCGTTCGAACGACGTCCTGGCTCCTTCGTTTGAGCCAAGGTGAACGAGCACGCGAGACGTTCCTCACCGCTCGTGGAGTCTCCGTGCGCAAACGAGCGCGACAAATCAAATTCGAGGGAGACATCTCGATGTACATTTCCGAATTGGCCATGGTTACCTTCACCATGATCAAGAACACGTGTGAATGGTACATGGCTGCGTTCAAGGATAACCGTATGGCGTCGGGCTTTGTGAGGTGGGCCAGTGAACAGGTCGAGATTTTTGCCGAGACGTTCAGGAGACAGGTTTATGGGGTTGATCAGGATGGCAAGGTGATCCAGGAGAGTTTGGAGGTGACGCAGGCGCATGGGGCGATGGTACGTTCTGTTTTCGTAGTCTCTGTTCAGGGAGTTCAGGGAACTGATTCCTTCATCTTGGCATCGCCCCCGCAGCTGCGAGACGTAGGCCTCGACTTCACTTTCCTACTCGATGGACTCTTGCGCTCAACCGAAGAAGGTCCCAACGACCCCTCCGGAACCGGCGGACCCCTCCGGCCCGGTCCTCGTCGAAAGCCAAGTGGGAATAAGAAATCCCACGTCGCGATGGCGAGGCAGAGCATCTTCTTGATGCAGAGTACAGGTAGCGCTGGGGGAGGGGGAGGGGGAAAAGAAGGGAGGGCGGGTTCGGAGTTGGGTATTCCGGCGGAGTTGATGAGTACTTGATGCAGTTCAGGTGCGGATAGGAAGGATGGCTTCGGGTCTATAGTATTTTTTGGGATGTACTACAACTTGCACAAGTTCAGTAACCCCAAGGAGACCCTCTCAAAAAACTCCCGATCTAAACATCTATCCCCTTCCCCTACCCCCATCTGCCCATTACAAGTCGACCCCCTCCAAGCAACGCCAAGACGCAAGATCGTTTGAGTTCTCGCCCTGTGGTGTGGAGGCCATTAACGCGGTATCGGGCTCTTCACCGACTCGGCTGTTCGAAAGCGATGCGGGGGCCGGGGAGGAGATCAACAATTTGTCGTCGCTGGTTCCCACGGGACATCCTGTCCCCCTTTGCACGATGTGCAAGAAAGAATTCCGCGAGCCCCAGAGAAGACCAAAGAGAATGTATTCAAGTCTGAACAGAGGCCCACGCCCGGCATGATGCACTCCCTTGTCCCCCTGGCACGCCGCCGTACGGTACACGTCTCGCGGCGAATGATAGGTCCGTGCGCGCGACCCGAGCCTTCTTTACCTTTGTTTCGTTCCCGAGGCCCGAGGAGGCAGGAGGAGGCCCGAGGTCGACCGGTGCGCTCGAGACTTGAAGCTAATCTGCGCTGCTCTTGCTCGCTTCCCTGCTGCTGCCTATCGAATCATCGATCCACTCGTTGTCCGACTTGGTGTGTGGCGTGAGGCCCTCTCTGTATACTTCCGCATAGGTGAGTTAGTGCTACAAGGCGGGGTGACTGTGTCGTATCGACTGCGCATCGACGGGGCGACGCGTCATCGTCGTCGGGAGCGCGGGCTGGCAGCTGGCTAATGGCTGGCTGCTGGTTGCTGCCTATCCGCGCTCCACCTCGACGACTGGGGCAGTCTACGATCGCGGAGGCACGCGACCCCCGTTCCACATCGCCCCCGCGTATCCAGAGCTGACCCTCTTGAGTACAAATCCACCACAGATATCTAATTCGGCGTTTGCCTTTCGTCCACCACCTTCTCCCGCCCAGCTTACGCGAGCACCTCCCCCTCCCCATCCTCGTCGTCGGGATTAGTCATGCTTCCCTCCCGATCCTGGGCCGTCGCCGGGCCATCGACAAGATCACTCGCACTGTCCAGCTCGAGATGGTCCCCATCCACGCCCCGTATGACTAGGACATCGACCCCTTCTACCCCTTCTACCCCTCGCCACCTCGCTTGCGTAGCGGGCACCTCTTGCTCATCCCTGGCCGCGATCTCGCATTCGTCGTCGCATTCGTCGTCGTCGTCGTCGTCCCTGCACCTCCCTCGACGGCCGTTCTCGACCTCGGTCGATCGACTCGCACTCTTGTCCTCGACCACACCTCGGCTGTACCCTGGCCGACAGGGCGGCGGTCGCAACGGTGGCAAGGACGGTGCCGAGAAGCTGTCCACCGAATCCGAGAACGAGGAGACAGAAGCCGACGATAATGCCGAATCGACACCATCTTCAACGGCTGATAACAACCACAAGACTTCCAAGGGTTCATCTTCTTCTACCAGTGCTTCTTCGTCATCACCCTCATCGGAAGGCAGTGCGGGAGCTTCGACCCCACCTTCGTCCTCCTCCTCCGACGATGGCGACAACGGTGAAGGCACTGATTCGACTCCCCCATCCTCGACCTCGCTCTCCAAACGCACCGTACCCGAGGTCTACCCACAACTCCTCGCTTTGCCCATCACCCGCCGCCCACTCTTCCCCGGCTTCTACAAGGCCGTCGTCATCCGCAACGCCGCCGTCATCGCCGCGATCAAGGACGCCGTCGCGCGTGGCCAACCTTACATCGGTGCTTTCCTCCTCAAGGACGAGAACGCCGATAGCGACATCATCACCGACTCGAATGCCGTTCACCCCGTCGGTGTGTTCGCGCAAATCACTTCAACGTTCGTCGCTGCGGCGAACGACAAGGACAAGAATGAGGAACCGGGTTTGACGGCCGTGCTGTACCCTCATCGAAGAATCCGCATCACCGACTTGCTTCCCGTACCACAAAACACCCCACCTTCGGCACCCGAGCAATCAAAAGCTACAGAGGACGGCGAGCAGCCAGTCCCGAAGGAGGCTGACGCCGCTGCTCCGGTCGACAAGTCGGCTCGAACGGATCAAACCGCCGAGCTGGAAAAAATCATCGAGGCCTCGTACCAGCACGGCAAGAAGGATGATGCTGCATCTTCCAAGTCGGGCGAGGACTCGACCGTCATCAGCGAGGACTCGACCGCCTCTTCCACGGACCCATCGAGCCGATCATTCCAGACCGCTTTCCTGCACGATTACGCCGTCTCGATCGTTAACGTCGAGAACGTCGAGATGCAACCTTGGGACAAGAAGTCGCAGACCGCACGAGCGATTGCGAGTGAGATCATCGCCGTCTTCAAGGACATCGCTTCTCTGAACCCGTTGTTCAGGGATCAGATCGCCAACTTTTCCATGAGTCAATCCGCGGGTAACGTCTTTGAGGAACCGGACAAGTTGGCTGATTTCGCTGCTGCGGTCTCGACGGGCGAGATCAACGAGTTGCAAGACGTACTCGAATCGACCTTGCTTGAGGAGAGGATGCAAAAGGCGTTATTGGTGCTCAAGAAGGAGTTGATGAACGCGCAGTTGCAGAGCAAGATCTCTAAAGACGTCGAGAACAAGATTCAGAAACGTCAACGCGAGTACTACCTCATGGAACAGCTCAAGGGGATCAAGAAGGAGCTGGGGATCGAGTCCGACGGCAAGGACAAGCTCGTGGACAAGTTTCAGTCCAAGGCGGATACGCTCAACATGCCCGAAGCGGTGCGCAAGGTCTTTGACGAGGAGATCAACAAGTTGTCCCATCTCGAACCGGCCGCGAGCGAATTCAACGTCACGCGCAATTACCTCGATTGGTTGACCCAGATCCCTTGGGGTAGGCACTCGCAAGAGAACTTTGACCTCGTCCATGCGGTCCAAGTCCTCGATGAGGACCACTACGGTCTCAAGGACGTCAAGGATCGCATCTTGGAGTTCTTGGCTGTAGGTAAATTGAGGGGGACGGTCGAGGGCAAGATCTTGTGCCTTGTGGGTCCTCCGGGTGTGGGAAAGACGTCGATTGGCAAATCGATCGCGAGGGCGCTGGATCGGCAGTTTTATCGCTTCTCTGTCGGTGGGTTGGGCGATGTCGCTGAGATCAAAGGGCATCGAAGAACGTGAGTTGTGATTGAACCTGAGCCCCGTAAAGGTGATTCAAGTTGCCCAGGCTGAGCTAATCCTGCCAATCTCACAGATACGTCGGCGCGATGCCAGGCAAGATGATCCAGGCGTTGAAGAAGGTCCAAACCGAGAACCCGTTGGTCCTCATCGATGAAGTCGACAAGATCGGACGAGGGCATAACGGCGATCCCGCATCGGCCTTGCTCGAGATGTTGGACCCGGAGCAGAACGCTCAGTTCCTCGATCATTACCTCGATGTACCCGTCGACCTTTCCCGGGTCTTGTTCGTCTGCACAGCCAACACCCTCGATACGATCCCCGCACCTTTATTGGATCGGATGGAGGTCTTGGAAGTTAGTGGATACATTACGGAAGAAAAAGCGGCGATCGCGAGTCGATACCTTGCGCCTCAGGCCAAGGATGGAGCGGGCTTGAAGGTGGCCGACGTCGAGTTGACCGAAGACGCTGTGGCGGCGCTCATTAGGTACTACTGTCGCGAGTCTGGGGTGCGAAGGTTGAAGCAACAGATTGAAAAGGTATGGTGGAACATCTCTCGTGGGTGGTAAACCGACGATGTGATGGCGCACGATTTGACTGACCCCACGGGTCGTGCTTCGTTACAGGTTTATCGAAAGGCGGCGCTCAAGATCGTGCAGGACATTGGAGAGCCCGCTTTGCCCGAGTCGTCGGCCGAGGTCGTACCACCACTGAACGCGGCGCCGCAATCCACCTCGGCCCCTGCATCGACCGTCGTCTCTTCGGGTAAGGACAAGTCGATATTCCCCATCATCGAGGACAAGGTTCAAAAAGAGGATGGCAAAGCGGCCGAAGCAGGGACCGAATCGGCTTTTTCAACAGGGGAAGAACGTACGACCACCACGGGCGTTCGCAAGCCTTTGGACGTCCCTGAATCCGTTCACGTCCGCATCACAGCCGACAATCTGCTCGAATACGTTGGTCCACCGATGTATCAGAAGGAAAGGATGTACACCAAATCCAGTCCTGTCGGCGTGTCGTGCGGTTTGGGCTACCTCGGTAATGGATCAGGAGCGGTCATGCCTATCGAAGTGACGACCATGCCTGGGTCGGGGATCCAATTGACCGGGAAACTAGGCGACGTCATCAAGGAGTCGGCTCAAATCGCTCTTTCGTTCCTCAAATCCCGAGCGTTCGATTTGGGTCTTACCACGGACGCGGATCAAGACCTTTTGGACAAGCGGGCGATCCATCTTCATATGCCCGAAGGATCGATAGGGAAGGAAGGGCCCTCGGCGGGAATCGCGATCCTCACCGCTTTCGTCTCGCTCTTCTCCAAAAGAGGGATCCGAGCCGATTTAGCCATGACGGGTGAAATGACCCTCGCAGGTCAAGTCCTTCCCGTCGGTGGCTTGAAGGAAAAGATTCTCGCCGCGCATCGAGCAGGGATCAAAAAGATCATTGCCCCCGAAGCGTGTCGAGCCGATATCGAACATAACGTTCCGGAATCGGTGAAGGAAGGGATTGAGATCGTATACGTTGAGAACGTGGCGCAGGTGATTAGGGAGGCTTTTGAAGGACATCCGATTGTCGAGAGGTTAGAAGGTTTGACCGAGTTATTGAGGCCCAAGGTGGTGGAGGAGGACAAGTAGGCGAGGGCTTATTTGGGAGTTAGCATTTTGTAGCAAAAAGTAAACGTGAACCATCCCCTTTCTAAACACACCCTTCTGGCTTCTGAATAACAACAATGCAATAAGCAGGATATTTTTCTCGTATCACCTCTCATCAATCCTGTGTCACTGAGAAAAGGAACCTGATTGCACAACAAGGGCGGCAGAGCTCATTATAATGTACACAAATTCACAAATTGGTGGCAAGAAGAAAGATATGAGTGGTGCATGTGTACGTATGTCGTGTGTGGTACTGATCGTCTAGAACATTCCAAAGAGACCTCTTCGAGCCGGATCCCTTCGGTGTGCCGGTCCTGCATTCGCCGCCGCCTTCTCGCGTTGCAGTTTGACCAAACTGTCCAATTTGTCCGCGACCTAATCAACGAAGATGTTCGCATCAGCTTCGCAATGCCATGAGACCTCTTGTACGAGGCTGTGAGGGACCATTGTCAACTGACCAATTCAAGTTTCGCCTTCCTCTCCTGCAACGCCAAATGCTTCCTGATCACCGGATTCTCCTTCGCGAAGGACTGCACCTCCGATCGATCGAGGTCGTAGCCCAACCTCGTATCGATCTCCCGAGGGAATTGGTAGAAGAATTCGACGAGCAATTCGATCTGCATCTCACCAGCGCACCAAGGTCAGTCTGGAGTCTTGACCCAAAAAGAAACCTTGAGGTTTAGTGACGAACGCACATTGATGAATTGGACGGCGGTATGCGACAACTTGTCCGCGACGATGTTGAGGAACGCTTCGGGGCAAAAGGCCTCGCTCTCAGGCCCCTTGCGACATCTCTTTGACTTGAGCGCCGCTAAACGAAGTTTGAGGATCGAGCTACGCGCGGTCAAGAAACGCGCTTCGCGAGCTGTGCAGAGATCCCCTTCATCCAGTAAGTGAATGTTCCCCTCCCCACCCCTGTGTCATGAATGAGAGCAAGCGCACCTTTGGCCAACAAAGCAGGATTATAAGCCGGTCGATTCGGATCCGAATCATTCTCTTCAGCGAACTCTTCCCCTTCCGCTCTAGCCTCCCTCCTCCTCTCCCTTCTTCTCCTTTCCCTCTCCTCCAATTCCGCAACGTAGTCCATGGCGCCTTTCAGCTTCCTCCCCCCAACAGCTTCCTTGATCTTGTTCAACGCGCCTTCACACATCCCCAATTCGCGGTGTAACAACTCGTTGGCGCGTAGTCGACCATCCTCCCATTCCTTGGGTTCAACTTCGACTTCGTATTTGAACGGCTTGACGCTGTTCTCCACTTGATCGGAAGTCAACGCGAAGCGTTCACGTAACAGCGCGTCCGCGGTCGCGTGAACCCTCGAAGCCGCTTCAGGGTGATAGGATAAAGGTTCCTCATTGGACAGTAAGGCAAGGCGTGATCGAATTGAATCGACGACGAGTTGAGTCGAGGCCCTGCCGACTCCCGATTTAGTCAACGCCGATGAGATCGCATCCAATTTCCTCGTCCAATACGTATCCAATCCCTCCGGACCCAATCGTGAATTGTCCCCCAACTTGCCCAACTCGGCCACTTTCGGATCGGACCAATACTGTTGCGCCAACAAATCCAAAATCTGCTCATCCAAAGCATGCTTGAGCATTCTCCTCACTTCGGCCTTGTTGAACCCTTTACCGAGTTCGTGAATGCGCGCTTTGAGATGGTCCATCGTTTCGGCGACGTAGGATTCGGCGGAAATGGATCGATCGTTGTATTGGACTTTGAATTGGTAACTCGCTTCTTCCAATTCGATCGCGACCGCGTTCGAGATCGTGTGCAAGGACGAGGCCATCGATTCTTCGAGAACGTGCATCAAGCGTCGTTTCAACGTCGTCGTTCCGACGTGGATCCCTTCGCGGGAGAAAATTTCGGCGTTCCCACCGAAGAAGGCCTCTTCTTGCGTTTTGATGGTCATGACGAGGCTATCGTCGTCGGCCTGACGTTTGATCAAGCGTGTTTCTCGTCCTTTCGACGAAGCGGCTTTGCATACGACACCGACGTAACCCAACGCCAAAGGGTAGTGATTATCGGACAAGATCGCCGCTCCAGCCTCCGGAGCAACGAGATCCATCTTGGTCACGACCCCGATGGTCCTCATCCCCAAAGGGTCGACCTTCTTACTCGCCCTCAACGCCGGCGAGTTGGCAAGGTCTACGTCGGCCGCACAGACGGCGAGGATGATGTTGGGTGAACGGATGTACTTGTCGCACAGCTTGTGGATCTTTTCTTTGAGTTCCTCGGGTTGGTCCATCGAGCTGATCTGGACGTAGCCCGGTAGATCGACGAGGGATAAGTCGGGTACGTTGGGGGAATGGATTCGGAGATGGATGGGCGAATCGGATACGCATTCCGATGCTGGAACGGAAAGGTTGAGATCGACGAGGGTTCGCTGCACGAGTGAAAAGTCGGTGATGTGGCCGGGACCGAGCGAGGGGAACTCGGCAAAGGTCTTGGGGTTCGGATCCGAGGGTGAGGGTGCGGTGTGAATCAAGGTGAGCTCAATGGGTCTCCGTGTGACCATGTTGTCTCCTCTGTGCGCAGAATTGAAAGAGGTGAGAAAGTTGAAGCTGCCCATGGAGGCGAGGATGGACTGACTTGGGCAAGAATTCTCTCCCGACGATCGCTTCGAGCACACTACTCTTGCCACTGCTCTGACTCCCAATGACCACAATACTCGGCAAGGTCAAAGCCTCGTCTTCTCCGATGCTGAGCAAGATGGATCGAATCTCGATGAGGCGTCTTGTCAACAGCATGAGGTCGCCGGTCGCATCGTCGCCATTCTTGATGGGGTTGTCTTCCTCGGCATCGACGACGAGCGGTGTCGCTGCAGCCAGGGTCGCTGCTGCTACACTGAAAGGTTCGGTGTCCGGTTTGGGTCGCGGTGATGGCTCTGGTTCGGGTTCACTCGAATCTGGCTCTGACTCGGGGAAGGCTTCCCCGAACCTCTCCTTGAGCGCATTGAACCGAGCTTCTGCACCCAGCGCGGTCGATGCCCATAGCCCAGCTGCGGTACCTGATATTGTGGTGTACCCTTCTTTGGTGTTGTGGGCCAAGCTCTCGAGGGTCTCGTTCGCGGTGGTGGAGAAGCTGTCGTAGGCGGAACCGAGTCGGCCGTTGACGTCAGAGAGCAGGTCCGTGACGTTGTTCTTGAATCCTGTGAATGACCCGAGCGATTATGCACGTTAGGACGATCATCTCGAAAGGATGTTGTCATTGCGGCGCCAGGTTTCGCTTGTCGCAAGTAGCCCTCTCCCTCCCCCGCTTCTGAGCTGCCGGCCCGGCTTGGGTTCGGGAAACCGACGCGCGTCATCGCGGCACCACATTCTCGGAAGACTGACCATCTACCTTCCATTCGGCCCACGTCAAGCCGCCCACCCCGACGCCCAAACCCACCACGCCTCTCCCCGCCGTCCTACCCGCCAGTTTGCCCAAACCGGAAAGGATCGAAACGGGTCGGACATGCAGTTGCGCGCGTCGACCGCCGACGAAGGCGAAGCCGCTGCCGACGGGAGTACCGAGTGGCACTCGATGTAGGAGCGAAGGGCGCAGATGTTGACCGCCCCTTCGGAGGAGGATCGACATGGTGGGTTAGGGCTGTGTAGATAGTGGTTTGATGGGGTGGAGGCGAAGAGGGGTGGCGCCAGGAGCGAGAGAGCGAGAGAGCGAGAGAGAGAGAGAGCGAAAGCAAGAGGAGACTCGGAGCCGACGTCGCTCACATGCTCACACGTCGGCCGCACTGACCGCAGCTGACCACTACTGACCAGCTAGGATGGCAGGCTAGGACCGACCTGACACTTTCGTCGAAGCAGCCGGGCGCATAAGCCTCATAGTAGTGCATCTCAACTCGAGATCATTGCAGTAATACAAGATCAATTCCGCTCCCACCCGATGAACACAAAAACCATGTCTGCCATACTTCCCCCCAAGCACCCACAGACCGAAGAGGAAGGAACAAACATCAGTTCCGCTGCTTCCGGCGTTTTCATCTCCCCTACTTGGGTCGTACTCAGAATTGACGTGTCGCATAATTAAGAACAGGGTGCAAAGGACGAAAAGAATGCATGATCGCAACTTGTGACGCGGTCTCTGGCCGCCCACCTTGGTTCAAATCTTTCGCTCGACGTACAATCCACCGCGAATCGCCACTTTGAAGGAGGAAAAAGACCAACAAGCCAAGACACCTCAAGCTCTTTCTATCCTGTGCCCAGGCTCCGAGGCTCTAACGACCCACGCGATCCTGATCGACTCGAAGGAGACTGCCCGTCTTCTCCTTCTTCGGCACGCTCGGTCCCTCCGGATCGCACTTCGATGCAACGAACGAATGCAAAAAAAAAGCGAATTACACCGATAGCCCCCTCCTCTCGCACGCCTCAGAATATCTTGGAGATTATGATGTACGTACTGTAGCGGTGGAGGTGACCGGATGGAAGAGGAAGAGGGATTCAGCGCCGATTCGGAAAGGGCTTTCGAAGCCGAGCGAATGCTCGTTTGCTGATCTGCACAACTCGAGCTCACATCAAGAATACCAACACGCCTATGATAGCATAGGTAATCGCTTTCTGTTGGTGCATTCTGCAAGAGATGAGAGGACAGAGGAGGGTATGGGTGAGCGCTCGCTCGCTCGGATAATCTCCGAGCCTTGAAAATGCCCTCCTAGTCCAGCTCGAAAACTGACACTCTGACCATGTTGCCGATCGTATTCGACGCTCGATCGATCGAGCCGTCGGTCTCGTACAACTGAGCAATCACCGACAGCCACAATCAGCCTGACTACTTTGGTGCGCAACAAAGCAGCAGTACCCACCCACCCACCCCATCTCTAGCATGTTCCAGCACATCCCTCTGCCCCCTCAAATCCCTCAGTATGCCCGCGCCCAGGTCTTCCGTCTCCAAGGCGACCCTATGACTCTCCTGCAGTCTCCTCTGGCCTTGACTCAATTGGTCCGTCGTTGACATCAAGGCGATCCGTTGTGCTTGTGCGGAGGAAGCGGACCGTAAAGGATCTTCGGAGTCGGAAATGGGTATTGTGACGTGTGGACGGGAGGAGGTGGATAAAAGGTCGTCTCGATCTGTGGTCGCTTGAAGGCGTTTCTGTGAAGCAGGTTGCGAGGTTCGATGATTCAGTTGCGCTCGATGGGGGTTTACGGGGCAAAGCGTCGTGACGGGATTCACGATTTGTTGTCGTATCGCTGCCAAAGTGGTTGTGTGCCGCCTCAACTTGGTCTGCAGGTCCTGTTTGTCGAGTGGGTTGAGTTGGGTTTGGACTTCGATTTCCATTTGACCGATCTGGACGAAGGCATCCCGAACGCGCAAGAGAGGGTTGCATTCAGCATTCAGCACTTTCGTTCCGCTCCGATGCAGGACCCGAGCTTTCGGGCACGTGATGCGCCCCAAACTGAACTGACGATCTCGTCCGATTCATCCAATTCCATCTCCAGACGTCTCAACAGCGCCCTGCTCTCATCTGCAGGCCAAACCATCGAGCGTGAACAAGTGCCCGCTGTTCCGACCAAGTACGTGATCGTGCAACTGACCTCCTTTCGCCTGGCTCGCCTGGCTCGCCTGGCTCGCCGCTCCGTCCAACTGAGTCCGGATGGCGGTGAGGAGCGTCGAGAGGTCCTGGGCGTATTCGTCGAAAATCGGAGAGGAGGAAGAGTCCATCTTGGTCTGGGTTCGAAGGGGTGCAGGAGCGGTCGGAGTGCGGTGAGGTCAAAGAGGAGCCGAGGGGGTGTACGTGGATGGGGTGTCGGATTGAATGAGCGATCCACGTCTCGAAGAACGAGATCGGTCGTGGCAATTGGCAATTGGCAATTGGCAATCCGTGCGAGGCCCTCGGGTTGCAGTCGAGACCGCCCAAGTGGGGAGTTCCAAAACGAATCTGTGAGTAGAATGCGATGACAAGTCTGTGCCTAAAAGCAAGCCCGGGAGCACGCTGACGGATTCGATCATCGCAGATCATCGCGCTTTCTCTCTTTAGTTTCACTGATTAGGTTCGTGTTCGCGCTCTTGTGCGCTAGTGTGCGCTGCAGCTGGCCTTGCGCTCGTGGCCTTGTCCGACTTGCCTCGTCTCTCGCTCTCTGGCTCCATCGCCCGTCGCCCGTCGCCCGTCTCCCACCAACCTCTAACCAAGACCTGCAGTACCTCCAAGACTCCAAGGGTGCTCCCTACTCCCTCCTCCCTCCGAACGAACGCCACAGACCAGAACCGGCGCACACCGTACACCGCGCCTCCCCTCCACCTATACCTCTACTCTCCACCTCGTCGGGGGGACCCTACACTCTCGGAGAAGCGCGCGTCGCATCCCTCTTTCACTTCGTTCCTCCCTCGGTCTCATCGGCCTCATGAATGCAAGTCAAAACTGTTTTTGACCCACCCCGTAGAGGGCCTTCAAACCCCCCCCCCCCTACCCCGATCCCCGATCCCGGAACCCGACTGACCTCCTTCCTCCTTCCTCCCCACGCCCCCCTTCCCCCTTCCCCCCACACAGTCCTCGTTCAAAGCGCTCCTAGCCCAAGCGACGAAGGACACCACCAAATCCCAACTCGAGCTATCCCAAACCTTACAAAAGCGACAACTCGCCGCCGAAGAAGCCGAACGTACGAACCTACAAAAAGAACGTCAACGGCAAGCCGAAATCGAAAGGCGTCGTCGGGAGAGATTCGAAAGGGAGAAGGAGGAGGAGGAACGCAGGAGGTTGCGACCGCTGCCGAAGACGAGGAATTTGACAGAGTTGAAGATGGAGAGGAGGAAGAGGGGTTTGAACGAGGATGGGAGGGATGATCGGATTTTGAACACGCTCGAGGCAGTGAGCCCGGCCAGTGTACGCCCATCCCCGTAAGCGATCGGCGCTGATCCTTGTCTTCGTCAACACCAGGCCCCAGATCGACCCACATCGAAAGCGAAGATTCCCGGTCAATCCCTCAAACAGCTCATGGCCGTCGCATCCCAAATACCTCCCTCGGCCATGCGCACCAACCCCAAACCATCCTCCTCCTCTTCCTCCTCCATCAAACCCGTCCCTACGAACGAACAAAAGTTGGCGAAAAAGAGGGACGCCCTATTCAGAGAGGAAGAGGACGAAGGTCTAGGGTCCGGGAGTATGGCATTGGCGAGGCAGAGGGGGGTTTATGAAGAGAGGGAAAGGGCTAGGGAGAGTTCACCGAGAGCTTCGACTTCGACTTTGGCTTCGGGTTCGGGTTCGGGTTCGAGTTCGAAGCCGATCTCGGCCAAACAGACCATCAGAGCGGATACTGGATCCCATGGATCTGCAAAGACATTACCTCGTCCTACGAACGGTACTTTACTCTCTTCGGCCCATGGTAGAACATTCAAGAAAGGAAGCAAGAACGTTCCCGGTTTCGATCCCAGTCAGTTCGTCAAGTTGAATACGGAGAAGAGGGATACGAGGACGATCGAGGAGATTGAGAGGGATATGAGGGTGAGGAAATTGGCCAAGGGGGTGGGGATCGGCGGCGACAAGGGGATAAGTTCGGATGATATTGGGAATGTAGAGGTGAAAGCGACGACGGGGGGTACGAAACGCAAGATCGAGGGGGGACATCTGAGGACAAGTTCGAGCTCGAACGCGGCCAAGAACTCGAAAGCTTCTACCTCCACTTCAACTTCGCACAAGAGCAAGAGCAGTCGTCGTCGTTCAGAAACACCTTCCGATTCCGAATCCGATTCTAATTCGTCACAAGACGCTCGTCATCGTCAACGGCCTTCCAAGTTGTCCTCTTCCAAACCCAAAAAATCCGGTCTCGACGACTCGGTCCGGTCCGAAATTTGGCGCCTCATGGGTCGAGATCGATCCAAAGATCTGGCCCGTCCCTTCGATCTCAGCGACTCGGAAGAGGAAGGGATGGAGGTTGATGGGGAAGAATTGGAGAGGGAGGAGAGGAGGGCGGAGAGGATTAGTCGGTTGGAAGAGAGGGAGGAGGAGGAGAGGGAACGTAGGAGGAAGGAGGAGAAGGAGAGGAGGCGGAAGAGGGGGTAAGAGAGGGGGGGGGGGGGGGAGGGAAGGTGTGGTGTGGTGTGTGTGTGCTCTTCGGGATTGTAGCTACGCGTGGGCTGTGAAAAGCGACGAGCGTTTCGGGTCGTGCAGAATTGGTGCGACTGACGATCGCTGAGCCGAGCGCTTCGGAGAATCGGAAACCTGACACGAATTGCCAGGCGATGTAGTAAATCAGTTCTGTTTAGAATGCAGGTATTACTAGCAGCAGACACTGCTATGGACGATCTCCAATCTCAAGTTTCAAGTCATCAATTTCAGCTAGTCTTTTCAAGTCATGAATTCCAGTTCAAAGACCCAACAACGGTGATGAGCTCATTATGTCTTGAGCGGGGCTCCTTTGGGCCCCCTAAGCGCCCAAGACATCTTCTAGCCTCGCAAGCGCATCGCCGCACCAGTGGCGCACCCTGCACATCTCGCGGCAAGCGAGCTCCGGTGCAGCACGCTGTCCTTTTGCTCCTGCCTCTTCATTCGTGGTGGCTTCGCAGAGATGGTGAGTGCGCGTCTCGTATGCGGTGCAGTGTACATTGGCGGTGCTGGGTGTGCTATCCCCCCACTGCCAGGCTGACCGACCCGCGTCACGTCATTTGAATCTCATTCAACCACCACCCACCGCGCCCTCTCGCGCCCTCTCGCGCCCTGGGCTCTCGGCCGCGTGACACGCTCGTTCTCGCTCGTTCCCCCTTGCCCGCCGTCCCCGTTCGCACCTCCGAACGACGAACCTGGTCTTTCCCTTCCTCCCGCCCATCTGCACAGACCTCTCCCCATCCAATCATGCGTCGACATTCTCAACAAGCCCCACCACCGCCACCACCACCGAGGGACATCCATTCCTCGCCCTACGCCTCTCGCACGATGACCTCCTCCCTCTCCTCTTCGTCGACCTCCACCTCGACCAACTCGTCCTCCCCACCTAGCTCGATACAATCCCGTTCCTCTCTGGCCTTCAAGCAGGCCAACGGGGGAAGACCAGCACAGGAACGCAGTGTTCGTTCGAATCAATCGGGTGATTCGAATGCGATGATCAGGACCGTCGATCCGTTGGAATTGTTTGTGAAACAACAGAGGATAGGTCAGTTTCATCGTCGGGCCGGCTCAGCGCCAGACAGAGAGACGCTGAGAGACTTGGGGTGAAAGGGGAACCTTGCGCGGCGCGCGCGCGCGCGCTGATCAAAACACTGACGATGGTGTTTCGCTTAGGCAAGGGATCTTTTGGCCAAGTGTTTAAAGGGTTTTCGAGGCATACGCAGAGGGCGGTCGCGATCAAGAGTGAGTTGTAAAAGTATTGCCGGAGCAGGAGCAGCAGCTGGGGGTTTGTCTCGTCAGGAAAGGGGCCCCGGATTGGGTCTCGACTTGTGACGAGGAAAACTGATTCTCGGTGTTTGTGTCGCGTGAGAATAGTTATCGATTTGGAAGATGCCGAGGATGAGATTGAGGATATCCAGGTACATTTTGTGTTTGGCGAAAAGGTTGATCTCACCTCGCCGACGCTGGATCAACTGACACCCACACCCTTGCACACCAACAGACGGAAATCTCGATGCTCTCCTCCCTCGACTCCCCCTTCGTCACCAAATACGAAGGCTCCTGGCTCCGCGGCACCGAACTCTGGATCGTGATGGAGTACCTCTCCGGAGGGAGTTGTGGCGATCTGCTGAAACCGGGCGTCTTTAAAGAAGAATACATCGCCATCGTCGTGAAGGAGTTGTTGAAAGGATTGGAGTATCTGCATGGAGAGGGAAAGTTGCACAGGGATATCAAAGGTGGGTCTAGAGGATCTGCCTCCCAAGTTTTCAGGTGTTGAAAGTTGTGCTCACTCCCTTGGCGCCCGACCCCAAATAGCCGCCAACATCCTCCTCAGCTCCTCCGGCGAAGTCAAACTCGCCGACTTTGGCGTATCAGGACAACTCACCGCGACGATGACGAAGAAGAATACGTTTGTCGGAACACCGTATTGGATGTCCCCTGAGGTGATCAAACAATCGGGCTATGATTCCAAGGCCGATATTTGGAGTTTGGGCATCACGGCGATTGAGATGGCTAAAGGGGAACCACCTCATTCGCAATTGCATCCTATGAAGGTGGGTTGGAGCCCCAAGAGGCGTTCAATTATAAAGTTGGGGACCTGACAGATTCTTGCTCTATTCAAAAAACAGGTCCTCTTCCTGATCCCCAAGAATCCACCACCAACGCTCGAAGGCGCGTTTAGCAAACCGTTCCGCGAATTCGTCTCGGCATGTCTTCAACGAGATCCCCTTTTACGACCCTCAGCAAAGACTTTACTCAAGCATCGCTTCGTAAAAGGTGCGAAGAAGACGAGTTGTTTGGCCGAATTGATTGAACGACATCGGGTTTGGAAGTTGGAGACGTCGAATGGGAGGGATGAGGAGGGGGATGAAAGAGGGGATAGTGATGAGGAGTGAGTGCATGAACGGTACGCGCGCGTGGCGGAAAGATGCTGATCATTTTCATTAATCAGGGATGATGGAGCTTCGGACGATCTATGGGACTTTGGCACCGTGCGGAACGGACACTCAAAAGCCGGCGGAGGAGGAGGCACCCTACGTCAAACAGGTCCCCTCCCTCCTCGACCTCCATCATTCGAACAAGGTCGACCTTCGAACGCACCACAAAAGCAAGCGACACCGTCCGCGGCGGCGAATAGCGTCAAAGTGCGTGATTACGCGCAACCACCGTCGAGGTCTCTAAAAAGTGACGGAGGAGCGTTCGAGACGATTCGCGCTGGCGCCGGAGCAGGCCCTTCGTCATTGCCAGAGGGCGTGCTACAGTCTCCGCCGAACGGTCGAGGGGAGAAGCAGAAATACTCGACTGTTTCCTCCGTATCGACTTATTCGACCTTTGCGGCGGAAGAAGAAGATCCAGAAGCCGGGTTCGAACGAGAGAGGGAGAGGATGGGTAGGATGAGCTTACAAGCTGGTCGAGGGGGAGGACCGAATGGGGAAGAGAGATGGTCGGGCGATGGGAGTGGGAATGAGATGGGCTCGATGCGGTTGCAGGGTGGCATGGGTACGGTTAGGAGGAGTCAACAACAAGTCCAGCAGCACCAAAGAGATGAGTCGGGGACGGAGGAGGAGTCGATTCTATATACCGTCGTATTGCCCGTTTTGGATTCGGTGAGTTCTTCATGCATTCTACTCCCGCTCAGACGGTATTACTGACGCGTTGGGAGTATTCGCAGATCCACGACCGCATCACGAATGATCAAGCGAGGGATTCGGTCTTGAGGTTGAGGATGGCTTTGGAAATGGCGGAGAAGGAGGCACCGGGGTTGATCAATGTGCTGATCAGTGAGATTGTGGACTCCGTTGAGGTGCGTACCGACTCACAAGCAATTTGGGGATATGGAAGGAGATCAATCTGACTCGGGGTTTTCGGGATTGCGCAGCCTGACACGGGAGAACAACGACCGTAGTTGTTCCATCCTTCAACCGCTTTATACACACTCTCTCCCAGTTCCCAAACGCAATCCCAACTACATACCCGGCATTCAGCACACGTTCGTTTCTTATCGTGCCACCTTCCTCGGCGGAATTTTGATTTCTTCATCAATCGTCACCCGGCCCTTTTTCCGCATACACGGTCTTTGTACGCTTGTTCATCACTTGCATTCGTTCTCTGTGTCCTCTTGGCCTGGGTAGGGCAATCCAACTTTTTGACCACTCGCTTCAGTCGACCGCCATGAGCCGATGGTCTCTTCTGCTTTGTCATTGATGTATTGTACACTGTCCTACTCCGCATCGACTCGACGTGCACTGAGTCCGCCATGGGCGACGGAAGGGGTTTCGCAACGAAGCAGGCCGCGAAGGGTTCAAAGTCGTGCGAAGAGGTTCGAACAAAAGAGAAGTCGACATCGGTATACTCATTGCTCGCATACTTGCACGCCTATGCACACTTATGCAGGGGCGACAGAGGCGATACTCGTCTGCCAGTGGGGGGTGCGGGCTGCAACATGTGAGAAAGAAGCGTCGGCGTGCTTGCTGGATGGACCAAAGAGGGGGTGGGTAAAGACGTTCAAAGATGTAGTAGATCAGATGTTGGGCTTTGGTCGATGATCCCTTGGGTCGATGGCTCGAGTCCCACGCCATGTCCCGCCATCGGGGGTATGAGTTTGGGGAGTCGCGTGTGGCTCAGATGATGACCGTTTTTGAGGCCACACCTCGTTCCTCTTGTTCCTACTTTCGGCTCCGAGTTAATGGCGTCGGATGGAGCGGCAAGAGGCATCGCTCGCTTTGGTCAAGATTCTCGCGATATGGCGAAGCTCGTTTGCTTGATTGTTCGCTCCGCTCGACGATTCGATAGCCAGTGCTCAGGACTCAGTCAAGGAAGCCCTCCAGGTGCTGTCAGTGACGAGTAGCTGGGGCTTCGCTGGGGCCTGTTAGTCCCCGGGGAACTCTATCTCTGGCTTCGACCCCTCTTTTGGCCCCTCGGGTGTGTTCCTTCACCCTCCTCCCCTTTGTCTTGGTATTCTGCTTCTCCGTGTTTCTGGACGTGGCCTTTGGTCTATGTCCCCTTCCTTTCTAGGTGCTTCCTGCTTATGACCCATCTTCGCTCCAGATCTTGGGATGTGAAGCGGCTGCAGATGCACCCCTCGTTGGAGTCCGAGTTAGGTGTTCGGCGAGTTTGATCTGCGCAGCGCTCTTTCCCCGCAGGGGTTTGATTTTTCACCCATCTTCTTGTCGTCATTGCTGATAACCTCTTTTTGGCTCTTTTGTATCGGGCCCAGCCAACCCGGAGGATTGCAGTTCATGAAATAAAAAACTAGAAAATAAATAAACAAAGCGTATGCCCGCCTTCCCTCCCTAGTAGTATTCCACATCGCTTCCCCCCCCCGCAAGCAAGGGGCTTCCGAGCTCGGCACCGAAGTCTCTCCCACACGCCGATTCGGCCTTAAGCATGGTCCCTACGGCGGAAGTGACGTGGGAAGGGATCTCGGGTGGGGTGGCCTATCTTCGGCCATTGTATGCCACCAGTAGCCGAGTCGGCGATCCGATGCGAGGACGAGCTGGTCTGTGGCGGGCCGACGACGTTTTCAACTCGAGCTCCAGTGGGTCGTGGATATGACAGACTGAACACGAGGTCGTCCGATCAGTGGACACGAGGTCGGCCGATAGATGTGCGAATGCAGACCGAGAAAAACGCACTAAGTGCAGTGGCTTGCCCGAAAGAGGTTTCTCCTTTTCTTGTTCGAGACTGCGCCATAAACACCTACGAGGGACCTAGCTAGGTAGCTACCGAGATGTCTCCACGTGACAAGTCGGTGCCACCAAGTCTCGGGGAATCGGCACTGTGAAAATACCTCTTGACACACTAAAACCCTCACCGCGCCGGCGGGGCCCAAGTCCTCTTGCTCCAGCTAGCGTCGGCGAAGGCGGCGAATACCGCGACGAGCGCCTGCCCCCCGGCCCGCCCCCCCTCCCTTTTTTCCTGTCAGCAGTGGGCAGCTGATTTCCGTAGTGGTGGCTATGGTGAATGAAATCAGCCGTCTTTCTCGACAGTTCCGGGTAATGTACCCGAAGCCGTTACCCGAAACTCGAAAAAGGCTCCCTCCCACCTGCCCTTCGATTCGACTTTGTCTTTGCAGCGCAACGCATACCTACCAAGCGGCCAACCCACCAGTTGCCCATGCTTAAAATCTTCTCCCATCTGGGGTTCCCCCTCCACCTCCGCCAAGCGACCACGGCCCCGGCCCCGGCCCCCTCGCTCAAATCCTCCACGAGCGCCGCCGAAAACAAACTCGATCTCGACCCCGCGACCGAGAAGGACAGCCAAAAGGACCCTGCTGAGTCGTTGATCGAGACCGAAAAACGGGCCCTCAGACAAACGAACGCCCCCGCCTCTGCTGAGCGCCACGTCCAGGTCGACGCCGCTTTCGTCGACGTCGGTGATTTGTATCGCAGAAACGATGCGAGCGCGGAAGTAAAGCCTTCCGATAGGTGAGGGTGCACGACGCCGAGAAGTCAGGACCACAATGTAGAGCGAGTGATAATAAGTATTCCAGTAACTAACCTTCCGATAGGTGAGGGTGCACGACGCCGAGAAGTCAGGACCACAATGTAGAGCGAGTGATGAGAAAGCTACCAAGAGTAAACAGCCGCGCGGGAAGAAAGCCCCGCGCGCTCCCTAACTTAAACAGATCAAACTCCAATACCAAAGTGACTAATGACTAAACGCACGCACATCCGCGCAGATACCACAGGCACAGACACATATCAATTAACACTCCCACATGCCAAGGTAGCCAGCGAGACCATCCCGAGTCCTTCGCGATGCGTAGAGAACTTGAGCTTGGATAGGGGTTTTGTCAAGATGTCGGCCGTGTTCAGATCGGTCGGACAGTAGCGGAGATCGATATCGCCAACCTCGATTCGTTCGCGTAGATAGAAATGATGCACATTCCAATGGCGAGTACGACCTCGAGCTCCAGGATTCTTCGCCAAATCGATGCAAGGTTGGTTGTCCTCGTGCAGAACAGTAGATCGACCTTGATTGATGCGAAGTTCGGACGCCAGGTTGCGAAGACCGATAGCCTCCTTTGCTGCGGTTGAAGCAGCCAGAGTCTCAGACTCTGCTGTAGAAGAAGCGACCATCGTCTGTTGTTTCGACTTCCAGGAGATGGCAGCGCCAGCCATGATAACGGCATACGCTCCCACAGATCTGCCGTTGTTGTGATCGCAACCAAACGACGCGTCACTGTACACCTCGAACTTGGTAGAACCGCCTACGCGGTAGAGTAGCCCATAGTCGACGGTGTCAGAAAGATAGCGAAAGATTCGCTTGACGCAGATCCAGTCCCCTTCGGTTGGAGCAGCCACGCACTTCGCCACCGCACGAACAGAAGTCGCGATATCGGGACGAACACGTTGCGCAGCGTATTGTAAAGCTCCCACAGCCGATTGATATACGAGGATGTCGGAGAACGGTGCGGTAGAAGACGAGATGACGCGATCCTCCATGGGAGTCGCGACCGGCTTCTTCGACTTGTTTTCGAAAGTATAGTGTTCGAGTAAGCCTCGAATGTACTTCGATTGGTGGACGAAGATGAAATCCTTGGTTCGAACAAACTCGAGACCGAGGAACGTCTTGACCGGGCCAAGTCGCTTGAGCTTGTAGACCGCATCGAAAGCCGAAATCTCGGAGTCCAGAAAAGCCTGGTCGTTCGATGCAGCAAGCCCATCATCAACATAAAATGTGATGATCGCAAACGACTTGCCATGATACTTGAAGTACAGACAAGCATCGACATTTGAGCGCGTATAGCCGCGCTCCGTCATCAGCTTGTGGAGAGCCGCGTTCCATTGCCGAGGAGCTTGCTTGGTGCCATACATGGATTTCAGGAGCTTGAGAGCGTGACCGGGCTGAGAACCACCAGTCCATCCCTCAGGAACCTTCATGTAGACATCCTCCTCCATGATTCCGTTGAGAAACGCAGAATCATAGTCGAACTGTTCGAGGACGAGTCCGAGAGCGGCAGAAATCGCGATGAGAAACAAGATCGTCGCGATCGACGAGACAGGAGCAAACATCTCGTTGTAGTCAATCCCAAGTCGTTGAGCAAAGCCTTGGATGACGAGACGAGCCTTGTAGCTGATGATGTTGCCTTCAGCGTCTTCCTTCCGAGTGAACACCCAACGATAGCCCAGGGCGCGAGCCCCGGTGGGTAGCCTCGTAAGCTTGAAGACCTTGTGCAATTTGAATGAGCCCAACTCCTTCTCAGAAGCGGCCATCCAGTGTTTGGCCTCAGGAGAGGCCATCGCTTCCACGAAAGTCTTGGGAAGCGGGGGGTGACGAGACGAAACCATAGCAATGAGCTCTGGTGGACGACGGTAGACCGAGCGAGTAGACACGACACGAAGGGCGTCTGCACGACGCTGAGCACGCAGGCGAGTCGGTAAAATATTGCCTGCATCGACGTTCTCGAGCGCACCAGGGTTGCGGCCGACACGGTAAGGTCGATACTCGTAACCATCCTCAGGAGGTAATGGTTGATCGTGTTCCGCAGGGCCGTCGTCATCGTCACTGTCGATAGCCTCAACTGCTTCCTCGCGTCGATGATCGATCGGGTCCTCTTCAACTTCAGCGTCTTCGGCCAACGGGCCGACAGCCGGTAAAGGAGGAGGAGCAACGTCGTCATCGTCCATATGTTGGAAACGAAGAAGAGGAGCGGGAGCTGGCCGAAAAGCCGGACCAAGCTCGGGTACGAGCGCAGGCCGTAAAGCCGGATCTGCCTCGGGAAAGAGCGCAGGCTGAAAAGCCAAACCTGCCTCAGGAATGGGAGCAGGCCGTAAAGCCGGAATCTGCTCCAAGCCAGGAAACGGCAGTTGGTGTACTAACTCGTATTCCTGTAGAGGTTCAACTTCGTAGATGCGAGGCTCGACAGCCGAGTCCGCGATCGAAGGAGCCTTGTCGGAGAAGGTGACATCGGAAGAGACGACGATCTTGAAAGACCGACCGTGTTCGATGCGAACCTTGTAGTTGTACTCCCCCGAATAGCCGAGGAAAGTACCCTTGACAGTATGGTCATCGAGCTTCTTACGAATCGCCTTGGGGACGAGAATGTAGGCAGTAGATCCGAACGCGCGAAGATGCGAAACGTCGGGTTGCTTGCCGAAGAAGACCTCGAACGCAGTCTTGCCCTTGAGATGCGGGTGAGGACCGCGGTTGGAAACGAAAACAGCCGCTTCCATTGCGTAAGACCAATACTTCTTGGGAAGTCCGGAGTCCTTGAGCATGGCACGGACGAGCGCGAAGAGAGAGCCGTTCGCGCGCTCCGCTTGACCATTCTGCTGCGGCGTGTAGCGTGCAGCCAGTTCATGGGTGATGCCAAGTGCCCTGAATTCGTCGCCAAAGAGTTGGTTGACGAACTCGCCTCCATTGTCAGAACGAACAAACTTGATCTTCTGACCGGACTGCCTCTCGACCTGCGCTTGAAAGCCGCGCCAGACCTCGAGGACTTCGGATGCCGACTTCGAACCAAGTGGAAAAGCCCACTTATAGGTTGAAAGTTGGTCGACGATAACCATGTAGATGGATCGTCCTTTGGTATCGTCATCGTTGACGAATCCCAGATCGATCGAAACCCGTTGAAGAACATGTTCGGGTTTTCGACTGACATGATTGTGAGGGCCCGCGCGCGCCTTCGCGATAATGCACGGCTCACAGTCTTCAATCTTCTTGTCGAGTAGACGAATCCCAACGACAGCCTTGGAATTGACGAGACGAAGAATTGATGAAGGTGCCATGTGTCCGAATTTCCGATGCCATTCCATGAGCGAAGCTCCAACGGAGGCACGGGTAGTGGCGACGAGCACAGGCGAGGGTGGGGGAACGATCTCAAAATCGAAGACGTAACTTGGTTTCTTGGCCTTCGTCTTGACAGTTTCGGCGACGAGAGAGCCGTCAAGCCAAACCTGTTGAGTATCTCCCCCATGGCCATAAACCAATTTCGCGCCTCCAGCGCGGAGCGACGACATTGAGATGAGACCATACTTCGATCCAGGGAGGCAATACATCTCCTTGAACTCGAGAACGAGACCTTGCGAAGTCTTAACAGACATTCGCCCGTATCCAGTGGCTTGACCAAGCGAATTGTCGGCCAACTGGACTTGCATCGGGGATTCTTTGAAGTCCGAGAGCAGCGAGCGATCGCCAACGAAGTGGTGACCAGCTCCGGTATCCGCGATCCAAACGAAATCGGTATCGGGAGCTCTCGAGGACGAACCAGCAAGGTAAAGGGAATGGTGGGTGGTCATCGCAACCATAGCAGGGGCTGCAAATGACTCCGAACGCTCCTTGGCGATCTTCACGTCCATAGATGCGAAGTCGAGCCGCTCGAGTGGCGAGTGGAAGCCGCGCGATCGATCGTCGATTGCGACCTGAAGAACGGCCTCCGCAGCGGCGCTCAACGGCCTTGATGCGCAAAGATGCGCAAAGATGCACAGCCTTGGAAACAAGACGACCAATAAGACGTCGACGCCAATCCATGTAGTTTGTGGCTCGACGAATTCCACGATCACTCGTGTCGGAGGGTGTATCGGGGTCCATTCAGTAGAAGTCAATGTGGCCGTGCACCAGTCCGCCCGCCGCGGCTCCCTTTTTTATTTTATTTTTATTTTTACTGGGGCTCATAAATTGCAATCCTTCGGGTTGGCTGGGACCGCTACAAAAAGAGCTAAAAGAGGTTATAAAGCAACGGCGGCAAGCAATTGGGTGAAAGTCAAACCCCTGCGCGCAAAGAGCGCTGCGCAGATCAAAACCCGCCGAGCACCTAACGCGGACTCCAACGGGCGGTGAGTACTGCTGCCGCTTCACGTCCCAAGAGCGGGAGCGAAGATACTCGAAAACCAGGCAAGAGCGCCTAGAGAAAGAAAAGGGGAGAATAAACAAAAAATCACGACTGGAAACACGGAGAACCAGGAATACTAAGACAGAGAGGAGGGGAGGAGGAGGGGAACACACCCGAGGGGCCAAGGGAGGGGGTCGAAGCCAGAGCTAGAGGTCCCCAGGGACTGACAGGCCGCAGCCAAGCCCCAGCTACTCGTCACCCCGACAGCGCCTGATGTCCTCCCTTGGCTGAGTCTCGAGTGCTGGCTGTTGAGCCGTCGGGGCCGAGCGAAAACGATCCAATACAACGAAACGAGCCTCGCCTTGACGCGAGGATATTGACCAAAAAAACGAGCGACCTTTCTTCCCGATCCATGCCGTAGATCTTGACCAACGCGAACGAACGATGGATTCGACGGAATCCAACACACGACTTAGGAATAAAAGGAGAAGTGGCTGAAGCGTAGTCAACAACCGAGCAACAGGAACGAGAAGAGGAAGGGAAGGGAGAAAGGGGAAAGAGAGGGGAGAACTTCACAAAGCCTCCAACGCAACGACGATCGACCCGGCTTGCCGATCCATCCAAGAACGAAAACCGCTACTGCACAAAGTAGAGAGAGGGAGAGGTGCGCAGCCTTCCACTGCGCAACAAGTTTCAAGACAGTCAGCTTCTGAAAGAAAAGTCGACCTCCGAAAAGGAAGGGAGGAAAGGAGGGGAGAGAGAGCAGGGGAGGAAAATGGGAAGGAAGGACTTAACTCGGTCATCACACCTCCCAATCTCGAGCCCCAGGCACAAAGCCCGCTCGAGAGAGAAAATCTCGCTCGAACGCTCTGAGCGCACTGGGAAGCGAGGGAGAAGCCACGACGTTGTCCAGCTCGAACCGCTGATGAACGCGCCAGCGGAGCAGGTGCAGCCGCTGGATACCGATCGCGCAGGCCAGCCGAACCCACATCCATTTCGAGGTCGTTCTCCCACGACCCCGCAAAAGGGGGAGCCCCATAGTCAGCTGCTCCGGAGTGAACGTCGACGGATCGACGTCGGTATCCTCGATGCCGAGCTTGTCAAGCAGAATGCGTAGCACCCCACCCCAGAAGCTGGTCGAGTACGCGCACTCGAAAAAGTAGTGGGACACCGTCTCGATGACCGCTGCATCGTTGCCACAGAACAGACACGTCGGCGAAGAGGCATGACCCTGAGTATGCTGCCTCTTGCGCGTCGGCGTCACGTCGTACATGAGCCGCCAGTGGGTGTCCTGCTCGACAGCAGACGCGAACCGGTCATGAAGCCATCTCCAGAAGCGCTTACCCAAGCCACCGTCCTCCCGAGCCTGGAACACGAAATCGCGAGCGACGGTATTTCGCCCTGCTCCTCCCCAGACAAAGTCCGTAAGTGCCGTCTCCGCCGCCTTAATGAACCATTGAGGCGGTATGTCGAAGGACAGCACGTGGAGGACCGTCGAGATGATGTGAGCGTTGGCATAGAAAACCTTCCCACTCGGCGAAAGTGTCCGGTCTCGAGCGGTGCGGGCCTTGGCCTTGATCCTGTCAAGAACATGGGTCCAAAACAGTTTCGAGTCACCGTGGCGAAAGAAGGCATAGCCGCACCACTTGAAGCTCTCCCCCTCCTGCACCGTTGGCAGCGCCTGCGCAGTCTCGTCCCGAAGCCAGTTCGGTCCGAGTGGTAGCACCAGCGTCTTGTCCGTGTTGGTCTTCCCGTTGGTAGCCTCGTACCACGTCTGCGACAGCGTTTGCAGCTTCGACAATGCCGCCGGTGACTCCACCACCACCACAGCATCGTCGGCAAACGCCAGATGCGTAAGCTGCGCACGCGGCCCCCCCTGGCCACACCTTCTGCAGGTCGAGCGCGATCCCGCGCCGAACGAGGGCGTCGAGGAAGGGCTGGAACGTGATTTTCCAAACCGGGCACGAGAGGGGATCCCCCTGACCGAGACCACACAGCAACCGCACCAAGTCCGTGGGGAACCCATTGACAAGGTAGCGCACCCCCAGAGTCTCGGGATCGTAGAGAGCGCGCAGCAGCGAGATGAAACGCTCACCGAACCCAAAGGCCTCAAAGACCTCGAAGATCCAGGCGTGATCGACCCGATCGTACGCGCTCTGCTGATCCAAAGACAAGAGGGCGCCCTCGGGGAAAACATCAGTGCCTAGCGACTTGAGTTTTTCGAGAAGGAGAGTGAGATGACTTCCCGCGTCCGCTGAACGTCTTGATGGCATGAAACCGTGTTGCGCCGGCGGCAAAAGCTCGCCGAGCACCCCATTGAGTCGCGCCACCAAGACCTTGCTGAGGACCTTGTAGGTCGTCTCGCGCAATGTGATCGGTCGGTATGCCCCCAGTGATTTCAGATTGGCCCCCGGTTTATTCTTGGGCAAGAGCCGCACCAGCCCCTCTGCCAAGGACGCCGTCATTTTGCCGCCCTCCCAAATCGAGTTGAACAAGTCCAACAGCTTGGGAGCAAAGTAGGTTGGCAGCGCCTTGAAGAGTTCGTACGGAATGCCCGAGGGCCCCGGTGATCGCCCCGAATCCGTCTTCTTCAACGCCGCTTCAACCTCGAGGAGGGTGAAGGGCTCGTCAAGCGCCACTCTCGCTTGACGAGGTAGCCGACGACCGAACGTAGGGTCCGAGCGGTCGTCATCGTAGCATTTCGCTGCGCGAATAGGGTCGAGCAGGGACCGGCGTGCGTTCGTCGGGTCGCCACGAGCTGGGTCCGGCGTGAAGAGCGACTGCGCGTGCCGTGAAGCAATACCCAGCGCCTCCTGCATGTCAACGGTCTCGGTGCCATCCACATCCTCCAGCGAGACGATGCTCGTCTGGCGACTCCGGCGGTTGAGGCGCGTGCGAATGCTTGCCGATTGACCTTCCCTCGAGTCGACTGACGGCACATGCGCACGAATGCGCAGCCACTGAGCCTCCTTTACCGCCAACTGGTCCAACCGCGACTTGGCAAGAGCATACGCATCGCGCTCGGCCTCATTCATGTGCTCACCGCGTGCCTCCAAAGCCTCCATGACGGATTGGCTCTCGGCCCGCAGTCGGCGCATGTCGGCACGAGTCGAGCGGTATCGTGCATGGCCAGCGACTGCAACCGCCCGCAGAGCGGCGTCATAGACGTCGCCGAGCGGAGCGGTCCCCTCGAGCCTTCGATAGACCTCGTCGACGACCCCGGGAATCGATGCGACAAAGTCTTGATCGTCAAAGACCATTGGGTTGAGCCTCGAAATGAAATCGCTCGTGGAGGGAAGAGAAAGGGGGGGGTTCGGCATCAGCGTTCGATGTAGGCAAAGCGAAAGTCGCAACTACAGGTCTGTGGTCCGAACAGGGCGCATCGAAGAGCGTAGAAGCGCTCAACAACCGGTTCGCCCAACTGCATTGGACAAGAATATAGTCGATCCGCGACCACGAGCAAATCTTTCGCTCTTCCCCTCTACCACGGTAGTGAGGACGAGTGAATGCAGGGGTGCAAGGATGGACATGTCGGACCGTGTCGAGTGCCTTGAACGCGATCTTTGACAGCAAGGTCTGCCAGAATGGGAGGGAGAACCGCCGCCGGCTTGACCCGGGTGCGCCGCTGCTTTGACCTATTCCCGCTGGTTGAGTAGCTCAGAGGTCAGAGCAACTCTAATTAATGGAGTGGACCTGAGTTCGACTCTCAGTTCAGCCAAATCTTCTTTTGTTCTTCGTAACACTCAGTTCCGGGAATTCCCATTTCCCAACTCATTCCGATGGTGGTGCGATGGGAATCGCTTTACTGACCCGGGCCTCCTACGCTACCCGTTGCGCTCATAACCTATCGCAGAAACGATGCGAGCGCGGAAGTAAAGCCTTCCGATAGGTGAGGGTGCACGACGCCGAGAAGTCAGGACCACAATGTAGAGCGAGTGATGAGAAAGCTACCAAGAGTAAACAGCCGCGCGGGAAGAAAGCCCCGCGCGCTCCCTAACTTAAACAGATCAAACTCCAATACCAAAGTGACTAATGACTAAACGCACGCGCATCCGCGCAGATACCACAGGCACAGACACATATCAATTAACAATTTGGACCCCGAATTCCTCGGCCCGGACGGCAAGGAGGTGAGCCCGCCTCCGATGCTCGGGTCGAATGGATTCAAGTCACATATGTCGATACGTTGTGCGCGATGGCTGCCAAATACCCCCCCTCTGTTGCTCTATTTGACCCACGAGGACGTGGACGGCTTGCCGAGTCGCGACCAGTGGGCGTAGGCGCACTCTAGCCAAGACTTCAGGTCGAGGAGCGAGTGCCAGAGGGGAGCCGGGGAGACAGGGGGTGTTGCGCGCGCACGTGCTCCGGGGCCGGGCGCTCGGGAGGACAGCGAGCACTGACGGGCGCGCCGACGTGCCGAGAGGGACGGCCGCGGCCCCAAAAGTCGGCGTATTGATGTGGATGACTAGCTCCGCATTTGTTTCCCGAGCTAACCTGGTGACGAAATTTTCCGCGGGACCCCTAGCGTGTCATCCAAACCGCCCACGATTATTCGACCCGGTACGTACGGGCACGGCCGTCGAACATCCCTCGGGCTCTCCGATTGAGCTGAACTGACGCCAGGTCACGCGGTACCTTTTCACAACCCACCCCCCAACGACAGCCTTATCTCGCTCGAGGATGATCAGACGCTTCCCGTCCACACGCTCCGCATGTGGACGATCGGTCTCGGACTGACGTGCTGTACGTCGTTCGGGGACGTGGTTGGTCTCCTCTCCGCCGAGTCTGTGTGCTCACGGAGCTTGCAGCGCTGACGCCAACCATTGGCATCTCGATGAACTCCTCCGCATTGTGATCGACCACAAAACCAAAAGTTGGCGCCATCTTGGGCGAGATTCTCACCTTCCGACCCCAGGTGTACGAAGTCTCAAGTCTGTTCCGTACGTGCTCGGTCTTCCCAGGCGGCTCCCGCAGCACTTCTCAATTGATCCCGTGACCCCCGGGTGGCGCACCTCCACGCAGTGCAGATCATCGCCTACAGTACGGGAACGAAGCTTCCAGGTTTTTCACAGGCGGTTGCTGGAAACACTGATTGGGAAACCCCACCCTCCACTCCCCGTGGGGGTCTGGCCCCGTTCGAACAGTTATCGGCACCGCGTGGCACCGGATCCTCCCCAAGGCCGATCGGGGTCGCATCTGGGCCGTGCTGAACCCGGGGCCGTTCAACATCAAGGAACACGTCTGCATCACTGTCATGGCGTCGACGGGGAGCAGTGGTGCTCTCGCCATCTCCACCTTTGCCGTCGAAAAACTCTACTGTACGACTCGGTCAACTCGTTCCCGAGAGGCGTCGCAGCTGAGCGACCACGCCTTCGTCCTTTGGTAGACAATATCACCCCCAGCTACGGAATCGCGATCTCGACGCTCATCGGTGAGTGAGCTACGGGTCACATGCCTTTTGGCCCCGAGATTGACCAAGGACCCCTCTTTCCCCACCCGTGCAGCGTCCCAGTTCTTTGGTTATAGCCTCGGTGGTCTGTACCGCTCCATCCTCGTCTACCCCACTTTTGCAGTTTGGCCCTCCCTCATCCCGTCCGTGAGCCTGCTCGAAACGTTGCAGTGAGTACGCATTCCTTTTTGATTGTGTGGTTTTCAAGACGATCGAACGAAGGTCACCCCGCCGCCGCGGGTCAATTTTGCTGCAGTCGTGAAAAGGATCTGCGCTCGCAGCGGCGCCGTTACAAGTTCTTTTGGATCGTGAGCTCTCCCCGCGTTGCTTCCCGGTCGGTTCTCCGCCAAACCCTTCCTAACAGCCGTTCACTCTGCTTACTTTGTTAGGTATTTGCGTGTATCTTTGTCTGGGAGTGGTTCCCCGAGATCATCGCCCCGACGGTGACGGGGATCAGCATCTTTTGGTGCGCTTCAGCTAGGCGCATTCTCGATCCATCATGCTTTCGGAGCTGAACCCCTCGCATTCATCGCGGCAGTCTCGTCGACCGTACGAACCCCGACTTCACGCGCATCTTTGGGGGCACCAACGCCAACGAAGGACTTGGCCTCTTTTCCATCGGGTTCGACTGGCTACAAATCACCTCGGGTGCGCCTGCGCTCTGTTTGGAAGTGCCGTGCCGCCCGCTCGAGTAGCAATAACTGAAGCCGTGCTTTTCCTTCTCTTCACAGCCACACTGTACCTCCCCTGGGCAACGATGGTCTCGCAGGGAATTGGGGTCGTGCTCTGTTTCACCATCGTCGTGTGGGGCTAGTGAGTCTCGGCGCTGCATGCTGCGCAATTCCAACGCGCCAGCAAGTGTCGCTGAGAAATTCGCCCAATACGCCACTACCTTACAGCTTTACCAACGTCTGGAACGCCAAAAATTTTCCTTTCATGGGTCAGAGTCTTTTTCACGAGGTCAGAGACATACTTAGCTCGGACGCTCCTCCCCGACCCAGCCGGAGCTCATGCCGAAACTTCTGCCCTGCACCTATCCTTCTTCCAGAATGGGAGCATCTACAACGCCAGTTTAATCCTCGATTCAAAATTCGATCTCAACAAAACCGCGCTAGCGGAGCAGGGTAGGTGGTGACCGCTCGAAGTGAAATCTCGAGCTCGCAACCGCAAGAACAGCTGATCCGGCGCCGAGTCGACCCCAACAGGTCTTCCCTCTTACGCTTGGAGCAACGCAGGCAAGTCTCCCTGACGATGCACGACAGTCGAATCAACGTTGACCTAGTATTATTTGCAGTGCTATACTTTGGGCTCAACCTCAGTATCGGTGCATCCTTTATGCACGTCTTTGTGTAAGTTGCACAGCGAACTAGCAGAGTCAATTGATCAACGCTGACTGCGATGACGAACCTCAGATGGTACCGCAAGGACCTCGTCGAGGCGTGGCGCCAATGGCGCTGCAAGATTCATGACGACCCGCACTACATGAAGATGCAAGCATGTAAGCAAGCTCTTCCTGATAGACCTGTCGAAGCCGTCCTCGAGCTGACGAAGAACCCGTCACGATCCACCAGATCCGGAGTGTCCGATGTGGGTCTACCTCGCCACCGCCATAGGAGCATTCGCGGTGGCTCTCGTGACGCTCTACGCTGGTCACTCGGGTATGCCTTGGTATGCACTGCTCATTGGTGTTCTATTTGCGCTCGTCGAGCTGCCCGGTGAGTCTGCTCGCAGTCATCGGATTTGGGAACCCCTGACTCAGGTTGGGCTTCGCGAGGGGCAGTATTGTCCATCATGACCGCCGTCACCGGGTTTCACAGCTCGGGATCGACCCTGTGCCAAATGTGAGGGAAATGAATCTGTACTTTGCTTGACGGAGCCGTATTTGATCTTTGAACTCGCATGCCAAAATTTGGTCGTTCGATAGGCTCGGAGGTGCGCTTGTGCCAGGCAACGCTCGTGCGAGTCTATATTTCGGAGTGAGCGGGATCAATCAACTGAGTCAGTCGAGGAGCGATCTCTGAAATTTTGTTCTATTATCGTAGCTCTACAGCAGCAACAGCGTGGCGCAGGGATCTCTGATGGTCAAGGATCTTAAAGTGAGCTACTCTCCGACTGGTCACGAGACTAGTGGCGACTGACTGGACAGCTTCTGTCGCAATCGCTTTCGCAGCTCGGCCAGGTGAGCCTACCGAGCGTTTTCATAGCTGTGCCAACCTGTTTATGAAAGTATTCGGGCATTATCGTGTTGGAATTACTCGCAGTATACCAAGGTAAGCACGTGCTGCTCATCTCAGCTGCGATTTCTTCCTTGCGACGCTGAAGCAATCAGCACGTTCCGGTTTTGCCGATACAGGTGCCACCACGTGCATTGTTTGTGAGTGAGCTCATACACCTCGGAGGAGCTTACCTTGAGCCAAAGGTGATCCAAATATTGGCTTTCCCGGTGGTCGCAGGCGGTTCAAACCGTCGGTACTCTTCTCGGATCGGTCCTCAATCTCGTCGTCGTCAGTCTCGCTTCCTCGTCGAGTTGCTCGCTTTCACCGGCTGAGCTAAGAAAGACGATTTCACGCCGCAGATGAACTCGATCGTCAGCTCGCAGCGTCAAGTCTTGCTCAACGTCGAAGGAACCAATTTATGGTCTGGTAATGTGGTGCAGTCTTACAACACTCAGGTACTTCCGCTTCAGCAATAGGTCACCCCGAAAGAGCGAGATGCTGATTTTCCCGCGTCGAGGCTTTTTTCGTTTCCTTGCTCAGGCTATCGCGTGAGTCTTTGCTTGTTTCCGCTAGCTTGTTGATCTCAAACTAAAGAATGCTTTGAAAACAGGTGGGGAGCTCTAGGCAAAGAGATGGTCATTTGAACCTTGGAACATATCAGCGCCGCTAGTTGGGCATGAGCTGACCTTCGACTCCTGGCACCCACCTCGTCGCAGTATGGTCCCCGTAAGTAATCTTCGGCTCCACGATTGACCCCAAGAATTGATCTTGAAACATTTTTGCGCCTTGCTTTTAGACAACAAATACTTCATCATACCCCTCGGAATTCGTAAGTAGCGTTGAATTTTCGGATCGCGCTCCTTGTACTGCCACATCCCACCCCACCCGTAGTCCTAGGCCTGCTCGTCCCCCTCCCATTCTACATCGGTCACCACTTCTGGCCCAGTTTCCGCCTCAATCAAATCGTTACACCCGAGATGTGCAGATGCCTAGGCTATCTCTCGGTACGTCCCCATTCCCAAGGGACCACTCTCTACCCCCCCGTACTAAGACGTGGTTTTCTTTCTCGGTCCAACTTCAAAGGTCGGTATCAATTCCAGCGTTTTCGTCTCGTTCCTCCTCGCGATCTACGCGCAGTTCTACCTCCGACGAAAACGCTCGACTTTCTTCCGCAAGTACAATTACTTGATGGCCGCCGCTCTGGATGTGAGTAAATCCCATTAGTGATCAGTGTGAACCGTTTCAAGTTGCGGCGTTCGATTGAAAGTTCTTCCTCCCTTTGGTCATGGCGATAGGGTGGAACGGATTTCATGATTTTCCTCTCGACCTTCACCATAAACGGCGGCGCAGGAAAGCAGTACACGTTCCCAAATTGGGCGATGAATCCAAAAGGCCACTACGATTGTAAGTGACCGCTCTGTTCCCTTCCTTTTCCTTCTGGAGCGGATGATGCCAGTGAAATTGATAATCCTTGTGGACCCGGGGATGGAGATAGATTGCGCTCCTCTTCCCAAGTTCGAGTAGCTGTTTGCTCTCAAGGGTTTTGTAGATTCGTTCCCTTTTCGTATAAACACATGATCGTGAACCCATTTTGTCAATCGAGCCGATCTTTTTCTAAAGGAAATCGTCGGGAAGTGCCCAGGAATTCATTCTTACTGGACGCCATTTACTGATTTGCTTGCGAAATGTGGGCTTGATTAGCTTTCAAATTTCGGATAGGTATTTGAAAAGAGGGGAACAATTCTTTGGTCTACAATCAGAAAGGAACAAAAAAGAAACGACAGAAACGAGACGACCTTGCCGATGATCATGCCCTGCGAATCCCAACAAAAAACCTCAAAGTCAGCACGCGCGCTCCTTTCGACAAGCCAACCTTGACGTGAATTGGCTCACATCCTGTATTCCCTTGTTTCGGAAGCGGGATGAGCGTTGTCCAATCTGTAATCGACGGCGATGTCGAGGTCGCGAGGGTTCTTGGCGTTGGGCGCGATCGAGATCGTTCCCTTGACGGCATCGTCTTCGCGTACGGTCAGAGTTTGCCCGAGGTAGAGCACGGTTTCTAACAGGAGTGAAATACGGAGATTTCAGTTTTGGCATGTACGACCATTGGTGATGGGAAGGGGACCAACTCACGTTTCCAATGGGTGTACCGCGCATGCGGACCGGTCGAGAAGCCAATTTTGGTATGGCACGCCTTGAAAGCGACGTCGAACCAGCCCAAAATGGCATGAATGTAATCGTTCCTTGTCGCGACCAATTCGAACGGCGCGACGAACTTGAGGTCGTCCTTGGTGATCTTCAATAGGTCGAAGGTGGCGATCTTGCACGGTTTGGTGACGACAGCTTTGAGGTCGACGGTATCGACCAGAGGTTCCTTGAGGGCGATCTCCTTGATGCAGGAGTAGTCGAAGCCGTAGACGTCGTCCCAGACTACGCAGAAGCAGATTAGAAGCGTCAGACTCGTCCTTCTGCTGGATGAACCCCCCAAAACTGACAGCCAATCTTTTCTTCCTTGTAATCCTGGTCCTCGATACCCGCCAGATACATGGTCGCCTCGTCAGGGAACATCAATCCTCCCGGGTTGAGGTATCGGTCGCGGGCGTAGAGGACCGAATCAAACATGGATTCGTACAGAAGGAAGTAACCCATCCATTCGGAGATGATGATGTCGACTTTGTCAACGGGGAGTACGACTTCTTCCATCTTGCCCTTGATAAGGGTGATGGCTGCGCGCCGCGGGTGGGTGTTTTGAAAAAGAACGGTCAGGGGAAAAGATGGTTCTTCAAGATGAAGCGTCCGAATACTGACTATCGGAAAAGCCGTTGGCGGCGACGATCTTTTGTGCCTGGTCGATGATGTTGGACATGTCGACACCGATAACCTTCTTGGCCCCGGCCTGGGCGGCAAACATGCACAGGATACCGGTTCCACACCCGACGTCCAGCACGACCTTGCCCCTGTAGGGGGGGAGGGGGCAAAGTACGAGTTTTGATCAGCGAACAGATCAATACGCATGTCGGAGGAAGCCGAGACGGACTTGAAGAGGTGCTTGTTCTGGGTCATCGAGTTGCGGTAGTTCAAGGTCCTGACCTCGTCCTTGAGCATCTCTTCGTGGATGCCGAAATGGGCGTACGAGTCCGAGTAGTAGTCGCTCGAGGTCATGCCGCCCTGTGGGATGAAGAAGGCAGGTGGGTTCGACGGGACTATCCCTTCAAGACCGAGTGAGTTGAGACCTACGTTGGCGGTGGCGGTGGAGGGCGGAGCACCCGGAGCGTTCGAGTCGAGATCCATCGACATGGTTGCGGTCAATGTGGCTTGGAAGAGTCAGGGACGGGAGCGAATCAAGAGGGCTGTGAGAGGGTGTGGATAGTCAGCATCCAGTCTGAGGAATCAGATGGTCTCAACACGTCGGCAGATTCTCGACGATGTCCGGAGCAGCTCCCGGGAAGAGGCCGAGAGGTGGACGAGCACGACACGACGTGTGATGATGGTCACGGGAACGACATTTCCACAGCAGCACGGTTTTCGATGCCGAGCCGATGGTCGGCTTTGAGAGCTCGTACGGGTCGCCGTGGACAATTTGCGAACCGAGCGAGTGCGAACCGGGACCCGCGTCCGAGAGAAGCTGGGCTCCCCAAGGGAGTAGCAAGCCTATGACGAGGCGACTCACGATGTACGAAGGCTTTAGAAGGAAGCCTCGAGATACGATCTAGCGTTCGAATAGAATGTGGTGCGAGGACAGCAAAGACAAGCCGGTCGCGAGGCCACGCGCTTCAACTTGGTCTTGGTGCGACTGCGGATCAGTTTGGATTGAGCCAGATTGAGCCGGCTGCGAAGTCACGGCGAGGCGTGCGTGCGGAGACTGTGCGGAGCCGGACGAGGCCACAGGCTAATGGGCTGGCAGCCTGAGACGAGGCCAGCCAGAGACGAGGCCGGACGAGGCCGGACGACTCGACCGACGCACGCGCCCCCGAGGCGTGGCTCAAGCGCTCAGGCTGGCTCAAGCTGGCTCAGGCTCTGCACGAGTCGGCAGGCTGGGCTCAGGCTGGCTCAGGGGAACAATTTGGCCTGATCGCGCGGCGACAGCTGAGGCAGACGCAGCTTCAGGCGTAGCTTCCTCTTGAGCGCTTCATCCCCGCCCAGCACCCACAACGACCACGATGCAGTCCCTCAGCTGGTTACGGCCTCTGGTCAGAACAGCGGCCACCTCGACTTCGGCCTCGTCGACTCGGATAGCCACCGCAGCTGCTTCGCGACCGTTGTCCTCGTCCGCGTGCAGCTGCCAACAGACCGAATCCACCCCTTCCTCTCCCGCATCCTCCTCCTCTTCCTCCGAGGTCCCCAGCGAATCCGGACCACCGCAACAACAGCTCCGCTTCGACCTGGGCACGCCGAACCTGCGCATGTTGCAGACGATGGACCGCGCCTCGTTGAGCTCGTTCGACCCGATGCTCGACATCCACCCGGCCAAGAAGCTCTTCATCCCGCGAGCCGAATCGGGCAACCTCGCGGACCTGAGCATCGTCCTCCACAACGACGACTCCACCAACCAGGGCTACCAACAGCCCAGGCCCAAACCCGAACACCTCACTTCGACCCCCGGCGAAGACGATTCGGTCGCCCATTTGAGCGCAGTCACTCAGCTGACCCCGATCGAGATCCGCAACCTGTACCGTTTCCCGCTCATCACCAAACGCGTCGTCAACATGAAGTCCAAGGGCAAGATGCCAGCGATGTACTCGCTCGTCGTTGTCGGCAACGGCAACGGCCTCGTTGGCGTCGGCGAGGGCAAGGACGATACCGCCAACAAGGCCGTCGGCAAGGCCTTCAACCAGGCCGTCAGGAGTATGGACTATGTCGAGCGCTACGAGGATAGGACCATATGGGGTACGATGCAGAGCAACTTTGGCTCGTGCCAGATCCACATGAGGTCCAGGGCACCCGGTACGTTCAACGCAGCATGGCCTTTGCCCCCTCTTTCTCAACTCGCCCAACTGACCCATCCATTCCCCGACTGCATCCATCAGGCTTTGGTCTCCGAGTGAACCACTACATCCACCAAGTAGCCAAGGCAGCAGGGATTTCGGACCTGAGCGCCAAAGTTCATGGATCGCGCAACGGGACGCGCGTCATCAAGTTGGCCGTCGCGATGTTGCACGGTGGTTCGACACCCGTCGGTCAGTCCAATTTCCCCCCTTCTCATTTCTTCTTCCTCACTGCGTCTTACTCAGAAATCTCACTTTCATACTATGACCCGCGCAGACATGGGTGGCTTCGGGCAAACCAAGGGACAACGCAAGAACAAAAAGACGAGAGGGATGGCCACCGCGGACGAGGTCGCGAGGTTGAGGGGGAGGAAGGCCGTCGTGTTTTAGAAGCGTCGTAGAAGGGAACAGTCGGGAAGGGCGATACGCAGTGTGTGTAATGAACGAGACGGACGTCTTGTCGAGCGAAAGGTGTCGAGTTTGAGCTGTGAGAGGGGTTTCTCGGCGGCAGTGAATCAAGTGAGATGGTTGGACGTGACTTTCGAAACGCGAGGTTGGAGCGCGCTTTGCGAAAGGAACAATGTCCGGTTCGGTCTTGACGCAGGCTCAAGCATCATCGCTTCATCATTGCACAACGAAAAAAGGAGCGGTTGCGCGATCGAGCCGCCTTTGCTCCGATCGGCAGGAATGACCTGGGTGAAGATGGCGCAGATGTCGGAAACGAGGAAGTCAAGTTCGGGCCCGAGCTTGGAGGGCTCAGGAATGGTGAAGAAGAATTCCGTATCGTCAAAGTGGGTGATGAGCGTTCTTTCGACCTCCGAGTCGGCACGTGGGACCGACGGGTGATTCGCTGGTGGACGCAGCGTGATTCGGATAGGATTGGGGGGGGATCTTGTCACGGTGATCGGGTGTTGAGCCTCGCTTCTTGTTCGATCGACGGGTCCACCGTCCAGGGGTTGGTGACGGCGGAAGCATGGGGGGAGACGCGCCTGGGAGCGAGGTTGAGTCACGACGAGGGGACCGTGCGCGCGCCTGGCCCTGCCTGGCCCTGCCTGGCCTCGAGTCACTTCGCTCGTCATCGCGCCAAAGTCGCGGCGCGCTCCACATCCTCCGTCCACACTTGCACCTCTTGCGCGCTTCCCTCGCTGCGGGCCACGATGAACGTCCATGGAGGTACGATCACCTACGAGGCGACTTATGCCGTACCTGCCCCTACAACAGCGTGAGTCACCTTGCCTGTGGCTGGATGAGCACCGGCCAGGGTGCCAGGGTGCCAGGTGCTGCTAGATGCTGATGCTACACTTCATTTTGCCATATCACCATCATGCTGATTCGAAATGTGCTGTTCATACGATGCCCTGCTCTGCATGCTGCCGCCAACCTGGCCGACGTCGACCCCCCCACTTGCGGACACGACCGCTCTCGATACCACTCATTGCGCTGCGAAACAGCCGCGGTGTTTCGACGAAGCTCGGTGCCTCTGCGGATGGAAAGCAAATCTCGTACGGATCCGGTCGATCCGCGATAGTGCGGTCGCTCGACCCCGGTGGACCCACTCTCTCGCTCGGCCACGCCGCGCCCGTCACAGTGACCAAGATCATCTCCCCTTATTATGCCGCTTCGGGTGATGCCTCGGGAGCGCTCAAAGTATGGGACACGACCGGCAACTACTCGCTCAAACTCGAGGCCAAACCCATCAGTCGCATCAACGACATCGCCTTTGACGGCGAAGGGAAGCGACTCGTCGTCGTCGGGGAAGGGCGCTCGTCCTGGGGCGTCACCTTCTCCCTCGACACCGGTTCCTCGATCGGAGAAGTCGCGGGTCATTCCAAAGTCATCAACAGCGTCGCGATGCGTTCCCAACGACCTTTCCGAGCCGTGACGGGCTCGGACGATTTCTCCGTCGTGCTTATGAACGGCGTCCCCTTCAAATTCACCTCGCAATCGCGACGTCACCAACGCTTCGTCCAGTCGATGGACTATGCCCCCGATGGCAAGCTCTTCCTCTCAGCCGGCAGTGACGGGAGGGTGTTCCTCTACGATGGAGCGACGGGTGAAGACAAAGGAGAGTTGATCGACGGCGAGGCGGCCCATGCATCCGGTGTGTATGCGGGAGCCTTTTCGAGAGATTCGAAGCAGATCGCAACGTCGGCGGCGGATGCGCAGGTCAAATTGTGGGACGTTGAGACGAGCAAGGTTGTCAAGTGAGTCACCACCACATTTGGGAGGGTGAAGGGGGTGCATCGGGAACTGACGAGGGGTGTTCGGCGGCAGGGCGTGGGACTTTGCTTCGTCCGGCAACAGCCTGCAGCAGCAGCAAGTCGTGAGTCGCAGTGAAGGGGACAGACAGCTTCTTCGTGTATGACTAATCACCTCGGATCTCATTACACAGGGCAACATCTGGGCCGGCTCGTCGATCGTCTCCCTCTCCTTCTCCGGCAATCTCAACGTACTCGACCCGCGTTCCGACACCCCAATCTCGACACTGTACGGGCACCAAAACCCGGCCACAGCCGTCATCGCCGACCCTAAATCCTCATCGAACTTCTTCAGCGGTGATTCGACGGGTCGGGTGTTGCGCGTTGAAGCATCGGGTCGGACGGAACCGCTGGAGAATGCGCATTCGGGTTTGGTCGTTGATTTCGTCGAGGACGGCAAGGGGACGATCTATTCAACAGGTTACGACGACACGATTAAGACTTTGTCGGGTGGGACGGACTTCGAGTGAGTTGTGGAGAGTAGTCGGTAACGAGGAAGTTGTTTTCCTAACGACCTCGCACTCTAGCTCCAAAACGCTCCCTACCGCAGGCCAGCCCAAGGGACTCGCAGTGTCGACCTCGGACGGTACGCTGTACGTCGCGACCTCCACCGGAGTCCAAGTCATCGTCGGCGGAAGCAAGATGTCCTCGACCCCAGTTGCCTCAACCTGCATTGCCGCCTCCTCGGACGGTGCCTACATCGCGGTCGGCACCGAACAATCGACCGTCGTTCTTTTCTCGTCCAAAGACAAGTCGTCCCTCCAACTCCTCTCGACGATCGAACTTCGCGCTTCCGCTAGTTCCCTCGCCTTCTCCCCCGATTCGACTCACCTCGCAGTCGGTCTTTCGACGGGCAAGATCCCCTTGTACGAAGTTGCTTCACAAAAACTCGTTCATTCGCGCTGGGCCGATTCGACGGCGCGAATTCACGCGCTCGCTTTCAATCAATCGGGAAGACACCTCGTCGCCGCGTCATTGGACGAGAGTGTTCGGGTCTATTCACTCAAGAATCCTTCGATCGTTTTGGCGAGTAAGAATGCGCATAGAGGCGGAGTGAGTGGTGTGGTTTGGAATGGGGAGGAAGGGTTGGTTTCGGCCGGCGCGGATGGGGCCGTCAAGAAGTGGGGGGTCAAGTTTGCTTAGGTTGATTGGGTTAAGTTGAAGGGAGTCTTGTATTGTTGTGTAGAGCAGCTTGGATGCGATTAGCTGATATCTGTAAATGGGTTGACCAAGTGTGATGTTGTGCGCAAGTGCTTGCGCTCATGTTTCAGAGTCGAGGCATTTCGACTCTCGGTTTTAACCGTGGGACATGCTCGAACATCCAGGAGACCAAGACATGGTTGCTGAGGGAGAACCTTTGGGCGTGTAAACGAGAAGAGTACTTCGTGGCAAGAAGAGGGCACATTCAATCCGGGCCAGTAAGGGAGAACGGGACATTCACTTCCAACGCGGTCAAAGTTCATCCGAGGAATTCGTTCGGAACTCGCTGGAACAACACCGATCAAGACTCGGGGCTTAGAAACGATGAATTGTGTTTGCACGTAAGAAGGAAAGGAATGCTCTAAGGTTGCCAGATGGTGTCGCAAGTGCGCAGGGTAGTGGTTGAAGATCTACAGATTGGTCTCAAAACCTTTTGGAAATGAGAAACCCCCTCCCCCTCCTGGGGCAGACCCCTTGAAAGCGACCGCTCGCAGTGCTTTTGGACCCTGCTTCTCCCTGATGCCTTGCCGCCCTCGCGAAGCGCGTGTTCTCCTTCCGCTTTTCCCTCTCTCTCTTTGACATCTCTTGCTGCTCCCTTTAGCTCTCCCTCTGCAGTGGCTTTCCTCATCCCCGTCCTCTTGCTCGAGTTCCTCCGAATCTTCCTCCTGCCTCCTTTTGACTCTCTCCGACTTCGGGCCTTGACTAGCCTTCTTTCTACAATGGAGGAACATCTTCCTGCAAGCAACAACTCATACATATAACTCATACACCACACTCCTTTGCAACACAGTCCTTTCGCCTTGCATTCACACTCCTTACCCTTCTCAAGAACCCCTACAGTTCAAGTCCTGGTTCAGTTGCTTCGTACTAGTCCTAATCTGATCCTCCCTCGAGAACTCCCTCGCACCTCGTCCCCGAAAGTCTAGCCAGTCTAGATCTTTCGCCCGAGGGTCTAGAAAGAAGGCTAGTTGTTTGGTCGCAAAGGTCCATATGTCCCAGGGGGTTCAACCATGGACTTTACCCAATCATTTGCGACGCGAGCCCAGTACAGGGACGTGATGAATAGATGGCCGAAGAACGAGAGAATTGGGAGCACGACAACGCTCACGCATGCGCTCGATATGACGAGCACGGCGAGGACAAGCACGAGGTTGGCCGTGCTCTCGAACACCGCCTTTCTCAAATCGGGGTGGAGGAGGGGCGAGGACTTGCGCAAGATGAGTATGACGTGGGTGGCGGCTGAGCAGCCAAGAATGGCAGGTGCCCACAATCGAAGCAATCGCCGGCTTTAGATATGCAAATCGACGTTTGCTCGGGGTCAGCCAAATTTACCCAAGACCCGTAGGTAGGTAGTACCTAGTGGAAAGTGCAGAAGCTCATCAAACTCACTTGAGTCTTGTGTGTGCGGTCCTCGAGGTCGGAGCGTGGTCGAGGTGGTAGAGGCCCACCAACATTGCGACGCCCAGCGAGAGAAGCATCCCAGCGAAGAAACATAGCAGGAAAGCCTGGATCTCCAGGGTCATGTACAAATAGCCCATGAAGCCCCAGAGCGCATTGAAGTACATGATCGTTGCGAGACCTTTCTAATCCATGTTACTTGGGCGCGGCATGGGAGGTTGGTATTTGGGGGAAGCAAGAGATACACCGTGCCGTCATTGCACACTCATGCCAGTGACACTTTGGGCTGGGATTAGCACGATACCCTTCCACCGGTCAGGTAGCTTACTCACCTTCCTGCCGCATAGAAGTGTATGCTGCCTTCTTTTTCCTCCTGCATCCACAACTAGTACTAGCACGGCTCAATATCCCGATGGCATCGCCTCGGGAGCGGAATCCCACGTTCGGAGTGACTCAAGACCCAGACTTATGCAGTCTAATCCTTGTTAAAACAGCAAGCTGGAGCCCAATCTACGTGCACGATTTCGTAAAAAGACGACGCTTGAAGTACAGGCGCCCACGCCACCAGGGAATGCCGTACGCTATGGCAGTCTTAAAGCCTTTTTTGCCTCCCAACGTGATCCAATCCTCTTCCCGCTCGGGCGTTCGGCTCCTCGCAATACTCTCCTCGATGAGTTCGGGCATACCCAACAAGTCACTCGGAAGAGGAGGAGGTAAAGGGACCCTCGCGTCGACCACGTTGTCGAACCCAGAGCTAGAATCTCCTCGGAGCCCAAAATGAATGCCTCGTGCTTGCAGGGAGAGTCGAAGGGCTGGCTCAGCACTCAACGACGGCACTACCTTATGCAGCACGAGGGGACCCACTGCGTAAGTAATTGATCTCCTCTGTTGCGAGGTGCCCCGGCGTCTTATATGGATGGCCCTCGTCTAGAAAAAAGATTACGCGATCGGGCTGGAACGTTGGAAGACCTCCGCGGTCTGACACTAGACGTTTGTTGAGGTCGTCGGCTTCCCGCAGCGGGGGGCTGAGGTCGGGATGTAGCGCGTTGAAGCGTTGGACGAAGTCTTGACGCATAAGATGCATCTCTACAACGCGCATGAAAGTGATTGGCCCTGACTCAGTCCAAGTTGACGGAAACGGGGGAGCAATCTGGGGTACGCACGGAAGCCCGTTTCCGTGATGAGCCGCCAGCTGTTGTACTGAGACGCCTGCCAGGCTCAGGAAAGTTGCGCCCATTGCTTGCGAACGCGTTCCGACAAGAAATTGACACTGAAATCCCGCTTCCACTCTTCCACGTGCTCACGCACGCGCTGCTGAACCGCCTGCAGGTACGAGTCGAGCTCGAGCCACGTCGACTCCCCCACGGCGTGCCAGATGACTTCGCTCTCGTAGTGATGCCAGACCTTTCTTTGCGTGTAAGAATATATGTAGAAGTTGGCAATGTCCACGGGTAGGAGCGGCTCCTCGCGCTTGTCGAGAAGGACCATCAGCGGGATGCCCATGCTCTGCTTGTCGACCATCACGAACGTGCGATGGATGTCTGACTCGTCGGCGGAGTTTCGACGTGACAAGACTGGCTACTGTTGTGTAGGGTTGTGGTGCATCGGAGAGACTGGAGATAGAAAGCGAGGAAATCAGGAGGGACACGACGGGCGCGTTGAGCCGAGCGTCGCGCAAGTGTGGCACTGATGTGGCGAAGTGTGGCGGGCCGATTGCGCAAGGACCCCCGAAAGCCCAGCCAGAGGCGCATGTGGAAAACCGCCCTTTTTTGGCCTTTTTGTCAAAGTTTTTTGCATTATTTTGGCCCCAAAATGTCAAATTTTCACATGCGCCTCAAAATTCCTGAAGCTCTCTAGAGCTGAAGGTTTGTTCAACGAAAATTGGGGGGGGCGCGAGCTGGGGAAATTGATGACAATCTCAACATTAGTAATCCTCGTTGGCGGGGGGCGGCTCCCGCACAGGCCCGCGCGCAAGGCCATTAGCCGGCAGCCAGAAACGGCGCGGCGCGGAAGCTGAGCATGCCTTCAGGCTTCGGCTCCGTCTGATAGCTGTGTACGAACATCAACATCTCAGTAGCTCATGGTACAACCTCCCTCGGGGATGAGTTAATCAGTCACGAACGGTGCTCAGTCGGTCCGACAAATCAGTCATTGGTAACAAGTGGCATTTGTGTTCCCCACCCCTGCGGCGATGTCGATCTCTCCCAGTTCACGTGTCCTAGTCGTGCCTCCCGACGCCGAGTCATTGCGACTCATTGGACAGCATCTGGGAGCTTGGCTTGACAAGAGGCAGTCGCTCTTGCCAACATGGCGAACGAGTTCAGTACACTTATCATGGACTGAACAGATCTGGTTCCTCGCAGTCGCTTGACGAGGATCTAGACTCTAGTGATCAGGTGCTCGTTGCGACAGCTCGTCTTGTCCAACGTCAACCTTCGTGCACTGCCAGTGTGGAACAACTGCAGATTCTCTGTCGGGCTCACAACTTGCAGGGCTACTCTCTTCGGCGATCAAAGGTTACATAATTGATTTTGCGGGTTCTATTGTCTTCATGCGCTGGGCGTTGTCCAGCATGCGAGAGTGGCTACATCTTCAAGCGAAGCACAGCCAATGACATTCTGGTCCCCAGCCTGCAGGCCTACAACGTTTGATTTCGAGGAATGGCGTGCTGCCATCACTGATTCGCGTGGTCCATCGGCGGAGCGACCTAGAGGGCCAGCCCACCTACTACTAGATTTTATTATAGAGGCTGACTCGGGGTACACTTTGTGTCCTCAGTCTCGAGCACAAGCTTGCCTCCGGAAAGGCAGCGGCAGGAGCACTTGCTCGTGGCGTCCGAGTCCGAGGCAAAGTTGCGACTCAGGGCATGTCCAAGTTGCGATCCTTCCTTTTCTGAACATGGGGCAACGGCATGGAAATTGGGAACTACTTAATGTAAGTTGAATCCGTTGCAAAGAAAGACAGAGACCTGACTCCTTCCTATTTCTCACCCTCACCGGCCCGGCCAGCGATCGAATTCAACACGCCAAACCTACTAACGGCGAAGCGGCAGGTGGTTTTCATCCACCACCAGTAGATCACACCCAGGTTGTAAGTAGTGATGTATATGTTTGCCTTTGTGTGCTCCAGCGTCTGATGATTGGGCGGACAGACACGGGTGTGTGCAGTCATTGGAAAGATGGAGTCACAGGAGGCGACCCGGTGCTGGACGCCGGCGTGATTCCGCCTGTTCCCAATTGGACCCGGAGAAGATTCTCGACCTGCCCGATTACAGTCGATTTTATGCGGAGGTCCGGGAGGGGCTTTTTACCGGTCGCAAGTACGCCAAAGGATATCCCACGCAACTCCCCGTGACTGTCGATGAGCACCCTGGGCAACTTGCACAAGAATATCCCACGCTTATAGGGAGTGGGCACCCTGGGTGAAGGTGATCTGTGTGCGGTTGTCTGCACCGTCGATGCTCGCGCTTGGAGGGACAGGTCCTCCGGCAAACCTTTTGTGCATATTGTATGGGCCTGATGTATTTTGCTTGTCTGATGTGCGGCAGATGACACGCCAGACCACGCCCCCGCCGACAGTCCGACTCAGTCCTAGGCGGGTCATTGCCTCTCCTGTCAAGCGTTCGGCAATGGACGCCGAGCTGAATATTGACTTGTCGAGCACCGATGGTGAGGATGAGTTCAAGCCCGCAATTCCCACTGAACTTTTTATACTGGCTGATGGGTTTGGTTACTTGGTGTTCAACAAATAAATGCGCCTCCGGCTGGGCTTTCGGGGGTCCTATTGCGCATCGCACGCGTCTCTTGCCGACACAGGTTGCCCCTGGTAGCCCCTGGTTGCCCTAGCTCAACTAAGCCCTCCCTCTGGGAGGGGCGTAGGCGCATAGGACTTATCGGCGCGCCTGGCCCAGTTGCCCTCCGAAATTTGGGCCGCCATCCATGTCCAGGGAGTTGCCGGCGAAGCGGAAAATGAACAAAAGAAAAAAGAAGAAGAAGGGAAAAAAAGAAGAAAAGAAAAAAAGGAAAGGAAAGAAACAGGAAATAAGGAAAAGATAAGGGAAGAAGGAAAGACGAACACATGATGTACATGGCCATAGTACTTTCTTGTTGCATAACTTGCCCGAAGTCGGTATTTTTACACCAACACCAAGTACAGTAAAGATGGTATGCCTAAGCTTGAGAAACACGCTTACAATCCCGCTCGCAGCAGCGCCGCCGCCTCACTTCAAAGCCTTTTCAAGGCTCGGAAAGCAGTGTAAAGAGCAATGAAAAAAGCAGGCTTTGAACACGTGGATTACAAGAAATATCCTTTGCTTTATCAGAAACCCCTTCCACAGAAACTGTGCGAACATCTCACCGTGTTTGGAGTTCCACTGGCTAGAGTAAGGCACCCTAAGGCACCGGTCAATTGAGATCGCGGGTTCGAGGCCCCAACTTGCACGAGTCTCGAGTTACCCTTCTTGAGGACCGTTTTGTTGCGCTCGTATCCGTCAGAGCACATCCTGAATGGTGGAGTAAGTCGTAGATTGAAGATCGATGAAACATCAAGATACCGAGGATGCCCATGTAAGAAGCGCAGGGAAGGATGCCGATCGATACCGATGCCGATAACGATCAAGCCGAGATCATAAGATCTTGTCATATCGTCCGCCGAGCATGAACTCATGCCAGTCCTTCTTCTTGCGAGCTTCGATACAAAGGTCCTTGATAGCGCGAAGTGAAGGCACGCTGGATGGCAGGTCCTGGAGCCAATCTGCGTCCTGAGTCCTTGTGTTCCGTCACGATTTCGTCCCACCGCAGTGCCAAAGCACATCTCGTCCTCAATCGCCGAGGGAGCACAAGACCCGACACTCTTGCCGTCTGATGCTTGTAAAGTGTGTTCGGGCGGCGGCTTAGCAAGGTGATCACTTTGGAGGATGATGAGGATGAGGTTGTGGTGGAAGAAAATGAGGATTTCAACATGTAGACATGTAGAAGTCTTTATGTGCCAAATTAGGCAATTTCATGTCTCAGATCAAATTGATCTGCTCAGATCAGATCAAGATCAGATCAATCAAGGCAGAAACAGAAAAATCCAGATCAGATCTGATCTGATCTGACGGTGATCTGATCTAATGCGGATCAGCAGAGACGTCGGCTCTGACGTCGGCAACGTGAGCGAGCTGAGCGAGGCTGAGCGCGTCGCCCGCGACTGCCCGCGAGGCTGCGAGCGCGCCTCCTCCGCACAACCCGACTCCTCCCGACTCCCGCTCTAATCGCACAGACGCCGCCGCCGCCAGCAACCTCGAACAATCGCAGATCCGAAGCTCAGGGGCAACGACGTCGCGCAAAATGGATCGGCAAGTCGATCTGCACCGGCAGTAGTAGGCAGTCTCAATGTCGCGCGGCAAGTGCGACGGGCCCGCAATCCTTCACCTCTGGGCTTGAGAGTCGATCGTCCACGCTTTGAAGCAGTGCCAAACCTCTCTCGCGACGCGGGGTCAAGTACAGACGCAACTGCGACTTCAGCCACTACTGTCGTCGATCGACGACCCGCGGGGCAGCGTCAACGACACCAACGCGCAAGAGAGCGATCGAGCCAGACCGTCCCAACTGCGCTGCTACCGTTGCCAGAAGGGCCTTTTCCCCGGCACGATCTTGGATCAATGACGTTGCAATGTCCGATCTGTTCGTGTCTACTCCGGGAGTTCGAAGATCACCGACCCCAGGCGGCGCCACACCGTTCAAAATCTGTTGCGCGGACGGCAAAGTTCGATTGCCCGGAATCGAAGAACCTCCCCCCGAGCTGCTCGCGCTTCTGACTGGCGATGGCCCAGGTTAGTACACGTCGATTCGTTCAACTTGCTAGATTGATTACAGCGGACTTACGGCCTTGCTGACTATCCGTGAAACAGTTGAGAAGATCTTCCAGCCCAGATTCTATTCCTGGCTCCGACGGAACGCATAGAAGCCCGACGAGGATTCAATGGACCGCCTGAAAAAGTACGACGTCTAGACACAGCATACCAACACATTGTTCGTGTTACGTCACTCACCAAACAATGACAGCCGCGGAATTCAGCGGCTTATCGATACTGGGCTTCACTCCACGTCGTTTCGCGACCTTCCGCGACATTCTATGAGCCCGGTTAAATTGACGCCCAGGCTTCTCCATCTTTCTCCCTCCTGCCCTTCACACCTTACCCATCGCACCCCATCCCATCGCCACTCATGAAAGAAGCCCCAACACAACCATCTTACAACGTCGCAGATGGGAAACGAACAGCTCTGTCAGTCGATGACGTCGATCGACTTGCCGCAATGTACGCGGAACAACGCACGACCGTCTCTTCCCTGAACGCCGACGGCCACGACGGAAGAGGATTAGATTACGATGGGAGGTAAAGAAGGCATAAGGGTTGCCATAACGTACGGCATGCCCTGGTGGCGTTGGTACGTGCACGCCAAGCGTCGTCTGTTTTGAAATTGTGCACATAGATTAGGCTCCGGCTTGTTGTTGTACCAAGGATCAGACTGCATAACTCTGGGTCCTGAGCCACTCTGGACGTGGGAATTAGATTCTGGTCCCGTTGGGATAGTAAGCCGTGCTGGTAGTTGTGGACGAAGGAGGAAAAAGAATTAGGCCCACACAGACCGTCGGAGTGTGTTGTTAACAAGCGGCTTCATCTCAGATCATTCAACACCCGGTACATTGACCAAGGCCGGTTCGATGTTGGAAATCCAGCGGTTCGATGATTCGCTCCAGCTTGCCGGAGCTCAACACAACGTGGGCTGTGGGTTATTCAACTGCCCTTGGCTGGGTAGATTAGTGGAATTGCGAAGCGATATATGTACGCGCAGCCAACAGGAACCAATACAACAATGGCGATACAACGAGGAAGAAGAGGGTGGGGCAAAGGGAAAAAAAAGGATCCACCAACGGTCCAAAAGCAAAAACAAAGAAGTAGAGCGAACAGCGAGGAAGGAAGAGCCCATCCGATCTGGCAGAGGTGAAAAAGCATACAATCTCCAGCGGTGCTCATGCATTATCCCGCCGTGGTGGTCTTGGTCGTGGTCGTCTTCTTCCTCAAACTCAACGTCCGAATCACATCCCTACAATACTCAAGTTTGTCGATGATGAACCGCACCTTGTCCAACTTTTTCAGCCGCCTCGCCTCTTCCGTCGTCATCGCTGATCCTGGTGTCGTCGAAGTTGAAGGTCGATAGTGGCCCAGTTTGGACGCTTCGTCGAATAAGGCTCCGAGGGAATAGGTGTGCAGTCGAAACTCGCCGTCGATGAAGGAGACGACGGACCCGTGTTGCGTGATGAGGAGTTTGGTATGGTCGTAAAAGTTGAACTGCGCGGGTGGGGAAGTGTGAAAAGTCATCAGCATCGAATTCAACCAACAACCGTCCTCAAGGCTCAAAACTGACCTGCAAGACCTCGTTGCTTAACTTGAACACGATTGCGTGCTTCATCCTGTAGTATTTGACGAGGAAGCACATGTTCTTGGTCCTCGCCGCGTCGACGAACGTCCACGCCACGTCGCGTGTTAAAGTCTTGGCCATGTAGTCTTCAAAGTACTCCAACAGGTAGGCCTTGCGCTGAAGATCTTCGGGGTGGTCCGTCAGTGCATAGTGCCGCCGTGTGTAGACGTTGCCTTTGCGTTGGGCGATATAGTCGAAATGGCTATGCGAGAGAGACGTATTCTGGATCAATACAGGCACCCGCACTCGGTAAGCTCGGGGATGACCTACTTCTTATCCGGACTCAACACCATCGTCGTCGAATCATTGAAGTACAAGCCCGCCGTCCCGTCCGTCAACGAATAAGCCGTACCGTACTTGTGCGTATAGTCGACCCAAGAGGTGATAAACACCTTGGGGGCCGTCGAGTCGTCCGGTCGGGGCAAGGCTTCGAGGTCGGCGAGAGTTTCGATCGTCAATGCGGAATGGAGGGTGCGCCAGGTTGTGTCGTACAGTTCTCGCGCAGGGTGGCGGGCAGCTGCGCAGCAGATATGAAACGCGTTCAGCTTTCCCATCACGTCAATTCGGTAGCGCTGGACGGGAGGACTCACTGTCTACAGCTTTGACGACCGGTTTCGGTGCAACAAGAGAAATCGGCACCGCTGCGCTCGACGTCCGATTCGGCGACGAAGGCACAGGGACCGTCGATGTCGTCGATAAAGCCGATCTTCGATGTTTGCTCACGGTCGTCGCCCCACCAACCGCCTTCCCACCCCTCGCAGGTGAGTTTTCCTTATCCCCTGCACTGGGCTGACTCGGAGCCAGGTTCTCCTTCGTCGGTGCATTCGCCGCGAGTCGAGCGGATAGAGTAGTCGCTCCGTTCGTTGAAATCGAGTTGTTCGAAGTCGACCTCGCTTCGGCCGCCAAACGACGTTGTAACAATTCGCGCGGTTCGGCATCGGGCGAGACCATGAGGGGCTTGCGGGCCGAACGTAAGAGATCCGAAATGGGACTTTCGGGCGCCAGCACTTGTTGGACCTCTTGTTCGATCGCACGTGCATCGGCGGTGACGGTCGCGGACATTCGCTTCCTCGCCACGGGTGCGGCGGCTTGGGCGGGAGGTGCGGGTGCGGCCGATTCGTGAACGGTCGCGAGGACGGTGCGATGTGATGGCTTTTCAACGGCAACGACGTCAGCAGCATTGGCCTCGAGCATCTCCGCTTCGACCTGTTCGGTCAACCCTGCTCGAGCCTTGACGGCCCTAAAGTTGCGATGCGCCGATCGAATGCTCATATTGCGATGGTCAGGGACCAAGGTGAGCGAAGCGGGGGTGACGGAGGCGGGGAAAGGGCCGGTGACGAAAAAGTCGTGTTGGAGGATTTGGCCGAGCGTGGGTCGTTCGTTCGGTTTTGGGGTGAGGATGAGCGAGATGAGGTCAACGGCCTCGGCTGAGAGTTCGCACCCGGCGGGGAACTCATAGTTCAACTCCTTGATCCGACTGTGGGGGCCAAGTAATATCAGTTCAACGAACACTGGCACAAGTGAGTACCATCCCGAAACATACAGGTAGATGTTCTTGACCTCTTTGGTTTGGAAAGGGGGTTTTCCGACGAGTAGTGTGTACATGATGACGCCGAGTGACCAAATGTCGACCTCGAACGAGTGGCCGTTGGTCGTGTCAAATAGGATCTCGGGGGCGATATAGTTGGGTGTTCCGCAGATAGTTCTATACCAAGTCGAGCACAAGAAGATCAGCAACAGAATCATCGAATTTTCTGAGCTGCGACTGACTTTTTCCTCTCGCCGGGGAACTTGACCAGCGCGGCCAACCCGAAATCGCCAACACGGAGGTTCATCTCGGCATCGAGCATGAGGTTGCCCAACTTGAGATCGCGATGAATGACCGAGTTGGAGTGCATGTAGTGGCACGCGCCGATGAGTTGCACGAGGTAGAAGCGCGTCTCAGGTTCGGTGTACCGTCTTCGTTTGCGCAGGAGGTCGAGGAGGGATCCGTTGGAGCATAGCTCGAGTTGCATGTAGACGTTGGCTTCGTCCTCGAAGCAGTGCTCGAATGAGAGGATGTTGGTGTGTTTCATCGCCTGGTGGATCTTGATCTCACCAAAGAGCTGGTCAACGCAAAGATGGAGGGGTGTGGTCAGTCTCGCCGGATGGACGGTCACGTGAGGAGTGGGGCCATACCTTGCTCCTGTTCTTGGTCGATCGTAGCTGTTCTTTACAAATGACCTTGACGGCCTTGTTGGTGATTCCGTCCGGTTCTGTGATGAGGTATACGCGTGCGAATCCACCCTGCAAAGACGGCGAAAGAAGTCAAGGCGCGGGGATGTTGAGTCAGTCATCTCCCATCTCGCAGGCCCATGGCTGATGCCGCCTCGCAGCTCGTCGAGCATGATCCCGAGTGCGAGCAGTTGACCCCAATACTGACCTCTCCCAATAGTTCCCCTCTGTGTAAATGCTCTCCATCGCGCCGAATGACGGCCGGCGGTGGCCCCCACTGCTCGGTCAATTTGGCTCGGTCAGACGGCGCTCTGGTGCCCGTCGTGGCCTTTTGTGTCGTCGTCGCCGTTGTTGTCGTCGTCGGTGGTGCAGTCGTGGATACTGTGGTTGCTGGAAGTTCTGCCGCTCCCGAACGGGTCGTCTGTAGCCCAGTCGAAGTGGATGCCCGCATCTGAGCCGAGGCGGAAAGAGGTGGGCGCGTACGACCTGAAGCAGCGACAGCAGCTCCAACTGAAGAGGAGCTGGTCAGCGAAGGTACATGTCGACTGGGAGGCGCAGCCGAACTCGAGGCACCGGCGAAAGGGTGGCGAGGTTGAGGTGGGTGCACCAACATGACGCCCTCTGGTCTGACCTTGGGCTACGTCCGGAGCGAGGAAGCAAACGTCGGGGCGGAGAGATGAAACGTCGAGCTGAGGAGAGCAGCAAGTTGAACCACGATCCAACACGATCCAACAAAATCCAACAAGATCGCGCGCGCCGTCGTCCGCGGGTGGCGAGAGCGATTTCTCAATTTCACTACTAGTAGGCCACGGCTTGTAATGCCGGACGACCAAGAGTCTATTTATCGATACGCGACTCCGCAGTTCTGTACTCGGTATTCTTGTAGGTGAGCAATGTTAACATTTTTTTTTCCTCAGAATCAAGTAAGGGAGTTTATCTAGTATACATTCTCTGACAATACTCTGAGCCCGCCCGGCGACTATGCTGTCCGTTGACTAACCCATTCCCCTACTTTACAGCCACCCCCGTCGTCAACTCCTCCACACCTCACGTCTACTCCCCCCAACGTGCCTTGTTCGACCAACCCCAATTCGCCGCCCAATTCCTCCAACGCATCGCGCACACCAACAAAACCCTCTTGAGCTCCCTCAAAACGACCCAGCCCTACGAATTCACCGCCGATCTCCCCATCGGCACCTCCTTGTATTCCCTCATCACCCAATCCTCTCCCCAAGATCGAATCGCACCCCTTCTTCTCGAAGCGCTGTTCTTTGAATTGAGTCGACAGACCTCCCATCCCGTTTTGTTGGCGATCGATCAGGCGCAGGGTTTGTTCAATACGACACAATGCGTCGATCCAACGTATCGAAAGTTGGAGGCGCATGATTTGAGTTTGCCGAGGTTGTTGTTGGATTATGTTGGGGGGGTCAAGAACTTTGTACGTTCGGGTTACCTCTATCGGTTCTTCATCAGAACCCTGACCACTCTCTGCCGTGCGGTTCTCACAGTCCAACGGCCTCGTCCTCATCTCCCCCTCCCACCAATCCACCACCACTTCCCCAGCCTTGGAAGAACACCTTTCCTCCTCCCCCTACCCATCCTACACCCCTCTAGGACCCTCGCACCACATCTACTCCTCCCTCCTCTCTTCGGTCCGTCAACTTCCCGTCCCCGCCCGTCTCGAAAACAGGGAAGCTTTGGGGATCGTCGATTTGTTGATGGGTTTCAGAGCGGTCAGGGAAGTCGGTCAGGAGGGTGTGGATAATGGGAGCTTTATGAAGGCTTTGATGGAGAGTGATGCGAGGGTTAGGGAATTCAGGAAAGGGTGGGAGAGGAACCAGGCGATTTGAGTTTTGATGCAACAAAGTGGTTATGGTGGAATATCATCTCGAGGTCAGAGAGAGAGAGAGGTAGAGAGGGGTTCTACAGGTATTTGACCCCTCGTCCGAAAACGTAAGAAAGTCCCGAACCGATCGTCGTACCAGCGACGACGAGTCTGCCATGCCGGAGAAAGCCAAAGTGGAAAACGAGAACGTCAGTCACTAGTCGAGCAGCCCGTCTCTAGAAAAACGTTGAAGAACTGACTGTAAACCGACCAAGCCGATCCCCAATTCGAACGGCAAGAGCGGTTGGATCGTCGTCGTCCCCACCAAGATCAACTGCAACAAAGTGTTGTATTTTGATAGAGTGGTCGGTTTGACTTCGGCGGAAGGGATGGAAAAGTCCCAGAAACGGGTAAAGGATTTCTGGGAGGGGGGAAAGAGGTTCGGTGAGGATTCTGGAGGATTTGTGAGGATGGTAGGGAAAGGTCACTTACGGGTGGTGGTAGAGATTTGTATCGGAAGTAGAAAGCCGAAATGGAGAGTGCGACGTCTCGTCCTATGATCAAGATGGTCAAGGGGACTTGCGAAAACGAGAGAACGAGGACGTCGGCTTTGGGTTCGGTTTGCATCAGAAATGGGTGAACTCCGGCCCCGGACTTACGAGGTAGCATACTCTTCATAGCCAACGTCACGACCATGGTCGTCATAAGGAATTTGTCCGCCGCTGGATCGAGGATCGACCCCAACACGGAGCGCATATTATATCTCCTTGCGAGGTACCCATCAACCTAAACGGAGTGCGAACCCGTTTCCCTTGAGCTTGATCGAAATCTCCCGATCAGGAACGAACAGGACGTACCACGTCTGAAACGCCAGCTACGAACAACAACGCCGTCGCTTGGGCGAATTGACCCTGTAGTACGAAGTGACCTATCACGGGTGTTGCGGCGATGCGAGCGAGCGTCAAGGCGTTTGGGATGGTGTAGATGTTCTCGTACAGATCCTTCTTCGCTGGCGGGGTGGGCGGAGGGTTGTCTTTAGGTGGTGTTGAGATTTGAATAGGTGGTGTGGGTGGTTTTCTGAGAAGGGCGGTGGTGTGACATGGCTGGTGGAACGCAGCGAAACGACGTCAGGTCAGTTATCAGTGGTCGTGGTGGTGGTGGGGGGGGGGGATGGAGGATGTGCCACGGCTGCGTGCCTACTCACGCGGATACAAGGGTATAGTCGTGTTGTGGTGGCTTGGAAACATGCTGTTCGGGATGTTTGTAAGAGCGGTATCCGTAGTCGGGTGAGCAGCATCGTGTGGGGGCAGGCTGCATGCACAGGTGCCGTCGCTGTGTCGAATTTCAAATCCGTGGTGCATGCGCATCTCGATACGTGCACTCAAAAACTACTAAAAAACGAAAAGGGTTCACGAGGGAGGCTCAATGTAGGAGTCGGATCTGACTAGGCTAATCAAGGACGAGTCGCCTGCCACTTAGCACCGCCAGCATAAGAGTTCCGATGTGAAACCAATTCAAAAGCAACAGAAAAAGAAAAGGGGACCTTGTCGACCGAGGTGGAGATGGCTTGAAGACCGTGTGCAGCTGGAGGTTGATGCGTACACTAGAAGTAAGCTACCTGGTACCATAGGATTAGGGTACATGCTACTCACTGATGTTAGGGGTACCGTGAACCTCCTTTGATCCGAGCAGGTGAGATCGGTCCACTCGGGTGACGCAGTGGAGGCTACTGTGTGGAGTGTAGGCGAGGATCGAATCGTCAGCCCCGCCTCGCCCGTCGTCAAGGACCGGTGAGCACGATCGACCCATCGATCGATCAAGGGTCAAAGCAAAGACTCACGGGGTACGATCAAATGCAAGCGGTCTTGTGAACCAGGAACAACCTCAGTGACATGCCGTAGGCGCCATTCAACACTCGTCGACGAGTGGATAGGCTGATGGCAAGCCGTGACGCCGTGAGAGACGGGAAGCGAGAGATCGCAGTGAGAGGGGAGAGGGGAGAGGTGGTGCGGGGTAAGATGATGAAGGTGGTGTGGTGAAAGATGGACGCGAGGCGGGTGAACACGAGACGAGTCAGTCCGACCCTACGCCACACGAACACGATCGCTAGCTAGGTAGTTACTCACACTTTTGACGGTGGGAGGGATCGAACGACAGACTCTACCACACCACAAAGGCCACCGTTTCGTATCCTCCTGAAAAGGGGGGCGATGTCGGCAAGACTAAGTGGTGCGAGAAGTGCAGAGCGCGTCGACGAGGAGAAGGAAGGAGAAAGAGAGAGAGGCGACGAGCTCGAGGTGGTCGCCGACTTGGGTGCAGGGCGTGCGTTTGGCAGAATGAGTCATCTCATCGATATGACGCCACGCTGTGACTTTAAGCTTTCGATCTTCTCCACCTTTGCCGAGCGCGGCCGAGAGCGCCGAAGATCTGAACGGACAGGGGACTATGCACCCCACATCGAGGCCCACGATCCACCCCTCGGAAAGACCGAATACCTTGTCGATCAAGCTCGGTCAAGTCTCAGCAAGTAGGTTGAGCTCCAGGGATCACCCCAAAGTTGAGATCGCCGCGATCGATACAACGGTTGTCGCTCCAGCAGCTTGGTCCGAGTTGGGACGACCCCGATTCGACCTCGAGTCCGCCGCGGAGCTGGGTTGCGGGACCGGCTTCACGCGAAAGCTCCGACGCAGCGAGTCGAGGCTGTCATGCAAGTAGGGTGGCACCCAAATACAAATCCATATTGAAAGAAGAAAAGATGATTTTTTTACATGTACGTCGAACCATTGTCCATCGGAAAATGGCGGATTCTCGCTGCCTACTAGATCGTTGACGCTCAAGCTCCCCACGGCGATCTTCCGAAAGGAGGCCGCCGCCTTGACCAGACTAAGATTGAGAGCAAAAATAATGAATATGGGGTACGGGCTATTTTACGGCACAATTTGAAATATTATGATGCATCTTCTCGCACTACTCTGAGCTCGAACGACCTTTTGTTGGACCTGCCCTCGATTGCTTTTCGGCTCGGAGCGATGGGCAGCGCGGCCTTCTCAACCACCCTTGATTCTTCCTGCACCCTGCATCTTGTGCCTTGCGCCTTGCACTTACACAGTTCATACCTCCCTCGATGACGGTAAAACACGGCCACGACTGCCTCGGTGGCGCTTTGGAAGTCGTTCCAGACGCCCTTCTCTCTCGCGAGACCAACCTGAGCAGCGCGCTGGCTTCCCTCGTCGGCAAGATCGATGGCAAGTCGCTTCCTCAGAGCCCCTTCGCAGCCCGTAACTGCTCCGGGACGATTTGCCGAGCAAACCCTAGCTGACCCTCTACGCTGTCCATCACTGTGCTCCAGTCAGTCGCCATCATCGACGGCGCTACCGCGTTCGCACGTCAGCGCCATGCCGCGACGCACCGGGCGCAACACAACGAGCCGAAGCGAGGCCGGCTGTTCCTCCATTCTATCATTCGACTCCTCGAGGAGGTCGTTGCAGCGACTGCAAGGCGGATCCAAGTGGTCGTGGTATTTGATCATCCCATCCTTCGTCCCAAGCTCAAGCGGAACACCGTGCTCGATCGCCAAGATCGCCAGCAGCCGCAACAGCCTTCCGAAAAGTCGACCCCTGTCACCCACCCCGTCCCCTTCATCACGAACGACACCCTCGCCGCGTGCGTTCACGGACAATCGAGCAAAGAATGGGAGGTCGCTTTTTGCCACGGTGACGAGCCAACCCAAGTTGCCACCTTTGTTCGCTGGTCCGAGCAAGGCTTGCTCGTCGTCGCGGCCCACGAGGCCGATCCCCTCGTCTCGGCGTCGACCAAGTTTGGCCAGATCTGCGACGTTGCGCTCGAACCCCACCGCGTCGTCCTCGTGAGCGCCGACAGCGACTTTTTCATGCTTCTCGGCGCCGACCAAGCCCGCTATCGCGCCGTGCTATCGGGCAAGGACCAAAACATTAGCTTGGTGGACCTTGCCGTACTCGACGCTCACCCCGCGGTGTGGAATTCTCGTCAGCGATTCGTCGCGAGCCTCATCCTCGGGTGCGACTATTTCAGGGGCATCAAAAGGATCGGGCCTGGGTGACTTCGAAAGTTGCCTGGGCAGTGGTTGGACGCGGCGACGTGGCAGAGTGGCTGGGATGGCGCCGCGTGGGCGTTGATCAGGAACGTCGACTCGGAGCCGGAGCCGACGGAGAAACGAATTAAGGAGGTCAAGTCCCTTTGCGCCGAGATCGATCCTATCCAAGATCTGCTGCACCACTACAAGGACGAGACGTTCGCAAAAGCGACCGCGGCGTCCATCACCACAGTCGGACCAGGGTGCGGTTCGAAGGCACCCCACACAGAGATCCTTCAGAAGTCCCCAACACGGCCTACCCGCCGATCCAACGCAACCCTCCCCTCATCCAGCTCCCCGGGATCTCCTCCGTCAGACCTTTGCCTCCCTTTCCGCCTCTCTCGAGCATCCAAGACCTCAATCTCCGACGCCATCTCGCCAAGGCTCGTCGACTTCAGGCCGAGCAGCCGGCCCGCATGGCGTCTACGCGGAAGCTCGCCGTTCAAGGTACCGTCAAAGCGCCCGATTACCACCTCGTCGAGCCCGAATTCAGGGACAGCCAAGTAGATCGTCAGCACAAATCCAAGAGCGCCGAGCCAAAAAAAAAGGCAGAAGGCGACCACCGCCGCCGAAGTACGGGCGCTGTTCTCGAAGCAATCGGACTCGGGCGGCGGCGGCGGCGATGGCGGCAGCGGCAAGACCCCTGGCGGTACAATCTACCGCATGTCGACGGTGACGGGTACGCTTGAGCAAATGGTGAGGGAACCAACGATGCCAGGCGAGTTGAAGCAAGGATCACTTCGAGTCCGACGAGCCATGGCCAGGACGACGGTTCAAGAGGTTGGAGCGAGCGCACCGTCGGCAACGCGCGACCGAAGAAGCTCCGAGCACGATGAGTGCCTGGATGTCGAGTGTCACTTGGCTTCGGTCAGCGATTCCGGTTCGCGCGACGACGGTATCGTACCGATGCAGATCGATGGATGAGTTGACTCGCGAGACGGAAGGTCGATGCGTCCTGTCGGAAGGGCTTGGGGCGTGTCTCGCTATACTTCGATAATTTCGTATGTGCTTTCTTCGAAGCTTGTGCTCACTGCATTCGCGCCTCAAGTTGGTAGAGATGGTTTAATATGCTGTTCAGTATCAGTGGTGTAGCGGGGTTTTTTTTTTCCCTTTTTTTCTTTTCAGTTTCTGATAAAAGGAATGTGGGCACGGGTCGTGCGGTACGCGGCTACACTGAACATGTTCCATAGGGTCGCTCCTGAGCCGGAACCATCTCAGCTCTGGCTGGCGGGATCGCGTGATTGGCTCGAAATTCGAACGTCTCGTCCGAGCGTAGATAGTGTAGATCGAGGTCGATCCATGAATGGAGACCGTGGTCGGGAATTTCTTCTTTATGCACTGGCTGCGGTGCTCGCAACTGAACCACCGCGCGGCCGCGATGCGTTTTTTTCTGACGTCATGCCCGAAATCAATTTCGGACAGGAGACATTGCGCCCGCGCTGGGCACGCCAGAGCACGCCGTGTCAGTCCGGCCCCACCCATCTCTCGGTTCCGGACCATCAACGGCAACCTCCACCCACCACACTCCAACGGTATGCCCTTCAACCGTTTCGAAACCCCCAATCGTCCCAGGCCGGCCCTGGATGCCTTCCAGCCGGTCCTTCGCCTCCTGGCCGTCTCGAATCGCGAGGTCGAGAGCATTCTCGCCGATGCTCTCGCCCGTTGCTTGGGGTATCTTACCCCTGCGCAGTGGCAGAAACTTGGACTCGACAAGAATCGCTGGCGAACCTTGATCATGGCGATAGTGTACCTCTTGCGCGAGGACGGCGTGGCAGGTAGTGCGGGCCAGGGATCCAGGTGCCGCACGAGGCTCGACGACCCACTGACGCTGCCCGACAAGGCGTCAGTCGGGCCGCAGAAATACGAAGAGGAGCAAGAACTCTTCCGTCGCGTCTCGAGTGGCAAGGACGTCATCGGGTTCGCGTTCGTGAGTACACGGGCGGTTTCGTTACCCGTGGACGGGTGCCAGACCTGACGCCGCCTGCCCTGCGCACACACTCCTTCTCCCTTTCGCTTCGCAGGCCTGGACTAGCGTCATCCGGGCCACGATGGAAACCAAGGAGAAGAGGCCATCGATTCCTCACTTCGTGCACGCGCCCGAATGGTGGGACGACCGGGTCGTCATGATGATTGTCGGTCTATTTGGATGGAAGGATGCGATTCCTTCGGTCCTTCGTTCGTTTGCCTCGGCAGGCTTTGGGTGCTTCGCCGCTAGCGACGACCAAGGCGACTATGAACTCGAGGCGACGAAGGCTCGATGCCGTGACCGCAACATCAAACGCATCGTTGAAGCGATGCTCATGATGCCCCTTCTACATGACCACACGACCCATTCCGCCGCCACCGACCCAAAGTGGAGGGGAACCTTCGTGTCTACTACGACGAGTTGAAGAAGCACCTTCGCGAGGCTGTAGACTTTGATGAAGTCTACCAATGCGCCCGAAGACTCGTCGACGAGGGGCTACAGATCATCCGCCAACACCTCGACAAGATCATTTCTCCGACCGCTCGCAAACAGCTCACCAATCGACACACTCTCGGCGATCTCGTTGGGGGTCGTCTCAAGTTCTTGCCGACCCATATCCTCCTTCCAGCCCTTCACTCGCTCAAGATCTTGAGTGGTTGCGCTCAGGGTATTTCTCCGGTGAGTGGCCCCCGAGATGTCCGGGTGGAATCGCGACTGCGTCCGAGGTACCACCAGGCGAGCACTCTATGCTGACCGAATCTCGACACCCGTCCCTCGTTCCACAGGATTTCGCCCCTGATTTCATCACGATGTCGCTCCGACGTACGGCGATTATCCTCTGGAAAGGACCAAAAGTCGCGCATGTTCTCGTCCAATGGCTCGATGGAGTCGTCGCCGGCACGCGGTTCCTATTAGTACGTGGCCCCGCATCTTTCTCCACAGATGATCGGGGGACTGCACGTTCGCAGAATTCCAGTGTAGCGATATAATTAGGCGGGATACGCTTAGGTACACTTTCCAAAAGTCAAGACAACATCTTGTTCGGCCACGATGGGTGCTTCCTGAGAAAAGGCTCACCTCGATCGCCCGACAACAGCTCCGTACAAAAATGGGCCGACGACGGACGACCTTGCCCAAGTAGATACGTCAGACAGGGTCTCGGGATTCCCCCGTGGTAAGACATCTGCGTGGAAGAAGAGCGTGGCCGGGAGTTGTTACTTGAGCGATCAGCGTGGATATGCTAGGGTTCAAGAGGTTGTGCGAAATGCGGCGAATGCTGAGTAGCATGCGGACGAAATTCGGTGCTCGTTGAGACCCAATCAAGCCCATGGCATTCGCTGGGTTCGTTCGTATGGTAATCTTTGGCGATAGTCCTGGCATCACCTTCAGTATCAGAGGATCACTATTTCTAAGTAATGCTTGGGTCAATCTGCAGCCTCTTACACATGTGGTTTCACTGGGCTCAAGCGGTATCTAAATCTGTTGCCGGTCGGTGGCCTTCGGTGTGGCGACTCCTCGAGGCGACGGAACAGACTGGGAGGCATCGAATGATCCAACAAGGCCAAAACGTGTCAGCTGTAGGAAACGGTCAGTTATGGTGGGTCAGAGTGCTACACCTGCGCTTCTCAGCGCGAAGAATTATTGGGCTTCGCAAAGTCGGGCCAATGCGCCAGCTGAGTGGTTTTCATTTTGTGAGGTTTTGGGCGAGTTTTGCGACGCGTGTGAAGAAGGCGCGAGGCCGTGAACGGGTTGGCCGACGACGACACGTTTGAAGCGCGGTCAGCGTGTCACCCTCACCAGCTCTCCTCAGGGGCCACCGACGGAGGTCGCCGTACTCCTTCCATCACCCAGCATTCTAAAGACGAGTGTCCATAGCTGACGGGACCCAATGAACCATGTCGTCGGACCGGGTCCTCTTCCACTGCCCCTGCTGCGAGCCCGTCTCCGTCAAACGACCACCTCCGTCCGAAGCGCCCCTATCGACGTTTGGGCACCACGAGCTATCGTCCCTCCTCTTTTGCGAGGAATGCGATGCGATTAGATGCTCGACCTGTGTCGCATTCGAGATTGCGTGTTGGTACTGTCCGACGTGCTTGTTCGAAGTGCCGTCTGCTTCGGTGCGAGGGGAGAAGAACAGGTCGGTTTGCGGAACTGAGCTCACTGGGAAGGTCGCCTCGGAACCAGAGCACACGAGATAATCGACTGAATATTCTTCCCTGCTGCATCAGATGTGCGCGCAACTGCTTCCAATGCCCACAATGCTCGCACTCTCTCTCGGCGTTCCCGTCCGACCCAGACCCTTCGCACCCTCCAGCCTCAGCTGCCGCCTCGATCGGTGAAGCACCTTACTTCCTTGCGTGCACCGTCTGTCGATGGGATTCAAAGTCAGTCGGAATCGTCTTTGATAAGCCGACCGGTCTAGCGCGTGAGTTTATTGGATGGTGCTCTGGACTCTGTGAACACTCGGGGCCCCACCCACTGAGTATTGGTCCCGAATATCGTCATTCCCGGGCTCCATTAGAACAACTGCAGAAACTCGACGACGGTTCATCCGAGCTGACCGAATTCGATCGGCTCAAAGATCATTTCGAGCCCTACATCCGACGAGGACAAGCCCACGCCTCAGCCTCGACCACCACTGGAACTCTGGCCCCCAGCACGATGCCTGCTTCGACCTCGTCGACGATCGCTTCTTCAGTCCTCAAGGATATTCCAGGATTGGGGAATCGCTATGCTCATCTTCTTGGTGGGATGGGGACGAGGAGTGGGAAAGGTGCTGAAGCGGTCAATGGTGCAAGGGACGAGTTGGAGCCCTATGAAGCTCTTGTCCCGGCCAAAGGGTCGGTGGAGAAAGGGAAGGGAGTAGAGCGGGACGATGAACTCGTACGCAAGATGGAGAGCTTGCAGGACTTTGAGCAGGTCGCTGCACTTGAGAAGAGGTGGACGAATAGCTGGGACGCGTTGGAGTTGAGAGGGGTCATGGCTGAGTGAGTTCCTTCCACCTCTGGACGCGAGGCGACAAGTACTGATATCACATTCCCCGACGGGTCGCCACTCCACAGCTCACTTCGACCTCTCCGAACGCTACTTCAGGCCAAGCGATCCAAACGCTGTCCGATCTGCAAGCACATCCTGATCAAACCTGAACAGAAGGCCGCCTCGACCCGCTTCAAGATCAAGCTCGTCGCGTCCAACTACCTCCCTTCCATCGACGTCTACCGTCGACCCCCCGCAACGATTGGAAGTCGACTGAGCGCGATCGCGGCGGGTACGGCTTCGTTACGTCGTGCTGGACCAAGGGGGAGTGGGATTGGGGCTTCGATTAGTGGTCCGAAGGGGATGGTCGAGATGGATGAGGAACCGCTCAGACCGGGGAGGACGTATACATTCGAATTGTCGTTCACGAATCCGCTATACGAGTCTATTCAAGTTCGATTGGCTGTTGCTCGTCCGACGGCTTCGACCAAGGCAGTGGGATCGGCGAGGACGGATATAGGGGCCGATTCAGGTGTATCGACGCTAGCTACGGCTCCCCCGCCTTACGCAGTCAATCTACCCTCGGGCTACTTCCCCATCTCGGCTTACGCGGAAGAATGGGAGTTCGAAGACGACGACCAAAGGATGGACTCGGACGACCAAGATTCCGAGGAGAGTGCGGGTGGTGGAGGGGGTGGGGAGGGAGGGGACGCGCCGAAGAGTAAAAGGGCGAGGAACGCGGCGATGGGGATTGTCGAGAGGAAGATGAATAGGACGACGGTGGCGATGGAGGTTGCTGTAGGTAGGGAAACGGTTGGGCCTATTAAGGTGAGTTGAACTGGTCTATGGGATCGACGTATGGTGCGGCTCACCGACGGCACTCTTGGCTCTCGGATAGGCCAACATGCTCGTCACTTACGTCTACCACAACGGGGAATCAACCTCTGCCCCGCCCGGGTCACCCCTCCAGTCCCCCGTCAAAGGTGGGACAGGAACGGGAGGGGGGACCAAGTCGGCTTCTTCGGATGTCAAGACGTTCACTTTCTGGACATTGTTCAACCTCGGGACGGTAACGCCGCGAACAACGGCTGGGTCGAGCGAGGCGAGGAAGAGTTTCATAGTTCCCAGTTCGAGTGGTTGATAAGGGTATACTCTTTGTCAGGTTTTCAAAGGTTTGCAATTTGTTCGCTGGGTCGGGGTGAGTGAGCCTTGGGAAGGAGCCAGAAGAGTCCTTGACTCGGCGCCGTTGAGCGTGTAAGCGGGGACGCGCGTGCGCCCGGGTCCTAGCGCATTTCGTAAAGGGCCATTATTACTATTATTACTAGCCAATGATAAAAGTAATGTCGGTCGCCTGCCCCTGGGATGCCCTCGCACGGAGCCCTGCTGTTGGCGCTGCCCCAATCGCACCGTTCCCAGCCCGCCCAGCAAGCGAGCATCGGCACTGTGAGTCCACTACGACAGCTGCGTCGCTCTGTTGGACCGTACTAAAGCGTCTCATTCTACCGACAGTCCTCGCTCAGCCCTTCTTCACACCGCCGATCCCTTTTCCTCTGCGTGCGAGCTACCCATCCCACGACACCCACCAAAATGGTCGGCGTCTCCTCCACTACAGCGACCCAACGACTCCTCGTGCGTTCGTTGGCGACCTCGACGAGGATACTCAACCAAGTCGCTGGTGCTTCACCTTCGTCTGCGTCGTCGCCGTCCTCTTCCTCTTCGACGACCCCGTCGATCCACGAACGACAATCGCGCCAACGACAGCCGCAATCGATCCTCCACGTCGCCGATGCAGGAGGTGCCACCATGGCAGCGACGTTGCGAGCGATCGAGTTGACCAAAGCGAGGAAGGAGAGTGCGACCCCTTCCTCTACGACTACTCAACCCGCGCGAGGAGCTCGTCAACCCCCCGCCTTCATTGGTGAAGGTGGTCTAGGCAGTCTCTTGAGCCGTCGGCGAAGAGCCCAAGGTGTTGTATACGATCAAGATGCCCAAGAAATCGGAGCGCTCGCTTCTTCAGCGCCTAGCCCTACAGCACGGCAATCGAACACGGGAGCCTCGGCTCGTTCCCCCCGCGCGACTCTGCCTTCGCCAAGCTCGAGTGAACGTCGTCCTGAACGTCTACAATCGTCCTCGGGCGATCCGTCCTTCGCTGCCGCTTTCACCCCGCGCGAACGAAGAGAATCTCGAACTCCTTCCTCCTCATCCTCTTCCGGACCGCGCCCACCGCGATCCGGCCCTCCTTCCCAAGCCCGAGGAGGACCTCAGCGCCCGCCCACAGCTAGACGACCGCACGCCTCCCCTCGTTCCTCTCCCCCACGCGGAAGGAAACCTTTCAACAAACAAGAAGAATCCCGTCCTTTACCTCCGTTGGTCGTTCCCAAATACGTCCAAGTTCCAGCTCTGGATCTCTCCGCCTTACCTTCCTCCACTCCCGCTCCAACGAAGACGACCAAACCTTCGGCGGCTAAGAAAGCTTATGATGCCTATTTGGGCGTCAAGACGCCGGATGGGGCTACGACGTTGGGGGAACGACAACGGGGCGTTCTGTTGCATGCCAACAGGTTATTGAGTAGGAACCCTAGTGTAGGGTTGAAGGGGAGGCAAGTGGTGTTGAAGAAGGTGGAGGAGGCGCTGATGAGGTAGATGGAGATGGGGGGTGAAGAGGGTAGAGTGATGGGTATGAGTAGACTACTAGGCTTTGTATTGTGCTGATGATGATAATGCCAATTGCTGCATTGAACTTGCTACATTGAACTGAGGATCATGTAACTCGCGAAACCCCGGACATGCTTTTCAAAGGCGAGGAAATTGCAAAACTTCTCGCGGCGCGGAAGGAGAAAATTTGTAACTTGAGATGGGGTCAAATACTGGAGCAGGGTTGAAAGATCGAGGGTAAAGGGCAACTGGGGTCTGGAGAAAAGGGCTGTTGAAAGCCCCTCATTCGGAAGCGAGACGGGAAGCTAGAAGAGGCCAAAGTAGGAGCGCGGGAGAACGAGAACGAAGGGAGTTTTGAGAATCCGCCTATAGAGGGGAATGGGAAGAAACATGGGGAAGAAGACTGTTGAAAGTCTTGAAACTTGTCACGAGGACGATGAAAATCTTGGGGTGGAGAAAGGAAGAAAGGAAGAAGAGGACGAAGGGCGAAGGGCGAAGGGCGAAGGGCGAAGGGCGAAGGGCGAAGATGGGGGCAAAGGGCGCGGATCGCAGTTGATTACGAGTGCGGCAGAAAGGGGAACTTTGACGGGCGAAGCGATTGAACATTGCCGGCCAAGAGGAAGAGGATGACGTACGAGTACAGTGCTGGACGAGACGAGGGATGAAAGTCGACCAACGAGGTACCCAATTTGTAATTTGTTCGAGCTTTGTCGAAGAACTTGTTCGAGGGTATGATACGATGAGAAGACTGACGATACTGCGCGTTGTTTCGGTCGTTCGCACTCATACAGAGAATGCATTGCTCCAGGCAGAAATGTGCCGTACACGGTCGAGTCGAAAATCGGAAAGGGAACCGAGGTTGACGAAGGCGACCCTGTGCGAAATTGGTGGTACATCATACAGACGATGTCGACATCCAAGGCACGGAACCAAATTAGAAAGAGACCGATCATGACCGGCATAAATGTACACGAAAAAGGAAGGTGGAATCCGTATGTCGCACGATAAATAGGCGACCGCACACCCGAAGAACCTCGAGTCACGTCATTGCTGCTGCTGTTGCTGCTGTTGCTGCAATTGTTGCTGTTGTTGCTGTTGCTTCCTCAGGATGAAACTGGGCGTAGGGAGACTGCTCGGTAAAGGCGAGTTGTGGAACGTCGGGCCGGCGTATCGAGGTTCGGCGGATGGGGAGAAGGCGATGGGTTGCGAAGCTTCCTTCTTGGACGAGGTTCGATCAGATCGACGTTGGGGCGTGCGAGGGGAATGCGTTCCGTTAGTGTGATGGTGGTGGTAGCCGTTCGCAGCGTCGGAATCGGATTGATCGAGCGCGAGCGTGCCGATCCCAAAGGTTTCATTGTCCTTTTGCTGTTGTCGACGCAGCTTGGCCGGTGTCGCGTTCCCTGCCGATTGACTCGTCTGCATCGACGAGATCGAGTTCGTACCACCTCCACCGGAAGTCTGCAAAAGCTGTTGTTGCCAGGTCAACGCATTCGGTGTTCCTTCCGATTGAGATGCTGTCAATGCCGGTCGAGCACCCTGGCCTTGTTGGTTCTTGCCGCCACCCTTTGCAGGGCGAGGAGAAATTTCGTGGGTCGAGTGGTTCGCGTTCGTCGGCGTTGTGCGTTGGCCTCGGTTCGTGTTGGAGTTATTCTTCTTGGGTCGAGTGGTCTTTTCAGACGAAGACTGGGTCAGCAGCTCCTGCTGCCAGCTGAGCGGCTGGGAAGACGCGGCGTTTGTTGTCGCGTCACCGTTCGAGGGGGTGGGCATATCCCATTCGTCAGAGGATGACGAAGGCTGCGCTGCTTGACGACTGGTGCGAATCTTGTTGGTGTTGCGGCGGGCGTTGCTCCGGTCATGGTGTTGCTCCAGATGGTGATGGGAAGGCCGGGGTGCCGAGCGGGACACGAGCGATGGTGAAGCCGAGTCGTACTCTCTCGACGGCTGTCCGAGGTTGTAGTCAAAGGTCGATAGATCTTGTTGTGCCTCTTGCTGGGGTCGGCTTCGATGGGCTTTTGTCCTTGATCTTGTTCCAGCACTCGGAGGCCCCGTCGCGAGGGAGACGAACAAAGGCTCATCGTCGGTCGTCGTCATCTCATCCGCCGTGCTGGTCGCAGCCTTGGACCGAGGTGTAGCCTTGTTGTTCTGCTTGGGGGAACCCGATGGGTGGTTGGTGGGTTGTTGGTGTTGGTGCTTGCGGGATGTGTTGTGACGAGGGGAGCTGCGCGTCGGCGTCGAGACGCTTGGCCGCGGGAGACTCGAGATATGGATCAGGCCTGGTGTTGAAGAGGCGCCTGGCATCGTGCGAGAGGGGTAGAGTTGTCAGTATGGGAGCTGCAATGGTGTATGGGGCGCGGTGATGGCATCTCCGAGGCGCGGAGTAGTGCGTTCGTCCTCGAGTGGCAAATGCGAGCGATCGACTACAGCAGCCAGGAGGGTAGGCTCACCTATGGCACCTGGGCTTCTCAAAGCCATGGGGAAGAAGAGGGTAGAGGGGAGGAGCGGAGGGGGAGGGGGAGATGTGGTGAAGCGTGTTTGGTGGGTGTTCTGTGAATGATGTGATACGTAACCAGCCAAGCTGAAGTCGGAACGGGCAGCTGACCGGCACGGTCTCAGCTCGGGCTTGATCGTTTTCGAAAATGAGGATAACTTTCACGTCATAGGCATCTCTTCCCGTCCATAGAATTTTTTCTACACAAAATCGAGCTCAAATTATTGCACCACCTTGCCGACAATGTTGTACCTCTGCTCGGGGATTAAAAAGGGAAGGCCGAGCCGAGTAATCAGCGACTTTACTCCGGCGAGCGTAGACCAACACCAGCGTAAGACCGACCTTGGCAAAGTACTTGAACCAGTCATCCAACACCTTCATCTCCTCCTCGTTCAACTTGGAGTAATCCGGATCGGCATCCTCTATCTTGAGCGACGACTTGCCCAGTGCACACGACGCGTCTTTACCCGTGAAGATCTGGTGCGCGAGACCGTAACACGATAAACAGATCAGTCACGCAGAAATATACCCCTCAAGTGCCAGGTTCACCCACATGGTAGCCACACCCAGGGCCATACATGTCCTTTTTGGCCGAGACTGTGCGAACGCTCCTTGCCCACATTAGCAAGCTTTTCCCGATGATCATCTTCCTTCTGGCGGTCCATAGATCAGAGTCACTGACCATCAAACACGGTCCCCTTGATCGCCACGTAAATCCCCTTATCGGCATGCGTACCATCGTACTGTTTCAACTCTTCAACGGTGATGGGGTCATCCTTGGGGGGATCGAGCTTGATGTCGTCGGTGGAAAACGGCTTGACGGCGGCGGCCATCTTGGTTCCTGGGTCGAGGTCAGAGAGGTCGGGGATCGGGGTAGGTTCGACGGGGAGGGTGATGTACCAGAAGAAGAGGCCGGAGAGGACCTGGGCGGAGTGGGGCAAGGGGGGGCAACGGCACGGTGGAGAGGAGAAACGGAGCCGGGGAGAGAGTACGAGGTCAGTGCATGGAAAACATCAAGGATCTAATGCCATCAAGTTCACAAGACGTACAACTATTTGAATAGCAACAAAGAGCTGATGGTCGACGAGCCAGGCGTTGAAGTCGTCGGCGAGGCGAGCGAGCGTGCGTTGCACGGGGTGGGACGAGCTCGACAAATTCTGGGTCACGGGCGAAGCTTGCTGCAGGAAGCTGGACAGGAGGAAGAGACGCTTTCAGTTCTGATTCACCGGCCAGCAGGGAGCTCTCAGGCGCTGGACCGACCTTGACATTCACCGGGCTCAAGGATGCGCTGAGAGTGGTGGCAACCAGACCTCAGCGCCGTCCAACGGCCGTGACCTGACCGAGCAGCCGACCGCCCGACCCTGCCAGACGTCACACGTCAGATCTAGACCTCGGTGTCAGACCTTGCCCGACCGGCGACCAGTGACAGCCAGCAATAATTCTCCTCAAATTTACAAGGGGATTTTCCGGTCGCTGAGGAAGAAAAAGAAAATTAGTAAATTGCGGATGACAGTCACCCATTATGCTCGAATTCATCGCAGCTACAAAGTGCTCAGTAGTCCCTCGTCCGGCCCAGATTATTGAAGCCAGAACCCGAGACAGGTCCGGAGCTCATCCTTCCGAAAATTCCCGGTTTGGGAAGTAAAGGCTGCGGCGCGCGCTTCCGAGAATCGCCTGTAATAGCAATTTCGAATGCGCAAGTCTCACTACTTACATCGTCGCAGCACACCACGAATCCGAACGTCTGGGGTTGATGGGCTTGCCACTTTGCTTTTGACCCATTAAGCCATTCTTCCCATCCACTTGACATCTGGTCCCACTCACTGGTGCAGTTGTGCTCACCTTGTCGCTCGTTTCTTCTCATCAACCCCCCGCCCCGCCACTTTTGGATTCTTGCCTCCCCCTGTCTTGTGCTCCAACAGCCAGGTCCAGACCGCCGCCCGCGGACCGGCACCACCAGCTACCGCCACTGACCAGCGCCCGTCGTCAGCCGCCCGCAGTCCGCCCGCCCCCCGCGCGAGCCCGCGCGCGAGAGAGCCGTTCTCTAGCCACACCACTCAACTGGCGTGTTGCTCCTTTGTTTCGATTGCATCGCCGCTCGCCGGTCGAGTTTCAAACAGCCCGTGACATGGTTCGATCAAGTCCCATCCGAGGATTGTACGTACTGGATAGTCGCTTGCGGCTGAGTTGGTTGCGAGACTGACACCCCTCCCCCCTGCTTGACCTGGGCTCACTCACACCTGCCTGATCGGCGACCGCGCACGACTAGGCTCGGGCAACCGCTGTTCCTCTGCACTCTGTTCATCTCGATCGCCGCTTTCTTTTCGGCCTTTGTCGGACGTGAGTTGCTTTGCTGCTGCTTCCCGTGACGCATGTAGTCTGACACCATCTACCTTGACGTTTGCAGAGGTCATCCTCGAAAAGAAATGTAAGCCTTGGAATTCTTTCCTTCGACCGGAGAGCTCTGGCCGCGCCGTATTCCGCTCAGGGCACCGCGGCGCGCGGATCACACAGGCTTACGTGCTTGGCCGCTAACTCGCTCGCATTCTTGCATCCTTTGCGACGCAGATCAAGCTCAGAATGGTCAAGGGTCGGCGTGTGGTGTAGCTTGGTTCGGTGAGTCTTGAGGTCACGTGTACGCGTTTGAGGCAGGGTTGGGTGTCGCTAGCTGCGAACGCTCCCTCAATTTGACTTTCCCAAAACACAATGGTGCGGTTCTCGAGTTGTACTGTGTGACTGACCACATCCTCAACCTTGCGGTTACGCCTCCATGTAGGTGTCTTCTTGGAACTCGCCATCATTGTCTCCATCTTCGTCACACTTGCTTCCGACTCGGTCGAACGAAACAGGGGCCAGGTACGTTCGGGCGCGCTCCGATAGAGGCCATACCCTAAAAGGCGCCTGCTGATCGCTTACTCGTTTCCAACAGCTCTCGACGTTCCTCGCCATTGCAATCGTCTTTGGCGTCTTTGGCACCAACCTCGGCATCTTCACCGCCACATCGTTCCAACGAGCGATCGGAGCAGGATGGATCTTACTCACCATGATCAACGTGAGCAGAAAAAGCTTACCTTGAGCGTCTGCCTACCATGCTGACCGTTTCACGCTTGGCCTTGCCCTTGCCCAGATCGTCTGGCTCTTGTACTTCTCCGCCGAAGAAGGCTCGGTCTTCTTGCGTATCTTCGACTCGACCTCGCGCACGCTTGACCCTCGCGGTTCCAACCCAGCCCACCGAAGCAACTCGATCGCTCAACGTTCCGTCGGTGGGAACACCAGCAACCACCAAACCCCCGCTACGGTGAACGGCAGTGCAGCGTCCTTCATCTATGGTGGCAAATCCCCCGTCGGTAACATGAGCAACGCCAACTTGTCGCACCATGGTCACGCCGAGGAAGGCGGAGCCGGTGGATCGAGGATTGGTGGTGGGTCGCTTTCGGTCAATGGACCGGGTATGCATAGTGCTGCGACACCTAGTCTCGGGGGAGCACCGAGTTTGTTGGATGGTCAGAGCGTCGATTTTGCTCAGAAGGCTAGGGCGCTTTACTCCTGTACGTTCTCCACGCTCTCTCGCTTTGGGTGCATACGACTGACTCGAGTTGCTCCATCTCACTCTGAAATAGACACGGCCTCGCCGGACGACCCGAACGAGTTGTCCTTCACCAAGGGCGAGATCTTGGACATCACCGACACGAGTGGCAAGTGGTGGCAGGCGCGCAAGGTCGACGGCCAAGGCTCCAAATTGGTCGGCATCGTGCCTTCCAACTACCTTGGTGAGTCGGTCAGATCTTGAGATCAGACTTGTTCCCTGCAGACCCTGATCGGTACCTGCACTTTCGTTCTCACAGCTCTCGTTTGAACACACCCTTCAACCGACCTAAAGGCTAACATTCGCCTTGGCCCCCTATTCTCTCGCTCTTAATCCACTCAACAAGAATCCCCGACCTCTTCGTGCCCTCTCTCTTGTATCCAGCTGAACTTCAATAGCTATCTCACCTGGACGCCAATCTCATCAGGGTTTGCATTCGTGTGTCTTTGTTCGCTCTAGCCTCTTCTCGTCTTGATTCTTTCTTTTGCTTGGTGGTGGCTTTGTGTGTTTTCGTTTTCGATTTGAGTATGCAATATCATCATGTCTGTGTGCTTTCGATATGTACATGTGCGCTGTTCTGGGGGGGATGTGGGAGGTTTGAGGAAGAGCGCGCTCTCTCGCTCTCGAGACAAGCTTGAAAGACTGGAATTGGTCGGGAATGAGCTAAGGCTACATGTATTCAAGCTTTTGAAGTGAATCCTAACTATGGCTACAAGGATGAATTGCTAATTCAACAAGAAACTCTTCCAGACCCCAGCTCAAGGCATGGAGGATAACCTCCGGACCTACCTCCTTAAACCTCTCGCACCCTCAACTGCATCTTCATCCTCACTTTCTTCCTCTCCACCATTCGCGCTTCTCGGAGACCCCGAAGAAGCAGGTTTGATCCTCTCCTCGATTTGACTCGCACTACTGAACCTCCTACCCCAACCTAAAATCGCCAAACCGCCTCCCGCATTAATCTTGCCTAATAACTCCTTCCATTCCGCCAAAGGGTCCAGATCGAACTCATTCTCCAACAACTCGATACTCTCCCTCTTGAGTTGCGCGCGAGCAGAATGGAGGAAAACGTGGTGGGCCGGTACGGAAATGGGTGTTATGGGGGTGAGGTTCATGTAGGCGTTGTAGAGGAGGGAGGTATGGGCGATGGCGACGACGGTGAGGTATATCCAGGGAAATAGGAAGAGAGAGATTTCGATTCTGAGATGGCGAGGGAGACAGATCGCGTTAGTGTTGGTACAAAAATATAACTAAAATTAATGGTACAATGCCTACCTGATGGCGGATCGATAGATGCTAGATGGGGTGATCGCCGTCCACAGCGACACGCAGAAGAGCACGACAGCGAGTGACACGATCACGGCGATGAACTGCAAGAGGTAGTTTCGTGGAACAAGTCAGTGATTGGTCTGATTTTTTCTTTCAAAGTGTGTCACTCACCACGCTGAGATCCCACTCGACCCTCTTAAGCGCAAGCAACTGCCTAGCCCACTCCCGCTGCGCAGCACCCTCCGGCTCCGTCTTCTCCACCTCGGCCCTCAACCTCGCCGTCGTCGCCATCTTCATCGCCTTTTCCTCCTGCGCATTCTCGGCTTGTTTTGCCTCGGGATCATCGTTCGTTTCTTCTTCATTTGGGGCCAGGGCGAAGATCACCTTATGGAAGAGGCTTTGACGGCGCTCGAAACCGGGTCGAAGAGTCGAGGCGGAGCAGTTGCTCAACGCCGAGTCGCGACGATAATCTGATACCATCGATCGTGAGGAGGGTTCCGAATCAGAGGACGGGGAGAGCGGGTCGGCGTTCGAGTCTCGACGAGGAGTGAGGGGAGGCGAATGGGAGGTGTTGTCCCTAGAGAAGGGGTCAAAGTTGTAGAATTTTGAACTGAACGGCGAGTGCATCGGTATGGTAATGTGCGGAGGCGCATGCAATTCAGCCCGTTTGCACAGAGGGTCCACACCCGAATCTCGACGCGCGAATTGGGCGCTGATGCTGTTCGCGGCCGTCGTTCCACTGAGCTTTGAAAGACCGCTGCCTTCGGTCGTGCCACTGTGGCTCGTCGTCTGCGTGTTCTTGGATACGCCACTCGCACTTGACATCTTCCGATCCTGGTGAGGGTAACACAGGTTGACCTTTTTCGTTGGCGTCCGAGCTAACATCTCTTGTGCCTGGGCTTCACCGTCCTCTCTTACTTCGCCGGCAAACTTGACCGAGTTGTACCGGATTTGTCGTCGCAGAATCAAGAGCAACGAAAGGCCCGCGAGATTGATGAAGATACAGCATACTGCGCCAAGGATGTAAAGACAGCATACGGCTCGTTCCGTTCGCTCAAACGTTCGGATCTTAGACAAGATCGAGGTGGTTCGAGCGACGAGGGAGGCGGAGGTGATTGTTGAGTCGGTGCCTGTAGTCGTAAGCAGTGAACGTAATGCCTCGGACTGGATCCATGCCTGGGACCAAGCTCGGGCGATGAAGATGTCGAGTGTCTAGTAAGGAATGAGAGTACACATGGGTCTTCGTGATCACGTAGATAATCATCGAAGGTGGGAAAGCTCACAAGTGCCGCCGACAATATGACCACAATTCCGATGATGTAGACGAGATTGACCACCCGAGGCGACAAGACCTGCTTGTTGAGTGCTCGCTCCGATCCTAAGACACTCGCTTGCAAGATCGAGAACGAAGACACCCATCCTTGCGCGAGGATGGGAATGTAGACCAGGTTCCGCCAGTAGAATGCTTCGGCCATGCCGCGATGCAGGATCAAGGCTCTCCGGGAGCTCTCTGCAAACCCTATGAGCACGAGGCAGCTGATGATACTGAATGTGGTGAACACAACATGTTGACTGTGGAGCGCAATGAATTGAATCAGCGAAAGTCACATGCAAACTGGGAAGACGCCTGTCACACGTCCCCTGACAGCATCGCGACCTCCTATCGCCTGCTCGTGCTCCCTAAAACTTACTTGCCGACGATGTACCGCCCCTTGGGGCGATGTACGAATCGAAACATCCACATCCGTTTGGCTCGTCGTTGATAGTCGAAAAAGGTGATGATGAGAAAGGCGAGACCCGATACCACACCACTGTTTAGGACCGGTAGCGAGAGGAGGCTCATGAGTTTCCACGAAAACTCGATCCGCAGCGCCGAGCCCAATCGCGATCAGCCTCCTCGCTGAGAGCGAAGAGCCTTCGCGACGAACTTTAGAAGCACTGACGCGACCTGATTGAAATAAACTGAAAGGTAAACACGTACTATACCATCAACCCAAACAAGACATAGAAGCGCACGGATGCGCCTCGCGGTACGGTGAGCTGTAGCACGTGATTGAGCTCGCTCGCGCTCGCGATCCTATAGACCTCTGAGACCGCAGACGGCGAATCGAGCGACGACGACGGCGGCGGCGGGAAGTTGAGCAATCCCATCGTGACGCATCGACAGGTACTGGTACTCGTCTCACACGGGTATAGAACGGAAGAGATTCGAGAGGAGGGCGAGGCGGTGGTTGTGGAGCAGTAGGACGGGAAGGCTGGAAACGAGTCGAACACGGATGACATCGTGTCGAACGCCGTAGACTAGGCTGCCGCTAGCGCAGATGCCAATCAGCTATTCGAATCGAGAGTCATTTGGAGCGCTCGCTTTGACCGGCGCTGTGGGGGGCGGGCGGCGACTATACCTCCCTTGCGCTCACTTAAAAATTACATGACCTTTCGAACCTCTCTCTGGCTGATTTGAGGACCAAATGATTTTTCTTCCTGCTTCGCTGATTGAAACCATCAACCCTTTGGGCCTATTACCAAGACCCTAGTTGATTAGTGCTAGTCAACGTAGTCTCGACGCAATTGGGCGCGTAACCCTGCAGGTTTCTAGGCGCACAGACATGGGGCTGCACAATCAAGTTACCAAGGCTTTTAGATTTGGAGAGCACGGATTGGATAAGAGGGCTGCTCCCAAGATCATTAAGGATCATGGCAATGAAGACAGAGACGCCTGTATCATCCAGTCTCGGCTGACGAGCCTTTATTGAATCCAGGCACACGCAAGGGTTAATCGTGCCGGACAGCCCGGAGAGTAGGCAACCGCCGCGACCGATGGCACCGATGGGCCATGTTCCTGGAAGAGAATCCGATTCTGGTTCCGAACAACCCCGGTCTGAGGGAGCCGGGATTTCGCAAGGCTTCCAAATGATGGTAGATTCTATCTAGGCTGATACTTGCCTCCGCTTCATGAGGTGTAACAACTCGTGGCATGGACGAAGCCGAAGCGCGGCAGCAGCGACCGGCACTCGATCAGTGTGGTCACCAGTTATCGCCGCCCGCAGGCTCTGGCTCACCTTCGGTGTCACGTCACGCCAAGAAGTCTTCGCTCTCTCCTCGACCGATGAACAGCGTGATCGAGTCTCAAGATCGTTTACAATGGGCCAGCTGTCCATGGTCTTCAAGTCGCTCCGCGCTTACCATGGCCGTCGGACATTTCTTCCAGTTGGCCAGACTGTAGGAAATCAGATGTTGCAGGTCTGCTAAATCTTTTGGCGGATTCGAGGGGCGCAATTTCGTCCGGAAATCCTGGCATCCCGAGGCGCGTACCGGAGCAGAGCTCCTTTACGCCGACCCTCCTGCTCAGAGATTCGGTGATTTACAGGCTAGACAGGGCATGAATAACGGGGCCATCAGAGAAGCTTCATGTGATTGAAGAGCAGACACCAACGCAAATTTCGCAAGCCAGACTCACCGGCGGCGATTACGATTTGAGTTCACGTCGATGGGTCCTCGGCGGTTCCTCTGATTTACGGAGTAGTCGCCAATTTCGGAGGAATTCAACAACCAATCCAAACCAGTCGAACAACCAAAGAGCACCGAACGCCTCTCCCTCTTCTAGAACTTCTTCCAGCTAATCGTTTCCTCACCTACGCGAAGACCTAGTCCCGCGAAGGTAACCCAGAAGCTAGACTTGCTCTTGGGGTGGGGCGGGGCTTCGGCATGTCGCGACCAAGCCCCTTTGGGCTGTTTGGCCGAAGGCGGTGCACGGCGACGATCTTTACTACGCTTTCGTAGTCGAGCTTGGAGGAGAAAGTTTTCTCCCGGCTGGCTCCTTGGAGAACGATCTACGCAAACGCTTTAATTATGTCACCGAAAAAGGTTCACGGCTTATTACAATCACGAATAGGCGATTCAAGCCAAAGCCTGGTTCGGCTAGCTCGTGGTTGGGGGCGAGCGCCGCGAGCGAAGGGGTGTCCCACACCAAAATGTACATTTCATTCCGACTCTCTGACTTCAAAGACAGTCAAGGCGAGCGACTTACGATTTGATTGTGGTTAAGTCTCTCAACTCACTCTCCTCTCGCCCCAACTCGTGTAGCCAAAGGATGATCAGCTGCCACGGTCTAAATCTCAGATCACTGCAGCTCACCGATCATTGAAGTGATCAGAGGATTTGGAGCATCCACAACGCTGAGACTCAAAGGAGAGGAGAGAACATAGGGTAAGCGCAAGAGAAATATTGCGACACGAGATCCGTAAGACGTGAAATTCCTGCTCATCTCGAGACGAAGAGGGCGTGGAACGCGCTGAAGGAAGAAAATAAGGGGGGTAGGATTACAAGTGAACGCGCCAGCGATCTGTAGTGAGAGAGCCAGGAGCACGGGAACGAACTGAGGACATAAGGAAGCGCGAAGAGATCATACCACGTTGTATCGCCCAGGGGCGTTGGTCCCCGCGGGAAGACGTTGTTCGGCCTCGAGTGCCAAGGTCGCGCCTTCGATGAGGGCTCGTTTGATTTCCGTGATAGCTGCCTTGACCTTGAATAGCGGAAAGGGCATCAAAATCGTCAGCATGAAATTTGTTCTAGTGACGACAGGTGGCTTGGCACTCACTCTGTGTTCGTCGTTCGACTCGATGAGGAAATGCAACTTGGGCAAATCGCCGGGTCCAGGTTCTTTGCCGGGCTCGTAGTAGGTTCCTTTGTTCGTAATGGACGCTCCGGTAGATTCGACGAGCTGTTCAAGTGAAACAAAAATGGCGCTCATGTAAGCGAATGGTTTGTTTGTCGAGGTGGAGTGGCTCGTGGGCCTTCACACTCACATGGACCATGGTCTCCTTGTTCGTAACCTTCCATCGTGCCTTTTGAGGGTAGTCGTTGATGTAGATGATAGCCTGAGAAGCGAAGCAAGGTCAGTTCCACCGCTCTTCTTTCTTCACCACCACCGAATCCGACCTCAAAACTCACGTGATAATCCGTTGCGTCCGGATCCCTTCTCCTCGCTGCATCGGTTGACAGATCCGCTTCCTGCGGTTCCCTCTCCCGCCTATGCGTCTTCCTCGCCTTCAACAACGCATTGAAGTTTGCCGCCACACCCGCCGCCTTAGCCTCCGCTTCGGTCTTGCCCGCCGCCCTAGCAGCTGCCTCGGCGACTTTTGCTGCTTCAGCGGCAATTTCGGTCGGTTCCAACTCGACAACGGCTTCTTTCTTTTCGACAGGCCTGGCCCCCGTCATCTTGTTCGTGTCCGGTGCCGGACCACGATGGATCTCAACCTCCAGATCAGCTACGTTTTGCGCCGTCGACTTGAGTTCGTCCCCAGCGGCATTCGTGGTTCCCGACGTCGACGAAGTGGTCGCGACGCCCGTCTCAGGATCGATCGTCTCCTTCTCCTTCTCGGTTCCCGGTTCACCATGTGCAGCACGTTGAGCCCTCATTTGTTCATCGCGTTCGGATTCGAGTCGCTCAAGTCCTTTTCCACCGAACCCTGATCCAGCCGATGCTTTACCCGCCTTGACCTTGTCGGCGAATTGTTCGGCCAAAGCCTTGACCTCGTCCGAAATAGGAGCGTTCGAAGCTTGTAAAGCCTTGAAGATGTCGAGCGCGTATCGATCTTGTTCGGGCGTGAGGAATGTCACGCTCGTTCCTTTATTCCCCGCTCGACCCGTCCGACCAGCGCGATGCACGTAATCCTCCATATGGTTCGGCGCATCGTACTGAATGACCATGCGTAGTTGTTTGACGTCCAACCCTCTCGCAGCAACAGAAGTCGCAATGACGACGGGTACGATACCCGATTTGAAATCCGCGATCGTCTGATCACGATCGACCTGGTCCATCCCGCCGTGCAAACTCATGCACGAGTAATTCTTGCGCAACAACTCGGTCAACAACTTGTCCGCACTCTCTTGGCGTTCGACGAAGATCAAGGCACGGGAATCGCTATCATCGTTGAAGAGGTTGCCGAGTAATTCGAGCATGCGGTTAAACTTGGTGTCTTCCTCTCGCACTTCGACGATTTGTTCAATCTCGGCCGCGACGACGGAGCGACCACCCACGGTGATTTCTAAAGGGCGTTTGAGGATCTTGCGTGCCAGAGCTTCCATCTGCCTCGGGAATGTGGCGGAGAACAAGACCGTTTGTCGATCGGGTCGGATTTGCGAGATGATCTTCATCACTTGCGGTTCGAACCCCATATCGAACATGCGATCAGCTTCATCCAAAACGAGGTACGTCACGCGGTGCAGGTTGATCAGCTTGCCCGAATTGGTCGTCAAGAGTTCGATCATGCGTCCCGGGGTGCAGACGATCAACTCGGAACCTCGCTTCATGTCCGCGATGTTGTCCTTGAGCGGTGTACCACCGTAAGCGCACGATGCCCGCAGTCCTAGGGCCTTGAGGAAGGGTTTGCATTCCTTGTGGATTTGCGTCGCCAGCTCTCGCGTCGGGGTCATGATCATCGCGATGGGGCCTTCCATCGTTCGGAGAGGTCGTTGATCCTTGATGTGGCGAAACATGGGCAGGAGGAAAGCGATCGTCTTGCCCGAGCCCGTCTTGGCGACACCGATGATATCTCGACCCGACATGATGGCCGGGATCGCCTGCGCCTGAATCGACGTCGGGGCCGTGTACTCGAGTCCCTTGATGACGTCGATGCACGCCGCGGGAAGACCGCAGTAACTCCACTTGGAGACGGGTTTGGGAGGGTCGGCACCTCGAATCTTGATGTCGTCGAGCTCGAGGCGGAGTTCATCGACTTCCTCTGGGGTGAGGGAGGCGACTTCGGGAGGCTCGTGATAAAAGACTTTGGTGAAGGGTTCGTAGTTGACCTTGGCGTGGTCGACGGGGGCGAGTTCACGGCCCTTTTTAACTTTTTTGGCAGCCAGACTGTGTCAAAGATCGATCATCAGTACAGATTCTATCAACCAATGTGACCCCGAGAACACGAAAAACTCACGCAAGGATGTCCGCCGCGGACATGCCAACCTTTTCCGCCTCATCATCCTCGACGACCTGCTCATTATCATCGTCGTCCTCATCCTCATTCTCCCCCGGTCCACTCCCTCTTGGCCCACTCGCGCCCTTCAACTTGGCCCGATCAAGTTTGTCGACGCTCTTGACCTCGGCCTGGACACTGTTCATGAACGCGTCCAGTTCATCAACTTCCTCTTCTTCCTCGGCTTCGAGCTTTGGCTCTCCAGCCTGATCCATCTTGTCCTCCTCCTCCTGGGCGTTTTTGGACTCCCCCTCCCCAGCTTCCCCGTCCACATCCATGCCATCACCATTCTTCTCCTCCAGTTCCAACTCTTTGGCCCTCCTCCTCATCGCCTCCTCGACCTTTCCCTTGAACACAACACTCCCTTCCAAGTCCTCATCATCATCCAAGTCCTCCTCCCCACCATCCTGAAGCGAAAGATCGACCTCGCCTTCGAACTTGATCAAGCCAATCTTCTTCTCCCCATCGTCGTCTTCGCCTAGTTTGAGCGAGTTCTTCAATCCGCTGGGACGGAAGGAGGACGAGGAGGCGTTGTTGTTGAAGGCAAAGGCGGGTCGGGCGGGTAAGGAGGCTGAGATGGGGTTCTTGAGGGAGGGTGGAGCGACGTTGAGACGGGACGAGATGGCGGCTGCTGCGGCGAGAGCGAGTTGAGCTGGGTCGGCCACGGGGGCAGCGGCGGGCTTGGCGGGGAGGCCTGCGGACAAAATGACTCGGTCTGAGTATGCGATTCAAAGGCTCGCGACGAAGGTAGATGGACTGACCATTCTTTGCTGCCGCACGATTGATCGAAATGGACGTCGAGCCCAAAGCCGAACCAGATGCGGTGGTCGTAGAGGCGGGTGAGGCGCCACCTTGCTCGGCCGCCTTCTTGGCTTTCCACGCTGCCAATCGCTCTTGCTTGAGCCTCTGCTTCTCGTGCTCTGCTGCTGAAGCCGAGTGGGTCTCAACGGTTGCGGCGGGACTGGCTGCGCCTGATCGGCCGTTCGAGGTCGAGATCGGGGTCGAGCTGCGGGGTTCGGTCGTCGGGGAAAAGGCGCGACTCCTTGGCGAGGCCTGGGACGGTCTTGGAGGAGAGCGATCGTCGGGTCTTCTTGAGGAGGGAGGTGCATCATGTGGGTGCGAACTGGAGCTGATGCTGCCGTATCTTCCAGCTCTGTCCCTATCCGTGTCCCGGTCGCGGTCTCGGGGACTATCGTAGTCGTGACGGGGTGATCGATGGTCGTCGTTGTACCGTGACGACGAGGTGGGTGCCTCCCTTCGGTCATACCTCGAGGACGAGGACGAGGATGCAGGGTTCCTAGCCCTGTCCCTGTCCCTGTCCCGATGATCCCGACGTCGATCCTCATCACGATGCGCTCCTCCGCTGGTCCGTCTGGACTCGGAGTCGCGGTCTCTGTCGCGATCACTACCTCGACGATCCCTTTCCCGATCCCGGTCGCGATCGCGGTCTCGGTCATGACGACGCTCAACTAGATCGCGGGAGGAAACGCCGGACGCGCGTCTCGAGGAGGCAGAGTAGTGCGAGTCGTCGTCGTATCGTCGTCGTTTCGAAGCGGACGAGGATGAGCCCGTCGGCGAAGGTGAGCGGGGCATACCAGCGGGGCAGATCGTGCTACAAGGCCCCGTTGTCGAGTAGCAGCCGGATGACTTGAGGGTGCGGCGGCGAGTACGAGAGAGGGTGAAATTCAGCGTCGTGGAGTGGCGCAAATGCCTCCGTTTCTAATGCGCAATTGTCCAGAATTGCCCGGCGCACCCCGCCCGAGCACCTTCGCAAGCTCGAGCTCGACGGTCGCTCCCACCTCCACCTCCACCTCGTCCTCGTCCTCGTCCTCGTCCTCGTCCTCGTCCTTAGCAATGGCACCCCCTCGGTCGTCCTCGCTCCCTTCCAAGGGCCGATCCACTTCATCGATCAACCAACCGAACGCATCTTCCTCCTCCAACCAAGAACCCGATGCGGTCCTACACCGTATCACCTCGCTGTCGTCCGCGTTGCCTCCCGTCGCACCGACCCACGCCGATCTGAACCCGTTGATCGACCTCATCTCCCTCTTCCAGAAAGTACCCCTCCAACCACCACCCAACACCGCCTCCACCTCATCATGGTACCAGCTCAACCGGCAGGCCGTGCACACGTCGTTGCATGCGCTCAAGGCGACGTTCGAGGCGCTCATCGACCACGGGAGGCTGCACGGCGTGCTCAAGCGCAAGATCGCGCCAGGACAGGGGGTATCCTCGTCGTCATCCAAGGAACAGGCGGCGGCGTTGGAAATGGCTTCGGTGCAAAAGGTCAAAGAGTGGTTGCAAGGGAGGTGGGCCGACTACCTGAAACAGACCGCTACGGTCGTACAGGGCCATTGGGACGTGGGTGTCAGGGTAAGAGAATTCACCCCGATCCCGTCCGTCGACTTCCTACAAGCTGACCCCCGACCCGTGCTCGCGCTCACCAGATCTCCGCCTTGAACGCACTCATGTCCTTGCTCCGAACCGAATCGACCTTCCTCACCTCCCTGCACCACTCGCGACAAGCCCAATTCCCCTCCTCGACTTTGCTCCACATCGTTCGTGCCATTCTCCTACCCCAAGACGACGAGGGGCTCATCGTTCCCGAGATCAAGGACGAGTGGCAGAAATGGTGGAACGTCTGCGACGACATTCGGTACCACTTTCTCAAGGAGTCCGCTACCCTCCTCTCCTCGTACGCTTCGTCCAACCAGGATGTCCCGACGCATCTCGTGTCCAACATGATCACGCTCTTTGAATCGCTCACGTCGATGCCGACCGTACCCAAGGAACTGAACGAATGGTGGTGTTCGACCCCTTTGGCGCTCAAGTCAAAGGGTGACACGAGCAACAAGAAGCGCAAGACCGAGACCGGATCGTCAAAGGATGATGGAAGTACAGGCATTTTCGACTCGTCCTCGTCCTCCGAATCGGACGAGAACGCCCCCAAGATTTCGGCGAGGGACTCCAAGAAACTCTTGCCGCCTCTTTTATCCCTCTCCGCCCACCGTCGCGTCTTTCAGGATTGTGTCTTGGCCTTGTTGAGCCTCCCGTTGGACGAGGCGCAATCCAAGAGGGTTCTGAGCATCTTGCATCGTCAGGTGTTGCCGCACATGACAGACCCCAAGAGGTTGATGGATTGGTTGGTCGATTGTACGACCCAGGGTGGGACAATCGCCATCTTGGCTTTGAACGGTCTTTTCACACTGATGCAGAAGCATAACCTGTACGTTCTCCGCCGTCCGTGTGATGGAACTCTTCCCTCAAACTGACTTTCGGATTCGGCGCCCAGTGAATACCCCAATTTCTACTCGGCGCTCTACTCGCTCCTAACGCGCTCACTCCTCCACACGCGGTACCGCCCACGTTTCTTCCGTCTGTTGATCATCTTCCTCTCCTCGACGCACATCTCCGCCTCCCTCGTCGCGAGCTTCATCAAGCGACTTTCTCGATTGGCCCTTGCGGCCCCTCCTTCAGCCATCGTCACCATCGTTCCATTGGTGTACAACCTCCTCAAACTCCATCCGGGGTGTATGGTCCTTATCCACAACCCTTCCCCAACCGACGAATCGATCCACACCGATCCATTCGACCCCGAAGAAAAAGACCCGAACCTAACTCGAGCTTTGGAAAGTTCTTTATGGGAGATACAAAGTTTGATGCAGCATTATTTGGCCAGTGTGGCGGGCTTGGCCAAGGTTTTTAAGGAGGTGATGAACAAGGAGAGGTATGGGATGGAGGATTTTTTGGATCATTCGTTTGCGACGGTCAGTTTTTTTCTTTTTTCTTTCACTTTCTCTGTAATTTGGGGGGGGGGGGGGGATCGCCCTACAAACTCGGGTGTAGAATGCTTATCGTGTTCGGTTCTTCTTCTTCTTTCAAAGATGTTCGAAACCGAGGCTACGCGACTTATCCGTAACGCACCTGCCTTGGCACCCGTTCCTCAACGCCAACCGATAGGCGACTCCTTCTTCCCCTCCACACCCGCTGCTGAAAGGCCTACGAAGGTGGTCAAGAAGGTTGTGAAGAGGTCGTTGTTGGAGGATGAAGGGGATGAGGAAGAGGTGGAGGTGGAACAAGGGCCGGTGGATACGGTGGCGAGGTTATGGGTATTTTGACCAAACGGACGCAGGCTGGTGTGATCTTTGGGGAACGCAGCAGCCACAATCACGGTGATATTTAGCCTACGATTAAATTCAGCGTCTGCTACTCGGATCGTTGTCTCGCGACGAGACCCGAACTGTGGCCCGAGGAAGCCGAAAGAATACAACAGGGCGAGGTAAAACATTACCTGCATCTGCCCAGAGGTCGGGTAGTACTTCCCAATTCTTCCGACTCCCCGATCGTCCAGTTCCCCCGAAAATCGACCGAGCCTCGGAACGGGCAACAAAGCCAACATGGAGATTACGAAAGAAGCATGATTCTGCCAAAGCGAGCCTGAAAGCTCTTTGGGATGGAAATCAAATCGAGTCATTGCGTGCGAACAAGACAGAAGAGAAGCAAAATAACTACACAACTCTGAAACAAATAACAAAAACTGAAAGCTAGTGGTCACGGGTAAGATATTTACACTATGAAGTTTTCGGCCTCGTCAAATATCAATGACGGGTCGATCGGGAAAGATGTTGGCGCGACAGAGGGCGCAGGTCCGACTTCGGGTCAACCATCTCACGATGCACGTTTCGTGAAACCTGCATATCACAATATAGACGGTCAACCTCAGCCCACTATATTTCTCTTTTCTTCCTAAAGCCCCTCCATCAAAGTAACTCACGCATGCAGACACTCCGGCAACACAACCGCCCGTTCCCCGACCTTGAACCTCGCCAAACAAATTGTACAATCGACGCATCTCACGCCGACGACGCTGAGTTTCTGTTTGACCTTCCCACGTTTGTCTATACGTCGACGCTCGAGTTCGACGACGGCAACATCGAGCATCTCGAGTTCGGCTTGGGATGCACCGAGTTCGCGCGCTGACCCCATCATTTCGCCTAGGGTCGTGAGATCCTGATAAGGGGGGGAAAGGTCTCAGTATATCAGAGTGAAAGAGGTGCAAGTCTCATTGGCTTACATCGTATTGATTGCCATCAACTTCATGGTCCAGCCGAGCGAGCAATAGGTCCAATTCCGTATATGCCGACAAGTCCTGATTGTTCGCTGCTTCAACTGTCGAGTCCGACGTCGGTGCCGCCGTCGTCGATTGTACAGCCTGACCAACACCCGTAGGATTGCTCGCTTTTCGCGAACCCACATTCGAAGAGGAAGAAGCCGCAGCAGGATTAACGCTTTGCAACGCCTCCAAGGCCAATCGATCATTCTCCGTCAACTCCTCCGACGAACGAGGTTCTCGATTCTCCAAAGAAGCAAGCGCATTCTCCCTCATCTGCATAACCGTGAATGCATCGACTCGATCCGTCGGACCGGGCGGCACAGGTAAGGGACGACGACTGGGTCGGCGAGTCTCTTCCGTCACTCCGAACGTCGCTATGGGCGAAGGGGATGTCGTTCCTCTTGGTGGTGGGGGTAGAGGGGCCGGTCGACGAGGTCGAGGTGGCGGAGGGGTGAACGAGCTCGGTGCCAAGGGAGAAGGGAGCGAGTAGCGCTCGCTACTGGGGATCGTCGAAAGGAGTGAGGGGTTGATATCGCTGACGGGAGGTGGGGTGGCCTGCGAATAGCTCGGATCCGAGGTCGAAGTTGAGGAGACAGGGTATCGACGGTTCATGCTGCCGGGTCGAGAACGAGGTACTGGTGGCGCACGACGGACCAGCGAGGCGCGTTGGGGAAGTGCGGGGGTCGAGCAAGACAAGGTGGAAAGAGGGATGTCGGGCACATCTTCAATCGTCGAAGGTCGCACAGCAACGTCTTCGGGTCGTCTTGGTAGCGGCGGCGCCGTGGGGTCATCGAGAAATGGTCGGGGAGGGGGTTTGCTCGGCGGGGTTGGTGGGGCGGCGACCGTCGCTGAAGGTGGTGGTCGTGGTGGCGGCACTGGGGGCTGCGGGAGGGGTGTTACGGGTGGCAAGGGTGGCTTCGACGATACTTGTTGCCCGAACCGCGATCGATTGGGAAAGAGCTGCTCAAAGGCACTCGTGCGTTGCTGAGGCTCCGATGCAGCGATCTCGGCCGGTGGTTCCTCCGCCCTCTCGGTAGACTCCTCCTCTTCCGGGACCTGTGACATCCCTGATTCACTCGTCTGCTGTGCCGCATTCTGTTCTCGCTCTTTCGCAGCACGTTCCAAGGCGACACGTCGTTCCGCGGCTTCGGCAAAGCGTCGTCGAGCATTAAGGGTCACAGCACGAGCCAGTCGAGCGGGGCGATCTTCTTCTGCCTCTTCCTCTTCCTCTTCCGAATCGGACGACTCGACTGTCGCACCGGTAGGCTCTGGTGTTGATCTGATAGGGGTTATTGACGGTGACATATGTGGTGGAATGGGAGAGGAAGACGAAATCAATGGTCGAGCTGGACTGGAAGGCGGGGGAGGCAGGCTGGACGACGTCGAGGCGACAGGGGCGAGCGGGGGAGCTGGAGCCACACTTAAAGGTTTGTCGACAGGTTCCTCCGTTTCTTCCTCCAAGACGACACTGGATTGGATTGCCGAAGATGGGCTCTTCTGCGCTTGCGCTTGTGCGATCCTCCGTTCTGCAGCCTCGGCGAATCTTCGACTGGCGTAGATCGATAGGGCCCGAGCGATGCGTGGAACGTCGTTCTGCGCTTCTGCGGCGGCAATCTCTTCGCGCTCTTCAGCAGATGGTGGGTTCGGCTCAGTCGGGGCGGTTGCGGATGTCGATACCGTTGGCCTACTCGTCTGGTCCGTGGAAGCTCTTTCAACGGTCACAGCTTGAACCCTTGCCGTCGAGGAGGCGGGTGGGGTTGGAACACGAAGAGGTAGAGGTGTTGCGTCTTCAACCGGGTCAAATGTGACGACATCGGCTCCAGTCTCCTCCGCGACCGGTCCGAACGGTGTTGTTGCTGTTGCTGCTGCTTCTGCGGCTCGCCGTCTCTGCATATCCCGCTGTATTCTCAGTTCAAGCTCCATCCCCGCCGCTCGATCAGCTTCCCACGCGAGCACGAGTGGATCGTCCGAAGTTACGAGGTCGGTGGCTTCAGGGAGGTCAGACTCGGCCAGAGCACCTCGAGGTATGGTAGGGGAAATTTCTTCTCCACCACCTATTGCTGTCGAGGCTGTAGCTCTTTGGGCCGCCAAGTCTAGGGGTGACGGTGGCCGAGATCCTGGGAGAAAGTAGGCCGGTGGCGGTGACTCGAAGGCGGGTGGAGGAGCGGCGATGGAAGCTCGCGGGTCGACGACGGGCGTTTCAAAGAGTATAGAAGCCCCTCTGCGTTGTGATATCGGTCCTCTTGGGTTCGAAGCGGAGGGCAGTGCTGGCGAGCACTGAGTTGGGATATAATTACTCGGTGGAGGATTTGTCAAAGTCCGACTTGTCGAAGCGGGTGGGAAGGGGTATTCGTTCACGTTCGAAGTTGAGGAGGCTGTGGAGTACGAACAGGAATATATATGATCCAGATCCGTGGCCTAGACTGCGACCAGTACACCCGGACCACTTACCTTGCTGCGGTGGGGTCAATCTTATCGCTCGTGGCCCACGGACGTTCGAGTTCGAAGCCACACCACTGCCGAGCGAGCTGCTGCATGCGCTCCCGGATCGGGTCATGCTACGACTTGATGCACTGTCAGGCCCAATCGCCGTCGCCCCACCCCGCTGCTGTCGGTCTCTTTCCCTGCTCTGCGTTGAGCGTGAGCTGGCCGAGGCGACGGGAGGGGTCGACGGGCGACTGCCGTTCCTTCCGGCGTTGAAGACTGCGTCGAGTATTGCAGGGTCGGGCACGGCAGGTGCGACAGGTTTTTTGACCTTTTTGACCTTCTTCTTGGTCGGAGCGGGTGCTGGGGATGGGGCGGAGATCTCCTCGGCGGGGCCCATGGTCGCACGAGACGGTTCGACGACGGATGACGAATGGTGCTGGTTCAAATTGGAGGTGCTCGCGACTGAAGTCGCCGACGTCGACGCAGCATCGAGTTGGCCCGCCACTCTCCGCCGGCCCGTATTGTCCGGAGGTACGAGCGTGAGTTGACCATGGTGTCGAACCGCATGGGCGAGGTAAGGTGCTTCCTGAGGTGGTGCTGGTTCAGGCAAGGACGTCGAACTGGCCGTGGCTCCCGTCGTACGATACAGGGGTGGTGTGAGCGCAGTCTGTTTGTTCTTCTTTCGATCGCGGGTCCAAGCCGGACCCCGACTCGTCATTTGGTTCAGTCAAGGCTAGCGCACTCTTTGTGGGACGCTGGCCGCAGGTGGTTTGGCGAAGGAGGCGAAGCACTGACGGAAACCAAAGAGGCTCGAGCTCACGGGCGCGCGGTGCAAAGCGATGACGTCGCGCTAGTAATCGCAAGCCAGAGATGATCAGTGCCCACTGCAGCGCCCAGCGGCCGAGCTCTTATTCTTCGCAGATGGCGTCGAGGTATGTCCATCGCTCACGTTGTTCAATCGAAAAGTGTTGAATTGCACGGGGTGTGTCGGACAATGCCGAATCAGTGCCACGGACTGTTAGGATCCGGGTTAACCCCCCGATGAGTGAAGCACCCTCTGGCAGCAAAACCGTCTGAAGGCCTCAGCTCCCGTATTGGCCTAAGCTCGACGCCCCTCCCTTTGGGAGGGGCTTGTGAGTTATCGGCGCTTTTGGCTGAGTTGCCCTCTGAAATTTTGGCCCTGAAAAGTGCCCCCTTGCTGTAGCATGGCATATATTGGTGCTATCTGAAAACTGGAGGGATACGTCTTTAATTCATCATTATTGATGAGGTTTAACCGAAGCTTGAAGTCTAGGAACGCTTGATCATCTCGCTACAGCAGCTTGAATCAACTGATTCCGAACGAGACGCAGGTCGGCGCACGGACCAGTCGTAGTCCAGTCCGCGTCGAAGGCTGTCGAAGGCCTTCGAAGGCTGCATAGAGCCAGGTCACTTAAGCCCGGCTGCGCCTCACGCATCCTCTCTCTCCTCCACTCAACATCGCACCTCACCTCATGATGAGCCATGTCGGTACAAACACCCAGGCCGGTTAGGGGACCGCCCCGTCGACATCCATCAATTGAGTTCAGGGCGTCTCCCTTGCGATCAGCTTCAAGGGCCAGTCCTACTACTACCCCAGCACCGAATCATTCAACCAATCCGACAGCCGTTCTCGGTCACTGGAGGCCACCTTTGACTCACGAGGACCGACGAGATTCCAGCGAATTACGCAAGAAGATCAAAGTGATTCTGGGCGAAAGTCTTGACGAGGACTCTACCCCCCATTGCCTATTGGTCGCGTCAATACATCCCAGCTGAACGCAACTACCCTACGCACGAGCAGGAACTCCTAGCTATTGTCGAGGCTCTCAAGGAATGGCGCATTGATCTCCTGGGTGGCCATTTTCACATCCTTACCGACCATTCCACACTTGAGCACTTTCAGACGCAGCGCACGGTCATCTCGCGACGCCAGGCGCGCTGGCTTGACACCTTGGCCGAATTCGATTACGACCTCCAGTATCTCCCGGGCAGGGAGAACATTGTAGCCGACGCGATGAGCAGGTACTCCTTTCCCGAGCCACTTCCCGTCATTGTGGCCAACATTTCGCAAGTCTCGCTCTCGGATGTCGTCAAGCAGCAAATTGTCGACGCGTACAAAACCGACGCATTCTGCCAGCAAGCCCTGAACAACATCGCGTCGGTCGCATCGGAGTTCAAGATTATTGACGCATTGCTGTATTTACGGGGCCGGCTTGTCATTCCACTACTAGCCCCGCTCCGTGAGTCCATCCTTCACGATGCTCATGACGCGCTGGGGCACCTAGGTGATGTAAAAACGTACCAGACTGTTATACAGACGTACTTTTGGCCGAACATGTCCCGCCACGTCAAGCAATACGTGCAACAATGTGACTCATGTCAACGAACCAAGGCCCGTACCACTCGCGTCGCGGGCAAGCTTCACTCCCTTCCCGTTCCAGTGCGCCCCATGACGGACATCGCCGTTGACTTTGTCGGACCGTTGCCAACAAACAAGGGGTTCGACCGTGTCTTGACGATCACCGATCGACTGTCGGGATATGTCCGCCTCATCCCTGCGCGCGAAGCCGACACAGCGGCGGATGTTGCCAACCGCTTTCATGAGGGGTGGCATCGTTTTTTTGGCCTGCCTCAACGCATTGTCTCGGATCGTGACAAGTTGTTCACGAGCAAGTTCTGGTCCGCCCTGCACAAGCGTCTGAACATCAAGCTGCAACTTTCCTCGGCGTTCCACCCCGAGACTGACGGGCGCAGCGAGAAGACGAACAAGACCGCATTCCAGATCCTACGCTCGCTTGTCAACAGGGAACAATCCAATTGGGTTGAATGTCTCACCGCTTGTGAGTATGCCATCAACTCGTCGGTCAACGTTTCGACGGGGAAGACCCCGTTTGAGCTTGTCCTGGGGTACACACCCACCCTCGCCCCGCTTGCCCCTATTGAGGGCGACGAGGAGCTCCCATCGGTTGAGGAGCTGCTCGCACTTCGCTTCCAGTCATGCGAGGAGGCACGAGACCAACTCGCTGTGTCCAAAGTTCGTCAAGCCGCCCAAGCCAACAAGGACCGCGCGGATGAACCTTCATGGGCCGTCGGGGACCTTGTGCTGCTCGACTCAAGTGACCGCAGGAAGCGACTTCACACCCGCAAGCGCCGCGCAGCCAAGCTCATGGACCGTTTCGACGGCCCTTATCGCATTGTTGCGGCGCAGCCAGGGATCTCCACGTACACCTTGCAACTCAACAAGGACGATTCCGCGGTACCGTTCTTCCACACGGGCAAGCTCAAGGCCTACCGCTCAAATGATTCGGAATTGTTCCCAAGCCGAGAACCCGCGCGCCCGGGACCGGTGGACGTAGGTGGAGAACCCGAGTGGGTCATCGAGGACATCGTCGATGAAAGGGTCCGAGCGGGGAAGACTCAATATTTGGTCTCTTGGGTTTCATGGCCGTCGGATAGCGATTCATGGGAGCCTGCCGAGGCACTGGAGGACACGGAGGCATTGGACCGTTGGGAACATCGGAACGAGGAATGAGAGTGTTTTTTCAGAGGGGAGCTTTGTGTCAAGGAGGGGAGAGTGTAAGGCAAGGCCTTACGACGGGCCACAGGCATTAGAAATAGAGCTTGCGCGCGCCTAGCTTCTTCAGCTCTCTCTTCATCGAGCTGACACCAGAAGCTAGGTGAGTACTGGTGTTCCCTATCTCAGCACTATCGTATCTCATCGAGCTGACACCAGAAGCTAGTTGTAATCCATATAACTTGCACCTGTCATCTTCGGTCACCAGTGAGGCTCCGCTGTCCGAGACAGCGTGCCTTTCACTCGTTGGGCTCATAACCTGTTGTTGTAGGAGGGTTTTGCAACATTAAGCCCGCGTCCACCACTAGCGACAGCCGATCCTCCCGCCGCACCGATCAAGCACAGTGTGTGTTTTCCGGTCCGCTCCTATGCAATAGTTGAGTGTCAGCACTCGAAGATGTGGTTGTCAAATGCAGTCTTGGGCAGCTCGTGCGCAGCAGCATCAACTTCAGCATGGATCTCCTGAAGAAGCTTTGTCGGGCGCACCATACTCCAGGAGGAACCCGCTTGCGAAAGAGCTATTCCACAAGCGCCCCTTTGGCCGTGCAATCTCAACTGTAATGCTTGTTCAAATGGGTGTCTTTTCGGAAGGCAACAAGCCGCGACCCCCGTGACTCCGCCACAACGTCATTGCTTCCCGAGCACAGAGCATATTGTTGTGGATTTGGACTTGGAGTACCAATGAATGAATGAAGATTCGCTGTAGCTACGCGGCGTTGATAGATGACCTATTGTGAGATAGAGTATCGCCAAGGTCAATCAACTTGTAGCAGGCGAATGGGCGAGATAGATATCGAGTGTGTGTTAAAGAAGAGGGAGAGAGTGAACGAAACCAGAGCCTTAGATAGTATCCGCGTGCAAGCCACCTCTGAGTCCAATCAAGACACCACACCGCCATCTGCCTCCATCCGGCGCCGCGCCACGCGCGCGCCAACTTCCCAATGCCACAAGTCCCTCTGGACCGCTGACCCTTTACCAATTTCCCACAACACATATCAAAACCTGTTAACGTGCTTCGAGTCTGACTGAATAAGGAAGACCAGAAGAATCGCGAGAACGTCTCAGCGACTGACTCTAAACAAATGCTTCACAGACGTCCACCGCTGCATCCCGAACCCGAACAAGAAGAACCCGGTAAAGTGACATCGCATCTTGCGCCAGCATCCGATCAGTTCAAGACCGAGCACCGTTCTGAATGGAATGATTACTTCACCGACGCTCGTTTCCGTCTCTTCTGCTGCCCGGTGTGCTCCGAGAGAGTCTTCGGGCATAAAGTACGATGGGTGCCTGAACACCACATCAAGCGTGAGGAATCAGGGATTCGGAAGATATTAACCAACTCTACACTACGGACGGACCTCCGACCACCGACTTACGATTCTTCAGCTTGGCGGGGCGCACTCATCCATCCCCGAGGTCTTCAGCGACCGAACGATTTAATCGATCAGATCGCGTACTCGCCCATGAACAACAGGCTTCAGTGCTCACTCTGACCAGACTGCTTCAAACGGTTGTTCCCTACCACAGGGCCACCGACTAAGCCCCCTCGGTCGTTGAGCAAGGTATTATCGCGCACTGGATCACGTCCCCGCTGATGTCCGAGATTGCCTCTCCAACACGAGTCAGTTTGAGCACCTCGTCACTGCGCGCGCCAGAGCCTACAAGAGCGTGTACAAGCTAACTCGTTTCGGAGATCCCAAAGTTCAACAAGAATATACGCCCCGAAACACCCTCATCTTCAGCCAGAACACCGGTTCGTTCACCGATGTACTGTCTATGTCAGTCGAGGAACTCGCTGACAGTGTGTGCGTTCTATTCTGCAGAGGGAATCCCAACCTTGCGGAGCTGAACAAGTGTCGACCCATGATCGTGAAGCAGAGTCGGATCCAAAAGATGCTCAGGTGGTTGATCAACGAAAGCAAGAACACGAAAAGGTACGAGGCAACAACAGAAGCAGAGAAGCATATCAACCGTATTCTGGCGGAATTGCAAAGTGTCCCAGACAAAATTCACGGCACAACTGCGCAGATACTCGACATGAGGAATGGGATCCGCGGATATGTTAACGCGTTCGGTATGTACACCCTCTTCGTCACCGTCAACCTGGCAGATTTACACTCACCGTTGATGACGAGGTATCTCACAGCCTTGCCAGGCGCATCAAGGACCAAGTTTCTCGACCAAGCAGATGCCGTTTGGGCCAACGACAAAAAGTCACCTAATCGTGGGTTGCAACGCTCTTCCCACTGTGAAAGATCTGTGGGGGACTACTGACACTCCGTGCCATTTGATCACCAATGTCTCTCAGCGGCGGACAGGTGGACACATTCACCACACCTAGCCAGGCCGTCTCGCGCCCAAGTGGCTCCCGGAAGTCCCGATCTCTCAACGTCAACTGAAACCAGTTCTTATAGCTGACTTCGGTGAACGCGCGGCGCTGACGACCACATACGAACACAAACTCGTCCAGACGCGGACTGTGACATGGGCGATGTTGAGTGATCTCAACTTATGCATTTACACCCCGGCTCTGGCTCGATCTCGTCTTTGTCTGCAATGCTCATTAACGTTTGGCACACTTACACGCCTAATTCATGTGAACCGAACTGACTCGCGAACTCGGTGCTGCATACCCGATTCATTGCACGTTCTTAGTAATACTAGCTGACGCTGTCAGTTGGTGCCATTACTCCGTCAGAGGTTCCGTGGCACCCGCCTCCTAATCGGTGGGCACCACGTCAAAGTCGATCAGCTCCCCAGTCGTTTGGAGGATTGAAGCCTTGGACTTGGCTAGTTCGCCTAGTTGACCAAGTTTTTCGCGACTGGCCTTCATGGCGGCTTGTTCGCGGAACTCGCGGCGCATTTTGTGTGTCTTGCGTTGGGAGGCGCTGCGTGCCTTGTTCCGCGGGGTGGTGCGCGCGCATGGTTTTGAGTTTGTGCCGTTCGCGATAGCGGTAGACAATTCACGTACAATGGGCGGGCAGGTCGCGAGCTTTGCTGACATGGCGTTTCTTGAGGTGCGCTTGAATCGCAGGAAGTCTTTGTTGAAGTCGTGGTGAGTTTCTTTGATGAACCTTCTCCTCTTTTCTCATCCTTCACTGGTCCCCACTCTCCTCACTTGACCAACAACTGGTCTTGGGACTGTCTGTTTGTCTAGCACCCTGAGAGTACTAGTACTACATACCGAGGAACCCGCCTTTACTTACGCTTACCCGCTGAGTAATCTGGGCTCCTTACAATTGTCCCCTTCGGTTTCACCCAATGGCAACTTGACCACCCCTGTTTCAGTCCCATCCTCTACGTCCGGTCCCAGCGCAGCAAACATGTCGTCCCGAGCGTAAATTTCCCTCCTGTAACGCCTTTGTTGGCCCCTATTAAGGAGGTTACTCATTTGGAACATGTTTTGATGGCTCATGAGACTGGAGCTGAAATGTTTGGGAAGGTGTTTCATCAATGTCTGACTTCGGTCGATTCGGGAGTACGATCCGACGTTTACGAACAAGATTGGTTGAGAAAGGTGAGGGGCGGGGGAGTCTGGCATCACGATTTAGTACATACAAGTTTATACTACACAGTGCATTTGGGGGAACACTTTGATTCTGCCCTGTTCCAAGGGCACAATCTTCATCAAAATTCGCTTCTCTCGAATCATCGCACTACTGCGTCCGCTCTTTCCCCTCCCCTTTCCCCTTCAACCCTTTCTTCCTCGGCCTCTCCTCCTCAATCCTCTTCGCCTCCTGCCTCGCCTCCTTATAAGCCTTCACGACCCCCTGAATCCTTTTCAGCCCTTCCATATCTTCGACATTCCTAAACCTCAAATACAACAACTTGACATCCTCGGCCAACAAATGAGGAGGGAGATCGTGCCTCGTTGCAGGATGGGTCGTTTCGGGGAATTGGAGGGAGGAGAGTTGGATCTTGTTTGGGTTGGGAGGGAGGGAGTGTCGTTGGTGTGCCCTGGAACGCGCGGAGGCGACGAGCGCTAGGGGTGGGTAGGTCGATATGAAACGTTGTAAGAGGTCCAAACCCTCGGCGTGCTTGAACGATCTGGGGTGATCGACACGAAATATCAGTACATGACCCGAACGACCATTTTTGTCCGGTTAGAAAAAACAAGCCCACCTAGCTAAAACGCGAATCATACTCCCCCACAAAAGGGAGATGTTCCTCCCACTCAATCGCTCCTGATCCTCCTCGGACCAAACCTTCCATTCCTCCCACACCTTCCTCGCCATTTCCAACCCGACCTCTCTCTTCTTCGCCGTTTCGCATCGCTTGATCATTACTTCGAACGTATAGCCGTTCTTGTCGACGCCTGTGGACGGTCCATAGGCCGAGTTGAAGAAGTCGACTGAGGCTGGGAGGGGAGCATGAGCTGTGAGCAGTTCAAGATACGAGTTGAGAAGGAACGCCGTGGGTCGAACATCGGGGAAGGACGAGGGTCTTGATCGAGGCGATGTAGAGAGCCCGAGAACGCTAGGCTCAACAATTTGGAGCAACAGGTTTTGGGCCTCGAGGACGAGCTCATCTGGCGTTGTTGGGATCGGGCCGGGGTAGAAGAGGGACGACTCGCCGAGGAGTTCAATCACGTTCGAGTCCTCGAGTGGTTGCTCTTCTGCTGCAGTTGCGGTGGGTTGCGCGTCGACCTTGTGTGTCTCGTCGATCACTTCGTTCGGTCCAACGTCGGCACTGATGATATCCACCTCCAGATCCTTCTCCTCACCCACCACCGCGGCCCGCTTCGATCCCCCAATAGCGATCCCTCTCTTCTCCTTCACCTCGGGTTCATACCCTTTATAACTCCTAAACACCAACGCCAACGTATCCGCATTCGGTCTACACTCCCCCCCAATCTGCACCATCTTAACCAACACCCATCGACTCCTCAACAAATCGCCCTGTCTCCTCGCCCCCTCCAAAATCGCATGGAACGTCCCTCGGTTAGGAAGCAAGTTGTCGTCCAACATCTTCTTGAGGTAGCGCAACGCTTCAAAATAAGATGGTTGACTACCTTCTCTTGCGCAGGATCGGATGAGGGCATTGTACGTTGTGGGTGTAGGAGCAATCAAGTTCGTTTCCGTCATCTCGAGGAAGAGGTCGACGGCGCGTTCAGGGGACGGGTAAGCGCCTCGCGAACAAGCGGCGATCATGGTGTTGTAGAGGTCGACGTCGGGGATGGGGTGAGCGACGAGTCGACAGTGGGCGTAGAGGTCCCATCCTCGTGCGATGAGATGGGGTGGTGAGATGGGTGAGAGGAGTCGGTTGATGAGGTGTGTGTATGTTGCGAGTAAGGGGGTGTAGTTGGAGGCTTCGAGCGAGTGGAGATGTTGGATTGCGAGCTCGGGGTGGGAGGGGGAAAGGGAGGCGAGTAGGTGGTGATGCGACTCGAGTGAAAAGGGCAGTGAGCCTGTGCGGAGGATATCATCAGTTCGTGGATTAGTTGCGGGGTAGGTGAGCTCGAATGACTCACGCTCTTTAGCGAAGTTGGCCAGTTCGAGGGCATCGCGCGGCCTACGCTCGGCGGCGAAGAGGCTCATCAACTCGTTCATCGCTCGTGCGTCGTGTTGAGGTGCCATGCGTTGCATCAGGATTAATCCACGCTTGACGCTTTCTAGGTCTTGGCTCTGGGCCTGTAAAAGATCACGTCATAGATTCAATCGGCTGCTCAATGTGCTCAATGTGGATTCCGAGGGAGTACTCACGGCAGTGATGATCAGATCAGTCCATTCCGATTGGTGTATCAACCCTTTCGAAGGTTGAACATGATCGAAATCTATTGCGGTGCTCGGGAGTGAAGCGACTTCGCCGACGTGCAACAAAGACTCCAGTCGATCGAGCAGGACTTGCGGAGCCGATTTTGGGATCTCAACGAGCTCCTGTGCTCCCTCTCGCGCGTTCTCCTCCGGTTCTCGCGGTAAGCCCATCTCGCTGCGCCTTCGTCTGAGCTTCTCCGCCAAGTCCGAGATTATGGTAGATACAGGATCCTGATCTCTTTCGGGCGCGTCCACCTCCTCGTCGGCCTCGAAGGCTTCCAACCTCTCCGCAAGGTTCAGCAATCCTTGCGCTCCATCCCTCGACGGATCATACAAGAGCAATTGGGGTGGCTTGGGAGCTGCGATGGCCGGATGAGTTTCCGGTGGGGGCAAGAGTTGTTCGGGTGTGGCTGTTATGAGTTGTTGGTACATCGATTCGAGTTCAGCTTCTTCAAGTGGGGGTAGGTCGGATGTCCATTCCTGATGAGAGTCGAGGGAGGGGGCGCGGCGAGAGAATAGCATGGGTCAGCGCTTGCTCGAGCTCTTTCGCGTTGTAAAGTACGCACATCGACCCGCACCCTCTTCTGCTCCCTCTCCTGCAACCTGTGGATCTCATGCTCCCTGCGCTTCTTTTGCTTGTCGACGAGCACCAGACTCCGCTTGGCCCTGATCGCTCGTTTCTGAGCAAGCCTGTCGTGTTTTTGCGTCGATTTCTTTTCGTACTTTTGCGAGGGCTGGGATGTCGAGAACAGCTGGGAGGAGGGACCGATGGTGAGGCGTGGGGAGGGGGTGAGGCAACAACGTGGAGAGGATGCTGCGGCTATGGCTGCGGCTGCGGCTGCGGCTGTTCGACTCGATGGCTTCGACGTCGTCGTCGACGAGGTCGGACCGACGACGTGGAGTAGCCGTCGACATGTCCTCCACAGCATCGTGGGAAGTGAACGTCTCGAGACAGTATCCTGAACCGGGTTGCGACAATCGGTGCGGGTGAGATCCCACAAGCGACGCGTAGAGGAGCAGGGGGATGACGACGAACGACGGCCGCTCCGTGCGAAGCGCGTGCGAAGGTCGGCCAGCAGCAACGGGTGCGATTTAGCGCGGCATTCGTAACTCGCGCGCCGATTATTTTAGTAACGGTCGCCGACGGTCGGTCGCCTTATACGCGCCTTTACGCGCCACTTACGCGCCGTACTCTGCTCGCCGTGCCTGCAGGCTGGCCAGGGCTGGCCTGCCTGGACCCTCGTCTCAGCTTTCCCCTCGACGATCGGGTGTACATGTACAACGCTCGTTCACGCGCCTTCGTCGCCGAGGTGGGCCAAGTCAGAGCTTGACGACGACGGCAGTGCAGCTCCTCTTCCCCACCGTATCCAGCTCAGGCTTACGTGGTCACCCGTCGAGCGCCATCTGGGCTCTAGATCGATTGGTTGGGAGCATACATCCAGCTCAGCTCAGCTCAGCTCAGGCCAGGCCAGCCCAACGTGAGTCACGCGTCGCACCCACCCCAGTCGGCCTCCCCTACGCGGTCCAGCGGTACTGAGACTCGACGAATTATGCACTGTCAGCATAGTGTGAGAGGTGGGCCAGTCACCATGTCGGCGTTGGATCTCTTGTCGCAAGCCGCCTTTCTGCGCCAGGACGACGCTCCTGAGCCGGCACATCCCACCCTCGAAGCGCCTACATCAACGGCACACGACGCCTCAGGCACCCACGTACAACACGAGGTTGTAGATTCCAGCATCGGCGATATTCAAATCGACCCAGCCCTGTTTGATGCGGTCGCACGCACGGGCTCACCTCAGTCACACCCCTCGGACTCGAACTCGTCGTCTCTGGTATCGACCGTCCCTGCCAACGCCGCCTCGACACCACCACCTCAACTCCCGCCCTTGCTCAACCATGTCGTGGCCTCACCTCAAGCCTCACCTCAAGCCTCGACATCGCCGGCAGCCACAGCCACAGCCACAGCCACAGCCACATCGCAGCGCTCGTTCGACATCTGGCGCTTCCCTTCGAGCTCGAGCTCCCACCGCAGCTCTGCATTGCTCCCCTCCGACCCCAACCCGTCCCAATCCACACTAGGCAAACGATCTAGGGCCCGCACCTCCAACGCGTCCGATGCTTCCGACTCGCCCTTTTCCAACTCGTCCATCGGGCCCTCCGCAAGAAAACGGACCTTGTCCTCGTCGTTCGCTGGCTATGGACAAGCAGCCGTCGCCGCCGCCTCCTCTACGGGGATGCAACTCTTTACCGACAGTTCCGGACAGGCCAGTTTGACGTCCTTGTTGGGTGGTCCGATAGGGGCGAGTGCCACTTTGCCCATGTTGCCCCCGCTTCCGACGCTACCTCAGAGGAACCCAACCCCGCCGAGGAACAAACTTCCTTCCAACAAGGTTGTCTTGCCCAACCCTGCTGCTCTCGGCGGCACCAAGCGGTCCAAACGACCCCCAAGTTGGGCCGTCAACGAAGACAGTGGCCGTCAGTCGTCACGCAGTGGTTTGAGACCGCTTCGGTCGAGCTAACGACTCACTCTTACATGCGTGTGTCCCACAGTGATTCGTTGCGTTTGCCCCTATACTGCCGACGATGGCTTCACGATCCAATGCGACACTTGCAACGTATGGCAACACGCCGCATGCGTCATCATTTCGATGGATGACGTTCCCGAAGAGTACCGATGCGAGCGTTGCGACCCTCTTGGCGCTGAATCGAGAGGCGTCGATCGAGCCAAAGCCCAAGAAGGGATGAGGAAGCGATTGGAGACGTTGGAGAACGAGGCCCAGAACCCTTCGGTTGCTCTTGCGAATGCACCTGTTGGGAGTGATGGAGTTGGAGGAGGTGGTCGAGGAAGGGGTGGACATCGAGGTGGAAGGAGGGTCTCGATGGATCCTTCGAGAGCGCCATCGGGCATCAACGCCATGTTGAACTCGTTGACGGCCATGACACCTAGCGAACAAATCCTCGACGAGTTCTTTGGGTCCAAAGAGGCCTTGCCGCCTTTACCGGCGAGGACAAAGGAGGAGGCGTCGAAACCAATTCTCGCGATGGTCACACTAGCTGCAGCACCCACAGCGGCAACGACTGGCGGTGGAGGAGGTGGACGAGGCAAGCCCCGAAGATCGGGAGGTTCAATCCATTCCGTACCTCCCGCACCAACTGGTACAACGACAGATGCTTCGATGGGGTTGTACGAGCCCAACGTCGTTGCGTCCATGACCGACGGCGCCTCTGGTCCCGTTGGCCCTTCGACCTCTCGACCACCCAGAGCAGCGGCCGGGGCCGCAGCTTCAGCGACGCCCTCGATCCCCAGCACTCCAGGGCAGGTGCCTCGCGATGCGATCGGTCGAAAAAGGCGTCAGATGAAGCAATCCGGCTTGAACTCGGCATCGGGAACACCGATAGGTAGTTCGACGCGAGGACCTCGAGCCTCAGCAGGATCGACCCCGAACGTCTCGGCTCCACCTACCCCAGGCGTCTTGTCCGGCCCGAATGGAGGTTATCTCGGCGAACCGTTTTCGTACGTTGATGGGAGTTCGATCGTCACTCCTCGACCCTCAACGGCGAACGGAACCAAGACGCCGGCTGCTAATTCAGACGACGAGGATTTCCTTTCCTCGACGGGAGGGAAAGGAGAGGAGAACCGATACGAGGCATGGCGATACGAATACACGCCCATCGAAAGAAATTTAATCAGGGATGAGACGTTGGTGCAGAAGTTGCAAGAGATCGTCGCTCTTGACGTCACGATGATGGATGGGTCCGAGGAACTTGAAACCGTTCCGGAGGAGCTTCGGCCCCAGTTGGAGATTTTGCGTGAAAGGCAAGAGGCGAGTCGACCGCGGCATGGGCCTAACTCTAAAGACCCGCTCGTACCGTTGCTCTACGATCCGACCCCTTTCGTCGTCTTGGATGAATTACCCGATCCGTCTTCCGTCGCCGTCAAGGTCTTACCTCCCAGCTCATTCCATCTTAATCCACCCGCCGTCGCAGCGTACGCTACGACCTCGTCGCAAACGCCGACATGTCCCTACCCACGCCCCACGATGCACGGCCTCTTTGCCGTCAACGCGATTTCGTCCGGCTCCTTCATCGCCCCCATCCGAGGCCAAATCGTTTCCCTCGATCAGTACCGCAGCGACCCCATCAATCAATACGACACCTTGGGCGTACCGAAACAAGGTGTACGGTGCTTACCTTACCCCTGGAGTTTGGCGATCGACTCGAGGATGTTCGGCAACGAAATTCGCTTCGCGAGAAGTGGGTGTCATCCGAATGCGGTCGTACGAGCGATCAAGATCGTACCCGCACCGAATGCTGGTGGAGCGATGCAGCCTGGGTCGCCTTCAGCGACGACGACGAATGGCGATTCCCAAGCGGGAGCCGAAGAAACCGCCGCAGCTTTGAACGGTATCGGTAGATCGACGCGAGCATCGACGCCTTGGACGGACCAAAAGAGATACAGCGACCTCTCGACGACGCTCATCTTTGGTATCTTTGCGACCGCCGACATTGGCCGACGTGAAGAGATCGTCCTCCCGTGGGATTGGGACGATTCGCATATCGTACACGCTCTACCACCTCTCATGTCGGCCCCTCCACTCCCCTCCGGATTGAACGAACGAGATCTAGAACCTCTTTCACGCAAGATGGTCCAAGTGACCAACACGATCTTGGGTACGACACATTGCGCCTGCGAGAAGAAGCGTGATTGCGCTCTTCATTGGATGTGTCGAGGCGCAGCTGCGTCTTTACCTTTGAGCAAAGCGGCGTTGGCCAAACCGCGTGAACCGTTCGCGATGATTCTGCTCAATGCTTTGGGGAGCGGGCAGGCATTTCAGCAACAACCTAATGGGAAATTCGCAGTGGTTGGAGCTGGCGGGGCAGCTTATGGTGCGAATGCACTAGGGGGGGACTTGGTGATGGGTCCAGGGAAGCCGGGACGAAAGATGAAGAAACCCAATGTTGGACCTCTGTTAGGTCTCGTACGAGGATGGATCGTCCGACCTGCTCATTACCCTACGACAAATCGTTATGGTCGAGCCTCCTCGAACAAGAGTTCCATCTCGGATTTCCCTCCACCACCCCCTATGCCTCAATCACTTACGGTATACGAAGATGAGGATCAGGATGAAGAGAGGGATCAGGGAGGGAGGGAGTCGATTGAGGCTTTGTCGGATTTGACGCACGAGTCGGAGTTGGACAGTGGGACGGAATCGGAACTGAGCGCCGAGGAGGAGGACGTGGACATGGGGAGTGTGGAGGAGGAAGAGGAGGAGGAGGATGACGAGGATGCGGATAGTTCTTTAGTCACAGCCCATAATCGTGAGTTCACCTGGTTGCCGTTGAAAAGTTCTCTGAGTTAGCGGGTCGCTGAGATCCTCATTTCGTATAATCACAGGCTCGATGGATATCGACAATACTCCCGCCTCAATCAAAGCAACTCTCAATCGCAAGCCGGACCCACTGGACGGCGATCTGACCGACGACTCTGACCTGACAGAACCTCTATCGAACCTTTCGTCCGATGAATCCAACAATGATCTCGACCATGATCAGGAGGAAGACGAAGAGGAAGACGAACCGATCCGCGTACCCAGCCGCAAGACCAAAGTCATCCGCGAGAGCTGGCCGTCGAAGCCCGAGAAACGACGACCGGGGAGCAAACGCATTGAGAAGCAGGAAGTGGCCGATAAGCGTGAAACCAAGAAAGGCGTCGATAGACTTTCGACGAAACCCAAGCGTGGATCTGCAAAGGAAGTCGAACGAAAGGTTCCGTCTTCGAAAGAGGTCGAGCGCAAGAAGAAGGACGAGAAACAGGACAAGAAGGACAAGAAGCAAGGTCGTCAGCTTTCGCCTTCGTTCCCTGGCGAGCCACGAGACAAAGGCACATTCGCCAAGGCTTCGGAGTCCCTGCCGTTGTTCGATCAAGATGTCGAGGTTTATTCGGCTCGGGATGCACCTTTACCGACGGAGCAAGGCCAGTTCTGTAAGAGCAATCAACTTCATTGTTGTGAAGAGGGCACAGCACTGACTCTCATCCGTATTGTTTGACTCCGCCCAGCTCGACTACCGCCCCCGCCTCCACCGGCGGCTCGCTGGTCCGGCACCTCAGAGTCCGCTGAAACGGCGATGCAGGTCGATCCGATCAAGGAAGCAACGCCACCACCTCCTCCTAAGGAGCCTACACCGCCGCCCAAAGAACCGACTCCGCCGCCTCCCGTCCCGCGAGCGCGCTTGTCCCTCGCCGCGTATCGTCAGCGATTGGCACAGAAGCAGACGGAGCCAGTAGCGCCTGTCGAGAATGCAGTCTCGACGCCTTCGACAGCAACGGTCCCACTGGTTTCGAGTCCGGCCGTAGAGACGGTCCCGTTGCTTTCCCCTGCCGTGGTGGCACGGCCGCTTCCTGAGGTTGGCGCAGCGGTGCACGCTACCGAGGAGGGGGAGCTGAACCCAGGCATGAGTTCGACTACGGGTGTGCCCGCCGCGGTCGCTGCCGTGTTCAATTCCTTGCGTCGCTCTTCGGGAGCTGGGGAAGAGCAAGATGCGCCGATACCGACGACGAGGTTACCACCGCCGCCGCCTCCTCCTGCTCCTTACTCGGTCGGCAACTCCGAGGTGGCAATCTCGAACGCGCCCGCGCCCGTCTTCTCGCCTTCGCTCCCAGGTGCCGAGCCGGCCACTGCCCCGGCTACCATGGCCCCGGCTTCTCGACCATCGTTCACGTCGGCAGAGGACATCCTCAAGAGCATCGGCGACTACTTTAGCAAACCGAACGCTCCTGCGCCTGCATTCGCATCGAGGTCACCTGCTTTGGTGGCACAGCAGTCACTTCTTCGAGTCGCGGCGGCTGTGTCCCCTTCGCCTCCCCCGCCACCACCAAGGCCTCTCACTGTGCTGCCCTCACCGCCTGCTCCTCCGGCTCCATATATGTCGCCTCCTCGTCGATCGCCCACACCAGAACGACCCCTGCCGAGTTGGCGAACGAGCATTGGTGTGACCTCGGCCGTTGATTCATCTTCACCCGTCGTAGAGGCCTCAGGTGGTGCAGCATTAGGATTCGACATTTTGACGCCTGCCTCGTTCGAATCATCGCGGTATTCGCGCTTTGATGCACCTTCGACGACGTCCCGCTGGGGACCTGCCACGGCGTCAAGCTCGACGCCAGGTCCTCCTCCACCGCCTCCGCCGCCGCCACCTCCTTTGTCGAGTCATCGATCCCGACCAAGTATCACAACGAGTGCGCCATCGCCTCCGTCGCCGCCACAACGATCGCCGTCAACCTCATCGAATTTCCCACTCTCGTCACGAGATGCTCCCAGCTCATCTCGCCCTGCTCCACCCACTCGTCCCTTCGACCTCGATTCCGTGCCCACCGGCCCGCGAGCGATGAGCAACAATGGCAGCTCCTCTCATACGCGAGGTTGGTCCATCTCCCCCGCAGCGAGGGAAGCTCCTCTTCACCCTCCTCCCGTTTCAGGATCAGGATCAGGGTCAGGGTCTGGCAGTGAAAGACGAGTCAATGGTCCGACGTGGGCAGCGACTTCGACTTCTTCGTCGACGGGAGATTCGGGAGCACCTTATGGTGGTGGGTATAGGGGACGAGGTGGAGGCGGGGGGGTTTTCATTAGTTCGCGTGGTGGATCGAGAGGTCGAGGTGGTCAGGTGTGGGTGCCGAGAGGGATGAGAGGGAGGGGAAGGGGGAGGGATTGAGAGGTGATGTAGTGCCTGTAGCATAGGAAGGGCAATAACGCTCTTGACTTGAAGTACGATTGTGTGACTATGTTTGTGCTCGATCGCTTTGACCGCAATCCGAGCGCCGAGTCGAGTCGGAGACTGCAGCCTGTGCATGGGTCCGAGCTCAATTGCGACGACGCGCGGCCCTCCAGACCAGTGCCCCCCCCCCCATTTTGCCCGGTGCCAGATCCTTGTCTCTTTACACATCACCCTGCCGCTGTGCACTGCTTCGGAGCTACATCACAATGGTAAGCTATCTTGGCCGTCTCGGTACAGCACATGGTGAACCGCCAGCGCTGACAAGTACGCCACACCTGCTTATGCTGCTGTCACGGCTGCCGCGTCATCAACTGCTTCGCATAACGTTCATCCTCGCCGACCGCACCTCTGTTCCACCTCGCACCCTCTACGCTCCTCAAACCTGAACAGAACAAATTCGTCGACCAATTCTCCCGCCTGCCCACGGCGACCTCTCGAGCGGCGTCAGCGTTGGAGCAAGAGACTCTGCCCGTCAACGGCGGGTACGCGTTGCCGTTGGGTCGAGCGATCGAGAAGATGCCCATGCCCTCGTTCGAGCTGCCGACTTTGCAAGATGTGGGTTCTGGTCGCTTGACCAACTCAAAGTTGTGGAGAGAGCTGACGCCGCGTTGGTCCGTTCCCTACCCCGTCTTGCCTCGCGCGACTTTGTCATCTTCCCTCTCTCTCCCTACGCGCAGCCAACCGCTTTCCTCCAATTACACACCGATGACTCGTCCGACCCTTCCTGCCGGATCAAGATCAACCACGGTACCACAACCTTGGCGTTCAGGTTCAAGGGTGGGATCATCGTTGCTGTTGATTCGAGGGCAACGGCTGGGTCGTACATCGGTCAGTTCTTGGCACATCTCTCGGACGCGGGGTATGCTTCAATCTGAACAAGTTTCTCGTTTGCACTCATCATAGCTTCGGGAACGGTCAAGAAGGTGATCGAGATCAACCCTTACCTGTTGGGAACAATGGCCGGTGGTGCAGGTCAGTTCAATCGACAGCTGACCACACCACCCCTTGTCGATTGCTGACCTCTCTTTCCCTCATATCCCCTCTCAACCCAGCCGACTGCCAATACTGGGAGACATATCTCGGTATTCAATGCCGCCTACACGAACTCCGTAATCGGGAACGTATCTCGGTCGCCGCCGCGAGCAAATACCTCAGCAACCTCGTCTACAGCTACAAAGGCATGGGCCTCAGCATGGTCAGTCGCCCAACTTCTATGAAATGCTCATTCAAAAAAAGTTACTGGATCGCTTATGCGAAGGGTTGAACTCTGTGGGCGTACGTAGGGTACTATGATTTGTGGATGGGACAAGACCGGCCCGGCGTTGTTCTACGTCGATTCGGATGGGACAAGGTTGAAAGGCGAGCTCTTCTCCGTCGGTTCCGGTTCTACGTTCGCTTGTCAGTACACCTCTTCCTGAAACAGTCCTTCCCCCAACACCCCAATCGAAACTTATCCTCTCTTTCCAACCCAGACGGTGTGCTCGACCAAGGGTATCACTACGACCTTTCGGACGAAGACGCGCGCGAACTAGGCCTTCGTTCCATCTACGCCGCCGGTCATCGCGATGCCTTTTCGGGGAACACGGTGAACCTATTCCACGTCAAGGAGAATGGGTGGGAATTCGTCGAGAATGTCGATATCAATGAGTTGCATTATGATAGGGGGTATGGTTATGGACCGAGGATTGAGAAGGAACGATTGGCCAAGGAGGAGAAGAAGCAGGCGGAGGTTGCCGCGGTCGGCGCGTAGGTGTCGCGTGTCGGGTAGAGACGGCTTCGATAGGATATAATCACGATTGAATGAAGCTGTTCATTATGTTCGAGTAACAGTCAGAGCGATGAGATGGCATAATCGAGTATTAGGTACCGTTTGAAGAGGAACGATCGACCGTTGAGGGATGCTGGAACTCGCTATCTGATCGGATTCGGACACTCGGACTGTCGAGAATGAACTGGATTGCCCGGATGGCATGACAGGGCAGAATGACAGCGATCTCTGTACAGTAAGGTAGTACGAACCACGGCAGAGCTGCCCAATCGCGATTGAGCTCCTAAGCGCAGCAACATCGCACCGGTGATAGGTGATAGTGGGATCAGAAAAACAAACTTTTAGGCATGTCGAATCGCGAAAGATGATTACAAAGACGATGAGACAAGTAAGGGATTGACCCCGCAAAACGATGCATAAACACTAGCTACAAGAAGGTACACGATACGAAATCTATTTCAGGCGTCACCTCTTCACACGATCCCCTTCCACCATCCTTTCCACAACACGAACGTGATCGCCAACGCCAATACCTCACTAACCCCACTCAGTACAAAGATCTTTTCGAAGCATTCCCTACCCACGCATACAGCGATCCCTTCCTTTTCCCTCTGCAGATCCAATAGCACCCCAAACAGAGGCGTGAACAAGCTCGCACCGCAGGCCGAGAACAACGACAGCACGCCCCAGTTGCGTCCAAAGTCCGAGATGGGGTAGACGGCTCGAACGATCGCCGGTGCGAGGGTGAAAACGAGTCCGTAGCACGACCCTACGGAGATGGTCAAGATCCATAGGCCCGAAGGTTCCGACAACGACGAAGAGGCGTAGAAGAAGGACAGAGCGAGCACGACGCAGGATAGGACGAGGAAAAAGAGTCGCGAGACGCGAGGTGGTGGTCGGTCGTGGAACAAGAGCTGTATTCGACGTTTCCATGATCGGGGATGGATCGACGAAGCAGGTCGAGGGGAGCCGGGAGGCGAATTTTCGTCCGCTACGAGAGGCGCAGCGGCGTACGACAGCCAGTCCGACAAAAACCCAATCAAGAGCCGCGAAATGGTGTTGGCCGCCGACAGAATCTGGACGTGCAGTCTGCGCAACGCTAGGGCTCGAGTGTCGCTGGCACCCTGGAGTGCCAGGGACGAGACGAGCGCGACCAAGATTGTCGAAGCCTTGGAGCTCGAGCTCGACGACGATCCCTCGCCAAGGGTGTGGACGCCCAGCAGCGACTCGACAATTCCGCCCAAGGACGCCATGACCATCTCACAAGGGCCCTGAAGAGTGGCTCTAATCGGATCAGTTAGGGTTCGACTTGAAAAGATATGATTACTCGACTTACAGTTGCCAAGAATATGACAGCTCCAAATAGCCAAAAGGTGGGTGTACTCAGCAGAGTGCCGAACGACTGGCGCATGGGGGCTTTGTCATCCTCGTCGTTCCTTACGAGATCTAGAACCGTCGACGGAAGCAATCGAGTATGTTCGCTCGGCGTATTGCCCGAGTCTTCTTCGATCGAGCCCGTCCCCGAGTCTTGCACGGCAAGATCGACTACTTCTTCGCAAGGGATCTCCTTCAACGTGAACGAGCTGTAGAGGTTGACGAGGAAGAGGAAGCCAGCAAGAAAGAGCAGCCATTTGCCGGGATCGAGTTCTTCATTGACGCCTTTGACACGGGTCAGCTCGGAGGCTCGAGACGTGAAGTAAGGGGCCAGGGTCGAGAGGAAGAGAGGTGACAGTCCAAAGATCGAACATGGCAGTCCGATGGCTGTGTTGGCAAGCTCACGAGGTCAGTGCTGGCGCGAGGTGGGAGGGGACGACGCGAAAGAACGGACCTAGACCGGAGTGCCGAGATGGAGTCGACTTGGTCGCTGCTATGATGGCGGAAAAGTAGGACGCTGCGGTTCCAGCTCCTGCCAAGAAGTAGTAAGCGCAAAGGAACTGCGCGGCGGCGACAAAGGAATGAACAGGTCAAAGTCTGCGCAACTTTTCCTTTTCGGGAACTTTTGTCCCTCGAGTGAGGAAGGAAACGCACGATCCATTGGCCTTGAGGCAACTCGATCCCCTCTCTGGCCATCTTGGCCGAGACGAGGTATCTCGATCCCAACAATCCATAACCCAATCCGAACAAGCACGCCGCGGCGAATGAGGTCGCGCCGGGGCCTTTCCGGTCCGTCAAGGCACCGAACACGCCGGCGCTGACGTATTCACCGAGAATCGAGGCTGATGCGAGCGCGTTCGTTTGGGCCCCCGTGAGACCTAAGGTACGTGCAAGGGGCGGGGCGAACAATGGGAAGGTGAAGATGGCTTTGAGGGTGCAGATGAGCGCAGGAGTGGGGGAGATACACGTTCAAGTTGCAAGTGGGGGGAAAGGTCAGCTCGCGCCGCTCGATCACCGGCGGTCCGATCGGGACGATGCTGAATAGATCGAGGACTGGACTTACACCCGGCAGTCAAGCAGTTGAGTATGACCGCAGTCGCACATAGGATCCGAGCCCGATGTCGCGTCGCATCGCTGGCCATCGTCGACGAGAACCTGCCCCTTCCGGTTCACCAATTCACGTGACGACCCCGCCGCAGAGCCTTATCAACGTTGCGGATCTGGATCCCCAACACCCGGAACGCGTCAAAGGTGCTCTGGATCAAGCTAAGTAGAGGTGGTGAATGTGACCACACGTGTGGGATGAGGTATGCGCCACCGAGTACGCAGCGGCGTCCGAAGGCGTGCCAAGGCGCTGGGATGACGACGGCCGTCAACGCGAGTCAACGCGAGTCAGGCCGGTGAGGCCGGTGAGGCCGGTGAGGCCGGTGAGAATTGACCATTAGCAACAAACGAATGTGACTTCTTAGCGCGGTCCGGGCAAATGGGAATTGCCCCGACTTCGCACGCGCGCACCGCCTGCCTCGGCCTGCTCAGCCGCTGGCGACTTGGGAGCTTCGCAGACCCAGCCAGACCAACTCGTCGTCGGCGATCAAGTCGACCTCTTTGTCTCTGGTCTCTTGCTCCACCCAATCACTTTCAGACATCATGGTCAGTAGCCGAGCTTTCCTCTGCCGGATGAACCGCATTCTGACTAGGAAACATGCTCCTCCCTCCTCCAGGGTCGTCAAGCACGAACGAAGCAAGGCGATCCGACGCCTCTCGCAGGCTCTTCCGCTCATCCTCATTCCGGCGCGCACAAGGGCAAGCGCAAGGCGCTCTTGGAAGCCAAAGCAGCCCGAGGGGAACCCACGTCGAGTAAGAGGGCCAAGGTCGACTCGCCTGCCAAGCTTGCCAGAGTCGCAGCGAAGAAGAAGGCTTCGGCGGCTTCGGCTTCGGCTTCGGGTAACAAGAACCGCACCGGGACGGGCAGGAAGCAGCAACAACAGGCGGGCGAGAGCGATGACGACGATGAGGGCATTAGGGGAATGCAGGACGAGGATGTCGAAGAGGACGACGACGACGAAGAGGACGTCGAGGAAGCCAAAGGGCTCGCAGCCGCTCGCTCGTCAGTTTGCTGGCTTTGAGAGTCACTCTGCGAGATGAACCTCCTGAGAGCTGATCGGTCCCTTCGCGTTCTCACAGTGCCCTCTTCAACGACGAGGATTTGCACCAACCCGGTATGGAACTCGACCAAGACGAAGACGACGACGAAGAGTTCGATTCGGACCGAGCCGACGACACCGACGATGGCGAGGACGGAGCGATCGACGACGAGTTCGAACTCGGATCGGACGAAGGCGACGAGGATGATGGCGAGGGTAACGGCGTCACGCTCGATGACTACCAGATGACCGCCGCAGAGTAGGTCTGGCCAAAGATTACCGTTCTGGACCCGTCAAGACCCTGACTCGAACATGCTGCTCATTTCACTTAGGGCCGAACAAGTCGCACCGAGTGGCAAAAAAGCCCTCAAGCGTGCTCAAAAAGCAGCCGAATACAACTCGGACGACGAGACACCCATCGTCGAGCCCGTCTACCGAACCGGCCCCAAAATCTTGGCACAGCGCCCCGCACCTGAGGGCGAGGACGAGGATGATGCCGACGAGTTCGAGGATGAGGATGATGAGGACGAGGATGGGCCTTCGGCGCTCAGGGAAGGACCGTTGGAGGATCTGCGAGCGGTCGAGCGGAGGATGAGGAGTGCTGCTCGAGTGTTGGGCAATTGGAAGGAGTTGGGCAAGGCGACTGGAAAGTGAGTCGGTTTGGTGTCTCCACAATGTTAGAGATCTGCTCTGAAGCCGTCTCCGAACGTCGAACAGGTCCCGGTCAGATTTTGTCGAGCAGATCATCGGCGACATTTGTCAGTACCACGGGTACACCCCTTACCTTGCTGAGAAGCTTTTCGAGATCTTTCCCGTCGACGAGGTAAGTCGAGTGACTTCCACTTGTGCTCCTCGGTTTCCAGCTCACCAAGTTCTGACGCACCCCCTAGGCGCTCGAATTCTTCAACACTTCCGACACCCCTCGACCTCTGACGATCCGAGTCAACACCCTGAAGACCCGGCGACGTGACCTCGCCCAAGCCCTGATCAACCGCGGAGTCAACCTTGAGCCTCTCGAAGGCGGGTGGTCAAAAGTCGGTCTCCAAGTCTTCTCCGGCGGAGGAGTTCCCGTAGGAGCGACGCCCGAATACCTCTCGGGTCAATACATCCTCCAATCCGCTTCGTCCTTCCTACCCGTCATCTCTCTCGATCCCCAACCCCACGAACGCGTGCTCGATATGTCTGCCGCACCGGGTGGTAAGACAACGTATATGTCCGCTTTGATGGGCAACACGGGAGAAGTCTGGGCCAATGATTCGAGTCGAGGTCGCATCAAGGGTCTCGGTGGTAACGTCGCTCGATTGGGTTGCCGCAACGTCGTCATCACCAACGTCGACGGTCGTGAATTCCCACGCATCATCGGTGGGTTCGATCGCGTTTTGCTCGATGCGCCTTGTTCGGGAACGGGTGTCATCTCCAAGGATCAATCGGTCAAGATCAACAAGACCGAAAGGGACTTTACGCTCTTGTCGCATCTCCAAAAACAACTCGTCTTGTGCGCGATCGATTCCGTTTCCCCCAATTCGGAAAAGGGAGGCTACGTCGTCTACTCGACTTGCTCCGTCACGACGGAAGAGAACGAAGCCGTCGTTTCTTACGCCTTGCGTAAACGTCCCCACGTCAGATTGGTGGAAACGGGTCTTCAGTTCGGTAAAGAAGGCTTCAAGTCGTACAAGGGCAAAGTATTCGGCAAGAACATGCACCTCACGCGAAGGTTCTACCCCCATGTTCACAACATGGATGGTTTCTACGTCGCCAAGTTCAAGGTCGGCAAACCGGACAAGAAGGCGATCGCTTTGGCCGAACAGGAGGAGAATGAAGTGAGCGAGTACAAGCCTTTGGGAGAAGAAGAGGACGAGGATGAGGATGGCGAGGGAGAACCCAAGTTCGATGATGAGCAGGACGAGGCTCTGATCAAGGAGTCGCAGAAGCGGTATTTGAAGAAGAAGGGGGTTAATCCCAAGGCTCTAAATGGGAAGCCGAGCAAGGCCTGAGCTCGGCGTCCCATCTTCACACCTTTTTATTTTTAGGGTTCAGTTGTAAGGATAAGCTGTCGTGTACCAATCTGCGCGAGCATGAACAAGAAACGGGAGGGGGTACAGCATAACATTATACACGAGACCCGAGCAAAATCAACGGCCAAAAACTAGATCTAAGCAGATTCCTGCATCGCACGCAATCGTAATGTGACCGCCATCTTGTGCGCGTCCAACCCTTCTGCCGCGGCCAAGGTCTCGACTACGGGACCGAGCTTGGCCAAACCTTCGCGCGTCAATTCCTGTGTCGTGATGTGCTTGAGGAATGAGAGCGTCGAAACACCAGAGTATTGCTTGGCCCTGTGGTGTGGTGTGGATGCACTGCTGCGTCAGCGAATCGGTGACAGTGCACTTGGTGCTTTTTGTTCGACTTACCATCCGGCAGTGGGCAGAGTGTGGTTTGTGCCGGAAGCATAGTCACCGCAACTGCAAAGCGAGCAACATATCAGTAAGGGGAGCCTTGGGGAGCGTACGTCGATTATAATCACGACTCACCTCTCGGGGCTGTATGCACCGACAAAGACCGAGCCAGCGTTGTTGACCTTATCAACACACTGGCTGGCGCTCTCGATCTGCAAGATGAGATGTTCAGGAGCGTAGGCGTTCGAGAAGTTGAACGCCTCGTCGACATCGCAACACTTGATGATGAGCGAGTGGGCGATACTCTTGCGGATGATGTCGACGCGAGGAAGAGCCAACGCCTGCGCCTTGATCTCGCTCTCGATCGCAGCCAAACCCTTGTCGTCGATATCGATGGCGAGGAGAATGACTTGCGAATCCGCACCGTGCTCGGCTTGTGACAAGAGGTCCGAAGCGACAAAGACGGGGTTGGCGTGCTTGTCGGCGATGACGAGCACCTCGGACGGGCCGGCGGGCATGTCGATCGCGCAGCAGGCTTCAGAGTCCATCGAGACTGACATCTTGGCCGCGGTGACAAACTGGTTGCCCGGTCCAAAGATCTTGTCCACCTTGGGAACGGACTCGGTGCCGTATGCCATCGAGGCGACAGCGTGGGCACCTCCGGCCTTGACGATGGCATCGACACCGGTCAATGAAGCGATGTAGACGATCTCGGGCGAGACGCTACCATCCGGTCGTGGCGGGGTCGCAATGACCGCGAGAGAGCAGTTCGCAACCTGAGCAGGGGTGGCCAGCATCAAAGCCGTCGAGGGCAAGATCGCCGTTCCACCGGGGACGTAAAGACCGACGCGCTCGATTGGTCGAGCGAAGCGGGAGCAAACGATTCCAGGCATCGTCTCGACCTTGAGTGTCGGAGCCTCCTTATCCATCTGAGCTTGGTGGAACGCCTTGATGTTGTGGTGAGCCTGGTCGATCGCAGACTTGACCTTGGGATCGAGCTGCATCAATTCCTCGGCGAAGGGCGCCTTGAGCACGAGCGGAAAGGCCTTGTCCTCTGCCGGAGCGCATCGATCGAACTTGACTACGAGGGACCGCAAGCCGTCGTCGCCGCCCTTGCGGACCGTGTCGAGGATGGGGCCAACGAGCGAGAACATGTCGGCCGAAGAAGCAAGGGGTCGCTTGAGCAGCTTGTCCTTGCCCTCTGCATCAACCTGCGCGAGGTCGAAGGTCTGACACCGCAAGTCCTCCTCCTCGGCGGTCGGCGCATCTCCGTTCACAGCTTTGGGTACTCCATTCGTGGCCGCCTTGGCTGCGGGCTCGACCGCTGCGGCAGCAACACCGCCATCGACGCCCTTGCCCTGCTTCCCGTCGAGACCGAGCTTGTCAACCCACTCCTTCTTCGCATCGCCCTTTCGCCGCGTGACCTTGAGACTCCTCTGGTCGAGCACCTTGCTGATCTCCCGCAGTCCAACACCAGCACCGACACACTTGGCCAGAGCAAAATAAAGCAAATCCGCCGCTTCGGCCGCGATGTCCTCCTTAGACTCGGCGGCACACAGCTCGCCGGCTTCCTCCATGATTTTGGCCTTGAGCAAAGCCGGCTCGGCGAACAATCGGGCGGTATAGGACCCCTGCGGAGCATCCTTAACGCGGTTCTTGAGCGTCGCTTCGAGGCCGAACAGTCCGTTCGTCAACCCGAAGCAGGACGTCTGGTCGGGAATGTGGCAGAAGCCGTCCTTTTCGCCGGCGGGACCGGTTTCGAGGACCTGGAACTCGAGCGCATCGGCGTCGCAGTCGAGTCGAATTCGCTCGACCATCTGCATCGCGCCCGAGGTCTCGCCCTTCTTCCACAGCCCCTGGCGAGATCGAGAGTAGTAGACGGCGTTGCCGGAGATGATGGTGTTGGCGATCGAGGCGGCCGAGGAGTAGACGAGACCCAAGTTAGAAGGGACCGAAGCCATCGAGACGGGGACGGTCGGGTAGAGCCCGTCCTCTCGGTCGGTGCGCAGGAAGCTCGTGAAGAGGTTCGTGACGCTCAATTTGCCATTCTCCGCTCGGGGTGCAGCAGTCGTGTTGAGAGTCGTCGAAAGCAAGTTCAGGGGAAGCACGGAGATTCCTTTAACGGTCTTGGACATGAGCTTGAGCGAGGCCGGTTCGTGCAAAATCGAGGTCGTGTCTCGGCCCATCGACAGGACAAATAGATCCTTGCGTCGCTGCTCCGAGTCGGCCTTGTCGAGTGCGGTACGGAAAGATTTGAGCAAATTCTCGTTAAAGGTCGTTGTATCAAGGAGAGCACCCGAGATGCCGTTGAGGACACTGGGATCGTTGAGGGAGAAGGCGGTCGCATGCTCGATGTGCAACACGAAGCGGCTCGCGGGCACCTTGCCGAGCAGTTGCGGGTCCTTGGAGATGATCTTGCGCGCTCCAGCGTCGAGCAAGGCGTAGACCTCGTCGTCGGTGAGAGACTGGTCCTGCAGGACGTAGTACTCGGCCGAGGTCGGCAGCAGCGGTAGCGTTGACTCGAGCGCGGAGCTGACGATCAGGAAGGGCGCGATGCGAGCGATCGCCGACAAGAGCGTCTGTTGCGTAGCGGCATCCGGTGTTGCCTCGACCAAGGGTAGAAAAGGGATTTGGGTGAACGACATCCGGTGGGTTGCGCGGTTGCGCTGAGGACGGGCAGGGTCAGCGATGCCCAGCGGACTCGAACCTGCGAAACGGAGCAGCTCGTTCGGTCCGTGCCATGGACAGGACTCTTGACTACGGACCGTACAAAGAGCTGCAGAGTCTCAATGGGGCAGGAATGGAAGCACGTCGGGCACACTCACAGTGTAGAGTGCTTTCAGCTGGCGCAGCGTCGAGGCACCTGGCTATGAAGAGGGGGAGTGGCCACAGAATGCCGCGGACGTCGTTAATGACGGATCCGAAACCTGGCCGGCGCACGGACCCTCATGGGACTCGCTCGGAATTAGGCCACGGGGGTCTGTCAGCTTGAACATTCAACAAGTCCTGGAAGGCTCATCCAATAGGAGTACACACGATGTTAGGTATACAATAATGTAACCATCTACTGCGAATACAAGGCGTCATAATGCAAACCTGGGACAACCCTCCGCTGAAGCCGTCTCCTGTCATTCGCCTCGCTATCGTTCAGATCCTTCCTGACTCAGACGTTGCGAGCGGCGGCGTCCGGGTGTGCGGCCCTCTCGTCCACCGCCTTCATCTCCTTCTGTTGCAGTTCCATCTCGGCAACGTCCTCAACGATCGTCTCCGGCGTGGACCCACTCGCATGCTCATGATCCGGGGCGTACTTGGAGTGCGCGCGGATTCGGGCACCGTACCGCAGGAATACGAACGGAATCGGCGTGAGTATAAGCGACAGGAACGCGACCAACGTCAGCGCCCAGTTGACGCCGAGCTTGTCAAACATCCCCTTGACAAACAGCGGGAACGTCGCACCGAGACAGCTTCGCAGGACCGCGTTCGCCGCCAAAGCGGACGCGCATAACCATAGATAGGAGTCGACGAGATACGACATCATTGAGAGGAACACGATGACCATGCCGAAGCCGAACGGTATCGAAGCAAGGCATGGCACGACCCAGTGCACCGAAGGTTGCGCCGTCCATGCGAACCAGAACAAGCCGATGGGAAGGGACACCCCGCCCAGACAGCACGCGGGAAGACGGGCTTCTGGCGGCAAGTGGCCGCCAGCCGCGTCGATGTCGCGGATGTATTTCGGGTTGATGTAGACGATGTTGAAGAGGATCCCGAGCAGCATACCTAGCCCGACACCGATGAAGGGCAGACCCGCCTCTCCAAGATTCCAGCCCCGTTTCTCGACAAAGACGATGGGGAACGCGGGAAACATCAAGTAGAGCGTCGCGTAGATGATGGCAGCGTAAATCGCCATCGCGAGCACAATCGGTTCATAAACGAGAAAAATGAACGGCCTCGACACGTTGATTCGGAGCTTGTGTGCCAACGTTTCGTCCGCCTTGATGTTGAGGTCGTGCCTCGAGATGTAGTGATCGCCCGTTTCCTTGGACAAGCGTGCGGCCCGGCGACGCAACAGCACCGGGGTGTACGTCTCGGGCACTGTGCAGCTGAATCCGAGGAGTACTGCAGAGAAGGCAAAGCAGAGCCAAAAGACGATCCGCCAGTCCTCGTTGATGCCGAGAAAACCGCCGCAAATTGGGCCGAGCACTGGACCCGCGAAAGGGGCCAAGCTGTACCACGCCAAAGCAAGCGCGCGCGTCTTGCTGTCCCAGATGTCACTGACCACACCGCCGGCGTTCGTGAGAGGGCTCGAGCCAAAGAAGCCAGTGAGGAATCGCATGACCATCAACGTCTCATAGTTCTGCGCTAGCGCGCATCCGATGTGGAAGACGGTGAACAGGGTGTAGGTCGGCAAAAGGACGATACGCCGTCCGTACAGCTCGCTGAAGGGGGCCCAGAGCAAGGGGCCCATACTGAACAGGGAGAAAAAAAATGTTTCTTCAGCTCCTGTATTTTCTCCGAGCCAACATCGCTAAGCAAGATGCCGGGGTTGGGCAGGGACGGAGCCGGCGGCGCGCGAGCTCCTGGCTCCCTGCAAGCCAGCCGCCCCCCACTTGTTCCCCCCAACTCGACAACTTGGGGACTTACGCAAAGCCAAGAACATCTGAGAGGGTCACAAGATATTGACCGTAAACTTCAGTCACTGAATTGAAGCAAGCGAAGGATGAATCGGAACACGCCGTTTCACTTACAAAAAGTCAACCCGAGCGTCAACAAGGTTTGTGTCTTGTCAAAGTACACGATCATCTGCGGAATAGCGCCCGCGTATACGCTCGACCCAAACGCAACAACAAGTGTTCCCATCGACTGGTGTGCCCCATCATTGCCATGCACAAATCCAAAGAAGTCAGCCAAATTGTGATAGGCAAGAGATTCGCGTGTTGCCACTGCTCCCCATCGGGGTCTCGCCGGCCTTACCAACCCGGCAAGCCAATACCCGGCCCCGCTCCTCGTCGCCGAAAGCAACTTCGACGCGTCCGAACGGAGATCCGGCGGGGGCCAACGCCATTTGGCGACGAAAGGGGTGCAGGACAACAGAGGGACCAAAGACTTACGACGACGCCTGTGATGTACCATCGCTTGAGCGTGGTCCATTCGAGTGGGTTCTCAGGGTCGTCGACCCCGTAGTCGACGATGTAAGGCGAGGCGACCGTGCCGTGCCCCTCGTAGAATTGGGCGTCACTCCCGGGAGGCCCCTGACCGACACTCGTTGCAGCGGTAGAGGGGCGTGGTCGAGTCTTGGACGCGTTCAGGTCTTCTTCGCCTTGGGCTGTTGAATGAATTGAGACGTGGGATGCTGTGGTAGGCGCTGATGCCGAGGACTGGCTCAGAAAGTGCGAACCATCGTCGGTCGGATTCCGCGTGCCCTGAGAGACATCGTCCATCGAGGCGCCGTCAAGCGCCACAAGCGTCGCGGTACGAGACGAGGAAGCAGACTCCAAGTCGTGTTGAGGTGGCAGCATCACTTTTGGTGGGCGGTAACAAGGATGAGATCGAGCACGGTCGTGATACACATGGGTTCAAGGTCGAAACAGGTGACAACCGTCGTAGGATGTAGGCAGGAAGGCTTTAGCGTCCGCAATGATGCCGGGTTCGTGCCCAAGCGCCGGGACCCAACTCGATGCCGAAATCCGGCACGGGTTGGCTTTGTCAGCGCATGCCCATGAGCGAGTTACTAGGGCTCCTCAAAAACTCCGTTCAAAAAGTTGGGCGCACCATTTTCTGAAAGTTTTAAAAAAAATGAAATCTGAAAAATGAAAAGTCTGGAAAGTCCGTCGCGCGCGCGACCTCAACGCACGCAAAAACCAGACCCGGCGTCAAATCATTTTTTGCTAGCTGGTCCGTGCACGCTCCGTCGTGAGGACCCTCACGCGTGACGCGCGATGTGAAACGCGTGACAAGGCGCGTCGCCAATAATAATACCACGCGAGGCAGCGCGAGGCAGGCGAGCTGAGCAGAGCACAGTAGTTTGAGCTCGGGGGCCCGTCACACATTCTTTCTGTCTCCTTGCCGTATCTATCCAATACACACGATCTCATCTGGATCCTCGACTTCACGTATCTTCACACCTACCCAGTACTCTATTTCATTCATCTCACGATGTCATCTACGAACAACATGGCGTCAGTAGCTTGGGCTTGGTCAGGCTCAGGTGCGTATTCGTCGGGTGTTCAGGCGCGTCTCGCCGTTTGCGATCCCCCCGACTCTCCTCGATCACATCGCGTTCAGTAGTGATCCGAGCTCTGAAACAATACCTTTGCTGTGCAGACATGAGCGGACGCTCAAGCTCGCCTACTTTACCCGAGTCGATCGGCGGGGCATTGCTCGTTGCGTCGCGTCAGGCTTGAGAAGAGTTGAGAATCGCTGCTCAACGCGACGTGTGGAGCGGAGTCGGGACGCGACGTTTCATTTAGCGAGGTGGGAGGGCACGTGACTTTCAAAAAAAATAAAAATGAAAAGTGGACGGGATCCTCCAAAAAAGTCCCAACTTCGTGACTTTTTTGTGGACGCTTCAAAAACGAGAATTTTTGAAAAAGTGCCTCGGTCTTCCTCGATCGCGATCGAGCCTAGCCCAAATAGGAAGGCGCGCGCGTTTTTATAAAGTCTAAACTAGGTTCGGCGGCGCGCTCCGCGCGCCACCTCACACCGTAACCGTTGACCCGCTGAAATGTGATGTACTTTGCTGCAACAGCTGCGGTACTGTTCAGTGATGGTCCAAGTCGGGAGAGGACCGCGGGACGACAATCAAATGTAAAGAGCCTTTATTTCAGGACGTTTCTGACACCGTCCACATAGTTGCTCAGGACAACGCGACATACAACTGGCCGTGAGAAAAGACGGGCGTCTCCAGACACACTCCTACCTCCGCAAGTGCCAACTGCTCTTGCAACTTGCTGAACGTCATAGCCATTGCCAGCCGAATTGGAAACTGCGTCCGATGCAGAGTGAACGGAAGTTCAGCTGATGACCCTGTCTTCAGCGTGATCCGTGGCAACAAAACTGGCTGTCCAGCATGATCTCCTGTGAGAATGATGGCCTCGAGCAGGTGGGTGTGTAACCGAGTTGACAACAGTCTTGTGCCGTTGCACAGCCCCGCGGCGGGGTCCAAGTTTCCACTTTGAATCTTGCAGCGTGCAACGGCATCCCGGCGATGTTGAGACTCTGAAGGTACTTGATCGAGAACAGTGATCCGTCTTCATTTTCGACCGAATCCGCGCTGTAGAACGTTTGAGCGTCACCCGGCAGCAGGTCGGGCACCATGTCGTTGATCTGTGCGAATTTTTGGGCGCCAGAATTGCTCGATCTCGAAAGTATTCGACTTTTTCGCCTATCGACGTATTGCCTTTGCCCGTTCCGTTTCGGTCATGCGGTCTGCAGCGGCCAGAAGACGCATGTCTGTCTGCGCTCGCAACGTGGGCTGTTGTTAGTATAGGTCTAAAAGTCAGGCAAGGACTACTACTTACAGAGAGATCCCCCCAGAAGTCGCCATTCATGATGCAAGCGTCGACGATTTGTGCAGGCGATGACGTGGAATAACGGGAAGGCATCGCTTCGGAACCCCTGTGATGTTACAGTTCAATCAATCAGTTAGTCACACCGCCCTGCGCTTTGCTTTTGAAAGATTGGCACACACCTGCCAACACGACGGTCACTCCACCGAACCGAGCCATGGAATAACGGGAAGGCATTGCTTCGGATTTCCTGTGATGTTACAGTCCAACCGGTCAGTTAGTCATGCCGCCCTGCGCTTTGCTTTTGAAAGATTGGCACACACCTGCCAACACGACGGTCACTCCACCGAACCGAGCCATGACCGAACCGAGCCATGACCGAACCGAGCCATGACCGAACCGAGCCATGACCGAACCGAGCCATGACCGAACCGAGCCATGACCGAACCGAGCCATGACCGAACCGAGCCATGACCGAACCGAGCCATGGAATAACGGGAAGGCATTGCTTCGGATTTCCTGTGATGTTACAGTCCAACCGGTCAGTTAGTCCTGCTGCCCTGCGGTTTTTGAAAGATTGGCACACACCTGCCAACACGACGGTCACTCCACCGAACCGAGCCATGGAATAACGGAAAGGCATTGCTTCGGATTTCCTGTGATGTTACAGTCCAACCGGTCAGTTAGTAATGCTGCCCTGCGTTTTGCTTTTGAAAGATTGGCACACACCTGCCAAGAACCGAACCGAGCCGTTGAGGATCTGCCACGGGATGGTGAGCCGCAATTCACCCGACCAGAGGCTGTTTTCTGGCGTGATTCGTTACAACTATCAGCATTATTGCTGTTGTCCATCTGTAGCAATGGCAGTGAAGACTCACATTTAGTGTCCCAATGACCCGGATTCTCAACCGTACGAAGTCAATCCTTCCGCTGTGTCACTGACGTTCAATGTCTGTTCTTCGTATCAATTTTTCCGTCATATCTAAGACTGACAGCCATGTCAAGGGATAACTCACGCATGCCGTATCACCAGCTGACGGTGAAGAAACAACTCGAGGGTTGACATTCAAAGAGGACGTGTTGAAGGAAATTGCTGCTTGGTAGTTCTCCATTAGCTCCTGAACAATCCCACACCGAAGAGCACAGTTCATGAAGTTACTTACTCGAATTCGTAGCTATGTTGCGGCAGGCATTTCTTGATCCCGTATTCGTTGCAGAGCTTCCACGACGACCGCTTCGGACGTCGCGAGCTCGAGGTGGCGATGGGATCAGGTGCGATGGGTAAGGTGTGAAGAGCAGGAGGGAGAAGAATGGAGAAGCCTGCGCCTCAGTTTAAATCGGGTTCATAGAATGTCGCGGAAGGCCGCGGAACGACGTGGAGTGAAGCCCAGTGTCGGCAAGCCGTGACACGCTGGCGGGGCCCCTAACAGCGGAATTGGCGCACTGGTCGACACTACCGGACGTGACGTGCTGCCGGTGCAGATTGACTTGACGAACCAGTTTGCGCGACGTCGTGCTGATCGATTGGGGGTGGCGACCGTGCGATTAGAGCAGGAGTCGGGTTGTACGGAGGAGGCTCAGCTCGCTCACGATGCCGACGTCTCTGCTGCCCTCTGCTCTCCGTGCGGCGTGAAGATTGTCGTACAGGAGACGGGACGTGAAAGTTTGCAGATGACATCTCGGCTCTGGCAGGAGCTGGATGATTGAAGGAACTACGCTGCGATGTGATAGACACGCAAAACAGGTCGTCGCAGTCTGCTTCAGGAAGCAGAGTCACGTGCTCTTCAATGGAATCTCGGCGAACGTAGACGAAACGAACTGTCGCCGGCCGACCCGTGCTGAAACAGCGATAGCTAGCTGGGACGCGCTGGACCGAGAGCTGCCTATGACGTCACGCCAGATGGTTCCCGTTCTTTGACGTTCTTTGACGTTCTTTGTCTCCCTGGTTTGTCTTTCGTTCTCTGACGTTCTTTGACGTTCTTTAGCCACACAGACGTTTTTATAAAGGATAAGGATTACAGAAATTGGAGCGCTCGAACGGTGGTTTGGGGTTTTTGAGGAGCCCTACTAAGTGGAGCGCAATTATTCGTGTGACTTCTCCCACAAGGTAGGCATCGAAAAAAACCTAGGGTCAGAGGCTTGGTAGGGACTAAAAGTGTTCGTGCATTACGTTGTACTAAAGAGCATGCAAAGTCAGGAATGTAAACATTAAATCATAGCTCATCCCTGGGCGTCCGTGAAGACTCGGAAGCCTGCTCGGCAGCCCGCCCGCCGGCAGCCCTTTTCCGTGCCCTCAACTCGATGCGCCCCTCTGGGATCTCCTTGATTGTCTTTCCTGACAACCTTTCGCCTCCTTCGATGTGGACCATTCCGCGCTTCTCAATCTCAACCGATGACACGATCTTGTCAAGAGCAAGGTCGGAGAAGATCGCGCTCGGTCGTAGTGGTTCCTGAGTCTTCTCATCGAAAACCGGCACCAGAGGGAATGCGACGCCGTACAAAGTCGACGCCATAGGCGAATTCGCCGTGATCGGATATAGTCGCAGATTGGTGTGCTCCAGCTGACTGAGGCTTTGTAGAAGCGGAACCCAGCGCTGGGAGCGTGCGCTCAGGGGATCAAGGACAGCGTCAATATCCCACAGAGCGTCTTGTGGCAGACGTTGCACGACGGTGCGCCTGAGGACGGTAGATGGAACAGATATCAGTTGATCGGTCAGTCCCAGGCACACAGCTGGTACTACTCACAGGTAATCGGAGGAAAAAGGGAGAGAAGCTCGGACTCGAATAGGTGTTCCCGGCGGCATCAACGACGACGCAACTATCGACGACGCGGCGTTGTAGAGGTTCGCAACGGCGACGCGGTCCTCCTTGATCGTAGCGGGGATCGTCTCGTCGACCATAGCCACGACTGCTCCGATCCTGACTTCGTATTCGTACGCGACGATCTGCTGGAACTGGTTCGCGTTGAACTTGTTGCCGGGGAGCGCGACGACCCTACCGTTGATGACGATCGCCGAGGCACCCGGTTCGACCCCTACGCGCGCGGCAAACTCTTGCACGGCTTGCCAATACTCCTTTGCCGCTTCGGCATCGGCTTCGTCAGCTCCCAAAGTAACGAAAGGGGTCATAGGGTTTTCCTCGTCCCAGATATTGGGAATGGGAGTCTCCATCCCGTCCTTGGTCACTTCGTACGCAAGCCAGGTCAACAGCTCGGCGGGGAACACTTCTCGCATGTTGCCCGACTCGGTGATGAGATACAGCAGGTTCGAGAAGGTGAACGCATGCTCTGCCACATCGACTGCGACCGGGTTGTGAACAAAGTTGATTCGGACTTCGGGGGTTGAGTCCTGGTGAGCGAATCTCAAACATCCATGGTCAGCTGCGTAGTTCTGAACGTCCACTGCGAGAGCCCCAAGACCAAGTGGAACCCACGATATAGATCAACGCTTCTTGAGCAATATCGAGCCCTTGTGGCGAGTCGAGATCCGTAATGACATAGATGGTCGTGGTCGCCGCCTTGTCTGGTGGAGCCTCTTGACCCTCCGGAACCTCATCCCCATCACTTTCAACTGTTGCACGGTCGAGTTGCCCTTTCAGTCTCGTTCAGGATGCGAGATGCATTAGACAGTCCATAGTATGAGAGGGCAGAACTTACCTGATTCCAGGAATGCCGCCTCGATGAAGACGGATGGGAGGTCGTGCATCGCCTGTACGAGATTGACGACTTTGAGCGGATGGTGCTTGCTCGGTTTGATTACGTTCTTCGCCGATCGTCCCGCTACCTCCTCAGCCGGAGAGACGCTGGAGCCGATGAGGATCTCGCGAGCGTGGGCAAAGGTCAGGCTGGGGTGCAAGCTGGCGATGTCAGCGATGAATCCTCGTTCTCGGCGGAGAAAGTGGATGAGATCGACAGGGTCGGCGTGGTCGATATCGAGGGAGAGCCCGTTGATGGTGATCGACTCCTCGTAGACATCGTCACTAAACGAGCCGCCTGCTGCCGCATCACTCGTCCCTGACAGAGAAGGTCCAACGAGGGGTGACTGGGCCACGAAAGATGCCAGCGGCTCGAGACTGTCGGGGACCACGACAGTGTTGATGGCTCGGCGACGCAGGTCTGCGCAGCAAGATTTGGAAGTCAGTGGGCCATTCCCGTTCCCCATGTCTATGCGAGGAAGCTCTTACCTGTTCTATGTTCTGCATCGAGGGCAGTCACGTCTTTCAGCGACAGCTTGACCCCAAAGGCGCTCAGCGCTGCATCCCCAGCTTTCGAGGTGCGCGAGTCGGGCTTCCACCGAATCGTGAACTGGAGCCGGACCGCATCCTCTGCTTCATCAATATCCCCACCCGCAAGTCGATTGAGCTCATCAAACAGCTTCGCAAATGTCTCGTCGTCGGTTGAGCCGTACAGGACAAAGAAGGGGAGCGAATCGTCGGGCATCGGGGGTTCAAGTCGATCGAACGGTTCGGCAGCAAGTTTGTCGCTTCGATGGGGAAAGACGTCAACATGTTGTGTCAGTAGTTTCTTGGTCCGGATATTCTCATGCTGAAGACTGACCCAGCAACTCGAATCTTTAATGGCTTGTCACCCTTGCTCTGCTCGGCGCCCACCAATTCCCAAAACTGTTTCACCGAGCAAGCTCGGTGCCCTTGAACATCGATCCAACTCTCGCACCGCTCTCCCCCTTCTGCGACAGGAACGAGTTTTTCCCTCTTTTCCCACGCCTTGTACATCTCTTCCAACAATCCATCAGCTTGGCCGTTCGCGATCGCCATGTAAAACAACTCCTTTTCTCCACGTTCGTTCAGGAACCGACCCCTGAATCGATTCGACTCGAGCGTTCGCCAGCTCTCCAGAGGGCTCAACTGGCGTGTGAACAGAAAATTCGGCTCGCTCGATCGGGGTGGAAGCTTGGGTGGTTCAACCTCTGGGTTGGACTTCGCATCTTGAAGAGAAGCGGTCTCGGGTCGGTTCGCCGTTAGCCACGAGATGAAGGGGTAGTACGCGGAGGGATCCTCGATGCCGAGGCATTCACTGGGAGATGCAAGTCGAAGAATGAAAAGCACATCAGCTCTACTTGGGTATCAGAATACCAGAACATCGTCTTACATGTATCGTGCGACGAGCGAAGGGGGAGAGGAGTCGGATGACGACAGGGCCACTCTGAGATCGGAGGTCGACGTAGATCCGGCTACGACGAGCCTGGCCACAGCGACGACAAGCCCACAGGCGGTGATTCGCATGGTGATACCAGGCGATACCGTTCCCTTATCGGAGTGAGGTGAAAGAGGTGGAGGGCAAAAGACGGAAGGAAGGCGAGAAGGGAGAGTGTAAGGACCGTTGCGTGGAACCGTTCGCTAAGGAACCCGGTTGCGAACCGACCCACTGCGCTCGGGCCCCTACCAAGCACTTTAGGTCACGTGTCACCACGTCACCCGCTTAGCATATAGCCCGGACTCGTGGCGGCTGTAGTTCTTCCTTCAAATTAAGGTCGTTGCAACGCTTCCACCCAGACAGACTTGATACTTTCTCAAATCACCTGACCGAGTATCGACTCTTCTCGGGTTCTTTATCGAGTGAAAAGTTTTATACAGGGTCAGGTCAATCTGTTTTCCTTGAAGCTTGTCTAGTAGAGCGACCATTGCGTCTGACATTGGCAAACGAGCCCCGTCCCCTATGCCTGTGCCGCCGAATATGCGAGTCCTCAAGATGCCAGAATAATGAATTCACTGCATCCTTCTCCAAGATGAACCAAGATGAACACCTGAAACCCAATCCGCATTCATTCCTCCTCTGTCACAGGCTCCTCATCCTCAGTGACCGGTCCCTCATCGTCCGTGACGGGCTCTTCATCGATCGCCTCCTCCTTCGTCTCGCTCTTAACCCCTTTCTCATCATCAACCACTACCATTTTCTCATCCCTCTGCGATGTCTCTTCTTCCTTGACCTGCGTAGACCGCTTCTCCACTTTCCCCTCCCCATCCTCATCCGTCTCCATCGGTCCCGCACCAAACCCTTGTGGCACAGGCATCGCCAACGCCGAAGTCTTGCCCATCCCCGTTTTACCCATCTCGACATCGTCGCCCTCGTCTGCGAATAAATCGTTCGGATTCGCACTATGATCGTCTTGTACAGTCAAAGGCACTTTACCACGAGCGATACGTTTCGGTTTAGGAGGTACTGCAAACCGGAAGCGTTAGGTAAGCCTCCTTCCCTTCTCCGGGCCAAGCTCGACCAAGGAACCCAACTCACCAAGTTTGGTATCCATCACCTTCCCCAACTGTTTGAACAAATCCCGATTCGCCTCGACGAGATGGGTCGGAGGGTCGAGGTACTTTGTCAAAGCCGGATGAACAGGTGGCAACTCGCCTTCCGGGTTGGTCAATCGGAACATGAGCGTATTGTTGATATTGTGCGTCGCGGGTGAATACGAGTCCTGGATGTTGAACCATGATTTTGTTTCGCTGAGCGAAGAAAAGTGGGGAAGAAAGGCGCCGAGTGAGCGAAACGGCTCCGGCGCAATTCGCCACAGTCCCTGTTTCTTTCGACTCACCCGTCCGGACCGGTACCTTCTTCGAGGTTCATCGAATCAACGAACTGATCCATCGTATCCTTTTGTTCCTGTGTCGCGAGGTACTTGTGCTCCTTGACGATCTTTCCTTTCTGGTTTCGGAACTCGGTCAAGGAGGGGAAGTAGAAGAGGCGCATGTCCTCGGCGAACGGCATCTGCGTGCGCGATGGATGCGCCGTCAGTACGTGGTACCAAAGCTTACGACGGGGAGAATAGTGACACGTACGCGACACCAATAGCAGTATTCCAGCCCTTGCCTAATAACAGGCACCATCACGCCCATTTGCGGATCGGGAAAGTTCATCTCGTGCGTCGTACTGTTCCTAGTCCCCCTCCCCACGAAGCGCACGATCGCGGACGATCTGTTCTCGACCATGGCGTTGATGAAGGCCGAAAACAATTTTCCTGAACCAATTTGGCCAACTTGGGCGTGCACGTAGCGAACATCCTCGAGGCGCCAGTCGTAGCGGATCTAGGTGGAGAGTACGATCGCAATCAGCACCGTCTTTCGGGCCGTTGCGGAGGGGTGTCCACCTACCTGCTTCTGCTTCATGAAACCGACAATCTCCATGCCCATCTCGAGATATTTAAGTTTCCCCCTCGCCTCATCCATCGACGTCACAGGTACAAGCGTACCACCGAACGCATAAGCATCCGTCAAGTCTGCGTCCGTGGCATCCCGCAGCTCATCTAGCGAAGGTTGCCCTCCCCTTCCATGGACGAAGTCCTTCGCCTTTCCCACAGCAGCTTGGTCGGCTTGCGAGATCTCGAGCGCTTCTTCGGGATTATCTTGCCTGAGGTAGTAGAATCGCTTCTCGCGATTGACGCTGTGGCTCCCCAAATCGTCTTCTGCGGGAAGCTCGAGCCCTTCCTCCGAGAGGCACCTCTTCAACGACTTGCCCAAATCTCCCAGTCGATACTTGCTCGCGCCGCCGTTCGAGGTCGACGTTGTCGTTGACACGTCGACCGGGAGTCCCGATCTCGAAGTCGAAGCGACCGGACTCGCTTTAGCGCTGGTATCGTATCCGTAAGATACCTTGGCCTTTGGAAACGACTTGATCGACATTTGCTTCATCGAAGGCGTCTTGCCGGCCGTGATGGCTTTCTTGACGACGACGTGCATACGGATCGATTCGTCGGGGTGCTCCTTGACGTCCCCCAGCGTCAAGGTCATGTTGACGTCAACTGATCTCGTGTCGGATACCACAGGGCGAGAAAGAATCTCAAGGTAGCGCGAAAAGGAAACGAGGGTCGAAGGAGGAGGAGGCACAGGGTTTTTCGACTCTAGAGGAGTGTTGAGGTCTTCCACAATCTGGCGCCAGTGAGTCTCATTTTCGGTCTATGGCGTTTCATTCGGAGCCTTGGTGAGTAACACGCAGGAAGCTGAGGATCATTGCTTGCCTTCCTCACCTTCGTCGTGGACCGAGTGGCATTGGCCGGTACGAGGCTAGGATCATCGACTTGAAAGTTGAAGCCGCTGCAAAGTCAACTTGGAGGAGAGGTCAGCATGAGAAAGGGGTTCTTATGATCTCATGAGACGATTTGCGCCAGCTGAATGGATGGGACTTGCATGACGTGCACGGCGACGCCCTCCTGTTTGAGCGTTTCGACCGTTTCGCCGCAGCGATCCCAGTCGGCTGTCGACTCGCCATCTGTGAAGAAATAGATTTCGCGATGCGTGTAGGTCGCAAACTTGTCCATGCGTCGTATCTCCTCCAGAGCGAGGATGAGCGCCGAGTGTGCTAAAGGGTCAAGTGACAGGTTCGCAGCGTAAAGATCAGCGGTTCGAGTTTACAGCTGGGGCCCCACACCACACCGCTTCGGTCAGGTCAGGTAGTGGGTTCGACGGGTGGCCTACCATCAGCCGGATAAGGATCCTCGCCTTCCTCCGGTTGATCGCCTTGTAGTTGATCGACGACGTCCAACAATCCCACGTGTATGTCGGCGGTGAAGGGCTGCTGTATGTACATGTGTCGATACAGAGAAGCGCTCTTGTCAAAGTGGGTGCCCTCGTCTGCGGCCTTGACCTTTTCTTGCGCAAAGAGGACGTTCTTGGTTTTTGGGGCCGCGTAGGCAAGGATCGCGATGGGAGTTGTTTTGAGTGTTCGCATGATCTGTGTGGGCAACACGGACGATGGGTTGACGTGGACGTCGAGTGTGCGGCGTGCTTTGCTTCGAGGCGACGACTATGCCCGACGAAGCGATGCACGGTCAATACAAGGAGCAGGACCTACGCGCTGCACGATCTTGGCCTTGATGATCCTCTTGGCCAATTCGAGCGGCACAAGCTGTAGAGGCGACGAGTTGGGCTCGAGCACCGTCGGCTGCGGGCTGGCCATGGTCGATGAGCAATCGACGACGAACAACGCCGCCGATCGCGGGTTCTGCGCGTTTGAAAGGCAAGTCGTATCAGGTATGGCGGATGGAGGGGCATGGGGATGGAGGTCACGGCGGTGGGAGGCACCTACGATGGTCATGGACATGGTGCCAAGTCGTGTGCGTGTGCGTGTGCGTGTGCGTGTGCGTGTGCGTGTGCGCTGCGAGTGGGCAGGCGGGGTGAAGCAGAGCGGCGCGCGTGTTTCGCGTCTGCCACTCTGGAGCGTCGAGCGTGATGTCAACGGGCAGACTCGGGCAGACCAATTGGTTATTACGGGGAGCAACAAACGCGGCCCAAATTGAAACGAGACGAGCCGGGTCAACTCGTCATCGCCGCTACTTGCCGTTCACAAAACACGCCGCACCAGACCTCTATTCTCAGTCAAGATGCCAGGCATCCCTTCGATCCCGATGCCAGGCTTGGTCCGGTCCTTCTTCTCGCACTTCCCGCTCGTCGTGTACGATGCTCCACCGACCGCGACACCGGCACCGAGCAAGCCCACTCTCTGGCTCCTCGGCCCGCCACCAGCATCGTCCTCATCCTCGTCAACCGATCCCACCTCTCAGCCTCAGTCACTGGACCCTTACAGTCGCTACGCTGCGACGTTGGCCCGTTTCTCGCAGCTCGGCGCGGTCGAGCTCAGATGGTGTTCGAGTCCCTTGGGAGCGCCCCAAAGCCGACTACCCGCACTGCACCTCCCCAATGGCGATCTGCTTTCACGGGAGGAAATTCCCGACTGGTTTCACCAACAGCAGCAAGAGCACAGGTCAAAGCAGTCGCGCTCGTCGTCCCCTACTTCGAGCTCGCGCGCACCGAGCGGTGGTGACGTCGAAGCGAGCCGATTGGCGTACCTGTCCCTGATCCAATCGGCCCTCTTACCCGCCCTCCTATCATCTCTGTACCTCGCTCCAAAACCCGTCCCGCTCGTCCCTTCGTCCCAAGCTCCGTACCTGACCTCGCTCGTACAAAGCCTCTCGGGCCGCTCCGAAAGGACCGAACGGATCAAGCAGATCAAGGCATTGCAGGCACGTCACGACATCGGATTCGAGGCCGGCTTGGACGTTGACAAGGTCGAGTTGGGCGCCAAGGAAACGATCGAAGCGGTCGAGGTCAAGCTGGCGTCGATGAAGAAGAGTTCGTGGTGGGATGGGGCCGAGTGAGTGGCTTTTCGGGGATGGTCGCCGAGGCGTAGAGCTCTGAAGTCGTATGCTGACTGTACGCCAAACCAATCTGCTGCTCAGATCAGCAACGGACCTCGACGCATGGCTGTACACGTGCTTGTCGATCGTGTTGGACCTGCCGAGGAACGAGACGACGAGGTCGCTCAAGGACCAACTGGATCGAGCACCGACACTGATGAACTGGGTACAGGAAAGGCGGGTATGATATGATGGCTCGATCTAGTAGATGTGCATCGAGTGTAGCAATGTATCGCATCCCAACTCGGAACACGTCTCGATGCGATGTACTGTGTCCAAGATTGAGAGCATTGAGAATTGATATTCTTGAAGGTCATAACGAGCCATGTCTCCCCCTGTCTCCCCCGCTCACGCGACGAATGGCGATCTCGACTCTCTGATCCCGCTTTTCTCCCTCCACCCGTGTTCGAGCCATCGGACCGCTCTCCGACACCACACGCAGCCAGGGTGAGTACGCGATCATCGTAGCATGACGTCCCCCCGAGAACAAGCCTTGTGCAGCGTCCGACCGAACAAATGGTCGAGCGAGCGACGACGCGTGTGAGAGGCTCCGCATGTGCCGCCGCTTGCACGATATTTGGCGCTAGCAGGGAAAGCTTGTCGTGGATGACATGCGATCATCACTGCCCCCTGGATCTCGCGCTGGGTCACATCCGAGCATGCTGTAGTAATACCTCGACTGCACGCCCGTCGCCGCTCGCCTCTCCTCATCAGGGACACTGGCTCGTACGGAGCCATGCCCACCATCTTCTCTTCGAAAGTATGAAAGCTGACCATCAAGTTCATCTTTACGATCCTGCGCCATACACAGATCGGCATCGTTCCTCTCCTTTCCATCGTGTACGCCGTGACCTCGATCGCCCAACTCCGAACTCCGTCGCCTCAGCTTCACCTTGAGCACAATCACCCTCGACTCCAACATGGCGGCGAACGGCATCTGCCAAATCCGTCTCCAAGAAGAACGAAAACAATGGCGCAAGGACCACCCCTACGTGCGTAGTCGATTCGGCGTAATCCTCGGCTCTCCTTCCTGACGTCAAAAAAAACACTGACCTCATCGCCCCCCCCTGTCATGTGCTATCCGGAGCTCACAGGGTTTCTGGGCTCGTCCTCAAAAGAAAGGCAACGAGTTGGACCTCATGACCTGGGACGTCGGAATTCCCGGCAAGGATGGCGTGAGTCACAGAAACCTTACGTTGTCTGCGATCGACCCCTGACTCTCGGCGATGTTCCTGCCGCACAGACGATTTGGGCCGATGGCGTGTTCAAGCTGCAGATGATCTTTCCCGAAGGTGCGGGGCTTCCGAATCAGTTCCATACGCAGGTACTGATATGGGCTTGCGACCTACTCCCCAGACTACCCCTCCAAGCCTCCCAAGTGTTCGTCTCGGGCCAGCGCCATGTGATCACTCATACTGGCAAAACCCCTCTGAGGTGCTCATACCCAACCTCTCTTTCTCGATAATACAGGCAAATTCGTTCCCCCGCTCTTCCACCCCAACGTCTACCCCTCCGGAACCGTCTGTCGTACGTCTAGTCCCTTTCTCTCGCCTCTCGCCCTCCGATCTCTTGACAACTCACCGACCCCCCCTCTCAATACTCATACTCACAGTCTCGATTCTCAACGAAGAAAAAGCCTGGAAGCCGGCTTTAACGGTCAAGCAGATCCTACTCGGGATTCAAGACCTGCTCGATGCGCCGAACGCGGATGATCCGGCCCAATTGGATGCGTATCAGTTATTCAAGTACGTTGCCGAGGACCCCGATTCTTTGAATCCGCGGCGGATATGATCGGGAGCACTGACGGTTTGTTTTACTATGGTCTCGACCTACTTTAGGAAGGACCGAGTAGCCTATGAGTGAGTCGATAGCGATGTCTCGTCTCATTTCAGAAGAACACGACTGATCGTCTAAAGCTTCACCCAATAGGAAACGCATTCGACAACAAGCGAGGGAAAACGTACCCAAATGAACGAATCGAACCAAGACTATTTCTTTTCTTCTCCCTTTCTTTCGGTCCTGTTCAAACTCGGTTCGGGTTTTCCTTTTTTCCCAACGAGAACAAGCATTCGCTTGAGGCGCAGCATAGGCGACCGTCTCGACGATTTGTGATGGCTCTTTCGTGATCTTCATCTTTAGCAGTCCTTTCGGAACCTGATAAGCAATGTGAACAAGATGATCTTCGATAGGGATATTGTGTGCTTCGATTGCAGACACAAAGTGGATTAGCCCCTTGAAACAAGGTTCACACGATTAGCACCTAAAAATGAACGTTTCCAGCCGCAATAAGGGAGCATCCCAGGTCGTGTGAGTGATTTACTGATCAACAGGGTACATAAAGTCCTGTAAGTTGAGCCGAGCTGGGCATGCTCACTCATTCTTGGGAGTCTTGGGCTAGGACATCGCTGGTGCGACTCGTTTTTGACGGACGCGGGGGTTCGATCGTCGTTGTGGGCGAGGGGGCAGTGATGCTGGTGATCACAGGAAGCTGGGCATCATGAGAGACAAGAGGGAGAGACAACAGTGGACGACCCAGCTCGAGACTCCGAGACACTGAGCGTAGTGCGACCGAGGAGGACGAACTTTTCGCAGAGCAAGGGACCAGAAAGGTGCCCCAAATCCTGCATTGCAAGTAGAACAAACGAACACCAAATAAATTCAACCCCATCGCCAATACCGAGGCGTCTACTGCCGAAGAGCCAAGTAAAGTATGTACGCCGACTTGTTGCCTTCGACGATCCGAGGGTCCACAGGCGTGACCTTGGAATCGCCGATGTTGTGCCAGTCGCGGCCGTTGCGCACGTAGGCCGTGCTGTATAGTTAAACAAGCCAACAAAGGATGGGTGAGCAACTTGTTTCCTTGGCGTATGTTAAAGGCGAACGTGACTGACTAGTGACCCGAACTGAGGTTGCCATAATGGTTTGTCACGCCAAAGAGATCGTAGACGTAGCCTTTAGGAGGCACCTTGCTGCTCGAGGCGTTCGATCGCATATCCATCAACGGTGGTGGGATGAAGGGGGTGAGGTCCAGTCCAGATAAGGGGTATTGCACAACCGTTTCGATCTGTACATCATCGCGAGATACGTCAGCTTGCTTTTCCTTCCTCCCTCACTTTCGGCTCGGGTTACGAACCTTATCACTGAACGGCCCATGGAACGAGAACCTTTTGAGGTGGATGACAAGGATCGGTGGTAACCTCGACAGCGATAGCTTCTTGATCGCCTTGCGGTTCGTCTTGCAGCGTGGGCAGAACCACGCATCGTCCTTGTCGAGAATCTCTTCCCGTACGAAGCCTTGAATGCATTCATAGAGCGTCGTCTTCGTAATACCCCGACCGGAAGGGATCGGGATCGAGAGGGGCATAAAAGTCTGTTAAGAGCGTGTTTGTAAGTCACGGAAGATCGCCTCATGTTTCAAGCTGAGAGCTCCAGCTCACATTGTATGTCGTCGAGGTCTTGCCACAGGTCAAGCACTTGAGCTGATTCCTAAACTGGCCCTGGAAGCACTGCACGACGAAACTATCGTTCCTCATCTTGTAAATGTCCCACTCGCGATCACTCATCAACTGCGGCGGCAGCGTCTCGAGGTCGTGTTCCCGATCGGGGGTCATCTCGATCGGTGCGGGTTTGTTGGTCACATAGTTGAGGTCCTCGTGCAAGCCGTCGAGCAGGAAACCGAGGAACTCCTGCGCGTCGTGCTGATCCGATCCTCGGAACTGGGGGGCGAACCGACAGATGTTTTCCCGGAACGTGACGGGGGACAAGAACATGTATTGCTGGGCCCAGATGGCGCGGATCAACTCCGACACCGCATCGGCCAGGGCACCTCGGGTCCCTAGAGGGTTCGTGAAGTTGATGTCGCGTTGATAAGTTCGGTCCTTGAAGTAACGCGCAAAAGGGATCGCGGCCGAGAGGCACTGTATGGTCGAGTTCATGTAACAAGTGTTGCCAAGATTCTTAAGCCCGGTGAGCCCAACCGCGTTGTTGTCGAACGAGAAGTTGCTTGGGAAGTTGGAGTGGTTCGACGAATACGAGTTGATCGAGACGCCCGTGTAGGACGCATTGGACCGTTGAGGGGCGGCGCGAACCGCAGGTGGCCGAGTCAAGGGCGCGGGGGGCAAGGCCGGAGCGGCCGAGGGTCGCATGCTACCCGTCGAAGGCGGAAGGCTGGAGAGCGCTCTCCCGTGCAATTGAGGATAGTCGATCGACCCTCGAGGGCTGAACAAGCTCGAGCTTTGCGAGTGTAGATCGCCGTAGCTGTCGAACGTTCGACTCATTGTCGGCGACCCGTTCTGGGACGGACTAGGGTAAGAGAGCGATTGTGAGGAAGACATTCCGTTGAGGTAAGGTTGCGGAGGGTGAGGGGAGTAGGCTGTTGTCGATGAAGAGGAGTTGTAGCCCGAGCTGACGTATCCCGAGTCGAAAGAGGGCCGCACGGTCGATGGCTGCGCAGCCTGAGGTGGCATCGTCAATCGCGGTGAAATGAGACCCGAGCCGAGGGCCCCCGCAGACGAAGGCATCGATGAAGAGCTCGCAAAGCTTGACGACGACGGCGCATTGAAGAAGCCATTCGACGAGAACGTCGGCGAGGAAGCGTTGAAACTGGGCGTTCCAGCCCCGTTCCTCATGACCGTCGTCCCCCCAGGGTTGGTGACGACGGATGTCTTGCGATTGACCCTCTTCAGCTCGTCTCGATTCAGATTGCTTTCGCTCCCTGCGCTCCCTCTCCGCTCGCTCGGGTCCGTTGCAGCGCGAAGTCCATCCCCTTCTGCCCCTTTTCTGCTAACGTGCATTTCCCAAGCCTCCCACCCACCCTTGAGCAACACCGGTTGCCGCTTGAGGCTCTTTTGGAACTCCCTCTCGTAGATCGCGGCGACGAGGTTCCACAGCACCCTCTGAGCTTCCGACGAGGTCGAATGCGGTGCAAGGGTTGGCAACGTCGTGGATGCTCGATCGTAGATGATGACGACATCATAGCAGTTCCTTGCAGCGAACAGGCGTTGCTCGTGATTCGGCGAAAGGGTCAAAGCCGACTCGAGGTCGCTCGACGATATCCCGTTCCGCAAGATGATCGGTTCGAGACAAACGCTTTCGCCCATGATTCGACCTCGAGAATACTCTTCTCGACTCCGAACGTCGAGGAGCAGAACCCGAGGACCTCGATCCGACTCGGCGAGCGCTTGGTGAAGGTAGTGATGCAGGGCCATCGGTGTGACCTCATTTGTGAAGGGGATGTCGAAATGCCGTGTCGAGCCCGATGACGGCGGAGCGGGAGGGGGTCGAGAGAGTAAAGAGGTCGAGTCGGAAGAGCCGGAGCGAGCGCGCGAGCTCGGTTGTGAAGAGGATGAAGAAGACGGTAATGGTGGTGGTGGTGCCGCTCTTCGACCCCCGGGGACGAGTGCGGAAGGTAGATCGGATCGGGGAGGCGGTGTAGAGGGGTAACCCGATGTGGATGCCGAGGTTGAGGGCCGTAGTGGAGCTAAGAAGCCGCTGGGAACAACCGAACCTCCACCCGCTTTTGCCCCGGGTTCGAAGGACGGTACAGCCGGGAAAGAGTAGTTGGAACCGCTCAGCTTTTCGAAATCGTCGAGGCCGGGGAAGCGACTGTCGAAAGTCGCACCCGTCGGGGACGGCGACGTTTCATTCGACCGAGCGCTCGAACTGGACTCGAAGCCGTTTCCCGCTGCTACTCCATCATTGTAGAGCTCGTTCCGATCGTTCAACGGTGGAATGACAGGGGGCGCACTTCCTGTTCGTTCGACAGCTTTGTCCGAGACAAAGTCGCCTCTCCTCGTCGCCGAAGATGACGGATCGAATCCGTCGAGATCGGGAGTGTGCAGTGCTTTCGGTGCGGCAGCATGCCGCAGCGCCATTGGTAAAGGGACCGGACGTGGTATTGAGGTGTGAGCTGCGCCATTCGTCGGCCTCGCGTTGTTCATGGCCATTCCGGATGCTCGCAAGTTGGCCAGTCGCTCCGTGATGGAAATGACCGGAGCAGGGGTGGCCCCGACTCCAGAGGATGATCTGCATTGCAACATGATCTCAATGGGTCAGTAATCCGACAACTTGCTTATGCAGCCCAAAGCTAGCATTCACTGCTCACCCGCCGGCGTGAACAGACGAATCAATCGTGTCGCGAGATGTCGAAGCTCTGGAGGTGCTCGCGGTCGCGTCGCTCCGATGCAACGTGTTCTGGCCCAGAGCCCCAAATCGATCGTTCCATTCTCGTTCCCTCTGTTCGAGCCATGCGATCATCTCGGGCTGTACGCTCGACATACGCGACAGTTGCTGTACGGAGGCGCGCGGGAGTGTGGAGGTGAACTCGTGTCAGCGCTCAAGGTGGGGGTGAGACACAGCTTTGGGAAGCAGGGCGTTCGAAGTGGACCAGCGCTGACCTGCTCGACCTCTCCAAACAGAGCCTTGTCGGCGGTTGACATGGTCTTGTACCCTGGATGTGCTCGTGCTAGTTTAGAGAACCTGTAGTCGAGCGAGAAGAGCCGAGTTAGCGACTTAGCCGCCGTCGTCATAGTCGGGGTCGTGTGGGTCGTCATCGTCGTCACATCGCGGATTCTCCGTCGAATACTAGCGCCTCTCGGCGCTCCACAACCGCCTCGAACACAACCCTTATCTCATCCCTCGACCATCTTCCCAGAGGACGTCCTATCCCGATAGCAGATCCCAAAGCTGACCAAGCTTGACACTCACTCGGCTCCCATCCTCGCCGCGACATACGCCGCCTCGATCTGTCTCGCATCCGACCTGGGCGGTTTCCCCGCCATCCATTGCTGGTGACTCGTATCAAACGCCTGTTTTGCTTTCGTCAGCCACGCTTTGACGGTGTGCGGCTGCGAGGTGAAGGGTGTGACGTCGGCTTGTCGCTTCAAGGTCGCCAAGGGCGTCGGCGCTCGCGAACTGCGCGAGTCATCGGCCATGTTGCTTTGGCGCTTGATGCGGACACGACGACCCACAGGAGGGATGAGGGTGTTTCCCCTGGAGAGGCGAACGTGTGCCTGCGCGCTCGCGCCGAGCGACAAAGTGGTGGATGGAGCGAGAGCCAGCCGGCGTGATCGACGACGAGGAACGGCGGCGTGGGATGTGGCCGAGCGCAGCCGAGCGCTGTAAGAGACCGGCGGCCCGCGTCGTCACACACTCACGCGCTCGGCTCAATTTCCATTCCCAGAAATTACCCGAGAGCTCAGGGAAAATGCGGTTCGCTTTTAGTGATTGTCATTGACCATGGCCACGTTGGTGGTGACTCGTATTGTCCATCGAGTTGATTGACATGCGGTCTTGACAATTGTTCCCTCAGAAGGCAGGGTTTTCGTCTCATTCCGCCGAGCGGAGGTCGCACCCGCTCAGCTCCTAATCTGCACTGAGAATACAACAAACCACCCCAAGTGGCGGTTCCGCCTTCGACTCCTGTGTAGTCTCATCCCTGCGCCTGCCTCCTCATCCTCTCCTCCGCAGCAATCCTGACCCTCTCCCTCCTCATCTCTACTTCCTCCTCCTCTATCCACTTCAGATCCCTCACCCTCGACGCCAGACTCTTCTCTTCCTCCTCTTCGTCCAATCTCCTCGCAGTCCGCTTGGGTTCCTCCTTCTCTTGTTGAGAAGGATCGGGTTCCCAGGCTCGTGAACGAGCGATCAGTCCTTCCGGCGTGATGAGGCCGTGTTTGGTCTCGTATTCGTTCAGTTCGCGATTGAGTAACGAATTGAGCTCTTTGAAATCATTGTCACTGTAGAGAGGGAAGGAACGAGTCAGTGTATTGCCTTGAGAGGACAGTCGGAAGACGTATGCAGCAATTGCGTACTGAGGACCGAACCGATTATGCGCTAGTTCGTGCAGCAACACTTTTCGAACGTCCAGATAGGCCCGTGTACCTGAAGAGAGTATATTGGGAAACATCTCGTCAAGTCGCGGTCTTTTCCAATCTGCCCTCACACGAACTGGCACAGACCTGACAGGTCGTCGGTCAACAATCGCAAGCAAATCTCTTGTCCTGCGTTCTTGTTCAAGCCCAGGATGGTCGGATCCTTGAGGGGATGTAGCTCGGTACTGGTGGAGTTGTATGGATTCCTCTCAGTAACCCCTTCTTCGACCAAGGCTTGCACCACCGCCTGCTCCGTCTCGGTAGTCAAACTACTCACAGCGTTCCCACCACAAATCGATGCTGCTTCATCAACCACTTGACCCCCGGATCCTGATCCAACTTGTCCAACATCTTCTTCCTCGCTTGCTCCGACGGGACCTGCGGTGGGAAGGGTGCGATCCTATGGAACTTGTACATGTCCCCTTGATCCTCGATCGTGCCGAGACTGGCGAATTTTGCGGAACCCGTCTTGGCTACGGGAGGTGGTCTGTGGGCCTTGTGGTATTCGAATGCGGCTCGTTTTGATGCTTGAAGCTCGTCACGTTGTTGGAGTTGCTTGAGTGAGTCGAAGTGAGGTCCTATCAAGAGCAGCTTGATCGCTGACGAAGCTGAACTCGAGCTCGACGACGACGCCGAGGTGCCAATGAAGGTGCAGAGTGTTACGTCTTGGTTCGTGGTATCCAATTTACGACCTTTCATCAAGAGCTTTTGAGCCGACACGGGCACGTTGAAGTGCTGTTCGAGTTCGGCTTGGAGCGAGGATAGGGTCGAGGATGTCGTCATCGTCACGAAGTGCGATTGACCCGAGTACGAGATGCTCAGGGTGAGTTCGAGTGACGTTGGCATGATCGCATCCGTCTCTTCCATGCTCAAACACAGGGCGATGTGGGTGGCCGAAACCGGTGTGAAAGGGAACTGTAGAAGAGAGTGAGTGCGAGTCGAGGCTTCGTCAGCGCGCGTCGAAAGGCGTTGAATGTTGATCTCCGAATCGCCGAACGCCGAACGCTCGATCCGGCCGACCAACGTTCAACTCTGAATGGCTGCATTTGATGACTGACCCGCTATGCAAAAATCGCAGCAAGACTTCCGATATGACTTTGCCATTTGCTTGTACGCGCGCTTGTAGTACCTTCTTGTTTGAGGGCCCGTAAAAGGCATTCCACTCAATTTTCCGGACAGACCCTCTGAATCTTTCGCTATGAAAAGTACGGATACAACATTGCCGCAACAGTACAGAAACGAGCTCGTCGAAACATCTCTACCTCACGGGTGCTCCCCCACTCGGTTTGGACTCCTTCATACGATCGATCATGGAATCCACCCCCGTCTCGGCGCCGACGGTCATGCCCGAGTTCTCCTCTTTCTTGATCCGTCTCGACTCGCCCATGAAACCCAAGTAGTACAGCCTCGAGCTCTCCCCACCTCTCGTGTTGGCAAAGTAGAGATCGATGGTAGAGACGTTGGAGAATCTGGCCAATCGGACGGGGTATTCGAGCGAATCGTGCGATCCTGACGTCGACTCGAGCAGTTCAAACTCTTGCGAGGTCGCGGTCGAGTTGACGTCCGAAAAGGTGAGACCATCGACTCGATTGACCCAGCATTTGAGGAGACGAGGTGCATTCGAAGCTCGCCCACCGCCGGTCCCTGGACATCGTGTGATCGGGATGAGTCAGCTCCTCGCCACGAAGCGGTCGAGAGTGACGAATCCGAGCGAGGTCATGACAAACTCACCAATCAGCATGGACTTGATCTTGACCAATTCAGTAAACTTGACATGGACCAAGAGTTCATCATCGTCGTCCTGGCTGTCGATCGAGCCTCCCGTCCAAGGCCCCCCACTCCTCGGGTTCAACGCATCGTCCGGTTCCCCCAGCTCGTCGTTCGCGGTACACACGTCCTTGCTGTCCCATGGTCTCAGCACGCGCGGTAACGAGTCGGGAAGGGCGAGGTTGGTACCGTAGCAGCCATGGTGGTCGATGAAGGGGTACAGTGAGATGGTCGAGGACGACGTCGCCGACGCGAGCGATTCCGTCACGACCGAATGATCCATGTCGACCGAGGTGAGGTCATCCCGGCAGTCCATTTTGCTCTCTGGTCCTATCCTGGCTTGGTGCCACCACAATCGCCGGGGTGGGCTACGGGTGCATGGCAGGAGCTTGCGAAGCGCGTGCTCAGCGATGGGGCGCGTCGACGTAGCGCCGCTCCTGGCGGTAGCGGTCCGTGCTCCGTACGCGGCCGAGGAGGTCTGTGCGAAAAGTTAAAACCCGGGCGTAAAGTCGGCGATCGATTGTCTCTGCTCTTCCATCTCCGCTTTCCCTTTCTACTCCCACCTCGTCGGAGCTGCAGTCCAGTCCACCTGCATCGTGCCTCTGCTGTTCCCTCCCCAGCTCGGCGTCGCACGCGTCTCCGACACGATCGTGTCCCGGTCGAAGCGACTCCGAGTCGTCCTCTATCTCGCTCTGCCGTTGCTCCTGGCCTACGGTCTACGGCGCTACTACCGCTCTTCACCGGTCGTCTCGATCAAAGACGATATGAGTATTCCTCGACCCAACGGAAAGGTCAAGTGAGTATCTCTCAAGCTCCGCCGTCCGCGTGGTCTCGTTCGCGCGACGTGCATTTGCCGCCCCACTTGACAGCAGCACCGCCGCGTCGGATTCCGCGGTGCGGCCGATCCGACTGGACTGACCTGAAACGAACGTACCCGCATCGGCAGTGTCGGCTACTTCACCGCATGGGGGATCTACGCAAGGGGTTACAAGCCCTTCCCGAACGTCGTACCCGTCGAATCCCTGACCCACATCTTGTACGCGTTCGCCAAGATCGACTCGGACGGCTCGGTCACGCTGAGCGATCCTTGGGCGGATGAACAGGCGAGTCGACGGGCTTAGTTGATGTTGCTGTGGAGTCAAGCTAATCCGGTTCATTTCAACAGATCCACTTTGATGGTGACGACTGGAACGAGCCGGGCAATAACCTATGTCAGTCTCCTGATTTGCCACGGCTTGACCCCTATTCCCTTGCAACTCATCACTCAATTTGCCTCTCCCCCCTGATGTGCAGACGGCAACCTCAAGCAACTCTACCTCCTGAAAAAGAAGAATCGCCACCTCAAGATCCTACTCTCCATCGGTGGATGGACCTACTCCCCGTCTTTCGCTGAGCCGTGCTCGACCCCACATGGCCGAAAGAAATTCGTCGAGACGAGCGTCAAACTGTTGGAGGATTATGGATTGGACGGGCTAGACATCGATTGGTGGGTTGTTTACTAATTGCACCCACTTCGGTTGAGGCTGATGCCATCTGTGTTGGTTCCATTAGGGAATACCCCAAGGACGACTCGCAAGCCCGTGATTACGTTGCGCTACTGCGAGAACTCCGCCTGGCTTTGGACGCCCATGCCCAGCGTAAGCGGTTGCAGCCGCACCAGGGATACGAGCTGAGTATCGCTGCGGTACGCATCTCACTCGCAATAGATCGCGACCCACATCGTCCGTGCTAACTTCTTCCCCACATGCGCAGCCATGCGGGCCCGAGCATTTCGAAAAGCTACGAATTCGCGAGATGGACCTTTACCTTTCCTTCTGGAACCTCATGGCCTACGACTACTCCGGTTCATGGGACACCAACGCGGCCCACCAGGCGAATCTGTTCAATCGCAACCCACAAGGGTTGTCGACTGATCGAGCGCTTCGGCATTATACGAGCCAGGGCGTCAGTGTCGACAAGTTGGTGATGGGAATCCCGTTGTATGGACGGAGCTTTTGCAATACCGATGGTCGTGAGTCATAGGAAGGCTTCTTCGAAGCGCCCGAAAGGACTACTTACTGTCATCGGTTCTGCATAGCCGGCTGCCCGTACAACGGTGTGGGTGAAGGATCGTGGGAGAAAGGTGGGTCTCGTTTTCACCAATCAGCACCGTGTCCTGGACGGTTGCTCATCCAACCCCACTTTCGCCAATAGGCACATACGACTACAAAGCCCTCCCTCTCCCCTCCTCAAGTGAGACCTTTGATCCCCACCTCGTGACCGCACATTGCTACTCCCCTTCAAAACGCGAATTCGTAACCTACGACAACGCCGTCTCAGCGCAAGCTAAAGCCGAATTCATAAACACCAACGGTCTTGCCGGAGCGATGTACTGGGAATTGTCGGGTGATCGGGACAAAGGATCGCCGGGTAATTTGGTCGAGTTGGTCGGGAGGACGATGGGCCAGTTGGATACGAGGCAGAATTGCTTGCTTTATAGCGAGAGCAAGTGGGATAACGTGCGGAAGGGCTTCTAGATTCTTGTGGCGGTTCTAGTGCCATCAAAGAGGAGTGAAACTGGATCGGACGCTGCTCTGCCCCGTCCCGGCCCTGCGGTCCCCGCGGCCGTTCGGTCGGGCCGAAGCACATAGGAGGTGGACCCTTGTGTACTCGGCTCGATTCAAGCTGTTATACAAATCAATTTATCATTTTACTTGACTAGTGGGCAGAGTGTCAGATAATAGTCAACACAGGGGGGACTAAACAAGTTATCGATAATGGAAAAGTAGAACGTTGTCTCCGTGGGTGAGATTGTGCGCAGTACGCAGTAAGCCATGTCTCATGTTCGGCGCACTGACCCCTTTTGAGCACGTACTCGCTGCCTTGACCTTCGCGCTTGCACCGAACCCTGCCAACTCCTTAGCTTTTATACTCTCAACAAACCAAACGGGGTGTTTTACCCAAAGTTGCCGAGGTTCACACGGCTAAAAACTGGTGATGCATCCTCTACCTCCTGCGGTTTACCACCGCCCCAAGGCGCCAAACACGCCCCAGCCTGCTGCATCCAGCACTTCCAAGACCGGCACGATGCTCAGCAGTGCTCGAAATAGCACCCTCTTCTCCCCGAGTCGTCGTGGAAAGACGACTGCCGACGGCCACTCACAAGCTTCGCCTGCCTCGCAGGCGAACGACTCGGCGTCGAAGTCGTGGGGTTCATCGACCCGGGCTAACCCTACGACCTCGTCGATCAATCTGGCCCAAATGCTCGGCTTGGGTCAGCAGAGGGATTCGATCACTTTACCTCGCAAACAACATTCGTCAGGATTGCAGCCTCACACGTTGTCGAGAGCGGACGAGCGCGAGCTTGGGGGCGCGAGCCTCGTTGAAGCAGGGGCCTCCTTCGAGCATTCCACGTCGGGACTCGGACAACGTGCCATCAATGCACCATCGGGAGCGAGTGATCGATCTTGGGATAACGAGGAACCTCCCACGATGAAGAAGAAGGGATGGTTTGAAGAAGTCTATGTCAAAGGGGCTTTGACACCACAAAAATACTGCGCGGTCGAACATGATGAGGCGGCCTATTGGCCCGGGTACTCGTCGCAGGTGAGGGACAAGTGAGTTTCCGCTTCAAACGGTCTGAGCCGAACGGACTCGTCCTGCTCAACCGAGCTGATTAATCTTGTGGGCGGCTTTCAAACTAGAGAAATGTTCCTGAACGCCATTCTGACCTCGGGCCAAGGATCGATCGAGGGTACCTGTGCCCATACCCCCAAACCGCCGAACTCGTCGACGGGTGCTACCCGACCGACCCTACCACCGCCGAAGAGGGCTTTGGATCTCGGCTGTGGACCCTTGTCGATCTGGAGCGTCAGCACGGCAAAAATACCTGGCTGGGAAGCTACGGAATTTGTTGGTGTGTCCATCTCGTAGGTAGTTGAGAGAAGAAGGGTGAACTCTGAAGCTTCTTGGTCAGGTCTCGACATCGTACCCTCGCAACTACCGCTGCAGTACCTTCCCTCGGATATCGCCGATCGATTGGCCTACGTGCAGCACAACTACTTCACCACACTTCCCTTCGAGGATGGAGAATTTGACTTTGTCAGGCTCTGTGACCTCGGAGCTAATATGCCCGAACATCAGTGGGACTTCGTCATCGAGGAGGCCACCCGGGTTTTGGCCGTTGATGGCGAGTTCCCCTCTACTATTCTACATCTCTGCGAAGTATTGGCCACTCACTTTGATACTTCGGTTCTACATACAAAGGGGTGGTGGAGATTGTGGACCGATCATTCCCTGTGCTTGGTAAACACATTGAAGGGGCAAACTCAAGTTCAGATTCCAAATACTCTGTAAAACTCGACCCCTTTGCGCGCGTGCAGGCGTGCATCGACGGAGTCTTTGACCGTCGCTTCGTCAATCCTTGTAAGAGTGCCCAAATAGGGACCTAAATCTAAGCCTGATTGACTCATCGCGAGAGGGCGCGCATGATCCACAGACAACATTCGTATCATTCCGACATCTGTGTGCCTTCACTTGCATGACGTTCAATCCACCGGTGTGTTAACGATCGAGGTCCCCTTCGAGCGGCCGCTTCCTGGCTGCAGCCTCGCCCCGACTCCATCCATCCAAGCCTCAAACAATGTTTACCACGAGGAAAAGACGCCTATAATCGAACCGTTTGCGTCCTGCCCCCCGCTGTACGACTTCTCGAGCATTCATCTGGGCAAGACAACGAAGATGCAAGCGCCGAACCTGGACTCGATAGTCATGGCGATAGAAGCGGACAGATTGACGGCATGCTCTTTTCGGCTTGCACACGAGGTGTGTTTCTAGGTAATCCCAATTATTAATGGCAAACTTGGTGTGGGAGCTGAACGCTTTTGTTCTGTTTAGGGTGCACTGGTCGAAATGCGCGAAGAGGACAGAAGGGAAGGACCTCGCCCGAAAAGTGCGAGCGAAACGCTTCGATTCGCAAAGCTGCGTTCCGAGCTCGTCGATACGATCCATGCGCACTGCGCAGATTTACGCCAACACGCCGATTTGGCTCGACTCTTTTCCGACCAGAGTATAGGGTGGGGTTGGACCTGCAAGATGGACGAGGAAGCCCTAGCTCTACAATTGAGCAATCAGCCCTTATTGGAGGAGCGCATCGCCGAATGCGTGAGAATGCTCGATCTGGCAGTACGACGAGAGGCGAGTCAAGGGATGACGAGAGATGATGTCGAAGCGGGCCTCGATACGGCGACGATGGAGATGCGCTTGGCGCATGCCCGCTTCGCAAAAAGGGAAGCCGAGCAAGAGGTGCGCGCGCTCGAGAGTCGGCTCGGGATCGACAAGCGTAAGGAGGTGTTGAAGCCGGGCGAACTCGGGACTGCGACCATGTGCTGCTGGGTCGCGACCAAGAAAGCTCCCGTGGCAATGCGGACATGAAGTAATTATTTGGGTTGTAATCCTTTGCAAGGAGCTCAATGTCCAAAACTGGGCCTGAATGTTTCTCAGAGCAAACAGCGACTCAGGGCCGGAGCAGCGATGCTCACTACACAGTAAAGCTGCTGATAGTCTGCGCAATGAAACTCTTGGCTGTCAAGCACTCATACCCCCCAGCTTTACCGGTTTCTTCACTCGCATAAATCTTTCTAAGCTCTGGAATTATAGATCATCCTATGATGGAACACTCAAATGAGCCCGTTGTGCCAGAGCTCTTCGATGGTGGGAAGGGACAGATGTGGGAACAGGTAATGAGAAATCGCATGCCATATATCATCAGGATACACCCTAAGCCAAAGCACACAGTACACATAAATTCAAAACCTTGGATCTATATAAAATAGCGCATGGCGACCTAGATCGTGTAGTAGAACTCGGGCGCGCGATCACCCATGTCACGCAACTCCTGGACGGTGAAGACCTTGCGCTGGTGCTCGGGCAAGGCGTTTTGTTCGGCGTGCCATCGGTCCTTGGCCGCATTCGAGCGCTTGAGCAAGAAGGCATACACGCATGAAGCGATGATCCCCATGACCGAGGTGGCGATCAAGACACCGTGGCCCAAAAGGTACTCGGGGGCGTCCACCGTGCGGTAGACATTTGACGAGATGATGCCACCCAACGAGGCAATACCGAGAGTGAGACCGGTGCCAACAGCGCGCTTGGTCGTACCGCTGAGGTTAGTCGAAAGCCAAGAGATCATCGAAGGAACACCTCCGTAAGCACCGGCGGCGCAGAGGAACAAGCCGAAAAACTTGACGCCGACGGGGGCCGTGGGGATGATGTTGATCGTGAAGCCGATGAGGCAGAGGACTTGAGCCGCAAGGAGGAAAGGGAAACGGGTGCGGTATCGATCGGCGTAGACGGATGTGATGAGGACGTAGGCGCAGGCGAAAACGTACATCGGGACCGTGAGAAGCTGAACTTCGGTCCGAGTCCACTTGCCGAAACTATTGATCAAGGTTGGGGCGAACAAACCGACACTGTGGTAGAGAAAACGCCGCTTCAGTTTTCGAATCACAAGGAGACGCAGCAATATCTAAAGCTTACCTGTACAAGGGTACGAGGATGGAGATGTAGAAAAAGAGCGCGACCCAGCAGTGGTAATCCGTGAAGGCGCTCTTGATTTGGGCGACGTGGAGCCCTTCGGCTTCGCCGACACTCGAACCATCGGAGGCCTTGCGCCAGACTAGCCATGCTCTGTAGCGAGTGAGGGAAGAACAGTTTCAGCTTCTTGTGTTTCCTTTGATTCGATCAAGCACGTGATGGATGCAGCTCACCGCTCGTCCTCGGTGAGCCATTTGGCCTTGGCTGGAACATCGCTAACGCAGAAGAAGGCGAGGCCTCCGGCAAGGACGGTGAGGAGACCCATGATAATGACTATGTAAACACAAGCTCGTTTGGCTCAGTTTTGTTGGATTGATTGATGCTTCGGAGCTGCCTTGCACAACTCACAAATCCAAGCCCATCCGCCGAGGCCGGCGGTACCGGCCATGAACGAGATGCCATACGCCAATAAACCTGCAAAGGCACCGCTGCATAGAAGAAGAACAGCCAAATCAGCTTCGCCCCTATACCGGAAAAAGTAGGTAGGTTTGATCAATCATCCTGCTCACGCCATAGCTGAGAGCGTGTGCAAGGAGAGCAGTAGAGTCAGCAGGCACGCATTAGGATACGTCAAGGCGGTCAGGGCGCCCAAAACTTACTAGCTGCCGAGAAGAAGATCGCAAGACGGCGCTGGTAGATGAAGCGAGGGTAGAAGAACGACAGGTAGAGAGAGACGCCGGGGAAGAGACCTATACGACAATCAAGTGCGCTCATCAGTGCCTACGAGAGTCTTCAACTGCGCGGTGATCGTGACTCACCAGCTTCGAAAGCCCCAAGGATGGTGCGGCAGATGGCGAGCCCGGCGTAGTTCTTCACGATACCGGACAGCGTCATGGCGATACCCCAGCCGAGGGTGATGAAGGCGAGCCAATAGCGTGGGCGAATCTTGGTGAGGGCCAGGTTGGATGGAATCTCGAACTAGAGGGGGTGAGGGCGGAAGAGGCAGCGGCGACGAGTTAGTTCGTACACTTCTCAGACATGTACAGCGATGCAGATGAGATAGGAGCGGACCAAAAAATAAGTGATAAAAAACAGTGAAAGACAGGTTGCGTATTGTTGTGCAGAGAGTCCAAGATCACGTTCCAGGCCGCTACAAACGTTTGAAAGGGGTTGAATGCGGCGCGGGCGTCAGATCGTGAGCATACCCAACATTTGTTCCGGGGTGGTCTTGACTTACCTCAATCGAGCATTTCCAATGGCTCCTCGATCCATAAATGACAGTAAGTATAACAGCGCAAGAATGGGCAAGATCTGAGAGGGAAGGGGGGCGCGAAGGTGACGTGGACGAGTTGGGGGGAGGGGGGATGGGGTCAGGTTGTAGCGCTTTAGCTGCGCACGCTCATCGCACCGCTGCATGGGAGATAATGTGGGCTGGTCAACTCACCCTCCAGTCAACCTTTCGGTACAGCTTGGCCTCTTCCTCGGGGGTGAACTTGACGTCAGGCTCGCGAAGACGACCTTCGGGGATGTTGGCATCCTCGACCATCTCCTGCTCGAGCTTGAACTCAACGAACTTCTCTTCGTGCGTAGTTTGTTGCTTCATCTTGGGCGGTCTGAAGGATAATGTCCGGTGTACAAGAGACCAAGCTGCTCTAGTTGAGGAGTGATAAAGGGGAGAAAGAAAAGTAGATGTGGCTAGTGGAGAATTCTTGTACCCCACGTCCGAGACGACGATCGGCAATCGCGCCGGTCAGCCTGGTCGATAAGGCGAAGCATTGGCGAGTTTGCGGGGCGCGGCCGCCCTCGAGAGGCGGGGGAATGCAAGAACCTGGGGGGGGGGGGGGAGGTTACCGACTAGTTCCGATTTTCTCCATGTATCACTTACGGCACGCCGCTCCTCCAGTGCGCAATCGACCCGATCAGACAAAACGCCAAGCCAAACTCATTTGGCGATCACTTGGTCGCGGTCGCGACTTCCCAGTGGCGCACGGGTCCCCAGCATCGTCGCGCACAACCCAAAAAATTGGTGGCTGTATCGAATGCCAGGAAAGGTGAGCAATGTGCACAAAGTTTTCTTTGGGGTGCTGTCACGTTTTACCGGAAAACAGTACTGTCCACAGCAAGGTCAGGCGGAGCCCGCAATAATTCCTCGCGTTGAAGCCGCCAGTCTGGTGTTTGAGAAACTTTGACAGCGTCGAGGAGCGCTTGACCAGGTGAAGCGTTAGGCGTCGCGAGCGGCGTCGACGCCGGTCAATAGACTTGCATGATCAAGATTTGCCCTTTGCTGCTGCATAATGTTCCTCTACGAGTAGATTTTACCCTGTACCCTGGTAGGTACCTACCTAATAAGCATCATCTTGAAGGGCTGGGATCGCTACTACTGCCTGTGCAGATTCATCGGTCTGGTGAATTTCCAGCCAACGCGGCGTGAGGACTCCGGATACCCTGGATCACAGAGTTTCGGAATTAAGTGGATCCCTAGAAGCCAAAAACGTCTAGGTCCTGCGCCAAACCCTGATTCGTCAAACCGCCAAGGCTGCGCCGTCGAGGGGCTGACGCCGATTCTCGAGCGCCAAGAGTTTCGTCAATACGAGCATTTCCAGCGACTTCCGGAAGTCCCTCCCCCTTTGCCCCGCGCGGTTCTTCCCGATGAGTCGATTTATTCGGGATAAGAAGAAGACTGCACCGTGGTTTAGGAACTCCTGCTGGAAGACTTAGAGGGCTAATGCAGCCATTAGCAAGTTTACCTCAGCGCGACTCGGAGTGGGGGAAGTTGTAAGTGAGAAAGCGGGGCGGCGTTCTCGAGAGTGCCAAATTATCCGAACGAGTCTCTGCTTCGGACTCGCTCTACAGAGCCCGTTGCCGCATTTCGGACCTCAGGCAATCTGATCGCTGTGTGACATGTACGCGGTAACTTCCCCAGGTGCTTTGAGAGGGCGGGGTCCTACCACTCGGCAGAAGCCCGATAAGGTGACCTGGATGCGGGGTAGATCCGCACTTTTCCACTGTTTCGATTCCTGTTTGACCAGGTTTTATGCAGGTACTTTAGATACCTCGTTTCCTAGACAGAGATGTTTGCTGTGTCGCTCCACGCAACAGCGTAGAATTAAATCCGCAGGGGCAGCTTCGGAGTGAGGCCAGGAGACTTCACTCCGGTCCGCCGAACCCGTGCAACAAATGAAGCTGTATTGCATGCTACAAGTACGATTATTGTTCGGCTACTGCCGAAAGAGCAAACGTACGCCATCAGAGGGCCGGTGCCCACGCCCCATGATCACCGTCCGATCAAGCCCTCGAAGCGAACTGGTTCGGGTCGTTGAACTCGGCCTTTCCTCCCTCGAGACTCGCGTCCCTCTCCTTGAGCACGTTCAAAGCCCTGTTCAGGCCCTGACGCGAGCCCACGACCGTTCTCCTCTGCTGCACACCCTTCCTCAACGTATCCAAGACCTGAACGGTCGTTTGCCAATCGATGCACGCGTCCGTGACCGATTGCCCGTAGGTGAGCCCGACCGGCCCTTCGGCGGGGATCGATTGTTTGCCAGCGACGAGGTGCGATTCGATCATGACGCCGATGATGTTGGATGCTGTTCGGCTGTTCCCGAGTTGTTCGGCGATGGAGTCGGCCACGATCACTTGGCGTTCGTGCTTCTTTTCAGAGTTGCCATGCGAGCTGCAGTCGCGATGAGATGGATATGCGTGAGCACCAGCTAGGGATGCAGTGTGATACCTTCTACTGGAGTTTCTACTGGACTTACCAGTCGATCATGACACGAGGGGCCAACTTAGCCTTGGCCAATGAAGCAGCGCACTTCTCGACGTGGTCAGCGGAGAAGTTGGGGCCGGAGTTGGCGCCTCGGAGAATGACGTGGCACGACGGGTTGCCATCGGTCTCAACGACTGGGGGAGACAAACACTATACGTCAACCTTATTTTGCAGGGCGGTTGAAGCCTGTGTCTGCACGTACTTGCAGAAATGCCCTGCTTGGTGACGGACAGGAAGCTGTGCGACGAGGCGGCGGATCCAATCGCGTCGATGGCGATTTGCAAGGAGCCATCAGTGCCGTTCTTGAAACCAACTGCAGTGTGCAAGATGAATGTTGAGCAAGGGATCTGAACATGATATGAGCTCTGGCCAGCCGCACTCACTTGGGACCGAAAGACCGGAGGCTGTAAAGGTGGAAAAAGGCCGAGTTTGGTCAGCTGTGCCAATTTGCAATCAGATGAAGTTTAAAGCACGGACCCAGCTCTCGGTGAACCTGCGACTCGGTTGCTGTTGTGTCAAGGAGCACCGTTGTCAGTACGGGCTTTTCCGCCCTGAGTTCTCCACCTGGGGAGACTGACTTCGCGCGCCAATAGCACCCCAAGAGACGAGATCTCCAGTGTACTGCGGCGAGATGGTATCCAAGAATTCGCACCCGGCGGGGAGGCCCATTTCGGCCTACGGGATGGGGGAAAGAGACAGTAAGTGAACTGTCAAGCATGAAGACTTGGCCGGTCGCCGCCGCTTACGATCCCGAGCAAGAGGCCACGCGCGAGTCGGAGACCCTTGTTGATTTGGAACGAGCCATTGAGTTGAGGGTCGTTGATCAGTCCTTTCCATCCGACGGTCGTTCGAGGCTATGTGGACCACGGTAGATCAAGAGGGTGGTCAGCGTAGAAGATCGGCGACATGCCGCTGACATCTTGAAGAGCGTACCTTTTCAAAGTAGACGCGCATGAGAATGAGCAAATCCTCTGCAGCTTCATCGGCGTAGGCTTTAAGAAGCTTGGCGTATTCGAGAGCAGCTTGAACATCATGGACAGAGCAGGGTCCGACGACCTAGCGGGAGAGAGAGGAGCCAAAAAATTGGGTCAGGGGCTAAGACACCGAACGCTCGACTACTCGCTTCGCTCGTCGAGACTCACGACCAAGAGGCGATCGTCATGGCCGGCAACAATCTCCTCGCACCCTTTACGGCCTTCAAGAACGGTAGCAGCAGCTGTGATAAGACCGAGTTTCGTGCGTGTTAGTCATCAGAGTATCTCGCAGATCGAGGGGGGGGGGGGGGGGGGGGGGGGGATGGCGGCACATCCCGTATGTTTGGACTACACAGAAGGATAGAGACTTGAGATGCGGAAGACAGACCTTTCATGGTCAAGGGGTAGTCCTCCATCAGGATTTGAGGCGGGATCAGGGGTCGAATCGATTTGATGCGCTTGTCGTCGAGGTCATTGAGGCCTGCAGCGAAGAAAGAAGATGAAACGTCAGATACGCGGAACGGTGCATCTCGAAAGTAGCTCCCATTGCGCAGTATATAGTTCGTCGAATGCCACAGGACCGCGCGACCTGGCATGGGAAGAGCAAGCAACGGTGTACTTCTCGTCTAAGCGAGTGAACGGCTCGGTTCGCTGGTGAATGCAGCCACCGCGGAAGGGGGAAGTCTACGCGGAAAGCACCTGTACCTTCTCGAACCGTTCGTGCAGGCGTAGAGAATCCATTTGAGCGAGCCATCTTGTGTGAAGTGGTGGAGTGTGTGTGTGTGCGCGAGGAAGAGCGTTCGCGGGTCGTTCGAGTCAACGGGGGCTCGAAAAAAAGTCTCAAGTCTTGGTTTCCGATCTCCCGTCTGCGGCAAGCTGTCAGGAACGCGGGTTCGCGCGCGGCCGCGCTGCGGGTCTTCAGACGACTCATGGCGTTTGTGGGCGGCTTTAAGTCGAGAATTCGAGAATTTTGGAAGTTTATGGCACTACCTAGAGTTCATGGCATTCCCGAGCTGCCCATTTGAGCATAAAAATCTTTCTTTCGGACATTTGGGAAACCCGAAATGTGATTTAGGGATTCGTCGCTCGATGCACATTCAGAAGTTGGAGCAACTTAACCGTCCAATTCACGTCTGAGATGTGACTGAAGCCGCAGGCCGGGGGTTGACGTCATCGGTCTCCAGACGTCCAAAGCCCGACGTCCTCCTTTCACTCCATCTAAGCTCAAGCGATCTCAGAGTCGTGTTCTTAGGATCAGCCACTCCACATGCTCCTCAGTACACCTACCCCCCTGCGCAACACTCGAGGAGACCTGGCTCAACATTGTGCACTGCAGTGACTCCTCGGAGACGACGGATCCGCAAAGAGGCAAGAGCGCAGGATGAGAACAACCTGGTTTCGTAGCACATGGGGCAGCCAAGACTGCACTTCAAACGAAAGATGTGAGTGAGCCTACGGGTGCATACGGCTGACGAAGGCATGCTCGCAGGTTGTACACAAAGTTGCGCTCTTCAGCCCGGATTTTGTTCGCAGATCCAAGGTTGGGTGTCAGCAAACTTCTCCCGTTGGACATGTGTATTCACTTTGACACCAAACAGCTGGCTATTTGTAATGTTTGATATCAATCTCTTCTCATATCAACTTGCCTCGAACGGACGACGGATTTGAGACGTCGGTGCAAAGTTCCGACAATCGATCCGAAACCCAAAGGTTGAAAGCTCCAACGTTCGACTTGGTGACGACCCGAACACAGGGCGCCATCTCCCCTCCTTTGTTCTGTTACTCGAAGTACCAAGTCGCCCCCTCCGCGCCGCAACAGCATCAGCTATCGTAGCGCGGAGAGCATCAAAGCTGCGGGAGCGGAGCGAGCTCTTTTCGGTTGCGACTCGCGGGTCCACGTCATTCTTACCGACAAGCCACACCTGCGTGAAGATATTGCTCAGCTCCAGAGTCTTTTCTCCAAGACGGGCACGCCGACATAATGCAGCGGCGCTGGATGTCGAGACGTTGTCGACGCTTGGACCTCCTCTCGGCCATCGGTTTCTTGGCAGCTTCCGACGAGAAGTTTCCATCATCTCCAACCAGCCAAGGTTGATCAATATAGAACAATCGCGGGATTTGATCCAAGATAACAGGGTCCATCCATACACACTACCTACCCAGCATGTGACGACTGGTGCAGCCGAACCCGGCATGCATCCCGGCCACCCGAGCGGCGGGGTTTTCGGAGTTGTGAATATGGGAGGACACGGCGAACTCGGGCGCAGCTCGCCATCCTCCCTCTTGACCTATCGTCGAACGCTCTTCACCTACGTCACGCACAGCCCATCGTGGCTTCTCGCACCTCCTTGAAATCTGCCTTCTCCGTCTGTGCCGCCTCTATCCACAGTAGCAGCATCAGCAGCAGCATCAGCAGCAGCACTATCCGCCGCCGCCTCCCGATCACTCTCTGGTGCACCCTGACCCAACTTTCTCCGCTATCGGCTCGCTCCTACTCCTCGCAAGCGAACATGGCCTCCCCTTCGACCTCACCCGCACCCCCAGGTGGAAAATGGAAGATCGCCATCATCGGTCAGTCCCACTCTCGAGGCCTCAGGAGGGGCTCTTTACGGGGATTCCCCAGCGCCGGCTGATCGGTTTCGCAATCTCCCCACTCGAACAGGTTCGGGCAATTGGGGCAGCGCGATTGCGAGGCTGATCGGCATCAACGTACAGGCCAAGCCCCATTTGTTTGAGCCCGAGGTCAAGATGTGGGTCTATGAGGAGCAGGCAAGTTTATCTCCGCGCTTAGAGTGGAACCTTAACACCCATTTACCACGGCCGTCCCAACCACATCTCCGAGTCCACCGAGGAGCTTTCACGTTGGCGAGCTGCGTGGTCCATTGCGTGGTCCATCGTAACTAATCCTGCTCCGACACTTCCCCATCCAGTTCAAGGGTCGATCACTGGTACAACAATTCAACGAATCACACGAGAACGTCAAGTACCTGCCCGGTATCAAGGTCCCGCACTGCGTCGTCGCCGAAGCCGACCTCGTCCGCTCGGTGCAAGGCGCCAACGCGCTCGTCTTTGTCACCCCTCATGCCTTTGTTCCCGGTATTTGCAAGCAACTCAGGGGCAAGATCGACCCCAACTGTCGAGCATTGTCGCTCGTCAAGGGCGTTGAGGTCTCGGCCGAGAATATCTCCATTTTCGCCCAGGTGATCGAGGAGCAGCTCGGGATCCCATGTGGAGCCCTTTCGGGTGCCAATATCGCCGACGAGGTCGCGAGGGATGCGTTCGGAGAAACGACGATCGCTTGCAAGGACCAACAAGAGGGTCAAAGGTGGTACGAGGCGTTCCACACCCAGACGTTCCGCGTCCAAATCACAGATGACGTTGTTGGCGTCTCGTTGGCCGGAGCGCTCAAGAACGTCGTCGCTATCGCTGCGGGGGCTTGTGATGGGTTGGGATGGGGCAACAATGCCAAGGCAGCTATCATGAGGTGTGTTCATAATGTCCGATCAGAAGAGTTTTGTTGACTGACACCCCGGTTTCGGTGCAGGATCGGACTTCTCGAAATGCGAAAATTCGCTCTCGAATTCTTCGATACCGCCCGACCAGAGACCTTCGTTCATTCGTCAGCCGGGATAGCCGACTTGATCACGTCGTGTCTTGGTGGGAGGAATCGCAAGTGCGGAGAAGCGTTCGTCAAGACTGGCAAGGTGAGCATCGTATGGTTCGCTTTCGGGGTGCTCGGGCGATCAGAAGCCCGATCGGGACTGAAACAGGGCTGGCTCTTACCTTTATGGTTTGCAGTCTTTCGATGTGTTGGAACGAGAGATGTTGAATGGACAAAAGCTTCAAGGCGTTCAGACAGCGAAAGAAGTCCATGGTGAGTTCCTTCAATGGTACAATCTTACTTAGTCGAGCTAACGAGTGCACAACTGTTCTTCACAGAATTTCTCAAGGCGCGGGGGAGAGTTGACAGCTACCCTCTCTTCCACGCTGTGGTGAGTTCTGATGAGGATACACACCTCCCCAGCCTTCGGGGAAGCCAAGCTGACTCTGCTTGAGCCAAATTCTTGAGCTCACAGTACAATATCGCATACGAGGGGCTTCCGCCGGCAAAGTTGACTGCCCGTCTCTGATCCCGGCTCCTATTTTTTGGACGGAAGGATACGATATCATAAGGATGTCATTTGCCTTTTGTTTACAGGCTTTTCGTACAATTTTGTTTCACGACCTCGCCTGTTCCCTCTCTTGCAAATTTAGACACGTTTTCAGCAATAAAGATTCCGCAAATACCAGAGCAAATTCCATCCCATTCTATTCTTACACCAGATCCCCAAACAGCCTCCTCGTGTTCTCCGTCGTGATACTCGCCACTTCCTCCAAGCTAACTCCCTTCAACTGCGCGACGACCCAAGCGACCTGGCCTGTCGAACTAGGTTCGCTACGCCCTTTGACACCTTTACCTTCAACCCAACGTTCTTTCTTCATTTGTTGCGGGATGTAGAGCGTTTTAAGCTTGGGGGGAGGGAGGATAGGTAAGGATGGGAGGCGTGAGAGGGTCGGATCTGGAGAGGTAGTCGAATGAACAACAGGGGTCAGTAATATTACGTGGAGAGGCGAGCATTCAATCTTGGGGTATGGGGTAGAACACGTACCTCGCACCATGGACAGTCGGATTCGACCATGAGTTTGTCTAGTGGTAAAGCTCTCACACATTCGACGTTCTCTTCTGTTTTCAGCGAGCATCTTGGAGGGGAGAAACGGTGAGGTGTCAGCCCGAGTAGTCATGATCGATCTTCGCGCATCGAGAATATGACTTGAAGCATACCCACTGTCATCAAGAAGAGCCGAGCGGACAAGCCAGGATGTGAGAAGTCAGTATCCGTCAGGGCGACCAGGACATCACACCCCACTAAGAACTGACTTTATCCCAATAAAATACCCCAACTCAATACAATCCAACGCCTCTTGCAAGCTCCCCGAATGAGAATGCACCACGCCCCTCAACCCTTGGCCATCTTCCTTCAAGATTCGGATGAAGTCCTCGTGCGCTGCTCTTGAGTGAAGGAATAAGGGTAGGTCAAATTTTCGCGCGAGGGTGAGTTGGGGTGGGAAGTGCCGCAGTTGGACGTCGCGTGGGCAGAGATTGAGGCGGTCGTAATCTAGGCCACATTCACCGACTGTTATTCGTATAGCATACGAAGAGAGACCGATCAGGAAGAAGCGTCAGCAGGGAGACTTTCATCTCGGCGCCTGATGACGTCAAGTGCTTTGAAGCGCGAACCTGCTTTGACCTTGTCCCTGTTGCTTTCAATCAACCAACTCAACGTTTCCAGGTATGCTTCAGGTCCTTCCTTGTCTTGATCGAATTCGTACGCTCGACACGGGTGACATCCGACGGTCGCGTAAAGGCCATCTGCTTCAACGAAGTCCCGATCAGCTCTCGACTCGGTCGTCTAATCCTCCCCTCAATCGCTTCCAAAACTGACCATAGTTCTGTGTCAACTCAATCACTTCCTGAGCTCCCTTCACACAATCCCCCGTCAACAATTGCGCCTTGACGCCGGCCAGACGAGCTCGTGAGAGAATGGCGAGGAAGTCCGAAGGGTGGTGTTGCTTGCCATGGTACGATCCTTGGAATACAGGGTCGCCTAGATTGGAGCCAATGTCTGTGAAATTTGAGAGAGGTCTGAGTTTCATGTTAGTAGTTCCGGAGAAGGCAGAAACTAGTCCAGACTGACCGACCAAGACGGGTGGTGGGGGTGAAACGTTTGGAGAGCTAGCAGTCACAGCTGCAGCTGTTGTTTCCGGGGCGGTCGACATTCGTCGCAAGCGACGAATGCCTGAGAGGAGAGTGAGAGTCTTACGAGACGTTTTGCTTGGAAGTGGGCGAGAAGGAACTCGAGATTCGACCAAGATCGAGAGCAGCGTGAGCACGAGAGCGACCCCCCTCCACACTGCGAACCATCGTCATCTCTCGCGCTCGCCCGTTCTGGCCCGTTGAGGCCAGCTTGATTGAGACTTTGTTCATCATCTTCCGACAGGACAAGCTATCAAACCTGATTGAAGGTTTACGGTGTAGGAGGTTGATGGGTGGACAACCGTCCAAATCGCTTTCTTCAGGAGGACTGAGCATTGGTTGGTCAGAGCTCGGAGTTTCCACCTTCCAAAGAATTCACATTCCAAAGCTCAACCAGAAGACTTCTACAACACTCGTACTGTACCCAAAAAAAACCCTTTTTCACCAACCCCCACCGACGTCTCCCATATTATTGATCGTGAATTGCATACCACTGTCCCACGGCCTTTGACCCTGAGGCACCACACGAGCCGTCGACGTCGAACGGAAAGTCGGAAATCCGCCGTCCGTTCCCATAGAAGGAGGCGCAGCCCAAAAGCCATCCCCGTCGACTCCTACACCGCCACCTACGCTGCCGTCCAATCCCATCGCTGAAGAGAGATCCAACTCTTGAAAGAACTGCGCGGACAGATCATCCTCAGCCGCACCATACCCGGTCGGGAAGGGCCAAGGGTTAGTCTCGAACGCCGAGACCGTCGGTGTAGCGGGTTCGTGGTAAGGTTGACTGCCGCCCATGTATTGGTTCCCTCCCACCGGTCCGGCTCCACCCGCAGTGCCACCGAGCACAATCGGAAGCGGAGAAGTTGAATTGTGATTGAGTGGGAACGCCGATGAAAGGGGTGTACCCGGCGATTGGGGGAAGCCGCCTGAAGCACCCGGGAGCGCGCTGTAGTGATTCGTCGACGAAGGTACGAGTCCTCCAGGAAGGTGACCCGACTTCTTGGGGATGTTACGTGTCGGAGGGGGCGTCCCTCGATGAGGTGCGGATTGGGTGTTGAGCGAGCGAGAGATGCGACGCAGTACGTCGGCGAAGGATTCGACGGGCGTGTCGTCTTGCTCCCCATCAAGAGTGGCGTCGCCACCGGATGCGGCGAGAAGAGCTTGGGCTGCTCGCCCGGTTCGACGAGACCTGTGCGAGACGCACCAAATCAGCATGAGGCGACCAGCGTTGGGAGCTATGCACTGAAAGCAGACTCACTCTTCGGCTCTGAACAGACCGTTCATTATCTTGGCACCCTGCTGAACAACCACCTGCAGGCTAGGCGAGCAAATATTCCCCGAGCCTTTGGTGAAGATCTCGAGCGCCAACAGTAAAGCCCTCCTCTTCGAATCGATCTCTAAATCCGAGGCATCCTGATCGATCGACATGAACAAATCATTGAAGAGGACCAAGGCCGCGCCCATGACGTGGCTGTACGAGTACCAAATGTCTCGTGTGGCATCGGCTATGTTGTGCGTCGAGATGATGACGATTCGCGCCGATTTGAGGCACGCATCGGTCGAGGGTCGATATTTGGCTTCGGAGTAACCTCGAGTCGAGAAGGGGCGATGGAGGCGAAAGATACGGTTGTGGATTCCCTCGATCACGAAATGACGCTGGAAGCGGAGCATCGGTTGCTCGTTGCCGCTCGTCGAGCTTTCAAGCGTCCACTGATCGGGCAGACTTTCGAGGCTGCGGGCATTGTTGATGAGGGGAAGCCCACTAAGCCAGATGCACATGAGAGAAGACCGCAACAAAGAAGAACTCACATCGCCTTGTAGCCCCGATCGAGTTCCAACACCTTCTCGTACGAGTACGACCTCATCAATACGATTTCGTCAAAGCTCTTGCGCACCTGCCGAGCCATGGCAACCCTAACGCGATCCGACGACGAGTCCGTCAACACCGAATCCGGCGCCGGGTTGACTTTCCAATCGATCGAGCTCAAGTCGCTGTCATTGAGATTCAAAGGGTCGTCTGTGTCAAAGTGGAGGGGCGAAATTTGGTAGCAACGGTTCTTGGATGTTGCCCCGAGCCAGTCTTGGTAGACGAGCACGGCCCACAATCGTTTCGCGGTCTCGCGCTTGAACGAGCATTTGCCAGGTGGGAACGCTGGATCGTCAGGAGGCATACTGCACGCCCGTGGATACCAACTATCGCATCAGTCCCTTCTTCCCGATCGGATGCTTGGCTTGCCGCACGTACATCTCGGGGTTCGATCCAAGCAAATGCAAGCCCATAGCCTGAGCGAGTCGGATCGAGGCGGCGAGCCAAACCGCCATCTGACTCGGTTGTCCTCGGGTCGACGAGCATAACTGCAAGTACTGCGTGTATAGCACAATCGTCTACAAAGGCGTGGAACCTTGATCAGCGTTGAGTCTTTGAGGACGACTCTCATTGGCGTTGACCTACCTGAATAGAGCGGATCCTCGGGATGGTTTCCCATTCGGCGAGCCGCAATGCGCGCTGAGACGCGGCGAACCATCTTTCTGGCAGCACTTCGATCTCCTCTGGTGTGAAGGACTCGAGGGGACTGGGTTGGTCCGCTTTCGGTGGATCGAGCGATAGCGGGGATCGCGAAGCACGTGTGCTGTCCAGAGCGACACAGATGACCTGCGAGCGAACGGATTTGTGTCACCTCACAAGCATCTCAGTGTGCTCGGGCTCAGTCCACTTACACTCAGTAACAGTCCCAACCAGCATGGATCGACTTCGTCCTCTCGCCCATCGTCGCACAACCGCCAGAATGCATCAAGTTCAATCAAGAACGTCGGTGCGTGAAGGTGGTGGAACAACCATGCGACACTGCCAAAGTACAGATCGACGAGGTAATCGGTGCAGACCCTTTCGCTGGGGAGAGCTCGGATGAGCTGGTGAAGTTCCTCGGACCGCGCCTTGTCGATGTCGGACGAAGTGGCATCGAACTCAACGTTGAGGTGGGCTCGGGAGAGCGTCTCCGAAGGTCGCTCTGTTGCGACGATGGTCGTTAAGGCTTTGGTCAACTCAATCGAAGAAGCGCCGAATCGAGATGCGGTCGCTGTCGATTGTGGGCGGTGCGAACCAGCCGGTATCGGTCCTCGCTGGGGCCTGCCTCCCGCTGACGGGTTCGACAGGAGAGGGGGTCGAGTCCCCGCGACGGTTGCCGGCATTGTGGTCGAGGTAGAAGCCACGGCTTTGCGATCACTGCTACCGTCCTTGGGTGTCGCACCAAAAACGCCGTTCTCCAAGTTTAATGCGGCCTGTTCGACCTCCCAAAATGCCTCCTCTTGACCACCCGGTGCCAGCTCGCTGGAATTGCCGACCAGGCCAGCTCCTGAGCGGGGTGGGCCTCCCTCCTCGAGCTGCTGAAGCGCTACCCCAGCGGCTCGATCGCGGGAGGAGTAAGGTGTGAACACGGCCAGATTCGGGGGTAAAGCTCGCCTGAGAAAGTGTTCGATATGTTCGATGCGGGCCAGCGCTCGATCGAGATCGCTCGATTTGGCGATCGACGGGGGCAGTATTCCATCCTGCGCGCCCGTCAGGCCCGAGAAGATGTCCCAGGTACATGCTTCGGGTTGTTTCCGTTCTGTGCGAGTTCGACAGGAGAAGCTGGGATGAGTTCCCTCGGCACCCTGCGGTTGCTGTGGTCGACGGCAGCCCTGCGTCGTGGAAGAGGACCCGAGGCTGAAACTTGAAGGCAGCTAGGATGACGTACTGTCGCAAGGTCCACATATCGGCATCTGTCGATCACACTTGATCTTTCTCCTCTGCTCGACAGAACCGATGCATGGGAAGAAAGTAGGTTCGTACCAGCTGTAACTGCTCAGCCCCTTGTTTTCCCCTCTTACCCCACTTGGTGCTGGCTGCCCCACGTCATTCCACATGGACCGCCCGCTTACGAACGTACCTTGCATTCCTTACAACTAACGCTCACTCTGGCCCTCTTGGCCTTCCTCCCTTCGCCCGCCTGACCGCCCTCCCTCCCATACCCATTACTCCGTCTGCCCTCGTCGTCGTCGGATTCGTCATCGTCTTCCGAGGCCGAGGCCGGGCTGTGGGGCGCACTCGTCGACGGCAATCGCTTGCGGAGCTGCTGCATGACGACCTGTTTACGCGCACCACGACTCGTCCCCATCGAGGCTGATCCGCGGTTCATCGTCGACGTCGAGGGGGAGTCGGAGGTGGAAGCTGCCATTCCGGCTGCCGTACTCGTTCGTGAAGGTCCGTCATCGAGGAGCAAGGTGTTCATACAAGCGACGAGTCACGACGACGACGACGACGGCGAGAGCGGGAAAGGGATGAAAGCTCCCTGTGTCCCCCACCGCCGCCCGACGGCGCCTGCGCCCTCCAGGACCCCCAAAAGCCCAGCCAGAGGCGGCCCGCAAATTTGGACATTCTGGGGACCGGAAAATCGGCTAGGCAGCCCGAAAATTTGGACATTTTTGGCTCAAAATGGGTCGAGGCTCACCTCATTTTTGGACATTTTCCTCCCTTCGGTCGAACTCTGAAGCGCAGACCAGGCTAGCGGGAGGCTGGAGGCGCAGGGCATATATAGCCGGCCCAGCTTCGCGGCGCGGGTAACAGTCGCGCTGTTTTCGTTTGGAGCGCGTTATATTAGTACTAAGTGTCTGCATATGCGATCATTTATCATTTTTTGGTCGTCTCTCGCTCGGAACGCCGACTTGTCGAGCTACGTCTCCTCTCCTTCCTTTCGATCTGGAAGCTCTTTCGCCGCCGCCGATTGTCGTCGGATGCTTTGGAAGCGATCACCGAAACGGCACTCGAGGAGCTCCGGGCGTCAATTTAGGAGTCCAAGGTCGCCTTGCGTCTCTGTAAATCACCCAAGGGGGTTTTAGTGGTATGATTCTGATTCAGGGTCAATGAGTCCTACACTACTGGCCTAGCCAGTGTGCTTAATTGCATTTCCCCCGACTTTTCCAAAGACCATCACATGAATACAAAGATGAGATCCTATTGAAGTCCATTTCATTTTGAAAAGGCTCGTTGGCGGTCGCGCGGGCGGCGCTCTTGGTGCGCGCGCGCGACGTTTCCGGCCCGCGCGCGGCGGGAACGCAGTCTGCGCGCAGCGTAGAAAAATTTCTGAGCATTGTACAGCTTGTAGAGTGGTTTGGGAAATTATGCAACACTAGGCGGCCCTCATATTTGGACATTTTCAGTCAGAATCTGGAAAAAAATTGGACATTTTGCCTCGAAAAAGGCCGTTTTTAGACGGCCGCCTATGGCTGGGCTTTCGGGGGTCCTCGCCCTCCTGCGCCCTCCTGCGCCGTTGACTGATCAGGACTCGGGGATTACGGATTAATCTGAGACGGCGGCGTAGCAATCCGAACCCTCTGTTGTAAGCCCCAACTAGGGCTGTGGATGATAGAATTGACGTAAAGCTTGAATAAAGGTCTTCTTGGGTCTGCGAAGGAAAGTTGCAGTTCAGTCCAATCGTCTCAAGAATTTTCGGCGCATGTCGAATATCCAGCGGTCGACATCACGATATGCAACGACTCAGGGTGAGACATTTTCTGATAAGAAACCCAAAGCTTGGCTTCGGGACACCGAGGATTGTCTGGCCGGACTTGGACAAGTCTCTACGTGGACCCGCAGATGATCGTGTCCACCAAACAGGGGGTCCGAGCTCCGACAGGCGTTCGCCGGTGCATCTCTCAACTAGGTTTCAACCAGTGTGTATTTCGTTTGACTCGGTATTGACAGAAACATACCAACAAAGTCACATGCTGGTGGCCGCTGCAGGATATCTTCCTCTCTTCCACAAAAACCTCAGTGAAACCAGGCCATTACCAACTCTTTTCTAATCACCTTGACACCTTCTAATCCGAATTCCCTCCCGCCCAATGCTCCGCGAAAGGCTTCGCAGCGCCCCCCTCGCGCGCTTCTTTTCCTTCTTCTGTCTTCTTTAGAAATCACTCTCCACTCAACACATCACCGTCTAGTTGCATCCGGGAGACCTCGATACCAGAAAAGAACGCTTTCCTCTTTCGAGAGGTAGTGTAGCCCTGTCTGGATCTTGACGCTCCTTCGAGAACCGTTGATCTTGCTTAGTAGGAGGAGATTGAACCACACAGACTTCCTTTAATCACTCGTGCTCGCCTTAACACCACCTTTGGGCGTGTGTTCCCTACGCGGCTTGAGTTTCAATGAGTAGTTACATTCCCTTGTTTTTTGCAATCTCGTTGCTTGGTGGAATTCGTGTTGTTCCCCTGGTTCTTTCGTAGCGAGTGCGTCGTGTTCAATGCATCAGGAGAGCCGTCTGGCATGGTACACCTTGCTGAACATCACTCATCAAGAATACGAGCGATCACCAACGTCATTCAAAAATCATTATATCACAACAGCTACACCACTTCTCCCATCCCCTCCGGCGGCGGATCAGCCGCAGCCGCAGCCTCCTCCTCCTCCCCATCCCCCTCAAGTTTCCCCTTCTTCACCCCCTCCCCCTTCCTCTCCCCATCCCCATCCCCATTCTCAAGCTTCCTCTTCTTCCCCACCTTTACTTTATGACTATTCGCCTCCGGATTATCAAACACCCTCGTCGTAGTCAACAAGAACCCACCATGACCTAGACCGTTCATCTCGGGATGACATCGACCGGGGAGGACTTGATATTTCCTCAGCCAAGGTTCGGAGAGGGTAGGGGAGAGGAAATGAGGTGAGGTGCGTAGGGATTGATAGGCCTCGGAGAGGGTCTGGGGGCCAAGGGTGTAAAGAGGGTATGGTTTTAGGACTTGGGAGTAGGGTGGGTTTTGGGTTTTCATTTAGTACGTACGGCTTGGTGCGGTGAATAAATAACGATGGGTGCCGATCCGGCGATGTAAGGTAATAATCGATCCAACACGCCCAAAGGTTCATACGGAGTCGCCAAGATGACCCTGTCTCACGTCAAAGATACCCACAGACGTCAGCATTGATTCTTCCCTAGTGCCTGCCTTGAGAGTGAAGAACCCTATCGAACGGACCCATCGAACGCGCCCGCGAAAAAATCCTTCCTCGTATTCTCCATCAGCTCGAACGCCGCTTTCCTCCTTTTGATCTTGGCAATATCCCTCGAATTCTTGGTCTTTTCCAATACCGCTTGACTGACTTCCAGGGGAAGGTCGGCGGGAACCCAAGAAGGGTCGGTCATGCCCCAATGTAAGGAACCGATGGGTTCGAGGGAGGAAGGGGGGAAGTTGAAGGATTCGGTGATGTGAATGTCGGGTGGGGAGTCGAAATCGTTGATGATGATGAGACGACCTTGGCCTGAAGGAGCCGGGATTCGGATCAGCTTTCCGTTCACTTATCCCAATCACACGGAATATGCTCACCCCCCATCCGCTCAACGCAAGCCGAAACGACCATCCCATGCACGTCCTCGACAACGAGCAACCTCGCTCCCGGTCGCACGTTGGCCATGTTCATCATGTTGCTCAATGTGTCGGGGCGCAATTCACGGATCTTGGCCGATTGTTTCTCAAAGTTGTATTCGCAAATGTTGTGCACGGTCGGTTCGATGGGGGTGAAGACTCGGAGGTATCTGGGAGCCGCTCCCATATTGGGTATTGGGTGGGTGTCAAAATCGCTCGCCAGGGATGAACGAGGGTGGGAGAGAAGCTTTACTTTGCCTCCTTGCGTTTCAAGTACTTGTCCTTTGAGTACTCTGTCTTTTTATCAAAGTTGGCATGTTGCTGAATCTGCTTCTCGATAATTTGCTGTAGGAGGACGCCAAGTTTGAATGGGTGAGAACTCCGAGTCGTAGCGTCCGACGCAGATAAGAATTTGGCTCGACTGACCCTCCCTGACAATCCTTCGGACCTGAAAGCGTTGATGTCGTCATAGGTCAAGGACTGTGCCCCCGTCGCAGTAATCTCTTGGTTGTTTGCCTCGGTTTCCTCTGCGATAAGAGAGGTAGTGCACATCAGACCGAGGTCATTGTTATACTCTAGCATGAACAGGGTCAATTACCAATCTCGGCGACGACCTGCCGCGGTACCATCTTTAGCGCTCCATCATCGAGGATTTCGTACGTCGGCCCATAAGGTAATCCAACGAGATGACTGGCTTTGAAAGAGCCGTATTTACCGAGTGAGATGGTTCTGCGCGGCACATGACAAGACAGAATGAGCTCAGAGTCGCTCGAGAGGGAGACGGACTTGGGGGGGAGTTTGAGACACTGAGCTGGACTGACCCGCTGGGAGTGACTTTGACGGTCTTGACGACAGTCGAGGGGAGACGCAGGAGGACATTGTCGCCTTCTCGGATGACATGCCGGGGTAAGATCGGCGCAGGGGCGTCATCATTGCCGGCATGACGAGGAGCTGAGGTCGAGGTCGAAGCGAAAGCGGAAGCGGAAGCGGTTGCCGAGCCTGGAGCTGAGGTCGATGGAGAGGCCGTAGCTTCGAGAGTGGATGTTGACGGTGGATCTGTAGGAGGTGATGAGTTTGATGCGATTACGGTGTGCATTGTTGCGCTGCCAACGACGGAACAAGCTCTCTCACAAAGTCCAGAGCGAGAGCCGTGTCTGCGCTTGTCTGCGAGAGCGGCGAGGCCCTGGCGAGGCCCGGCGAGAGAGGACCCCCGAAAGCCCAGCCTGAGGCGCGTAGGTAAAATCCGTCAAAAATCCCGGATTTTGGACCTCATTTGTCCACCCTTTTTTGGTGTATTCGCCCAAAAATGTCCTTAAAATGTCCAGTACATCTACGCTCGTCCAACAATAGCACTAGAATTGCTTCAGATGCTCTACAACATCTACAAACTCGCGATTTTGGCTTTTCTAGGGCCAAAAATTTGTCCACTCTTTACCTACGCGCCTCAGGGCGAGGCTGCGAGAGCGAAGCGCGACAGAGCGCGACTGCACGACCACAGACCGGCCACGTCCTCCGCTTCTTGCCTCTTCCGCCGTCTACACCCGCCCGTGCCCGTCATCATGGTACGCTAGACTGTAGCTTGCCCAACATGGCAGCTGTCACTCACCCCCTCTCGGCTCGCTGCTCTGCCCCAGGCCCAAATCACGACCACCTCCCACACGGTCGAGCGCGACCTTACCAAGATGGAGCGCATCGGTACGGCCAGCTAGCCACTACAGCGCATCCCCCATCCCCCATCCTCCTCCTCGTACTCATACCCATCCCACCCATCCCATCCCACAGGCGCCCACTCGCACATCCGAGGCCTCGGACTGGACGCGACCACGCTCGAACCGCTCGGCAACTCGCAAGGCATGGTCGGACAGGCCAAGGCGAGGAAAGCCGCCGGCGTCATCATCAAGATGGTACAACAGGCTAGGATCGCTGGTCGGGCGGTGCTCATGGCCGGGCCGCCGGGCAGTGGAAAGACGGCGATTGCGATGGGTTAGTGTCAGATCGGGCCGTGCGGCTCGCACTCGGCACCCGTGTACAGCGTCGCTCAGTTCACCCTCACCTCGTCTTCCCCATAGGCATGGCACAATCCCTCGGTTCGGACGTCCCCTTCACCATGATCTCGGCCTCGGAGATCTTTTCGCTCGAAATGAGCAAGACCGAAGCTCTGACCCAGGCGTTCCGACGTAGCATCGGCGTCAGGATCAAGGAGGAATCCGAGATCATCGAGGGTGAAGTCGTCGAGATTCAAGTCGATCGAAGTTTGACTGGGGTGAGACTACCTTTTGGTCAGAGTTGGAACACCCTGGATATTATGTGACCTAACTTTGAAGGTTCGTCGTCGTCTCGCAGGCCTCGAAAACGGGCAAGATTACGATGAAGACGACCGACATGGAGACCGTCTACGACCTCGGCAACAAGATGATCGACGCCTTGACTAAAGAAAAAATCATTGCAGGCGATGTCATCGTCATTGACAAATCCACGGGCAAGATCTCCAAGTTGGGGAGGTCATTCACCCGCGCCAGGGATTACGATGCCATGGGAGCTGATGTGGGTTTCTTGCGCGAACCGAAGCCCGAGATGACAACTTTGATACCAAAGTGTATATTCCTCTCTCTGATGTGCTTTACGTCCGACAGGTCAAGTTCGTGCAATGCCCCGAGGGCGAGTTGCAAGTCAGGAAGGAGGTCGTTCATACCGTTTCGCTGCACGAGATTGACGTCATCAACTCGAGAACCCAGGGGTTCTTGGCGCTCTTTGCTGGTCAGTCGAGTATCCTTCTCACAAGGCCGTGCATGTTCCCCCAAATCCAGCATTTTCTGAAAGATTCGGCTGCCTCGACAGGTGACACGGGGGAGATCAAATCCGAATTGCGCGACCAGATCAACACCAAAGTCTCGGACTGGAGGGAAGAGGGCAAGGCCGAGATCGTACCGGGGGTCCTCTTCATCGACGAGGTGCGTCCTTGACGTCGTAGACCGCGAACAGATCATCTCATCTTACACCATAAACCCTACAGGTGCACATGCTCGACATTGAATGCTTCTCCTTCCTCAACCGCGCGCTCGAGACCGAACTCGCGCCGATCGTAATCATGGCTTCGAACCGAGGCATGACCCGGATACGTGGAACAAAGTACAAGAGCCCCCATGGGATCCCCGTCGATCTGTTGGACCGCGCTTTGATCATCTCGACGCAACCTTACAAGCCTGAGGATATCAAGGAGATTTTGTCGATTCGGTGGGTCTCGGTCTGCGATGGAGTTACGCGTACACTGGGTCTGAGAAAACGTCGCTGAATTGATCAAATCCGTGTTCGATCTCATCAGAGCACAAGAGGAGGATGTCAGTCTATCGGCGGCCGCGATTGAGATTCTGACCAAGATTGGGACAGAAACTTCGCTGCGTAAGCCAGCTTTACGAAGAGCATGTGGGCGGCAAACCTCGAGTCAACTTGCTGAACTGGATCATCTTTCAACCTATTAGGTTACGTGATACAGTTGATTACGTTGTCGAACCTGGTGGCCCGACGAAGAAAAGCAACAACGGTGGATGTGCCCGACGTGCGACGAGTTTACACATTGTACGTCGTGCTGTACCTTCCCAGTCGAACTCATTTTTTCGAGATCTGAATTGCTCCGTGCCGTCGATGTACAGATTCTTGGACGAGAAGCGATCGGTCGAGTTCCTCAAAGCTTCGAATGCGCTGATCGGGGAAGATGGTCAGGTCGAGCAAGTATACGCTACTGCTGCGGGGGATGCGATGGAGACCTGAGATGTAGGGAGGAAGCGCTGAGAAGGCGTGGGTGGGGGATGGAGGTTTTCTCCTTGTTTTGCATAAGAAGATGTCAATTAAAATCTCGAAGCCATGCGGCATGTACAGGATTTTCCGTGAGAGCGTTTCGTGGGAGGATTCTGTCAGTTGGTCGGCCCCGCGGCGGCTTCCGGCCGAAGCGCGGTGCCAAATTGCGGAAGCCGACGAGATCGCAAGAAATGGACTAGATTGATCCCACAACTCCATCCCGGCCTTCTTGCTTCTTCGCCACTTACTACGTACCAGACCTCCGTGCATGCCTTCGCTGTTCTCTTCGAACCACACCAACGACGAGTCGACGACGCGACTCGGATCCGTCGCAAGTCGATCCAGCGCCGGTCCAACAGCTCGACCTCGTTTGGGAGTAGTCGGACTCGGAGACATCCGAGCGCTTTGACCAGCAACGGCGGCGGCGGTGCGACTAATACTGCTCGAGCTACGTCTCCGCGCTCGTCACCTTCCCTCTTCGATTACGACTTGAACGGCGCTTACCCTTCGGCACCGCCTGTGTTACCACTCGTCTCGACGCTTTCGTTCCGTCACCCTTCTCCTCAACAATCGGTGCATTCGAACCAGAGCGCGAACCTCGAGAGTAGCAGCTCGCGACCGCCTCTCTCACCCCGCGGCGTAGGCTCGACCGGGTCGTACTCGCACTCGCCTTCGACGATGTCAAACCCCAACGCTGGCGCTGGCGGTGGTGGTGGTGGTGCTGCTGTTGCCGACCAGATGCTCTACGCTCAGGAGCGACGCACGGGCGCATCGTATTCGCACCAGGCGAATCAACCTTCGAGGCAACCGTACCAACCACAGCAGCAATCGGGCCGACCTAGTTCAGAGTACTACGACCAGCAGCAGATGCAACAGCCGCAGCCGTTCCAGCAGCAGCATGCGCGCCACGGCTCAGCACCGCCCCCGCAAGAAGGCCCCTCGTACGCAGCGCCGAGCCATCACTACGACGACGCCAGCCTCAATTCGTCGCAACGAACCTACACCGCGCCACAACAACAACACCACGGCCCCAACACGGGTGGCATGACGCGTTCCGGTAGCGACTTTATTGCCGGTCCGCCGTACGGATCCCAGCAGCAGCAGCAGCAGCACGGCGGCGGTCCGTCCATGTCGTCCTTGTCCTTGTCGATGAGGGACCCTTCGCAGTCACGCGAGCTACAGCAGTCGACCCCACCCCAGCCGTTCGGTCCTGGATCGAACCGATCGACCCCACGCAACCATTCGCCTGCACCTTCGTCACCGGCTACGAATGGTCCACAGCAGCAGCACCCCGGAGTAGGGCGTGACTTTGTCCCGCCAGCGGTCGGGGCTTCCAACTCGAGCATGGGTCCAGGCACAGCAGCTGCATCAGCGGCGAACATCTCGTCCCCTTCGATGAACTCCCTCTCGGGCAGCGATCGCGTCAACAATAGGCTCAGTCAGCTCGTGTCCAACAACTCGGTCAGCGGGAGGTCGATGCGAGATGCACCGCCGCCGGCTCCGCAGACAATCGCGGGAGAACCCTTGCATGATCTTGGTCGCGCCGTTGCTTTGTTGAGGTCGAGCAAGTTTTACGCCGAGGGTGAGTCTCGGAAAGCCGTTTGTTTCGGGCGATGGGACTGGACTGATGAGAAACAACGGTTCTTTCACAGGCTTCTTGATGAAGCGAGTCGACATCGGTCCGGATGGGAAACCCCACTCGGGGCAGGGTGACGCCGTCTGGGCCAAGTGGTTCGTTCAACTCTCCGGTACGATCATGTCGACCTGGAACGCGGCCGAGATGGAGCAAGCCGCACGACAGAACCGCACAGTCCCACCTCAGTACCTCAACCTCGCCGACGTATTCGTTTACCCTCTCCCTCCCCACCCTTCGGCTCCTCCCACACCGACGACATTCCAATTCGCGATCAACTCGGCGGGCTTGAACCGTGTCTTGTTCTGTGCTCCTCATGAAGGAAGTATGATGATGTGGATCAACGCGATCCGACTCGCGGCGTGGGAACGTTCGAGGACGAACGAAATCTACACGGGCACCTTGTTGGGCATGCGAGAACCCAAACCCGCAGGATGGATCGGATTCGATGCTGGTCTCACCCCACCCGGATCACCGGCGAACGCTACAGGAGGCAAATTCGAGGGTTACTTGAAAGCGAGGTTACCCGGAGAGACGGAATGGAGAAAGACGTGGGCCGTCTTGATCAAGTCCAAAAAGCAAGAACCGGGGGCCTTGTTCGCTTCGGTGACCAAGAAGAAGGACCGAAGGAGTAGTTTGCTAGGGGCCTTCGGCAAAAAACACGTCGATTTGACGGATATCGATGATTTGCCTGGCGATGGAGCGTTCGCAACGATGGCGTTTTACGCGAGCAAACCGACCAAGAAGGAGGCGCCCTTGTGTGTAGTGCAGCATGGTGAGTGCAGCGTAAGAAGTTTCATCGCAACCGGTCCCTGTCGCTGATCTTGTATACTTTTCGCTCAAACGCAGTCTTTTACGCCTCAGCTATTTACCCCGAATCGGAAAAGCTCATTGACCGATCGGGGCTGTTCAAGATCGAGGGTACATTCCTGAACCCACACGACAGGTACAAGTTGGGATGGGGGGTTGGAGGCCGAGCGGAGAGGCAAGGGTATGCTTTATTGATGGTTGAAGAGGGAGCGGCGGCAGCGATGCTGCAGTGGATCGTTGGGATCTCGGATGTGTTCAAGGTCAGTTGGTCCGAAGGTCCATCTGTAATCAACTTGTTCCTCACCTCAACTATGCTCTCACCCCTGCAGCTGTACGGTCGACCCCGGGCTTTCTCATTCGACCCTCGCGACCCGTCGTCGCTGTACTTTGCTCTGCCGATCGGGCCTAACCGCGACCGCCAATTTTTGGATCGCGAACTCGTTGATGCCCTCGAGGTCAACGAACTGAGGCCTCGTGCCATCCGTGCCGTGTTCCACAACATACTGTTTGATCGCATGCGGGGAGTGCGCTCGTCCGTGCTCCCACCGCCTCAGGCCGTTTTGCCCGCGAGCGCGCCCCAACTCGAGCCGGTCTCTCGTACGCCGCCCATCCAAATCCGGGAAGAGGACGAGGACGAACCAGAAACGGAAGCGGAGGCCGAGAAGAGGGTCAACGAGGAGTATGGTCTGGGTGGTACGCGCGACACAACGCAGTTGTCGACGATTGGCGAATCCGAATCCCCACCTGCTGGTTCACTCTTCGCTCCTGCTGTGGCTCGACCATCGTCATCGATTTACCATAGCGCCGGCGATACCGCCGAAGAACCCGTCGTCAATTACGCCAACTTTACGTCCTCACAGCCAGCGAAACGTGGCGAGACGCCTTCCCCTCCCCCCGTTATCACGACGACGAACCACTTAACCCCTCGGCAGGCTTTGCCCAAAATAGTTACCGGAGCCGAGCCCAAAGCTGCTGTTGCTTCGACTTATGCAACCCAGCAACAGACGGGGGCGGCACTGAACTTTTCGAGACCGACCGCCGCTCCTTCCCAGCAAAGTGCGGATACGGAGCGTGGATCGGGCTCCCGGGACGCTCGCGAGCCTCTGGCTCCTCCTCCTGTCCCTGTCGCGACGAATGGGCACGGACACGAGAGCATCTACAATTTACCCGCCCTCGGCGCTGTTGCGCGTGAAGGGAAGACTAACAAGGACTCGGCACCCATGCCCGCGAGCTCCGTCACCGTCAACCCGGTCATGGACATTCCACCTGCCCCCGTTATGACTCCACCTTTGGCTAGCACGAGCCCGCCTGTGCCGGCCAAATCCCCCGAACGCGTTTTCAAACCCCTTTCGTCGCCTCCTCAGCCCGACAAGGCCCAACTCGATGACGCACCAGCCAACCCATCGGCGTTGCATCCCATTGCGCAAGTGCCTGCCGCCGAGCGATCGCTCGAGGCCGAACCGGTCACGCCCGGTGGTGCGAGCTCGGACATCCATTCCGACCTGCTCGCGGCACTTCAGTTCGTCGATCGCTCCGAATCGCCTCCCCCACTCAGTTCACTCGCGCCGACACCGTCGACGGTTTACGAATACGGATCGCCCGAGATAGAGCAGAGGTACCGTGTTGGACCTCCTCGTCGTGCGAGTCATAGTATGTTCGATCCGGGATCGCCTGTTGACCTTCGTCAGGGGGTGGCGCAGTTCACTACAGATCCGAACGAGGTCGACGAGTACCAAGCGGAGGAGATCAGCACCCCTCGCTTGAATGATCAACGCGTTGAAAAGGTCGGTGGGGTGGCTTCTTCCTCTTCGTCGACGAAGCGGATCGATGCGTCCCCTGCCCAAGCTGCGGTGCCGTTCCCTTCGTCATTCGCACCCAACAAACGAGCGGAGGAACGAGCGGCCGCCGCTGCCCTCGCACAGCAAGCTCTCGAAGCGCAGCAGATTGCCAAGAGTCGACCCGGTCGTGCGAGTATAGTCCCTTCGGCTTCGGCCAACTCGGTCAACCGCAAGCCTCGTGCATGGGTTGACAGCGACGAGGAGGACGAGGAAGAGGACGACGATGAGGACGACGATGAGAGCGAGGGTGAAGGTGAAGGTCGCGACAATCGACAGTCTACCCTGCCATCTTCGACGGAACCGTTGATGATGACGAAACGCGATACCCAATCGAACGGAATGAACCGTCTCGGATCGCAGGATCGCAACTCTCGAGGACCCAACATGTCGTCGTCGCCTTCCCGTGGCGATTTCCAAGTCATCCACCCCGACTCGCCTCAAAATCCTGTCCAGCCTCTCAAGCCTTTGGTGAACCCCCATGGTTTGTTGCATGCCGGGATCATCGACAAAGAGGAGCGCTCGGCGAAGGCGCTCGAGGCTGCGGCGAGGGATACGGGTGGACCTTTGGTCTCGATCCCGAGCAAACCGCCACCACCCCAGACGGGCTTGGTCGGTGCCATCACGTCGCTCGAGAGGGAAAAGGAGAGGACTGGAGGTGTGGGAAAGGCGTTGACGGAGCAGCAGAAGGAGAGGAAGTTGGCTGAGCAGGTGAATTTACCGTTATTGGTCGGCCTGGCTGTTGTGTCAACGACTGATGCCTATCGCTTTTTCTCTGAAACAGCGTCAACGCCAACTCGACGACCTGCAACGCCAGCAACTCGCGCAACAGCAATACCAGATGCAGGCGCAGTATCAACAGATGCAGATGATGCAAGCCTACGGCTCGATGCCACCCTACGGTGGTGGACCCGCACCCTGGATGATGGGAGGCTATCCTGGATACCCACCCATGATGCCTCCTGCTTCGCAGATGGGTCCAGCGGCACCGTCGAGTCAGGTTGGATCACCGGTGATGATGCCCCATCTGGCTGGTGGTGGTCGACCGTCGTCGCCTCCGATGCAGCAGAACGGCGCTACGAGCCCACCTCTCGATTCGGTACGTTCTGATCAACCGTACGAGCTTAAAAGTATGATCATCTATTGACAAAATTATTTGATGTATTATCCCACAGCAATACCAGCAACAGCAACAACACCATTTCGCCGCTCAACAAGCCGCGCAAGCCGCTGCAGCCGCAGCCTACCAAGCCGCCATGGCGCAATTCTCCCAACCTCCTACATCGCCGCCCCTCACCTCCGAAGTCGGCGCAAACGGATCACCCGCTCTTCACGCCTCGACGTCGATGTCGTCCTTCCCTCCCGCTGGAGTTTACGGTCCCCCCATGGGCGCTTATCCGAACCCTTATGCCGGTGGATACGGTGGCCCTCCCATGATGGGTCAACATCCTTGGATGCAAGGGTATCCTCGGCAACATTTAATGTCGCATGGTGCGGAAGGAGGCGATGAAGGTACGCCGACTGCGAATGCGACGGCGCAGGGTTTGGACCGTACGATGAGTCCGATGCAGTTACCTCATTAAGGGGAGGGGTTCTTTGTTTCACGTTTTTGAGCTTGGCATAGCCGTCTTGCATGTCTTCCCTTTTAAATTTCTTATTCAGTTTGGTTTTACTTTCTAATACCCGCTTCTTATTCTCGTTTTCCTGCAACGAGACGGACTCTTCTCTCGACCCAACTTTGGTCCCCAATTCGGGCAAAGGTAACCACTTGCCTCGCGCATCGATAAGACTACAACAACAACATCTCACACAACCCAAAGTCAATAATAAACATCCAACCACAGCCTCTTCCTCGTCTTCTCACCCCTACGCTTGACCACGAACCCCAACTCATTCAACCTCCTCCCCCTCTCCAACTCGATCGACGTCGTCCTAGCAGGGTAAGTCTTCACCCCCAACTTGACCAAATCGAGCCATTGTCGATCCCATGCGATGCCGTGCAAAGCGTTGATGTTGAGGTCGGGTATGTAGCTTAGGTCTAGGGATTGTAGCGTTGGGGTCGCTTCGACTAGACGGGGGAGGAAACGTGGGGCCGAGGCCAGACGATTGAAGAAGCCTTCGAGGTGCGCGCGGGTCAGGGCGTCGTCTTCTTCTTCTTCTTCTTCTTCTTCTCCGAGGTGGAGAGGAGGGTAAAGGGACTTTCCAGCTAAGGAAAGGGATCTCAATGAGATGAGGGAGGAAAGTAGCTTGAAGAACGCTTCGACGAAGTAGAGATTAGGAGTTACGGCTAGGTTGAGGTGGGATAGATGGGGGAAGAGAGGGATCGAGCGAGGGGAGAGGAGCAAGGATCGTAGAAAGGGGAGCTTGAGGGGACTGAAGGCGAGGTTCAGCGAAGTGAGGGATTGGTATGGGAATCTTGGGGAGGAGAGGAATCGCCTGAGAGGGGTGAGATAGCCTCCAGGTAGCGGGTCCTCGTCCGAGTCTGAATAGTCGTCCCATTCGTCCGAGCTCGTTGATGATTCGTTGTACGTGGCAGATTCTTCCTCCTCTTCCTCGCCATTGTCGTGGTAGGGTAGCAACAGTTGATATATTGCGCGTTCTTCAAGCGCATAGCCAGTCGTCGTGGTCCAATCAAAGAGGTTGAGACGAAGATGATCCGGCAAGATGGGCAGAAAGGGGAGCACCAAGTGGCGCTGAGGTGGATCGACGAGGACGGCGGCGATGAGGTGCGCGCAGGTGAGCAGCAATGAAGGGACTGGAGGGGGATCCGAAACTAGGGGTGAATGAGTTGATGGGAAGAGGGGTTGGGGTTTGCTTCCTGTGCAGTTGAGCTGCTACGATTGCTTCTCGTCGTGCCGATACGAGTGGAGGTGCTTTGGCCGTCCTCGATGACGAAGGTCCACTCTGACTTGAGTCCCGTGGACCCGATCCACGCCCAACCTGTGGCCCCCAACTTGGTGGTGCAGGTGGACCCGCAGCTAAAGTCGTTTGACTCGCATTCCTCCCCCTTGCTCTTGTCGCTCGCGCGTCCCATTCAGCACCAAAACTATTGGCCAACGCCGTCGCCGAAGCCGACCAGGACGACGAGCTGCGAGTACCGGGAGCGCATCGTCGGTTTGCCGAAGAGGAGGCGCTGCGTTGTTCGGATCTAAGACGAGCCAGTCGATCGGGAATGGATTCGGTACGAGGTGGGGCAGGTGGGGCACGGTACGGGATCATCCGTTGTGCTCACGGGATCGGCCCGGCGGAGGGTCGTGAGATGAGATTGGGGGCGGAAGGTGGGTGCAATTGCCGATTAGTCCATAATCCCCAAACCGAATCGCGCGCTAATGCACAGCATTGCCAGGCATTGCCCGCCCGCACGCGATCTTGAGATCCCACGCGCGGAACTTGCTGTCGCTTGCCTTCGCACCACTCCCACCTGCTGCTCGCGCTCGGTCGACGACGGGGCAGCGACGTCCGCACATGGCTTCGACACGAACACAACTCCAGCAGGGGTTCCCGGAGTGATATCGGTGTCCTCACTTGACACCGTACACCTCCCTGTCGTGCTTGCGCTCTCGTGCGACTCCCGGCTGTGACTTTTACTTGCCCACGCTGCCCCTTTTTCCTCACGCCCTCGCTCCTCGTCCTCGTTGCATCGCCATCGCCTTGCCCTACTGTGGCCATGCCGTGCCGACCTCTCTCAGCAGTCAAGTGAGTACCCTTCATTTCCAGCTCTTGGCAGTTTTCCTCCCTACCCCTTTCCCCTTTCGCCAAGATGAGAACCTTTTTAATCGTATCAAACTAGAGTCTCATAGTCGTGGGTGGGCCCAAGTTGGCAGCCCATGGCACTGACTGATAACGGAATAATCTTCTCTCTGAGCACCACATCCTTCCTCATCTCGCATCCTGCTTCACTTTGGGGCCTATTTTTCTTTTCCGCTGGGGGTTGAACGATCAGACGGGCTGACCTACCCATGACACGTCTTTGCGGTGTCGCCTTTCAGGTGTGCAGATTCCACTGTTGTGGCAGCGCATTGCACGAATCCCACGCGCGTTTCTCCATGCGTAAGTCCGCAGCAAACACGTCATTTGATTCGAACAAGCTCGTGATGATTAGCGAATTACCGCCTGCGAAACGACCTTCGTTAGCCCTCGTGCTTCCGACCCTTCTTGCCGTCCTTGATCCGATCTGGTCACTCGTTACCCGAGTGCTTGCGTGAGGGCAACGGGGCGACCAAACTGGGCTCGAGGGTGCGGTGTGGGGCTCGGAGCACTTGGGCAGGGTCGTCTTCTATGATGTTACTACGCGGCAAATTTTGGCTGAGGCTTATCATACGAATCCCAACAACATGATCAAGAATCAATACAATACGTGCCCCCATGTACTGACTTGTGATGTTTCAACTCGATACCAGAACTGATTAGGACAGCTGCCTCGAGGACAATTGCCTCCTGTTACAGTCGGCCATTCCCCATTTGGCTTTCGCGTGAGTCCTCTCCTCCTCCCCTCTCCCTTACTAGTCCCCTCCACCACCACTATTCCTTTCCCTGGGAGACGATGAGCCATTATCAATTTTATCACGACGGTCTGCATGGCCCCCCCCCGCTTCGTCTCGGGAAACGAGGGGGGTAATCATGAAATCGCTCGCCTTCTAAACCTTTTTCGAGCATACTCTGATCCCCCTTCCTCCGACATCGAACCTTCTTCGTACCATTGCTTCGTGTCTTATTTGGTGAGATTTGGATACTGACGCTCGCAATCGATCGTCATAGATCCCGACATGCTCGGATGTCTGTTCAGCTTTAGCGGTAAGAGTTCCACGCTCAAGAGGGAGCGCGCATCCGTGCGCCGCCCCACCGGTCCCCGCGCCAGCCCTCCTCACGCGCGACCCTCGCTCGTACGGATAACATGAGTCCGTGTCCACTACGCGTTTCTTATGAAACCCTTCTGCAAAACTTAGATTTTGGTACTCTGGAATCCATATGGAATGTAAAAACATTACAGCATCAGCTCACTAGCAATTGCTATGAATGGAGTAGATCATGTTAAGCATCCCCAAACAGTTGATTGACCGTCTGCAATAGGTTTCATGCGCTCAGAAAATGGCAATCTCAACTTCTTCTCGTGTCCACCGTGGAATCCGTATGATCCAACACCGCGAAGGTAGCGCGAGTCAGACCCTGCGTGTAAGGGGATGCCTTACAGAACAGCCCCATAAGTAGCCTCTGAGTAGCTAGAACTGTCGAGTTCTAGTCTAGTTAGCTGTAAGGTATGCGCCTCTGATGTGCATAAAATACAATCTGTCGTTCTCGACCGCTAGGCTAAAAGCAAGTCGTAACTAGAAATCGACAGTTGTAGCTACTCAGAGGCTACTTATGGGGCTGTTCTGTAAGGCATCCCCTTACACTGCGGAAACCAGGAGCGGATCCGTGCGAAATCCCATCCAAAAGGGCTGGCCGTGTAGCCTCTTCGGAGCGCTCAGCGTAATTTCCTAGCCTCTCCGGAGCGCTCAGCGTCCTAGCCTCCCCGGAGCGCGCAGCGTACTTTTCCTAGCCTCGCTGGGGCGCTCAGCACTCAGCGCCTCCAAGCTAGGCTTCGCTCTGCGTTGATTGCTGCTGCTCCTCTCGGTGATCTCCTACAAGTCGAATCGCGCCTTACTCAAGGCTGCACTGGTCCCTTCGGGTTTTCTCTCCAGTCCTGCTGCAACTACAAGACATCCTTCGCTCGCTAAACAAACGCACGGCGCAAGCGTTATCAAGAGAGTTGAACGTGCTTTAAGGGTCGATGTTGTGTCGCATGGGTCCCAATAGTGTGAGTCCTTCGCCTCGAGTGACATTTCTTCTTGTGGTCCATTCGGGTCTATTGGATGTAATTATCACCCCGAGTTTTCTCCCATGCGAACCATGAAACATCTTGCCTATGCAACGAATGAGCTGATGAGGTAAAGGCGTGCGTCCTCGCGGACAACTACTGCGCACGAGGCATCGTCAACCCGTTTCGTGACATCGAACCCAAGGGATGTGACCTCGGCAGATTATCTGGTGACTCCGGTGCAATTCTGATAAATCATACCTTTGTGGCCCTTCGGACACGTATTGAGAGCCCTGGGACCAAAGGCTCCAAATTCCAACTCTTCTGAGGGAACCGAGTGTCGTGTCGGGTAGTCCGCCATCGCTCCGCCGTATTACCGGCGTTCCGCTCACGTATAGTCCAGATCTCCAAAATCGCAGGTAAAAAGGAAGGGGCCGGGAAGACCCGCTGGTATGATACCCTCACAGGCAGTTGCCATTGAGTCCGAGAGGAGAGCATGAAGCCAATGGCCATGAACCGAGTCCTTGATGCGCGCTCTGGGCCTATGGCAGCAAGCCTGCAGTGGGCCCTGGGCCAGCCTCGGCTAAGCTCGATACCCCCACTATGTGTTGCGGCCGCGGCAACAGCACCTCGAACTCGGTGCGACGGAGCAGCGACCGACTCGGCCCATGCCGCCATTTGATTTTGAGAGCGCGCGCGCGTCAAGCGCGTCAAGTGCCAGCCCAACCCTGATTGACATTTGACATTGGCGACCGGAGCACTGCAACGCGCTCTTTCGTCGCCACTGCCCTCTGCCTTGCTTACTGTGAGCAGCACCATGGCTCTACAAGCTCCGGCTCCAACTGTACCTCGCACCCTAGCGGACACCCTTCAGCCGCTACCTTACCCAACGTATGCGTCTCGTTCTCAGACCATGTCGACAACGGGGTGGACGCGTCGAAAGCGAGGGGAGGCTGGCGATGCACCGGCGCGGCCGGTCGAACCAGTTTGCTCGCTGCCAGAGTTCTCCATGCTGGGCAGAGTCAGGACTGGTCTTTTGCAAGGTCTCCAACTACGTTCGATTCCGATCAACACCCCCATCCCACCGACTGTCGCCACCTGGCTCGACAGCCGCATCATCAACCCGTCCTTAGGTCGACCCATCGAAATCACGTCGGAAGCGATTGGCCTCGAGTTCTTTGGTGACCTGATGGACAACGCGGTGGTGCCGATCGTCTCTATGCTCTCCGGAGAGACGATCGGCATGAAGAGGGTGGACCCTAACCTGACGCAGGGTCAGAAGGGAGATCGGAAATACGAGTTTGTGAGGGTGGGACGCGACCCTCAACCGAATCAACTCCTCAAGGTGGTATGCGCAGAGGGCAAGACCGCCAAGAATGTGCGCAGAACGTACGGAACGAAGCGCCGAGTCGGTGGGAAAATGTGGCCTTCACTTGACGAACCCATCGATATCAGTCTGTTTAAGGCGGCGGGCCTCCCCGATACGCTGGAGGGTGGCTCGGCGATGGCGGTCAAGGTACGTATGCCTGCTGACGGCCGCCGGGTGTGCACCAGTGGACCGAGGCTGGCCGCTGCTTCGCGGGCTCTTCCCACCGACATCACCTGAATCCTACGTGTATCACATTGTCAGATGCTGCTGCAGGTGGAGGGAACCAAAGTTGGCAGATGGGCGATACTATGGAGCCCGCCATACTTTATGCTGGGCGAACGATGTAAGCCGAGGAGCGCAATTTTGAGCATTCTGGGCGTCAGCGGCCACCCAGCGCTGACAACTTCACACATTGGTCTTCGTTCACAGTCGTGGAACGCACCGATGCGTTCTTACTGTGCAGCCCTCTCTGCGCCTTGCACAATGATCCTTCTCAAGAGAACATGTGGCTTGCAAAAGAATCTATCATTGCCCTGCTCGTTGCGATCGTCTTGTCTGAGGCGTTCCCGGAGGACTACAAAATCCCCGACCCAGATAGGGGGACTGTCGCCCACATCCTCCGGATCGCGCAACAGGTGAAGCTTCGCAAATGCGGTCAGCCAATGGACTAGAGCGAAGTCAAGGTGCGCGTCCACGCTACTTATCGAATGTCCTAGCCCAATGATTAGAAACTAACTCACCGGCATCATGCTCCGCACAGAGTTTCCCAAAACTGGTCCAAGTCTTCGAACTTTTTCAGTTCTGTATGTCCATAGTGTTTCGTCATCCTCGATGACCGTGTGCTTTCAACTACCCGACGCAGCGTCCAGCGTCCATCGTCCATCGTCCATCGTGTAGCATCTTTCGGCATTCATCGCGCATGATTAGTCGGGCATCGTGCATCTTCCTGTTATCCTGTTTTGCACAAACCCCCAATCGTGATCAACTAGATCACGTTCCGCTTTAACCGGGTCACCAATAATAGTAGCACTCGCCTCCGTATTCAGTAGCCTGGTTTGCAAAATGAAAAGCACTTCAAGTGTTGAACATCGGCCGGGATGCACGACCAGATAGGTCGGCGCAGAATCTTCTGAGGCAACTTCTTGCTCCGAGTCATGATGACGCTTGCGACTCGATCGATGAACTGTAAAGCTTCCAAGTGTTTTCAGATCATAGCTTTCAATAGCAGTACATTGATATCGGTACCCAGGGGTCCTTTGCGAGACAGAACGGAGGAGGCTCGGCTAAGTAAGGCAGTGTAAGGTTCACCAGTCAGGCCAGCTTGAGGCCCGCCCCCCGGCCCGGCTCGGCGGGTTCTGGCGGGTTCTGGCGGGAGCTGGCGGGCACTTGGCGGGCAGAAGGCAGGCCGGCTCTGGCAGTGCTCTGACAGCTTCTGGCAGGCTCAGATTCCAGCCGCGACTTTGCGCTGAGCACGCATCCATATTCGTCTCTTGCTTCGTCTTGTTGCGCGGTCGTTCACGATACACTGTTGGGCATCCACCGCTTACCTGTGCAGCTATAGCTACCGGGTCAAATCACCATCGTGCGCGACAGGCCACGACTCAGCGGGGCGGTCGTACCGATCTGGCTCGAACCTCGACATCAGCCGTGGCAGACGCCATATTCTTGTTGCGATAGGATACCCGGTCCAGAGCCGGCTTCTCTTCGAGTACTCTCGTGCAACGCCCCAGACGGCCACGTTTGCATCAGATATCGGCAACGAGGGTGATCGTTATGGCCTCTTCCGCCCGTTCCTCGACGGTACAGCCGATGGGCAGGGCTCTATCAACGCTTCAAGACTTTCTCGAGCTCCAGGTCCCGTACAAAACGCACTACGCTCGCAGTCTCGACTTGCTCGATTCGCTTGAGCGCTCCACTTTCAACTCGGACACAGCATCTGGAACGACGCAAGGTGACTCCGCCTTCTGTCGCATGCCTGGGGAGAAGCTTCTGCGACTTGCGGCTGCGGTTGAAGATCCGACCCTAATCGATCGAGTGACGCGAGGTCTACGACAGGGTCTCGAACGCTCGACGACGGGGCCGGGAAGAGGGCTCTATGCACCGATTCCCGAGATGGCGAAGCATCACCTGGAGCGGGTTCTCGGCGAGGAGCTTCCATGGCCGGTCGGCAGCGCAGAATTAAGTCTCGAACGTCTCGGTATGTCCATCTCGGGGATTGTTGAACCGATTGTGAGCGAACTGTACGAGGAGCCGGTGCGAATCTATCCCCGAGCACCCAACCCGACGATGGGACAGAAAGTGGAACAAACCCGAGCTCTGGTTGAGGGCGTCACAGGCAAGGTTTTGACCACGGTTGCCATCGATACGGCGACGCAACCCATGCTCGAGTCCTTCTTTAGCCCAGAGGTTATAGACGCGGAAAGGTGGAGGCCGCCTGGCTCCGTGGGTAATGCACTCGACATGCGGTTAGCCGAGGGACGCGTGGGCCGCACCATACGATTGGGCGGCGGCTTCGCCATGGCGTTCACGGTTAGTGGACCCGGTTCTAATAATGCGATGCGACGCACACCTCGAGATCTCAATTGTGACGCACGCGTTTCAACAGATGATGCTACAAATCGATGCCGCAGCGAACGGTCGATTTGGACTTTACTGGGCTGCGCCTTATTTCATTTTGACCGAACTCGGTGAGTCTGCGCCGCATCATGATCGGGAGACAGCGTGCAGCAGCACGCAAAATCCCGGCTGGCGCTGACCACTTGACCACACCGGTACCGAGCAGTCGAGTTCGGAGGAAGATCGTACCTGCTGGTGAGCAAGGTGTGCTCATCAGTCGGCGCACGTGGCTCCTCGGAATCGAGCACGAACTTGTTCGCGGTCCTCGTCGCCATCTTCGCAAGTTTTCATCCCAGCTATCCGATCGAAGGCCCCTCAAATAATTTCATGCTTGCACTGCACGATGATGCGGCTGACCACGAAACGAACGCCTCCGCGGTGGCACTTCGACCTCTGTGCGCCCTCAAAGATACGGCGGCGCCTCTGCTTAAGGACGAAGAGGCGGTCATCGAGTTGAGGCACCTTCCTGGCACCGAAGTAAGCCGATCGCACATCTCCGCTTGTTTGTTGTTGGGCCATATCTTGGACCGTCTTCTGATCATTCGTGTAGCGCAGATCGTCTGTGACGATGCTATGGACCGCGACTCGTGTATGCTCGCAATTCGGGTGGAGCTCGATTGCGCACGTTCCCTTCTGCTTCTCCGCTTATTCTCTTGCATTCGGTGTGGGATCCTCCTAGTTCTTCTCCACCAGGCTCGGTGAAGCTTGGGACAAGGTCCCCGAAAGTCTGGCGTGGTTTGACGTGCCGGTCGCTGACGCGAGAAGACTTGATCGTCTCGATCTCGTGGCGCCAATCGGGCGCGGGCGGACGTGTACGGTATGGAAGGCACAGTGGTCGCGTGGTGCGGCAGCCGTCGATGCGCCCACAACATTGTCAGTCGGTCATGTTGCCGCAGAAGTCGCTATCGTCGCCAAAGTCGTTCCAGCCGAGTTCGCGTCGTCGGTCGCCCGCGAGTACTTCATCTACACCACAGCGGTACCGCGGCTGTCCGCTGCTGCGCAGGCTCTCTTCCCAGAATTCTATGGCCTATACCGCAGTGGATGGGACGGGGGTGGTTACATCCTTGTGATGGAAGATGTTGGAAATCCCGTCAAGCACGAAGAAATGTATTCCGATTCGTGTCTGGGACGGGACGCACGGTAAGTTCTCCCCACGTCGCCGCTGGCTCTCTGGCAAGCGCTGACGAGGCTTATACACTTGCGCTGCCGCACATCTAGAGCGGCTTTCCGTTTGCTGCGAGAGGAGGGTTTGTATCACGATGATGAGAGTGGAGATAACGTGGCCTGTCGAACGGACGGTCGAATCTTCATCATCGATTGGGGGGAGGCGAGCTTTTCGTGGCACGACAAGTTCTCGACCCCACCACGGCGTTGTGCGCTTTCGCCAAGTGACGAAGTGGCTGTGATGTCGGCAGACTTGGCACCCGTGCAATCACGTACTAGACTGTGTCTTTAAGTCGCATCTGCTCCCGTCTTGAATTACTCTTCGTTGTCGTGTCGTCACTCATATTGCAATGTGGCCAAGCTTTCACTTTCAGTGCCACCCTGATCAAGATACTCAAGTTGGCAACGAAGCCCTTGAATACTTTGGAGGTCTTTGTTACTTAGACACATTATGGTTCCATCCAAGGCTTCCACTATGGTGACCAAGTGCCGCGCAATATTCTGCTACGCGAGGACCGGTCCTTGTGTCTGATCGACTGAAATGTCACCATGCTCGACTTTGATCCGCGGTCGCGGCGGCCCAAACGGCGCATTTGATAAAGCATAGTTGCAACGGATTTCTAGTTCGAATACGCTATTGAGATAATCACTCTTTCTGCAGCATCGGCCACCCAACTTGGAGGGCTGACCCCGCGAGGAGATCCAAGTCCGAAAAACCCCTTACTCGAGGCCTTTGCTGCTGCGCATAATTAGAGACCGCCTCGGTCAACCGGCGACGGGGGCGGGCGATACCCTGGGCACTATGTGCGACCTAGCTTTTTCGCGCAGCTCTTCATAGGAAGATTGAGTGGATCTGGACTGTTCAGCTGCACCTTGGTTCATAGACAAACATCCTCCCAGCGATACGATCCCTAGTCTATCACGTCGCTTCTGGCCGATGGGCATCTACCTTCCCTAAGTGCCATCCATTGCAACCCCTTTACGCGCCCAGCTATTAAGGCAACGAAAAACCTACCACCTCAAACATCTCCTTCGATCCTCTCCCCTTCCGGTGTCGGACTGCGACTGATATACCTCCCCTCGTCCTCACTCTCCGCACTCGGGCTCTTGCTAACGAATCTACCCGTTTTGCCTTCCTCCCCCTCTTCCTCCTCCTCACTCCCCTCCGTCCAATACTCCGGTTCGGCCTCCTCCACTTCAGGGGACATACTCATACTAGGTGAGCGGGACAAATACCTCCCTTCCTCACCTTCCACCTCCTCATCACTCCCCTCGTCACCCTCCCTCCTCTGAGCCTCTTCAGAACTGACCACTCCCAATGCTCTACCTAGTTTCGATTTACGAGGTGCGAGTCCTTCCGTTTCTTCCAATACGCGACGCTGGGTTAGACGGGGTAGTTGTATTTCGCATACGCGTTCTTCCGAGAGGAGTTGATCGCAGAATTCGTCGATGGTGGTGATGGAGTAGGCGCCGTCTACGCACAAGGGGGGTTGGGATGGAGACAAGCGTCAGTCACGCGTCACTTGTGAGTTATACCGGATCTCTGACGTACCCATTCCTCGTGTCCGTAATTTGCGATAATCGTCAAAGAGTGGCTCGAGTACCTCATAAACGTTGACAGGGTCGAACGTCAACCTCACATAAAACGCCGCCAGTGCTCTCAAATATCTGCTCGAAAATCCCCCAGAACACCCAAAACCCATCAGGACCTGCATACTTCACCCCCCCCCCCCCCCCCTTCGTCTAAAAGAAACGCACTTGAACTCCTCGGCCCTTAGATACTCCAATATGATTTCGCGTTCGGGTTGAAGTTGCAGCAATTTGAGGGTGAGGCACATGAATTCCGTAGGTCGGGTATTGGCGTACGTCCCGCCTAGGTATTGCAGTTTCAGGGCTTCGTCGATGACGGTCGCGGCGTCGAGGGCGAAACAATGTTCCTCTGTGGGGGGGTCGGAGGAGGGTGGGGTCGTTAGTTGGGGAGGAGCGGACGAGAAGGGGGGGAGGGGGTCAAGTGGGGTCGAAGAGAGGGTCGAAGAGAGGGAAGGGTAGAGGTGCCGAGAGAAAGAGTGGGGGTAGCTTGTGACGCACTCCAATATAATGAATCGTATATCCTCGCTCGGATGACTTTCTCGATGAGGTACTGGGCTCAAGTTGAGGGTGCACAAAGGTGAGCTCAGGGTGCTCAGCTCAGAGCAGCCGGTCGAGTTCACGTTGTAGGAGGTGGGTGGGGTATCGTACCTGTGGATTTGTGCCATGGATCGAAAGGGCGCCTCGGATAGTGGTATTCGCCTAGAGTGGAAGCATGACGAGGTGGAGGATCAGCAGCAGCAGCACGTGCAAGGTCAGGTCAGGTGGGGGACGAGGTCGAGTGAACTGACCATGGTCTTGTGGGCTTAGCTCAGCTGTGGGTTGGATGATGACGACGAACAGGGGGACTGCTGATGATTAAGCACTGAGTGTAGTTGCGAGTATGGTGGTCCGGCGTGAGTGCGTATGATATGGTCAGAGATGCCAACCGAGGAGGTTCACGCGCGCCGACTGACCTCGCCTCGATCTCGCCAGCTCTCGACTGCTCTCGACGGCCCAGCCTGGCTCAGCGCCGCGTCTCCGCAAATGCGAGGTCCGAGCGCAAGACCGCAGCAAGCTCAAGGCCAGCTTCGACAGGCTTCAACCGCGCTTCTTCCTCCGTCCAGGACACTTGGATCCCGACTCGCGCTCATCCCACCCTTCTGGATCGTGTGGACCACTCTCCGGTACTCACCTCGCCATGTTGCGGTCCCTCTTCTCCTCACTCGTACGACCGACCCTCTCTCCCCTCCCTTCGACCTCCGTGATCCGATCCAGTTTCATCGATACGCCTCGACCAGGTACGCAACTACACCACCGTAGCGCAGCACACAGCCCGAACAGCGTACACACATAGCAAAGCTAAACTCTCTTGACATCGTGACAGGTCTCATCCAAGTCCGAACCGCTACCAAGCGTGGTGGTGGGTCGTCCAAGAACGGACGTAACTCGATCGGTAAACGTTTGGGCGTCAAGCGGTATGCAGGTCCGTCACAGACTAGATCACCTACGACTTCATTCTTTTCCAATTCGACCTGACACTCTCCATCTCCCTCCCTTCCCCATTCTCAGGCCAACTCGTCTCAGCCGGTTCCATCCTCGTCCGTCAACGAGGTACGACGTTCCACCCAGGTCAACACGTCGCAAAAGGCAAAGACCACACCTTGTTCGCCCTCGTCCCCGGGTTCGTTCACTACTACGCCGACCTAGTTCGCGGTAAAGAGAGGAGGTTGATTGGTATTTGCACGGAGGGGAGGGAGGAGAAGTTGCCGAGGGACGTCAAGGAGATGGGCAGGAGTCGGTACTTTGGATTGGTCGATGTCGAGAGGGTTCGAGGGGATTGGGAAAAGAGGGTGGGAGAGGGTGAGGATCTACAGGGTTTGATGCAGGAGGCGGTGGCGATGGGGTTGGCCGGCGAGCGGAGTACGGGCACGTCCGAGGGCAAAGTGCAGGCTTGATCGGATTTTCACGGTAGAGGGAGGGGGTATGATAAGAAACGCAATACATGTTCTCAACACCTCGACACATGCACAGACGCTGGTATTGAGCCGGAGAAGAGCTTGAACACAGGTGCAACACGTATTCTCGGGACGGAAAAGTGTTATCGAGAATTCGCGAAAAGGCTCATAGTCCTGATCATTTTTTCGTGTCCTGTTGCGTCAGGTCTCAGGTCGAAGGTGCTGATTAGGTAGGGCGATGACGTTTCGGAGAGCATTCGGGGGATACCAATCACAAACGATGCGCTGAGGAGCGAGGAACAGGATCAGCATCGACAGATAGGAGATCCTTTTTCTTGCTTAGCCAATTTGTCTGATTCGCTCTGATCGACAAAGGCCGTGGTGCCCGAATCTCCGCCACGAGTAACACAACACAACTTTGCTCTCGAATTTCAGCGCCTGGACCGACCTGCTTGAAGTACCTGCCTGAGTGGAAAGTAACGTGCCGCGTCTATGCAGATCGTCACTTGCCGCATCGATGGAGACGTCGCGCCACGACCAGCCACGACGCGCACTACGCATCGACGCGTGCCCACGCCACCGCGTACACCACTAAATTCATGCGTTGCGGTCCAGAACTCGAGCATCCAACGCACCAACTGCGACCTAATGCTTCTTCGCGTCGTCCAGCGCCTCGCAACGACATTTTGAGCGCACCGATCTCTAGGTCATTCGCGTGGGTTGTGAAGCGGCGCTTCTCTGAACCAGCGACTCGCCCACTGGTCGCGCCGATCTTGCTCTGACTGTTCCTTGTGTTTTGCGAAGAATAGGTGCTGGCCTTTTCGTATGCGTCATGTGGACCGTCGACTTCAAACATCCTGATTTCGCCTTGCATCCTATCGATGCGCCGTCACCTTCGACGGGATCGCCTCGGGACGAGGTCGCTCCCCTCCCACTCGATACCACAGAGGCATTCGAGGCCTTCCCCAACTTACCCGGCCTTCGTCGTCCCAGCATGGCACTGAAGGACCCCACACTGGAGATGCGTATGGAGCGGTCACTGTCCGACTTTCTCAACGAGCACGATCTCGCCGACAGCGTGCTCGCGGAAACCCGCGAGGTCACGAAACACGAGCTCGAGCGCTGTTACCCACCACAATCGATCGCGGACCACCTCGTTTTCATGGACAGTCTGCGCAAACATGCGTTGAAGCCTCTACTGCACTTCCTGGCGGAGCAGTATCACAAGAAGCTGGCTACCTCCGGGTCAACCGAGAGCTGGGGGACTCGACTCCGTGTCAAGCTCTGCACGGAAAAGCCACCCCTTCCCTCTGGCATCACTGTGGTCATCACAAGATCTGATGGACGATCTTGCAGCCAGATACCGATCCTGTTTGAAGATGATGCGAATTTCCTCCGCTGTGGACCGGAGCCCGACGTGTTCACCGGGTGCCTCTTTCATCTCGACAAGGACGGCAAGCCGTTTCCTCTCGACTCGGATAGGACCAGTTATGGTGCTCAGGCGATGCTGAACAAGGTCAGTATATTATTGCGCATCCCACGGACCGAGTATGAGCTAATCCTTTCGAGCCTGGTCTGCAGCTGGCGTTCATGATGGAGTCTTCTGCTTCGCGGCCTTCGTCGGATACGACTCCTGGCGAGAACAAACTTCCTGTACGCTTCGGTCTAGTCCTGAGCTCAAACTTCGGTATGATCGCAGAAACAGGTCAGTGGAACGCTCGGCTCGTCCTTGCCTCCAAGGCGCCTCCTGGAGGTTCTGACCACGAGCATCTTGTGTTACTCGCCTTCTCGCATGGCTTTCCTTTCACAGTCGCGGATCCACAACACCCTCAAGAAGTCGGCTTGCTTTTCTCGCGTGTGTTCCGCACGGGCGCCGGTGAAGTCAATTTTGGACGACACAGCCCCCCCCCCTTTCGAATATGGGTCTTTACCCCTCATGCTTCTCGCGATCGTCGTTGATCAGCTCGCGCCAGTCGCCGCTCCTTCGCCTTGCACACTTCGACTTCTTTTTGACGTAGGACCGGAGAGGTGCCCTCCAGCTCAGCTTCCAGTTCAGCTCAACGAAGAGGGGGTTGCTCCCCGTGCTGTCAAGCGACGTCGCACAAAGAACAGAAATGCGGTGCCTCCGTCTTCTGTGGTAGTCTTGAAAAGTACGAATCAGGTCGTGCGTGCTACATTGAACAGCACGGCGTGCCCAGTGAGTGGCATGACTACACTCCCACAATGGCAACGTTGTCGTCGACGTTGCATGGCTAACAAAGCAGTTGGACCTTGTTGCAGTCTCGAATGTTGATGATTACGCATCGAGACGACTTGGACCTCAGGGAGGCTGTCACTTTCGAGGTTTTCGACAAAGCTCCTCACCAATCACTGTGCCGACCGTGCCTCGACGACCAGAGACACCGCCTCAGCAGTCTTCCTCCCGAATTGCTCGCTTTCCTCTGGGACGACCTTGACGTCGACGAGGACCCACCGAATCAGGCTGCCTTGTCGGATTTGGAATGGGCTGATTTCCGGGCTCTGCCGGCCCTGCAAGTCCCACTTTACCTCGCATCGGGTAGTGTCAGTTCGGTCTCGGCGGGCAAGCTGCGGCCGTCGGTTCTCGACAACACCGCCGCATTCGGCTTCGATAGCGGCGCAGTACGGGAAGAAAGAAAGGTTGGCACACCGGTCGACTGCTTCGACGACGGACTTACGCGAACAATCCCTCCCGATCACCCGGTGGTGATCAAATACTTCCCCTGGCACCAGCTGGCATCGGCCGTTCGAGAGTCGCTCTTTTACGAACACGTCTTCCCCCTTCTCCCATCACGAGCGCGAGTTTTCCTGCCTCCATACTACGGAACCTATCGGAGTGCCGATGGGAGCGAGGTTTGCCTTGTCTTGGGGTATGGGGGACGACGCATTCAAAGAGCCGATTATAATGACGCTCTGAAACTCAAAATCGAGTATGTCTCCATGCGATGTTTCCTCGCTGCTTTCAGTCAAGACTGTGTTGAACCCGCTAACAGATTTGAGCCGGGCCTCTCCACGCGCCTGCGGTGTCATTCACAGTGAGGCATTTCGGGTTTTCCGCAAACAAGGCGTCCACCATGGTGACCAAGCGCCGCGCAATGTTCTGCTACGCGAGGATGGGTCGTTGTGTCTGATCGATTGGAATGTCGCCACCGTCGACTTTGACCCGCGGGCGCGGCGGCCCACATTATGCATTGGATGAAGCTTAGTAGTTGCAACGAGTATCTCGAGTGGCTTGTTCGAGTATGTTGAGAAAGCAGGGGCCGTCTGTGCGCTTTGCAGCACCTTGCATTCGCCTCATCCGACTCTCGGAGTTCACGCGATCGTGTTGCCGTTTTCTTCACAAAGAGACTAAAGAAGACTGCCCGGCCGGCTAGGGTACGTGTGGCATGCTTGAGAGTATCGCGGAATTCAAGATCAGCTTGAGGAGATTCTGAGCCTCCCCCACAAGAGCGAATGAGATATGTTGGGAGGCTGAAAGGCCAGCCCCTTCACAACTGGACTACGACTACACAGCCAAAAAGGCTAACAACTTCAACCGATGCAGATTGAAATCAGAAGGGAGCTATTTCAAGGCGCAAGGTAACTTTGGTCCTTGCAGAGGCAACGCTTTGCGCTCAGCGCTGCGCTGGTCAGCTCGATCCCGCACTAATACTTATCATGCGGCCTTACCACGAGCCTAGCGTCGAGCCCCCCTGAGAAGTAACCTGAACCTCCTTCCTCAACCGATTGAATGATTATTGGAATACGCCCACGTGCTCTTTCATTTGTAGGGCGGGCCGAGTACCATCCAGATCCAGTGGTCCGACAACAATGATGACATTCAACCTTTCGTATGGTCAGCCCAACAACTGCCAAAAAGTTTTGCTTGTATTTCAGAGCCCAAACATATTGGTGTCGAAGAGTGTCGGAAACGTAATGGTCGCAGTCACAATGGGTCGGAGATAGTCCTCGATTGCGTAGAAGCGCGGGCGATGAAGCTTTTTTTTTGTTGTTGCTAGTTTTCTCCGTTCTTGATGTGAATTTTTTTTTTTGGATTAGACAATTTTTGCCCGCAATGGTGACGGACGAATCAATGGGAGCCTGGGGATTGTGACGCTTGCTCAAGGTCCTGGGCGGGGCACTGATGGTGGGTGTGCCGAGATGTGCTGACGACTACGGATTTGCACGAGTGCCCATTGAGTGACCATACAGCGATGACGGAACTGTAAGTATTGCTAACTGTCAGCCGGACACTTGAAGTAGAAGGGGTCCGACGTGAGTTCTGCTCACCTCGGCCTCGATAGGGGGAATTTCCCGGTTGATCCGAGGGTGGGGTTGATGTCTTGGGGTTTCGTGAGCCGTCTTCAGGTTTGTAGGGCTGACCATGGAACAACTTGGTCACTGTTATAGGGCTTGGCGCTTCGATGTCTAGGATGTGCTTGACGGCGCTGGCAACCAGGACGAGTATAATCGACTTGTATGGGTAGCCGCCGAGGAGAAACTTGCGAGTGGTTTTGAAAACTTCGGACCTCAACAGTCCAAATTCATTCAAGTTCTCCGGATTGTACACTGCATAACCGCCAGGGTAGGATCAGACTTCCGAGGAATGTTTCAAAGCGGGAAGATAACCACTCACCCTTCTCAACAACCAACCCTAGGGTGGAGCCGAGGCCCATGCCATAGCTCACTGGAACGAAGTGGCAGCTCATGGCATCGTGCATTTGCAGAGAAAGGTTGAGACGAACCGTCAGCAAATCTCCGAAGGGATTAGCCTCGACAACTTTAGGACATGATAGGCTAGAATTGTTCTCTTACTTTGGTGAAGAAAGCCTCACAGTGGACGCTGTGCCGACGTACATCGAGAGCTAAGGGAGCGCTGTCCTTCAGGCAGTAAGGTCGATCCTGCACATCGAGGGCAGTCGCAAGATGATGGACCATCAAATCTTGTTTGGCTTCGATGGAGTAGACGGTCCGGACAGTGTGACCCAAACGCAGCAACATGTCCGTATCTCCGACTTGACGCCACCTCTTGCGAGGACTGTTTTCGGTAAGCGTCCACTGTCGAGGATCGGCATCGCGAGTTTCGGCACGCTCGAGGACACGACGGGCGAGCGGTAGTATCACTGAATGAAGTTTTGTTCCGAACGCCCGACATTCTTGTTCTGAAGAGACTTTGTTAAGCCTGGGGACGTTTTGAATCAAGTCTGTGGCGGCTTGATCGGACTCGTGAACCATCTTCAAATCGACTAACAGAATCTCGAGCGCTTTGGGTAGGCGCTCGAGGACACACGCACTGAACATGACCTTCATTGGAAAGGAGGAGAGGGTTGAGACGTCTTTAAGCCCTTCGAACGAAATTGTCCCCTTAGTGGTTCCCGGTATCACGGGCTCGAGACCGTCGTCATCGAATTCGAGATCGAAGACATCCTCTGGGAGGTCGTGTTTATCGATCAATCCGAGCGACTCGGAGGTGACTCGGAGGCGGCGGTTCATGACTTGGTGGCGGAGGCTGCAGAGCGAGCAGGCTGCGTTGAAGCAGAAGAGCTCAGATCAGCAAGAAGGGTGCAGCGGCTGAGCGGAGGAGCGTGGTGGTAGGCAGGCAAGAGTGGTCCAGAGCTGGAGATTGGCCGAGAAGGGAAGAAGCTTCCCACCGATCGAGAGGAGAGTCGGGCCCGATCTCGCGCTTGAACGGTCCGCGCCAATCTCCTTGACGACCGATCTTCGTGTGCGATCGTCGCCAGCCACGACGACGTCATGAGGCAGTGTCGCTTCAATCAAGACACTTCTTCAAATAAATCAAGACGATTGTTCGAATTCGGGGCTTGCCGGAGCAAGTTCCGAGTCGTCAGGTATCGTCCCCTTATCCAAGCAGATTAGACCTCGAATGTGTAGAAAGCCTTTGCCCCTTGTCGCCAATACCGTGGATCATGTGAACAAGGGCATTGCCGCATGCCGGATGCAGCTATTTACATACATTTGAGAGGACGCTTCACACAAATCACAATACATGAAACTGCTCATAGCCACCCGGACGGGATTGAGCGACCAGGGTGTTCTCAGTCATGTGAGGAACGGGCTTTCGCCGGAGGAGTTTATCGAGAGTTGCGACGGGCGACTGGGCACGAGCCCCTCGAAAGCTCAGAAGATCCTGAGCCGGGAATGGTGCAGGGGTAGAAACTCAAAGGTGAAAGCGTCAAAACCTCCGTTCCGGGCTACACCTCCACATGACCTCGACTTGGAGTCGATGGGCGGTATTATTACGAGATAAGCACATTTGTGAAATGATGACACGGGGATCAAGAAAACGATTTCGTGGAGGAGGCGCCGAACTCCAAGCGGACTAAGGAGGTGGGAAGAGCTGCCTTTGATCGCAAAAAGGCGTTGAGAATGTGCCTTATGCGCTTGCAATGCAACAATGAGAGAAGCCGTCCAACTCAGACATCTCCCTTGATCTTCTCCCCTTCCGTGTCGGACTACGACCGATAAACCTCCCCTAAACCTCACCCCTCGCACTCGAACTCTTACTAGCGAACTTATTCCCTTTACCCTCTTTCCCTCCCTTCTCCTCCTCACTCACTCAATCCGATACTCTGGTTCTTTCTCCTCCATCTCAGGGGACATACTCATACTAGGCGATCGGGACATGTACCTCCCTTCTTCACCTTCATCATCACTGCCCACCGCCCTTTCCTCTGCACCGCTCCTCTCAACCTCCTCAACACCACGCCCGACGTCGACCAAATTGAGTTTGAGCCATATGTCACGGGTGAAAAGTGCCTAGAACGTGACACTTAACCATCCTTCGTGTCCTCAGTTGACTATCATTCGAGCACCTCATAAACGTTGACAGGGTCGAATGTCAACCTCACATGAAGCCTCGCCAGTGCTCTCAGATACCTTCTCGAGTCAAACACACCGCCTTCGGCACTTGCCTCTACCCTCCACACAGCCCAATCAAAAGAACGCACTTGAACTCCTTGGGCTCAAATGGCCCAATAGGAGGAAGTTGCAACAATCTGAGGGCGACGCACATGACTTCTGTTGGCCGGGTATTAGCGTACGTCCCGCCCAGGTATCGGATGTTGAAGGCTTCGTCGATGACTGTGGCGGCGTCGAGGGCAGAACAATGTCCCTCTATGGAGGGGGGAGATGCGTGGGGTGTATAGTCGGGGAGGGGGGATGAGTTGCGAGGGGAGTTGCGAGGGGAGGGGATCAGTGGGGCCGAGGCGGGAGTGGAGGAGGGAGGGGTGGTAGAGGTGCCCAGGGAAGGAGCGGGAATAGTTTGGACGCAATTTGATGACTTTCTCGAGGAGGTACTGTGGCAGCGTTGAGCACTTTGTGGGGCACGGTACGGTGAAACCTGCATTGACAAGGGTCAAATAACGTGCATGCAGAATTGGGTTTCCGAGGATTCAGGCCGCGATCGTCCCATTCCAAACACCAGTCTACACATCCCGATCATTCCGTATACCCCACCGTACGAACATTGAAGTTAATCCTCGCGCCCGTTTCCAAGAACTCGCCAAACAACTTCCAGTCATCCTCCTCTTGTCCTTCCTCCTCTCTGAGGTTCAAGGTACTGGATAGGTAGGGTGGCAACGTGTCGGAGAGAATTCGCGGAACACCTGTTGGGTACCATTTGGTAGGCGAAGAAGTGGGAAATAGAGTCAGCGTCCGCAGATAGGAGGTTTTCTTTCGGGTGCATCGCTACCCAGACTGACCATGGAAGACCCTCCGTCCTCTCTGACCCGACATGATCAACCCGTCCCCTGACTGAAGCTCAATCGCAAGGGGTGTGATATCCCTCGTCGGTCCGCCGATGAGGAAGATGGCGGAATGGCCGATGCTGTGCAGGGCAAGAAAAGGGGGAGTGGGGTTGAGCTACTTGTGCTCACCTCTTCGGGTTATAGCACACTTTTGGGGTTGGACTGCGTACCTGAATGAAACGAGCGGTTGAACGGCGTCCAATTCGGAATGATCGATGTGGGCGGTCAAGGTGTCCCTCAATTGGTACTATATCGCCGCCGCTCATCAGCTCCACCATCCAGAGAATAAGCCCAAACTTCCACAAGACTGACAAAGTTGACGATTCCCGCATCCGGTTCATACTCCTCTCTCCACGTATCCCAGACCTTCCCACCCCCCTCATGCAGTTCCTCCTCGCCTGTCCCCTCGAAAACCTGATCCCAGTCAACACGTCGTACAGCTTCCTTGCAACACCGATGGATCAAAGGGGGTAGATTCGAATGCGGTAGAGAGAAGTTGTAGACTTTGGATGTCCAATCGTAGTTCCAGCCTATGGTCGTCCAACGCAATTTGGTGAGGAGGTCATGGACCGTATAGTCCGCTGCAGCTGCCGAGGTTGCTGCGTCGATGGGAGTCACGAGTTCCTTCTTGGGCAATGGAGGGGGAACGACGACGATGTTCTCTTTATCCTTCTCCTTCTCTGCCCTGCCAATCTCATCCTTCCAATTACCCTTTGTTACAGGCTCGAAAATGACTTGATCCCTCCCGATAGTCCCATCACTCTTGGGCGAAATCCTCTTACATAGTCTCCCCCCCTGACCCGCTTCAAAGGCGTTCCAGATCCCTTCGAGGGGTAGATCGTAGTGCGGGGAAAGGGAGGTGAGGTTCGGGGAGACGGAGTGCCGGAGGGATTCACGGACTAGGGCCCGTTGGAGTGCGGGTGGGAGAATGGAGGGGAAGAGTATGATGCCTGAGGAGGAGGAGGACAGCGAGGATGAGCACCGGTTCACAAGTGGGGGGAGGGGGTGAAATGATTTGCTAGCTCACCTGGCATGTTAGGGATGGTGACCGCATAATCACAAGTATCCCGTCTCTCTTCCTTTCCCACCTGTTTCCCCTTCCACTTCTTGTGACCAAGCACACCCTCCTCGTCGGGCCTCAACCGAATCCTAAAACATTCCAAGCTCAGCCCCTGTCCATCCTCCCAAACACCACGCACTCGCTCCTCCTCCCCTTTGCGAGGCTGATCCCACCGTATCCTCTCATAAGACAACGCCCTCCCAAAGTCCAAAGGTTGCGATCGGTTCTTCCAATACCTCTCGGAGGTGCGAAAGGCCGAATCGTTCGAAGGCGCGGTCGTTTGCGGTACTTGGCGTTGACGACGTTGTTTCGAGGTGAGGGTCGGTGGAGGGGTGAACGAGGTCGACGCTACGGGAGTAGACTCGGTCATCTTGGGCGGAGTCCACACTGTGAGGTGTGGCCGACGAGGAGGTCGACGGAGGAGCTGACAAGGTGAGCGTGCGAAGCGGCGGTCTGCTCCGGCTTCAAGTCGGTCATCGGGCGAGTCGGTCATCGGGGAAATATTATTGGGTATGTCGACTTGACAACATGGCCAGAAAATTAATCTTTTCATTGACCAGTTTTGACTGGAGATGAAATGAAAATTTGATAATCTCCGCTGGCACCAACCTACGAACCCATTTCGGCTCGGAAGTTGGGAAATTCCCGATCGGGTGCGGCCGGGGGCTGTCGGGGTGCGTGGGCGAGTCTGAGGCCTCCTTTCGAGTCTCGACCTCTCTCGTACCCCACACCACGCACAGCTCGTCCGTCATGTCTCTCCAAAACACATCCCGTAAGTAGCGGCACTGGGCTCAGGCTGCGTCGGAGCATCTAGCTCTCTACGGGGGCATGTGTGCAGTATAGTCCGATCGCTGACCCGCGGCTTGCACCCCACTGCCGCACACCTCGACTCGGTGCAACAGGTATGGTCCTCCGAAGGGGTCTCTTGCGACCTGCGACCATCGTAGCGAGCCGGTAAGCCTCTCCTCCGAATCCCGCATCCCGCATCCCGCATCCCCAGCCACCCAGCACTAGCTCACGTATGCCTCCCCTCCTCGACCCCCGCCGCCGTTCCTCGACTCAGACCGGTCTCGACGCAATCGCTCACCTCGGAACAGAACTTCGACCTGCTCAACAAGCAACGAGCTCTCCGACCCAACTCGCCTTGGCACATCTACCAGCCCCAACTGACGTCCGTGTCCTCGTTCGCGAACCGTGCGACCGGCGTCGGCTTGACTACTGGTACGTTGAAGCTTCCAGCTCGGTTTAGACTCGGGCGAGACTGCCGTGGCGGGGGGGGGTGGCCCATCGCGTCGATGCTCATTGGTCCGCGGTGGCGGCAAGAGAGGAGGGAGAGAGCCACCACGGCGCCCCCCCCCCACTTTGCCTGGCAAACTCCACTCATCGTAAGGTTCCCGCCAAAGACGCAATCAACTAAACTCGTCCCGCTCTTCGCGCACAGTCTTCTACGCCGCGTTCCTGTCGCACCTCGCCGGCCTCGACTCGGCGACGATGGTCCAGTTCGTCGCCGACCTGCCCGAGTGGTTCAAATTAACGACCAAGACCGCCTTGGGCGGCGCCATGTCGTACCACACCATCAACGGCTTGAGGCACTTGTCTTGGGATAGTGGAAAATGTGAGTAGCGGGGTGTGTGACGGATGTTCGAGGGTCCGAGTGGGAAGCTCGCGAACGTGCAGGGTCATCCGATTCATCATTACCCTGGGGGCTGACGCGTTTGAAAGTTGTTGCTCGATTCAGTCCTCGACCTCAAGACCTCCTACGCCGCCGGTTACGCCGTGATTGGTGCTTCCGTCGCTTCGACCTTGGCTCTTCTCGCTCTCTGAGCACGTCGACCGCATGCGAACGATAGGGCAAGGAGAGAACATTGCAGAGGACGGAGAGGGACGGAGCAGTTAACGTACAACAATTCATGTAAGACCATGAGGTTGAGTGCGGGGGTGAGAGAGGGCGAATAATATCGGTCTCGTTCACCCGGTCACCCAGTTACCTTTCACCATCGAAGAGATTTCAGAGAGAATTGCGAAACTGGCACGAGACGAACGAGAGTATAGAGGACTGGGTGCGACGCAAAATGGATGTGCCCGTCTTGAGGAACAACTGATTGCGAGAGCGCTCTATGTTCGTCCCGCCTGCAGGCATCCGATCAGACTCGTGATGTAAAGCTCATTACAGTAAGGGGCCTCTTCAAGCTTTGCGCGTTCTCCGGTCGGAAGGGCTCACGACCGCTGGTTGCTTCTACTCCGGCGCGCGTCGCATCAATCGTCGTCTCCGGGACTATGCCAGTCACCCCTGAATGGTACAACCGCCTCGTCGGCGCGAGGATCACCCGCTTCACGTTTTCAAGCGGTTCCTGGCGCTCCCTTTCTGCGACTTCGGTTCGTTCACCCCGACTTTATCTATCGGACTTCCCGCCCGCGCACTCTCGCCAAATTCAGCAGAGTCCAAGGTGTCGTACAAGAGGGACGCCTTCCCATCCATGACCGAAGTTGGCGATGTCAGTAGACTGCTCGTCAAAAGTCTGTGTACCACAGCTGCGGGCCGAGTCCGCATTGGCAAGGCATGGACCGGACTCACCAAGCTCGACTACAATGAAATAAGGCGCCGCATAGAACAATCCGAAACGTCCGTGAGCGGCGTGCAGAATATGCAGTGACATCTACCGAGGTACCGAAAAGTAAACATGAGTGAAAAGACTGAGCTTGACGTTCTTTCCCGCACTCATAGCTCACTTGTGCCACCATCGCTGAACCTCTTCCAGTGTTTGGTCTTTGCCCTGAGCATCGAGGATGCGCATGTTGATGAGCCCTCCGCGACCAGGGGCTGGCAAGGGTGACATCCCCTCGTCAACGTTCGGAGCTGCCTCGTGCTCGTAAAGGAGCTCAAGCCTTTCAATTGCGGTTGATTCGAGGACCAAACTGAGAGAAGCTCTGAAGACCGGGTACTCATCCTATCGTTGACGATGGTTTTCGCTGAGCGACTCATCTTAAGACGGCAGATTATACAAGCCATTCTGCATCGCACAGCAGACCGCGTGTTTCTAAACAGCCTCTTTCCAATCTTTCAACCGGCTCGAACTCAGCTTTACCGACTCCGAAATTTATCATTTGCGCCACGAAGCGCCTCGATTCGGCGTAGTCGCCGATTATCCCTGTGGCAAACGCTCGAGCTTTATATACTTCGCTGACGTATCACGTGTTAGAATCAACGATGATTCCGAAATGATCTACAAAAGAAGATAAACGGCTGGACCAGGAGTCGAACCTGGGTCGCTTCCATCAATTGGAAAAGCTTTGACCTACTAAGCTATCCGGCCCCCGATATCAGTGCAAGGTCTACTAACACCTTCAAGATCACGCAACTCACTCGACTCACGCTACAAGCTAGGGTCTCACCGGTTGTGATAGGAGCTCCTCCTCCATAGAACCATGACTTGGTGGACGGTTAGCTCTCTCTTCAGCGCTTCGACTTTGACGTTGGGTTCACATCTACGGAGCACCTCTGCTTCGACTCCGGCTACGGTTCCGAATTCTACTCCTTCGATTCCGGATTCCGAGGAGAATTCGCAAAAACACATTGTATTAGGTACGACGGCGACGCTCACCTAACACAGGGGTGAAAACTGTACCGTCAAAATTGGCGCGAACAGGTCCACGCGGACGGTTCCCAGCTGGTCGTGCAATGTTCTCCTTTTGCCATCCCCTCCTTCGTAGATCTTGACTCCGCAGAATGTCCTGGATTGTAAGCTCATGTTCGAACATGCGCTGACTTTTTGCATCTGCGTGGTTAGGGGTTCAAGCACTCCTCACCGCCCCACGATTTGTCAATGGAATCAGAACCTCGTGCAGTGTTGGTGGTACTATGTCTCACCCGTTGACGCGCCGCCCAAGTCCTCTCACCAGCAGGAGGCGGCCGGCGGCCGCCGGTGAACACTTCCGGAGCCGCTCGAAATATCATGGCCTATTCATTTCAGAACGTGTATTCGTAAGATAATAGACGACAAGATGTTTGACAAGCCTGCTAGGCGAAGAGAGGAGCAACGCACCGAGGAAAAGAAGTCAGGAGTCCGTAATCCTTGATGCAACTCCCACGACACAGATTCGAGCATCGACTTCTACGGCTCCGGCCGCCAGAGCCCAATATGATTGATACATCCCCGTGGACAGATTCATTGCCGTCTCACAGCTGCAGGGACTCTGAGTTTCTTGCCCTCGGTGACAAGGGAGGTCACTCGGCTAGCCCGTCAGGACCCCAAATTTGAGGCATGTCACTTGCGGGTAGGCGCCCGGGACCGCCCAGAGCTGTGAGTGTGGAGCCTCATCGGAACCGTGGACCGGATCAGCGCAACCGAGCGCCCAAGAAACCGTCTTCAAATCGCTGCCCATCTTAGGTTCCCCGGGCTGATGCCCGTGTTCGATCATGTCCCGAGTCGTAGGTTTTTATAGTGACGTCAGGTTAGCACTTTCTACGTGCAGACTATTCGAACTCCTTTCACATTCGGCCCTCCTGCTGGCGCTTACGAAAATTGGCTGCCATCGGCAACACCAGCCTGCAGGCGCGCTCGGCGGCTCACGCATCGGCTGGCGATCGCCAAATGCATGCATTCATATTGGGGGGATCACCCAGGAGTCTCATTGTAGCGACATATCCCTAGATAGAACAGTGCACAGGAATGGTACCCGAGGAGAGATTTCGTGTGCTGGGAAAGGCAAAAACAAACAGGAGAGACCGCATTTTTTTTTTTTTTTTTGAGTCGTGTGAGGAACATCAGTAGTGCCAAGCGGGGACGCGTCGTCGGCACCAGCGCCTGCCAGTCCTCACGAGTGCAGACGGGTGCTGCCGCAGCCTGCCGCAGCGGCAGGCAGCGGCGCGTCTCAAGGACTGCGTGAGGCCTTGAGGGCCGTTGTCGCTCAGTCTCCCTTTCGACATTCCCTCGACCTGGCACGGCACCACATCTTCTCGAACCCACTCGACCTTGACGCACTCCTCGTGACGCTCAACACATCCATACGTCAAAGTCATTCATTGGTCTGCCCCTCTACACAGACATTTTTCTCGGCCGCGTGTGCCGCAGCTCGTTTCAAAGTCGTGAGTGAGCTCTCTCAGCGGCGCAGGGCCCCCCCACCCCGAGCGCGCGTCGGTTTCGCGTCCACGGCGCCGAGGATGAACCGTGGACGTGCGGCATCACGCGCTGGGACGCAAGACAAGTGCTTCGAGGACGTGTGGGGGGCATCCATGTGCACCTGGCCAGCCTGGGAACGTGTCGGGTCACTAGGTGTCGGCGTGTTGGTTGAGCGTGAATGGCGAGGGAGTACTTTAGATTCGATCTGCGATCGAGCGTAGGCCCGTCGGTCGCCTCGCCAGTCGCGGTCGTGTCGCTCAACGTCGCCTCCGCTCCGCGCCTCACCCTCGTCGCCCCTTTTGCCGCGGGCTGCTTTGTCACGCCGTCGTGGCGATTTGGGTGATTTGCAGACAGCGCCATGCACACGATACACCCCTTATATACTATGCGTGTCTCTCGGTCGAGTATTGTCACTGACCATGTCATTCCTATGCGCTTCTTTTCATGCGCGCTTTCAGGCTCGACCCGCGCTAAATTGAAAAAAGATTCTGATCGGGCGATCACCATCAACGATCGAGATTTTCAGGAGGTCGATCGGCAACCCCTTGCGCTTGATCTTCGACCCGGCTCACCCTCGCCGTCGCTTGATCGAGTGGACCCTTCGTCTATCTACCAGGGTACTCGTCCCCTTTTGACCTACGTCCGGCCCGCTCGACATGGTCAGTGCACACTATTGTCATTGGATCGGGTCCCGAGCGCGCGCCACCACCTAGCTCGGTTGCGTTCCGGCTAGCGGCGCACGTTCGTTGAGCTCCGGACCAATTGCCTTGATAGCAGCCCACTTATCCTGCGTCTTTTTGGGTTTGTTCCAATTTTGGGCTCACTTCACCCAGGCTTACCAGATGCAACAACAATCGACGTCGCGGCTGTTGCCAGCTTTCGATCCGGTCCCGACCACCACTGGGCTGGACCCCTCGTCAAGCTTGCCAGGGGGACCGGCCTCACCGGCTTTGAGCTACGCCTCTCGTTCGACGCTTTCGACTTCGTCGTCAAGCTCGAATTCGACTCCGACCTCGTTGCAATCCACCACCTTGGGTCCTCAGGCTCGCTCATCGTCTCTCTCCGCGGGTGTGACTCACCCCGTCTCGTCGGCAAGGACCGTGGCGGATCCTTCCCCTGGGGCCGAGCACACGAACTTGGGGCAGGACACGCCGAGACGGTCGGTCGATGAGCTTGGCCCTACGAACTCGACGATTGAGGACTGGCTCTACCCACCAATCCAGTCCGTGTGCGTCCCGTACCACTCGAAGCAGGACCGACATTGCTATTATGCGTGCCGCGTGGTACCCGTACCCGACCCCTCAGCCAACAACGCTTGCTCGCCCGTCTCCTGCAATGCATCCTTCTCGCCTGCTTCATTTTTCTCGTCCAATGGTCGCCCACCTTCGGTGACTACGGGCAAGATGGCGATGGCGAATGCCAGGGAGCCCCATACTGTGTTTCGACGCTGGAGCGAATTCGTAGATTTTCGTGCAAGGTACGCACTGTTCTTTCTTTTTCCACGGGATTGATCACCCGAGCCGTTGCGCTTGAGCCTTCCCCATTTCATTAACTGACGACCCACTTTGGGCAATTCACCCAGGCTGGCGTCTGCCTTCCCAATCGCCAACCAGCCCTTCCCGAGATCGGCTGGCTTTCCGTCCGAGCAGGGCAGTGCCGTCGCGATCCCACGCCTCTCGTCGAAAAAATCTGTGTTCTTCGGTCGCCAAACAATCCTCGACGAGCGACTCAGCGAACTCGACCTGTTCACGCGATCCCTGTTCGACTTGCCCCATCACGTCAAGAACAGCGTGTTGGTCCGCGACTTTTTCCGCCTGCGCGAGAGCGACGTCCACAGCGGAAGTTCGAGCCCCTCGCCGTCGAGCATCTCGACGCCGCCGGCGAGATCTGACTCGCCGTGGGGTGACACCCCCAACGATGGCGGCGATTCATTCGCGCAGTTCCTCGCCGCCGCGGCCGCCAAGGACGAAGAGAACATTTCACCCAACGCGACGATCCGCGCCTTCCCGCCGGGTAGAGCCCAGAAGGCTCGACCTCGGCTGCCTCTGCATGCTTCGTCGACGAACCTCCGCGTCGCCGCTTCGTCAAATGACTTGCGCAGCCAATTCGGTCATCTTCGACCCGCGCAGATGGATCGATCTGCTTCGTTCGACCCTGCGTCAGTCGCTTCGCGATCGAGTGGGTACGCCGAGTCAACGACCTCGACCATTACGCCCGTCTCGATCTCCAAGGCCCAGGCGTTGCAGCGCGTCGCGTCGCCTCTGACGACGACGGCGACGGCCAGCTCGAGCTCGAAGGTCTTGACCCAGTCCAAGGACGACAAGAAGCGACCCGGACTTTTGCGCACGTTCCGATCGCTCGGTGATTTGCGATCGTCGGCCAACAGCCAGATTGCCCCTGCCCTTCCATCCGAGCCCGTACCGCAGCTCTCGGCGTCGAGAATGCTCCGTGCGGTTACGCAGCCGATGCCGAGCCTCGTCTCCCTGGTGGCACCAGGTCCCGCTGGTCTTGCCTCGAGCGCACCACTCCAGTCGTCGAGCCCGGCCCCAAACACGTCGCCTTTCGCCTTCCCGCCTTCTAGCAACGGCTCCAGCTCCAGCTCTAGCCTGATGCCTCAGCCCTTGTATGCGCCAGCAATGACGCGCCATCGATCGGCCAACTCGAAGTCTTCGTCGACGTCTTCGTTCGAGGACGTGTGGGGCAGTTCGCAGCCCCACCACGCGCAGCCAATGGCGGATCCCTCGGCGGCGTTCCGACGTCACCCCTCTTCGGGTCGCGTCGATCGCATCCCCTCGACGGATTTGCGACCTCGACGGCCTTCGATGCCGACGCGCGGTTCGGGCAGCAATGGTTCGCTCAAGCCGATCCCGGGCCATACTCCGCAGTCGGCTTCGCTCTCGAGTCTTGAATCGAAGCGCAGTTCGCGTTCGTCCGTCATGAGTCGATCGCTAAGCGAACAAAGTGCCGACGGCCGATGGACGCGCCGCGACTCGACCGACTACTCGTTCTCGGATCTGAGCACACCCTCGACCCCGCAGAGCGAGCTCGGCTCATCGAAGCACCAGCAGCAGCAAAAGGACCTTGAGCTGGCGTTGTCGAACAAGGTACCCTTGCCCATGTTCTTCCCCGTTCCCCCCAAGGCATCGACCTTGCCGGCTTCGACTCGCATGGAGGCGTTCTACTCGCAAGACATGACACCCCACACCCCCTCTGGCCGACGCCCCTCCCACGAATTCCGACCTCGAGCGACCTCGTCGTCTTCTTCTTCGTCGCTGTCGTCATCGCGGCGCTTGCCGCTCGACACCATTCTCGCTTCTCCGAGGGCCGAGACGGGGATCGCTTCGCCGGCATCCGCGACCTCGACGGGGTCCGCCGCATCCCTCTGGTCGCCCTCGTCGGCGGGTGTCAACGGCTCGCTGCCACCGCACGAGCGACCTCACGTCACGTTTAAGCTTCTGCACCCCAAGTCGAACCTCGTCGTACGCGTCAACCGCTCGAGCTTGACCCGCACGGCTCTTCTTGAACAGGCACACGCCAAGTTCGCAACCGTGGGCGTGCACCTCGAAGGTGATTGGGGTCTGTTGTACCACGTTCGCTCGAGCTCGACGGCATCGTCCTCTCAAGCGCCCGTGCTCATCGTCACAGATGAGGATCTCACTTGGGTCCTCGCGCGCAGTGCGATGGTCGAAAAAATCAGTCTCCACGTCATGACTTGAGAGATCGAAACACCCCCCAAAATCGAATGTATGCATTTTCCCCGCACCGTCAACCATCATGTATCGGTTACTTTGTTCCTCCACCCTGTGCCACTACGGCTTTGGCGCCACCCACCTTCCCCTCACCCTCCGCTTGTGTCTTGCTTTGCGACCTCCATCCCTTGCGACCGCCTGCCCGCATCGCGTATTGCTTTGACTGTGTTGTATCACCCTCGCCCCGCCCCAGCTTTCGTCTTTAACCGCCCTCGTTGTTTTATTCCTCGTGCCGTCGTATACGATCTATGCCGGTCCCCATGTTAAGCTGTATCGCTCTTGTCCGTTCTATCGCGTGTATTCCAAAACTTTCATCACGAACTTCCCTCATATGCAAGGTTTTCAAGCTTGGAAGATCATGCTCATTTGAGTATATGATCAGCAGATGCGAGAAAAGAGTGAGAAGTTGGAATTAATCGGATGGCTTGGGAAACGCGATGATGCATTACGACAGCTTACGACGCAGCTCGCCGATGGTCGACGCGATTGAGCCTAGCTCTGGTCAGCTCTGGCTGTTCTGGCTCTCCTTTTGATCACTACAGTGCCGGCGCGCGAGTCCCCATTTCCCCACTTTGACGCGTCAGTGCAACACACCTACAAGCCTTGTGCGCGTTCAGAGCCTGGAAGCTGCATTTGAATCACCCGGCCTCGGCGATTCACAGAGTTGCGTGGAGGACGTAGCTCGACCATCTTCGTCATCGTCATCGTGGCGCTCCCACTTGGCCTCGCGGCATGTTCGCGATGCGTATTTCGATGCTGCAAGCGCATGGAGCGCAATGCCGATAGGTTGACAAGGAAAGGTAAGCCATCAAGATTCATTGCTCGCTGGTGCCCTCCGCTAACCCGCTTCCTGCTCGCTCGTCGCAGTCGGTCCTTTGTTCATCACCGTGGCGCTCATCATCATCATCATCTGCGGGTGGACATTCTTCGAGGTAGGCGCCGTTTTATAGGCACAACAGAAGACTCTGTAATCTGATACCCATCGAAATGGGCGTTCTGCAGGTAGTTCATCCCAGCAAATTCCGTGGACCGAACGTCTCTTGGCCGAGCTTCCTGCTCGGCACCTTTCTGTTGCCTTATCTCGTCGTCATGGTGTGTTTCCATGTGAGCGTCACTTTCTGCACCTGAATTGATACAACGAGGGAGATTGGACGCGAACTCTTTTTCCAACAGTACTATCAAGCCATCACCGTCCCCCTGGAACCCCTTTCGATCCTCAGGGAGCAAACCTTGTCGATTCGAGACCTCTGCTCGCTTGGCTCGAATGCACCCCTCTAGCATTCCTTGTCCGGTCTCAAAAATTGACCAGGACAAATGAACATACCACAAAAGCGGTCAGGGAGATCAATCTCGCTAGGGAACGCGCTGCGACTACGAGGAAGGTCGATCGGACCGGCGATCACACGGAGACGGAGGAGCCAGGCCCTATGCCGCATGAAGGCCATCGGGGTGCAGTAGCGAGAGTGTGCAGGAAATGTCCTTTGAGGGAGGACGGGCACCGGCCGATCAAACCAGGTAAGCTGCCGTGTACACTCTTATGATGGAGAGGCCTAGAGGCTGACACCTCCGAGGTCCCGTTGAAACCTCAACAGAGCGGACTCACCACTGCTCCGTGTGCCAAACGTGCATCCTGTGTTATGACCATCACTGTCCTTGGATCAATAGTAAGTATCAATCTAATTGGACTATTGAAACTCAAATGACGAGTGAATTTCTCTGGCGGTAGATTGCGTCGGCCTCAACAATCAGCGCTACTTCGTTCTCTTCCTGTGCAATGTCTCCGCTACGTGCGCGTTCATGTCGTACCACAGCTGGGGCTCAATGTGGATGGCAATTGCTTCTATGGAATTGGTTAGTTGGTTGGAGCATCCGCTTTTCGAAACCCTTGGCAAATGTAGGACTTACAATAGACGGACCGTTGCGATAAACAGGATTGGCCTTATTGGGCGCCGACTTACTTTGTGCTGCTGCTGTGGATCATGACCCTCGTCCTCGCCCTGGCGCTGACCGTCATGACGGCATTGTGCGTTCATCAATCGCCGCTTTGCTTTTAAAATTAGGCAGCTGACAAGTCTTGCGATCCGTGGCGCAGTCAATTCTGGCAGGTCATGATTGCCGAAACGACGGTCGAATCGTACGACCACGAGCATTACGCCACCATTATGGCCGCCCGCGGTCGAAAGTTTCTCAACCCTTACAACCTAGGATGGAAGCGCAACTTGCAGGTCTTTTTCAATCTTCGACCCGAGGGACGATATCATTGGTTGACTGTTCTCTTGCCGATACCGATCGGCCCGAATGGGGATGGATGGAGTTGGAAAAAGAGAAAGGGTTGGAGAGAAGGAGCTATAGCTATGGATGAGGAATTGACGGATGGGGGAGAAACTTCGGACGGGGAGGAAGTTCGGTAGTTTATAACGGATCGGATCAAACTGAAAATACCAAGCCACAGCAGTAAACAGTCTCATTGCATCCCCTGCTAAGGACTAAGCACTCCTGATCCCGGACCGATCCCTCCATTCCTCGTACCCCTGAACGACCTCGCTCGTGATCCTCCTCCGAATACTCTTGGCCGCCTCAACCAAATGTCTCCTCCCCACAGCCTCAATTTCAATATCCTCATTCATCGCATTCAAAGCCGCGTCTTGACAGATACCCGCGATTTCAGCGCCTGAACACCCATCGGTCATGGAAGCGAGTTCTTGGATGTTGACGTCGGAGGAGATGGACATGCGATTGAAGGCGAGTTGGAAGATTTCGATGCGGGAGGGGAGGTCGGGTGGAGCGACGTAGAGGATGCGGTCGAGTCGACCTGGGCGCATGAGAGCGGGATCCTATCGAATGATGGTGCGAGAGAGAGAGAGCGTTAGTTGCGACCTTCTGCCTGAGAGGGCGGATGCGCAGCCTTGAAAGGACTTACGATTACGTCGGGTCGGTTCGTCGCGGCAAGAACGATGACGCCGTTCAACTCTTCGATTCCGTCCATCTCGGTCAACAATGACATGAGGACTCGATCCCCCGTCGGACCGGACGAGTCATCCGATCCACGCGCGGGTGCGAGCGCATCGATCTCATCCTTTACAGAAGCAAATTGAGGTTAGCTAACTTCTCCTTCTCCTTTGAGGACCAGCAGCTAAATCTCGCGATTGACGTACGAGGAACACGATCGAAGGTGCGGCGGCCCTAGCCTTGCGGAAGATCTCCCTGATCCCCTTTTCCGACTCCCCAATGTACTTGTTGAACACCTCCGGCCCTTTGACGGCTATGAAATTCAACCCTCCTTCATTCGCTAGAGCCTTGGCGATCAACGTCTTACTGCACCCTGGAGGACCATACAACAGAACACCTCGGGGTGGTCGAACACCCAATCTCTTGAACGTCTCGGGATGTAAGAGAGGCCATTCGACGCATTCCCTTAGGCGGGCTTTGACGTCGGCTTGACCACCGATGTCGGACCATTTCACTTTGGGCGTCTCGAGGAATACTTCACGCATTGCTGAGGGACGCGTTGAGAGGAGGGCGGCTTCGAGATCCGAGGCAAGGAGTTTCTGGTCCGAGAGGTCTTTTGGGGTAGGTGAAGTGTTGATCGAATTGAAAGAACGCTTGATCGCGTTCAGACCAACGGTGTGGACCAAGGAGGACAGGTCTGCGCCGACGAAGCCATGGGTTCGCGCAGCGGCGGAAGCGAGGGTCGCCTCGTCTAGAGCATGTGGCATCCTTCGAAGGAGCACACGCAAGATCGATAACCGCGACGCAGCATCGGGAACACCAATCTCGATCTCTTTATCGAACCTCCCCGGTCTTCGAAGTGCAGGATCGATCGCGTTCGGTCGGTTCGTAGCGGCGATCACAACGACCCTCGGTCGTTCCTCATTCGATCTATCCTCATTCGTTTCCTCGCCTGATTCAGAGTCAACGACCGTGTCCTTTTCCTCCAATCCATCCATAAGCGTCAAAAGCGTGGCCACGACCCTTCTTTCAACCTCGCCCCCTTCCTCTCGATTGGGTGCCAAAGCGTCCACTTCATCAATGACAATCACGGCGGGTGACTTGCGCTTGGCTTCGGCAAAGACGTCCCTCAGTCGAGCTTCGGTCTCGCCGTGGTATGCGGAGGAAAGCGAGGGCCCGTTGATGGTCAGGAGGGTCGAGCGTGTCGATTGGGCGATTGAGTAGGCGAGCAGGGTTTTGCCCGTTCCTGGGGGGCCGTAGAGCAAGATTCCTCTCGGTGGTCGGAGACCTGGTCTCAGAGGAGACGACTTCGTTAGCTACGATGATACAAGTCATGTTAGTACTTACGCTATGGCGTACCAAAATGATTAAATACCTCGGGCCGAGTCAGAGGCCACTCGACCATTTCGCGAATCTGTTCAATCTGAGCCTGCATCCCACCGATCGCTTCGTATCCAGGCATGTCCCCTGTCCTAGCGATCGAAGTCGAGCTTGATGCGCCAGCTGAAGTCGTTACTGCGGCCCTTCTCTTGGGTAAGGGTGCGATTGGAGGTTTGAAGGTGACGGATGTGGATCGAGAGACGAGGAATACTTGGTTCGGAGCTACTTTGAAAGGATGCGAGGTTGGGGCCGGTCGTGCCGAAGAAACCAGCAAACGTCGCAGTACGCCGTTGAAGGTCAACTCGAAGAAGTGATGGAGAGCAACGTATTTGATGTCGACTGCAGGGGGGACCCAAGGGAGGATGATCGGTGGGGTTCTGCTGTAAAATCGATGGAGAGATATCCTTGCTCACCGAGGACTTCTTTGGCGTAGGCTTCAAAGAAGCTGTCCTTTGCGGCTTTGCCCTTGGAGTCGTAGATGAGGGTGACGGTCTCGGCTTCAAAGACGGACAGGCCCGAGTCGGTGAGGGTGTTGAGCATCGAATCTTCTCCCAGTGTAAGACCCGAGTTGGCGAGTAGTAGCGACGAGACCGCGACCGCCGAGTCGGAGGCTGAGGCGATTCGAAAAGGAGCACGTCAGCTCGTACTCATGAACTAGTCGAGGCACTTGCGATCCGTACCTGATGCGGACAGAGTGAACGAGGGCCAGGCTACACCAACAGCAAATTTGGGCTGCTCCGTCGACGCCGGAGCATGCGAGGTCGGCAGCTCCGTCTGGCGGCGGACAACGTCCCGGACGATCAGCTGGGGCGCACGAGTTGGGAGACTGTATAGCACTGACCTTGCTTATACTGAGTGCACTGATGCCATCCTCCAACGTCGAAGGAGCCGCAGCGGGGCGTGGACGAATCACGAGCGCATCGCCGGCGCAGATCCTCCTCGCCTTGAGAACCTCTGCAGCGACGTGGATACGCTTGAGTTGTCGTGCGGGCGCCGTGACGGAAGAGGACGGCGTGGGAGCCAAGGTGACCTTGAAGGGCCGTCGACTGAGCGCGTTGTCCATTCCGAGGGCTTCAGGGGTCCTCTCGTCACCTCGGTCTGCGGAGGTGGTCGTGCGAACGTAAACGAGGAGCAGCATGCAGCACGTGACCTGACCCGCGCCAAACGCCAGACTGCCGGAAATTTTAACGCATTTACCCACTATTAGGTAGGCCAATTCCGCATGGCGACGGAGCAGAATGGGTAGTTTTTTTTATAATTTTTAATCGTATTAATTGATTCAAGCGGGCTGTATCGACCTTGACCGTCACTCGGGTGTTACAACTGCATTTTGCAACAAAGTCTCAGGCACCCCACGTTGGGTGGCCTCGATCGTCGATCGCTAAAACGACCGATCCGATCGAGCGACTTCGATCTGGGCGGTCGCCGAGCGCTCCTGGTGATCTCACACCGTTCCCTCACGTCTCGGGGCTCCAACACCCTCCAGCACGACCTCTGGGCTTGTGCTCCACACTTGTAGGGAGCTTGAGTCGCCTTCAAGTCGTGGTAGTTGGCCGTATCTGCGAGCAAGGACCCTCGCATCGTCCCTGGCGTCCTCGTGGTTCAAGTCGTCACCCTCACACTCCCTCTGCCAGCTGCATACACACGTTCATTCACGCAACACGTCGCCAGCCGCCCAACGTCACAAAGATGGATTACCTCTCCCGATTCACCACGACCTCGTCAGCGGCGAAATACTACTGCAACCGTTTCAACGTGCCCCGCCTTGCCGAAGGACCCAACCTCGCGCTCGCGCTATTTGGCTGTAGCTTCTTCTTCGCCGCGCAGGCCGCATCCCGCTACTGTTCGCGCAGGCTGTTCCCCAAAATCTTCAAATCGCTTGATGAGAAGACGAGGAACGATTGGGATCTGCACTTTGTAAGTCGTCCGGCTAAGCGCAGCCTAGCCTCCGTGATGGTTGAGCCCCACTTCTGCGAGCCCGAGGATTTTCGGAGAGCTGACACCGAAGCGGCCTCTTTGACAAACCTACAGACGGGCTGGGTCCATGCTCTCATCTCGGCCCCTATAGCGCTCTACCTCATCTGGAATCCTTCGCCTCAACTGGTGCGCGACCCCATCTTTGGCTACGCCCCCCTCGAAGGCGCCGTCTTCGCCTTCTCTGGTGGCTACTTTCTGTACGACCTCCTCGTCTCGCTCGCGTTCGTCAAGTCGCATGGGATCCCTTTTGTTGTTCATGCCACGTCATGTTGCTTCATCTTCTTCAAGGTAGGGGGAGGTTTTTGTGTCGGGCGAATATTAGCTCACCTATCTCCTATCGTGCGTAGGCTTTTACCCCTTTTCTGAATGGCATTGGTCCTACGTTCCTCATTGTGAGTCGAGGCCGAGGCCCGAATCAGAGGGGACAACTATTCATTTCCGTCATATACTGAATTGAGTGCGGGCTTGCAGTGGGAGCTTTCCACAATGTGAGTGCTGCGCCGTGACTACTGCCATTTCTCTCCCTACCGATGCGCCGAAAGTTCTGAATTGAGGCGATATCTCGCCTCTTGCAGCTTTCTTCACCCCCACTGGTGGCTCGATAAGCTCAACATGACCGGTTCTACGCTTCAACTAGCTAATGGAGTCGCACTCCTTTCCGCGTAAGCAATCTCACATTTTGGCTCACCTGTCCGACCCCGAAGATTCAAACTTAATCTTCACCGAGCTGCCTCCCTGTAGTTTCTTCGGCGCCCGCATCGTCTACGGTGGTCTGATGACCTACCGCCTATGGAACCTCCTCGACGCGCCCAACATCGACCCTAAACTACGATGGGGATTTAGAGCGGCGAATTTGGCTTTGAACAGTGAGTTGTAGTGCTGTCGAAGCCTGCTCGGCTTAAACCCCCTCTTCGAGCACGTCACTGACATAGATTGTCTTCTCAACTTACACGGCTTACAGTCTTGAATTGGTCTTGGTTCATATTGATGATTCTTTCTGTGTACAAGCGCTTGGGGGCGCGGGAAAGGGATGCGAAGGGGGGCAAAGGGAAGAAAACGGTTCAGGGTAAGAAGGTAGACTAGCGGCGTCGAATCTTAGATGGAGAGCTGGTGTGTTGATTATCATATTGGTAGCTATTTTAGAGCTCAGGAGGCTGAGCTGATATATTCACTTGTTCCACGCCTCCGAGTCGGACGAGTTGAAAGGCGGGAGTGCAGACTCTAACGAAGCTAACACAGGAGCGATCTGACCAAACTAGGAAGAAACCGGGGATAATCGCCCCAAATCGCTCTATCTCACTCCCTCGAACCCACAATGCTCAAACCCCCCTCATTCCACCTTAATCTTCTTAGCCCCATGATTGACTGCACTTCCCTCCAGCAATTGCTCCCCATCCCCCCTCCCAGTATCTTCACCCTCGCGCTTCTTCCGAACAGCGACGAACCCATCGTACCCCGGCTTTAACTCCTTCAAACCCTTTCTTAGCTCGGCTTGGGGTGGTAGGACTGAGTTGAAATGGTGGATGAAGTTGACGAGGGGAATCCTCGGAGGCCTTGCGGGTGGAAGTGAGGTGAGGTCGAATAGGGGTGAGGGAGGGGTAAGGGGAGGCGTAGTACTTCGTGGTACGTCGTCCAGCGTGACTGGTTCAATTCGTTCGCCTTCCAATTGTGAGTCGTGGAAGAAGGTTTTTGAGTCCGGGGAGTCGGACTCGTATTGCGTATGCGTACGGGTCTCTGCGGACGAGAAAGGCGCGAGGCGAGTACTTCCTCCTCCTCTCTCTCGGTTGGGGAAAAGCGAGTTCTCCACGGACTGGGAAGAATTGCTGGATAGACTCGAGGAATACTCAGGAGACTCATGGCGCGCTGAGTCAGAATGGTCGGACTCCGCGGTCGCACTCGAAGATCGGATCAGTTGGGCGGCAGCGACTGTCACCAAAGGTGAGGCAGGAGAGAACCTGAAGTCAAGGTCGGAGGGTCGAAACTGCTTCGGAGGGGACGGAGTCTCTTTGGAGTGTGATGGTACGGGATCCGGAAACATGAAGGAGCGAATTGGGGTCTTGATTGAAGTTGGATCGCCGTGTGGGGCCGACGAACTCGGACTTGGCGAGGCAAGAGAGGGGTGATCGTTCCCCTCGGACTGCACAGTTTCTTCTTCCGGATCGGGTGCCGTCATCTCCCTCCGCTGAATCACGTCCAATTGGGACGGTGTGGATGACTCGTTCTCCTTCAATTGACGAGATGGTACGAGATACGGTTCGAGCGCGAGTAAGCTTTTGTGATCGAGGCAATCCCAGACGTAGCGTTGGTCGTGGAGCTTGAGGCCGAGGGCTTCGAGGCTGTGCAATGACATGGTCAACGAAATTGTGGTCTGTCAGTTTTCAATATTCTCAAGACTTATTTGCACACTTCCCACGCGAGGAGAGAGTATCTATGTTGCTCCGAGGCTCTTTCGTGGATAGGACTCACCGTGTCTCGCAATCCGATGGTCTATGCTCAACGACAAAGAAGAGATGGATCGGGATACCCTTGGGGACTTGTTCGGCTCGAGCCAAGGTACCACCATGATGAACCCAGGCTGCACGAGTTGAAATTGAACAAGAGTTGGAGAAGAAGGCGCAGAGACCGGCGAATAATGGTCCGGCGGCTGGAACGGTGGCGGTCGTACAAGTGGGGGTCGGCGCGTCATGTGGGGTGCCAGCGGCTGTAGTGGGCCGGCCGCGAGTGAGGAATCTGATGAGCGGCAGTGGCATGGCGCGTGTCAAACTCAGTCTGCGATGGGGGGGCAATTGGAAGACATCCAACGGAACCAAACTTGCGACTCGGACTTGACAGTGAATGCGAGGAGGTCCAAGCGTCATCGCGATCATCTTCCGTCATCGATCTTCACTGCATCGATTTCGTCGAATCGCGCGTTCCTCTGCGCTCTCTCAGGCTCTCTCAGGCTCTCTCCTCTTTTCGCCCCTCTCCATCTCCGAGTCCGCGCCTAGTGACTCGTCCTCGCTTGTTCGCTGCTCGCCTGGTGCGACCCCCATCTCTGACTTTGCCACCCTCTTGCCGATCGAGTCTGAACAAGATGTCGACCGTGTTGATCTTGGGTGGACTGGGTCAGTTGCACTCTGCGCTGTGTCGTTCCGGGCCGGTCGACCGACTAACCAACCGCTGACACGTCTGTGCGACCCAACACCTCCCCTTCCCCACACGTCACCGTTTCGGCCGCCTGCCACGCGATCGATCCCGCGCAGGAGGCGATGGCGCACGACACCTCATATCCTACCTCACAAACTCAACAACCAAAGATAGCAAGATCCAACCCAAGTTGATTCGCGTCGTCGACAAGTATCTCGTTATCCCTCAGGCCGAGGCCTTCACGTGCTACGTCGACGCCGAGACCCGACACGCGCTCAAGCAGGCCGATCGGGTCGAGTACATGCAGGGGAACCTGTTGACAAGTGGTGAGTACACCGCAAGGGATATATAGAAGAATCTGGCGGGAACTGTGCGAGGTGGGATGCCGGATGTAGATGATGATGCGGTGCTGAGACGAGGCTCGTGCACGCTAGTTGCGAAACATCTGCTTCCGCCTCGTCGCAAGGTGGGGGTGACGTAACAGGCTGCTCGCGGGCAAAGTGATGTCGTTGCTCTTCAGATCCAATTTCCAGCCCAACACGTGTAAGAGAGCATGTACCAATGACCATTCCCGCCCTCCTTTCCTCTCCTCTCCTGCCGCTGCCGTCTTGCCCCACGTGCCTCGTGGTCAGCGATGCGCACAAGAGCCATGACCTTGCCGGAAGCCCACGGCGGACCCTCGAAAGGTTTCGACTATGTGTTCGATTTCACTGGCGAAGCCGACTTTAGCCTCCCTGGTTCGGTGCGTCATTCAAGGCCAGGAAACAGCGAAGCTGTTGCAGATCGCTCGCTGCCCCCACCGATTTGCGAGCTGAAACCTCCGTCGGAACTTGGTTTTTCGAATCGCGCACAGGTCCAAGTCGAGCGGACACTTGCACTGGCTTTGGCTCTTGGCCAATCCGCAGTCGAACACGACGTCGGCGTCTATGTCCGTTTGCTCGCGACGCAATACAAGGTCGTCGGCGACAAGAAGGCCAAGGTTGGAGAGGAGGGTTCGATTGCCGAGCCTTGGGGTGTAAGGGCGGCATGGTTCCATGAGGCGGCGAGGGGGCTGGCTTCGATCAAAGGGTGGGTTGATTTGGCAAACTGATCAAGCGGTATCGGAATCTCTGACCGACCTCGTGTTCATCTGAAACAGTCTCAATCTCGTCCTTGTCCGACCGGCACTCTTCTATGGCTCATTCACTGTGACGGGCTGTGAGTCGGGCGACCGTTTCATATCAGGAACCACGCCAGATCTGATTTCGGTTAGCTTTCCGAATCCCCAGTGACGCCTCGAATGCTCATTGGGGAAGTCTATCGGTTCCTCGGCGAAAAGCTAGAATTTCTGTGAGCTGTCCTAAGGCCCGCAGTCCCCCAGTCTTGCGATGTGCTAAGTGTCGTGCAAGGCTCTACGTATCCACAGCTGGAAGGAATCACTACCCCTCAACACGATATGGATCGAAGATTTTTGTTCCGCGACGATTGCCATCGCGGCATGGGCATTGTCCCAGGGCTCGGAGCGATCACTCGCTCTCGCAGGCGAAGATCTACCCACGACGTTGACGTCGGACGACATCATTCAAACGGTGCAAGGGGCAGCCAAGAAAGGCGACAAGGTCAAGGCTGCGGTTTTTACGCTCGCTGATGATGGCGATACGGTTCAGGCCGACATTGCTAAGCTCATCGGCGAGACCATCGGGGTCGAGGCTGGGTTCCACGGGAGCATCATCTCATCCTTCGCCAAGCTCAACATGGGGGACGTGCTCGAGGACGTCAACGAAAAGGTTAGCACTTGATCAGATTAGCTGGGCAGATGTCTCATTTCGAAGCTGAACCTTTGTTGCTTCATCGGGGTTTCAAACTTGTAGCATCTCGAAGGGTGGAGTGAGCTTTTGCAAGCGTCCAAACCTCCTATCTCGTCGACGGTGCCAATCTCGCCCTACGTAGTAAGTTGACCTTGAAGTAAGCATCTGAGTCTTCTACTTGCCGTCTGAATGAATTAACGTGCCTCATTTGCAGCCCGCCGACCTCCTCGAACCGCACCCCATCCACTTCTCCAACACCAAGCTCGTCAAGCTTATCGGATGGACTCCGACCCAAAAACTCGACTCGGTCGTCCTGCGTGATACGGTACAGAAATTCCTCGAGGAACATAACTGGCCCAATGCAGAACCCAAGTCGAAGTCGAAGAAGAAGTGATGAACCTGGACCGAAGCAAGTCGATCATGCGAAGCTCCTCCGCAACTTTCGCTCCTCTAGCTCCTCACCGAGGCTTCAAGCTTCTCCTTCCCCACCCGCGTCATTCTGCGTCTTCGCAACTTCCCGGCTCCGTCACTTCGATACCCCATTTTATCCCTTCTAATCGTGACCTGCATTCGCAGCTTCTCTTTCGCTTCACACGCCACAGCATGCACTTGAACAGGCCTCTCGAAAATCATGTGTTTCGGCACGGGCAATTCACACTCTCAGTTTGAGAAAACCCTTCCTTCGGCGGGACCTTAGCGTTGTTTCGAGTTTGATAATTAAGACTGATGTCATTTCGCTTCAGGCTCATTAATAATTGGGGAAGTCATGCCCACTCAAGCAGGGTATTGCCCATTGGCATCGGCGTACAACACTTCGCGAGGCTCCTTCGTCTCTATCTTTCTGCGTCTACTTCCTTGCCCCTTGCACCCTACCGTACACCTCCTATCATATAACCCTACACCACCTTCCTCCCTCCCAAGTCAGATTCATTCCCTCTTCGTCCCTCTTTTCTTCTCCGCCGTCGCCGTCGTCGACCCCGACGACAATTTGCCATTGATCTCGATCCTCTCATGCCTTGCGCCCGGCTCGGCCTTGACGAACCTCTTCTTGAGCGCGAGGACCATAGCTCGGAACCAGAAGAAGTTGAGGCTGTTCATGAGGAGGTTGAGACCGCAGTAGACTAATCACGTCGGAGGGTAGGAGGAGGAATTAAATTAATGGGGGTGATGTAGTGGATCGTGATGTGGGTGGGGTTGGGGAAGGACTTACGATAACGAACGTTCCCTGCTCGGGGATCGGCTTTGGGTCCGAAGAAGAGCATCCAGAGTTGGTACGAATTGTAGGTCCCCCAAATCAAGCGGGCTCCGACGTATGCGCCACTGGGAAGTAGAGGGAAGAAAACTTGGAGTCAGTCGCTTGTCAGGAAGGGTGAAAAGTTTGCAGGCGCGCGGGTTCTTACACAAGGAAAATGCCGTTGACGAGTTGGAGCGTCGAGCCGGTCAGACCGAATTTGTCGAGGTACCAATGGGCATTGAGGAAGCTGAGAATCGGGGAAGAACGGAATAATTAAGTACGAAGATCATTGGTGGGGGTGATGACCCGAAATGGATTCGACTTTTCTCACATGGTCGAGAGTTCCCAGATCAAGAAATTGGGACCGCAGAAGAGCAAGAAGGGTTTCAGGGTGAAAAGGAATGCGAGCATGCACCCGAAACCGTGCAGGAAGAAGCCTGTGCGAGAGAGGAGCAATGGAGGTGAGCAGGTAGACTGTAGGTAGTAGGAACGAGTCATTTGGGTCCGAGATCAATTTACCGAGCCCTTGAGTGCTGATGTGCTGGGCTGAAACGATCGCATCCTAGTCCGAGTAGACGAGAATAACATCAGCAATGTGTCTCCAATATGTAATGCCTAGGAGATAGCTCACCCAGATAAAGTATCCGGTCGCGAACGCGTTGAGCCTCGCCTCGGCAATTCCAAAGCCGTAGGCGCGGTCGAGCACGATCGCAGCCGAAGGGTGGCGGATCAGGTCGAACGCAAAGGGGGTGGCGATGAGAGCAAAGACCCATCCGACCTGTGAATGCATTCGGCGCCAGTATGTCAGCGTTCGCGAAGGTAGAAGTCGGGGTGTGTTTGGCGGTCACGGAGCCGGATCCGAATGCGCGCGAACCAGAAGCCAGAAATGTGACCGAATGCATCACACGTAAAAGGTTGTATATTTTGAATACTGAAAGAGAACAGCAATGGGATGCAGTATCAAGACGAGGCAGCTTGACACTCACAACATGGAGATCCCAATCATCCTGCTTCCTCTTGATCTTGGGATAAGTGTTGGGGAACAGGTGTGGGCCGAGCACGTGAGAAATGCGCTGCAGCAAGAAGGACGCCGCGCACGACAAGATGCTGAGGTGGACCAGCCCGGCCCATTTGGGCACGCCGAGCGCGTTGGCCACGGGTTGGAACGCCTTCTCGAGCCCTGCGGGGCCTTGCACCGAGGCCGACTCGAGCAGCCGCGACATGTTGAGCGCTGTTCCTTCGAGTGGGATGGGTTGGGGGGTGGGTGGGAAGGAAGCAAGGTCACAACGAGCAGACCGAGAGCGCTCGCGGCTCGGCATTCGGGCCACCCAAAAACCAGGCTCAAGATGAGCGAGGCGATCGAGTGACTCTGGCCGTGCACGGCGAGTATCGGCATGGAAAGTGGAGGCAACATAACAAAGTTGGCGCCTTGTGTACGACATGCTGCGACCAGCTTTTTTTGTTTTTGATAGACTATGAAAGGTTCTAAAAAGTGAGGTGGGACCTGCCATCGCGGTAGGCATTTTCGCTTCATTTCACCCGGCTCCGCTGCAGAAATTAAGCGCGTCATCGCGCTGCCAGCTGCTGCCAGCGTGCTCCAGCGTGCAGCATGCAGCTGGCAGTCCCACTTTGGGCTGGCTGGCTCACACTTTTGCCTCTGCACGATCGCACCAGCTGCACTCATCGACCTGCTTTCGACTAGACTCACCTCAGTTGTAGTCTTCAGTTGATTCGACCTCGCATTCCATCTGATTCGAGAGCGACCTACTCCCCCCGCCGTTGCTCACCACTCGGTCGCACCGTACGCCCGATCCGGCCACCCACTACCACCGGCCCCACCCCGACCACCCCAGCCCCTTTCCGTCTCGGCCCGCAGCCCTCCCAGTGTCCGCCGCCTCGCATACAACCAGCCGCACCTCATTCCCAAGCTCGATTGATAACCAAGCAGGATGACCAACGCTACTTCGCCGATCCTGTCTTGCCACCCGGGCAGCCTCAATGCGTTCGCGCTCAAGCTCAAAACGGGCGACTCGGTGCAGTCGATCCGAGCCAGGGCCGCACGCAAGTTGGCCCTCCACGGCGATGGGTCCGACATTGGCTTGCAGTACCTGTGGTGTGATGTGTACTACACTCTCGAAGATGGTCAGTCGGGAGTGGTCGTGGTTTGGATCGGATGGCTCGGCGATCGTCTCGGCCTTGTCGTGAACGCCGCGTACAATGAGGATGTGAGGAACTGACCCATGCCCCATCACCTTCCTACAGAGGATGACTGGGAAGTCTTCACCGACCGTCACGCCAACTCGGCGGAGGTGACCGTGCTCTTGACCGGACCCTCGATCCCAACCACGACGCCTTCGATCGCGTCCATGTCGTCGCTCCCCCCATCGAGCTCGGGCTCGCAACCCAACGATGGTTCTTCCATCTACTCGGGCCACTCCTACGGCCGCGGTGTCGTCCGTGACGTCCGTGAGGGAACGAGCATGCATCTCCTCAGCTCGAGTGCGAGTTCCAAAGCCCCGAGCGTGGCCCGATCGGCGGCGCATAATCGCCAGGATGACGGCGACCAGGACACGATCGGCGGCAAGAGCAAGCGCACGGCCAAGAGCATCGCTCCGAGTGTGCCCGAGCACAAGATCAAATTTGAAGAGTTCCACAATCAGGTTAGTCGTCGGGCCGGGGTCTAGGCGCTTTGGAAGGCTGCATCGAGCCCTGAGCCTCGAGACGCCAGCGAGAAGAGACTGCTGAATACCTTTCTTGACTGCAAACAGCTAGGCGTCCGCACCTTTATTGGATCCATTGGTCCCGTCGAGAACGTCCGCATGATGGTCAGCTGCTTCGTCCTCTCAAGCTCGAGTCTGTGCAGCTTCATGAGACTGACTCGCCCCATCCTCCGGATTGTAAAAGATGAAAGCCGGCCACCGAGCATGCTACATGTCGCGTGCGTTTGCACAACAGCACGCCTTTATCCCGAAAGACGCTGCACCAGGCTTCTACGGCTTTTCAGGGATCACGAATCTCGGCAGCTGGCCCATCAAGGTGTGTAAGAGCAGGGGTTGTCGCTGGCCATGCGCGAATCAGAAGCTGACATTCCCGAGCTGGTACCACGTTCCCAAAATCCAGGTCGGCAAGAAGACGGTGGAGCAACAAGTAATGCTGGTTGAAAACTCGTACTTCCCTGTCATTCTCGGCAGGTGAGTTATCAACGAAGAATCTCGTGTGGCTGCAACTCTTGAGGATACTGACGAGTTCGGCTTCTTCCCTGTGTGCAGGTCGTTCATGGAACGACGAGGCGTGCGCACCGATCCGTTAGATCAAACCTCGGTCGTCTTCATGGACACAGGAGAGGTGATCCCGACCGATCTGGTGATCGTCAAAGACGCCGCCGGTCACGTCATCCCGGTCTCATAGATTCCCCTCGCTTTCTGGATTGCGAACGTCCTTTTACCTCCTCGACACACCATCACCCTTCTAATTATTGTGTACATGCTACTGCCGCTATTACTGCATGCTGTATGCTGCTACCGCTTTTTCTGCTCTCGACTCATATGGACCCTTCGACTAGTGCTCTTTCAAATGGCTGTGGTGTCTGAAGTTGTGTTAGATCATCGCTCGTCTCTCTCTTCGTCTGTGCGGGGTAGTCTCACAAGTGCTTTGTAATAAGACGGACTGGACATACCCTATCGTCTCACAGGCTCGAGAGTGAACTCCGATACGAGTCAGGTTGATCACGTGATGTCACTCTTTAAGATGTCCTTCGTTGTGCGCCTCCTAGTCTCGATGTATATTCACGTCATTTCTTGTGTGTGAGGAGATCGTGAGAGCGAAATCGCTACTTTGTGGAACGGGAATACAACCAGTATGCACGATGGTGAGCACAACCGTCGGCTTGATGCAGTGTAGCTAGTAAAACAAGGCAATCTCAAACACTCAGCGGCGAGTTGGTACTACATAGCAAAAACCGCCCGGTTCATTGCAATTCAAGGTGAGCGCCCCTCTTTGCATGCCGTGACGATGGCTGCCCCAACTCCTTCTTGACGTGATTCTTTGTCGAGTCCCGAGACACCTAGCCGTGCCGTGTTACAATGTTGCGCACCAGCCACGGTTGTGCACAACTTCTTTTCCTCGAGCGCATCCGCAAAGGAGGCTGAGAGCGAGAAAATAGACTTAATACATATCTTCAAGCGTCGAATCCATCGCGCGACAGGAGACGCGCGCCAGCCCAGACGTTCCCTCCTACCACAGGGTAATCCACATTTCGATGGACCAACGCTCGGACTAAGTTATAAGTCTCTTTGAGATACGGGTACACGGAGTCGAATTCCCACCGATTGCCATGATCAGCTTGCCCGAGGCCCTATGCTCATTTCTGATTCGAAGATCGAGTAAGTCAGCACCCATCGTCGTCGTGACATAATTGAGGCCGCTCGAACTACGGCGCAAACTTCCTTCAATAGATCGCAAGACCTTCGTCCGGTCCCCGGGCTGCGAGACCGATCTGTCGGACTGGCCACGGCATCCTTTCTATCGTGAAGTGGATTGGTAACCAAGAGCATAACGGGCACCCGATTGGAATGAGCTGGAACTACCTGCCATGATCGACGAGACGGCGGGGTTGGCTGTGCCGTCGACCGAGCCACTCATTCGTCGAACTGCAACGATCAACGACGATCAACCTGATCCATTGTCCCAAACCCCAGGAAGGACTTGCAAAGAGCCCTCTTTTAAAAAATCGCGGAAACGGCAGTGGAGAAGAAGGAGGAAGGAGGAAGAAATACTTCCAAGGAACCTTTACTGCTCTGCGGTCGCCCCGACTCAAAGAGTGGCTGTGAGGGATTAGATACCAACAGATCCGACTGCTGAGATTGAAGGGGCGCGCAGGTTTCCTCCCGCTTCACTTCGTTCTGAGGTTGGAGCAAAGCACAACAACATGATCCTGTGCAGGCCTACTATTTGAACGAGGATGACTTTGATCGATCATCGCCGCTCACCAACATGACGATGGCCGAGCTCCTCGCCTTCGATGTTGCTCCCGCCGACGCGTCTCTTCAGTCTTCACATCGAGTTGTCCAAAGATGCTGAGCCCACCCAGTACTCGACCTTATCGAGGCCGTTGGGAAGGCAAACAGCTCCTCACGTCCAATCGTGCGTCTACCAAGCTCAACTATCGAAATTTCGATCTAAGCTCATGCGTGTTCGGTACTACAAAGCCCACACACTTGAAACTTCCGCCTCTTGTCGATGCTCGCGATACAAATTTCTCGCTAAACTGGCCAACCTGATCGAGTGTAGCCACCTCAAAGCTGTTCTGCTCAAAGGAGGCCGATGAAATCGAGCGACCCAACCCGCGGAGAAGCAGGCGTAGGGATTAGCAATACAGAGCAAGGACGCAGTGCAGCACATTCACGCGTCTTGAAAGCGTTGCTACATTCCATCGGACCATCTCGCTTCGAAGACATGGTGGGCACGACAAGGAGCTTTCGCTGGACTGGAGGTGACCAGATGGCCCGAGCGCTCACACAAACGAGGTTTCAGAAGAATGTCTATACTGAGGATGGCCGCATTCAAGTGAGTTGTCGCTGAATATAGGAACGAAGGCAACTGGATCTAATGTTTTGTTCGACTCCCCTGACCACTCGCGCGAGTCGTAGCGGAATAGTGGTTCGAGTTGCAGCAAGACGAAGGACAACATTGGTGGTGTAGGAGTTGTTAAACAGATACCTCAAGCGGTGAAAACCCAGCCTTCTGGGGAAAACCGCAAGAGATTGATCTAAACGGAAGAGAGTCCGAACTTCTTGGTGATACACAGGGAGGGTGGGCGGGATGACAATTGGGAGCTTTGCGACCCAAGCTTCTGGATGTCAGTCGGCTGCAACTGATGATGGAGCAAGTTCACTGATCGTCTCAGCATACCTGTGCGACAAAGGCAAGACACTGTATAAAGACAGTTGGGGCGCGGTTGGTGCAAAGGACGGCAAAGGGTCTGCTGAGAGATATGCGATTTAGCTCGTTGCCCAACAAGGGCCCGGAGCAAAATGCCCCCACAAAGAATTTGCAGGGATCCAAGTGCAAAGTACACCATGCAACAAGCTTGGGTGTATCGAAGCACTTACCCCGAGCTACTCTAAGCGAGCCACGTCGAGGGTTTCATAACGAGCTGCTAGCAGCTGTGAACGTCCGGCAAGATGGAACTCTCGATCAGCGACCTCGTCAGCTGGGAGGTAGTCTTGGGAGTGAGGAACGCACCTGTCCCTACAGGTGGTGAACGCAGCCGCAGAAGCTGGTAAGGAAACGTCGACAACGCAGTGAAGGCCCGAAAGGGAACGTGCGTTGCGAGTGCCGCCCGTGAGCCCGCGTGTGGGAAGCACAGCTATAGCATCCACGGGGGAGAAAGGGTCCGTGCGCGCGAGCCCGAATCGGCGCGTCAAATCCTTGCAGCAAAGGCCGAAAAGAACCATAAAGGTCTCCGAAAGGAACGAGCAGACGGAGCGCTAGCACAACGCTATTCTCATTTTGGATCGCTTGACGGCGGAGCTGTAACCACTACCACAACATTGGAGATCGGATCTCTGATCTGCTTTGGCCTCAAGCGTGGCATGCATTCACTCAGCTGCGATCAAACTGCTTATGGAGAAGAAGGGCTGTCCATCGAAACTGGTACGTTGCTTTAAGTGGCAGTTGAGCTGTGACGTTCTCCTTTGACACAGGTCTTGTCTGCTACAGTGCGATACATCTACAGCAAAGTGACAACAGCGCGCTCGCGTCGTTGGTTGTACTTTCAAATGTCGTCGTACAGGAGCTTCGCCTCATCAAGAAAGCATGCTCTTCCACTCACCTCATTGATGGCACTATGCCGTTCCGCACGATAGATGGTCGACAGGTCATCGAGTCGTTAGGCCCGCCAAAGACTACATATCGTTCAACCACGGACCTTACCTCGCTTCACCCCGACGAGCGCATATAATCAGCACGAGCTGAGCGCACATGCCGAGCAAAGATTTGCCTCCCTTCGGAGCGTGCCCCGGGCCGGCCTGCAAGATGCCGCCGGCAGAACCTCTACAAGCCGCAAATGCCACCGCGGATACAAAGAGCTCAAGTTCAGCAAAACGGAAGTCTGACAACGAAGTAGCGAGCCTGCCAGCCAAGCAAGGAAGGCTTGTTTGATGCCTGGAGCCATGCGCGACACCAGCCGAAGCGACGCGCGCCGCAAGCCACTTTCGATCGGCCGCCGCGCGCCCGCAAACGCCCGGAACGCGTTTTCGGACTTTTGAGCGATTTTCGGAGCATGTAGAACACATTTTGGTAATATTTCCGAGGCGCATGTGAAATTTTGAAATTTTGGGGCCAAAATAGGGTTAAAAACTTTGAAAAAATGGCCAAAAAAGGGCGTTTTTCCACATGCGCCTCTGGCTGGGCTTTCGGGGGTCCGAGGCGGCGACCTGCGGCGACGGAGCGCAAGGGCGGGGAGCCAAGATGAGCGCCCTTTTGCTCCAGCTACCACAAGCCCCGCATCACCCAACACTATGCGTATGCACCTCATGTGACCTACCTAAATCAAAACAGAGACTATGGGCCACCGTCCTGTGATCGCTCTCTCGCGTGTACATCGCCTCCTTCGCCAACTCGGAGCCGCCTTGGCCAACCTCGCTTTGGATCTCGGTAATCTCCATCTCAAGCAACGAGAGCTATCCTTTCAAGCTGCCCAGAGGAAAGCTAGTCGTGCGCAAGATAGTGAGGATCACGACGACGACGAGGAATGGGAGGGGTCAGGTCGGACGACGATGGCAAAGGCCGCGGCGAGGAAGAGGAGCAAGTCGAGTCGCGTCGTGGCTAAAGTGACGACGACGTATTCGAGACGAGGAGCGATCACCATGAGTCGAACAACGTCGCAAGCCTCGTCTACTTCTTCCGCACCGGCATCGTTCGCCGCGGGGACGAAGGCGGGTCTCAAGCGAACTCGTCGTTCAACAGGCTCGGGTGGAGGCGTTTCGATCCTCCTCGATGCGAGGAACAGGCTCAGTCGTCTCGACGGATGGGAAAATGACTCGGTCAACAAGGCATTACATCTCATCAAAACCTACTCCAACGTACTTGAGGCAGTCGCAGACGCCATCGATGAAGAGCAAGAAGAAAACCCAACCCGGGATCGCCGAGTTCCGAGCTTGGTCGAGATGATGGCGAGGGAGATTGGATGGAATATCGAAGCTAATGTGAGGAGTTGTAGGGAGGAAAAACAGTCGGATAGTAGTGAGGAGGAAGGCGTTGCTCTGAGACGGAAGGGTGAATTGGACGAGGGGGATGATGAGGCGACTTTGGTCGACGACTGGTACGACGCTTGTCCGGATTATTGTCGCCCGTGAGTCAATCGGGAAAGTGCACCGGCGAGTCTGTGTATCTAATTCTAAATTCTTTACATAGATGGATCTTGATCGAACACGCCACCTCCATCATGCTCGAAGGTCTTGAAAATCCTCCTTTCACCCTGCTCGAAATACTTTTCGAACTCTGTTCTCGCATGGGAGCAGGCAGTGCAGTAAGTGGAGCGTTTGCTGATGAGACACCGTAGAACATCGTCTGAGTAAAAGGCTCTTCTACAGTCTCCCAGGTTCTATGATGCTCTCAACTACCAAGCTTTGCGCATGACCGATCCGACCTCTTCGGCGCATGTCCTTGCGCAACAAACCGTCTTGCACGGCCATTCGTCAACTTACTTCGAGTCGCTCCGTACCATTCTCTTCGAGTCGACCTTTGCCGATCGTCTTTTTTATTCGTCTTTCCTCTCTCTGGAGAGAGCCCCTTTACGCTCAGGAAACGCCAGCGACGCCGAGGCTTTGGGCGGGCTAATTGAACTCGTTTGTGGAGTCGCTAGAGAAATGGTAGGCGCGATCAATCTCGCCATCTCGAATGGAGAACGAGGTGGAGAACGGCAAAAGAACGATGTGATTGATCGAGTCGCCTTCGAAATCGATCATGCTACGGGTTTCCTCTTCCTAGCGCAGGACGACGAGATGGTCTCAATCACGACGAGTGAAGGCACGTTCGATGGTCAACGCTTGGCCCGGGATCAAGCGCTCGAACGAGTATTTGATGCCGTTCTGGACTTTATACATGGCACGGGACCGAGCGTATCGAAAAGTAAGCGCGCAATGCAGCGCCTAGGTCCCTTCGCAATCGCCGCATGTTTCGAGCTCGCCCTCCGCTCTCTCGACCATCACCCCTCGGCGCAAACCGGCTCGAGCGATGTGGCCCGCTTGACAGAATGCGACTCGTTGATCGCGCACCACATCCTCGGCCTCGTCGAAGAAGAATGCCAAGACTTCGATCTGGATCAGCTTAACTCCGAGCTCCTCCCATTAGCAAAGCAGCATTCCTCCCAATCCTTCGCTGCACTTGCGACGTTACTTCGATCCGCCGACCTTTCGACACTGGAGAAGTTGGTCGTCTACACTGCGACGAAGGCTTATGACTCGCTCGTTGATGTTCGCTCGACGCGGGGTTTGATCATCTTGGAGAAGGACATCTTTGAAAGACGATTAGACGAACTCAATCGACCGTCGTCGACTTCTGCGGACCGACAGGGATCGACGACCCCTCCTCGGAGACTCGCGAGAGCGCTACAGCTCTCTTCGAGTGACGAGGACTTCCAGGACTCGACACCTGGTTTGGCATGTTCGAGTTTGGGGATGAGTTCGCGGAAAAGGTTCGTCCCGATTCGGTTGGTGGGTACACCTTTGAAGGAGAAAGGTCAGGAGGGTAGACGGGCTGTTGAAACTCGACGATACGAGGGCGAGCGGAAGAAAGACCAGGTTGTACGGAAGCGGAGGAGAGTTACGGAGGAGTCGGAGGACAGTGACGACGACGATGAGGATGGACCAAACCTGCGGAAACAGTCGCCAACTTCAGAGCGGAGTGATGAGCTCGATCTTTTGCAAGCGAAGTCGCCTAAGACTAGACGACCGGTCGTCAAGAAACGAGCCGTCCCTTCGGTTCGAAAGTGCGGACCCGGGAGGAGCAAACGGACGTCGACGATGAAGAGGAAGACGTATGCAGGACCTGTGGACGATGAAGATACGAGTGAGGACGAATTAGCCTTATGACCCTACCTTAGCAAATGCATGTTGTAGCTCCTATGCAGTATTCATTCACTTCTTATTGGACACCCCAGAGAGGTGTTACTTCGAGTCGCAGCTGTGCTCGCCCATGAGTTTCAAACAAGCAACGAGAAGCTATCATACAACAAATAACGGGATGAGGTAGGTATACAAGTATCCCCTCTTCGAAAAGCCTCGAATCGCATGCGAGGAAGCTGTGTTCATCGCCTCAGCCCCCCAGCAACAGTATTCGGCAACGACTGCCCCTGCGGCGGGATCTCTCCCCTCGCCCTCTTTCTCTCAAACTCCTTCTTCTTGACTTCGAACTCTGCTTTCCTCCTCTCCTCTTCAACTCTCCTCCTCTCCTCTTCGACCCTCCTCCTCTCCTCCTCCTCCCTCCTCCTCCTCTCCGCCCTCACCTTCCACGCACTCTTGATCCTCGGCGCATGCCCGACCAACCTCTCCTCCTCAACCCCATGTTGTATACTCTTGATGATACTACTCACGACCGTCTTGTAATTTCCTTCCAACTTGTCATCCCTGAACCTCAACAACCTCCACGTCTGCCTCTCGACATCCCAAACGACTTCGACGACCCGATCGTCGTATTGTTCCCCCGAGGCTTTCCATTTTTCCCAAGTATCGTCATCGACGGACATGGTGTCGAAGTAGAACGAACCTTCGTGACCGTGGTTCATCAAGAGCATGAAGATGGGTTTGGCCGTATAATCGGGTTCGTGATCGTTATCGCCCCGAGCGGGGAATTTGAGTTGCAGCACGAAGTCGATCGAGTTCTCACTCGGCGGTTTCCACTTGAGGCTAGGCGCGTCGCGAAGAAAACGCGCCTCGTTCGAGGTCAGCAATCATCATCATCATCATCATCATTCGTGCTCGAGTGAAGCCCGACTTCATGTATCGACTACCCACATTTTGGGGTCTGTACCAGGCGTATAGACGGCTTCGGCCGAGGTGAAGATGAGGCCGTCGTTGCCGTGCAGCAACTTGGGGACGTGTTCTCGGAAGACAGCTTCTATGCCGTACGACAGTTCTTGAGGCTTCAGTCGAACTCTAATGGAACGTAGGAGCGTGATTGGAAGAGGAAAAGTAGAAATTGCGTTAGTACTGGACCGTCGGAGGAAGAAGCGGCGGTCGAGGGATCAAACTCACTCGAAAGGCAAGTACTCGCGCGCCTCGGGGTGAGCCATGAGCAGCTTGTCATACGGTTCCATAATGTAAGCCTTGAGTCGCTGTTGAAGGGCAAACAGAGGTGCGGATCAAATACATAGGTAAGTACCTCGACCATCGCAACGAAATAAAGGGATGAGTCGGGAAGATGACGAACGCCGTATCGTTTGTGCAAAGGTTTGTGCATCAAGTTCTCCGAGTCGATGACGAGGCAGTCAAACAGGAGCAGCCGGAGGACTTCCTGCATAGTTCAAACGCCAGACGATCTGATCAGTTGTTGTTGTTGTTTGCTACCTCCGACGATGCCCCACATGTCACTCGACTGACCCCTCTTGCGGGCTCGACATCAATGACGAGTTCGCCGTCGAGGACGGTGTTTGAATGATCAAAGTCCAATCCTGTTTGGTGCGGGAATCGCAGCCCGGACACCTGGTAGAAATAGTATTTTCGATCGACCTATGAATCGAGGAATGTTCACTGTCAACCCAGTCACTGGACTCGGATCGAATGGACTCACGAGATAAGTCTGCTGTCCCTGCTCGGTCGCGACGACGAGCACGATGACCCTCACTCCATCTGATTTCTCGCACACCCAGAAGCTAATGTAGACCATAGCAAACACCGGAACGCGTGAGCTCCTGGTGCGTTTCCCCCCGGTCTTCGGCCGACCTCGACTCGCGACTCACTCTTCCTCCTCGAGCATCTTCAACGACTGCAAGTCGAAACTGACGGGTTGACTACCCGGGAACCTATCTCCACCGTAACACAAACACATGGCCAAGTGCTCAACCTTTGGAACTGCACAAAGGTCTGCACATGCATCTCCCCGCCCGGAATGAAACCGAACTGACCTCAACGCGTTCAACCCGCACAGCGTCGACAAATGCTCTTGCACTTGCAGCAGCAACTCCGGGTCCTGCACCAATTCACCGGGTACCCGATCGGGCACGGGCGCGCGGTGCTCCATCTTCGTTTCTTCGTCACCAACCGGCGGACCTTCGTCGTGGTGGGACGTCGGTGTCGGCAATGATCAACGAGGGAGTGCACAGCAGGCAGCGGAGCAGGCGCGAGAGAGTTCTCAGCTGAGTGAATGCACCGCCCCGCACGCTCGGACCCGCTCGGACCCAGTCTTACCAAGTCGCATCTGATCCATAAACTCTCCAGGATGGACGGGAAAAGTGAGGCCTTCTCTTTCATTACATACAACTGCGCTGCTGCTACCCATGACTGGAGAACGACCACGTTCGACGAGTCGTAGGGCACGCCCGGAAAAAGGGACAAGTGAGGCAAAAAGGTGCGGGGTGGTGGGGAAGAGATCAAGACGACGACGAAGAAAAGGGTGCCGTCGCCAGTCCGTTCGAGAAGAGGTGTAGACTACTGCATGCGAAAGTGGGGAAACGCTTGGGAGGCAAAACGAGGGTTTTGAGGGGGAAGAGGGGAACATGGAACAGAGAAAGGAGTCGAGCGACAACGCGAATGATCACATCGCGGAGGTCAAATCTAACGGTCTTCTGCCCACTCGTTCTCCTTCTTGATCTGCGCCTCCTCCTCGGGCGTAAAGTCGTTGACGATGTTGAACCTGAAGGAAGGGGACGTCGATCGACCGCGCTCAGCGAGTGCCGGGCGACAAGCGTGGACAGTGAGCAGAGCCAGCAGCTCAAGCAACTTACAGCTTACGGATCTCCTCGGGCTGCTTGCCTTTGATCATGTTGGCGACCGTCTTGCAACCGACATCGCTGTGAACGTGCCCGGCGGCTGACGTCAAAAAGGGGCCACGCCGGTCGTCGGCCTCGAGCAACTCACAGAAGGGGCTTGATGTCGAGGTAGTTGGCAGCGAGAATGATCTCGAACAACATCTCTTGGTCAACTTGGATGACTGTAGAGAGGTACGACCAGGCTTCGGGTCAGCCGCTGACATCGAAAGGCACTCGCGTTGGAACCTCCACGCGCCAGCTCCAGGAACCGGAGCTTGACCCGACTACCATCATGCGAGATGTGACATCCCCAAGCACGCCACCATGCGAGACATGACATGTCCTAGCACACTCACACTTTTGGTCCCAGTCCGAGATCTCGGTCATCTTTCGCCTCGTGTCGTCGTTCTCCTCGGCAGGCGGGTCGATGTCCTTCTTGTGGTGCTCGCACCATTCCAAGACCTGGGTCCAAGGATACCGCCGCGCGCGGAGTAATCAGTCATCGCTTTCGATGGATCCAGCCCAGGAAAATCTCGAATCTCCTCTCGGATCGTTCCCCTATGTGTGCAATGCCGTGGCAGCGAGTGTCACGTCGGAGGGGGTGCAGCAGCCCAAAGAGTCGTCCAAGTGATGACGCAAGCTCACCTTTTTAAGGACGTTGGACGAAACGTTGGGCAAAGGGATCGGATGGTCGGTCTCTCCAAGATCTAGAGTGAGAGTCATTGACCCGGGTGTCAGCATACGGCGGTCGGAAGGGGGGAGGGGGCGACAGGGGCGGGTCGGTGTGGTGTGCGGTGCGGTGGGGCGAATGACTGGGCTTGGCCTGGCTCGCGGTGGGTGGGTCGTGCCCGCCGCGTCGTCGGCGTCAAGGGCGTGAAAGCTGCAGATGGGCGCCAGACGACTGACCCTCGATCATGTTCTTGATCAGAACGGAGCGGTTGGCAACATCCTTCTCGACCTTGAAGGTCTCGTTGTCGGAGCTGTGTGAGCCGTACAGCACGCGCGGCAACAGGTGTGGGGTCGTGCGACCTGATCTCAAGTCAGCTACTGCTACTGCACGTCATCTCATCACTCTAGCCATTTGGTGCTTCAACTCACGTAGAGAGTGTGATCTGGCCGGTCGACATGGTATGCAAAAGGAATGGGCTGATGTTGGGATGTTGGGACCAAGAGGAGAGAGTCAGAGCTGAGTTAGCGAACCCTTGTCGCCGCCGTGCGCGCGCGCCGTCCATTCTCCACCTTTCTCACGCGCGCGCGGCACTTATGTACTAGTAACTCCCTTTGGAACGTTTCGGAATCAGACACGCCCCCGTATCCAGCGAATCGGATCGGACCAGCTCCGAGACCATCGTGCAACCGCTTGCCAGCTCAGTACACCACCTCGAAACTCCTACCAGCTTTTGAGATCCCTTTGAATTGTCGTGACACAAGTCGACACCTAATGCACCCTAGAGACTGCTCGTGGATAGGGGCTAGGTAGGTTCGGGGTGATGTCCCCGGACCGTCATCGACGAAAAGCTTGTTCCCCACAAACCCCAATTTTCGCGGCGGCAAACGTTCGAATGGCCCAGGTGACGTTCATTCGAGATGAATATAAAGAAATGTCTCATAGTATGGTACAGCTTGTTTAGATCTTCTTCTCTGCGTCCCCCCCACGCTCACCCAGGGCCCGGCTTATCGAACAGGAGATAGTCACTAACGACTCCCGAGCTCGATCCGATCGCCAAGCGACCTCCGCCTCCGCCGCCGCCGCTTTTGCTTTCCCTCCCCCTTCCCACTCCCGTTCCCACTGCCATGCGACCTACATCGATACTCAGAGATGTCTCGCTGCAGTGACCCCACCCCCCCGCCGACCCCACCAGGCTTTCTCTTTCCTCTGTCGCCTCCTTTGCCACGAACACCGAGCTCAACACGCCGTACGACTGGGACCGGCTCACCTTCGTCGCCCAGTCCGACGAGGTCACAACGCATGTTACCCATCCCAACTCGACGCTTGGGACCGACACTCTTGCCCATGTCCCCTTCACCTCTCATGCCCGCGTTATCCCTCAGTCCTCCTGACGGTCCCAGAAACTCGAGCTCGAGCACGATCGGCGGCGGTTTGCTTTTTGAATCTGACTCGGTTCGGCGCCGATGGAATTCATCCCTCGAAGAAAGGGGAAGCGCAGTAGCGGATTCGGTACCGAGCTTGGATCCACGCTTGGAACGAGCCGTTTCTCCCTTGACGTTGCATACCCCTGAATCACCGCCTTGCCTCGGCCAAGCTCGCGCGCTTCATGAGTCCCCGCGCGAAGATTCGGCCCGCGAACTGTCGGCTGGTGCAAGTTCAAGCGACGAGTCGGTATCGGTCACTGCTACAGCCGGATCACCGACTCTAGGCTTCCTCACTCTGGACACTGACAAATCTGACCTCCACAAGTCATCGGCCGATCCAAAGGCCGTCGGTCCTTCGGCACACGATCCCGCTTCCACGCCCGACACCGAGCCGAGCTGCTGGCGAGCGCCGTGTTCTGCCCCACTCGAGCGGCGCTCGCAGTGGTGTTGCATTGTGCCCCCACCCCCACCGCTCGCTCGAGCCGACTCGTACCCGCCTTTCGTGCCATCGTCGTTCCTTGCTACAGGTTCCTCACCTCTACCTCCCCCGACGTCGGTCAAACACTTTTTCGAACCGTCGTTACCCGTGGCACCTCCCCCACTTGAGCCGACGTTACTTTCGAACCCGCTGTCCTCGTCGACGTCACTTCCTCAACCACCCGCGATCTCGCCTTACCACCAAGAGTCACAGAGCAACATGACGGAACAATCCTCAACAACACCCCAAAAGATCGTCGTCTCCCTCCCATCTTCAACTGCATCACGCGGTGCATCGTCGGCCAGTCGTGGTCAAGGTGATTCAGCATCGTCGACAAAGGGATCCGAAGCGAGCCAACGCGATGGACAATCACAACATCGTACACCACCCTTGTTCAGTATCCGAGACTCAACTTCTAGTACAAGAGGAAGGATTGCACGACAAGGTCCTATAACGCGATCGGCATCGGGGTCGACGCCCTCGACGCTCGTCACTGCTGCCATTGCTGCGAAGGACTCGGTTGCTACCTCACCTTCGACCGCACCGATCTCGTCGGCTGGTATCTACGCTTCTCGTTGGGCGACGGATGATACGGAGCCAGCATCAACACAATCACCTGCTACGCCTTCGAGGGCCTCGACGAGAGGAGGTCGGCGACGTGGTCGAGGCGGGAGGGGGAGAGGAGGCTCGATCACATCGAGGACATCAACTGGGACACCCCCAAGATCTGGAACTCTCACACCAAAAGAGGAGAATCAACTGCGCGTTTCACAATCCGAGGCAGATCAACTGGCAAAGAACGAGACTCCCGCTGACGAAGTCACGACTTTGACCGGATCGAAATCGAGCCCACAAACGGACCGTCATGCCTCATCCAGGAACGTAGATGAAACAAGTACTATGTCTATAACCTCAACCGATGAAGCTTCTCTCTCACTATCCAAGCTATCAATCGCGGAGAACAAGGATGATGTCAAGACGAGTACCAGCATTAAAGAACCCCTCGCCAAAAGCTCTCCAGCACCTCGACGAGTCTACCCCACACGTGATCGAGTGTCGACAGGCGGTTTGGCCAAACCACGTATGACGACTGAGGAGCTGGAGGCCAAGATGGCGCGTATGCGTATCGAGAATGAGAAGACGCAGGCGCAGCATGATAAGCTCGAGGCAGAGAGGGCCGAGGCGGAGGAGCAGAAGAAAGCGGCGAAGGCGGCGAGGGAGGAACAACGGAAGGCTGAAGTGGCGAAGCAGGAGCGGAGCAAGAAGGTGAGCTATCACGACGAAAAGGTTGAGAGTGTATTGTGAATCTACCACGACCGAAACTGATTTATGGGCTTGCACACGATCACAGCTGCAATCCGACATTGACGCGACCCGAGCTCGTTCAGCAGCGATGAAGATGGCCGCGATTCAAGGACGAGCCTGGGACCAAGAAAAACTTAACCGAGACGATAACGACATATCTGCAGCACCGAGCTATCCGTCCGAGGAGTTGGGGCCTTTGGTCAGGGATCATCTGGGAAGGATGATCACTGCGCCGACGGGTGCGGTCATTCATCATATCGGGGTCAAGGATGACAATGCGGTTTGGGATCGGGTCGAACATTATGAAGATGACTCGGAAGAGGATGAGGAAGAAGCGAGGGCGGTTGCTGAGCAACTCACGGGGAACAAGTCGACCGCACAGGACTAGTTTGAAGGAGCTCTCCGCGGCGCAGACGTTTTTGATGATTGGGAGTTTCTGCAGGGCAAATTCTGCCTCGGCAGATACAAGAAGCACGGGTGTGTTTGTAGTGTAGCCTGTATGTACGGAATTGCCGAGACTGATGCCTATGTTATGCAACATGAGCGCTACGTGACCTTGACAGTCGCCTTTTGTCGCGCCGGCGGACAGGGTAGGCCGTCGTGAATGAAGTGTGCTCGGTCTCGACAGTCTCCACACATTGTCAGCTGCAAATCCTTGGGATGTCTAGATTGATTTTTAAAGGTCCATGTCTCACAACGGCATTTTCGATTATAGGCGTCGAACGCGTCCTAGCGCTCCTAGACTGCTCGTCGCGTCGAATTGCCCACTGCTGGCGCGTAATGAAGGTGTCGCGTCGGTCGCGTAGGGGCCGCTGCGAGGCGAAGCTACGTGCCCTGCAGTTGGGTTTCCTCTCAAAGAATCAATGTCTTCTGATTCAGGCAAAGCTTTGTTTGTCTGCAAAGCCCATCGGTTCGGTCACCAGTCCGTCTGCAGTGACGTTGCCTCGGGTGGAATGAAAGTGAGACACTGCTGCTCTACGACGTGAGCGATCGAGCGGCACGGAGTAGCAACAGCCGGTGCCGCATCTCTGCCGAGGGCCCGAGTGACGGGCATTTCAAGTATTCGGGTGAGGGTTTGCAAGCTTGGTGTATGCAGGTGCGATGGCAAACTGGTCCTTATACACTATCCCTGATTTATCGGTCCAATGACGCGATGCTGACTCGCATTTTCGGCGTGCTCAGGTATTTCAGCCCTACCGCAGCCTGGGCGCGCGCGCTGCTCGGAAGCGACTCCGGGGTAAATAACCTTGGACGTCCCATGCCCCTGCTCTCTCTTCTTTTTTGCTGTCCAGCACGAGTCGATGTCCTCTCCTGCCCCACCTCCACCGCCTCTTCCTCCGCATGGGACGCCCACCTCTGGTCGCTGCAACAGATCAACAAGTTATGTCGACTGTTCGCCCTCCTTGTCAAAGTCTCGGTCGTCCTCGTCGTCGTCGATCACCGCGGTGAGCAGCAGCGGCGGCGGAGAAGGCAAGGCACTCGAGAGGTCCAAGACGTGGGAACGACGCGACCCTCTACGTGACATCACCAACACGTACTATGACGTCCCTTTTGAGCTTATGACAACTGAATCGAGACGCGATGGAAGGCTTCATGTGAGCGTTGCGGTACATCTACCCGAAGTAAAGCCGATTCGCGTCAAGTACGAAAGGTCGAATCGCGAGTGCTACGCGTTTACGAGCGCGCCCACACCCACACGATTCAGCCACTGGTGACCGCGCGCGTCATGGATCGCCGGCGATCATTGCTCGCTACAATACCTGATGGGGTTCATCACTTGGGACGGAATCATTTCGAAACTTGCACGAACATCCTTCACTGTTGTGTATAGCGCATTTACTACCGAGCTGGAAGGCTGACACGCCGCGTGGCTCGGGCACGTCCTGTCTCTGCCCCCCACTTGTGCATTTCGCAGCGCGTCCCGACCCCGTCCAGGGTCGACCCCCTCTTGACGCCGAGCACATCCCTCGCCGACGCGGCATTACCATCCCCATTCTCGTCCCTAGGCCGGCCATTACGGTCGACGCGCTGGCTGCGAAGATCGGTGACGCTCGGCGCAACCCCTAGTACCGCGTTCACGTCGTCATCCTTCTCGAGCCCCGTCACCCCAACCTCCACCGGCCTTCCGCCCCGGCCTACCCCACCGAGCGCATCCGATGAGGCTTTACCATCATCACCAACACGACTCGTTCGGTCATCATCAAGACGAAGATCGCATCCACCGGACGAAGCATCGTCAAGATTCGAACTGCGATCGATGAGTCGACAGGGGACGAGTCCCAGCGCGTCGAGATCCGGCGGACCGGTAATCGAGCCCCTATCGGAGGAACCGGACTCCGCCGATCTGAACGAGAATGAGGCTTTCCCCACCGCCCCTTCGTTGCGACGTACCGCGTCGAGCTCGTCCGTCGCTTCCGCCTCTTCGACGATGACATTATCCGACACATCCAGCTTGTCGTCTTCGTTATCGGCGCGTCGATTGAGGAGAAGAACATCACAAAGCGAAAGTGAGAATAGGGGTCGGTTCCGGTGACGACGAGGACCCGGCCCGCGGCGCCCGTTGCGCATTCGGACCGCCTCGATCAAAAAACGTGTGCCTGTGCACATCGAATCTTACCGATCCTATCAGCCTATCGTTCTTGTACATGTGCTGAGCATGAGGGCCTTTGCACAGCCAACGCTTTTCATCTGCCTTTGGGTAAGCCGATTCGGGGCCTCTTTAGAGCACTTCATAAAATCTTTCTTTGGGTTGTAGTCATTATTCAAGTATCTTTTCTTCGCAATAGCATCTTTATCGAATTGTTTCAGCACATCCACATCCAACTCGGGAGTCTATTTTCCGTCACATTCGGAGCGTGAGGGACGTTTTTTCTCGGCAGGACCAGAAGTGAGATATCATATCGAAGGGGGTGCACTCTATTGAAACTGAACAGCGATGTGCTGAACGAGTTGGCGGCAGGGACGAGCCAATGAGTTCGTAATCAAGTAAGATTGCAATAAAGGAGTTCTTCACATACCTGAACGAGTTGGCGGCAGGGACGAGCAAATGAGTTCGTAATCAAGTGAAGAAGAGGAAGCAAAGACGCGAATAGCGCGCGCGACTAATACAAAGTAGAGACGCGCGTAGTGCGGATATAAGGCAAGAGTGATTTACTTCAACATACTCAGATTCCAGCTGAGCATGTACAACATAAGAAACAACATTAACGAATGATTGCCCCACTTAAAGCCCAAAAAGCCAATGATACAGAAAGAAACCCCTCGACTAAGCCCTAGGGATCAACTCGCCCTCACTCCTCCTCCTTCGTTCAGCCATCAAGCTCCTCGTCCTCTCCATCTGCTCGAACCTCTTCTCCTTCTGCTGCTGCGTCAACCTCAACTGCTCACTACCTTCATCACTTCCTTCCGAAGAAGCAACGGAAGATTCCTCGTCGGCGACCACGGGGGCTCGGGCGGCGGTCATGTCGACTGATGCGGAGCGACGGATCGCTACGGACGACGGTCGCGAAGGGGCGGCGATACCGAAACTCAATCGACGGACGCTCAAAGCTTTCGAAATTGGTTCGGTCCGGCCCGTCCTAAGAGTCAACTGACTCGAGGCCGAAGATCGTCTTCGCTCAGAGGAAGGGAGGAGGTCGATCGGCAACCCGGTCAAAGAGTGTCGTCGGTTGGCCTTGTTGATCAACGCTTGAGGGACGTTCCTGAATGAGGCCGAAGACCGACGGGCACGAATCGTCGGTGCTTGCGATTCCTCCGAGTTGCTCGACTCGTTACCGTCCAACTCGATCGCTCGACCGTGCAACAACGACGAAGGCGAGCCTGACCTCGACGAGCCCTCGTCCTCCTCGACGATAGGGGACGGAGGTACCATGGCGCGAGGCGCAAAAGGTGAAACTATGGAGAAGATGGGCCTGGTCGCAGAGGGCGTCAACCCGTTCGATCGCTCACGAGGAGGAAAAGGACGATCCAAAATGGACGCGTTATATTCGGCGAAAGGGTTCTCAGCAGGATTCGGCGACGTTGGCGAGAAAGCTTTGGGACTTGCGTTGACGCGAGGCGAAGACGTGGGGGAGACGTCCTCGGGATCATCGATCGGCGCGAAGCCAGCGTAAGGTCGCGCGGGCATCTCCGGGGAAGGTGCGGTGACGAGGATCTTTGTTGGCGCATGAGGACGCGAGCTCGTGGACGACACCTTGTAGCTCGTCGCATCGATGGGGACGATCGATTCGGACAAACCAAGACCTGTACGACTAGGCTTGATTGAATCGGTATCGCTCGTGGCCCGCGGTGCACCTACCGACTGAAGCGAAGTTCGAACACCCTTGGCCGAGCCGAGATGCCGGGCTGTCATGACCTCGACCGCATCGGTAGGGTTCGAGTCGATCGAGTCGTAAGAGAGACGACGGTGGACGCTGCGATCGGTAGGACCGAACATGCCCATCGTCGTGGCGGCCTTGGGAGGGACCGAGATCGTGTTGGCGCGCGCAAGCGGGGTCGGGGGAGCACGACGAGGGGCCATGAAGGACGTGTAACGATCGTCGAGCGAGCCGTACGAGCCGCGTCGGCTATCGGACTTGCCAGCGAGGAACTCGACGGCCGAGCCCATGATCTTGTCGAGGGAGGAGCGCCAGGCTCCTGGCGTAGTCGGAGGGCGAATGTTCGAAGCGGGTACGGGAGGGGAATTAGAGCTGAGCGTGACCAGACCGAAGCCGGGCAAGGCTTCACGAGCCGGTGACGTCGGGTTGAAAGGGTGCAACTTGCTCGGCGATCCAGTTGGTGTCATGTCGGCGCTGTGCTCCGAGTATTGCGAAGGTGTGAGGGGGATGAAGGACATAGCGAGGGGGTGACGATCGGCTGCCAAGCCGAAATGTTGACCGTAGCGCTGAGCTTGTTGAGCCTGCTCCCCAGCGAAGACGACGGAGGGCGGGTCGATGCTGTAGCCCGAGATCGCCATATCGTGCGAAGCCTGTCGCTGTCGAAGACTTCCCGCACCCATCTCGGACTCTTCGTAGAAGGTTCCGACACCGTCGAAAGAAGTCCACGTGCTGAACGAACCTCGTCGCTCAGTCATGTCCGCCGTCGCAACGGACTGAGGCGCTTGCATATGAGGATTCGCGCTGTCCCATCCAGACGAATTGTTGAGTCGGTTCAAGCGGCGTCGCCACAGTGCCTCTGGCTGGATACTGTCGTCGTCCTCGCCGTCATCTTCGACTCGAGCACCATCGCCGAACGGATTGCCGGCCTCGTTGTCGTTGAGTGCTCGAGCGCCAGGGTACTTCTCGTTGAACTTCTCCCGAATGCTGCCATTCTCGCTGCCGAGCTGGGTGCCGCGCGAACGACGCCTGCGTCGTCGCATGATGAAGCACCCGCAGCAGCAGCCCAAGAGACCGAGGAGGGCGAAGACGAGGAGGACGGTGAGAGCGAGAGAAGTTGATCGGGGCAAGCTGTGAAAGAGATCAACGCCGCTGCCGACCTTGTTCGTACCGGTCGAACTTCCCGAGGCCGTGGCCGACGAGGAGGCGGCGGGAGCGGATCCGCCGGCAATGGTTGCCGAGGCTTGAGCGCTTTCTGAGACGCTCACTCCACCGACGACCGAGACGGGTACAGGATTGCCTTGAGCGGCACCGCTCGACGCTCCAGCAAGGGCCGCCATTGTGGCCGCCGCTTGGGAGACGGCTGCGATCTGGGTCGAAGATCCTCCGTTGAAGATGTGCTCGGACGATGTGGCGGCCAGACTCGCGTAAAGAATGCTCGGTGTGTTTTCGCTGTACGAAGGAAATTGTCTCACTGCGTCAGCACCAAGAATGCGGCCATTTCGCTCCCACTGAGCTAACTCACTTCGATTGAGCCGCCGCTTGGGTTTGAGCCACCGCCGCAGGAGGCGAGTTCGCAAGAGGCGACGTTGCAATCTGCGTCGTTGCTGGCGCTATTGAGGAAGCTACTGCCTGGACCTGAGTCGGAGCTCGGGTGGGGACGACGGCTGCGATTTTGGTCGCAGAGGCGTTGTTGCCAAAGACTCGTTCGGTTGTGGTGACTGAATCTTCGGGTCGAACAGGGTTACCCTGAGGGGCGACGTTCCGTGTAGTCGTGGTACTGAATGCGGAGGATTGACCTGTTCAGTCTGAATTTTCTCTCTGTCTCCATGATTGTATCGAGGACTTACGCAGCTTGGGGTTGAGTTGCAGCAGCAGAAGTGGCCGCAGCCCTGGTAGAAGCGCTAGCTTCTTCGCCGCTAGTCGCGGCATCAGCAGGCTTGACGACCTTGACAGGACGTTTCGAAGGGGTCGAGAACTCGGTTTCGACCGATCTTGTCTTGGCGGCGAGTGTTGTTTGGGATCGAGTTGCCGAGCGAACGATGGAAGGCTGCGCAGAGACGAAATGACCGCCTCCGGCTTTAGGGTTGGGAAGTGCCGAGGCGTCGGATTTGGCAGAAGTTGAGACGACGGCTTTGACGGGTCCCGAAGCGACCTTGGTGTTGAACACGGCTTGGCCTCGCACGGCACGAGTCGCAGTGGGTCGAGTAGCGCGGGTTGTAGCGCGGAGGTGGGCGCTGCGTACGGCGACTGCTCGAGTCGTCGGTTGGCTCGCAACGACCTTGATGGCGTGCGCTGATGTAAAGGCCCTAGGGGAAGCGCTCAATGAAGCAATGGGTTCACCCATGCCTACAAGTCACAAAAATAAGATGGAAGTGGGAGTCAGTGGGGGTGCTGCAAAGAACTAGACGGCGATCACCGGGGTGGCTTTGAAGTGGGGTCGCTGCTCACCTTGGGCTCGGCGCTGAACGACAGGCATCCTCTTGGATGTAGAGTGGAGGTCGAGGCGGGAACGATGTCGTTCACAGATCAAAACGAGGCAAGATCACAAGAAGATGAGAAATTGACTTTGGTGGAGGTAGCGACCGAGGGGCAGAGGAGATCGCAGACGTAGTCGTGGTGGTGATGGTGGTATCGCCGTGCGGAGCAGGGTTCGGACGTGAACGAGGTAGACGAAGGTTATGACGGGAGGGAAAGGGACACGAGGGCGATCCATTCCCAAGGGAGTCCGAGTTCCTCCATCGCCACGTTGGCTGGACAGACAACTTGAGGACGATGGCTGCCCCATCCGCCACCAGTCTCTCGAGAGGTCTCTTGAGAGCAATTAACGACCGGCGTAGGAGGCCAAAGAGTTGAACGAGGGGGAAGGCGCGCGCGCTTCGACGCGCCCTCGTCACTCGTCGGGCGAGATGGCGGGTCAGGGCGGGTCTAAGCGACGCAGCGCACGCCCCCGCCCGCCCGCGCGGCCGCTTGGGCCTCGTCGTTGTTCTTTTGGCCACCAATTAATACCATGATGAGACACTCGGGCGGTTGGCAATTGAGCTGGCTGGTAAGCAGGGACCTCAACCTGGAGCAGAAGATAGCCAATTAAGCACGGAACAGTCTGCAAGTGCGCGCCAGAAGCTCGTAGTAGAGTGGACTTTCCGCACAAAGTCCGAGACAGCCCACAGGCCGGCCGGCCCAACCTGGCCCAAGTGGCAGCGGCGCGCATTTGTTCAAGGCATTCCACTCTCGCAGAGCTGCCACCTTTTGCAAGACTCGTGCATCCGTTCCACGGGGTTTATTCGGTTGGATGGGATATTCGGTCGTACAGCTCATCCCTGATGGGTTCCAAGGGATCCCGGCAGTGACATCCCCTCAGGCCCAGGTGTCAAGCGCAGCTCCAAGCCATGGTCGGGATGTGATGTCATCACGCCTGCCGAAGAATCTCAGGCCACGTGCTCTTGCACGGAACGGCTGGGCCAGCCTGTCCCTGCTTGCTCGCGGCATTCGATGATTTTGAACCGCATTACAAAAAGGCGGGCATGGGGTGTAATAGCGAAGTGTTTTGGTATTGTGCGAGAACAACGGAGAAGAAGGGTACTAATGGTACAAGGCTGCGTAGCGTTTCAACGGCAGGAGGGAGAAGACGACTTCGGCGACGTCCGGATCATGCCTCTGAACCTCAACCTGCGCGCACATGGTCTGCAGCCCAATCATCATCGTTCGGTCTTGGACAGAATCAAAGTTTTGGGATCCTGAACGATCGGAGCGAGACCCAAGCGTTAACGATACTCCGCTGCGGTGCCCAGCCAGGAAGAGAATGACGACTGACCTCAGGGTTTTCGAGACCATCATCATCGCCCAAACGAACCAAACAATGGCAGCATAATGAAGGTCGATTCCGAACGCTTCCCTCAGCGGCATAATGATCCCACCCGGTAGACCCGCACCTCGCCCTCCAGGACCATCGATCATCCCATTCTTGACGAGATAAGCCATGACGCCGACGAGGAAAAGGGACGAAGGGATGGGCAGTCCTTCAAAGTACTTTGATTTGCCTGCATCATCCTTGGGGACAAGGGCAACGGTGGCGTTGAAGCGGGCGAGGCGTGCGATCCCGGCGCAGATGAAGGTGGTAAGGACGAACGTGTCCGCGGGTGTGCGGAGGCCGATGCAGAACGCGGCGACGGCCGGCGCAACACCGAACGAGATCTGCAAGTCAACACTCGTTCAAGATTAGATTCTGGTCGCGGTGACACCGATTGGAAATGACGCGTGACGACCTACCGAGTCGGCTAGCGAGTCGAGCTCTTGCCCCAGCATACTGCTCTCGTTCCTCCAGCGAGCGACCTTGCCATCGAAGGCATCAAAGATGAAACCACCGACGGGGTACCAAAGTGCGTGCCTGTAAGCCGACGTCACAAAAGATCAGCAAAGCGTTGTTGTTTACACGATCGCTGATGGCTTGCGATGAACTGACCAAAGGTAGGCTCGATCTGCGGTGAGGAGGTACTTGGCCGAGGAGAAGATGGACAAGGCACCGCAAAACCCGTTGCCGAGTGTGACGATATCGGCCAACCGAAAGTTCCTGTCAGGTAAGGTGTGTGCGATGGTCAGCTTGGGTGCGCAGCGCTCGGTAGGACATTGTGCGGGTAGGACATTGTGTGCGAGCCGTCGATGGCCGTTCCTGGAGTCCTTCGCGATGACGACGATCCCCCATCATGATCCAACCCGAAGCAACCTGGCCAAGCCCACTCACCTGACGAGGGAGAAGTGCCTTCCATCCTCTGCAAACTCCTTGAGCGCATGTTTCTTCTCCGCTGGGGAAGACGAGAAAGAGGCTGCACCACTGCCACTGCCACTGCCACTGCCACTGCCACTGTTGGCGAGCGAGTCCTGGACGGTGACGCTTTCACGACGAGAAGCGAGGGCGTGCGTCGCGGCGCGGCCGCCGGCGGCTGGGATCGGTGCAGCGACTTTGGACGAGACCGAGGTTGATGAACCCGTCACAGGTGGTGAGGTCAGTTCGGGGTTGGTTCCTGAGTCAACGAGAGGGTGACGTGTCAGCGAGGGTTGGTTGGGCTTCCCCGAGACGGCCGCAGTGGGACTCCAAAGTAAGGTGACGCGATCAGGGAGCAGAACACGGGCTATCACCCCCGCTCGCACCCAACGCGTGGCTGCAAGCGAGCGGAAGGTGCAAGCACGGACAGCTAGAGCTTGATAGACTCCATCAAAAGTACTCACCAGGCATAGCGTATGACCGGCGCTGGTGATTGAGGGTGGACGGCGTGGGATGATGTCGAGGACCAAGGAGAGCGCGGAGACGGAGGACCTGTCAGCGGTAAGTCATGAACCTAATCATCATTTTCAATTTACAAATAGGAACAGATCGATTTTCACAACCAAGTCAACTTGTCCTTCTATCACGCATGTCTAATACACTGAAGAGATCGAAGGAGAGGGCAACAAGGTCTTCGATTTTCCTGCATCAAACTTGCTCTCTTGCCTGATTACGGCTAATTCGAGGCGTAGGAGCGGTCGAAGCTCGCTCGTCGGCCTGCAGTCACAGGGGCTTTCGCTCGGCGCGCTCCTGAAGGACGTCGCTTCGTTATGCTGCGACAAGGTTCTATCACCTCTTCAGCCAGGTCTTCCGAGCGTCGGAGAACCATCGATTCCGGATTGCTGAGGTAGAGTATGCGACGCCCACACTACTCCCTCGAGTACAAACTCTCACGATCGCGAGCTGTCAAAGGTGAAGGAGTTGCGCGGGAGTACTTTGCACGAGACACCTCTTCGACTTCTCTCCTCATTGACAACCCTTCTCCTCAGACCTTTTGCCCACCACCGTGCTCAGCCTCGTACTTTTCCTGCTGTCTCTGATTATCCCTCCCCACAGCTTCCCACAAGCCCTCAATCGCCCACACCTCCCTCGCGTCGGCGGTCATGACATGCACGACCAGGTCTCCCGCATCGACCATGGCCCAATCCGCCGTCGTCGACGTCGATCCACCTCCTTTGCCTGCGTTGCGTGATCGGGCATGCCTTGATGGAGCGTTTGGGAGTCCAGTGACGGTCGGATGGGAAGGTGCGAAAGCGCGATCCGACGAGTTGGTGGAAAGTGCTATCGGATTAGATGCGAGCTGTTAGATAGGGAGGCGTCTTCTTCAGTGCTTCGCTAAAGATGAGACCACTGTATCCGACAATCGTCGTCTACTTGCATATGCTCGAACGCCTTCGATCGCGCCTCTCAACCCTCTCTCCCTGCCGTGCCTCAGAGTAGCAACGACGATCCAATCGGTCCAACTTGCTCCCGGATCGGCGGACTGGGCATCGATGTAAGCGATGGATTTAGGATCCAAGAAGGGTGATTTGACGAGGTGGTCGTGTAGTGGATGGAGGGAGCTGGGGAGGTCGTCCGGGGGTGGTCGAGGGGGGGCGATCGTGGGAGGTGAGGGGGAGGCAGAAGAGGAAGAGGTGGAGGAGGAGGGGGAGGAGGAGGGGGAGGAGGAGGGGGAGGGTTCAGGCTCGTCTTGTACGAACCAGGGGAGTTGTTGGCGTGCGGTCGAGGTGGAGGCAATCGAGCGCACGGCGGTGTTGGAGATGCAGCATCGTGGCGAGCATGACGATATTGGGTGGACTGCGAAGGGCGAGTGCGAGACGATTGCGGCTCGTTGAGGGTGTAGGGATCGCAGACTTGTCCGGGCCATAGAGGAGAGGCTCATGGTCAGCGATCAAAATTTGAACGAGAGTTCGGGCAGAACTTTCGAGGCGATCGACAAGCGAAGGAGAGGAGAGGAGACAGAGCGCAGTTAAGCACTGATTAACTGATTCGGCCGTCGAGTCGATCAGCGAACGGCGCTTGGCCTCCTTTGGCCTCTTGCCAGCTCCAGCTACTACTGCCGTCCATTCCGTCCTTCGCGCCGCAGTGACCGAGCTCTCCTCTACCCACTGCGCTTTCACCCAACATCAACTGAATCCCAACTCAGTCCCTACCCGAGCCGGGTACAACATTGGACGCGTAGGCCAAGCCGGGCCTCGGACCGGGCTGTTCGCACACGTGAAGCTCAGCTCCATATCAATTAGGCGCCTCGTAGCGCCGGCCCGCCACCGCCCATCATGATGGCCCCCAAAGCCAGGATGGGAGCGACCAAGAGCAAAGTCCGGGCTCCCAAAAAGGTGAGGACCCCAACTCGCTCGTGAGGCTCGAAGGAACGCCAGCTGATGAGCTACTCTTGGCTGATGGTGGGGCAATGTGGCGCGGGATCGTACCGCGAGCAGCACACAACGGGCGAGGTCAGTTCCCCATCTCAAACGCGGTCGCCATTTCCCGTCATATCTCTACTGACACATCCGATCCAACTCGAACACAGGACCTGATCGCGACCTTGGCCAAGCTCGAAACGGCGATCGAAGAGATTCAGCACCGCAACGCGTCCAAGCTCTCGTTCGAGGAACACTACCGCTATGCGTACAACCTCGTCCTGCACAAACAGGGCCACACGCTCTACAACTCGGTCGCCAACCTCATCTCCTCCCACCTCGAGAGCCAGACCATCGAACGCATCGTGCCCAAGTTCCCTCCCACGCTTGATCAATCGGGCGCATCGAGCCAGGGCAACTTTTCCGCAGCCAGCGCAGCTCAGGTCTTTATGGACGCCGTCAAGGACGTATGGGACGACCACATGGCTTCTATGAGCAAGCTCAGGGACGTCTTCAAGTACATGGTACGTCTCATATCCCGAGATTCCAACCTGGGCGCTGGGTGTCAAGCACTGAGTTGTGTGAACACCTCGCGACGTGACAGGACAAGGTCTACACCGGCTCGAGCAACCTACCTTCCATCTGGGACTTGGGACTCTCGCTCTTCTTCCACCACGTCATTCTATACTCGACCAAAGAAAAGGGCAAAGGCGTCGCTGCACCGACCGCCTCCACCTCTCGAGCCTCGGCAGCTCGCGCCCCACCTCGGCCTCGAGCGACGAACGACCCTTCGACCGTTGCCTTTCAACTCATGCACACTTTACTCAACGTCATTCGCATCGAGCGACAAGGCGAGGTCGTCTCGCGTCATTCGATACATGGGGCCATCGAAATTCTGTGCGAGTTGACCGATGAGGGTGCCGTGCCTCTACCCGTGGTCGCATCGAACGGTACCGGCTCGGGCACACCGGTGCTGAGTGGTGGCTCGAGCAGCGCCAGCGGTGGGCGAGGTGGACCCGTTCTCGGCGACAAGGATCTCCCCAATGGTCTCAGTCCTTACCGTACCGCTTGGGAGCAAGCTTTCCTCGGTCAATCGGCCGATTTCTACCGCGAGGAAAGCGCGCGCTCGTTGATCGAGAACGACTGCCCGACTTTCTTGCGCAACATCTCTCGACGACTCGTGGAGGAGAGGGAACGATCCATTGCCTACCTCGGTGCTACGACCGAACCTTTGCTCATTGCGCTGTTGGAAAAGACGTTGATCTCGAACCACCTTGCTTCGATTCTTGATCATCAAGCTTCGGGGCTGGCGACCTTAGTGCAGGACAATCGGATCGAGGAGCTCAAGATGATCTACACGCTATTTGGAAGGGTCAGTGGTGGTCATGCGGCGCTGAGGATCAGCATTTCGAAATGGATCGTCGATATCGGCAAGCAGGTCAACAATGGTCTCAAGGTCATTCCCGACGAACCGAGGGCAGAGGCCGACGAGATGAACGAAGCCAACCCCAACGCCGCCAAGGACAAGGGCAAAGGCAAAACCAAGGAAGCGTCAGGTGCCGTCGTCAATGCCAAGACCAAAGCCGCGCTGGGGTGGGTGCAGAACGTGCTCGACTTGAAGGACAAGTTCGATCGGATCCTGCGCGACGCGTTCGCGGGCGACAAGGTGTTGGAGAAGAGCATCATCGAGGCGTTTGCGTTGTTCGTTAATGATAACGATAGTTCGCCGGAGTATATCTCGTTGTACATTGATGATAACTTGAAGAAGGGGCTAAAAGGGGTGAGTGGGTCTGCGTCCTGTGTGCGATAGCTTGTAGCTGACCCACTGCGCGTTCACCTCTCTCGATAGAAAACCGAGGACGAGGTCGACGACGTGCTCAACAAGACGATCGCCCTGTTCCGTTACCTCACGGAGAAGGATCGTTTCGAGAAATACTACAACACGCATCTAGCCAAACGGTTGATCGCATCCAAGTCCGTCTCGGACGATGCCGAACGCAACATGTTGGCCAAGTTCAAGATCGAAGCTGGTGCGGCCTTCACCCAAGCTGCTGAAGGGATGATGAAGGACGTCAAGATCTCGGAGGATACCCTGGCCGAGTTCAAGCGGTACACGGCGCGACAGGTCGACGAACCACCTTTCTCGCTCGAGCCGATCATCTGCGGCTCCAACGTCTGGCACTACAACCACAAAGAACCGACGTGCATCTTACCCCAGGTTTTGCGGGACGGGATCAATTATTACGAGAAGTTTTACAACCAGAAGCATTCGGGCAGGAAATTGACGTTCAGATCGGACCTCGGGAATGTCGATGTCAAGACCAAGTTCAACGCGAGGTCGCATGAGCTTAATGTTTCGACGCATGGGATGGTCATTTTGAGCTTGTTCGAAGGGCTGGATGACGACGAGAAGCTGTCGTATTCTGTGAGTCACCTTGTGAAGCCTGAGAAAGGACCGATAACTCATGGAGCCGTTGCCTACCCCATACACAGCAAATATCGTCGTCGACAGGGATTGTCGCGACCGAGCTTCGACGTCAGCTACAATCCCTTGCATGTGGCAAGCACAAAATCCTGCTCAAACACCCCAAAGGTCGTGAAGTCGGCGACAAGGATGAATTCTCCTTCAACGCCGACTTCACGAGCCCCATGGCCAAGATCAAAGTGCAACTCGTCATCAGTAAAGTCGAAACGCCCGAAGAGCGTCGTGATACGGACGACAAGGTCGAAGAGGCGCGTAATATCCAATGCGAGGCCGCGATCGTGCGTATAATGAAGGGGAGGAAGGAAGCGCAGTATGGCGAGGTTGTGCAGGAGTGCATCAAGCAACTTGAAGCGAGGTTCAAGCCTCAGCCAGTGATGATTAAGAAGGCGATAGAGAGGTTGATCACTAAGGAGTATCTCGAACGTGGCGACAATGATCGCAAGCTGTTGCGGTACCTGGTCAGTCCTTCTTTTCGAAACCGTGTCCACGCTGAGCGTCGAGCACTGATGAATGTTTTTCTCATCTCTCTCAGGCCTGATCTTGAAGTCTGGCTGAGCTTATGATTGTATCATATACGCCTTCACCACCTCAATACGCGTTTATTTTCCTCGTTATACCGACCTCTTGCACTGATTTACGCTCATGTTCGCATGAAATTTGCAATGCCTCACCCAACCCACCTTGGGATACACCGAGAAAGGCTGACGTGTGAACGTACGACGACTGTTCACCACCATTTACCTGCCTACCTAGATGTTTAGCAAGTGTCAAACCCGACTCTCTCTGTGTGGTGCTATTCCAAGCACGTCGCCCGACACGTGATCGAGCCATTTGCCCGATCGAGTCAAAAGGCGAGTCAACTACCGAGTCGGAGCTGAAAAGGACGACTGCCCAAACACCTGATCCGTCCCGCTGTCCTTCCCCGGTTTGAACCGAGAGGATATTTCGTTGGAGGAATGTGTGAGAAATGCAGGAGACGAACGTAAAAGTGACGCAAAGAAAGCTTAACGAGGGAAGGGTACAAGTCTCAGGGAGAAAAAGGTCAAACGACGAGCTGATTGATGATATTCAATCGTCCTGCCCCCTGATATTCCTGATCGATGTAGATCGGCCGCCGGCGTCTGCGCGTCCACGGGCTGTTGTCGGAGCGGGCGGGCGGTCGGACTCGGATCCGCTCGAAAAGTCCAACCTTCTTCCGAAATCGAGAGCCGATGCTATTAGATCAGCTAGAAATCTTATCGCCAAAAGATAGCACTGGCTGAACTGCAAAGTGCCTCTTGAAGCGAAAGACCTGTGGGCTTGATCGATCAAAACAGGCGAGTCAAGCGGTGAGCCAAGCGGTGGGTCTCGGTCAAGAACGGACATCGATCTTTGGGCGGCCGCCTCGGTTGGTTTCATTCCACACAGTTCCGTCTCGGTAACTTTTTCCCTACGCACACACACCCACATACATCCTCCGTTCACTATGGCTATCACCAAGATCTTCGGTCGTCAAGTGAGTGGTTGTCTCATACCTTGTGGTCACAACCTGCTGTTGCTCATGGGACGTGGTCTGGTGCTTGCCTGCTCAGGTCTGGGACTCGCGCGGAAACCCGACGGTTGAAGGTCAGTGCAGGACACATGGCTTACGCTGCACGTGACACGCATCACTGACGTTGCCTTGCCGCTTCCTTGAACACAGTTGACGTTCACACTGAAAAGGGTCAGTGATCGTGGCTCTCGAGCACAACAGCTTGCAGCCCCACCGCAACGTGTCCGCCGCGCCTTTGCTCGATTCGTCATGCCAATCTGGCAACCACGTCCCATCCCCGTGTCCCCGTGTCCCCGTCGCAGGTCTCTTCCGTGGTACGGTTCCTTCCGGTGCCTCGACCGGTATTCACGAGGCCGTCGAGCTCCGTGACGGCGACAAGTCCAAGTACGGTGGCAAGGGTTAGTTTTCCCACTCTCTCCCTTCCCCGTCCTGAAGGTCTTTATCGAAACGAGGGCCAACCCGCAACGGTGGCCCTGCGCTTCGCTGTCTCCGGGAACCGGCGCTGACAGTATCGCTTCATACCCACACCGCCAGGTGTCCACAAGGCCGTTGCCAACGTCAACGATGTGATCGCCCCCGCCTTGATCAAGGAGAACATCGACATCACCGACCAGAAGAAGATTGACGAGTTCCTGATCCAGCTCGACGGCACCCCCAACAAGGGCAAGCTCGGTGCCAACGCCATCCTCGGTGTCTCGATCGCCGTCGCCAAGGCCGCTGCGGCCGAGAAGGTGTGTTTTCTAGCACTGTGATCTTGACGCCTACTGTGGAGCTAGGACCTTGCGCACCGTTGCTGCCATCCCTTGCCTGCGCTCCGCTCTGAGGGGGCGGCGGCGGCGGAGTGGGGTGACGATAGGTCCACGAATCGAGCCAGGAGCTGACTCTCTTCTTTGCACGGCTTCATATCTCCTCTAGGGTGTCCCCCTCTACCAACACTTTGCCGAGCTCGCCGGCGTCAAGCCCCCTTATATCCTCCCCGTCCCCGCCTTCAACGTCATCAACGGCGGCTCCCACGCCGGCAACGCCCTCGCATTCCAAGAATTCATGCTCTTGCCCGTCGGCGCCAAGGACTTTAACGAGGCCATGCAGATGGGTACCGAGACCTACCACAGTACGCGCACTGATACGAATGGTATGCAAAGTTGGAGGAGTTGAGGATTGAATCGTCTCCCCTTCCGCTCAACAGTCCTCAAGGCCGTCATCAAGAAGAAGTACGGTCAAGATGGCGAGTTGGTGTCAAGTGCCCATCATATGAAGTTGAGGCTCCAAGTACTGATCGACATTTTCATCTTTCAGCCGTCAACGTTGGTGACGAGGGTGGATTTGCTCCCAACGTCCAGGGTGCCGAGGACTCGCTCGAGCTCCTCAAGGAGGCGATCGAGAAGGCTGGCTACACCGGCAAGGTCAAGATCGGTCTTGACGTTGCCTCGTCCGAGTTCTACAAGGACGGCAAATACGATCTCGAGTGCGTACAGAGTAAAAACAGAGTCGGCCTCGAAGCGGAGATCTGACTCATCTCCTACGCTCTGTCTTCGCACAGCTTCAAGAACCCCAACTCGGACCCGTCCAAGTGGCTCACCGGTGTCCAGTTGTCCGAGGTCTACTCCAAGATGGTCCAGGACTACGACATCATCTCGATCGAGGATCCCTTCGACCAGGACGACTGGGAGGCGTGGTCGCACTTGCGCGCCAATTCGCCGATCCAGATCGTCGGTGACGATTTGACCGTCACGAACCCGATCCGCATCAAGACCGCGATCGAGAAGAAGGCGTGCAACGGCCTCTTGCTCAAAGTCAACCAGATCGGTACCATCACCGAGTCGATCGCCGCGGCTCAGCTCTCGCAGTCCGACGGATGGGGTGTCATGGTCTCTCACCGATCCGGTGAGACTGAGGACACGACCATCGCTGATCTCGTTGTTGGTCTCGCTGTCGGTCAGATCAAGACTGGTGAGTTCTCGGATGGACTCGTTGGCGGCGTCGCTATCGTGGGTCGATTTGAAGCTGACCCTTACACCTCTTGATATAAGGTGCTCCTTGCCGTTCCGAGCGTGTGGCCAAGTACAACCGATTGATCCAGATCTACGAGGAGATCGGATCGTCGGCCCAGTTCGCCGGTGACAAGGGTCTTTCGTCCGGACCCAACCCCGCCCCTCTCGCCAAGCAGTAGACCGAAACACCGATAACTAGGCATGCGGTCTGAGCTTCCTGGAGCGTTTGTTTTCTCGCTCTTGCCTTAACTTGTGAAGTTTTTTGCGTCGCAATACTCTGAAAACTGAAATACACCTTCCCATTGCGCAATCATGGCCCTTCAAAAGCGAAAGTTCTGTGCTGCGGAAAGCATCGGCTGACGCTTTTTTGATGAAAGTACATGCTACCGAAATGCGATCATTCTTCATTGTTTGTCTCCTCTTCCTCATCAATGTCATCCTCGTCACCGTTCCCCAACGTAGTAAAGTCGTACCCCTCCTTGTGCGCTCGCTCCTCCAATTTATCCATCAGCATCTCGAGATGAGCGTCGACGGCTTGTAGGATCTCCAGTTGGCCTGATCATAGAGAACCACGCAAAGAAAAAAGGTCAGTCCACCACTGGATCAACCACGGATTGCGTACGAAAGGATCGCAACGAACTACGCCTATACCTCCTCGCCATTTCCCTCCTCTCCTCCTTGACATTCTCCAGAACGAATTCGTAATCGTCCTCGTAAGTCACGACCTTTTCAATCTTGGACCCAATCATACTTCCCAACGAATCGATCGCTTCGTATTCGACTTCATAACCCAGGAAGACGTCCTTCCCGCCTTCCCTCATCTCTTCCAATCGCATCTCGCCAATCTCGGAACTTGGCCATGTGCCCGCTATGAGCCATCGAATTTGGTCCAACAAATCTTTCGGTATCACTCCGGAGCGAGGCACCGAATGCCTCCAAATTTCATTCAGACCCAACATCTCCAACGTCGTGGACAACGTCGAGGGCGTAATCGTGTCCGACGAAGACGAAGGTGGTTTCGAGAGTGCCAATACGAGCAAATCCGATGGGTTCTCTTCAGGTACGAAGCCGTATCCCAATAACCATTCCTCATTAGCTTTAGGTCCATAAGTATTGAACACCTGTTCGTCTTCGCCGACTTGGGATTCGAGGATGAGGGAAAGGGAAGGATGGGTAGGGTGTTTGACGTCCGAGGACCAGGTGATGGGGGTTGCGTAGGCGTGGTTGAGGGTGTCTACGCCGGGGAAGAGCACGGGGTCCGGGTCGGGGGTCGTGGGGCCCGTAATGAGGGAGGAGGGGAAGGATCGGGAAGAGACGATGCTGCTGGCCCAGAGGTAGAGGGGCCTGAGAGGGCACGAGCGAGAAGGGATCAGGTTCGGCGGGTTCCGCGGAGCAGGAAGAGGTACGGACCATGTTACTTGAGGTTTCAAGGATTCGGGCAAGAGCTCAACAAGGCTGGACCATTCGGCTTTCCATGACTTGGATCGATCGACGACAGCACCTTTGAGGTTCGTGCCTCGCAGAAGCTCGACTTCGGCCTTCGTCCACCACAGAGGGGTATCGAATGCGGTAGGGAGGGTATCGACGTAGACCTGGTGACGGAGCTCAACGGCCGGTGGTATCGTTGCAACGTCGATGCGGTGCAGCACGAGGCAGAGACACGTCGCTTGATGATCGGTCAGAGCTGGGGACGAGAGGAACGAGGAAAGCGCCGTCCGACATGAAGCGGGAGTGATGGCGAGTGCGAAGGGACATGCCACGGTCGATGTTCCAGGGCCCAGGTTCGAGGTAGCGTAAACTGAGGTTCCGAACTCATCTGGGTTGGAGGAGCTCGAAGCGAGTCAGTTGCTAGTTAGGGGTCGAGGGCTGAGCTACGAGCTACGAGCTACGAGCTACGAGCTCCGTGCGAGGTAGAGAGCAGAGATGCACCCGATTTGAAGATGAGGTTGGGGTGGAATTGACCACCATTCTGCTGCAGCCATTGACCGAGCGGTGTGTGACTGCACTGCATTGGATTAGTAATGTGGCAGGGTGAGGTTCTCAACGAGCGCCGCGAGGCCAGGCTTGAATTGGTCAAGTGAAACATTCTGGCGTGGGCTTACGCGTCGCCCCCCTTTGGAACTCTTTTGAAGCCAAGCCTTTTGACTTCGTCGACGGGCCCCCCGGCCACTATGTACTGTACTGCACGACGCTGGCAGGGTTGCGCTCATCCCCCACCCGAGCCGCCGACTACTTATCCGATCGATCATCGTCTTCTCGTCTTCTCAGCGCCAGCACACTCTCGGGCAACACATCCATCGATCGCATCGACTCGGTCACATCTCGTCGCCTACTTGACTCACTCGGCATCACCTCCCACCCGTGACCGTGACCGCGTCCGCCGCCTGCCCGCCCCGCTATCGCTCACGCTCCGGTCCCTCCCTCCCGCGCCTACGGTCTGACCCTCGCCTGTCTGCCCATATCCAACATAGGTCAGTTCATATGCGAAGCTCTTCCGTTTCTGGTCGCTCGTAATGCCACAGCTCCTGGCTACCAGTCCCATTGACGCACGGGCCCCATCGCCCATCGCTCTCGTGGCTGCTCAGTGGGCGGCGGCTCGGAGATGGCCGATTACGGGTCGAGTCGTCGCCGAGTCCAAGTGACGCTGTTCTCCGAGAGCTGGCCGCATCCATACGACTACATTCTTCAATGTACTGACGCCTCTGCCAACGCATGCTACCTGCTTGAACATGTACTCGACCCCTGAACCCTGTTTTGACACCGCTCCAACTCGGGCCACCCCACGCTGGCACGCCCTCCCCCGCCGCCGGCGCCGCTTGCCGCCCGCCTCCATTGCCTCTCATTGTCCCGCGCGTCGCCTGCCTCGCCTGTGCCTCGCCTGTGCCTCTCCCTCTCGCCACCACTGCCACTGCGGTTGATTGCCCGCCCCCGACTCGCAACTCGCACCTCGCACCTCGCCCAACCCAACCCCCCCGAACCAACTCGCAGCACTCTCTCGCCGCATCGCATCGCATCACAACTCACAACTAGGGACTAGACCATACACGATGCAACTCTTTGTCCGAGACCTGCACGGATCGTCGCTCTCCTTTTCGTCGATCGAGACCGTCGCCGAGCTCAAGTTCGCCGTCGAGGACCGCACCTCGATCCCGCTTGACGACCAGCGCCTCGTCTTTGGCGGACGCCAGCTCGACGACACACGCGCCCTTGCCGATTATGGCCTTCAACCTGGAATGACTGTTGGGCTGGCATTGAGGTGAGCTGAGGGAAGTGAACTTTGACAGCGGATGGCGCATTCCGATCCGGGCGACCGTCCAGCACGCAGCAAGCTGACGTAACCCCCCTCCTTCCTCACAGGTTACGCGGTGGAGGCCCCAAGAAGCGCTGCGGAGCCTACATCTCGGCCACGGACCGTTGCTCCCAGGCCTCGCTCAGGATCGTTGGCGACTGCTCCTTCTGCAGCACCTCGTTCTGCGGACGGCATCGGTTACCCGAAGGTCAGTTGCCGCGCGCGCGCACACCTTGCCCTCGGTCTCGTGATCCTGTCCCCAATCTGTCGCGCGCTCCCTCGCTAACATGGGTCGCTCTCTCTCCTTCTGTACAGACCACAAGTGCGCGAACCTGCAATCGTGCAAGCAAGAGGCGTTTGAGAAGAACAAGTCCAAGCTGGAAGCCGAGCAGACGACGAGCAACAAGATCCAGTCCTTCTGAGGGCGTGCTCCGTCCGTCTCCGTCTCCCGTTTCCGTCCGTCGTTCGTCTCTTGCCTTGCTTGTGTTTCATTCGCCCTCGTGTCAACAACATCGTACCCGTCCCATCAAATCGCATCAATTTGGTCTCCATCTCTTTCAACCCACGTAGCCGGCTTGCTCCCTCTTTCCCGTTTGTTATACCTTGCTCGCTTTTCCCGATCCGTCTTGTCTACTCCTGCTCCCGTCATTCGCATGCTAGGTCTCGCTTCTTTCGGTGGCGCACCTGCCTCGCAACTCTACTTCGTTTTTCCTTCTATGCTAGCCTGATTCCATCTAATTGAGATCGATCTCCTTTGTGAATTCAGCCGAGCGACGGTTTTTGGACCCGAGGCCACGGTGAGGGGTCGCCCCCCCCCTTTGGCCCTGGGCAACAGCCATCCGTCATCGATTATTAATTTTAAGCAGTGCTCGCTCGCTGGCGCCGCGCTTCGCTTGCCGGTGAATTGGCGCATGATCGCCCCGCGCGTCGCCGAGTGACCGCCTCTCGCTCTCTGATCTCCCACCACTCGTCCGAGCGTGACCGGCGACCCAACATGGCCTCGAGCCCCACCAAGAACGTCCTCAGGGCTCGTCATTCCAAGTCGAGCCTTAGTCGAGCATCCCCGTCACGGCCCGGCAACAGCAGCGGTAGCAGTCGCGGTGGTGGAGCTGCTGGTCCTGGCTCACCTGTGGGCGCCACTACCAAGTCACGACGGGCGGCGCATCAGAGGACAGACTCGTCGGAGGGCGATGGAGACAGTGATGATTGGGAGGATCACGAAGATTCCAAGAAACGCCGAAAGGAACAAGACCAAATTGTCGCTTCGGCACCCACACCAACCCCCACCAACCGAGCTCGACCTGCCCCCACCCCCAGCAAGAAATCGCAAACTGCCGGTCTGGGTCGACGACTTCGTTCACTGCTCTTGCTTTTGCTCGGACCGAGTGCTCGAGTCGGTACCTTCGGCATATCCATGGTGTGGTCATGTTTCATGTATCTTCTCCCCCTCATCTGCGCCATCGGTTTGGCATGTTACTGCCTCTCTTCCGTTCGGTCGTTCGGTAAATCGTTACTACTCCTATTACCCTCGGCCCCATCTTTGGCACCCCTCACGGCCCTCTACTGCTCGACGATCCGGTTAGGCTGCAATCGCTCAGCACCGACTCAAGCCGAAATCGATTACCAGAACATCGTCTCCCAAACGACCAGAACTACCGCCGTTAAAGTCGAGCAGGCGAAAGATATTTTCGGGAGCTTGTTGAACCTCGGCGATGGGTCGGCCGGAAGTGCCGGCGCTCTGCACCCGGTTGAGATGTGGGAGTTGGCCACGGCGGTCAAGTACTCGGGCTTGGCGGAGAGGGACTTCTTGGGCGCGCAGCTGAATGATCTAGGTGAGCTCGCGGAGATTCAAGAATTCCACCCGGGAAGCCCAGGCTGAATCCGAAGAGTTTTTTGCCGTGCTCACCACAGGCAATGTCGTCCGATCTCTCAAAGACAACCTCATCGAGATCAACTCATTGGGGATAAATTCGCTCACCTGGGTCATTCATCATTTTGACCGCCTCTAAATCATCATCAGTAAAGCTCACGGCGAAAAGGAGTCGAACAAGCAAAAACGACGACGGCGTTCGACGGCGGAGAACGACCGACTTTCCGCATCCATCAACGAGGTTTACGAGCAAATCGACTTCCACCTCCAAGCGATCCTCGACAAGCTCGAAATGACGATACCGCTTTCGACGCGCACGTCGGATCAAGCACGACAGTTGTTCGACGAACTGAGTCGCGAGGATCGGAGGATCGACGAGATGCGCCAAGAATCCAGTCCCTTGATGCGCTTCATCTCCGAATCAGGCGCATTGGTCGTAGGAACGAAAAGCAACTTCAAGGCACGACAACTGAAAAAGGACTATGACCTCACGCGGGTGTCGGCGAGTAGCGTCTCGGTCCTTCATCGTGGGTTGGAAGAGACGAGGACGTCCTTGTTGGAGTACAAGCATGGGGTTGGGAGTTATAAGGCGAGTGTGATTGGCTATCAGTTGGGTGGGGCGGGGTTGGACGTCGACGAGGAGGTCGAGCATTTAGAGAAGGTCATGGATGATTTCAAGAGGACGCTGCAGGAGGTAAAGAATAGGAGCAAACCTGGGGGCAGTGGGGCCAAGACGCTACCGATGTAGGGGAAAGGAAGGTGAACTTTATGTAGAGTACCATCGGGGATCAAGCTTGGGCTTCGTGCACGATCGACAGGCCTATATACACGAACAGGGCTGCTGGGTCGACAGGAATCGTCTTCACCTGGAATACAAAATTGCTTTTCGCTGGTTCCATCAGTCAGGTCACGTGACGAGAAGAGTTTCGAAAGGCCGCCGGCGTGGGGACCATCAAGCTTCACCCCCTATTTTACCGACGAGCAATTCGACGGGGTTTTAAGCGCAGATTGACATCAGAGGGAGATCAAGCACCAGTATTGTTGCGCTCTTCTTGCTGTCTTCAATTGAACAGACTACCCTCTTCCTAGTCCATATGTTCCCGCTTTCCCCCTTTGTCCTCCAAGTCGGAATCTCTCGCCACTCAACGACCCCCGAACTGAACTAACCCCTCGTGTCTCTATACAATGACGCTCTGTAACTTTCACCTCGTACTCGCGTTCGCTGGCTGGGTTGTCACACTCTGCGCTTTAACAAGTAGAATTACTGAGCGATGTCACAGAACCGAGAGGTTCGGGTTGTTGCGGCAGACAATTAACTGCAACTCCTCAGGAGGTACGTCATCGAGCTCAGCTACTTGACCATCCAATTCCACACTTCGGTCAGTCGTCATTTCGAACATCTCAAATCCGTAGATCAACACAACCCATCGCGCAGAACAAGGGAGCCACGAACAAACTACAAGCGTCGCTATTCCGAGGGTCTTGATTGACTCCCCTCGACGCTTTCGATGAGGGTGGATCGGCGATTCGGCGCCCAAGTCCCAAAAGACCCAGCCCTCTTTGCTATGTACTATAATCAACTCGCCGGTGAGTTGTGACAGGTTGGTCTGTTCTACTAGCTACAACGCATCAAGCCGACGGTTGGAAGTCATCATCGTGCATGCTGGGTGGTATTTCCGGTAGTTGATGCGAGGTCAATTTGTTGGCTGAAGGACGACGAAATCCTGGGGATCCCGGCTTCCTTCCTTCCTATTGGCCCCGAAAGCGAGTCGCAAGAGACGGATAGCGGCTCGCAAGGCTCGCAGGTGACTTACAGTGACTTGAGGATCGATGTACCGTTATAACCCTCGGTTCGTTTTAGGGCTGCGATATTTAACCGCTAGCCCTCTGCTTGAGATGGAAGTCCCGACTTCTTGCTCGGGCTAACCGTCCCCGGCTGATTAGGCTTCCACTACGTGTACGATGTATTCCACTCCTGCGGAGCTCTTTACGGGCTTCTTCGCTTTTTTATGTGTGCTCATTGCTTATTAAGGGCGACACAAAGGTCGCTGGACGATCCTCAGTGTTCAGTGCTTTCTAAAGAGCTCGCCCCGTGCAGTGGCAGGCAGTGCGTCGTCACATGTGTGCAGAGTCGTCCGGACGACTTGAGCTCCGATCAATATCTTAGCAATTAACACAGAGTTAGGAGACAAAAAATACGAAATTAAGTCAGGTAGTAGGGATGACACAGCATACGCTCTCTCCACCGCCCGATGCGATATCCTAGTAACTTAGGCTCGCCTTTGGACCTGGCGGCACCACGCCGGGCGCGCGCATTTTTCGAGAAGAAGACGTCACGACTTTATGGACAGATCACGGTACGCGCTACTTGTTCTGACTGCGACTCTGGTCACCGCCGTCGGCTTGTCGATGTTGTCGTTTTCGGAACATTCTCGCGGACCGAAGCTGAACCGACAGCCCGCCGCCGCTGCTTCGACTTCGGAGACTGTGACGAAGGACCGGGTACGGCTCAACCCGATCCAATCGGCCGAGCGTCTACTGCATGCCTGTGTGCTATACGCTGTACAGCACCTCATCATCGACATCCTATCTGTTCCCATCGCCACGTTCGCCTCGAACGACTTGGCTCGAAAACTCGTCGACGGCGCGAACAGGTCAGCAACAGGTGGCGAGAAGGGAAAAGGCAAAGGAGCCGGAAGAGATGAAGAGAATTGAGAGGGTGTTTTGTACGCAGTGGTAGGCGGTAGTGAGCTCATCTGGGGCACTCATGCCATGCGAGATCATCTACTACGGGTCGGGGCGTGAGCAAGCGTTCAATTATGCCACTGCGTAGAGAACCCCTCGGGAATCATCTCTTTCAGCTCCTTTGACTGTTCCCTTCTCGCCACCTGTTGATGACCTGTTCGCGCCGTCGACGAGTTTTCGAGCCAAGTCGTTCGAGGCGAACGTGGCGATGGGAACAGATAGGATGTCGATGATGAGGTGCTGTACAGCGTATAGCACACAGGCATGCAGTAGACGCTCGGCCGATTGGATCGGGTTGAGCCGTACCCGGTCCTTCGTCACAGTCTCCGAAGTCGAAGCAGCGGCGGCGGGCTGTCGGTTCAGCTTCGGTCCGCGAGAATGTTCCCAAAACGAGAACATCAACGACGACGCCCAGTCTTGTCTTCAAAGACGAAGTAAGTGAGTGTGTCCATATCCTCAATTGTAAGTCATACAGACCAAGGACTGAACAGAACTTTGTTTGTGCCTCAGTCGGATGCTCTTCGCCGCCTTCCCCGCGGTCTGTTTGGCAACGGTGTCGACTCTCCTGACCACTCGCGCGAGTCGTAGCGGAATAGTGGTTCGAGTTGCAGCAAGACGAAGGACAACATTGGTGGTGTAGGAGTTGTTAAACAGATACCTCAAGCGGTGAAAACCCAGCCTTCTGGGGAAAACCGCAAGAGATTGATCTAAACGGAAGAGAGTCCGAACTTCTTGGTGATACACAGGGAGGGTGGGCGGGATGACAATTGGGAGCTTTGCGACCCAAGCTTCTGGATGTCAGTCGGCTGCAACTGATGATGGAGCAAGTTCACTGATCGTCTCAGCATACCTGTGCGACAAAGGCAAGACACTGTATAAAGACAGTTGGGGCGCGGTTGGTGCAAAGGACGGCAAAGGGTCTGCTGAGAGATATGCGATTTAGCTCGTTGCCCAACAAGGGCCCGGAGCAAAATGCCCCCACAAAGAATTTGCAGGGATCCAAGTGCAAAGTACACCATGCAACAAGCTTGGGTGTATCGAAGCACTTACCCCGAGCTACTCTAAGCGAGCCACGTCGAGGGTTTCATAACGAGCTGCTAGCAGCTGTGAACGTCCGGCAAGATGGAACTCTCGATCAGCGACCTCGTCAGCTGGGAGGTAGTCTTGGGAGTGAGGAACGCACCTGTTCCTACAGGTGGTGAACGCAGCCGCAGAAGCTGGTAAGGAAACGTCGACAACGCAGTGAAGGCCCAAAAGGGAACGTGCGTTGCGAGTGCCGCCCGTGAGCCCGCGTGTGGGAAGCACAGCTATAGCATCCACGGGGGAGAAAGGGTCCGTGCGCGCGAGCCTGAATCGGCGCGTCAAATCCTTGCAGCAAAAGCCGAAAAGACCATTGTGCAGTGTTGGAGTATGGGTGTGGCTACCTGGGCGGCGCAAGCCGACCCCTCCCTCGGACCTCTCAGTCCCCGAGAGGAGACTCCTGCTGGGGGATGGATCACCGCACCGAAGGCGGGACTGCCGGCTATGGCGGTGCTCCTTTTGACAACGATAGATATTGCCAACCTGCCCTTCGCTCTCCACGGTAGCGATGGGAACAACTTGAAGATGAGCGAGGAAGTTGCAGGCGGCGCGGCGCGCGCGCTCACCGCAAAGCTCTCAAATCCTGCGACGAGCTCTTTCGAGCATGCGTGCTGTACGCCATCTGTCACCTCGTGATCGATGTATGACACATATTTCTCGACGCGTTCTGCTTGGTGTCATAGTTTCGCGGAGAAACTGCGCTGTCGGAAGGTGCCCGAGTGCGTTGGGCTGAGTCTCCCAGCCGGCTCGCGAGTCCAGCGACTCCTCATTGGACAACAGCCCAACGCACTCAGCACCGTCCGACAGCGCAGTTTCTCCGAGCTTGGAGTCCCATCGATCGCGTGAAGGACGAAGGATAGGATGCCGATGCCGATCGTCGTTGAAAGGGCCACTGCCAGGGCCCGCCAGTCCCGCCTTCGATGCGGTGATCCACCACCCAGCAGGAGTCTCCTCTCGGCGGGGACTGAGAGGTCCGAGGGAAGGGTCGGCCGGCCCCGCCCAGGCAGCCCAAATGTCGGCCAACGCTGCACAGCACCGTTCAAGCCAACAGACCGCGGAGGAAGGCGGCGAAGAGCATCCGACTGAGGCACGAACAAAGTTTCTGTTCAATCCTTGATCTTTGTAGATGACATCTGAGGATGTGGATACACTCACTTCGTCTCTGAAAACAAGGCTGGGCCCGGGTCGAGTCGTCGGCGGCGCCGCGGGCAGGCGCTGATAAGCCCGGCCGCTGCCGAATAGGGACGCGTAAGCAGCGGCGGCGTAACCCAGCCAGCGCAGCGCGAGACGGTCAGTATGCATCGTAGCGTAGAGGATCGCGAATAAGAGCACCCAAGGTCACAGCTCACAGTGTGAAATGATCCTTTCGGAGACCGCCTTGGTGCCTCGCAGACGTCAGCAGCCTAAAGTAGTACCAACCTCGGTAGGCGACGGCTCCTGCAGGGTGGAGAGTCACGATGATGACGACTCACCATTGCACTTGAAGACTCGGATGCTAGGGCTCATCTTCTGGCTCAGGTCTTCAGTTGTCGTCAGATTTGCGGCTGGAAACGCCATGGATTGGGTGTGTGGTCGGGCGGTGTACAAGAGGGCGTTTGAAAGCGGGCGGAGCGTAAGTGAGTGGCAGCGCTCCTACTGCGGCTTGATGAGCGGGGGAGAGCGGCTCGGGGGAGAATTTTTCGGGGGGCCTGCATGCCTTGGCGGGTTTGCCCTGTCAAGCCGGCCAGGGCTCCGCTGTCCGCAAGCAGATCGCATTTCTCTTACCTAGATCAGGCTCGTTGATACCCGCCACCAAGGAACGTTAGAAAGCAGTACTAACTAATAGAAAGAGTGGGCGCAGTCAATAGCATTCCCATTGGGCACCGCCTGACTATCATTTCACACCATGCTACGGAACGTAATTCCAGGCAAAGGTAGTGGGGTTCTTTAAGAAGCATGGCGTTACTGAGCTGCGATGTTGCCTTGAGACCCAGTCTCAACGTGGAAGAGTGCCTGGCCCCTTACGACCCCGATCCCGACCCTGACCATGAGATCGAATCCGTCTTCGAGGTCTGCAAAACCACCGTGATCTCGACGCCTCCAGCAAAATGTCTACTAGTGACGCCTCGGACTTCTGGATCAAATCAACCTGCCCATGTATCCGATACTCTGGAGCAGCGTGTCACGATCGGCCCTGTAGATGTGGAAACCGAGGCACCGTCGTAGCCACAAGAGCTTGAAATAGTTGGTCCCATCGAGCCCATACCAGACGAGATTTCCACGGCAATCTCGCTGCGGAGCGAAGCACGTCGACGGAGGCATATGTTAGAGACCGTATCGCTCGTTCAACGTGCCTACAATAGGAAATCGGATGAACGAGCTAGGGACCTACAGGGCTTGTTGCAAGTCTACGCGCTAGCGCCGGGGCTTCCCCGGCTTCCCCCGGGAAGACGGCCTCTATTCATTGTGCACGTTCTACGCCCGGCCAGGAGTTGCACGGTGGCGAAAATACTGGAAGATCACAAGAAGCGATCAGATCAGATCGTATGCGCACAAGGTCGTGATCAGAGCACTTTGACTCGCCTTGATCGGATATCGGTGCGGCTTGTACGCAACGAACAGCCGCCCAGGAAAGAGAGGAACGGACGGGCAAGGAGCGGACGACCACTCAGGACGCATCAGAGGGCAGAGAAGCACTTTCTCCTACCTTTCACAGACACGAGGGAGTCAGTACCAAAGCAGAGAGCCGAGATGCGTAGCCAAGGTCCGTACGATTGTGAAAGACTCCACAGGGGGGGTAGCGACCACCGCCACTAGAATTGCTCTCATCATGGCCGAGCCTCCCACTAAGGCATCTTCCGATCACATCATCGCGGGTTGCGATACCTGAACAAGGACGGTGGACTGAAGGATGCGTGAACGACAGCATGTTGCATCGTAGATCGAAGGTGTCCTTGTTCAACTTTGTGACCTGTACGAAAGGAAAATATTTATCTCAGTGCTTTGTGTCGTGAGCCGTACTTGGGGAGAACTTAGCAGAGAACCCAAGGGTTCAAAAGACACAGTTCGATTTTCAATGAAATGGGCGTGTGTAATTGACCTTGGCTGGACGCTTCGTAGATCTCGAAGTTCTTGAGCTCTCAGCCTTTTTTCTTTGTCCGGTCACTGACACTACAGTCTGCGCAGCCCTGCGCAGCCTACAGGTCACATAGGGGTAAACCGGCTTGCCAAGAGTCGGGGGCTCCTCTCTAGAACTGGCAGTTTGACGACTCGGTGGGTAGAGCAATGTAGAGGAGCAGGAATAGGTCAGTCTGATGCGACAGCTTGTGTCGCTCTCCAGTATCATAGTGATCCCATTGATCTCCCCTCAAGAGGCTATGATCTCCTACACCTACAACGAAGATGACGTGCGCAAGAAGACCCCAGCCCCGCCTGCATCAGTCGACGCTCTTCGCACACGGACAGCGATGGCCGCTAGGCCTTTTCAGTCTCACGCGGAGGTCCAGCAGGACCACTATACCTCCTCATCGAAGTGCACACCATCTCCTTCGTCTCAAAGGAAGGTCGTCCTTCGTCCGATTCAAGCCATGACGTTCTTCCTCGTCTGGCTTATGAGTCTCTACGTTTTGTCTCCACAACCAGTTTCTGCCGAAGTGATTACCGGCAGGGATTCACCGAATTATGGTCCTTTGTCCAAATCAGCTCACTTGATCTCGGTCATGACGTGCCACGTGCTCAAAATTGGTTGCTCCATGAATACGAATTCGAATACCACCCAAGCGCCTACCGAGTCCCGCTTTTTGGTTAGGCTCGCGCAAGGGTTAGAGGAGACGCACCGTGCCCGAGCGGAGGAACGCAAACAAGATCAAAAGGAAAAACACGGCGAGCTTGTGCACAAGACAACTCAACGCGTGGAAGCCAGGCTACACCGAGCGAACAGCATCTTTCACAGCCTCAAGATTCTCCAAGACGCTGGCGGGGACCAGCAGTGCGTGTTGGGCTTGCGTCTGTTCGAGGCGGTTCCTATTCAAAAAATGGCGACAGATCTTAAGTACTCGGGGCTGGAGAATGCTCAGATATTGGCTCAAGAGGCGGAGGAACTTGGTGAGGTGGTGCGATCTGCTGCTGGTGCGAAGCCGCCGTATCTGACTCCTTTTCAATCACCCCCTGGTGCTCCCGCATAGCTAAGGACTCACACATCCTCAAGGATATCACTCTCCACATCCATTCTCTCGGCCGCAAAGCTTTCCGTTCTATTCCCCTGTATTTCGAAGAGATCGAGACCTTGCTCCAACAAGTCCTCAATGCGACGACCTCCAAGGAACTGAGCAAACTGATGGCTTCGATCGACGCCAAGTTCGAACAACTCGATTCGATCCTCCAAGCGCTCTTGAACAAAGTCGCGCAAGGACAAGCACTTTCGGCTCGATCATCGGGTCGAGCGCATATGCTTTTATGACCGATTGAGGCGGGAAGAACAACGGATCGAAGCTTCACGTGCTTCGTCACCTTTGCTACGCTCAGTCCTAGAAACGACGGCTTTGGTCTTCGGTGACGACTTGACGTTCCACGCTCGGCCATTGAAGAAGAACTTGGCACTTACGCATCGCTCCGCTCATAGTGTGATCACGCTGAGTCACAGCTTGGAGGACTTTCGTGCGGCGTTAGTGACGTACAAGACGAGTGTCGGGAGCTACAAGGCCAACGTCATCGGATACCATTTGGCCAGCTTGGGCTTGATAGCCAAAGAGGAGGCGCGACACCTCGGGAAGAATATGCAGAAACTCAAAGCCTCGGTCCAAGAGTTCATCCAGGCTTCAAGGGTGACTCAAATCCAACGTCTCCTTCCATGGTAGAGGGCGACCGTCACCTCGTTTCCACAATTGGTCCCGTTGGCACTGGTTGCGCATAGTGGGTCGGAGTGGAAGAAAATGGGTACTTCGCGAGTTCACATATCACTGTAGGTATTTACAAAGCACATATCGAGCATTCGTGATATCGAAGTTGCCGTTCGTCGCTAGATACGGCCACACTCTGATCCTGTCTATTCGTCTTGGGGCTCTCGAGGGCTCAGAGCGGAGCCTTCGATCAACTTGGCGATATCCTTGTCGATTGATTCCGGCGTAGTGGTCCTGTACAAACGACGGAAGGAGGTTGTCAACAATCTACAATGCAGGGGGAAAGAGGGTGGAGCAAAGGTCGGAAGGACTAACGAGGAGTACCTCGCCACAACGTTGCCTTCGCCGTCGACCAAGAACTTTGTAAAGTTCCTGTGAGGGATAGGAATACGCTCAATCAGCTCCGCTCGGTGCATACACTTCTCAAGCCTGATAACAGTGACTGACCACTTGATCATGGTTGTGCCAAAGATTCCGGGCTGCTTCGTCTTGAGGTATTGGAAAACCTCGTTGGTGCTGTCCCCGTTGACATCCGACTGATAGAGATGAGAGGAACCGGCTGTCAGTAGTGCGAACGGTTTGTAAACGGCCGTATCCGGTAAGATCCTCACTTTCTTCATCAGAGGAAAGCTAACGCCGTGGTTGAGAGTGCAGAAGCTGGCGACGTCCTCATCCGTGCCGGGTTCTTGACCACCGAACTACGAAGGAGTCAGATGCTGACGATGAGTGAGCAACACTCTTCCGACGCGCAAAGACCCACACCCCCGAGCCAGCTGTCACCAAACTAACCTGGTTGCAAGGAAAGCCCAAGAGCTCGAAGCCTTTGCCCTTGTACTTTCTGTAGAGCGCTTCAAGACCATCGTACTGCGTGGTAGAACAGAGACCAGGATTCAACATGTGGTAGCGTCGACGAGGAAGGTGACGACGAGCTTCCTCGACGCGTTATGAGTGCTGGCTGACCTGCTTGGTAAAGCCGCACTTGGATGCGGTGTTGACGATCAATACGACCTTGCCCTTCAAATCCTGTTGAGAGTGCGAGGTCGCGTAGTTATCAGAACAACTTTCAAGCGCAGGCGATATCCGGCAACCGCGCCGACCCGAAGCCGAGCGAGGTCGTACGACCATGACTCGACCGTGCCAGCCTGCCAGGGCAACTGACCTTGAAGTCGTACGTCTTGTCGGCTCCGGGCAGAGGCGCCTTGAGATCGTAAAAGGTCGTGGCGGAAGACATGGCTGTGACAGTACGGAAGGGTGATGGGGTGGATGGTGAAGGAGTTGAAGCAAGAGAGGGAGGGTCGCTCAGAGGAGAGCGTGACAAATGGCACGACAACTGGTCGGTCAGCGTGTGGCCGAGCACAACTCCCGCGGATCGGCCTCAACGCCGACCGCTGCCCGGGCCGCGAATCATCGACCATCGACGAGTTGCAGGCGACGGTGAAGCTGCTTCACGTCAAACTCACATCGTCCGAGTCGTCGGCCTGCTTGCACCGATGGCAATGACAGGGCCGAACTCGAGGGTCGAGAACCAGCCAACGAAGCGTAGTACCCTGAGACGAACGGTGACCTTCTTGACGCGATAAACATGGGAAACACGCTGGAACAATTATCGGTTTACGACGGCAGGAGGGTGACCTCATCGTCTCAGTCTGCGCGCCGAAGCTCCGAATTCAAGTCGAGCAGGTCACGTGCATCTCACGGGTCCGGGGCCCCCAACATTTCAGACTCGTTTGGGTCGATGCTCACTCATGAGCAACCTGAACAGCTATCGATGAAATCAATGAGCGGCTTTAGCTCGCAAGTTGTCGGTCGCACATGAAACGTGATCGCGGAACCGCGGAGCAATCAAGACGGCCGGGTCCGAGCGCCAACACTAGCGTGGGTCAGATTTCAGCTATATGGCTTTCATCATCCCCTGCAGCGTTTCAAGAACAGAGGCAGTTGAAGCTTGTTCGAATCATCGGAACAAGTGATGGAAGACATCTTGCAGAAGCTGGACCTTCTCAAGGGGTTGATCCCCCCCCCCCCCCCCCCCCCGGCTTCAGCGCACGCATCGCTCCTAATACCTCGTTGTACGATACGGTCACGACGTTCTGGCCCATGTGGTGGTGGTGTGAGATGGCCAGTGAGCAGCAAGCCGACAGGATCATGTGAGTGCAAAGGTACATTTCGAGAGGAAATTGGAATTGACGTGATGAGTCCCACAGTAGATCTTCTCTGGTCAAGTTCGAGGCGCTTGGCGGATTGTTATCGGGAACGGAGAGCTCGCGCGGTCGAATTTTCTCACAAGGCCGAACCGCCAATGGGAGTGAGTACTACAAACCTCGTTGCCTTTCTTCTGAAGCTTTGATGACATATCTCTTTCTTCATTCTTCAGTTACCCTGCAGCTTGGGTCAGTAGCGAGTATTTGTTGCACGTCTAAACTGGAAATTGACAGACTCTTCGGATACTCTCCTCGTCCTTCCTCATCCTTCATTCATCATTTATCCTGATGCTTACAGCCTCCTCAGTGAGTAACACTTCCCTATTCACGTGCATGTCAAAGTTCGTCCTGACCAGATATTGCGTTGACTCTTTGCAGCCAAATCATGGCTTGTTTGTCCCCGAACCTTCGGCGTACCAGTATGCCTGGCGCAGGTGCTGACCCGTTCTTCTTTCCACAGGGGGCGGTATGCAAAAGTACGGCTACTTCCACGATGCTCAACGTGTCGCGTACCGATGGCTTTACATGTGACTTCATTTTCACTGTGTGGATCCTCCCAAAGCTTCCACACTGATCCGCTTATGATTTGGACAGGGTGACGATTGGTTTTGTCGAGGCGGCTGTAAGGCGCCGCTCCGCTTACGCCTCACGACGACCTCGAGCCAACCTCTGCGGCCTCACGCTTGCCCTCGCGCGCGGCGCCGCCGCGTCTCTTGACCTTAGTCCTTTTAGTAGTCTTTCTTCGCCTGCGAATTACACCGTTTGATCCTTTCTGTTTGGACTCGGAATCAGTGAGGCTCGAGAGCGATCTCGTGCCTTTCAGCGGCCGGATGCGTCCCCGAGAAATTCAACGCGGTCGAAGCGAGCTCCAACATAGATGCTGAATGTGAGTCGGCCGTGGCTCTTTTCTTCCTGAAAAGACATCGCGCATCTGACACAAGTATCTTACAATTGACAGACGGCAACCAAAGCACGGACTTCGCATTGATCCCACGAGAGGGCTTTGGATGGTGAGCGCAGAGACTCGACAGCTGTGGAACTCCAGGCCCAAGGGCGGAAGACCGCCCTGCAGCGGCTGACCCTTTCCAACTCTGAACTCACCACTGTAGAACAAGGACCTCACCATGACGGTATCGACCTCAATTAACCTCTCACCATCGAGTTGAGCACCAAGTTCGGTATGACGTTCCGCGGCCTCGGCAACCCGGTCAGGCTTGTCGCCGAGAACCAAGTAGTTGGTGTTCACATGGAGAAGGTGCTCACTTACAGAGACCTGGAGAGTGAGAAGACAGTGAGTGGTACGGATTCATTTTCAGGGCTCCGTATTTGGCCCAAGAACTTGATCTGACTCCCTTAGCGGTCATAGCGGATGCGCCTTCGAGTTTTGTACCTTGGGCTGCCTTGCGATTATTCTCATGTCGATAGGCTCGTTGGAGCTGAAAGCCGGCCAGACCTTGCCATCGGAGTCGGTGAAGGGTTCATGAGAGTGCTTTGCCAAGTTGTGGGTGGTCTTGTATTCAATCAAAACCGTGTTCATGACGTCCAACTCGACGATGCCATTTACATTTAAGCAAGTTCCCCCAGTTGCAAGTCAATATCGCCTTTTTGGCGGAGGTGCATAGGAGGCGAGCTTGATTGAACCACCAAGTGAGCGCCAGCGATGTCTCACGACTGGTTCGATCACGTAAGTCAGTATTTTCCCCATGTGAACACCAACTTGGTCCTCGGCGCCAAGTCTGACCCGGTTGCCGAGGCCGCGGAACGTCATACCGAACATGGTTTTCAACTCGATGGGGAGAGGTTGATTGAGATCGATACCGTCATGGTGAAGTCCTTGTTCTATGCCCACCTGGATACGCGTAATGAGTGTGGGGTCGCAGTAGGCACAGGTAAGACGTGCGTTGGGTAGTTCACGGTTGGTCGCAAGCTGTTCCCAGAAAATTTGGTGGTACTGGTAGTAGTCTGACGGGATTCTATACGAGCAAGTCTCGGAATAGCGCTAACGAACCATGCTGAGATGTGACGGTCCTGTCGTGGCGGATGTGACGGAATTGAGGACGACCTCAACCGGGTTGCAAGCTAGTTTGGTAGCACTGGACGAGTAAAATTGGGAAATCCCGAATCCCGCGAGAACGAAGTGAACCGAGATCCGCGAGAAATGATGTTCTCCCCAAATCTAAAGCGTAAGCTAGGCGATCGTCCAGCTTAGACGCCCAGACCCCTTGATCTTCCAGGCCATCGTCAGGCTAAGCGGTCATGAATGTGCCACAGGTCGGTGTCGATAGAACTGAGCTTCCAGTTCCCGGAGGGATATAGTAGCGATATGAAGCGCGATATCTCTGCTACAGATCACACCTCTTGCTAGAGGGCCAAACTAAAATTACGAGGTTTACATATAAGGATGTGGTTGTAGTCACACTGGCGCAGAGTTCGCTTTTCGACCGTGGGAAAGAAATATTCTGAGCAGCCCTGGCACGGAATTTAGGAGGCGAGCTGTAAGGTATGCGCCTCTCTTATGCATATTCGCAATCTGTCGTTCTTGATCGCTAGAATGAAAGCAGTGACACAGAGGAGTTCTTATCTTTTCTGATCATCTGATAATGCACACGCAAACCTATGGCTGTAACAAAGGACCGGTGAGGTTAGGGCCTATCACGACGTGGCATAGGTGTCCGTGGCACCTGACTCATGAGCGCGTAAATACCGAGTTCTAGGGCACGTATTGTTTAGAGTAGATTTTACGCTGAGGCGACCATCACCAAACGCTACTGAGGTCATCAACATCCACCCCGCTGACAAAGGGGCACGTATTACAATTAGCGACTCCGTCAAGAAAGTTTTAGAGCATGCAGCACCACCCTACACCCTCGGTGTGTAGATAGTATGAACCTATGTAATTCGCAATGACGAAAACCCAAACAATTCAGCCTAAGCTCAATCTCCATATACAACCTCCAATGCAAGGCAATTGACAACGAAGCCCAGTCCGCATTGAAGGCGCTGATCCCGCGCCTACACCGAGCGTGATCCAGACCTTGCATGTTATCAGCGATCGCCGCTTGGCGCATTAGCCGATACATGCGAGCGAGAGAAGAACACGTCGGGAGAGGTGAGCGCCCCCAAAGCGCGGCGTTGGTGCGAGGTAATGACGTCCAACCCGAGTTGGTAACTCGCGTTCGTCCTGGTGAGTTCAGAGTTGGAAAGTGTCAGCCACTGCAGGGCGGTCTTCCGCCCTTGGGCCTGGAGTTCCACAGCTGTCGAGTCTCTGCGCTCACCATCCAAAGCCCTCTCGTGGGATCAATGCGAAGTCCGTGCCTTGGTTGCCGTCTATCAATTGTAAGATACTTGTGTCAGATGCGCGATGTCTTTTCAGGAAGAAAAGAGCCACGGCCGACTCACATTCAGCATCTATGTTGGAGCTCGCTTCGACCGCGTTGAATTTCTCGGGGACGCATCCGGCCGCCTCGACAAAACCAATCGTCACCCTGTCCAAATCATAAGCGGATCAGTGTGGAAGCTTTGGGAGGATCCACACAGTGAAAATGAAGTCACATGTAAAGCCATCGGTACGCGACACGTTGAGCATCGTGGAAGTAGCCGTACTTTTGCATACCGCCCCCTGTGGAAAGAAGAACGGGTCAGCACCTGCGCCAGGCATACTGGTACGCCGAAGGTTCGGGGACAAACAAGCCATGATTTGGCTGCAAAGAGTCAACGCAATATCTGGTCAGGACGAACTTTGACATGCACGTGAATAGGGAAGTGTTACTCACTGAGGAGGCTGTAAGCATCAGGATGAATGATGAATGAAGGATGAGGAAGGACGAGGAGAGTATCCGAAGAGTCTGTCAATTTCCAGTTTAGACGTGCAACAAATACTCGCTACTGACCCAAGCTGCAGGGTAACTGAAGAATGAAGAAAGATATATGTCATAACATGTCAGCAAAGCAGAAAAGACAACGAGGTTTGTAGTACTCACTCCCATTGGCGGTTCGGCCTTGTGAGAGAGATTCGACCGCGCGAGCTTTCCGTTCCCGATAACAATCCGCCAAGCGCCTCGAACTTGACCAGAGACGATTTGCTGTGGGGCCCATCACGTCAATACCGCATTATATCGAGGTGTATGTTTTCGGTGCTGCTTCCACTCACATGATCTTGTCGGCTTGCTGCTCACTCGCCATCCCACACCACATGGGCCAGAACGTCGTGACGGTATCGTACAACGACTGCTTCTGCTTCGCGCAATCATAGTCGGTGTACAAACCTCTTCCCTCGTGCCACAAGTAGTGATCAGCCAGCTGCTTGCGTCGGCCCGCACGAGCGAACCATTCCGCACTCGTCTGCTTGACCTGCGTCGATCGTCGACCTGCCTCGGCGACGAGTTCCCTAGGGCCTTTGTAAGGGACCTCGGTACCGAAGGGGAAGGCGCTGAGAGCGTAGTCTTCCTCCAGGTCGAGCGAGTCACCGAAATGGTCTCGAATGATGGTAGCGATGTCGACCTCGTACTTGTACAATAGACTGCACAAGTCGATCGTACCAAGATTGCCGCAACGCTTCTCGAAGCGATACGTGGTGTCGTGACCGCTTTCTCGTACACCTCGATCGTGGAGGAAGTACTCGTCCAAAGCGGGGACCGAGACCTCGCCGGCGGTGTACTTCTCCGTGAACTCGTTGACGCTGATGCCGAGCTCGTCGGCGTAGGGTTGCAAGACGTAGGTGAAGTGAGACGCCTCGGTCTCAGGTGGGATGCCAACGCCTTCGGGGCGGTAACGCGAAAGACCCGTGAGGGTATCAAGTCGGAGCGACGCATCCATCCACACAATGTGGTACTCGCGGATCGCACCCTGGATCGCCCGCTTTAGCCAAGCCTTGTTCTCTTCCGCGTCCTCAGGATTGAGGTTCGCAAAGACCTGCAGGATGAGATCCGTGAGGAACGGCGGCTGCGAGCGGCACAGGTAGTAACTTCGGTTGCCGTTGAGGACTTTGCCGTAATGCTTGATCTCGAACAAGAAGTGCTCAACGATACCGCGCGCGAGATCGATGTGGCCATCCGAGATGAGACCGAGAGAGACGAAGTAGCTGTCCCAGTAGTACAGCTCGTTGAACCTCGCACCGGGAACGACGAAGGGGATCCCCTTGAAGTCCGAGTCCTCACCTTCGGCACCCTTGATCTCGGTCATGGCCAGCGCGAGAATACCGGGCTCCTCGTTGCGGTCTCGTACCCACTCGGGGGTAAATTCGCGAGGGATCGTAGAGACGATCAAGCCGAGGTGGGGCTTCTCCTTGGCGATGCGCTCGTAGTATTTGCGCATCTGCACTTCAACCTCGGGGACGTAGATTCGTGGGGCCTGGTTTCGACCTCGGTTCTGCACGAGATGGGTTGTAATTATCTCAGTCATTGTCCACCACCCGTGATTGTGCGTAGGCAGGCGATTACCTTTGGGTCAGCGCAAATCGCCTCCAGTCCATCACCGTCAATTCGTCGCGTGAGGTTCGACCAGAAGGAGTAGCGGATCATGCGGCTCAACCGCGAGACCGGGTTCTCGCTCAGTCGCGCTTCGTCCAAGACGATCGTCTTTTGACCGTGGTCACGTGCGAGTGCGAGTTCTTGTAGGAGGTTGGACAACATGTAGGTGCCTCGGATCTAATAAGATGACGAATTCCATAAGGTCAGCTTGGATGGGTACGCCTATGTATGTCCTCGCCAGACTTCTCGTGTGGCACGTGCTTCACAAGAGTTGTAGCCGTTCGAGCTGGCCGTTCCGAGTGTAAACACTTTGGGTCCCTTGTCCGTAGCGGCGATCTGTTGTCGGCGAGAATCCGCCTCGATTAGCCTCGTGAGAGATTCCGGGCGCTTTGTCAGATGCATCAGATTCCGCCGACTGACCTGGAAGTTGCCATCCGTATCTTCTTGTTCGAGGACAAGTTTCATCGTCTCCTCGACATCGACCAAGAACTTGCGGGGTTTGGCCGACGTCTCGTCTGAGGAGAGAGAAAAGCAGATGTCGACCCGTTAGCTCTTCGCTCTGCGTTTCATGTGGGGAAGTGTGGGGGTAACGATGCGGGGATGGGAGCACTGACCGTGCGAGAGACGCCTCGCTCGAGAGGGGGGCGTTTGATTGGCAAGGTAGGTTTGGCGTTGTCGGAGGACCGTGTGCGGGGCATTGCCACTCTGTTGCCCTCAAGTCCGAGCCACAATGGGCAACGTCGACGAGACAGGAGAGAGATACAATCAGCCTTCCTGCGCCCGACGACACCGTTCTAGGCATGATGAAGGCTTACCTCGGACAGTGTTCGAGTCTTGTGGGCTCTGGGACGAGCATAGATCACGCTAGCATCCTCTTGTGCCCTCGATCGCAATTCGGCCTCGTCCAAGTCGGACTCGGAGCGGGCGGTGGAGGCAGCGGGTGCAGCTGACCCAGTCTTGGGGAAGAGAACGGACCCGGAGCTCATCGTGATATCACCCGGGGAATAATCTGAAATTTCACTGTAGTGACAAGGGGGCTGGAGGGTCAGCGGGAAGTTGCGGGCGGCGCCTTTGCGAAGTGGGGAGGCGACCCGTAGCCACGTCGAAAGCCCAGGGCGTGTTTCAGCGACGCCGGCATCCCGGACCATGGCAGTAAGAGCAGCCGCCGCAAGGCGCACAGGGCAAGAACAAACGACCACAAACATCGACATTCCGGCCAAAGGCCTCGGAGGTGACTTTCATGATGTCTGGGCGGTGGTCCGTGCCATGACGGGGCCGTTGCCGCGCTCGTGCTTGAATGGAACGCCGGTCAAGTGGGGCCCCCAATCCAACGCTTCTCCGTAGCTGGCAAGAGGATGGGGGTCGTACGGGTAAGCGATGGGACAATTGAGTGACTCACAACTCAATTCCTCAACCAGCAAACACGTCCGATTGAGTGAGGAGCGTGCGAGAGCGGGCGTGGTCAGGAAGCTGAAAGAAAGGGGAGGCAACACTGCCAGCGCGGCGTCTCGTCGTTTCGCCCTTGGCTGGCTTTGGCAGGACCCGGGAAAGCTCAGCCGAAGGTGCGTCTCGAAAAAACCCGTTTTTAGGCCGATTTGTACACCGAATATCCCTATCCAAGGGGTGTATGTATTCCGGTGTAGGACCAAAGTATCGGGCTGTGTTGAAAAAGTTACTCTACCATCAAAAATTACGTCACGTAGCATACACATGGCATAAATTAGCCCGAAATGTACAAATCTATCGGACGCACATTGGGCTGAGCTTTCCCGGGTCCTGCTTTGGCTGGCGCCTGCTGGCGCCCTCCTAGCATTTTGATCGATCAACCGGAACATGTCCGGAAACTATTTCCGGATGGGTTATTTCAAACAATGGGTGGCACAGAGGCCCGGGGTAAATGGCAGAAACACTTCAGAAATCGCTCGCCCCGTACTGTACGCGATCTATTAGTATTCGACTACCTCCGAGTCCTGTTCACCCAATTCGAGTCTGGCGCGAGAAATGCTCAAGTTCATCTGTCGGCTAGCACGGCCTTTCGACTTTCAACCTCACAGGTTTCCATAGCTTGTTGACATCCACGGCCGAGGCGGAGTTTCTCTCTTGTCGAGTGCTGCAGATAGGTACAGACGAACGTGCGGGTGTGCGACAGGGGCTGCCAACACCGTTCAGCTAGCTGCATTGATGCGACCGACGTCTTCTCCGAGCCCCGCCGGATTACCCATTCGAGTCATCACTCATCAGACGGAGGCAAGACCATCTCGAGGAGACGTCAGACATCCCATCACGGAGCCAATACCAAAATAATCGAGCAAATGAGTGAGACACGTCGTAGTGACTGACACACGATACACTCATCACCTTCACGGAGGAAGCGAACTCGCACTGCAGTGGCAGCCGTTTCATGTCGGACTTTCAGAAGCGGTCAACTTCAACCAAGATGCCGTGTCAGGGATCGCAAAAGCTCAACTGCTAGTTCGATCATCATAAAATTCCCTCATCCCGGCCGTGCACTTGGAGCTGTTGGTGCCTGAATTTTCATCTCATTCCAGTACGACCGACGATCATTGCTCGACTGCGAGTCGGGACAGCGGCAGCCGCAGCGGTAGCCGCAGGGGCCAGGGGCGCAGGCGCCTCGGTTCGGCCTGACCGCGCACAGAAAGAAGGCCGGCCCGCACGGAACGCTGGGCAAAGGCTGGGCGAGCGAGGGCGAGCTAGGGCGAGCGGCAGTCGAGCGGCGCTGACTGGCGCTGAATCGGTCAGGGACTGGATTCTGGAATGACTTCATACGCTCTTCGCCTTTGCTTTTGCCATCCAACCGACCCGGTCCTTCGATCGCCCCAGCCCTCTTACCTACTGCTTCCACGTCCACGCTCCGACGCTCCCTAGGTGCGGTTTGACTTGAGTCACCCAACACCTTGCTGTGCTGCTTGGTCCGCTCCCATCTCGGACCCGACCGGCCGACCGTTTGCCACGCTCTCGAGCAGCGCCGAGAGTCGCCTGACCCTCGAACGCGCCACGTAAGCCGTGCCACCACCTTCACCTGTCATCGACCAAGCATGTTCGATAAAAGGATATTTTGATGCCTCTGATGACCACCTACGTTGTTGTCACTTTGGAGAGGACATCTCGGCGGGATGATGCCGCGCCGCTTCATCTCGTCACCCACCCGGCGGGCCGACAATACGGCTGTGCTGTGCCCCCGAACCAGCTCGAGGTACCTAGGGTCTTTCGAAGGCTGGAGCTGACCTGAGCTTCTTCATCCCACACCTTCGCCCCTTCTAGGCCCGTCTCCACAGCTCCAGCGCTCGGCCCGACGACCGCTCCTTCCGGCTTTTGATGCGAGCGCGCCGGAACACGGTCGGCTCATTCTCTCGCAAGGATGAGCAACCGCAAGGGATCTATCACGTCGGTCTGATCAACCTCGGCAACTCATGCTTCTATAACACGATTCTACAAGCCCTGGCCGTGTCGAGGCCGCTCGAGGATATCATCGCGGACCCTCCGACGACCTCGCCTGCTTTGCTCGCGCTTTCGCCGGCCTCGCCTTCGTACAACGCTGACCCTGCCCAGCTCTTGTCACCGCTCCCCATCACGAGTGCGCTGTTGGCGTTGTTGACCAAGCTCGATGCCAGCAAGGAGATCGCGAGAGGCAAGAACCTCACCTTCAACCCCAAGGCGCTGCTCAGGCAGATGAGCCTCAAGCACGAAGAATACGCCCACGCGACTCAACAGGATGCCCACGAGATGCTGCGACATTTGATCGACGGCATTATGATGGAAGAAGTTGACGTGAGTCCCCCCTTCCTATTGAGCTCTTGATCGAGCCCGACGCCAGGAAGATCGATTGACCCGCTGCTTCAAATCCTCTCACAGCTGATCAAGAAGGTCCGAGCAACGCGCCCTCGCCCAACTAAAGGCCGTCCTTCGCAACAACGGCGGATGACGATCCGAGGACTCGACCCCATGCGCCATTCCGACAACCCCTTGATGACGCCTGTTCGCGAGGAATCCGGCATGGGGACGCCCACCGAGGCGGGCGATGACGAGGAGGGAGCTGATGAGGAAGTCAGCGACGGTTCGTCCTCGTCCTCGTCTTCTGATAGCGATAGCGACGATGAGGTCAACGATCCGTTCGAAATCGGGCCGGATGGGACCCCTCAACTCAAAATGAGACCCTTCATCTCGAGCATCTTCGAAGGCAAACTGACGAGCGTAGTTGTCTGCGATGAGTGCAAGCATGGTGAGTGAGGCGTCATTCCCGAGATGCGATTGAAGTGTCTTGGCTGATCATAGGTGCCTTTGTTCTACAGTATCCCAAACGACAGAGGACTTTATGGACATCTCGCTTTCCTTGAGGGATGATGTGGGACAAAAGATACGCAAGCGGGATCGCATTCGTCGAACTCTCGGCGGCGGCTTTTTCGGGAAAAGGTCCGAAACAAACGACTCTGTCGGTTCTGGATCCTCCAACAGTGCGGCATCTACGACGGCCTCGAAGCCTAGGGTGTCGATCACGTTGAGTGAGACCAAGACGAGCACGTCGGCGTCGGAAACAGAGGAATCGGACGCCGAGGTCGAAGCCCGATCCCGGCGCGCATCCGTCGATACGAGCACTCTTCCGACTCAACAAAGGTACGCGGGATGGACCGCCGGTGGCCCCAACTCAAAGTCTCGCGATCCTTCCCCTCTCGGCAGGGCCTTGTCCGTTCTCAGTTCCCGATCTGGCGACGGGTCGAGACGGCGCACGCGAAAGGGCAAGATTCCCAAGCCGACGGTGGAGCAGATTGACTACATCCGGAAAGTGTTGGTGGAGATCCCGCCTCCAACGTCTTCCCTCCCTCCGCAATTGCGATTCGCTCGTCCCCCCGGATCAAAGGCACCACTTCCTCCGCCAGCAACCACCACAACGTCGGTCTCGAACGAGCAAATGTCGACGGACCTGTACGAGTGTTTTCGCCAATTCACAAGCGTGGAGGTTCTCGAAGGCGAAAACGCGTTCGCTTGCAAGAATTGCTGGAAATTTTTGAACCCCGACCTTGTGCGTCAACGTCAAGACGAGAAGGATGCGCGTCGGCGCGAGAAGGACGCTTTAAAAGCCGAGAAGAGGAGGAACGGGAGACGGGTATCGGATGCCAAGACCCACATCAGCGAGGAAGCCGGTCTCAGGACAGTCGTCAACAGTCCCCTTCAATCGCCACAACTTGAGAACGCTCGAACTTTGTCGGCCTCGCTACCTGGTTCACTGACTAGCGCTAATCCGGCTTCGAATGGAGCAGGTGTTATCTCTCCCGAGTTCGCCCTCTTGTCGTTGGCAACCAGCCCTTCCGTCCTCTCCGAACGCTCGCTCGCCTCCGAACCCGCAAGCACGGTCCCAGACTCTGGGGCAGAGACCGATGATGACGCCGCTCTCGCCGACACAGAGGATGGGCACACAACGGACTCGGCCTCAGTTTTGGAACTCTCCCCCGCCGCTGGTGGACCCAAGACCCCTTTGACGGTGGCTAACGTCGAAGCTTTGGACCCAAGTTCGACGCGCACCCATGTCGTCGCCACCTCGGCGTCAGCAGCAGCGTCCGTACAGTCCTCATCGAGCGTCGCAGCAAGCAAGTCGGGTGCTTCGCTTTCGACCCGGTTCTCGAGCTCGAGCAAATCTACCTCGTCGATTGCGATACCCGCAACCCTCAAAGCCCCGCCTCGACATCTCTTGCGCCGCGCGCACAAACGTTACCTCATCTCGGCTCGGGACTTGCCCCCCGTTCTCGTCGTTCACCTCAAGCGATTCCAAAACGCTTCAAAGTCGTCGCTGTTCGGCACGTCCTTTATGAACCTCAAGAAGCGCGACGACGACCTGTCGTTTCCCGAGCAACTGGACTTGACACCCTTCCTCGCGCCACTGGAGAAACCACCGAAACAGACGACGCGAGCGAGGCACGCCACGCGGCCCTCGACATCTTCGAACCACTCGGTCCCTACCCCCCCGCCGATCGAGACGGAAAAGGTTGTGGGTGGAGCCCTGTACCGTCTCTACGCTGCGGTCGTCCACTACGGGACCTTGTCTACGGGGCATTACTCGGCTTTCGTGCTTTCGAACCGATATGGTCATGGTCAGGGTGGGACGGAACGTCGGCGATGGATGTTTTGCTCCGACGAGGACGTGCATGCCGTCAGCGTCGAGGAGGTCCTGAAATGCAAGGCTTACATTCTGTGAGTCGAATGACGCAGTTTGTGTCTCGAACCCTGCATGATGAAGTCGGTGAAACTGACAGCCACAATCGCCCTATTTGCCCTCCGCAGGTTCTACGAACGTGTCCTCCCCGTGACCGGCTCACTGGTCTCGTCGCCCGTAGTTGAAGAAGACGAGTCGCCGATCAAAAGCTCGCTTTAGAGACTGTGCAAAGATGGGTCAATTAGACATCAATTAATATTCTGACCATGTGTATACTGGAACATCAGTTCCTTGATACCCTCTGTTTGTCTTCTACGAAGCAACCCCCGAGCGGTTTGGCTCCTTTTGTTGAGCTGCTCTCGCCCGCCCGCAACCGCTCACCTCTCTGAGCTCTAGAGCAAATAAAACGACCAATCACTTTCTCTTTTTCATCACGTTATACCCCCTCCCCACCTCACCTTACCTTCGATGAAGACTCTGCTCGGATCCTTCGAGGAGCGCAAGACCCTCGGTCTCGGTGCAACCTCTTCCTCGTGACATCGCGACTGGCCATGGTTGGACTCTTCGGAACCAGCGTCTGCTCGAAGAGGATTTGATTGAGCCTTGTACACCTGAAATACACTATGTGAGTTGTCGCTTCGACCCCCACTTTGACGGGGCCGAGGGCAGTGCGGTGAAAATCGCTCCCGAGTGGGGGTTGTGATCTGAGACAGGGTCGCCGAGGGGCAGGGCAAAGTCAAGCGATTTGTCCAGATCACCTAGAAGTCATGCAAGAGACCTTTCAAGTGAGGTTCAAAGTCCGCGAAATGATCGCCGAAATCGACGTTCCGGGCTATGGCGAGCCGCCTGCGCCTATTTCGATCGAGTGAAGACTTGCATAAGCAGGGTGACTTGAATGTAATGACAAGTATTACAGAGTTGTCTTTTATACTGCAAAGAAGTTACAGGCCAACGGTATCCATGCCGGCCAACTTCATCTTGACCGCCACCTCCAACAGATAATCGAGGCACTCTGCTTGCGCCTTGGCCTTTTCCCAATCTCCCCAGCAGGAATTCGAGAAGTATCAGCATACGCTGGGGGTTCTTTAGTCGTGAAAGTCATGACTGACCTGCCCCCCAAGAATACGTGCCATGCCTTCGGACGAGGACGGCCGGCTGTCGAGAAGAGTCGCAAGTATGAGCATGGACTGTTTATTGGACGGCTAGTTCGGTCCAATATACGACTCACAGCGTCGGGGTATTTCCTCATTGCCTGTGACAAGTGACAGTAGAGCAAAGTTCGCAGCGAGTTGCGTAGGCGGTATCGAGGAAAATTCGCTCGTGAGCGGTCCTGGCATACTGAGAAGTAGGAGCAGCGGAATGCGACGAAGTCATGGTCTGTGACGTACCTCTTCCATCCCCTCCCTCAGATCTTCCTCGTCCGGTGTGTTCTCGATAATGGGGATGATCAGGGTATCGAGGTAGCTTAATGCTGAGCCGGTCCCGCTGATGCGCATGCCCTTGATCATTTCCTGGGGGTGTGAATGACCGCATGAAGTTAGACTTCCACACGGAACACATAATTTTCGCCGATTTGTGAGGCAGATGGTCGAAACCCCAGAATTTTCCTCGCGACGGTCTGTCATTCCGACCGTATACCGAGCTCGGAGACATGAGAAAACTCCTCCCCGCGGCTGACCTGGTGCGAGACTCTAAACTCATTCCCTTTCCAAAGCAGCGTCGCCATGACCGCATGTTGACTATGGGTATGAATGCACGCCCCCGCGTTTCTCAACTCGTACGCATTGTAGAACAAGGGCGTGCAAGCCGATTGCTTGAGCGGTTTGTGGACCGGCCAGCGGAGGAAGGAGCGCGTCGAAAGGGTGAGTACGAATATGTCTTGGGGTTGGATCCGCTCCTTTTGGACTCCGGAGGGGGCGAGGTAGACTTTCTCTCTGTGATGGTGCGCCGTGTTGGGGTCAGCTTGGGTTGGATGTCTCTTCGCGACGTCATTTGGAGCTGATCGCTGCTGGCGAAGTGTGCAGGATGGAACGAACCCTTGTCGGATCGAAATACCTCCTCCAGTGCCACTGTGGAGGAAGGAACACCATCAGCAATCGTCTACGCACCTCCAAGCTATGGTAGCGACCTACGTGACCCATCCGAGCTTGTAAAAGTTCTGGCAGAGCGTCGGGATCAAGTTCGCTGGGTGCTCGGGATCGCCCTGATCATCCACGAGCTCGTGCTGGTTAGGCGTTTTGCCATCCGTAGGAGGGGCGAGTAAGGCATAAGGGCTTGACTTTTCGGGGGCCATGATCGCGTAGAAGCGAGAGCTGGGAGTGCTTGGACGGGAGGAAGGAGGCCAGAAGCAGCGAAGCGCTCGCCCGAGAGCCAGCGACCCCGCCCCCCCACTCGCAGCCACTTCGCGCTCACTCGCGCAGGCACGTGCACCGAGCGCGCTCGGCGCCGAGCCACGAGCCCGTTTCGATCAATCTCGGGGGACCTACTAGTATTTTTTGACTATCTTCAAGCCAAGGTACAAGAGGAGGAAGATACACCAACGGAATTAAACTAAACTGCAAGAACTAATCTTTCTGTTGAATAATGAATTACAGCTCCTTAAACCCCTTGCATGATCGCCCTGAGTGCCTCCGCGACCAAATCCTCCGCTTCCAGTCGAGGGACTTGAACCGGCTTGTCGGGCGGATTGAACGAACCGTTCTGCCCATTTGTCAATCCCATCATTTTGAACCCACGAGTGAATTCGGCCTCGCGCTCGGTCGCAACCGCGAAGATCTTGGTCGCTTCCTTGACGGTCTCGTGCAACGAGCGCAGGTCTTGCAATGAAAACCCGGCGTTCGAAAGCGGGCCGTACCCAAGTTCGTGCTCTTTGGCGCCATTAAACGCGATTTCGACCCAGCCTTCCAAGCAGTCGAGCTTGATGAGCATCAAGGCACGGGTATGCATCAGGATCGGATCCAACGGCATCTGTGGTGTCAACGGTTCGACAGCTCACTCGTTAGCTCCGAAGGAGATTGGGTGAAAGTGGATACCGGCAATCTGACCCACCGATGAAATGTATTTTACGAAAAGGTGCAACCAGCCCAAGAAACGACACTGAGCGCGAACGAGGAACCCGGTCACGTATTCGTTGGACGCAGCTTGACTTTGACAACGTCGATTTGCCTCGGTCAACAAGGCGGCCAGAGTCAGGTGGGGTACCATCAAGAGGTGTGGCAAGAGGAGGGAAGAGCAGATGGAGGCAATCGTGTCGTGCATACGCTTGTCGAGATCGATAAAAAGACGCTCGAATGTCGGAAGAATTTCTTGCAGCGGTCGAGGGTCTAGAGTGCACAAAGTCGATTCACGGTGCATCAGTCCCAGACTATCAGCGCCGAATATTTACATTTATCAGGCATACCGAACAACGCACCTCTTCGCCGCAGATCGTTCAACTCGCGAAAGATTGATATGGCCACCAGCGTCATTTGGAACGCCGCGCTCTGTGAGACGTGGATCATCTTCGACTGCACTGCATCGCATTCGCAAACACCGTGGGCAGCGTCCGAGGGTTCGAAGATGGATCGAGCTTGAGGCTCTTTCCCAATTTCGGCATCCGAGGTGTCGTCCAGGGCCATGGGAGCGTATCTCAACACCCCTTGAGTAGGGTCTTCGAGTCGTTGCCAGCCAAAGATGTGCAGCTCGTCGTCTTGTACTGTGGGTGGGGTACCACGCGCAGCTAATCGTCAAAGCCCCAAAGTCAGTGACGAGCGTACGTACCTACGAAAATGTTCCCAGAGAGGTGGGGAGGAATATAACTACTCACCAGAATGAAACGTGTCAAAGATGAGCAGCTCGTGGCCCATGTTGTGTTTGAGAGCGGCGTGCGGATTCGATCGGTACAGGTTTACCGTGCGTTGCTTGAGGTTATCGATGACCTTGGCCGTAAACACGTGCTCGGGGCACATACCGAACAGCATGATCTTTGTCATGGTCATCGCATCGTGGCTTTCGATCGATTCTTCTTCCAAAAGACCGGACGAAATGAGCTTTTCGATCGCAATGTCGACAAGGCGACGACAGGCTTGTTCGCGACGAACTCCGAGCTGAAGCTTAACCAGTTCGGATGGCGTGGCATCCTGGGTCGCTCGAGCCCCATCAAAGCCGACGATAGCCGAGTGTGTGGATCTTCTGGCGCCCAAAGCGGCGAGAGCGTAGTAGATGACCTACGCAGAGGGTGTAGACGAGTCAGCATGAGGCACATGCCACAACAGATTAACGCGTACCTCATTGAACTTGGCCTGTTTGGGATTCGTGCTCGACATGTTGTACCAGAGGTATTGCCAAGCCCTGCGCACGTCCCTCAGGGGCTTGTGGGCCGAGAAAGAACCAAGCTCCTGATTCGACACTGAAGGAGTCCAAGACAAGACGTCGTGTCAGTAACGATCCTCTCCCCATTCTATGTGTTCACACGGCTTCTTGGTGGATGCTTACGGTTGATGAGATGCCACCCGAGCGAGTCGGCCAATTTGGTCTCGGTGATTTTCGAGCTCGAGCACGTTGGGGCGAGGTTGAGCGCTCCGACCACAGCCTTTTGCACCTCCGTGGAGGTTTTTCTTGGCACCTTGGCGGCCTCGGTCATCTCCCTGGAAGTCGAATGTGAAGGCGAGCATAGAACTTGACTTTGTCAGCTTGGCGACAGCGGTATGAAGCAAGCGAGCGATGGAAGTGAACTGACCTCAGCTGGGTGATGACTCGACCCTTGCGCTTCTGCTTGGTTCTCCTCCCCTCGGGCGAGTCCTCGACTTTATAAGCGGTCCTCGTCCTTTTGTTCGATCGCGGTTGAGCGGCGTCTAAATCGGTGCTGAGGATTGCGCAAAAAATCGATTGTTGTCAATCAGGGAGTCAGGAGTGCCCGATCCGTTACGGGCCCGAGAACCTCGGAGGAGCGACCGCGCGGGCGCGAGGGGTCGCGACTTACGATGGTGAGCTCGAAACCGAAGCCGACGCCGACGCCGACATGTCGTGCCCCGAGGCGAATTCAGGAGGGGTCGTGGCGGTACTCGATCCATTCGAGGTCGTATCGAACGCCTTTGGCAGTTCATCGAAGTTCCAGGAAGCGATGGGGTTGGCATAGTCATGTGCCGGTGGCCTGACGAAGCCGCGAGTCGCGCTCCCGGCAGCCGGCGCCGTCGGATCGGGACCGCCGGCCATCGTGGGCGAGCTGAGCGAGGTGTTGACCGCCGGCGTCGCGATCGGCAAATGGTGCATCAGCGTCTCGTCGTACCATACGAAGTCTGATCCATTGAATACGAGCGACTGGTCCTCTTGGTATTGATCCAAGTCATACATCGCCAGGTCTCGAGCCCGTTGTAGCTCGAACATGGGGAACGAACAGGATAAGCACAGCGCAAGGAGCATGGCCAGAGGTTCCGTCGCGCCGGTCGCGATCGGAGTTCTCGCGCTGGCAGTGCGCTGGCTGCCAATCCACTTGGTCTACTGCTTCTGGCGCCAAGGGATCGGGGAAGGGCCACCTGCACTCCTCTCGGAGTTGAATTGCCTCGGTGACCGAATCAAGCTTCGCGGAGCTACTGAGCGCGAAGTTCGGAGGAACATCATTCTGAGGTCAGGGTGCCATGCGTGCGCTCGTTGTGGGAAACTTCAGCAAGGAGAGCCTCCGAGTCGGGATTTAGCAAAATTCGAAGCTCCGTGGAGCACCAGGGGAGCTTCCTCGCTTCACAGAGGGTACATCTCTGAAATCTTGGCCGATGCTAACTTTTTCCTCCAATGCGCAGCTATGACGACTGGAAAAAAACAATGCGAGAGGGGAGGAGACTCATCGAACAGGGGCTCGCTATGATCGCCGGTTGAGGGAGGAAAATCGAGGCACTGCCCTCTGCGCACCTCGCGGCGAGGGGTAAAGCTTGGACCTCCGTTTTAGTTCAACGATTGACTTTGCCCGTCGGGGAGATGGAAGTTCACACACGAGTGAGCCATGCCTTTTTTCTTGAGTATTAGTGTCGATCCCTTCGATGTTCGGCCGGAACAGCAAAGACCGAGTGGGAGATCGCACCCGCGGAAGTGCTTCCTTGGCCGTGCTTTGCAATTTCTCGACAGCGAACCTGCACGCTCAACAACGACTTAAGGCAATGCGGTCTTAACATAGCGATGAAGTTCCCCAGTTGCTTAGGTAATGCCCTCAAGATCATCTTACTCTTGGCGAAACTAAACCTCGGGACGTCCGATTTTATAGGCCGTTAGCTGATGATGAGGAGCTTGGAGTTTGCTTCCTCGATCAACCGCGAAGACCTGACGTTTTCTCCCAGGACACCATCGAGCGGCAAAGCTGACATTATCACCTGAAAACGGTTTTCGTGAATTCGCACTATGTCCGATGTTGCCTCTCCTTTGACCTCTACGAAGTACCTCGTGGTAACAAAAATCGATCCCGATTTACGAGCGTTACCCCCTGTCTTTAACGCCCGGACCCCATGCAGGACTAATTAACCTTGCCGAGGAGATCTTCTGAAGACAGTAATTCCAAAATACCGACGCACAGAACTCGAGCGTGTTACCCATCAAAGCCTCGCACAGCATCTCACCTAAAAAAAATGCGCTCAAGACCCAATTACGAATCAGTAATCGCCCAAAGCCTGTTACAAAATCCCTTCGCAACCCATCCCTACCGCGCCGCGCGCGTCCACCTCTTCTTCTTCTTCTTCCACCCCAAGCCTCGTACTTTGTCAAATTCCGTCCCGTCATACGATACTTTTCATCAAGGACGAGCCAATCGAGTAGCTGAGAACAGACGCAAAAGAACGAACTGCCAAGACTGGGGAGCTTCAACAAGTAAGGGAGGGGCGGAGCTGGGTCCTGAGGTTTTGACCCTGGGCCTTCTCTCTGCCTTTCCTCTCTTCTGGGGTTCCTTGGAATTGGTGTTTCGCTTTAGTGACCATCTTGTTCTTCCTGTTGTCGTTTCCCCGGTCACTAGCTCTTTGTGATTCTCCCTTTGGGGGAGTACAGAGCGCTAGTGTACTGGGGCTTTCAAGGATAACGGCGGACAGGCACTTTCATACAGACCCTTATGCAATTTTCATGTACCATTTCATACCCCTTTCTCTCTCTCTCTCTCTCTCTCTCTCTCTCTCATCAAGCTAGGAAAACGTGAATGTGAAAGGAAACCTATGATGATTACAGTCCTCGGAGAGAAAATCCCAACCACTACTTCGCGCGACTTCTAACCCTTCCTCACCCCACGAGTGCCCAGCACAATGCGATCATCGGTCGACCTCCTGTAGACCGTACAATTCTACACATCAGCTTCATACAATTCAGGCGCATCACTTCGGCCGAGCTGTTTGCTTACACCAAACACGAGATCCATTGTACCGATGATAGCGACGGCGTCGGGCAAGTAGGCGTGACGCATCATGAAATCCGCACCGGCCAAATGGGCGAACCCAGGTGCACGGATCTTGCATCGGTATGGTCGATTGGAGCCGTCCGAAACGAGGTAGACACTGTAAGCAGCGCAAACGCAAGAGCATCATCAGTAAGCAAGGTTTCTGTAGGATGCCGGCGGATTCGCCCGCTTACCCCATCTCTCCCTTGGGAGCTTCGATAGCCGAGTAGGTCTCTCCTGGAGGAACGGCGTAGCCTTCAGAGAAGAGTTTGAAGTGGTGAATGAGAGACTCCATCGATCTGAAACATGCACGGAGAGTCAAAAGACAAAGCGATCAGCGAGCAGATCCTCTCTTGGCCACACTATCCCTCGAAGATCGCCGAAAGCACTCACTCCTTCATGCTCGCCCTCGGCGGCGGCACGATCTTGTGATCATCGATCTTGACCTGCCCCTCTGGCATCTTGTTCAAGCACTGGTCGATGATCCTCAACGACTGCCTGAACTCCTCGATACGGCACAAATAGCGGTCGTAGCAATCGCCGTTCTTGCCGACGGGGACGTCGAACTCGACCTGATCGTAGGCGTCGTACGGCTGCGACTTGCGGATATCCCAGGGGATACCAGAACCACGGAGCATGACACCGGAGAAGGAGTAGTCGAGCGCCTGCTGCGCCGTGACCAATCCGACGCCGACGGTTCGTTGCTTCCAGATTCGGTTGCCGGTGATGACCTCCTCGAACTCGTCAACGCGATGGTGGAACGCGGTGGCCCACTTGAAGATGTCCTCGAGCAAGCCGTGCGGCAGGTCGAGGGCGACACCTCCTGGTCGGATATAGGCCGTGTGCAGACGCGCGCCTGACACTCGCTCGTAAAACTCCATCAGCTTTTCGCGCTCCTCGAAACCCCAGAGGAACGGCGTCAAGGCTCCAACGTCTGCGAAGAGAAGCATGGGCTCTAGATCAGATGATGTACGATCAGTCGCTAGCGTTCCTGTACTGACCCATGGCGTGGGTGAGGACGGCCATCAAGTGGTTGAGTACTCGGGTGATTTCGCCAAAGAGGGTTCGGATCCACTTGGCGCGTTCGGGAACGTCTGTGATGTGCATTCAATCGCATCAGTCACCTTGTTCAGAAATCTATACGGTCTTCGGCCAAGGCTGTTGCAGGAGGTTCGCTGCCTGGACCCGGGACCCGTCGTGATGCTGGCTCCTGGCGCAATACGATCGCCACCTGCTGCAATCCACTAGGAAGGTACGCATTCCTGTCCAACTGACCAATGTTGAGTAGCTTCTCGACAGCCCTCGAGTAGCACAACTCGTTGGTCATCATGGACACATAGTCGAGTCGATCAAAGTAAGGCAGGGCCTGGGTGTAGGTCTTGTACTCGATCAACTTTTCGGTACCGCGATGGAGGAGGCCGACGTGCGGGTCGGCTCGGAGGATCTCTTCGCCGTTCAGTTCGAGGATCAGTCGCAGTACACCTGTTGCGGAGAGGACAGTCACGGTATCGAGAGGAAGGGGGGAGGTCAGCTCGCCTGGATTGGATCGGTGCGGAGAGTCGGGGCGCGAGAGGGACGCGAGGGCCAAGCAAGTGGGGGCAAGCACGTACCGTGAGCAGCGGGATGTTGGGGCTGTGTTTGAGAAAGGAACGGTGGCAATCGTGGGTCAATATGAGGTCCAGGAGCTAGCCGTTGGCGAGTGGTGAACCCAGCGTGTGACGGGCTCGGACCTGCGCCGCGATCCGACTCGCTCAACACTGATCCCCACGCTACGACTGACCCCAAAGTTGACGGTGAAAGCCCTGAAAGAGCCGGATTTGCCCGATTCACGCTCCTGGAGGATGGTCTGCGCGGTCTGATGCCTGAGATCCTCGACCGAGGGCGAGTAGTTGGCCGCGGTCGGGTGCGCCTCGGTGGCCAGTCCGCGCTGCACGATCGACGCGCGGGGAGCGGCGAGCGAGGACCGCAGCGTGTTCTTGAGCAGACCAGCTCGCAACATGGTGGTGGCGCTGGTAGAGAAGGGAAGGGAGGCGGAGAGGTGCGGGGTTGCGGATGCGGATGCGGATGCGGATGCGGGCGATGGCGATGGCGAAGGGAGCAAGCTGCGCCGCGCTGTGCACGGTGGCTTCCCGCTGATGCGCTGATGCGCTGATGCTGGTGGCGCGTGGTGGTAGCTGGTGGTGCGCGCGCCGGCCAATATCGGCCGATGAGCGTAATGCGAAATCGGCCCTTAGCCCGTCGCTCGCTTTGTAATCCGAAATTCGACCATTGACATGTTGGTGTTTTGTCCTCCTGGCCTCGCTGCGCCCCCCCACGACAGCGAGGATTCAACGTTCTCGGCTCTGAGCTCGCGCGCAGGTTCGACCCGAAACGATTGCCAGCACCAGCTCGGGACCACCTCGAACATGCTGCCTCGATCTATCCTGCTGACGTGCGTGGCGCTGCTGGCGTCGAGTCGGAGCGCGCACGCTGCGGACGAAGGTCGTCGACGAATCTCGGAGCCGTGTCGTCTACACGATCCCCACACTGGCTCATACGATCTCAGGGCACTGCAGCGCAAGGGTGAGCATACGTATACGTTCGACCTGGCTCGCTCTGCACCTCAAGCTGATGTCTCCCCCCCTTGCGCCACAGGTCGCGACTACAACGTCACGAACCCGGTCTCGGGCGAGACGTACGCTCTCAAGTGAGTCGGCATCCAGACCAGTGCGACACCGAGTGCACCACTGATGCGTGTAGCCCGTTCCCCGTTCAGCTTCTGTGGACCGGGTGAGATCGCCACGAGGGTGTGCACTGCCCCAGCCGCATCGCAGTGTTGGCTCATCACCCTAGTTTCCCCCCCCCCTCCCCCCCACCACCACCACCACCACTAATGCGCTAACGCGCTCTCACAGTCATCAAAGAGATGTGGGCCGTACGAGGTGCGTCCTTATCGAAGGCACCTACTCTAGCCTAGAGCATAACTTACTCCCCCAATCGTACCAACAGACGCCGAAAAGGTTGGAGCCTACACTGAAGGGCCCAAGAGCGGCATCAGTCTCGGGTATGTCACGATCCTGTCCCAGCGCGCCGCGCCGCGGAACCCCCACATTCCCCATTGACTTGAGAAAGGCCCCATCGGAACCGTTCCGCAGCAACTTTGAGACGACACCGGTCATGATGAATGGTCATCTGACCCTCACCTACCCCGGTGGAAGCTTTTGCCCCAACTCGAACGCCAAGCGGACCAGTGTCATCTACCTGTAAGCAGTGCGCATCGCGTGCCACGCCTCATCCACGCGCACTCGACGCTCTCGGCTGAACTCGCCTCGGTCTGCGCAGGCAATGCGACTCGTCATGGAGCACGCAAGAGCCCGAGTTGATCTCTGTCGCGGAAGATTGCTTTTATGTGTACGTCTGCAGCCTCGAAGGCTGATTATCGCTGATGACCAGCACTGAGCAAGAATTCATCCGCACCACTCCTCAGCTTCTCTTTCAAGACTCCTCACGCTTGCCCGACCTCGTTCGCCGCCGGCATCTTCTCCTCCATCGTCGTATTCTTCCTTTTGTACGATATATTCTGTGCTCACCATCAACTTCACTCAGACACAGCTGACTCCTCCGCGCCTTTGAACCTCCATGCCTTGCAGCATCCTCACCGCTTGCATCGTCTCGTTTGGCTCGGCGCTGACCTACAACCGCTACGTACTGCACCAACGCGGATCGTCGGCAATCCCCTCGATTGAAAAAGTCCGAGACGCTCTTGACGCCCTCAAAGACTTTGGTATCATGGCTGGCATCGTCAGTCATTCTCCACCTGTCGTAAACCCCTCAAAGCGAATCGAAGTCAGCTGACCCCACCCCCCGTCTCGACACCTCAGTGGCTCCTGGATCAAGGCGAAAAGATTGTCTCTTTGGTCCGCAACTCACGGTCCAACTCCTCCCCCTGGGGAAGGCGCGGATTGACAGACTACACCCAAGGCGCATGGTCCCGAACAGCGCGGGATGGGTTCTCCGCGGGTGGTCTCGAAGGCGGTGGATCTTTATTGGCGGATGATTCGGATGAAGAAGATGACGAAGATCAGGAGCAACCGCCTCGGAGGGAATCGAGGATCGAAGTCGATGATAAGAAACCTTTACCTGGGAAACCCACGGAGGAGGTTGAGGAGACGGAACAGCTTTTCAAAGTGACGGATGATGAAGAATGAGTCTGAATCAAGCATCTAATTAGAGAGGAGCGTCGTGACTCAAATTCACAACGACACGATGAAGTGATAATACAACACCAATTATCCCTGCACTTGGCTCGTTTCCTACGTCCCACTTTGTCTCCAAGCCTTCCTCCCCGCACCTTTATCACTACTCAGCGAAAATTTAACGACCTTACTCTCCCTAGGCCATAATTGCCTCAACCAATCGATCGCATCCCCCTGAATACCCAAACAGCCCGTCAAATCCAACTCCTTCAATCCCTCCGATCGCACTTTCACCACCTCCATCACCCCTTTGGAAATCTGGTTTTCGATTTGGTCAAGACGGAGTCGTTCGAGCAGAGGAGCGGACCTGGCCAAGGAGATGAGATGCTCGTTCTTGACCCAGGCCGAGTTGGAGAGTTCGAGCTGCTTCAATTTAGGGAAAGACGAAGGCAACTCGACGGGCTCTGAACGCGACGTATTTGATGAGGCGAGACGGAGGATCTCGAGTTGGGGCGCGACGTCGCCTCCGAAAAGATGGAGGATCGAATTGGTTACCGTGAGAGGGGTGATGCGGACCGAGCGTAGAGCGTCGTACGTCTTGTTCTGTACGACCATCAGGTTCAAAAGCCACGAACCAAAGTTTCTCGTCGAAAGGAGCGTCAATGATTCGAGGCTGATGAGCGCCCGTTCGAGGTCGACTGAACTTTCCTCGGGAATTCGGGCCGAAGTCATGCCGTTGATTTTGAGATGCCGTAAACCCGGAGTTGTGAACAAGCGCCAAACCTCCCCTGGTCCACGCGAGGCCGCATATTCGAGTCGAGTCAGGTGCGGAAAGTCGCTAGGGATGAATTCAGGTGTCGCCGTCCCCGCGTTCGCGAAGTGCAGTTCCCATATGACGGTGTCCGAAACGAGCGTGCGGATCGGCGTCGGTAGCCAGTCGGCCTCGTCGGCGTAAGGCGGCAAGAGGTTGCTCCCGAGGTGCAAGGCTATGGACGTGTCATACCCTTGGAAACCCCGTAGGTTGATCTCCTCTAACGCCGTGAAGGTGTGACAGAGTCTCGGTAAAGAGAAGCCAACCTCGAGTCCTGTACTGGGGGTGTGGAGCAAGAGGGACCGGAGCGATCGAGCCGAGTTTTTTACGAGAAAGTGGAACAAGCGGTCGATCTGCTTTTGGGGATGATCGCCGCGGCTCGGCTTCTTCCACGTGCACGCAAAGTTGATGAGCGTCGGTGCCGCGTCGTATTCGTCGAGTGCCGTCAGAATCATCGACAGGTTCGCGGGGGTGATGTGATCGACGGCGACTAGTGTGAACGATGCGATGCCGTGACCTCTGCGCTTTCCGAGGCTGACAGAGGCCTCGTTCGGACCATCGGGAATCCGGCCTGTGCTCCGTGCGGCCCAGAACTTGGTCTTGCGAACCGTCAGGGCACCCCAGCGAATGCAATCGAGGTGCAACGACTTCCATAGTGTCGGCGCGTCGGTCACCACCGTGCGCCATTGATGGCAAACGTGCGAGGCGACGATCGCCGGATTTGTAGGGTTCGGCGAGGGCTTGGCCGCCTCCAAGTTGCAGACCATGGCCACGATATGAACAAGAAGCTCTGCCGGTAGGTTTGTGATCGCGCTCGACTGTGAGACAATCCACCAGGCCATAGTGCATCAGAGCTAGGTAAAAATGACTTGTGGAGTCTTGCTCACCGGATTGAGTGTGTCCGCCAGCTCGCGAGTCTGTCTCAGCTCTTCTTCGATAGCCTTGGAAAAGCATGAATAGCTCAAATGAGCGTCAACGCAGGATTTCTGGGTAAGGAGTGACGACTCACCAGTGCCACCTGGGATCCTGCCGGACATTTTGTCAGAGCGGCGTTGAACATTTTTTGGGCCACTTCGAGCATCCCTCCACCCTTCGCAAGACGACCGGCCAGCTCATAGCCCTTGAGTCGAGCGATTGTAAAGAGACTCGTGATCAGTCTCTGACGTCCCCAACAGCATCCTCGGCTCGCAAACGTATTAGACTGACCCTCGTCGAATCGGGCATCAGCTCCGTCACGCGCTTCGCATCCCTCAACGCATCCCTGAGCATCTCAACTCTGTCAAATGCTTTGGCTCGAGCATCGTAAGCTTTCGCAGAGGTTTTGTTCTGCGCGATGACCTGAGTGAGGAGGTAAGAAGCAGCCAAAGAGATGAGCGCGTCGCGACGTGTCTCTCCGCGAAGGATCCGGGGTGACGCGTCCCACTCACAGCTGTGAAGAGCTCGATAGAGAGGTCGTACGAGCCTGTTGAGTAAGCCGCAACACCTTGGCGGAACAAGGTCGCCACTTCACTCGGTGACATGCGATTCAACCCCAGACGCTCCTGGCGGCGACCGATTGCCAGGACCCGGAGGCACAAGAGCAAGCGAGTCAAAGGCTCACGATGTCTCACTTTGCGATGGTTCGGCGTATGATCTTGAAACGCTTGCAGATATGTTACACGAGTGCGAAAGAAATCGAAACAAACGGTTATAGTATCGAAGAAATACGAAAAGAAATACGAAATACTGCTGGTACCTATGCAATGCGAAAGGATATCAAAAACATGATCGAGGCCCAGAATGAACTCAAGCCCGAGTGGGAATCGCCGAGGACTGTAGAGCGGGCACATCGCTGTCCAAGAAAACCAAGCCAGGATGCGTCTTGTGCAATGAGCCGAGCGAAGGGAGAAATGTCGGCGAAACCGATGGTGTGATCAAAGGCGATCCAAGAGGTGACTTGGAAGACGGAGACCGAGACCGAGACGAGCTTGACCGCCGAAACAGGAGCGAAAGCCCGCGACGTCTCGTAAGCGCAGCGGGGTGCGCGGGCACGGCAAGAGACCCCATCTCGCTGGAAGATGCTGAGAACGAGGTTGAGAAGGTCACCGAATTCGTCGTCGAGGTCGAGTCGGTGCGAGCGCTGAGGAACTCAAGGTGAGACTCGGACGAATGTGAACTCGAGAACGAGACCGAGTCGGGATGAGAATCGTAGTTGCGTAACGATGGGATTAAGAGCGGCAGAGCCGAGTGTGTGCAAGTCGAGCAAGTCCTCTTGCTCGGCGTCTTCTGCGCCTGACTGTGGGCGCCAAGATCCTCGTTGCCATCACCAAGAGAGTCCTTGCGCGAGCTCGAGCATCTAGTCCCTTTGGTTGCCGAGCGTCGCTTGAGCCAATGCATTGGATTGTTCGAGCGCTTCGGGTTGGCAGATGACCCGGGAATTTCCGCATGGTCGGCCGTCGTCTCGGCTTCGCTCGGATCCGAATCACTCGCTCCTCCATCGGGCGTCATCGGGCCGGGGCCACGGCTGCCTTGATCCGATCCCTCCTCCGAGTCGTAGGTACGATCCGAGCTGAACGAGTAACGATCGCTGTGATCCATCGAGTCACGGTTGTGGTAATCCTCTTCCGATTCTTCGACATCGCCGAGCACATGGCGGTCGAAGATGACTGCGACTGCGTCGGCGGGGAGGGACCCCGATCGTCGGGGATGCCTTCGGAAGAGGAGTCCGAGTCGATTCGAGCGCAATTTCGCGGCGGCGGCGGTCCTGTCGACGACGGGAGGGTTGGCGGATGTGCTTGGTGCGGGCGGTGTCGATATCGACAAGGAAGGCACGTCATTGTTTTCCATTTCCAACGACGTGAGTGCAACGGGTGAGAGTGTCAAGATCGGTGTCGGCGATGGCCTTCGAGTCCGACTGGGCCGCGGGCGGGTTCGCGGCTCGGGGGATGATCTACAAGCGCAAAGCGCAGGCGCGGAGCTCGGTGGTGGTAAATGGGTCAGGCTGAAGAGCGCCGAGACGACGAAGCAGAGCAACGACCAAGCGAGCGACAAAGCGAAAGTGATGGGTCGATGTAAAGCCACGAATCCAGTGGCTGCATTGCGCGGGGTGATCCACCATGCTAGGATTGGCGACGGGGTGCGAGTGCGCTTGGCGGTGGTGGTCGTGGACGCTTGCGAACGCGCCATCACGGACACGGCCGTCGCTGGCGGTCCCAACGCGGGTACACGGGGGTTAAAGAAGTTGCCGAAGCGGATCGAAGTCGTGAACGACGTTCGAGTAGTGCACAACGACACGTCGAGATACGAGAAAAACCGCAGACGAACCAAAGTCGGGAGAACAGACTTAAGTAGATGGCCCGAAGGCAAGGGTCGCGACGGGACCAAACAGCGAAATTTGTCAGCGAGTTGTGCCCGAGCTGGGTTTGCGAATGACCGAGCGAGCTGATGCTGTTCCCCGAGCAATGGGCAGCGCGAGCGCGAGCCCGGTGCCCGCGGGCAGTTCGGGCGAGGGCACCGGAGCAGTCGGGCACCGGAGCGGGTCGGGCCTAAGTCGGGCACCGCGCGCCAGGCCGTCAGGAACCGAACTGTGGGCCTCCCACGGTCCCACCATTCCCTATATGTAACCTGCGTCGACAGCTAATATAAGCGGTTTAGGGATAGGTGGCCTCGGTGGTGTTAGAAGTCGGGTGACCTGCTGGGGCAGGTGGGGGCTGGGTGGGGGCGGAGCTCGGGCCCTCGGCTCTGCTCTGCTCGCACATGCTTCTTGCAGTCCAGTCCGTCTACTTCCATCGGCATCTTATCGCTCCGTTCAACAACGTAAGCGATACGTGACTACCTGTAACACTCTGCGTGCCACTTTATGGTGCCGATTGACGGCGGGCGACGGGGACTCGGTAGCATGGTAAGAACATCGACATGACATCTATGATGTCGAATAAAAATGACGAATGCACGACGGCTGACCAGTTCCCAACACCAAAGTTGCAATACTGTACACCTACACTACACTCCGGTTGATCAGGATACATACAGACACACATCGCCTAATTTTGGGGTCGTGAAGCGCCGCCCCGCCTCGCCCGTTTTCACTCGCAGCAGCGTGACTGTGTGATTAAGAGATCTCAGTCTTGCGTTGATGAATCATCATCAGCTCCTGGAGCCGAGCCCGCCAAGGGCTTTTCATCTACGGCGCCGTGCCGCAGATTTTGCCTTCATCTGCTTGGACCCGCTCTTCGGTCTTCGATGCGGACTCGGTTTCCTATGCTCGTGGTGCGTGGAATGAGCTTTCGCCTTTTGGTGGAAGTGATTTTTGAGGGCCGATGTCGTTGAAGGCTTCTTGCTTCGAGCACCCGAGCCGTTGGCGCCTCCTTTCTTGCTTGAGCCTGACCCGCCATTACCTTTACTCTTCGCTGCTTCGGGTAAAAGATGCGCCACGATCGGAGCTTGTGGTTGTCTTCGGATTTCATTATCGGTGGTCCATATCTTGTAAATGGGTAAGTGAACGACAGCGGTCGCCACGATTTCCGGCGGCGCGCTCTCGGTCAACGTAGCTGCAGGCGGATGAGGATGATGATCGACCCAGTGAGCGCGTCCGCCAATCGGTCGCGCACGTGATACACGAAGGGCCGCGTCGTAAACGCGAGTGAACTGTACCGATAGATTCAAAGGTGAGATCGTTAATCCGAGGGAAAGCGCGCGACTGCTCCCCCGTTAGTAAGCCAAGACCCACCTCTTCAACAGGTCCGTTCGGCCTATCCCAACTCAGCTCCAGAGCATCCACGACCAAACGCCGAACAAATCGTTCTTGCTCAACTCTGGCCCAATCATGGGCCCGTTCCTGCCATCCTCGAATCGCAGAGGCGACGACGGTGTTGCAACGACGAATCGCCGGGTCGAGTTCCTCCAAACTCGGTCGCGCTTGGTCAGCTTGGAGACTGAGTTCGCCTCCCGGCGTTCCACTCCCTTCACCAGGGCCGACACCGCCGTACAATTGGAACAAGTGGGCATTGCCAGCTGATGAGGGTTTCTTGAATTCTTTGTCGAAAGGAACAAGGAACTCGGCCAGGCCGCCAACGCCAGTCGAGATGACGGGAGCACCAAAGAGCAAGCCCTCGGCCGCGACGAGACCGAACGCTTCGGAGAAGGAAGGGACGAAACTAAAATCGCTGGCCATGCGGATCATCGAGCCCCACTGCGATTGCAGATCGGTCGTGTCATCGATCAAAGTAAAGTGACGTGGGTACCACTGTTGTAAACGCCGCAGTTCTTGGATCGGATAGTTGTTCCGGGCACCCATGACGACGAGCCGTGCGTTGAATTGGTGATGGGCCGCTTGCCCATCGTCTTTGAAAGCCTCGGCCGTCCTTTGCGCTTCGAGAAGCATCTCGAGGATGGGTTCGAAAAATTCACAACCTTTGTTGTACTGAAAACGCCCGATGAAGAGTAGTATGGGTCGTCGAAGATCAGCCTCAGAGAAATGCATCGGCAGAGCGTCGATCAAGGCCTGCTTGGCGCGTCGCTTGGCGGCGACGAACGAGAGCGCTTCGTCCTCGAGCGTCGAAGATCTGAGCAGATTAGACCCAATCCGAGGGAAAGCGGCACCCCGCTCGACAAGCAAAGGCGCGACAAACGGGTTCTTGGATAGATCAGTAAAGTCGATGCCGTTCGTGATGCCGACAAAGTGACCGCGTTTGGCCTGCGCAGCGATCGAGGGCATGATGAGTTCCTGAAGGCGGAAGGTGAAACGTCCTTCGGTGATATCGGCTGCGATCGATCTCGAGACGAATGTGACCATATCGGCGAGATCAACACCCATGGCCGCAGGGAACAGCTGTGCGCTGTGCACATAATTGGGCAGTCGGGTGACGAGCAAGTGTGCTAAGGGCGATTGGTGCTCGATCGGCGAGAGGAAAGAAACGGCGTTCGAGACGAGGTTCGAGTACTCGACTTCATCGAGCGAGTCATGGAGCGTGTAGATGATTGCAGGGATCGTGGCATTGTGGTTCTGCGCCTCTTGCTGTCGTATGTAGTAGGCAACCATCGCGTTCGTCGCGCCGTGGAGATGCACGAGGTCGACGAGGCCGGAAGAGCCATCGATTGTGGCCGGGTGCGCGTTGATCAGACCGATGAACTCGGCGGTCGCGGACGCGAACCACAGGTCCTTCCACTCTTGGCGCAGCGGCTTGTACGCCGAGTAGACATCTCCTGGGTCCTTGGCTCGGAAAGCGACGTGGAAGGGGTGGGATTTGCCGGGACCGATCAAGTAGATGTCGATAAAGCGTTCGTGGATCGCCTCAATCTCCACTTCTGCGTCCAAGAAATCGGGCACGTCGACGTATTGCCACCGAAGTCGAGACACGGGACAGGCGACGTGCTGGACGTGACCTCGATAACTGACAACAGGCACCTGCAGTTCGGCTACGAGCTCGATCCGGTCCTTGAGCTCGGTAATCGAGTTGAGGTAAGAGTAGTGCGGGAGAATCACAGAGACGTCGAGTTGGCCCGACTGGGCTTGCGCGACCACGAGCGAGGTCAGCATCACGCCGAGTCCTCCCATCGTCGCCGGACCGAATTCCTTTGCGACGTGGAATAGTCGAGTCATGGGCCGTAGAGCGATGGGGTTTGAGTAGTCGAGATGAGTATACGGAACGGTGTCCCATTCTCGGTATGCTGAATCGTGCGAACAAGCGAGCAAGCGTGGGTGAGCTGAGCTACCCTGGTAGGGCGAGGAATTTGACGTCATTTGCTCTACTCACGGATGACCAGAGGTTCCCGGGCCGGTTCCCGGTCGAAGATGACGACAAGCCAGACAATACAGCCAGCTATGACTACGGTCCCGACAATGACCAGGGTCCGCAGAAAGCACCTCCGTGGAAGTGGGACCCCGATTTGGGGCAATTTCCCCTTGGAGTCCCGGGTCGAGGAGGCGGCACCTCGTGGCGGCAATCCAAAGATCCTCCAGCCGATGTCTTCCTTCTTCTTGTAAGCGGCGAGTTTGGATGCCGATTCGAGCTCTCGGCCATCTCGAGTCGAGGGTGCCTGTCGCTGCAGAGGGGATCTTCGCCCTTCGTTCCGTCGAGTGATGGGCGAACGTGATGGTGTAGCCGGTATGATGGAGATGCTCGACGACCGACCTTGCCCAGTACGACGAGGCGGTGTTGCGGGTGGTACTGAGTGTCACGAAGAGGTGATCTGTCAGCTCGAACGTAAGGAGACACATGCTGATGCTGCATGCATGCGCCGTTCGCCGAGAGACGCGTCGCAACGCGCTCGGGGCCCGTACGATGACGAAAGTTCTCGCGTCCGCGAAGAGTTGGCGGGACCTACAGCCGGGAGATGCGACCATCGTCGGAAGTGGTGGTTGATGTTGGTGCAAAGATAGGTTATCGTCGTGTGTGGTCCATGCTACCCAAGCTACCCAAGGTGGTGGGGTGGGCGAACTCGCGTGAGTGGTTTGGGAGACGGAGAGCTTGCGAATCACATGCTTGGACAGGATCGCCCAAACCCTGTCAAATCGCGGGCAATCGCGGGGAACGCCCGGGGGGCACCGTGGCTCCTTGAATTCTACCAGGTCAGCTGCTGGTCAGCTAAGCTAGAATACGTGCCCCAAGTCTTTGTACATGTGAAGTTTTTACGCTCGTCTTTAGTAAGCAGAAAATATCGTAGTCACTATTTTCTCAAAGGAGTGCAACGGGCAGAGTGATTTGCGGTCGTGTTTTTGCCCCTTGGGTCGAGACCCAACACCACGTCCAATAACTCAAGTCTTCATCTCATCTTCCACAAGATGTTGCACCCGCCTCTTCAGGTGAATCATCACAATCGCAAAGTACTAGAAGCTTCGCCACAGCCTGGACACTGCAACGCGTGAGGTCGGTTCCGACCGATCGCCAGGTTATGAGTTCAAAAAGCCCCAACGAGCACGTCCTGGTAAGAATTGTGCTGAAGGCGCCCTGTGGGCTCATGACTTGTTGGTCTGAGTCGGATCAATCGACATCGACGACGTGCACCACTGGACCACCCGGGAGAGGCTGCTTGGCTGTGGTAGTTCTGGAGTCATCAATCACCGCCTGGGTTGGAGAGGAAACAGGATCACAGAACAGTACGCTGTTGCAGCTACGAGGCGGACCTGGGTGGCTTGGACTTTGCGATGCCGAGGGGACGAGGTGGAGGAGACAGCAGAGCGCGCTCTCCCGCGCGCAAAGGTCGACGACCCGTGCTCAGGAGGAAGGCCTAGGATTCAGGAAGGCAGCTTGAAGGTGTCCTGCAGCAGACAGTTCAGCTTGATACGATCATCCCGACTACTAAGCACACGGCTGCGTCACCTGAGTAGAGAGAAGTCAGGTCCAACACTGTGCCGTTGCCGAAGGCTGTGCAGCGGAGCAGCGAGGCCATTTTTGTAAGCAAAGTTTTCGATTGAGTCTAATTGAGTCAATGCCAATTCGAAAGAGATCGCCGTGCGCGCACGCTTCGCGGCTCTCGCTTTTTCTTTTCTCATCAAAAGCTCACTCAACGTAAGCTCCCTATACCCTCCGCCCACCTCCGCATCCAGTGTACCCGAGACTGACCCGATCCCTGCCTATCCCCTCTGCACCCTACACCCTACAGAGCCACGGTAGCCTCCGCCAACTCACAGGGAGGTCTTACTGCCAGATTCAATCGAATCGACGTTGAGGAGACCAAACTCGACCAACGAGGTGTATATAGGAAGCGTCCGGCCTAGGCTTCTTTATAAGCGGTGGGTTGAGACGTGCTAAATCTTGCCTCGTACATTTCCTCTTCTCCTTTCCGTTTCATGTCCTTGCTGTGCGGCGGGGCCGCCGATGGCGCGATCGTTTTCCTCCGTCGCGGGCTTCGCAGCCGATTTGCCTCCTTTTCTTCGTCTTCCATTTGTTGTTGTGCAACCGAGAAGGCCTATGTTTCACCCTAGCCGGGCGGCCGAGCGTCCGATCGAGGGACCGCTTTTGCGAGAGTCGTCTCCCAAACACGATTGTCAACGTGTCGACTCGTATCTCAGGTAAGCCCCTCTTTCCTGCCCACTCCTTCCCCAACACCACCTCGAGTCCTCGACAATCCCCCATGATGGTTTAAAAATGATTTAATGAGTCGCCGTTACTCGTCCAAAGCCTCCTTCACTCCACCTCCGGAACTTGGATGTAGTGCTCAAAGCCGTTTCACGGACAAGACCATTCCATCCCTGTGTCCGGGGGGCGAGCGACGGAGGTCCCTTTGGCGGGTTCCCCATCCCGGATTTCCTGGAAGTGGATCGAGCAGGTGGGAAGGGGCTTTCCTTGAAGCGCTTTGCACTTTGGTTGGTTCCTTTCTTCGGCTTGAATTTCTTCTCCGAGGTTCGGGACGGGCATGGCTAGATAACTTTATGTGTACTGAGGGAGAGTTGGCGTTGGAGTGCTCGAATCGGAACTGACTCGATGGTTTTCACCCCTCAGCTTTGAAGCTTTGGAGCGCGATGTGGCTTCCCGTATTTGCAGTTTCCTTGCCGTATTTTCGGGTCCATTGCTGCATTCAAGATCCCTCTACATCTTTGACCCCTCCCCCTGTTCCATCCATCTGATCAACACTTCCGCCGCCTCCACCCCGGCCAGATAAGCCCCTTCCACACCCCCCGCACCACCGGCCGTCCCATCGCCAGCCAAGATGACCCTATCCCCTTCCAAAACAACACACCTGTTTCCCTCTGTCTCGTAGCCTCCTTGTCGCACCTCGACCGCACGTTCGACCTGAGCGAATTTCCAACGCTTGATTTGCGATTCCCGTCCCGTCCTGTCTTTAATCTCTGACAAGATCTCCAAAGGCAAGACGTTCTCGTCGGAAAGGATCTTGAAAAATCGATCACGAATCTCTTGATCGGTCGTCTCGTCCTTGGTGTACCCTAGCCCAAGTTTCTCAGGTGTCGATTGGATGACCAAACCTTGAGCATCATCGTCGGTTTTGGAGGAGGTACTTTCGGAACTTAGGCCCGTCGCGATGGAGTTTATTAAGGTATGAGGATCACGGTGATAGATCGGTGAAGAGGGGGATAACTTGATCGTCGGTAAGAGCCAAACGAAAGTTTTCAGATAGGTCGTGGGGGAGGCTTTGGCAGTTGAGGAGGAAGGGAGGAGGACGGAGCTTTGAGGTGAGGGGGCGGTGTGTACGAGGTAGGAGATGGGGGGGAGCTCGAGGGTGGGTTTGAGGGTCAGTTCGAGAGGGTTCGTCGTAGGATCGATGGGGTTGGGGTTGGCGGCCTGGGAAGAGCGGGGAGTGAAAAGTTTGGGGTCGAGATGAAGAAAGGACGATTAAATCAATGCCTGCGATCGACTCAAGCACATAATAACACCTGAAGACAGGCCCCACTCACCGTAACTTCATACTTGAACTCGACCCTCCCCTTTGAAGCTTCCTTGATCTCCTGCACCAAACCCGCGATCAAACCTTTACTGAAACCCCCGACGCCTTCCCACCACTTCCCGCCTCGTCCCGAACCACTCGACCATTCTCCAACACCTTTCAACATCCCCGGAACAACCTGTTTGACGTATCCCTTGGATTCCCACCGTTCGACCTCTTTGATGAAGGTCGAGGCATTGGGTGAAGCTTCGAACACTCGAGCACCCGTTTCAAGAACGACGCCCGAGTCGTAGGTGCGGGACGTCAGTCGACCACCGGGGTTCTTGGCTTTGTCCAAGAGGGTGAGGGAGAAGGGGGTGGTCAGGGTCGTGGAGAGGAGGAGGGTACGGGCGATCGTGAGGGACGTGAGACCGGTGCCGATCAGGACGATGTGTGGAGTGGCTCGGGTGCTGTGAGAAGGAGCAGAGGGGTGGTGTGTTAGCTTTTGAAGTAGTGATAAAATGTGTGGCTCTTGGCCTACCTCATTTCGGAAGAGGGGCTTCGCGGCAGCTCGTGAGGGAGCAAAGGCTGCCGGTCGATCTGGCACGATGACGAAAGGGATCGCTCCCGATCAGAACTCCGCCGTCGATCGCGGACCAGCCAAAGTCACGTGATCCTCTCGCTGATCTCCGTTTGATCGATTTCGGCAGCGATCCGAATTAGCTCGATCGTACGCCAATAAGCTAGCTCATCATTACAAGTCTAGTACATCCGTGCTACAACCCTCCCCCAGCCAAGGGCTTGTAATCCCTGAGCAACACTGGTACGGACTGTACGGGGATCAAGCCTGCCTCGGTGATGACGACCGTCACATCCTCAGGTCTCGCCACATCGTACAAGAGCGAGAGAGGTGAAAGATTCGTCGTCGGTGTTGCGGGGATGATCCCCTCCAATAACGATTGAGGCGTGGCTGTGAGGGTGGTATGCGGGAGCTCGAGTTAGAAATGGCCCGAAGACAGGGCTTCGGCTCAGAAAACGCCAGCTCCGACTAACCCATTTCATTGCCCACGATCGAATCGAGCATGATCCGCTCGGAGAACTTGTACGTCTCGCAACAGCAAGCGACGGGGACACCCTTTTCCCGTAACATCATCGCGACCATGGCTGTTCCGGCTCGGGAGAACATGGATCCGTTCGAGAGCAGGGCGTGGGTGCCGAGAAGGCAGAGGGAAACGCGGGGTAGGACCAAGGATAGAGAGGGGAGTAGGACGTAGGTCGTCGGTATTTGAGCCGCGCGCAGAGAGATGAGAAGATTTTTGCCTGATCGAGCAGAGCAAACGTCATTGTCAGCACGATCTCCTCGCTGGCGTTTTCACTTGCCGAGTCCGGTGAGCACTCACCCTCATTGAGCGGTCTTGAATCGACAACGACAACTGAAAAGTCCTTGCCCTGCCTCTTGGCCTCGAGCAAGACGCCTTCCACGACGGACGATCTCGCATAGGTGAGAATGGTATCGCCGTCGTTGATCTTTTCGCACGCGTGTTGCTCGATAACCTTGTCGGCGAGCAGGATCCGGTCGCGAACGAACGAGTCGATCTTGCTGATGAGCATCGCCTTGGCCTGGGACAGGTGTCAACAATGGGTCAGCCACTAATGAGGAGCTATTTTTGAGCTACACCTCGAGGCATTCCTGACCTCTTCTACGTCGGTCTCCATTTCGATCAGACTGATCTCGTACTTGAGGTACCGGATCGCAGTGCCCATGGAGACCGAGAGCGGCCTTGCTCGGACGAGATGGTTGATTTGCGGGTTGAGATGGGTCGTTGGCAGATGCCGTGTGAGGCTTGTCTGTGCTGGTGGTGTGTAGGTGGCGATGATCTGGGTGGGGAGAGACGGCCCGTGGGGTCAGGACAGCAGCGCCGACTGCGAACTTGTTGCGATGGACTGACATCCTTGAGTGCTTCGAGCATGGCGATGCAGCGAGCGTTGGCGCCTACGATCTTGAACTCGGCATACTGCAGAGCGAGGCGGATGATGGAAGGGTGGATGTTGGCCGTGCTCGACTTGGACGAGTGGGACAACGACGACGACGACGAGGGCAGGACGAGGTGCAGGAAGGGGGACAACGGGTCGGCGATGATGGCTGAGGCCGAGGCAACTCGGGTGCCTGTTGTGGTGGCGGGCGAGGAAGTTGTTGCGGCTGTTGTTGTTGCTGCTGCTGCTGCTGCTGCTGCTGCTGCTGCTGCTCCCCCGGTTGCTGCATTGGAGGTCGAAGCTCGGTTCGAGGAGGACGAAGCTGCTCCGGTCGAGGATTGCTGCTCCGGCTTGGCCTGGCCATGGCCCCCCCTGTTGTTCGACGCGCCACCGGACTTTTTGGAGGAGAGGAATGCATCGCTCAGCGCCGGGGACGCAGGTTGACCAGATGCTAGTCCCTTGGCGGCGGCTCTCTTGGCCGCTTTGGCAGCCTTGAGCGCCGCTTTGTCGACCTTGGCTCGTGCTCCTCCTGCTGGACTTGCCGCTGCTGCTCCAGACGATGATGGTCCGGATGGGGGCAGTGACGCTGCTGCTGGCTTGGGTGAGCGTGTGGCCAGTGGGGAGGCTGGCTTGGGCGAAGACATGATGGCCGGACACGCGTTGAGTGAGGATGGGCAGCAGCGGGCAGCAGCGGGCAGCTGGAGGGAGTCAAGCCGGTGATCAGTGATCGGTGATCGGTGATCGGTGATCGGTGCGACGTGCGACGTGCGACGTGCGAAGCGGTGACGCGTGGCCGCCAAGGGTAATAATAATGCTTACTAATAATCGCTCAATGTGCTGCCATTAGAAGCGCGTCGGAAATGGGCAACGAGCCTTCGACGCCCCCCCACTTGTCTGCCACCTCTGCCACCTCTGCACTCGGGTTCACAGTCGACCGGTGTCGAGCTACACCAGTCACACCCCAACCATGGCCGGGCCATTGTTCGGCCCTCGTCATGCCTATACACCCGCTTCGACATCGACTTTGGGCTCTTCGCACCGAGCTTCGTCTTCGTCGTCGGAGCAGGATCATGACCGCAAGCAGCAGCTCTTCCTAAGGGTCAGTGCAATCCCTGCTGCGGAAATCTAGCGAGCATCTTTCTTACTAGCACCCACCTACTCCGCCACAGCTCAAAGCGGTCTGCGTACCACTGCTCAACGCAGGTCGAGCTCAACCAGCTACCGTCGCTTCCACCAGCCAAGTGCTGCATCACCTCACGCAGCTGTCCACCACCTTGTCCGACATCCCAACACCTCACTTCACCCCTGCGCTCGCCAACTATGTCTTTTTCCCCCTCTCGTCACTGCTCCAACCGGCGACCTTCACCCGATCCGATTCGGTCCTCGAGGCGACCATGCGCACGCTCGCGACCCTCATTCACAACTGGACACAAGTCGGCATCGACGATCGAATCAGGACAGAACTGTGGATCATGCTCATTCTCAGGCTCGGTGGGCCACTCGATCCGGCACGCCCTACTAAGCCTTCGGATAGCAAGGGCAAGGCCAAGCAAGAAGATTCTTCCACGCCCGACATGTCCGACGAGCTCAAGTTGGCAATCGTCGAAGCGTTACTGGAGCTGTTTCCTGGTTCAGTCATAGAGGAGGCACCAGTCCCCGAGGAAATGGAGATCGAGCAAGATGATGACCCGCTCGGCGAGTCGATCGACTGGTCAGCCGAAGATCCTTACGCAGCGAACGCGAGCAAGGCCTCCCAAAAGAAAGCCAAACCTCGACGCGAGCAACGAGCTCCCCCAACCTCACCGCCGATACCGATCATGTTCCATACGCTCACCACGCTTCTAAATCTCGCATCGATCTCAGTCTCGCTGGTGCGCCTTCAACTCGCCGCTCTTGAGGCCCTGGACGGCCTCATCCGCTTTCACTTGACTCAGCATCCTGCGCAGCCCGATGCAGCTATGGGGCAACCAGAGGGACCTTCGCCACTTCTGGCGACCGCCTTACCCGGAACGGCTTCGACATTATCACGGATTGCTCTCTCGGCCACGTTGTCGGGGGCAATGACGTCGTCGAGAGGTCGTCGACAATCGTCCAAAGCCATCGTCTCGGCACTCGAGGTCCTGACCAATCTGCTCGTACAAACCATTGGCGACGACGTCACTGCACGTCTGCGCAAACAGGAATCGTCTCGGAAAGGCTTGGGTGCCACTTTGGAAGAGATCGTCGAATCGTACAAAGAACCAGGGATTGAAGAAGGAGGCGAGGAGGATGATACCGTCAATTCACATGCTCTGATCGCCCAGGATTCGACGCCGACGTATTCGGCACCGGGACCGGTCAAGCCTTCTTCTGCATGGCTCGCCTACACCTTGCGGTCCATTTCGACACTCCTCATATCGCTCTCATCGCTCACTTCGCACGACTCTCCACTCGTGCGAGCTGCACTGGCGCAATTCTTGTCCACTCTGGAGACCGAATGCGCGGTCACCCTCGAAGAGTATCGTCGAACGACGCTCGAACTGTTGTTGATCCTTTCGGCCGACGATTGGCCAAGCGTGTCCTCAATTGCCGTTTCAGCACTCGGTACGGTGACGATGAGCTCATCGCATCTCATCCGGGAAGGGATGATCGAACATCTCGGCGCACTTCCTCGTCGACTTCGAGCCAAAGATGATGCCGCCGTCTCGAGATCGTCCAAAGTCTTGCGCACGGGACTACAGTATCTGCACGACCTAGACCGGCTTCAGCTGTTGGCCAGTCTCGAGAGGTGGAAGTGGACCTTGTTGGACGCGTGCGCTCTCCAGGATCTGGAAGGTAGTTCTAACGCAAAGACGGCTTCGGGAATGAGATTGGCTTGGATCCAATCTGAATCCTTGACGTCGAGTGGGCAAGAGACCGAATGGCCTAGAATCGGTCTCAAGAACGCCGAAGGTCCTCATCTCGTCGATGAGCTCAATGCCTTGTGGAAAGGGATCGGGGAAGCCGCCGCGCGCAGCGAGAAGGAGGCCGAGATCATCGATGGGTTTTGGGTCGTTGTCGCCGGACCGCGTCGTGGGGAACCGAGTGCTGCGACGGCGATGTGGGCACTTGATGGAGTTTTGCAGGGGTTCAAAGAGGTCAAGACGACGAAAAGGATGAAGAAGGTCTTGAAGAATCTCGCCAAGGCGGTCTTGGCCCTTTTGGAACAGCTCGAGGAAGGGAAGGAGGAAAAAGGGGTCGCAACCAACGAGCCGGCACCCTCGGCGGATCAGCGAACGCTTGTCGAAGAATCGGACACGCTCAACGTCTCGGTCCAGCACCAACACGGTCTCAAGATCACGCCGGAGCTCGACAAGTTCAAGCCCGTCACGTCAGCTGTCGTCGCCCGAGATGCGAAGGAGTCTCAACAAGTGTGGCTCCGGTGCTTCTCACTTCGGATCCTTGCGACGTGCGCGAACCTGCTCGGCTCGTCCTTTCAGCCGCTCCTCCTCTCGGCGCTGTATCATGTGCTCGCACATCTGTCACCGGCAGCTCATCCCTTTCTACGCTCGCACTCTGAACATGCCCTGGCGGTCATCTCCGATGCGACGGCGTACGCCGCACCTTCGAATCTCGTCCTCGCCAATGTCGACTATGTCGTCAACGCCGTCTCGCAGCGCATGTCCGTCACCCGTCTTGACCCTTCCGCTCCGCTCGTCCTCGTCGAAATGATCCGTCTCGTCGGTCCGCCAATCGTCCCGATGGTTCAAGATCTCGTTGAAGACGTCTTTGAGGCATTGGACGATTATCATGGCTACGATGAGGTCACTGTTGGCCTTTGGGCTGTGTTGGATGCGTTGATGAGGGTCATGTCCGAGGAAGCTGTCAGTGCCCATGCCGAAGTTGTGAGCGGTCGTCAACCTCAAGGCAATCGAGCCGTCTCGGAGTGGACCGAATTCGTGGATTGGTATCGATCTCGCAACGACCCTCCCGAGGAAGAGTTGATGAACAACACGATGCCCGGTACGAACCCCCAACGCCCCTTTGCCGAAACGACCCCTGCTCCACCTGAGGACCAAGCCGAGCCGTCCTTCCCTTCGGACGAGACCCAAACTCCTGCGACTCGTCCGCAAGAAGTGGCGTCGCAAATCATCGCCAAGTCCGTCTACTTCCTCTCCCACTCGTCGCCATTCCTACGCGCTCGCGTCTTGTCGCTTTTGGCTTCGTCGGTACCTCTACTCGCTCTGCGCTCTCCCTTCGCCTCGGGTGCCGCACCTCCCCGTTTGGCCTCGTCGGCTCGGGAAGCGGACCTCTTGCCCGTGATCCATCGCGCGTGGCCTTACATTCTCAATCGGTTCTCCGACCCCGACCCTTCCGTCACCCTCGCTGCTACCGAATTGATCTCCTCCTTGGCCCAACACGTTGGCTCCTTCATGTCGCGTCGAATTCTCGACGACGTCTGGCCACGGTTCAAAACCCTTCTCGAGCGACAACATGAGCTTGATACGCACCTCGCTTCGAAAGGAGGTTGCTACAGTCTATCCTTTAGGATCTATCGAGCTTTACTTCGCACAATGCTTTGTATCGTACGAGACGTTCCGCTCAAAGAAGAAGTGGTTTGGGACCTCACGATGACATTGAGGAGGTTCTTGGCCAGACGAGAACAGGAGGAGTTGAGGTTGATGGCAAGGAGGGTTTATCGTGCGTTGGGGGAGGTCAATCCGGATGCGGTTTGGTTGGTACTCAAGGGAATGGCGGGGGCGGGGGAGAGTTGGATGGTTTTGAAGGGGGTTGAGTTGGGGGATGAGGTGAAGGGTTTGCTCGGCGAGCTTTGAGGGTGAGTTGCTGGGTTCGGCTTGGGTGGGGGGCGAGCGACGTTTTGCTGACCATGACGGATGATGATGATTTGACAGGTTGCACTATAATTGCATAGCTATTCTAAGAAGTCTACATTACATACCATGGCCCGCAATGCAAACATGTCCCCATACGGCTGCTCATGATCGTCCGGGAGGTCCGTGCATTTACGAGCCCGAGCCCTTGAAGACTGAGACACACACGACACACGCGCGCACCACGGCGTCATCACCGCTGCGCCCAGCCGAGCGCCTCCTCGACTCCTTCCCTCCCCACGCACTACAACTACCACAGCCCCCGAGCTCTCGCAGAATGGCTGCGGCACAAATGACCCCCGAGTTCCGTGCATACGAAGGCGAATACGATGCGGTCAAGCAGAGCGTGCAAGGCAAGATTGATGAGGACGTCGCTCAGCAGAGAGGGGGTCAGTTTGTCGTGTTCGCGTTCGCTGATGGCTGTTCCTATTCCTCTTCCGCGGGGGTTCAGACGGGTCATGAGAGGGTTACAAGTTGTGGCACTGACTTGATGGGTCTTGTTTGGTACATCCCCTTGGTATTGATCATCCTCCCCGATGCGTACTGCGCTCCACCGCCACCGCCACCGCCACCGCCACCACCGCATCCATCCCGAAACGACTCGTCCCGCCCCTATGCAGAACAACGCAAGGCGACCATCCGACGCATCAACATGGAGCTAGAAGAAGCCGATGAGATCGTGCGTCGGTCGTCTCTTGATGCGTCGGTCTTAGAGCGACTGACGCGGAGGATCGAGTGGCCCCCAGATCGAGCAGATGGAGATGGAAGCCAGGGGCAAAGCCGCGTTGATGATCAAAGTACGGCAGTACAAGGGAGAGGTCAAGACGTTCAGGTCCAAAGTGGTACGTCAGAGGTTGATGTCCCAGGGCAGAGACTTGTCACGCTCGAACTCATACCCCGCTGCCGCTCTCGCTCCCTCATCTCAGACCGCCCTCTCGGCCATATCCGATCGCGACCTCTTGCTCTCCCAACCTGCCCATTCAGCCTACACCATCGATGTCGACGACGACGAGATCGCCGGCGTTTCCTCCTCCCAAGCGCAACGCTCCCGCCTCCTCCAATCCACCCAAACGCTCAACAAATCCGGCGACCGTCTCACCAACTCCCAACGGCTCGCCGCGGAAAGTGAAGAAATGGGGGGTAGCATCCTCTCTTCTCTGAGGATGCAAAGGGGACAATTGGAGAGTGCGAACGAGGAATTGGAACAGGCCGATGGGTCGATCGCCAAGGCTAGTGTGACGCTCAAAAAGATGGTTCGCTTGGCGTATCGACAAAGGATCATGTTGATCGGGTTTGGGATCGCGCTCATGATCCTCATCGTGTTGATCCTATGGCACAAACTCAAGTGATCGTCTTCTCGAGTCTCGGTGAATGACAAAAGTTTCGCGATACCGAATCATCCGATTCTTGAGGTCAAGTCCTTCTCATTTCTCTCCACCCTCCCTGTGCGTTGTTCCGTGTCAAGCCTTACCACTTGAATTATATTGTAGTACGTCTCTGCTTTGCTCGGTCGTTTATTTCCCCCGTTTCCGTACACATGTTATCTTGTTGTAATCGATTGCTTCACTTGCTCGGACACCGGTCACGACTTGACTCATCCCGAAGAGCTTTCTGGCTTCTCTCGATTACTGCGAGCAGGATGGTAACTAGAGCAGGGCCCCATTTGAAATCATTGAAATAAAGAGTACAACAAGTACCACGAACGTGAACTAACTCATGCACGAGAACGGTTCTGCGCGTTAAAAGTAGGTAAAGGACGAGGAGGCAGATTCGCCAATTCGGGAAAGAGGACCGAGATGGCTTCGTCGATGATGGAGTAAATGAGGTGCTGTTAAGTGAGAGGGGAGTGGGGTCGATTAATTCGACTCGTGGGATGAGTTTCGGTAAAAGACGCTTACTCGATTGAGACGCCGATTTTGCAAGACCGCAAATAGGCGACGAGCACCTTGACGAGCGTTTGCTCGGCCGATCAGGTTGGCCGCGATGTCTACACCGAAGCGAAATATAAACATGAGCAATACTCTCTTTTGTAGTCGGACAAAAGTACGTACCAGGCATCAACGCCGACAACTTGCGATTCGCCGAAACGCGCGTCGCCATCTTTTGAGCCGTCGTCCTCGGCGCTTCAGAAGGCTTGAGTTGACCGCCGGGCCATAGGGCACCTTTGAGGTTGGAGATGTAAGAGACGAGTTGTTGGGGACCAAAGAGCATTTTGACGCCATCGCGGAATTTGCTGTGAGGATTGTCCGCGACTTCAGCTGTGGTTTGATTTCAATCTGTGAGGTGAGGCACATGGCCAGACTCACCGCTCGATGGTGCCGCCGAGAATCTGTTGCAGGATGATCAAGATGGCTTGACGACTGCAGTATATCGACGGTGATCAATGATTAGTGCGATCAGCTCGACGACGACGAAAGCCTTGCCGACTCACCGCAGCCAATTGTTCTTCTCCTTCAACTGGAAGAGCACGACAAAAAGATCGCAGATTGGGGCCGTGAAGTAAGTCAAACCTTCTTCGCCGAGTCCCATCGCCAAGGAAAGTTTTGAAGGGTCCTTGGTGGCATCGTCGATCAATTGACCGACAAGATCTTCGTCCTGGACACCCAATCCTCCAATCCCTGCCATATCCGCAGCCTGTTGCGAAAGGCGGTGGATGATCGTGTCCATCATCGAGGCCGGGCCAGCCCCGAGCATGTCATCAATCCCGGACGTGACGGTGCGATAGAACGAACGAACGAGTCCTTGACCTGGAAAAAGCGATGCTGTCGAGCGCTTAGTCGTGTCGACATCGAACTTGGGCAGTGAGATGTTTTGCTGCGACAAAAACGATCGCAGCTCGTTGCTTTGGCAAATGACAGGTACGCGAATGAGGGCCTGTGAAAGCACCAGAGTTAATTCATCAGCTAACGGCATTGCACAGGTAGCAACTGGGAGTCGAACGCACCTGTAGGTACTTTTCAAGCCCCAATCTGCGCTGTTCAATGAACCCGTCGTTGTATGAGGTCACGAGTCGCTTCCCTGGAAACTCGAGGTTACGAGCAGCGACATACTTTTCCCGAAGGTGCGCATGCAGCGTCGCAAACTCGCTGTAGCGGCGGGTGACGATCCAGCCCGAGCCAAACGCTCCGTCTTGAGCTAGCTGGTGAACCTCGACAAGGTAGAGCTGAAAGCTTTGCCCTTCGGCTTGGCCGATCGTCGTTCCAGAGATCCTAACCGTCGTACGACCAGGAACGAGCTTGTTCTCCGATTCCTGCGACTCGAACTGGCTCTTTTGGAAGGTAAGGGCACGAACCTCGCGTCGAAGACTGTCCCTTGACTTGGTCAGAATCTTGAGCTCGGATGCAATTCCCGTCAACTCGGCCTTCCTGATCAGAGCTTCGACGACAACTTCTTGGCTGTGTAGCTTGTCCAATTGAGCACCGAGTCGTTCGATCTCGTCCGAGAGCTGCAAGTCGCCAGGAGCCGCAAGGCGGAGTGCTCGAACGTCGAACTCGGTCTCGTCTGCCTCGTCCAGATCGAGATCATCGATATCTTCTTCGTCGTCAAACACCCTCTTGCTGCGCGTCGACGGCTCTTCGGGACCGGTCACGATGTGGAGAGGGCCTGACTTGGAGCTCGAGTTCGAAGGGACACGGTCAGAGCGATCAGGTTTTGCAGATGGGACTTGGGACGGCTTGCGTTGGTGCTTGCTTTGAACGATTTCGCTCGACGAGCGCTGATGCTGTGTACGGAGCCCCTCCTCATTCGAAGTACTAGCTGGTCGAGCACTAGGGGGCGTCGAGGAGCTCGGGCCGGCTACAGAACTCCGAGCGTCGGTGGCGAGAATCGAGGTCAACGCCTCTTGGATAGCTTCAATCGTATGCACTTGTACCGCTTCATCGTCCGTGAGAGTTGGCCCTCCTTCGGTCGGTGTTCGCTTGAGGGAAAGAGGCGAGTGGTCTAGATCGACCTCATCGTCAAAGAGAGGAGAGCGCCTCCCCTCATCCGCTTCAACAGCCGGCGAGGCCATAAGGAATTCGAGCGAGTCCGACATGTTGACAGGCGGTCGACGACGTCCGCCACTTTGCATCATGGTGGAGTCATACGATACCAACGAGTCGATCGAGGTCTTTCGACTGAATCCGTCGCCGTCACTGAAAATCCCGTTGTCGGAACCGACCCGCCTCCCTGAGGGTCTCGAGTCGACCGCGACCTGACGACTGATTTGTGGTGGAGCTGTATCGGTGCGATGCACTAGCTCAGGCTTCGAAGTCAGACTCGTGGGTGGAGGGGACGACGATCGGCGAGGCGGTAGAGCCGGGGGCAACGGTCTCCGAGCCGGCAGAGTTGGGGGAGAGTTGGACCGCTGCACTTCTGGCGGAGTGAAGCGTGGAGCCATAGGTGTTTGGGGGTTTGACAATGCACGAGGGCGCGCCGTAGGGCGAGACTCTTCGGGTGAAGCTCGAACTACCGAGTCAGTGATTACCGAAGGTGAAAAGGTCGGGAGGTCGGCAATCGCTTTGAAGTACAGCGTCGACTTGGCGAAAGGTGGGAAGTCCTCTTCCTCCATGTCGGCTAGAACGTCGCGCTGAGCGGAGAAGATGGCATGGCGTACTCTGCGCAGCTCAGCTGCGGTGACGGATGCACTTGGATCTCGGTCCACAAAGCTTCTGATGACCCGCAGATGCTTCTGATCCGAGTTTAACGAGTTGTGGACCAGATACGTTGCCCACACCATGAGTATGTCGTCGCGTGCGGTGGCAATGGTGGATGGCGAGGGCGGTCGCATCAGCGCCGTCTCCTCATCGACACCGGTGCCTTCCAGCGGGTCTTTGAGCCCCTCGACGAGTAACCAGAACTGGACCCGAATTGAGCGCTTTCTTCGTTCTTGGTACTCCATGAAATACGAAAGAGCCGTGGGTTGAAGCAGGATGTCACGCAAGGTGACGCCGGAGGAAGGCATTGTTGGAGTCGCGACCGTGTCAGCAACTCTCGAAGGCGCCTGCACATCATCAGAAGTCGAAAAGGTTAGTCTGCTTTCAGAATATGGGTGCAAAACTCGCCACACTCACCTGAGAAGGGTCAAGGCCTCCAAGTTCGACGATCCGCTTGTCAATCTTGCGTTTCACTGCGTCGAGGCGATCAACAAAGTTCCCTAGCTCGAGCACCTTCACGCCATCGACGAGCTCGTCGGCCTTCTTCGAAGCTACAAGTCCCATACAAGCAGAGAGCGAGGTGATTCAGCGCAATTCGAACGGAGGAACGTCGAACGATGCGTGTACACACCAATGGTTGCAGTTGTACGGCGAATGTGGTTCGTGACATCGCTGCGCAGCCGGCGCGCATCCAACAAGTTGGCGCATTGCGCAATACTCTTGGACCAAGCGTCAAATTGCTTCGAATTTGTTCGAGCCGAAATCTCTTCGGTCTTGCGAGTCCGACGAAGGGATGGGGTCGCGCGGGGGGAAAGCACCGTCGGTGAAAGGGTGATGCCTTGCTTGTCGAGCGCTTCTCGGAATTGGTTGACCATCTTCTGATCGCGAATGGCAGCACCAGCCTTGTCATCAATGAGACGATTCCAGAAATCTGGGTCGCTGAGAAGATCGACGACGGGACCAAGGACCGAGCAGGCGACGATTTCTCGGCACATGATCCGCACCGCGCCGCTGTCGAGTTCGCGATCGGGGATGATGAACGGTAGAATGTTGCCGATCAGACCACTCAACCATGATTCTTCCGCTGGTTTCGAGTTTGGGCTGGCGATGTTGACAGCGGCATGGAGTTTGCCAGCTTTGGTTGCGCTCGCGTACCGAGAGGCGAGGAAGAGATCGAGCTCGTCGGATTCAGTCAGTTGCGCATGGACGTCCTGTCCCCTCAAGGCGTGCTCAGCCGTGCGAAAGGCTTCGAGGTGGGCCGAAAAGAGCGGCAAAATCTTTCCGACGACGACATCGGACCAGTCAACGTCACCAACTCGGGAAGCAATCGCCAGCAGCGCCTCGCGAATGGTCTGTTCGACCGCTTGCGGGAAGCCCGGCGAGTCCGAAATGGACGCATACCATCGCAGGACAAAGTCGCGCATGATGAGACTAAGTAGCTCATTGAGGGATGACGATAGCTCGGGTGTTGCACCAGGGAACGGCGGGCGAGCGTTCGAAGTTGAAGACTCGAACGAAGCACGAGTTTGAAGCACGAGCCATGCGGCAGGCGAGGTGAATACGAGCGGAACAACTGGTCTCCGATTGTAGCTGCTACTACTCTGTATCCGATCACTGTTCTTGCCAGTTATGTTGCCGGTCGACGATCCAGCGTTCCGTGCAGCGGATGTCGCACCTCCCAAGTCGTTCGAGCCGTCTTGACGATGCGCCTCCGCAAGTCGACCCAGCATCCTGAGTTCGCTCGACCATGTCGCCCATAAGTCCAGTACGACAAAAAGAAGGGCCGTCGATAAAATAATGAGCGGCGAGCAGATGACGAGGGTCCAAGGCGATATGACGATCCGGGAGGAGCCATACGCGACGAGACAGGCGAGGGCACCCAGAAGCACCGCCGACCGAGGAGGTATCGAGTTCGACATCTCGACCAATGAATCTATGCAGGCCCTCAAGCCCAGCCCTGATGGCGGTGATTTGCGCCACTCTGTCGGCCGTGCGACGAGCCGAGCCGAGCGGAGGTGGGGAGGGAGAGCAGCCAGAGAGAGAGGCCCAAGCGCGGTGACGCTCGTGCCTTCGATGTGGGGCGGCACCGGAAGGAGCTTGAGGTGCTCATTATAAGTTGCCGGGCTGCGCCGAACCTGACCAGGCCAAGCTTCCTCAGCTTGAGGGATATTCCAGCTTCGTTGATAAGATTCTGACTTCTGCATCAACATAAAAAGAACAACCTGGTCCGGGAATCTCGTCTGCGCGGCGAGCGACCGGTCCGAAAGAGGGACGGGTCTTCTCACGTGACCTCGGTCGTCCATGCATGCCGTTGTCCTGTGCGTCATCTCAAAACGGCTCACAAACGATAGAGGGCTGCCATTGACATCCCAACACTCTAGAAATTTGTTGATGCCAGATCTGTGTGGCACATCCAGGTTAGGCCCCAAGCTAAGGTGTGGCAAGATGATAGCGGCCACCGACAAACTGGTGTGGGAGAAGCTGATGGAAGCTTCAAGTCGTGCTAGCTATAGCGGGCGAAGTAGAAGCGACCCAGATACCCTCGCCTTGCTGGGGAGATCGAACAACGTGGAAGAAATTCGAGTATTTCTTCGGGTTTCCACGAGCGCGTGTGCGGTCGGGAAATTTCCGAACTTTCGACGAGCTTCGATGGAATCGAACGACCTCGAGCGAACGCGCGCGCACTGTCTCTCTTCCTTCTTCCTTTCCCCTCACCACCGCACCAGACCACTCTGCACACACCTCGCATCCCACGCTCGACACAGTAAGTCCAGCTCACCTCTGCCTTTACCTCATCTGCCCTGTTCCCTTCCCATCCTACTTTGCCGCACTTCCCGCCATCAATCAAGGCTCGCTGCCATTGACCCCTTTAGCGAGGTCGCTCGTACGTCGGACGTAGCTGACGTGTGCTTCTCGCACCGTTTGCACACACTTTACAGACACAAAACCACCCTCAAACCAACTCTTGTCGAACAAACATGTCCTTGTCGCTCTTCCCTCGCCTCACCCACACGGACGACGACTTCGGCCTCACCCCCTTCCACTTGTTCAGCCTGCGACCCAGCGGCCAAAACTCGGGTGCGGTTCGCGACCAAAGTGAACTCGCATTTTCGCCTCGCGTCGACGTTATCGAAAAGGATGGAAAAGCCGAAGCCACGTTCGAACTCGCCGGCCTCACCAAAGATCAAGTCAAGATCATGCTCGACCGTGGTCTGCTCACCGTCTCCGGCACGGTCCAGTCTGAGGACAAGAGGGAGGAGGGAACCTGGCGCGTACACGAACGTCGCACGGGCTCGTTTGAGAGAAGCATCCGCGTTAACACGTCGCTGAAGGCAGAAGACATCCACGCGAGCATGGAAAACGGCATTCTCAAGGTCGAGTTCCCTCTCGAAACGAAGGAGACCAAGGCGAAGGCAATCAAGATCTCGTGAACTGGCCGGCCACACTCGGTTCCTCGCGCAACGTTCTGAGCAGTCGGATTTGCGTCCCACTTCCGTTCTCTTCTTTTCGTTTGGAGCTTGCATGATTTCCCGAAGTATCTATATCGGTCTCAGTTTGTCTATTTGTTCTTGCATCGCAATCCAGTGAAGTTCGGGTCCCAGTTTGAGCGAACGTCCCTCGTGCGACGAAGCGTCGGTGTCACTGCGCAGCAGCCAAGGTGTTCGAGTCCTCTGAAATCCACAGAACGTCGAACGTCGACGACGGGGAATACAGCGATAGACCGGATTGATGAAATCGCCACCCTTAAACATATATATCAACACCTCTTCCACTCTGCCATGAGGCCATGAAACCTTGCACAAATCGACTGTCGAAGCACTCATGAAGCTCGACCGATCACCAATTACGAGTACAGACCACTACCAACAATCCAACACCCAGTCAATACATAGAAAATCCAATCTTTCCCTACGAACGCATCACACCAAGTGAGTTTCCGACACGGGCGAAGTCCAACACATCCCCTGCGGCGGCAATCCCAACCTCGCCCACGGTTTCCCCTTGACCTTTGATCTGATCTGCACGCACCTATCCCACTCATCAAAAGCAACGATGACCTTATGAGCATCCTGCTGCCAAAGCTTTGGTCCATTCAACGGTATTTTTTCGAATCGATCGACGAGCGCTTGTGCGCGATGCAAGATGACGGAATTACCAATCAAGCCGTAGGCTCCTCCTCGCATCATGGGTCCTCTCCCAAGGATCCACTTCAACATCGCTGCGTCTTGGTCGATCGCAGGTTTGGCCCCTCGTTTTGGTTTCTCTGGAGTCGGGAGAGAGGGTAGTTTGAAAGGCTTCATTTCCCGCACGACCTCCCGGCCCTTTTTGTTTGGTGGGGGGGTTCGGCCGTGACTCCCTTCAGCTTGATCCTCATCCTCATTCTCGTCATCGTCGTTGTCGTCGTCGGAGAAAACCTCTTGATCCAATCTTGCGAGCCCCACTGATCGACTCAGAGGAGCGACTTTGCCGTACGCAATAAGATCGTCAACGTCGTACCACCCTCCGTATCCTTCGGTAGAGAATATTTGCACATTGCGTGGGTTGTAAGGCTTGCAAGTGATCGAGTGGAGCTTCAACGTCTATCAAAAAAGAATTGAGCATGCTTTATCATAAGCGAATATGCCCGACCGCCCCGCCCAAACCAGGATACCTCAGGGTACTCACCAATGGCGGACCTCTCGGCAACCGAGCCTTCTTGTTCGCCTTCGACGCCGACGCTGACGTCGAAGCTTTCCTCTTCCTCCCTTTACCCTTCTGAGCCGGTTCCACCGCCACCTCTTCCTCTTCCTCGACCTCACCAACATCAGGATCAAAGTCGAAATCCGTCCGTACATACGGCGTCTGATCCGAACCTGGTCCTTCATCGCCGAAGAAGAAGAGAGGTAGATTGTCGTCGAGCTTGGGCTTGCGGAATTGAGTCAAGGCGTGGTCGGTTTGCTGATCGGGATGGTCGGGGTTCTGGGCGGGGAAGGTATCGTCGAATCGATAGACACTGGAGCGAGTCAAGTGTTATTTGTGAGTTTAGCTCTCTTCGTGTTCAATGCGCTTGATTGGGTAACTCACACTACGGCTTCATCTGATGAGGCCGAGCGATGATTCGGGAGCGTCAACTATCATCTGGAGCGGCAGAGGCTCAATCGATGTTAATCAGGACTGACCGATCGACTTGATCTTGGACTGGGAGTACCAGTCCGCATGAGAAGTCTCGACCCGCTCGTAGTCCCCAAGACTGTTGATCGTCTTGGTAATCCGTCTGCCCCATTCGCGTGGCACTCATAAGCAGTCCCGAATCCTCAAAACACGCACTGAGACCAGGTTTTCCGACTCACGACTTGTCCTGCACGTCTGATTCAAACATCTTCTTGGTGTAGAGCCAGTGGATCTGGACGTAGGACTCCTTGCTTTGCAGTGCTGGTTTGCCGCGACTGTTCTTTAAGGGGTCACCCTTTTCATTCAAGACGTTGGTCAAGCCGGACTTCAACGTGCTGGAGAGGGAAAATGAGATGCTCGAGGTTAACAGAACGCGCGAGACTGGTTCACTTTGTAGATGTGCTGCACACACTAACCGAATTTGCACAACTTTGCCCAGCCAAGGTTCCTTCTCTCCGCTCGTCAATTCGATGGGATCCCCGATCTTGAGCTTGATCCCCGACGAGACTTTGGACCCAAAGCCGCCGATGTCAGCAATGAACGTCGGTCATTGAGCCCAATCGCTTGAGGTTACTCACGCAATAGACTGGGGAATCGCTGCGACTTCAAATCGTCGTTAAGCTCTTTAAGGACCTTTGCACTCGGCGGCGTTGCCAATTCCGGTTCTTCATCCGACTCTGACTCTGACCCTGACTCGGTCCCCGAATCTGCCTCGGACTCTGGCTCTTCTCGTCTCACTTCCTTCAATACCGCATCCTCATCATAATCCGTCTCGTCTCCCTGCAAAGCCAACTCGTCCATGTCATCTCCTTCATCATCGAACTCGGCTCCGGCTCTTCGTGTTGGTCGTTTCCGGTTCACGTACGTCTGTTTGACGGGTTTCACTGGTCGAGCTAGGGGCCCCTTCTTCGTCTCGTCCTCGGTTTCAGCTCTTGTGGATCCTCTTGTGGGTCTGGAGGCTGCCTTTGTAGTCGTCGTCGATGCCTTCTTGGCTTGTGGGGCCCTTTTCGATGCCGGTCCTCTGAGTTTGGCGACGGTGGGTTCGGGTTCGGGCGACGCTCTCGAAGAAGCATCCGCACTCCCCTCGTCGGCCTCGACCTCATTTCCATCCTTGCCCTCGTCAGATCCTTCTCCCTCATCATCTTCATCATCACCCACCCCTTCCTCCGCCTCCTCCTCCTCCCCCTCCCCGTCCCCCTCCTCGACCTCGACCTCGTCATTCATCTTCCCCCCCAACAACGATCCCTTCCTCTCTTTCCCATCCTCAACTCTCCCTCGATTAGGGGAGGAGAATAAAGAAGTCGCGAATTGAAGGACTTGCATCTGAACGACTGAGGTCAAGCAGGTCTAATCCGAGAACGAAGTGGTAGACGAGGTTGAGGTCAGTGTGCAGGGAGGGGGAGTGGGTGTGCTACGCGATGATCGCGATCGCGCTCGTGGGTGGTGGGTGTATAGGAGTGAAACCACTAGTTGTAAGTTGTCGGACGCGTGGCTTGACGTAAACTGAAACGCGTCGGAAGGGGAGTGGGTATATGCGACGTCTATGCTCAGGACAGGGGAGAGGAGGACGGTGTAGATGAAACCGACGCGTCGAGGCGCGTCACCGAGTGTTGTGTGCGTTAGTGCGCGCTTGTGCGCGTGGAACAGCGTGGAACTGGCCTCGGCAACACTGCGACGTCGTCGGCAGTCGTCGGCTTCAGCACCAACACTATCAAACTTGCGCAAAAACTCCTCTCGTTTTGCAAGCTGCACCTCGGGGAAATGAAAGAAGTGATCGGAAAATGCATGATTACACAACGAAAACGTGATAGAGGAAGAAACAAAACTCCTCAAAACCACCTCCCCCGTAGTTCGAAATCGTCTCGACGAAAAGAAATCGTCGCTATTGCGAATGATGATGATGCTTACACACACTGCACTACGTCCCCGTCCTCCCCTGCTCGCCTATGCTCCAACTCGAACATCATCAAACTTCTCGTCTCCGACGTAGCCTCCTCTCATGCTCGAACGAACGTTTTGTGCGAACCGTGATCGGTTCTCCCGCAGATCCTTGGCCGCTTCTGTGGGATGTCCAAAGAAGCAGTCCCCGAGTCAATTTCCAACTTATTCATCCTAGGCGTCCGAGTGCGCCACGACAACGACGTACCTTTGTTGAGCGGATCATCGGCATTGGGTTCGAGGAAGAGGTACTGCAATCCGACCATGACGGCGTTGAGACTGAGCACGGGCTTCCAGTCCTCACGCAGGATGTTGAGGCAAACGTTGCCTTCAAGGTCCAAATTGGGGTGGTAGATCTGCAGATACGAGCCAAAGGGTTAATTTCAGGTATAGATTTAGGACCTGTAGTCTGCAAAGACCTACTTTGGGTACGCATTTGACTTTTGGGGGTTCATGTGGGTAGTTGGCGCTGATCTTGACTGTAAAGAGGAATTTGCCGCCCTTGTACATGCCTGTGGTGAGGTTCCGCGCTTGATGAGTATCCTCTTTCGTTGACCATGTATTGCAATACTGACCGTCGTCGGGGGTGATGGTAAGCTCAAAGTTAAGCAAGTCCTCGGCATCGGCGAAATGGGTCTTCATCGTTGGTGGGAGGTCAAGCTCGGTGAGATCTGAGCGAGGGTCAATGGCAGATGAGTCTGAGAGCTCTGGACGATATAAGGAAGCCGGGCCTACCTTTCTGTACTCGAATCTGGGCTGCTGAGGTCTTGGGCTTCTTCTTTGCTGCGGCATCCTCGTTCTTCTTCATGGACCAAATCTGCGATCACAAAGCCAGTCGAGCCGGTCAGCTCGGCTTCGGCTTAGACGATTCGCGTGATGTGGCGATTGCGTAGAAGCTTACTTTGATCATCTGTGGCGATAAAGTGTGAATCGAGGTAAGAGTCAGGTCAGCATTCACGCCGGGATGTTCTGCCAGTGCATAAAGGGGGTCGGATCGAGATCGGTCGTGCACGGGTCGGTTTACCCGGGTAAACGGCCATCGTCTCCGTGCATCGTATGGCATGGTGAGACGTGATAAGTTCCGAGGAGTCATATTCGAGGCTTTGGTCTGCCCAGCGTGGCTTCCCGCGGTCGATGGGATGGAGACTCGAAGTCGTGGGCGAATCGAATCAGGTCGAATCGTCGCCGACCGAGCATTCGAAACTCGCAGACGCGTCGTTCACGCCGACAAAATTTGATCATCCGCAAGACAGAAACGCGTCCATGGCATTGTACGGGTACGGCATCATGTGCCCGATCGTACGCGTGGGCCGGTGGCGATGGTTCCTCGAAGCCACAGGTCGGACGACTCTGCCAAGCTCTGCGATGGAGGTGGGGTAGGGGAACGCACCTTGGGAGGATTGTAGGAACGTGTAGTGGTGTACGAAGTGTCTAGAGTCAACGGACTGGGATGAACGATCCGAAAGCGAGCGAACAGGTGAACTCGGATGGTCAGTGGGACGGGACGGGACACAGAATGGGATGATGATGGACAAGTCGCGAGCGAGCGCCGGCGAGAGGGGCACGCTCGATCGCGGTTCGTAATAATCAGCCGTTCGCCGCGGCGGAGGCGATGAGCTCGAGCCACTGACGAGCCGAGCCGCTGCTATAATAGCCGAGCTGAGCCGAGTCAAGGTCAATGCTGGTCAATCATGGCGCTGCCGCAGTGCCAGGTCCATTCGGCTTTAAGTTGGTCCTGCATTCGCACTTGCACTTGCACTCGACAACCAGCACAGGCTGACCTCAACGATGCCTCCGAGGCCACGAATGTGCATCGCCACGACCAAGCCCATCTCGGCATGGTATGAGCGCACCTCTCTTCTGCCTGTGGCCGCCGTGCGCCATCACTCGTCGACCTCGGCCGCCTCCGCCTCCACCTCCAGCTCCAGCTCCAGCTCCAGCTCCAGCTCCAGCTCCAGCTCGTCCTCGACCTTGACTTCGCTCACCGGCACGTCCTCTCTCGGCTCAGAGCCATCGTCCTCCACCTCTGATCATACTGCACTATTATCTACAAAAGCAAAAGTGGGTGATCCAACTTCCCACTCGAGCTGACCTTTGCCTGCTCAATGCTCATGCACTCTCCTGAGCTCACAGGCACAGGCTCGTATCGCTCGAGTCGACTCGACCTCGCTTTCCAAGGTCTCGCCCTTCCTCACCGACTCGTTTGGTCGGAAGCATGACTATCTGCGCATATCCTTGACGGAGAAATGCAATCTGCGATGTGAGTTGGACTGGACTACACCGTGCATGGCTCAAACCCCAACCGTAGTTTATCGGATTCCGACGACTCGGCCGAACTTCGGGGCTAAGGAGCTCCACACTTGCAAAGCACCCTGCTGACGTATATCCTACCGACGATCAGGTACATACTGCATGCCCGAATCGGGTGTCAAGCTCTTGCCCCGCGATGACCTGTTGACCACGGACGAGATCGAACGAACGGCCAAGATTTTCGTCGCGAATGGCGTAACCAAGATTCGACTCACCGGCGGCGAACCGACCGTACGCAAAGATTTGATCGATGTTGTTAGTGAGTCGGTGGAACCCGTATCGGTATCGCACATCGAAAAGCTACTCACGGATCGACGAATCCTCGCGCGCAGCCCGACTCGGTCGACTACCCCTCGACTCGCTAGGCATGACCTCCAACGGCATTTCCCTCAAGAGACGACTTCCGCAGCTCGTCGAGGCCGGCCTCACCCACCTCAACCTATCGCTTGATACGCTCGATCCGTTCAAGTACGAGCTCATGACGAGACGGAGAGGCTTCTCGGCCGTCATGGAATCGCTTCAGGTCGCTCGGGGGTTGGCCAGTCAGGGGCTCAAGACCAAGATCAATGTCGTCGTCATCAGAGGTGAGGGCAAAGCACTAAAGACTGGGCACAGAGCGCGATATCTCATTAACTTCCTCTCCTTCGTCTTCCCGCAGGGCTCAACGACGACGAGGTCCCACATTTTGTCGAATTGATCAAGGACATGGACATCACCGTCCGCTTTATCGAATACATGCCCTTTGAAGGTCAGTACAAAGGGGCGCGGCTCAGGTTAAAAGGAAGTAGCTCAGCGATTGACTCACCATCCCTTCGCCCAGACAACCGATGGTCAACCACCAAACTCGTTCCCTCTGCCCAGCTCGTGGCCAAACTACAAACGATCCATCCGACCCTTGAGAAGCTCATCGACCCCCATAGTGATACGACAAGATCATGGCGAGTACCCGGGTATCGAGGCAAGGTCGGCTTTATCAGTTCCATGTCGGATCATTTTTGTGGAGAATGCTCGAGGTTGAGGATCGGGGCCGATGGTCGAGTCAAGGTAAGCTATTCCCACACCTTCATTCGAAGCTTACACCGCAAACTTACTCACTGTCGATGCGCTTTCCTAGGTGTGCCTCTTCGGCCCTCCCGTGCTGTCCCTCCGACCTCTCCTTCGATCCCCCGAAACTACAGACCAAGACCTGATGGAATCTGTCGGCCGTACCGTTTGGGGCAAGAAATTCGCTCACAACGGTTTAGGTGGAGCAGAGGGTATTAGTGAGAATGGAAAGATGGGTCCGATGGTCGGGATTGGTGGATGAGGTGTAGAGGGGCGCGAGGCGGATCTTTCGAATGGTCGGAGTATTCGGAGTGGAAGTGAGTGCATTCGCTTTCGGAGAAGAACCGTGTTGGCTGTGTTGATTTTAATTCCTGGCGCGTTGTGCCGAATGGATAGTTTTCAATCCGAATTGGCTCAGACCACAAAGACCTCGGCAACCCCTCTCCACAAGATTACCGCTACACCTCTTGGCTCGATCGACCCTGTATGCTCCCCGTCTTGGCACTCGCCTCTTCTCATATTCGGTTCGATCCAACCATGCGGAGGATGACTCGAAGCCCGTGGACACGCTCACACACATCGACTCCCGAACGGGCAAAGCATCCATGGTATCCGTCTCTTTCAAAGCCATCACTCTCCGATCCGCCACGGCTGTCGGTCGGATTCGCTTGAACGAACAAGCTTGGTCTCTCATCGATTTCGGTAGCACCTCAACCGACCAAGTGGACCGTTCCTCCCCTCCGACTATGCGCACCAAAAAAGGCGACGTCCTCACAATCGCCCACCTAGCCGGCCTCATGGCGACCAAACAAACCTCCAACCTCATACCCCTCTGTCATCCCCTCCTCCTCTCCAACATCAAACTCACCCTCGAACCTCACTCCGAAAGCACCTCGATCCAAATCAGCTGTCGAGTCGAATGTGAGGGTAAAACCGGGGTCGAGATGGAGGCTTTGATGGGGTGTCAGGTCGCTTTGTTGACGGTTTGGGATATGTGCAAGGCCGTGGCGGGGAGGGACATGGTCATTGAGGGGCTGATGGTGGTGGAGAAGAGTGGGGGGAGGAGTGGGGATTGGAAGAGGGAAGCTTGAAGGGTCTTTTCTCTTGTGTGGAATGGACTGAAATGTTGTCAACTCTCGAGTAATAAAAGACAAGCATTTTACATTACGGAGAGACCTAGAACGCAAGAAAACAGAAGCACTAAGGACTATGTACAGCTCAAGGCGCCCTCCCCAATACGATCCTCCTCCTCACCAACGCCGCCAGCACCGTCAACACCAACACCTTTGCCCAAAGGCTCTTCGGACTCCAATACTTGATCGTCGCAACCAAGATCAAGCCCGCATCTTTTATCTTCCTCTCCAACTTGATACTCGCAATAGCCCGGTTACCAAACTCGGCGTAATAACCTTCCAGACCGATCGAGGTCGCTTCGAAAGGGATGGCGAGGATTCCGTTCGCATCGATGGCGACTTGGTATCCATGGAAAGAAGGGTCCGAAGCGGATTTTAGCATGCCTGCTACGACGTCTTCGATCTTGCCCAAGGGGATACCGAAGAGACCTGCGCGGTTCAGAGGCGCGATGATACCGGTGTCGATGAACCAGGGGCAGATGATGTTGCTGCGGATGTTCGCGGCTTCACAGTCGTAGCTGAGAGGTTGAAGAGAACCGTCAGCTACTGGTTATCGGCCAATTTTAAGGCCTCGGCTGAAGTTTCTGATTCGACTCACTAGATGGATCGGAAGAAGCCCAGAATCCCATGCTTGGCCATCCCGTACATCGGACCTTTGGGCAACCCATTCTGCGACGCCATCGACCCAAGGAAGACGAGCGCCTTGGACTTGTTCTTCAAGTTGCGCGCTAAGTGGTAGAATCCGATACGGGCGGTGTACATCGCTCCGAGGAGGTTGACTTCGATCGTGGTTAGGACGGGTTTCTATTGAGGATGATAAAGGATCAGCACGTCGTCTGGGACAGCATAATCCCAAATGGTGGATCAAATTTCATCACCTTGAGCTTGCCCTTGGAATCGAATTCATCATGCATCAACTCTCCACATTCACCCACACCAGCATTCGCAACGACGACGTCAATCACCCCATGGTGCTTGACCGCAAAATCGAACATCTCGATCTGCGAATCCCACGAAGCGGTGTTGCAAGGTTTCGGGTACACCTTGACGAGGCCGCCGTTGGTTTGGATCCTGTGACCGGTCTCTTGGACGGCTTTGACGTTCAGGTCAGAGATGACGACGTGGGCGCTGTAGGAGTGAGAACGTTTGTATCCGATCAGTAAAGTATTCGGATGTTTAATGCTGATATGCGATGATGGTGGGAAGAACTGACCCATAGCCCGCGGCTTTCTCGGCGAAAGCTCGGCCAAACCCAGACCCGGCGCCTGCAGAGCCGGCGGCGGAAGACAGCAGATGATCCGGGGTAACGGCGAAGGCAAACGCGACATGGGCGACATGAGATCAGTCATCCGCGAAGCTAATTTGCATAGGAGCCTAACCTCCCTCTCGTGCACTTACCGGTGATGACGACGGTCTTGCCCTTGAGGTTATGACCGGTCTTCTCCGTCGAGGCCGCGTCGATCGCCTCGGCATGCTTTTGAATCGCCTCCCTGAATCCACCATGAGCGGCTTCGTACGCCCCAAGACTAGGGTTGGACTTCTCGAGGTCTTGTTCTGCGATCGTGGTGACGCCTTCGACTTCGGCGGGACCGGATGATGGGGTAGCGTTGGAGCCGGACCCGGAGCTTGACCCGGTCGAAGTGGGGGCGGCACCACTGGAAGAGGAGGACGTCTTGGCTTTGGAGGAAGTGGGCTGGGACATGGCGTTAAGTTTGAAGTGATGCAGTGACTAAGATTGAAAAGTGCGTAGTTGGGCAGGTGAGAGGACGAAGGTTGAAGTGTCTGGGGACACGGACTTACTCCGTGAAATTCAACGGCGACGGCGCGGCGACTTGTTGAACGCCGGTGGGTACATTTCAAGGAAAATGGAATGATGCTGCGAGTAAATGGTGCATTTACAAATTAACGCACCGCGGGGCGGCGACCAGTCCCTGAACCCTCTATGAAGTCACACTAGTACTCATACTTTTTTTTAAATTGATAGAGCTCAATAACAGTATAATCATACCTACATCTACATAAAAGAATGCACGACACAATGAGGTTCTCAGCAACACCAGATGGACAACAACAACGATATCAACAACGCCAGCTCTGCTGGTATATTACCTCCTCGCCCTGACGTCCCTGACCCCCGGCCGAGTCCCCGCTACCGCCACCAAATCCGGGCCCGTACCCATGCCGGGGGGTGGGGAGATGGGGAGGAAAAAGAACGAAAAGAAAAAGAAAAGAAAAAAGAAAGGGAGGGAAAAAAGGAGGAAGGAGAGAGAAAAAAAAAGGGGGGGGGTTCGAAGGGGCAAGGAAGGAGAAGAAGTGAAGAAAAAGGCGGTACATGATATACAATTGCAATAGGATTACGAGTGTCTTCACAATGTCACAGCGGTTTATGACACTGCTTCTTATACCGAGCTCGACCACCCATCTCAGCCGTGGTCAGTCCCTTGCAAAACTTCGGCGATTCTGGGTTATTCGGATCCCTCTCTTCACCCAAGGCATACATCTTCCCGCGATCCCTTCATGAGCGCTTCGACTGTGAATTCGTTCGGCGTGTTATGGTGGAGGATGAGAGCTCTTGAAGTAGAATATGTGAGGAACGTGGTATCATCAATCCGGTCTATCGCTGTATTCCCCGTCGTCGACGTTCGACGTTCTGTGGATTTCAGAGGACTCGAACACCTTGGCTGCTGCGCAGTGACACCGACGCTTCGTCGCACGAGGGACGTTCGCTCAAACTGGGACCCGAACTTCACTGGATTGCGATGCAAGAACAAATAGACAAACTGAGACCGATATAGATACTTCGGGAAATCATGCAAGCTCCAAACGAAAAGAAGAGAACGGAAGTGGGACGCAAATCCGACTGCTCAGAACGTTGCGCGAGGAACCGAGTGTGGCCGGCCAGTTCACGAGATCTTGATTGCCTTCGCCTTGGTCTCCTTCGTTTCGAGAGGGAACTCGACCTTGAGAATGCCGTTTTCCATGCTCGCGTGGATGTCTTCTGCCTTCAGCGACGTGTTAACGCGGATGCTTCTCTCAAACGAGCCCGTGCGACGTTCGTGTACGCGCCAGGTTCCCTCCTCCCTCTTGTCCTCAGACTGGACCGTGCCGGAGACGGTGAGCAGACCACGGTCGAGCATGATCTTGACTTGATCTTTGGTGAGGCCGGCGAGTTCGAACGTGGCTTCGGCTTTTCCATCCTTTTCGATAACGTCGACGCGAGGCGAAAATGCGAGTTCACTTTGGTCGCGAACCGCACCCGAGTTTTGGCCGCTGGGTCGCAGGCTGAACAAGTGGAAGGGGGTGAGGCCGAAGTCGTCGTCCGTGTGGGTGAGGCGAGGGAAGAGCGACAAGGACATGTTTGTTCGACAAGAGTTGGTTTGAGGGTGGTTTTGTGTCTGTAAAGTGTGTGCAAACGGTGCGAGAAGCACACGTCAGCTACGTCCGACGTACGAGCGACCTCGCTAAAGGGGTCAATGGCAGCGAGCCTTGATTGATGGCGGGAAGTGCGGCAAAGTAGGATGGGAAGGGAACAGGGCAGATGAGGTAAAGGCAGAGGTGAGCTGGACTTACTGTGTCGAGCGTGGGATGCGAGGTGTGTGCAGAGTGGTCTGGTGCGGTGGTGAGGGGAAAGGAAGAAGGAAGAGAGACAGTGCGCGCGCGTTCGCTCGAGGTCGTTCGATTCCATCGAAGCTCGTCGAAAGTTCGGAAATTTCCCGACCGCACACGCGCTCGTGGAAACCCGAAGAAATACTCGAATTTCTTCCACGTTGTTCGATCTCCCCAGCAAGGCGAGGGTATCTGGGTCGCTTCTACTTCGCCCGCTATAGCTAGCACGACTTGAAGCTTCCATCAGCTTCTCCCACACCAGTTTGTCGGTGGCCGCTATCATCTTGCCACACCTTAGCTTGGGGCCTAACCTGGATGTGCCACACAGATCTGGCATCAACAAATTTCTAGAGTGTTGGGATGTCAATGGCAGCCCTCTATCGTTTGTGAGCCGTTTTGAGATGACGCACAGGACAACGGCATGCATGGACGACCGAGGTCACGTGAGAAGACCCGTCCCTCTTCCGGCCCAGCTGCATCTTGCACACGAGTTTGTGGTGCAGCCACTTGTATTCCTCGTGGCACTGGTAGCTCTCTGTCATCTTGATGGCTCGGTCTCGACTCGGAGGCGGCCACTGCAGTGCATCCGTCAGAGTCGCCGTGCTTTTCGTGCTACGCTGCCAATGCCATCGGTGTGGATGTAATTATGCGTGAGGAAATCTTGAGTGACAGCTTTCCATTAGCTGTTAGCGAAAGTGGTTTGTCTGAGCGATGAACGGTAGGTGTACGTGCTTGGTGGAGAGTATGAGTCGGCCCACGGGCAGATCATTATTGGTCGTTGGCCGAGTCGGGCGTAGCAGTGAAGCGGCGGTGCTGGTGCGAGGTCGTTGAATCGTTCGCTAGTCTTGTACTGAGCCGACTCCCAGAGCCCAAAAATTGGATGGTGTGAGGTAAAAACCCCTAGCTGGTCTCAGAGTACGTGGACTGATTCGGCGACTCGCGAGTGCTACCGGCGTAGACCGGCTTGGGACTCGGCGGATTCAGTGGTCGGGGGTGGGTGTATGCACTTTGGCCTCTCGCGAGCTGCTGCCTCGCGCCGGCCTGGTCGCCGTGGTTGTGCCTCTCGCCAGCCTGGGCTGCAACCGACACAAGCGACGACCCGACGACGACTGACGTTTCTGACGACCCTGGCGCTGCATTGACGACCTTCACGACCTTGCTCTCGAGCAACTACGCGCCCGAGCTGTGGCAGTGTAGCTAGTGCTGATTGGCCATCGACCCCATCCCCTTCAACTGTGGCCAACCCGTCTGTCACCGTCAGCTCACACGCACACGGCTGCTGCAGAGGGTCGTCGTCGCGGCTGCACATCATCGTCGATCACGCTGCAACGTCGACCGTTGCACGCGTCCTATCCTCTCCACCAGCAAGTCACTCTAAGACGGTACCCTGCCCGATATGACGGAACTGGTGTCGACGTTTGACCGACTGTCGATGCACCAGCACCACGGCGCGCACGCCTCGATCGACGCGTCGAGCAGCGCCAGTCCCAGCAGCTCGTCAACCAACAAGAAGCCCGCGGCCAGTTCGAGCCATGGCACACGACTGCCGACCAGCAGCTCCAACGCCGACAACTTGGCTGTCCCGGACATGAGAAGGGTCAGTCATCATGTACCATGTGGCTTTGAAGCCTTGGGGCTCTTGCTTGTGTGTGCTGTGTCGCGTCTCTGTCCCCAGGGGCATAGAGCCTCCTGTGTTTTAGCGCATGCGAGGGTGCGAGCGAGCGAACAGGCGAGCAGGCGAGCGGACCCGCGCTTGACCCGCATGGACCTGCTCGTCAGCTCTCGTCAGCAACCAGAAAATACGCCCCTCGCCGATCACGTGCGACGGACTGGCCTGCATGGACCTGCTTGCCAGCGACCAGAAAACACGCTGCCCGTCGATCACGTGCGATCGCCAAAGATCTGCACGTGTGGTCACATGGCGCCAACATTGGGCTCCATGGTCTGCTCAGTGCTGCGAGTTGAAGCGCCCAGCTAACGTCCGCTCGTATCCCCCTTTTCAACAGCAACGCTCGCAACGATTCTCGGTACCCACATCCCAGTCCGACTCGTCCCTAGCTCAGCAGTCGCAAGCCTCAGTAGCGACTAGTCAGGCGCCACCATCACAGCCAAGTCTGCCGCTCTCAAGCTCTTTCGCCTTTCAACCCGCTCCGGCCCCTGTCCAAGCGCAATCCATACCCCTGTCGTCCTACACTCTATCTGAGCTCAACGGCGGCTTATCCGCACCACCAGTCCAACGTTCCTTGTCCGAGGACTCGTTCACCCATGGTCTCCCCTATTCGGACCACCATCGCTACCAATCGAGTGGCATCAATGCATCTCAGTCGAACCCAAATCTGAACGGCCAATACCTCAATACCCAAACTTCGAACCACCAAACGCCGCCGTCTTCCTATCAGCAAGCGCAACAACAGCAGCACCAGCAGCAGCAGCAGCAACAACAGCAACAGCAATCTTCGTACCGGAAGCTCGATTACGACTTTGCCTCCATGCCGAACGGAGCAGGCGGCGCGAATATGGCGCCTCGATTCTACGGATCGGCCGCACCGCGACATGACGCTCAATCGTTCGCATCGCATCGAGTCGATCCATCCCTCGATTGGCTTACCAGGCCTCCGCAGCAACCACCACATGCCATCTCCCACCTCCACCAACAACAGCACCTCCACCATCAGCAGAGCATGGCTCCGCTGCCAGGAGTCGGATTCGATGGAACAAACTATGCGGGCATGATGAGGGGGCCACCACAAGATGATGAAGTGTAGGTACCTTCAGCTCCGTGTGCGTGTGTGGGACTCCCCGAGCTGATGTTCCCGTGTCCTCTGTGCGATGCGCAGCATCCCCACCGCGATTGTCATCAAAAACATTCCCTTTCAAGTGCCAAAAGAGCAACTGCTGGGTGTTATGGTGCGTTGGGCTTCTAGAGGCCGTCTGCTTGACTCGGCCACTGATGGGCCTAGGCTCCTTACCCGTCGCATAGGAGGATCTTCGTCTACCCGCCCCTTTCGCGTTCAATTACCACTTTGACAACGGGCAATTCCGAGGGCTCGCATTTGCCAACTTTCGCAACGCTTCGAATGCCTCGTTGTGCGTCTCGGCACTCAACGGATTCGATCTTCAAGGTCGCAAGCTTCGGACAGAGTTTAAAAAGGTGCTTAAGGAAGGGGAGAAGGAAAAAATTGAGCGGGAGAAGGCGTTGAAGCGGATGCGGTCGACGAGGGAACTGCACAACGGGATGGGAATGGGGATCGGCGTGGGAATGACGATGGGCATGGGTGGTGGGGGCTTTGCACCGGATGGGGGGCCACCGCCACCACCACCGCCACAGGTCTGGATGAGGAGAGAACATTCAGCGTCGGATCGAGCGGGCTTTGGCAACGTCGCGCCGATCAACACCGATGACGACGATTACGGGCGACCGGTCCAAGGGCCGTATTCTTCGACCTTCGGAGGTGGAGCCTCGACCTTCGGAGCAAGGGAGTACGTCCCTGCGCCACCACCTCCACCACCGGGTATGAACGGCGGGGATGGGGTATGGGGCCGCTTTAACGGGTCTTTGCCGGCGGGCCCGACTTCCTCCGGGAGTGGGCCGGCGCCATCCTCGGGCCAGTACAGTACCAGCCCACCGAGCGACGTCGGCACGAGTATCTCTGCGCGCATGACCCAAACGACGAGCAGCAGCGGGTCCGAGTCCGGCGGTGGTCGAAGTGGTAGTTCCGGCCCGATCGAACTTGACATGAACGACTCGCAAACGCTCGATATTTACTCGCGCGTCGTCGTCTTCAAGGACGATTTCTTGAGGGAAGAATTCGCGTTCGCTCGGTCCCTGTCGGCGAATCAGCGCAAGATCGTTCATCTTGTTGCGAAGAAGTTGGAGTTGGGTCATCGCAGTGTTGGGGTAGGGGAGGATCGACATGTCGTTGTGTACAAGCCCAGCGCGTCCGAGTCGCCAGCACTGAGAGGCATGGCTTCGAGCAGGGTAGGTGTTGCTGTCCACGATATTAGTGAGACTCATAGCGGCTGACTAAAAGCACGGGAAACCCCTACAGGCTCTGAGACATGCCGCGTCCAGTCTGATCCGTCAGCCTTCGCGGGATACACTCAACTCGTACCTCAACTCGACGGCGACGTCGTCGACATCGTATTCGAACCAAGCCTACAGCTCCGGCCCCATGGGCTCCTTCACCAAATCAGCGTCAACCAACGTCTACTCCTTGCACGCCAAGAAATCAATGCCGGACATCCGACCCTCCAACATCCACCCGGGCTCCCGTCGATCCAATATGAACCTTCGACATGGCTATCAATCCCTGCAAGCCCCTCGACCCTCCAGAACCTACCCACCAGGTGTCCAAAGTATCTTTGCGAATCAAGACTATGGCAACAACGAGGCGACTCCTCCTGTGCCTTCGGTTCCTAAAGAGTATTACGATTCGAGTGGGTCGAACCCGAGTCCGAATATGCATGGGAATGGAGGCGATCCGAGTCCGACGAGTGAGGAGAGTATGAGTACGGGGGCGACAAGCTCGATCGGTGGTGGGGGTGGGTTGAGGACCATGTCGAGTAAAGAGGAGATTGGGGCTTGGAGACGGTTTGATGGGCATGAGTGATGCATAGGGCTTTTTTGTGTGACGTCGGATGGATGATCGGTCGCTTCACCTCGGGGTTTTTCGTGTTCTTGTTCCGGAACGTATGCCCCACCACGGATTTTTCTGTTTTCTGTTCTCTTTTTATAACGACGATATCAATGGACCCCTTCTGCAATACGCTGGGGTCTCATCTCTCGGCTTTGTTCCCTCCACTTCGTTTATTCTCATGTTTAACACCTCTTCCCACACACACACACACATTCATGATCTGCCCTTTTTTGATGAGTCGTTGAGGCGATTTTTCTCCGATCTTGCAGTTGCTTATACACGACCTGACGTGCCCTTTTGCGGATTCTCCATGCAAATCAAGTTGGAGTTGACGTTTATTGTGGGCCGCCATCAAATGATGACATATCTCCCCATTTCATCGAATGTGCACAACTTGAGGCAAATTTACGAGTGAGGTCAAAGCTCCTTCCCTTTCGCACCACCGGATCGTTTCGGTAAAGGCGGTGGTACCAACTTGACCTCGTCCTTCCTCTTGCCCGGGAACCCGCCTGCGAAATCATCAGGTAAATCCGAGACTGGGATCTGGGCCAATTTTGATTCGTACACTTTGGTCGGCTTCAATTCACCCGTGGCGAAAGCGTGTTGTCGTTTCTCAAGGTCATGGGACCACATCGCCGCTCCACTGAGAGAGGGTATGAAAAAAGTCACAGAAAAGCTTCAGGGAAACAGCTCTTCGCCCGCGTCCTCTCACGAATTCCCACTCACATGCGATTCGAGATCGTCAATACGATCCCAATCAAGGGCAAGCGTTCCAATAGACTGGCGACGAAGCCGAACATGCGGTACTCGTTCTGTCGTTCGACCATCCAGAGTTCGATTTGGAAAGGCGTCATCTTCTTTTCTGCAAAGTACTGCGATGAGTAGGGGTCCGCGCCGGATCAGTTTTGGTTGGGTTTTTTGGGCCTGAGGTTTTGGCGGGGACGTACTGGCTCGTGCATGGATCGACCTAGGGTCAAGCATCGGAGAGCTGATAGTACGACGATTGCGAGCCCGGGGATGAAAGAAAGAGGCGTGAGAAGAACTGTGCGGGCGAGTCAATATTCTGAATCGTCAGCGGACAGCAATGAACCCAAAGTGAAGCAAATTCGCTTGGACGCGTACCCCTGAGCACGAACATGCGCATCAACGGTGACGCGAGTCGAAGGTAGAAGGCTTGTTTCTGCGAATTCCTCTGTGCCCTTTCGACCGGCGGTCTAGCCCATTCCTCTACGTAGGGTTGCCAAAACTCGCTGTCTGATGGGTCAATCGCCAGGCCGAGATCATGTTCTTCTCGTCAGTAGCTAATCCTCCCACGGACTGCCAGCAGAGGATCGAATAAGACTCAACCTTTTGCCCTTGACCTGACGGTCGCTTCGTAAACCTCCTTCCTACTCTTGGTGAGTTCCCTCCTGAGTGACCACTCAAGCAAAGCGTTGATCTGACCAAGCACGAGGGTGACGGTCGTAAAAAAGGCGGGACTGACGCCAAGGAAAGCGGCATCGTGGATCGCGGCAGGTGCAAAAGGGGATCGAGAGAGGATCAAGGTGACGTAGAGACGGGTGAGAGGGTAGGATATGAGTATGAAGGGGACAAAGGCGAAGAGGAAGCGCTTGAGGGTCTTTTGGGAACGTGCCCAGATGGGTCGGTTCAAGGTGGGGTCATGGATCAAGCGGTAGGCTCCGACTGCTCAGCAAGGGGAGGGCAAGACTTCAGTCGATGACACCCACCCTCGGAATACTCGCGTTGACTTACCCAGACAGTAGGAAGGGGGAAAGGGAAGAAGCTCGACGGGCATCTTGTAGCGACCCGAGACTGGTCCCAATCACGGTAAACGATCGGTGGACTTTTCGCTGCAGCTGGCTTCCGTGGCTGGCTGGGGAGAGAGTCGCCTCGCTTTACGCGGCTATTGGCCAAACGGATTGGAAAATGTCTGCAGCGTAGAAGGAAGAAGCATGCCAGCTCTTGGCTATCAGGTGGTGTGCAGCTGTGGCGGTGCGGCGACCCCGGGGCCCGGTGCTCGGTCGTTCGGCCGATCGACGTCATACGCACCGACTTGACGTGTCTGGCCAGTCGCGGGACAGGCAGACGCTGGGGATAGGTGCAGAGGCAATGGATGACCGACCTGCTGATGGAGCTGTTTGTTAGGAGAGTTGTTATACGGTGCGCAAGCGACTTGAGGCTCCCTGCAGCCCCTGCAACCCTTTCGGGCAAGCACTCTTGAGCCAAAATTAACATTTACCCAGATCTCAGATCTCAGATCTCACCGATCTCACCCTCCGCCTCCCTCCGCTCACTGCGCTCACAAGCTCACACCCTTGCCACACACCCTGGCCGCCTCCCGCCGCCGCCTCGCCCAGTCTGGCGCCTTTCGCAGCCTCGCGACAGTTGCTTCGTCGGTGCCAAGTCCATCATCCACGTGGACACCCTTCCATCGTTCTGACTTGCATACCTCTTGGAAGTCGCAAACACACCTCAATCTCCCCCCGAGCCATGGTCTGCACCACAGCTGAGCTCCCCACTCCTCCTGCTACTTCGCACGACAAGCTCAGCGGCCACGAGTGGTGGCAGTCCATACACCAACCCAAATATGTCGTAGCGCCCATGGTAGACCAATCGGAACTGGTACGTGGGTACTCTATGCGATCCGCTACTCTATGCAATACTACACATCGGTCGCACCCTTTCTTACCGGATAGGGGCTCGTGATCTCAGGTCCATCGTCCATCGTCCAAGCAAACACTGATCACACCGGTCACCGCAGGCCTGGCGTATTCTCTCGCGTCTACATGGAGCCAACCTCGCCTACACCCCCATGTTCCACGCCGCGCTCTTCAGCTCCAACCCCAAATACGAACATGAGCAGTTCGACAGCTCCCCCGAATCAATCGAAGGCGTCGCGCCCTACGATCGTCCTCTCATCGTCCAGTTCTGTGCGAACGATAAGGACAAGTGGTTGGCGGCGGCAAAGAAGGTTGTTGGAAGGTGCGATGCGGTGGATTTGAATTTGGGGTGCCCGCAGGGGATTGCCAAGAAGGGGCATTATGGCGCTTTCCTCATGGAGGAATGGAACTTGATCAAGAGCATGAGTGAGTGAACGGGACCGTGAGCGTATTCCTGGTCAGTTCCTCTGATACGACGGCACCTTCACAGTCTCACATCTGCACGAACACCTCGCGATCCCCGTCATCGCCAAACTGCGAGTCTTCCCGACGCTCGACAAGACGCTCGACTACGCCTCGCTCGTCTACTCGTCCGGTGCCCAACTCGTCACCGTCCACGGTCGAACTCGGGAAGCCAAAGGTCGCTTGGCAGGTTTCGCCTCCTGGCCTAAGATCCGTTCCGTCGTCGACTTGCTCAGTCCCCGCGTCCCCGTCCTAGCGAACGGAGGTGTCCCCAGCGCCGAAGAAGTCGAACCTTGTCTCGCCGAAACGGGTGCGAAAGGGATCATGTCCGCCGAAGGCAACCTTTACAACCCCATGATCTTCTCCCCCATGAACGCCAAAGCCGGACGAGACTATTTCGCCCAGCTTCCTCAGGAGATGCGACTCGCCCTTTCGAGATGTGATGAACAATTCGAGGCCGGTGTCGAATGGGATCGGGATATGGCTGCTTACGCCCCTTCGACGTGGTTGGCGGCGCAATACCTGGCGATTGTCAGTACTATTCCTCATACCAAGACCTCGATTAGTGCGATCAAGGCGCATCTATTCAAGTTGTTCCGACCTGTTTGGGCCGTCGAGAGGCATTTGGATATGAGGGAGTTGTTGGGCAGAGCTGGAGGTGGCAGGTCGCTGGACTATGAGGCCAAAGTCAAAGAGTATCATGAAATTGTGAATGAGTTTGTAAGAAGGTTCAAAGTGAGTCCTTCTTGTTGGGGGCCGACGAGTCAAATACTTCTTATCCTGACCCATACATTGCTGTTCCAGGCCGACCTTGTCGAAGGCCACCTCCCGCCCAACTCGTTCCGGCCCTTGACGCACGCCGAAGTCCAAACCACTTATGGCGGCGTGGTCCCCTACTCCCACGCGCAACCTTACCTCCGGGTGACCAAACCCGAAGAAGACCAAGTCGTCGCCGGGACCGCGACGAGTGCCGAGAACGAAAACAGATTGGTTATGCAAGTTGAAACGAATGGGAAACGAGCCGCGTCGCCTTCGTCCCTTGACGAAACGACGGAAGCGAAACGCTCCAAAACGACGGACGAGTCGACTTTGGATGCATCTGTGATCCCACCCGTGATCAAGGACAAGACGACGCCGTGCATCAATTCGACGAAGGACTCGTCACCTTGCATCAATATCGCAGCCAACAAATGCTCGCATTCGGCTTGTTCGGCATGCTGCGCTAGCATCAGGAAGGAGGAACTGAGTTGGGGTGGGTGTACACATCATGAGGAGAAGGAGAGGAAAGATGCGGAAAAACGACAGTTGAAGAAGAATCGGGTTAAGGATAGGAAGGCCAAGAGGGCCGGCGCTAAGGGGGATAGTGCACTCTCGCAATGATGGGACTGGGTTCGAAGTATATTGTTGTAACGTTTCGTGCTTTTATTCTTCAAGGGTGACGAACCCAGAAAAAAAAAGAGTCTGCTGGCTCGTCAGTGGCAGGCACAACGTGTGGGACAGTAAACTGGCCAGTCTCTTATCTAAGAGGTAAAGCAGTATTGCATAAAGAACCTGGGATGACTTCGAATTTCAAATCCGTGTGCATGCGCATCTCGATACGTGCACTCAAAAACTACAAAACACGAAAAGGGTTCACGAGGGAGGCTCAATGTAGGAGTTGGATCTGGCTAGGCTAAACAAGGACAAGTCGCCTGCCACTTGGCACCGCCAACATAGAGTTCCGATGTGAAACCAATTCAAAAGCAACAGAAAAAGAAAAGGGGACCTTGTCGACCGAGGTGGAGATGGCTTGAAGACCGTGTGCAGCTGGAGGTTGATGCGTACACTAGAAGTAAGCTACCTGGTACCATAGGATTAGGGTACATGCTACTCACTGATGTTAGGGGTACCGTGAACCTCGTTCGATCCGAGCAGGTGAGATCGGTCGATTCGGGAACGCAGTGGAGGCTGCTTGTCTGGAGAGTGTAGGCGAGGATCGAATCGTCAGCCCCGCCTCGCCCGTCGTCAAGGGCCGGCGAGCACGATCGATCCATCGATCGATCAAAGGTCGAAGCAAAGACTCACAGGGTACGATCAAATGCAAGCGGTCTTGTAAACCAGGAACAACCTCAGTGACATGCCGTAGGCGCCATTCAACACTCGTCGACGAGTGGATAGGCTGATGGCAAGCCGTGACGCCGTGAGAGACGGGAAGCGAGAGATCGCAGTGAGAGGGGAGGGGAGAGGTGGTGCGGGGTAAGATGATGGAGGTGGGGTGGTGAAAGATGGACGCGAGACGGGTAAACACGAGACGAGTCAGTCCGACCCTACGCCACACGAACACGATCACAGCTAGGTGGTTACTCACACTTTTGACGGTGGGAGGGATCGAACGACAGACTCTACCACACCACAAAGGCCACCGTTTCGTATCCTCCTGAAAAGGGGGGCGATGTCGGCAAGATTAAGTGGTGCGAGAAGTGTAGAGCGTGTCGACGAGGGAAGGAAGGAGGGGGAGGGAGGCTGGGGAAGGCAAATTGGGAGGGGTCAAAGACGAGTGAGGAGACGACGACGATAAGAAGAGGTAAACGAGAGACGAGGTAAACGAGATGCGAGGTGGGATGGGATAGGGTGGGATCGGGTGAGGGGAGGTTAAGGTCAAGGCGAAGGTGGAATCAAGGTGGGGTGAAACGAGGGTCAGGTGAGGCGAGAGGTGAGGCGAGAGGTGAGGGGAGGGGAGAGGAGTGTCGAATGAGGTTGAGGATTAAGAGGTGAGGGGGAGGTGAGGGGGAGGTCGCCACGATCGAGTCAGCATCACCGCTCGAGGCACAAACAAGCTCGTCGAGTCGCACGAGGCATCAACTCACAGGTAGAGAGGGTGGGAAGGGGGGATGATCGAACGACAGACTCTACCACACCACAAAGGCCACCGTTTCGTATCCTCCTGAAAAGGGGGGCGATGTCGGCAAGATTAAGTGGTGCGAGAAGTGCAGAGCGCGTCGACGAGGAGAAGGAAGGAGAAAAGAGAGAGAGGCGACGAGCTCGAGGTGGTTGCTGACTTGGGTGCGAGGTGTGCGCTTGGTAGAATGAGTCATCTCATCGATATGACGCCACGCTGTGAATTTAAGCTTTCGATCTTCTCCACCTCGGCCGAGCGCGGCCGAGAGCGCCGAAGATCTGAACGGAGAGGGGACTGTGCACCCGACATCGAGGCCAACGATCCATCCCTCGGAAAGACCGAATACCTTGTCGATCAAGCTCGGTCAAGTCTCAGCAAGTAGGTTGAGCTCCAGGGATCACCCCAGAGTTGAGATCGCCGCGATCGATACAGCGGTTGTCGCTCCAGTAGCTTGGTCCGAGTTGGGACGACCCCGAACTCCGAGTCCGCCGCGGAGCAGAGTTGCGGGGTCGGCTTCACGCGAGAGCTCCGACGCAGCGAGTCGAGGCCGTCATGCAAGTAGGGTGGCACCCAAATACAAAATCATATTGAAAGAAGATTTTTTATCTTTTTTACATGTACGTTGAACCATTGTTCATCAGAAAATTGCGGATTCTCGCTGCCTAGATCGTGGACGCTCAAGCTCCCCACTGCGGTCTTCCGAAAGGAGGCCGCTGCCTTGACCAGACTAAGATTGAGAGCAAAAATAACGAATATGGGGTACAGGCTATTTTACGGTACAATTTGAGATATTATGATGCATCTTCTCACACTACTCTGAGCTCGAACGACCTTTTGTTGGACCTGCCCCCGTTTGCTTTTCGGCTGGGAGCGATGGGCAGCGCAGCGTTCTCAATCACCGTTGATTCTTCCTGCACCCTGCACCCTGCACCTTGTGCCTTGTGTCTTGCACTTACACAGCTCATATCTCCCTCGATGACGGTAAAACACGGTCACGACTGCCTCGGTGGCGCTTTGGAAATCGTTCCAGACGCCCTGCTCTCTCGCGAGACCAACCTGAGCAGCGCGCTGGCTTCCCTCGTCGGCAAGATCGATGGCAAGTCGCTTCCTCAGAGCCCCTTCGCAGCCCGTAACTGCTCCGCCCCGATTTGCCGAGCAAACCCTAGCTGACCCTCTACGCTGTCCATCACTGTGCTCTACTCAGTCGCCATCATCGACGGCGCTACCGCGTTCGCACGTCAGCGCCATGCCGCGACGGACCGGGCGCAACACAACGAGCCGAAGCGAGGCCGGCTGTTCCTCAATGCGATCATTCGACACCTCGAGGTAATCATTGCAGCGACGGCAAGGCGGATCCAAGTGGTCGTGGTATTTGATCATCCCATCCTTCGGCCCAAGCTCAAGGAGGACACCGTGCTCGATCGCCAAGATCGCCAGAAACCGCAAGAGCCTTCCGATAAATCGACCCCTGTCATCCACCCCGTCCCCTTCATCACGAACGACACCCTCGCCGTGTGCGTTCACGGACGATCGAGCAAAGAATGGGAGGTCGCTTTTCGCCACGGTGACGAGCCAACCCGAGTCGCCACCTTTGTTCGCTGGTCCGAGCAAGGCTTGCTCGTCGTCGCGGCCCACGAGGCCGATCCCCTCGTCTCGGCGTCGACCAAGTTTGGCCAGATCTGCGACGTTGCGCTCGAACCCAACCGCGTCGTCCTCGTGAGCGCCGACAGCGACTTTTTCATGCTTCTCGGCGCCGACCAAGCCCGCTATCGCGCCGTGCTATCGGGCAAGGACCAAAACATTAGCTTGGTGGACCTTGCCGTACTCGACGCTCACCCCGCGGTGTGGAATTATCGTCAGCGATTCGTCGCGAGCCTCATCCTCGGATGTGACTATTTTAGGGGCATCAAAGGGGTCGGGCCTGGGGGACTTAGAGACCTGCCTGGGCAGTGGTTGGACGAGGCGACGTGGCAGAGTGGCTGGGATGGCGCCGCGGGGGCGTTGATCAGGAACGTCGACTCGGAGCCGGCGCCGACGGAGGAACAAATTGAGGAGGTCAAGTCCCTTTGCGCCGCGATCGATCCTATTCAAAATCTGCTGCACCACTACAAGGACAAGACGTTCGCAAAAGCGACCGCGGAGTCCATCACCACAGTCACAAAGGGGACCAGGGTGCGGTTCAAGGGAACGCCACATGAAGACCCGTCGGCAGTCTCACGATATGCCTATGCGCCGATTCGCCGCAACCCCCCTCTCGTCCACCAACCCGGGGTCGCCTCCACCGGACCTCTGCCCTCTCTTTCGAGTCTCTCGACCGTTCAAGATCCTGAACTCCGACGTGACCACGCCAAGGCTCGACGACGTCAAGCCGAGCAGCCGGCCCGCATGGTCTCGACGCACAAGCTCGCCGTGCAAGGAACCGTCAGGGCGTCGGACTACCGCTTGGTCGATCCCGAATTCGGGGACAGCGCAGAACAGCGCACTCGCAAGTCCAATAATTCAAAGTCGATCGAAAGGAACAAGGCGACCACGGCGGCCGAAGTACGTGCCCTGTTCTCGAAGCAATCGGACTCGGGCAGCAGCGGCGGCGGCGGCGGAAAATCTCCTGGCGGAGTTATCTACAGGATGTCAACAATGACGGGTACGCTCGACGATCTGGTCCGAGAATCCATGGTTTCCGGAGAATTGAGGCAAGGCGCACATCGGGTTCGAAGACCCCCGGCAAGGACGGCACGTCAGGCTGAGGCAAGTGCACCACCGGCGGCAACTCGAAACCGAGCAAGCTCGCTCGGGCTGATGGACGTGGACTCGGATGCGGCTTTGGTCGTCGACGAATCCGATTCGCGCAGCTACAGCATTGCAGCAATGGAGATTGATAGGTGAAGCCGTATAAAGACAAAGAAGGTCGGTGCGTCGTCGCAGCTCTCGGGGTTTTCTTGCGCCGTCGACTCGGAGTCGACCGCCTTCTTTCGAAGGGAGGAGTCGCCACTCGCACTTTAAGGTAGCCTCATGAGGTTTCCCAGGTGTCGTTCCGGATCAGAATCGTAGAACTTGTTAGCTTCCCATGAATGAACTCCATGAATACAGATCGTACGGTGGGCAAACTACACTCAGAGATAGGTATTCTACGAGATCACTCCTGGGCGCCTAGAGAATGAGAAACGGACCCGTTTCGGCCGGCGGTTCCGGGGGTTCACGTCCTTCACGAGTTTGATCGGCTTGACCCTCAAAATGGCTCAAGAGTTGATCTGGTCAGATGATACCTCGTAGTGATTGAGATCATGCCATGATCTCTCGTTGTGTTCGATACGCTGGAATGATCTACTACACAAGTGCACCTTCGTGAATGGACATGATCGTGGGCCAAGATCTTAGGTCTTTTCCACTCGCGCGTGGATGCGATTGTCGTCTCGCATAGGTGTGCGTCCGAAATCAATTTCGGACAGGAGATGGTGCGCCGGCGCTGGGGCGGGGTGGGCACACGGACCCAATCGCCCACCCA